AAAAGCGTTATTACCTAGTCGGGCGGTGGGGGGCTATTCGCGGTCCAGGAGTTAAGGTAAACTTTCTCTACGAAGATAATATATAACGGGATCGAATAGCTATATAACGCGATGCCCTAGATTACTATAACCTATTCCTAATTACCTTATTATACGGCTCTTAGCCTCCCGTATTAGTTGGAGGTTATAATCATAGTTTCGGCGGAGATCTTACCTATCGCGAAGCCCGTTTCGTTAAAGCCATAGATATATTGTTATAGATCCCGTATTTCGCGATTATATTTCATACTGTCCTGGGGCGGGTAAGCATTCTCCTGATCGGGGACATAACAACCACTACGACCGAAGGGAGTTTACCGCTTACCAGTTTCGGCAGTATTACCGGCGAGGATTACTCTAGCCCGGGGCCAGAGTGAGGGCATTCCCAGATAGGGGCAAAGTATGGGTTTGGAAGGGGAGCTAGCTACGTTAGCAGCGCTCTGTTAACGAAGTACTTATAGAGGAATCTCTAATCATAGCATTACCAGTTGAATGCGCGCGGTAATGAGTATAAAGGTGCAGAAACTTAATAGGGTGGAAAATCAAGTCGAATTCATAAAGTGGGTAGTAATATATGAATGCCTACTATAGAAAAACGTCGCGATGGCTTTGAGCCTTATATAGTACTGTACATACATGCCCCTGCTCAGACTATCCCGCACTGCCCTAACACAGTAGTCTCATATAAGAAATTGAGGGTACTACAGTTATCTTTAAAAGGTTAGTACTTTGAAAGGGTACCAAGTTATAGATCTAACTAAAGGTAGCCTCCTTAAGGTCGGGGACCAGTTCCCCGATGAATTCTTCAATTCCGACTAGGTATCGAACGGATTCGTGTGAACCGCGTAGGCTGGTTACAGCACCCAAGGCCCTAGCACCAGCCTTACAGACCAATCCCTACATAGAGGACACACCAAATTGTAGTCTAGTGCTCGTCATAATGGACACACAAACACTCAACACAATCGCAGACGGTCCCGCACTCACACCCTCTTGGCCCGGGCTGGGGCCGCAGATCTCGTGGCGTGAAAACAAGGCGGCATGCATCCAGCCGGGAACGGAACCCGTTGGCCTCAAATGGCGTCATGGACAACGGTGTGGTCTCGGGCGCGACGGATAGGTGGAATTCCCGGACCACTGCTGCCAGGATCATGCGCATCTGGAAGGTGGCCATGTTGCCGCCGGGGCAGCGACGAGCGCCAATCCCGAAGGGGGCAAGGCAGCGGCGCCGCTCAGAAATCAGCTTGTCGTCGTCTTCGAGCCAGCGTGCCGGGTCGTACTCGTCGTAGTTGGGGAACAGATCTGGCCTCTGTCGGCTCAGTGAGAGCGACTGTGTCGTTACCACTGTCCCGGCGGGCACGAAGTAGCCCATGATTGATAGGCCTCCAGGAGGCACTACACGGCTGCCCGTGAGGGCTACCGGAGGGCGGAAGCGCAGACCCTCCGTGATGCAGGCATTGAGGAGCTGAAGGCCTTCAAGGTCCTTCAAGCCTTCGGCAGACTGTAGTTCGTCGTACAAAGCGTCGACCAAGTTGGGCTCTCGGGCGAGATAATAGAAGATAAATGCGAGCGCCGACGACGTGGTCTCGGTGGCGGCGAGAATCTGACCGGCCATCTCGGCGCTGATTTCGGTTGGGTCGTCTTCAAATCGTCCGGCCTTCATGCTCTTTGCAAGCAGCTCATGGACCGTGGAGACGGCGTCGTCTTCTGCCCAGTTTGCCGCTTCATCGACGATTTCTTTACCAAGACGGAACAAGCGGTCGCTAGACTGCACCCGGAATGCAGCGTGGCGGAAGGGGCTCCACTTCAACCAGTAGAAAAGCCATTCTGGAAGGCATAACCGCCACACAACGAGGAAGTTGTACTCGCCGACAACATGAGGGAAATCCCCCGGTTCAAGATTTGCCTGGGGGCCGGCCATGACAGCCTGCGAGTTCAAAAGTGTTGCGACGCGCAGGTGATAGACAATGTCTTCCGAACTGCGACCCCGAGTGGCACCCAAATCATGAACCATTTGCGAAATGTTCTTGTCGAAGGTTGACTGCCAATAACGCATTGCCTTGTTCGTTGTGGCCACCATGACGGGACGGCGACGCGAGCGCGCAACCGGGTTCTGTGGGTATGTGACGGTCCAGTCGTGGCCGCCGATGCGCAGCGCCCGGATGGCCGTGGGTGCCGTGTCAAGATCTTGTCGCGCGAAGAGGCTCTGTACGGATTGGACGTCGTTGACGAGAACCAGATTTGGCGCGATCCTCACTACCGGTCCGTATAGTGACAGGAGCTTGTCGGCTTCGAAGGACAGCCGTCCATGCCATCTTTGCCAGCGAATCCAAAGGGAAGTCGCAGCTGGGAACCGGGGGCCGGGGATCTTTGAAAGGATATGGAACTGCGACCGGTAGAGCATATGGCAGGCTTTGAAGATGGCAACAGCAACAGACGTCGCCAACGCCACTGCCACCCGTGAATGCCCCAAGTGTCCCAGAATAGTCTCCAACATGTTTGAGTGTTTCTGTCAAAATTACAGCTCATACAATAGAGTTATTGACCACGAAGCCAAGGCCAGCATTCTAGATCTTCCAACCGGTCGTTCGATGTAGTTTATATCAGCGAAAGCTACTGCAAAGGGTCAGCGGAACTAGTTAGGCATGAAGATTCACTTCCTCGTTAGTTCTGCCAAAAGGGGTCACCTGGGGCCTAGTCTAGCTTCTTGCGGTGGGCCGCAAGTGCCGGCGCTTAAGACTAGCGCCGTGCAATTGAAAACCTCATGTCCGCTATTTCACGGGCACGATCAGCGTTTTTAGGCCTAGCTCGTAGCCGTCAAGGTTCGACTATCGAAAAGCCTCAGGGCCCGAGCGTTGCAGGGGTCTTCATCGGGAAGGAGGACAAAGGACATTGTGTAGCTTTGCTCCTGAGACTACGCGCTTGCCAATCATGATAAGTGGCCTTGTGTGACGATCCGAACCACCAGGTCCATCCTCACGCCCTGGGCCATCAGCATGTGCGTGGCGCGGACTTTCTTCCGCATAGCGGGCTGCTCGGCCTGCAGTTGCTCGATGAGGGCGTTAATTTCGACGTTCCTGTCGTTCATGCTCATCGTTGGATCGGCCGGCATAGGATAAATTGAAGATGGGACACTTGCCGGTTGCCGGGCTCAAACGAGACGGTCTTGTAGTGCTTGATGACGATGGTGGCGGTCAGATTCCTAGCCTAGCAGCTCGTGTCCAGGTTGGAGTGCTCGACGCAGCTGCCGCCGCTTGCGAGAAAGTCGAATACGAGGAATCTACTAAACAAGGCGTTGCCCCGAGCCTCGGTGAAACCAATGCCCTTGCACAACGAGCTCTCACCATCGGAGAGGCTAATGCTGAAGCGTGACTCCTTCTGGTCCGACTTAGCGATCCAGCCGTTCAGCTGGGCCGAGTGGCCCTAGATCGAGCACTAGGCTACGTTCTAGGTGGCCGGGGGATCCAGGATGGTTGGTGCCCCGATGGCGTCATAGTTCACTCATTGATTGCTAGCCTTCAGCATTCCTCACACGTCGGCCGCCCCGGTCAGCAGCTGAGGCGGGTACCCGGGAAGGTCGTTTTGTCCCTATGCTGCCTGTTGCCTTTGGGCACCAGTGCAGACCCCGGGCCGCCGATCGTCTCCATCTGAACCTCGTGGTTGCTCCCATCCTGCACATCATGTCTCAATCAGTTAACCGCACAAACACTGATACTTCTGCAAGGCCTGCTGATTAGTTTTGATAGGCAACGATGAATTCGGGAGCATTCTGCTGGGAGCGCTGGGCAAATGTCTTGGGCTTATCCGGGTTGTTATCATTCGCGAAGTCCTTCTGGACGTCGGCCCTGGCTTGGTCGAGCTTCTTTTTGGAGGGGACAACGCTCTGCTTGCCCTCGTGTAATCCGGCCCAAGCATCGGGAGGATTGTCACCACCCTTGCCCTGGGTTTTCTTGATGTCAGCATCCACGTATATAATAGTCGTGAAGTTAAAGACGGACCAGCTGCAGAGTCTGCAGGGTCATGTCGGGGAGCTCATAGTAGCGACTAGTCTTGCTCGACACCTTGTTGGCGGGGTCCAAGGGATAGTCGCGATACTGGTGGACTTCCCAAACCATAGTGGTGTTTCCACCTCGGAAAGTCGTCATTTGGCGGCCAGGTCGTCTCATAAGGCTCTCGCCGGCTTGTTTTCTTCCCCGCACCTAGTCTCGAAGCCCTTCCTATACAGCATCGCGCAACCGGCACATCAGCCTTCATTCCTTCTAGTAACGAATCATGAACGCTAGACCGGACCACAACTTTCCAGAGCCGCCCCTAGAGGAGCTTGTTACGGAATTTGAGGTTGAGCCCGCACTCGACGATAAGACTGTTGACCAAGGCTCCGACGCGGACACTAGACGCCCAGCTCCTGCCCAGAGTCGGACATGTATCCTCGACGCGCATGACGATCTATGGCTAAGCACATACGGCCCCAGCTCATGGGGTAACAGCGACCCAGTCAAGTTCAAAGTTTGCTCCCGCGGTCTAGCACGTGCATCCGTCGTTTTCGATGCTATGTTATACGGGAGATTCGCTGAGTTGGAGAAGCGTATGGCTGGAGGTGATTGGACCATAAACCTCCCGAATGATTCTGGCGCAGCAATGCGTCAGCTTCTCGGCATGATGCATGGGCGCTTCAGATCTCTGGCAGAGCCGTATTATCGGTGCGAAGAGGAGAGTGTACCTGGGGACGATGAGGCCTCACCTGAGCCAAAGGCTGAATCGCGGGATATTACAATTGAACAGCTCTACGACCTCACTGTCCTCGCAGACAAGTATGACTGCGTCCATATGCTCCAGCCTTGGGCAAAAGCTTGGATCCAGGATCTTGAGCCGCTCTCACCGTGGTTGCTGAGCGAGAGCGCCCTGCTCCGCAAGACCTGGGTTTACTACCGGCTCGGAGATCGAGAGAACTACGATTATATCGTGACCTCGCTCATTAAAGACGTACCGCCCTCCCTAGCATAACAGTCCGGGGACACAGAAGATGATCCCGGGCAGGTACCCCAAGCGTTGCCACCTGACTTACTTGGTAAGTTCGCCCCTTCATGACCCCCAGTCGTTGCTAGGCAGGCACTAACAGCATGTCACATTTCGTTCGGTCAGAGCGTGTGAGACAGATGAGTGAACTACTCGAGCCAGTTCAGAGCACCATAGAGAGTCTGCTTCGAGGCAGGTTTGTCCCTGCAGGCGTATGTCAGGCACGTAACCAGCCTCAAAGCCCAGTGACGGACAGTAGTAGGCTCGTCTGCGAGGCTAGGACAATCGGTCACCTGATCCGCCACCTACACAGCCGTGATCTGTGGGGGATTCCAGCACCGTCTCAGGTGGATCTATCGCCGCTGGTTGTTGCAAGCATTGTCCAGGACCTCGTGGCGCCCAGAAACAACGTGGGCAACGTTGGGCAGCACTCGAATTGCGCTCCGAAGTTTGTGATCAAGGCTGAGGCAGGTGGCCTTGCTCGGGACAAGGATCCGTCTGTAGAAACCCTGTGCTTCGCTTATGCTGAGGATTGGATGGGTGTGGAGTTCTTCGATCGCCAGGCGAATTTGACAGATGTTGTGAATCCACCACTTGGTGAAATTCGAGCTCTGCTATTGCAGTCGAGCAAAAGAGGACAACAGTTGGCGAGTAGATTGCAAAAGACGAGTGTTTGAAACGCACTGTGATGTCCATCACGGCTCAGTGGAGAAGCAACCCGCATGACCATAAGTATCACACCGCTAGTTAAGGCAGCTCAACTCGTCATCGCGCATACCCCTTGCGAGTAATCAGCCAGCCGTTGTAACTCTCGCTAGCTCTGGCAAATTTGAACTTGTATAATAGTGCAAGGGACGTCATACTTTCTTAGCAAGGACAAGGTCACACAACGACCAAGTCGACTTGGGCTTAGCTACTATAATTTCGTCAACACTTCCCGTGAATGTCCGAGTACCAAGCTCATAAGTTTAGGAATATGGATCTGGCAGCCAGGGGGAACCCGTCCTTATCCTGACTCAATTGCAGGCCACCCTATCGTTCCACCAGCAGTTACAGGACGTCAGGGGGTAACCTTCTGATTGATCATTATTTTAAACTTTTGTGTGGACATTTGAATGAGCCCGCAGAACTTGTCACGTTGTGTATATGGAAGATTTGGAATGGGTCTCGCCAGTCAGCCATTACATGCGAGGCCAGTCATAATGGCATTGTATCACAGCACACGAGCATTCTGTGTCACAATATCTCTATATGTCGGGGGTACTCTAGCGGACAGTGTCTTACACTTAGTAATGTTCATGTTACCCTTGTGCTAAGCTCGTGTCACCCCTTTGCGCGGCCCTCGAGCCGTCCTTAACTCGTGCTGAATCTAGTCAAACTTCAAGTCATCCACAGAGATTCATATAGCATATTAGCGACGCTTGACGATTGTCTGTTTCCAGGCAACAGGCTCACCATTTACCTCAAACCCTGTAGCGGTCTCCCTAGCGTTCTCTTGTTGCTCCTGCCAAGTCGAAAGGCAGTGACTCATAAGGTAGTCACTCTTGCAAGCAAGGACTCCTATAGGGATATAGCTATTGGTATCTTTTATTACTATGTATCCCAGGACACATACTATCGAACATCTCATGCTACATGACTAGTTTCTCATCATTCGATCCCAAGACTCGCAGCATGACGCACCTGTCCGCCAAGTCCAATACTAGTCTTGATTCATTTATTCCAAAACGATCGTAGAAAAGGGCTCTATACCAATGAGCTCACCATTCATAACGCCATAAACATACGCCGGCCCTAGACACTGATAATGTCCACTATTTAGAGGGCGGAAGGCAAAAGGCACATGCGAGCCCCGCGGCACCCAGATCTCGTCCCCGGACGCAATCCTAAGTGTACTTCGCTCCTCTCCTTCACCTGCTTCTGCTTCTGCCACGTCCTCGAACATGCCTATATGCCCCGTCTCCAGCTCGATCGGCACCGGAATCTGCCCTTCATCCGAAAGAGAGCCCCAGTACGCCGGCCATACGGGCGGCTTGTAGAGTCTACTCCAAGAACCTTTCATCCATGTCATCAGGCGGTCATGTTCAACCTTCGCTCTATCAGTGGCGCGCACAAGCTGTCCAATATCGTTGAGCTCGCGGTCGAAGATGGGGATACACCACGCGCCTCGCTGGCGCTCGACTTCGCTGGGGTAGGCACGCGCACAATTGGCAGCGGCCATGACTGCACAGATGGTGGCGATGTTCAGAAAGTGCCGCTCCCTGTCGCTGGCGACGGGACGCGGGGGGTGCCCAGTTTGTACGATTCTGCTGAAGAATGAGGCGTCGAGATGGAGGAGACGGGGGTCCGATCCATCCGTACTGCCTTCCAATTGGTGATGCGCACCACTCGGCATTCCGCCGCTGCATGCGCGTGCCGCGTTATATAAGTCATCTTCTCGGGTGCCGGCCCAGGACCGTGGCAGGGGCTTGGTGTAGTCAGGACACCATGAAGGCAGTGTCGTCGACCGGGCTCGGAGTCCAGTGCTGTAAACGAGAAGTCCGACTTGCCCGTTCTGCTGGACCATTGCTTTCGTCGCAGTCGCGAACAATTGCTCATGCGTCAGCAGGTTATCGTCATATTCTATGGGAATCCGTAAGCTGTCGAAGTCCGCAGAGATCGCCTTGAGGCCGTAGATGCGGTCCTTGTCCACGGTGGCTTGCAGTGTCGAGCCGCCGGTGCCGGGAATGAAAGAGCGCAGCAGGTTCGACGCGAGGTCCCGCGACTCTCCGGCCATTTTCCTCCTCGTGCCTAGCGTCATGGCGGCTCGGACACTGAGCGTCAGCGCGTCATCGGCCCTGACTGCCGCTAAGGTGCGCTCGGTGGTCTTCTTCATGTTCCACGGCCACCAGATGCGACGTGTCAATGCCCCGGCGATGGCGCGTGGGCGCTGCATCATCCACAGCTGATACAGCAGGAACGCCGCATGGAAGCGCTGGCCGTCGACGACGTGACCACCGCACATGAAGCTATAGGCAGGCGAAACGCACAGCTCTTGGACGATCCAGACTCTGCTGAACCACTCGTGGTGGGAGAGCTTGGCGAAGGCGGCCATGTTGCTTGGTTCGGCAGACATGCGCAGCTTGCCGTGGTCGAGATCGCGCAGCACGGCCTGCGCTTTGGTTCGGATGTGTTGCTTCGATGGCTCCAGACCGCCTGGAGAAGACCAGCTGTTCAGGTCGGCGCGGGTTAGGTTGAGGATCTCGCATTCTTGGCCGCGCTGGCCTAGCTCTTGAAGCGCCGAGAACAGCGATTCAGTGGCATTGTCGCCTAGGCCGAGGAATATGATGGTTTCCTTCGTAAGGCGGTAGATGTCGTGCATCTGCTCGACTTGGATGTTCTTCTCGGGCGTGTCTTGCTGGTTGATGCAGACCGCGTCCACCCAGACAGGCAGGGCGACGGCGGCACAAGCCTGGAGACATTTCAGGGCGTCGCGCAGGTTCTTGCCCGCGGTGAAGTCGAGGTCATTAATACGTATGTCGCGCTCTTGGCTCGGGTCGTACTTCCCCCAGACGTACGACAACGTCAGGTACTGGCCGGCTATCGTGTCAAGGGTGGCTGATTCAAGCAGTCGGATGCCCCGGTCGCTCTCACTACCAGCGGTGCCTTGGAGTTGCAGGAGCCGGATCTGGCCCTTGACAAGTCGCTTCTGGTAGATTGAGTTCTTGGCCGGCGACATGATGCGGGCATGCCTTGTGCTTGCAGTACCAAAGGGTGAGTTCACTGCCGTGGGCGGCACGTCAGTTAGAGATGAAGAAGAAGAAGGGAGCCTGGGCAGCCTGGCGTGACAGGCGTTGATCTGGGTCCTGTGGTCAGCTGTCTGCGGCTGGGCTGCGGCTGCCCAGGCGAGCTGGGGCTCGGCTTCGTGCCTGCATGCCTGCGTACCCCGGGCGCCTCAGGCACGCGACGGACAAACCACGATCCATCACTTCTCATTCAGACGAGAGCAGATGCCTTACACCGTAGCTGCCCTGGGGACCACAAGCCTGACCAGGCATCTGTCACGCATAGGCTTGGGCAACCTCGTCCTTGTAGCCGCAATATCCACACCTACACCCCTCAAAAACCGCAACGGCGGCTCCCAACTCTTGTGCAATCACCAACACAGCTGTGCGGTCAATACTGCACACGTAGGATATGTAGATCCCTAGAAGTTGACTCAGTACGGGGCCGAACACGATAGTAACCGCGCCCGCGGCTATGGTATTCGACTGTGAAAAGGCACATGATCTACACGTGTTAATACAGCTAGCTTGGCCTCTAAGATGCCATCTAGTTATATCTAGGAATAGCCTTACTCTGGCCCCTAGCTACAGTGCACCGCGCCGATGATACCGCTAAAGCTAGTGCTTATTATTGCGACTGAAAAGAAGTGTCTGGCGGGGTATAGTTAATTAAGGGGAAGAGTGGGACTTCCAAGTCTAGGAAGTGACCGGCTGAGAAATCAACAACCGTCCTGGCCGGGCATTGATGTGCTACCTCTCCCGCTGCCTCTCCCGCTGCCTCTCCCAGTTCGGTTCCATAGTCTTCATAGTGGTGAGACTGGCAAGAAACTTGAGCTGGAAAATTTACAAGAGTTGGCAACATAGATTGCTCCTGAATTGAGTTGAAGTCGAAAGCCGACGGTGTCAGTGGCTTAGTACTGGTCTCACTAGTCTCACTGGTCGGGCATGCCCAGTTGGTCTGCCTTGGAGACTCCGTGCAGGCGGCTGAACTACCTCCATTGAAGGCACGCGGCCTTTCGGTCGCGCGGAGGTCCCCAAAGATGCTCCGGAAGGCACGTTCGTTCTGATGAAGCAGCCTGTCTTTCTTTCGCGTTGCATGGATAGTGACAGCTTCTTTGAGTTGTGTGCAGGTTCTGGCATATCGAACAGACTGGATGTTAAGCTCCCCAAGATGTTCGAGTATCTTGATTGCGCGGTCAAGTGATGGATCCACGGGCCACTTACGAGGACCAAAGGTGTCCAGGTGAGCCAGGCCGAGGCAAAGCGCGGAAATGAAGACACTATTGACAACGAGGGGCTGTCGCTTGGGCGTGATGAGCCCAAATACATATTCGTAGGCAACATCGATGCCTTTGACGGCCGAGCTGACACACGCATCGGCGTACATGGCAACGTGCTGGATGGAACGATCATCGGGGTTTGCCGCAGTCCTTTTCGCCGCCTGACGCACCTGAAAGGCCAGGAAGGGTCGTGTAAGAAGGACGATGGAGTAGTAGTATGCCATGATGACTATGCCACAGCCGTGAAACCGAGACAGACCAAAATTGCTGGGAGACGCACCGGCGGCGTCCGCTTTGTCCAGATCGTCGAGTCCGTCCACCATAAGCATTCGCGGCAGTTCCTGGGTCCACTGTCGATGCTGCTGGGAAATGCTGTCAGCCAGGTCGAGCCCAACAGCCTTCTTGGAGTAGACATCGACGAGTATGCGCTCAAAGATATTGCAAATTCTAAACATGGCCGAAAAGACCTGCTCAGCCACACCGGGACGCTGGCCATCCTGCAGGGGCTCGATTGGAAGCCATGCGATGTTGGAAACGGACTCCGAAGTAGCAGGTGGCCTTCCCAAAGAGGCCGCCAGGAACAGGTCGCAGACGCGTAGTGATTTCCAGGCTCGCTCACGAGCCAGCCCTACCTCATGATCAAAGGCCTCATTGGTCTCGTGTATGTGGATGCCAAGGGTGTAAGCAGCCCTGACTGCCACGCCAAGGTTAACAAAAGCGGCATTATGCTGACACGCTGCCATCATGTAGTAGGTAATAAGCATGACCGCCTGGACGGTGGCCAGGCTGGGGTCGTTCATGAGGTTGAACATGACCAATTGGCGACCATAGGCGAAGCACTGCTCCGCCAGATCTTCGTCCACAGAACTTTGTGCCCTCCCTTGAGCGCCAATAGCGAGCGCGAGGTACACGACTGCAGAGCTAGACGTGGACCGGCGAAAGGACTGCTGGTTGCAATCTTCCAACTGATCCGCCAGCCAGGGCGGGTCAAATAGGTCCAAGATGCCGCTGACAGCTAGGAAGAACTGGCTGGCTAGGCAATGCGAGAGCCCGAGGTCCAGAAACGGTTCTCGCGCCAGCTCGAATCGGGTTTTCGGCGGGCTCTCATGCATCGGATCTCGGGCGGACTCATTGGTGAAAGCACAGGGTCCCACGGCGACTCGCAGCGCACTCCGCACTGTCTCTAGAAGAGACAAGGACGCGGACTCGCCCACGTAGACTGCGGCGGTCGTTAGCAAAGCTACGGGTAGGGGAAGCTACGAAACGTACTGTATTTTCCGGTGCTGTCTTGACGCATTGGCGAGCCGTGTGAAGACGTTGATCCAGTAGACACGGCAACGTCCACCGTGTCCACCGTGTCCGCCTGCTCGGAGGACAGCACCGTCGTGTTTCCCTCGGCCAGGTCGACCCGGGCCTCGCTGTCACGGCCGGGTAGCAGCGCCAGCTGCGGCATTCGCCCATAGCGGCAGGTCCCGCCACTACGGGCCTCGCACTGATCGCACGGCAGAGCGCCGTTGCACTTGGCCTTGCGTCTCTTGCAGCCCTCGCACGCGCGGGCGACGCGGCGCCGGAATCGCGGGTCGACCTTTGTGCGCCCCATCACCGTCGAACTGGAGCAACTACACGGATCTGGCGGCCCTGCCAAAGAGGAGGACAACTCATGGCCCATGTAGAGCTTACCGAGATTAAGGTGCGTCGGTAGGGGCCAGGGTGCGACTTGCAGGATCAACTTTGGCGATTTGCCTATCCGATTTCGATGCCGGCTGTAGGGGTCCTTGGTATTGCCGGTGCATCGCGGGGAAGAGGAAGTGGTTGCGGGGTTGTGGGGTAGAAGACATGGGGCCCCAGGCGATCATGCCGCGGTCCAGGGTCCAGACCGGATCCGGTGCGCTACCCGGTGCGCTACCCGGGGGCCGCGGTTAGGGGGCGGACACAGCCCTGTCCTCGATTAAATCATGGACGCACCACAAAGCTTCGTCGATACAGTCGCACCTGGCAGGGTCATCTTTGAGAGGGGACGCCTCTAAGCATTTCCGCCGAAATGACGCGTCAGAGTCCAGGCCAGCTTCGGCGGCAGCGGCAGTCTATTCAACGAAACCAATGGAGTCGTCAGGCACACACCTGTCGATAGCCTGGACAGAGCGGTGGCGCACACCCAGGCCGTCTGGGCGGACTCGATTGTGTATATTGGCGGCGGGAGCACCATCAAGCGGGGCAAGGCCATGACTGTGCGCACCGCCCGCCCTGCCGCCCATCTGGCGTGCTGACCACGTATGCCGGCTTAGAGATGATGTTCAGTTCCGGCGAGTCGCGCGACTGGCTCAAGATGATGCCCGGCGACGCCAGCATTGTCTCCGCAACCTTCATCTATGATGTGGACCTCACCATGTCTTCTGCCCCAAACATAGGTGTGAAAAGGGTCGTCAATGCCATCGGCCTATCCACTGACCAAGCAGTCAGTGAAAGCGCTATACGCGCAGAACACCAACCCCGTCACTTCTCTACTCGCTCTGGAGCGGCTCTGCCCCCGCTGGCGTCCCCCCCTTCTGACTTCAATGCACGCTTGGGCGCTTTGCAGGCATGGCTCTGCACCACAAACTGTGCCATACGCTGGGTAGAAACTTCACCTTGTCGCACGCTGGGATACACATGACCGTCCTTCTCTCACACACTGGCCCACAACGGCCCTTGCATTCCCGGCGTGCTGAGAAGCTGGCAAGTGTGCTCCTCGGGGGCAAGAGGGACGCCATCGATGGGCTGGAACCTTGCTGAAATGTGTTCAAAGAGCGACGAAAATCCCTAGCTTCAAGGAGAACCTTGACACAGTCGCTGACATAGCAGTCAGGAACCCTGACTACACAGGAGGGCATTCTCACGCTACGACGCGAGGATGAATTTTGGGTTTCCGAAGATGTAGCTTACGTTGTGCCACTAGTCACCCAGTCGCAGCAGGCTCTTATCATTTCCTTGATATTCTCCTTGCCCGGTCATATTCTGAAGCCTTTGATCAAGTTCATGCCACCTTTATTCAGTCAAAGTTCTCAGCTAGCCTCAACCAACAATCCGCCTTTCTATCCAAAGTGTACAGGAGACTAGACTCTTTCTACCTCGGGTCCGTCCGCACGGGGTGCATCTCCGACTAAGAAATTTGTTGCCTTGTGGTGCCTAGTCTAGTGAGAAAAGGGCAGCTGCTTGAACTGGAGAGTCTCCTCTGGAAGTGGTTCTGCCGGAATTTCGATCTGTCCTGGCTGTACATAATACGCCAGCTCGCCAGCTCTGGGATCAACCTGCGCAGCGGACCACCCATCCCCCAACCATGCCAGGCGATTTTGCGCGACCCCTCCGGAGCCATCCTCGCCGTTGTAGTCATAGTCGAAGTCCTCCCAGCGTGGCGACCTCAGAGTCTCCATAGCGTGCAGCGCACTGCCCGGCCACACCCCCGTGATGCGAGTGCCCCTGCCGCCGTTGCTCTTGTACCAGCTGCTGCAGTGTTCCACGTACACTGTGTCCTTGAAATACTCGTCGATGATTTGTGAGAAGTCCTTGACCCTCGCGGACTTTGGCTCCATGGCCGATATGTTCTCCTTCTGAAGCTTGCGAATGCACTTGATAATGTAGTCGCCTGCCCTCTCAATGATGGTAGTCAGCGGCCCCGTTCCGATGGCGCCATTGGGCCCAAGCATCATAAAGTAGTTCGGGAACCCGTCGGTAGCAAGAGAGAGGTAGGTCTCTGGATAGGGCTCAAACTTTTGCTGCATCGTCTGCCCATTCCTCCCCACTACAGGGAAAGGGGGTGGCGCAGAAGCCTGGAATCCAGTTGCGCAGACCAAGATGTCCAGCTTCTTCTCTTCCCCATTGGACAGGACCAAGCCCGTGCTTGTCGCCCTTGAGATGGGCGTGTTGATGAAGTCGACATTTTCCTCCGCGAGCGCCTCGAGATAACCTGGGCCCGGAGTGAGCCTTCGGCAGGCAACGCTGAAGTTTGGTAGCAGCGATTTAAGAATGTGGGGTTTGTTTGCTAGCTTTTCGCGCATCAAAGCGGAAAAGTCTTCCCGCGCACTCTTTTGCATTGGCGATCCCTTGAGCGTTACTGCGTGAACCGAGTTTCCGTCCCTCTCGATCATCGTCCTGAACTTCAGGTAATGATCGGGATCTTGAGCTAACTGTTCTCTCTGTTTGGGAGTGACTGTGCTAGCAGGTTAGTCTTTTTCTTAATTTCTCCTTCCCGCCCGACTTGCACACTGTTTGACTTACAGTCCGTCTTCTCCATCCCTAGGGTCTTCATTACAGAGTCTCCGAATGGCCTCGAGATCCAGGTTTTGCTTCTGATGAAGCAGTTGAGCTGCGTCCCGGGCAGCTTTTGTAACGCTGGGATGATCTGGATCGCACTGCTGCCCCCACCTATAACCCCCACAGTCGAATTCCTGAAGTCGATACTAGAAGGAAAAAGTTGGCATTCTGTGTATGCTTGAACAAAGCTGTCACATACCTGTCGTCCCACGCCGCTGAGTGTATGACTGGAATCTTCATGTCGCGGACTCCTGGTATATCTGGCCAGGACATCTCGTTCAGCGATCCTCGGGCATTGATGACCACGTCGGCTTCATCTTTGATGATTTCCCCTGTTCGCAGGTTCTCGGTCGTGACATGCCTAGCATGCTGGTTAATTCTCCTGTTCTCGCGGAGGTACAAGGATACTACATACCATTGACGGCTGCTGGCGTCCCAATTTGCGCCAATCACTTTGTGCGAGGTCTTGATAAACCGGTTGACGGAGTACCTCTGCACTACAGACTCGAGATATTGCCGGATCTCTTGTGCAGGGGCATAGAATCTGCTCCAATGAGGATTGGGTGCAAATGTGTACTGATATGAATGGGCTGCGGCCGGCTCGGGTCAGTACACTACACAAGGCTCCTACAGACGATCGCGAACTCACCTGGAATATCACAGGCGCAGCCCGGGTATCTGTTCTCGAACCATGTTCCCCCAATGCCTTCGTTCTTCTCGTAGATCTTGAGAGTAACGTTGCGCAATCGCTCCGGTATGCGCACGCCGCAATAAATCCCAGAGAAACCTGCACCGATGATGATCACCTTCATCGGTCGGAAGTTCTCAACGACTCGGGGCTTTGACTGCGTATTGGTCGCAGGTCCTGGTGACTCGCTTATTGGGTTCGCTGGGTTACCCTGAACAGCATGGATCTTCGACTTCACGAACATGTCTGAAACCTGAGAGGCCGCCTGCGCTGAGATGATAGTCGCCATTTGTTTTTTTTGCTTCGAGTTGGTCGTGATAATTGGAATTTATGGCAGAAGATCACATTTTGGGTGCAGGCAGGTATAGGATTTTCGTGTGCCTGTATTCGCTCTTAAATAATTGCGCCAGCAGGTCGCCATCCGTCGACCGCCAACACCGTTTTAGTTGTGCGGACCCTATCCGGTCATGGCCGGATGAGGGACTCACTGGAGGCTGATCGCTGTCTCTTGGAGATGTTGGGGTAACATCCGGGCGGTCTTCAAGCATTCTCCGGCAACACGGTATTTGGGATCGGCAAGTGACGAACGACGCTACTGCTTTTCCCCTCACCTTGCTCCGCAATTAAACTTCGCTGCTGCTGCACTGCCTCGGCAAACTATAGACAATAACGAGGGCGGCATGAGCGGCAGTTGTGTAAAAGGCTGCGTCCAATTGGCGGCTATGTAGCTTTCACTGCACAACAGACGAGCACCTTAATGATAATGGTGAATGATAGAAACAGAGAAAATGAACTCTCGACTCCAGGGTTCGGCCTTGGTCTATTCTATCTCCTTCTAGTACTGGCAGACCATCCATGTACTGTATTTTCTTCACACGTGCCTCCATTGCCTCCTTTGCGTTCTTGTAGCGTAGTCTTAATGCCCGGCACGTGTAACAAGGACGAGGTCATATCGCATAAGCGCCCAGCCGGCCTGTACTCCGTGCTTTCTTGCCTCCGCTTCATCGCGTACCGTTCCCAGCATCGCCACAAGGGCGCTTTTGAGGCCAGACACTGCGCTGGATGACTCGTAGGGGTCATTCTTCTAAACGACGCGCTCTACCTCGGTGAACATTATCCATGACATACATCGTAAGGTCCATTGCTATGCTGGCACCAGCTACCTTGCCTAAGGAGGATGGCAATTAGGTGACTTGGACTAATAGAGTCTAGACAATCGAGTGTAGGCTCGTCGTCTGTTTAGTCTCCTGAAAATAACACTTTGTACGAAAGAGAACTAAAGTGGTCGCCAAACCCTCTCTAGACTCCTTTTGGAATCTTTCAGCGATAGACAGACCCCTTGGTTCTCACTTCGTTCAAACAAGGAACAAAGCGGTGCAGATGTACGATGATTGGTGGAATCTTTTATGCTGGGCCCCTGGTCGATATATGCCCCTCTCTAGAAACTTATGCCGTAACCTGCGTAACGCTCGTACTGTTACCTCGGGCTTACAAGCTTCTTCGCCCCACCGTAGATAATCAACAGCTCATTCGACGCTTGTCAGGCCCAGAGTTAGCACGCACACCGAGGACATCGCGTGGTATTGATGCCTAAGCGGCTCCCATGTACCCCATCTCATATCGCAAGACCACAACAGGCCAGTCCGGGCAGAGTGCCAGAAGAATCTACAGCAGCATCAGCCATCGTATCCACTTTGTATGGCAGCCTACGAGGTTGCTAGATATCAAATGGTGATTATTTGCACTTCCGTAGTCAGGATCAAAGACCACGAGGTAACGGAAGCAATAAGCTGACTCTTTGTGGGCCACTGGAAGGGCATGATAGGTCGTTGGCGCGTCGGCGTTGGGTGCCACGACAAGGATTTCACCAGCGACGGATGCAAATGACAAGATTCGAGTATAAATAACAGTCGTCGGTCCAGCCGTTCGACATCTGGCAGCCAAACAGCACCAGCACCAGAAACTCCCGCTCCGCTCCCAAGTCACTTGCTATCTTCACTGTGAAACTTCTCCCTCTTTATAGTCGAAGAAACATGCGCGCAACTCTTCTCGCTTGTGCTCTGGTTGGAGCAGCCTCTGTAGCTGCCGCGCCGACGAACACGATGCTCGAGGACTCAGTGGTGACTCGGAGGATGATCCCGCAGAACTTCACCACCTCTGACGGCGAGACGCACGAGATTGTAAGCAAGAAGACGCTACGATCAGTGAACAAGACCAACCGTACTAACGCCGGAGTTGCCAGCTGGTCCTCGAGGGCTTCGTCCCAGAAACCGAGATCAAACGCCGAGCTGACTTTAACGTCGACACCTGGCACAAGGACAGAGACAACCAGGACCGTTGCCTGGCCAGTTCGTTCAACGACGACACAGGCCCTCATGCGCCCACCACGGGCCGCTACATTGCCGTCATGGAGTGGGCGGCAAGTAACTCCGGGTACTTCCTGACGACGTGGGTCAATCACGTCGGCGGCAAGTGGCCGAGCCTGGTGTCGAGCGAGAAGTCGGGCACCACGGCTTGCCACTTCCGCGTCAACCACTCGGCCAACTCGGGATACGTCGGCAACACGGACATCCGCGACATCGTACGCGACGCTCTGGCCAAGTTCAGGCGCCAGACTGGCGGAGCGGAGCGGCTGCGCGCCTATGGCACCGCTGGGTGCGAGGGCACCCTTGTGAACGACGGGCGTATGGCTATGCGCTGGAGGATCGACTGAGGCGGACGAGAAATCTCGCTGTAACGCATAGCCCTTAAGTTGCGATCATTCAGAGGCATGCTATGATTGCCAAGAATAAATCACGCTGGGAACTCTCTTTGTTGTGTCTCTTGGCGGTAAGTTCATCCATATCAGACCTCAAGAGCTTCCGTCCGCTTATTCGTCCTTACTTGAACTGGCCATTCCTTCATCATCCCTACGTCTGCTCTAGATAGGAGCGACGCATGTAGCAGATGCTACCACTGCACATAAGACGCTTTCCTGGTCTTATTAGTTGACCTTTTCTGGTCCGAACGTGACTCTTAACCTCTGTACACTAGATCTAGCTTCTTGGTGAGCTGTTTTCCACTGTCAAGTTGCTCTACATGTTGTCCATGCTGGAATCGCCGCGCGCCTTGGCTTGCCTCCGCCAAGTCAAGTTGTTGTGATTTGCCCTTATCGTGCCGTCCTGCCCTCTCCGCAAGAACGATGTTAGGGGCAAATATAGTTCGAACACTATGTATATAGCGTTACCTGATCTCAGGTTGTCTTTCAATACCGTCTAGTTGCCTTATGGAAGGCCTAACGCCAAGCTATTACCTAGACTAAATGGGATTATGTGCTTCTCTTAAATTTCTATATTCAAGCCAGCCTCGACTCGTGGCAAGTGATGAAACTACTCTGCTGTCTATGATAAAGAGTCTCTGAACGTGAATCCCTACAGACCTGCGAAATCGAGAACAAGATACTATCACATATGTTTATTCGCCCTGTGTTTCTTCGGGGTTTAATAGAGAAGGAGAGAAATCAAGCCCGTCAACTCTTGAGTGCCCCTGTTTTGTGAAGCTGCGGTGAGAACGTGCGTAATGATAGTATGTAACGACGAGAACCTCAAAAAAACTCAAATGTGCATGCCAACACGCAACCGAATAGCAGGCCGAGCCTTTCGGCTTTCGACGCCCGTTGTCTTGCGCTCTTGGGACTCAACTCGGTCCTGGCACTACCCCTGCACTTATCGCTAGCCTGCGACCTATTGCTTGGGATTATCGTACTCGGACTTAGCGGGGGACTAAACTGGCTGTAACTAAAAATAAGACACGTCGACCCCGCCGGACCCAGGGCGTGCTGACGTGCCAAGGCCGATTACAGGTTCGACGGTTACGAGGGCTAATTAGGTCCCTGAAGCCCCTTCAGCACTCGCCGAAGCTGCCGCACGGCCGTTCTGGACCTGCGACTATAAGTAGCGTCCGCGACCGAAGATAAGCAGCCGGAAGCGATGCAAAATACAGCGGCCGCGATCAGAGCCAACTACCACGACTGACCATGCTTTATACCAGCGCCCTCTCGACTCCGACCTTGGTGGCCGCCGCCGCCGCCGCCCTCGTTGCTGTCTGGACATGGCACCAGTGGTCTGGCCGCTCCTCGAGCACGAATGCCGCAGCCTCTGCCTCGGCTGCCAGGCTCGCCGCCATCACTGCGACGCATAAGCGCCTCGCCGCGCTGCCGCCGCCCGCAGCGTACATCTCAGAGCTCGCCGCGGCCCTGCCGGGGGGCCGCGTTGTGCTGCCCCAGGACCAGCCCGAGGCCTTCACCACGGCCATCGACGGGCATTTTTCACTGCAGAATCGCGACATGCAGTTCGAGCCCGCTTGTGTCGTCCAGCCGCGCGACGTCGACGAGCTCAGCATCGCGGTGCGGCACCTCGCCCGGGAGCACACCCTCCGCCGCAATAGCAACAACAGCAGCATCGCTGGCCATGGGCTCTTTGCGGTCCGCTGTACGGGCGCGAATCCGGCGCAGGGCGTGGCCGGCGCTCGGGACGGGGTCCTGCTGGACCTCTCGCGGCTGAGCACCCTCGCCCTCTCGGCGGACCAGACGGAGCTCCGTGTGGGCGGCGGATGCACGTGGGAGGCCGTCTACCACTTCCTCGATCCGCAGGGCCTCACCGTCGTGGGCGGGCGCTCGACCCCCGTTGGCGTGGGCGGCTCGACGCTGGGCGGTGGCATCTCGTACTTCTCGGGCCACCGCGGGCTCATGTGCTCCAACGTGGTGCGCTACACGGTCGTCCTTGCCGACGGGCGTGTCGTCGTCGCGTCCGAGGCTGAGAACGCGGACCTCTGGCGGGCACTCAAGGGCGGGCTCAACAACTTTGGCGTCGTCGCCGAGTTTTCCCTCCGCGTGTGCCCGGGCGGCCCCGTGTGGCTGAGCGCCACCGTGACGCCCGCATTTCTGCAGTCAGACTCGGTCCTGCGCGCGTACCATGATGACGCCATCCAGGCCGCGACGCCCGGCGGCTTTGACCCCAACGTGGCGACGCCCATCCTGAGTCTTGCCCACATGCCCGCGTTGGGCATGTCTCTCTGGGTCACGCAGCTCTTCTACACCGTCCTTCCCTCATCCTCGTCCTCGTCACCCTCCCCTTCCACTTCCGATGGGCCTCGTAGGATCGGCGACAAGACCTGGCCGGCGTACTGGCGCTCCTCGCCGCTAGGCAGGAGGATCTGGGGCATCCGCACGGCCCGCGGCACCTTCTCGCACGCCGATGCCGTGCGCCAAAACGGCCTCATGTCCCCAGCTGGCCTGCGCCAGGCGTACTGCGTCACGGGCTTCCGGATGGACCTGCCTACGCTGCGCGCCGCCGTCGCCGTCTTTGACAAGCACAAGACTCGGCTGTCCGCGCTCAAGGCCACCGACACGGCGTTCTGCATCGTCTTCCAGACCCTCAATCCGCGCTGGGTCAACAAGGGTGACCCCAATTCTCTCGGCCTCGAGGGAGACACAATCAAGGACCCCGTCGTGATAGTCCTCTTCTGCTGCAGCTGGGTCGATGTCCAGCACGACGGAATTGTCAAGAGAGTCATGCAGGACTGTGTTGACGAGACCGAGGCGGCGAGTAGACAGCTGGGCAGTGAGCACCGGTATCGCTTCGCCAATTACGCCAGTGAGTGGCAGAGGCCGCTGGGCGGCTACGGCGAGGAGAATTTGCGGTTCCTGAGAGAGGTGAGCAAGCAGTACGATCCGGAAGGCCTGTTCCAGACAGGGTGTCTAGGCGGGTACAAGTTAGGACGGGAGGATCTCTAAGGTTTTTGCCGGATTGTCTAGGCAACAACGAGCGCCTTTTAGAGCCGGGGGAATAGTCTGTCGCGGGGCTCTGGCGAGAGGATCTCGATCGCCAACTGTTCTGGGCCAGCCGCTCACAGCGCTGCTCACCCACGGACACCGTTGCAGGGCTCTCAGCAGACGGCCATGCCGAACCCTTCACAGACCTCTCGTGGAGCTAGTCGAGGCATAACAAGTGCGTCGAAAGATGACAATGAGGCTTCATACCCGCAGTCAAGTACTGGGTACGGTTGAACTCGTAGGCCGCATCGTGATAGTTCGTTCTGTTCTCTACAGCTATACAGACATAAGGCAATGGTGCCGGTTTTTCTTATGTTCTCCGCTCTCGTATACGCAATCTGCCGCAATCTGCCGTTCAAGCCCTTCGAACTTATGAACAGTTCCAAATGAGTACGCCTCAATCTTGTTCAGTGATCCAGCATTTATCAAGAACATGCCGAAAGGGGTGCGCACGATCTATAACCGAATCGTTGCCGAAGGCTTCGACATCTTCAGCCAGCACCGATGATACAAGTTCAGGCTACCAGCCTTTCCAAGGCACCCAGGTCTCCTGAACAACATCGTGATCATCAACAATGTAGAACGCAAAGAAGGCTGCCGCAGTGATGCAAACGTGGTTGCAGCACAATGAGACGCGCTGGCCAACGGCAAATTGCTCGCTGACGCCTTCTACCCCCGGTGCCTGCCCCCTACTCGCACTCTGATCCGAATCCACGGCGCTGGTATTGCCGATGATGCCGTGCTCTTGCGAAAGCCTAACGATGCCCCAGTCAGGCTTGCCAACGACACGGCCGAAGCCCGGATAAGCTCCAGCTACCTCGCGTGACATAGCCACGACGCCCGCGTTGATGAGTGCCTCGTTGCGGCGAGGATACACACTGCACACCTCGGCGACGACCCGAGCCGCCTGATCGGCCTCAGCAATGACTCCCGTCGACAACTGCTGCAGGTCGTTGGCCGGATAGTTGCCTGCGTGGAGCTCCAGCCGGACGTTGTGCGGCACGGCAGCCTTGAGGCTCGCTACAACGTGGGCCGTCGGCGTGGACCCGATCGAGACAACCAGTTCGCGGTCGTTGCCTGCAAGCGCCGCAGCCGCCAGTACGGCCGATAGCTCGACGTTCAGGGTGGCCTCCGCTTCGTCGCGCCGGCGGCCGCCGTACGAGTGCCCGGCGTGGACGTAGAAGCCGTGCAGTGTCGTGGCGGCGGACGAGTCGACACGGTCCACGAGGCTGCGAAGCGCTTCCGTGTCGGCCTGGTCCACGCCGGCTCGGCGCGAGCCGACGTCGAGCTTGATGAAGACGTCCCATGACGCGCTGCCACCGTGTGTTTCGAAAGTCTCCTCCAGCGCCGCAACCTGCTGCTCGTTGTCCACCATGAGCTGGATGCGCACCTTCTTACGCAGCTCGGCTAGCCGCGGGAGGCAGCCGGGGTAGATGGGCATGCCGTAGAGGCACTGCGGAGTGTGTTAACTGGATTTTCACGCCTGTAGGCTCGTCAGGCAGACGCTCGGCTCAATGGCTGGCTGCTAACCTCGTCCAGTAACCCTTCTTCAACGAGCGGTAATACGCCATGGACTTCGGCCAGCGTTGACGCAACAATCGATCGATATTTGCCTCCTTTCAGCATGAGCCTGGTGACTTCAAGCGTCTGTGCAATCGCAGAGAAGGTCAGCAATTTGCCCACGACTGGTCCTTGAAGAGCTGCGGGCGCTCCCGCACTGTTTGTTCATTTGCGCTGCCCGCTGGCACTCGGGCTGGGCCACTTACCTTGAGCGTCTTGACGTGCGGCCGAAAGCCGATGCCCAGCTCCTCGACGTGTTTGTGCAGTGCATCGATGTTGCGGCGGAGCACGGGCAGGCTGATGACGAGGGCCGGTGTTGGCAATGCGGAGATGGGTTTGCCAATGTACGAGGCATGGTGCTCGAGTGTATGGTCCATGGTTTGGCCTTCGAGATGGCGATACGTAAGGAGACAGCGACTGTTGCAACGGGACAGACTCGACTGCTGCCTCAAGGAGTGTGACTTGTGGTGGCGGGGCAGCTGGCGTGGATTGATGTGGGCTGACTCGAGTATGCACAAGGCCGTCCACAATGAGCTGTCTTGTCGAGACGGGGCCGTGCGGCCGAGCCGTCGGCGGGCTGTGGCGGCTGTGGGTGGGTTGCCTGGAGCATTACGGCACCCGGGCCACACGGTTGCCGTGTCCGCGCGCGGACTATTCTGCGAGGCGAGTCATCGCGCTGCTCCACCAAGTAGGGCTTGTGCAAGCGTAGGCTCACTCAAGAAAGCCGGCCCTTATACCGGGTTATAGTTGTCGTTGGTTCTATGCGGCACGACTCCACTCAAGCACTACGCACGAGACAATGTCGGGTTGCATCTGAGGTGTATCGCATTCACTAAGCATCCTCGGCCGAGCCTTCTCCAACCTGACAGGCTTTCTCCAAATTGATATGCTTTCTCCAACTTGGCGGAGGAACGAGACGGGCGGGTCAGCAGGTCCGCTGCAAAGTTACAGGGGTGGCGGACTCTGGTATCTGAGAGCTCAGGGTGCGGAGATGGAACACGATTGGCGCGTTCCTGCATTTGGCTTCCACTTTGGGCAGTTTGCTCGGACAAGTTGGGGGTGAGGGGCAATGTCGGCTTGGCAGTTCGCTCGGTCGCGCGGTCGTCGTCATTCATGCCACATCCATGGCACAAAAAAGCCCAAGGATTTGACGGTGGCCGGGTGTGATACGCGATGCGGCCGGTCCTGCAGTCCTGTGAAATCTCCTATGAAGCACTCCTTGGGGTATGGGGCGTGCTCATTTGATTGTGCTTCGCGGCCATACGTTGATTCCAAGCTGTGAGCTGGGGTACAGCGGAACGTTTCACATTGGGTGTGAGTCCTTGATCTTGTGAATATTTATATAGTGATAAGTGTGTGTGTGCGTGACTCTCTATATACATCAATGGCGGCATAATTCCACACATCTATCGCCCGGACTTTGCAGACACTCTAGGACCTCATGCTTGGTTCTCCTTGACATGGTAACTCTTGAGCTTGAAAAATGCATCAAAGCCGCGCGGGCCGAGGGTGCAACCGAGGCCGGATTTCTTCCAGCCAGTCCAGGCGAGGTCCGGGTTTGGGTAGTCGCAGCGGTTCACAAAGACGGTGCCGGCCTCGAGCTGCTCGAGCAGCGCCTCCCCCGCGGGCAGGTCGCGCGTCCACACGCTGGCCGTCAGTCCGTAGTCGCTGTCGTTCATGAGCGCCACAGCCTCGGCATCGCTGGCGACCCGGGCAACGGGGATGACCGGGCCAAACGTCTCCTCGCGCATCACCTGCATGTCGTGCGTCACTCCCGTCAGCAGCACTGGCGCCACATAGTTGCCCTCGGACGGCGCACTTGCGAAGCTGGCGTTGGGCGGCGTTGCGTCAACTGCGCCTTTGGCCAGCGCGTCCTGCACCTGCGCCGCGATGGCGGCCTGTGCAGCCCGCGAGACGACGGGGCCGACCATGGTCGACGGGTCGAGAGGGTCGCCCAGCTTGTATGTCTGCAGCTCCTTCTGCAGCTCCTCGACGAAGCGGTCGTGCACGTCGGCGTGCACGTAGATGCGCTCGACCGCGCAGCAGCTCTGGCCGGCGTTGAAAACGGCGCCGTCGACAAGCTGTGCGGCGACGTAGGCCAGGTCGGCGTCGGCACGCACGTAGGCTGCGTCGTTGCCGCCCAGCTCGAGGTTCAGGGGCAGGAAGCGCACCGCCGATGCCTCCTGAATAGCGAGTCCACCGGCCGTCGAGCCTGTGAAGCTGACGAGCTCAATCTCGGGCATCTGCACCAGCTGCTTGATTGTCTCCGGGTCACCCGACTGGACCACGGTGAGCACGTCCTTGGGCAGGCCGGCCTCCTCAAAGATCTCGACGAGGCGCGTAGCGACAAGCGGCGTCTGCGGCGACGGCTTGAGGATGACGCTGTTACCCGTCAAAAGAGCGGGCACCAGGGCATTGACGATGATGAGGTAGGGAAACTGTCCACAAGAACATCAGCATCCGCGGCAATTTTTCTATGTATTTGTATGCTTTGAGCAGGGTGGCAGAGCCAGCCAATGTCCGCACTCACGTTCCACGCAAAGACAACCAGCGTAGGGCCGCGAGGGATCTTCTTGATTTGGCGCCTGAAGCCGTTCTCTGGCTTGCCGGGTAGCGGCGCGAGGGCCTCATCTGCGATCTCGAGCAGATAGTCGGCGCGCTTTTGCATCGTTTCGATCTCCTTGTGTGAATAGGCGATGGGGCGGCCCATCTGCTCCGAAAGTTCGCGACCAAGGGCCATCTTGCGTTCCTGGATCAGCCCGAGCGCCTTGACGACAATGGCCCGGCGCTCTGTCATGGGTAGAAGCTTGAACGAGGCAAAGGCATCGCGGGATCGCCTGGCGATGTCGCGGGCCTGCCCGATGCTGGTGGCCGGCTGCTCAACCACAACCTGGTTGGTGGAGGGGGAGATGGTGCGGATCGTGGCCATCTTGCTGCCAGGGACTCGTATGCTACTGTTGACTCTGTCGCCTTGTGGGCAAGAGGATAGAAGTCCGGGCTAGTATGGGAGTCTGCGTAAATCGCCAGGCGTATGACGCTCAAGGTGATGAGAGGCACAGAACTATCCCCGGCCCTTTGTTGCGGGGCTTCCTTTTTCTTCAGGGCTTCCCGCGTTGGCCCTGCCAGCTGAGCATGGCCCTGAGCATCCCGCCCTCGTGATGGGCAGGATACCGACAGCTTGCGTTCTTACTCGTCTAGGCACAATCAGTCCGGGTCGCGGAGGGGACTCCGACGTGTCCGATAGCAAGACCGCGACTGCGCGGTGGCAACCACGGTGGGCGGGGACGGGGAGGACCGCATGCGCGCAGCATCTAGACCGCCACCGTGTAGCACCTCCCTGGGGCTACGAGTGCGAGTCATGGCGCGGCCGGCATGATCTCTAGAAGCTCGATATCCCCGGCTGTGCCGTTCTTGGGACCCCGACGCTCCATGTGTGCGATGGGCGGCCTTTGCCCGCCAGCCTCCCGCTGTTTAGTCCGCCCCTTTGGCTCATGGTGGTGGTTCGGGCGGGGCACCGAATCGGAGTTGTCCATATCAGAGGGTCCAAGTCAGAGGGTCCCGCCCTAACCTCTGGCGATCCATCTTCTCAGCGGCGGCGTGTCGTCCCTGTTGCCCCGGATTGAGCCTTATGGCGCCTGGTTGGTTGCCGCTGGCAGCGCACACGCGTGCCATGACGTGCCATAAAAAGGGCCGCACGGAGAGGGCCTGCGAGTAGGAGGCCTGGCAGCTCGTGTTGCGCCTCGACTTCGACTCTGTCCGGCACTTTGAGGCTCCTGATAACCGTCTTTCTCTTTTGCTAAAGCTTCCCAGCTCCACATCCACTTGAGTGTCACCCTTTGTCAACATGGTTGCAAGACTCGCGGGCAAGAACGCCATTGTCACCGGCGCCGCTGGGTAAGGGCCCCTTGCCGAATCCACGTTTTGAGTTGTTTGCTGGCGAACCCTGCGCCCTGCCGGTCACATCTCACAGCCTGTGACAATGAGACTAACTTTGAGTCGTCTCTTCTTGCAGCGGCGTCGGCTTGGAGACAGCGATCCTTATGCTCCAGGAAGGCGCTTCCGTCCTGCTGACCGACGTCAACGAGGCGGCCCTTCAGAAGGCTCTGGCTAAGGTCCAGGAGCTAGTGCCTAAGCACGATGGGCAGGTCGCCACCCGTGTCGTCGACGTGTCCAATGAGGCCGATGTTGAGGCTGCGGTAGCAGCCGTTGACGGCTGGGGCGGTGTGGACGTCATGTTCAACAACGCTGGCATCATGCATCCCAAGGATGGTGACGCCGAGGAGTGCCCGGACAACATCTGGGACCTGACCATGAATATCAATGTCAAGGGCGTCTGGTACGGATCCAAGCATGCCGTCCGCTCGCTGCGCAAGCACAAGAAGACCAAGGGCAGCATCATCAACACCGCCAGCAAGGGCGCAGTCCTTGCACTCACTCGTGAGCTGGCAGTCGTACACGCGCGGGAGGGCTACCGCTTCAACTCACTATGCCCAGCACCTCTCAAGTATGTTGTTATGATCTTTCAGCAGTCTCGGCCTTGCTTTTTCGCTCTACGTTCGCAACCGGTGACTGACATGTCCCTATGTAGCACTCCCATGCTGCAGGAATTCCTCGGTGACGACCAGGCCAAGCGGTTCAGGCGGGAGGTGCACTTTCCCAGCGGCCGCTTTGGCGAGGCGATTGAACAGGCCTGGGCGGCAGTCTTCCTGGCCTCGGACGAGAGCAGCTTCGTAAACGCTACCGATTTTGTCGTCGATGGAGGCTTGACCAAGGCCTACGTGACGCCAGAAGGCCCAGCCATCGCAGCCCCGAAAAATCAAGGCCGATGAATGCCACAGGGAAGAGGTGACAGCCAGGAGGCCATGACGAGTAAAGCTGGGCCGGAAGCAGAAGCATATAACAGCGAAATCGTAGTTTTGTTGTTGTTGTAGTCAAGAGCAGCAAATTTTATAGCTGAATCTTTCGCATGAAAGGGTCATGTTACCAGGCCGAAAGCGGCGGATGGCACATGTGATAAAGGCGGGCGTTGCACCCTGGGCCTTGCAAGATACCCAACGTGCAACAGGCCCAAGAAACTCCACCATGGGCCGTGTGTTTGAACTCATTTGAAGATTTGGGCACGAGTATTTCGACCTTCCGTGCTTCCAGATATATCAAGCTTATCACTTTGTTACTACAAATGCCCCGCCAAACAACCACTCTGGGTGACGCGTGCAGCATAGATGCACTCCCTTTACGATGGGCTTCTCTATACATGAGTTCAACTTCAGGAGTGCACCATGGAGTATTAAGAACCAGGAATAACAGCAGGAGTCCGGCATCACAAGTCTCTGGTGCCCTACACGAGTGTATGTAAGACTACCACAAGACAAGCATAATACCCGTTATCCACACAGCTGGCCCCAGCCAGTCCCACTGATTCGTAACCACGCAGCGTACTCAATGTCATACAGGAGATCCACCACTACCACACGTATCTGAAATGGATGTTCTCAAAGTCCGTCAGATCCTGGAAATCAGTGTCGGCGTGCACTCTCTGGTCACTGGCCGTGTCGTCCACCTTGTCGCGTCTGCGATTCTCGCGCCAGCAATAAAGCATGTACAGCATCATGGTCACGATGCTGAGAGCGTACGCCACGAGCATGGCACCCATCCCGAGCGGGTACAACGGGGCCTGAGCAGACTTGAAGAATTGTGGTCCAATGATGTTGCTGACACAGTAGGCGCCGAACACGACGGCGTTGAGTGTAACCTTCTTCGTGTGGCCGGCTGTGTTGGCGCTGTTCATGCCGAGAGCAACTACCTGGTTTGTCAGCATGATTTCCCGTGACAAGCAGGTCGCGCGTTGATGGTAAGGACGGAGGAAAAAGACTTACCAATGTAGGGTCCGAGGTAGAAGTATGACCAGTACAAAGCCAGGAGACGGCTAGTGTAGCTGTCGAGTGGCAACGTGTAAAGCAGCACGGTAGCGATCATGCCAACCATCAGGCCGCCAATGACAAAGGCACCGCGAAGCTGCATGTTCGTGAACCGTTTAGCGCAGTAGTAGACGCCAAAATTGCACACGTAGCTGCTGAGGGTCTGGATGACGCCAGTCGGCATCATGAGGAGGGTGGACCGCTGGCTCGAGAATCCTAATCCGTTGATGATGAGCGGGGCGAAGTTGGTCAGGCCGCCGTTGGGGATGGAGACCCAGATGTTGAAGAAGAACATGAGCCAGGTCTTCGGGTCCTTGAATACCTCCCACAGCTGAGTGCGGCTGAACGTCTTGTTTTCGATGCCGGTTTGGTCCGCTCGCATGCGCTCAATGGCCACGAAACGCTCGCGCTCCGTGATGAACTTTGCTTTGACGGGGTTGTCGGGCAGGAAAATACCGACCACGACGCCATAGAGGATGGACACGCCACCCGTGATCCAGAAGAAGCTGCGCCAGCCGTACTCTCGAGGTAGGAAGCCTACCGCCCAGCCACAGGTGCCAGTGATGAGCGTTGCAAGGCCTGTATAGAACAAGCCGGCGCGGATCGGCTGTTCCTCGCGGGTATACCACATTGTCATGATGATGAAGTTGCCAGGTGCTACGGGTGCCTCGAGCGCACCGAGGAGGACTCGTGTGATGATCATTGGGATGAAACTGTGGGCAAAGCCGGCGCCGATGAGGACAAAACCCCAGATGGTCATGACGGCGCACATTGACTTTGCTATAGGCAGTCGCTGCAGGATCTGCGCCGAGGGGAAGCACCACAGGAGATAGCCGAACTGAGAGCAGCCGAGTGCCGCGAATTGTCAGCTGGCACAACTCTTGTATACGCAATTCAATCACGTTCACGGTAGCCCACCACTTACGTAGAATGCGGACCCTACCCAAGCATACTCCTCACCCTTGAGGTCGAGGTCCTCACGGAAGCCATATAGGGCCGCTGTCGATGGCGTGATCTTGTCCATCGCCGGCAGCACGATGTTGAGCCATAGGATCGGGATCAGGCGTAGATCCAGCTTCCAGCGCAGCTTGACCTCTTCCTCTCGGTCGTAGTCGGGCTCGTTGGAAAACTGGTCGGCCAATGCCGCTGCGATGTCTGCTCCGCCGCCCACATTCGCGCCCTTACGGGCTCGCAGATGATCGCCATCGCTGGCAGAGATGGGCATATCTGTGTTGAAGCCGGCTTGCTTCGTATCCGACATCTGGACGCTGGCAATCTCCGTTGTCTGCGTTTGGCGTCTTGGTTACACGGCCTTTCGATTGTGGATTGTTGCGTGACCAGTGGATGGTGCGGACCGTGTTGATTGGGGGTCCCAGAAATCCGGGAATTGGTCAACAGTCCTATAAAGCAATAGCAAGGCAGCACGCCGCAGGTGCTTGCTCGTGCGCGCGTTCCTATCTAGGGCCCCTTGCAGGTGTAACTACTGCGCAGCCACAAGATAGTGCTCGTTATCCGATCAATCAACTGCCTGTGGTGTTTTGGGAGGCGAAGCACGGTGCTGGGCGGGTTATCGGCGCTTGAGGTCCGACTCTGGGGGGCCCTGGCCCGGGCCGGACAAAAGTGCGACCCTCGGTCCTTGCAACGTGGATAAGATAAGCGGTCCCCGTCATCGGCTTCCCGGCTAGCGGGACCACGCGGAACATCCAGGCCGAGTGTCTGATGGTGCTGCTGCTCACTTGGCAGTGGAGCAGGTGAGGGAGCTCTACCTCGTAAGGACGAGACATCGACGTCGGGCTTTAAGACACCGTACCTGTATTCCGACACCCCCCCAATTCCGACATTTGCACCAAAATGAAGCCTCCTTAACTATGTGATTTCTTCAACGGCCATTCGTGCATCCAGAACAAGTTGAAAAACACCGAATAAATTACAGTCGCTACTAACCATATCCCTTAATATCGAGCGCAAGTCTGATTTTATTCATCTATTTTTGTTTAATTACTAGTAAATTGTAAAGGAAGTGCTAAAATCGCATAGTTAAGCTATGTTCTAGCTTTGAAAACTCGGTGGAGCTCTAAATCCCAATGGATTCTGATCAAATTTTAACTATGGAAGGATAGTTCAATTTTCTTCCAGGTATAAACTTCTTTGAGGCTCAGATACATACGTGGAAGAGTTATTGCCATTTCAAATAGCTAAGTTTTGGTGCGAACGGGGTGTCGGAATTTGGGGGGTGTCGGGATACAGGTACGCTGTCTTATCAAACTTGGTCTATCCTGCCCCTGTTCTATCATTTTATCCTGACGAGAACAGGCCCGCTACGGCCTCGAGCTATCTGCCAAAATAGCATGAGAGAGCAGCTTGTGAGTGACGGAGCCGGAATTGTGAAAACCAGGCAAAACCTATTCAAGTAGGCTATCTGTTGGCCTCGGCAAGTGATTCTGATGATCACGTATGCAAGGCAGCTCTGGGACACAAGGAAGGCCAGATACTTTGATTGATCCTATCATGGCCTATGATATGGTGGGGCCCTGTACTACGCTTTGAAAGGCGATAGCTAGCCTCTGGATGCCCTCGTCGATCTCGTCTTCGCCGTGCCAGGCCCAGCACAGCCTGGCACCTTGCCCGAAGGTCTGTTTCGCCCTGATCAGGCCATCGGCGTCTCCCCGGACAGTCATCAGGTCTCCATGAGCGATCCGTAAGCCAAGGTGTGATAAAGCATATTCGGCGACCTTGGAAACGGGCGGCGAGTCCTTGGGAAACCTCAGAAACAAGAAAAAGCCGCCCACAACAGGCAGATGACCATCCCCTCTGTCCTCTTCACACGTACCGAGTGGGGCCACAGTTATCCCAAGGGGGTACAAGTGAGTTTTAATGGACTCCATCATGGCGTAATAGCGTTGCTGATACACGGGGATCAACGCCTGATAGATGTGTTGCTCAAGCGCGCCAGACTGCAGCAGATGTCCGACGAACATGGACGACAAGTGGCCCTGAGAGCCACCCGAGACGACTGCTCCGAACTTACAGAGGTCTGCACTAAGCAGTGGTGAGCCTTCTACCCAGCCGACCCTCACACCGGGGGCAACAATCTTGGAGAATGAGCCATTGCTCACGGCATTGCCCCACGGAGACCCGCCAGGCAGAGCACGGTCGATGTCCACGAGCCGTGGCGGCGGAGGCGGCAGCTGTTTATCGTCGACACTGCCATTGCCCTTGGCCTCGCTGGCAGGCCACCGCAGCCAGTCGTAGACATCGTCGGAGATGATGCAAGCGTCAAACTCGCGTGCCAGACGCACCAGCTGCTCACGTCTCCTAAGCGACATGATCTTGCCACTGGGATTGCTGAAGGTCGGGACGACATATATAATATGGCGGAAGACTTTGGCCTTGGAACTAGGTGGCTTCTGAGCACCTGTTGCTTGCGCTTGGGCCTCGACACCTTGAATGGAACGTCTCAGAAAGTCGATGTCTATCCCCTCATTATCTTCGGGGACACCTCTCAGGCGGCCCTCGAACCCAGCATCGTTGAAAGATGCACAAGCCAAGAAGTAGGTGGGCTCCACCATCCATATAGTTCGGGTGTACGTAGGGCTGGTGAATCTGGACAGGAGCATACCCAGTGCTGCTGAAGCGCCGTTGGTCACGAAGAGGCGCGCCGGGTTGATTTGGCCAGCTCTGGGCTGATAGAAGTCGCTTAGCCAGGACGCAATGCGTGACCTGAGTGACACATGGCCAGGATCGGGTCCGTACACGAGGCTCTCGGCAGCGCTCTCGCTATCGAGAAGAACAGCCTGTGTTGCCTCGGCCAAAGCGTTGGTTGGAAAGAGAGACGGAGTCGGCCATCTAGATTGCACGCATAACACGCGCCACGGAATTAGTCTCGAGCTGCGTGACGGGGGGGACAGAGAGTCAATGGGGCAGGCTATCTTACCCAAGCTGGAGATTGATGGGCTTCTGATCTGGTTCGGTCGATCCCATGTTTGAATTGTTGTTACTTAACAAAGCCTTCTCGGCTGAGAAGTGTGCAAGTGTTTCGAAGTTCAAGCCAAGCGCCCACTACATAGGAAAGCGTCGCCGAGTTTTTGTTGTCTTCGATCAGAACAACGGCTCACCATTGGGTGGAGGCATATGCGCAATCAGGCTAGCAGCAAGCCCAGCCTGAGAAACACAGCATTGCTGGAATATGCTACTTCACTCGAGCAGCGAAGCGCAAGCAAAGCACGCGCTCGCCGATCCTGGCTACGCGGATGTCCGATGCCCGGTGCCGGAGCCCCACTGTGGGCGGCCAAGAGTCCGACGGGCAGGCATCTACGGTGCCCGCTATCACAGGAGACCCGATTTTGGTTAGGAGCCGAGAGATAAGTCGACAGGCTGGCCGTGGTGCTTATCCAAGTATTTGGCGCCTCCTTATCTATCGGATGATACGGTACAACTGCAACACTGTGCTGGCACGCTGAACCACCAAATCCGAGGCCCCTTGACTCGACGCATTTTGGCTGCTCGTCTGCACAGCTTCGTCCAAGCCTTAGTTCCATGAATGTGGGGGGCCCGGGACGAGCAGGCCGGCTCCCCGCCCCCAGGCCACGAAGGAGTGCGGGAAGTCTGAAGAGCACTTCCGTTCCCCCTGGACTGCCGAGACGCAAGACGCAACCAGTGGAGGAGCCCGGACAGGCACCCGTCCAGTCCAACAGGTCAGCTCGAACCCAGCCTTGGTGAAGACGACAGGGTTCCCCATCTTGCCACGCTCGCAATCTTGTGCTAGTCCCTCACGTCTCTTGGGCCAGCGAAAGCGGCCCCATTTTCAGTTCCCTAAGCATTGAAGATAGTGTAGAAACTCGTCTTTGCGGAGCTTGGACTTTGTTTCGAGTGGCTCCCGATACACGGCGAGGTTCGACTTCCAGAAACAGCAGGGCCGCTTGCTTCTGGTGGGTCCTACAGGAATCCATCCCGCTTCCATCCCTCTCCTGCCATCAACGGTCCGGCACTGGCAGCTACGTGGGAAGGATCCCATTCGAGACATCATTCTTAACACTTGTCCGTCTTCGAACTCCGCGCCGTCGCCCGTGCCACTCCTCGAACCCGAGAGACGGAGCGGACAGAAGGCCGACGATGACGACACCTGGCGAGCGCAAGCAGCCGCGTCAGGTAGCCTGCGTCCGCTGCCGCCGCCGCAAGAAACGCTGCGACCATGCAGTGCCCACCTGTGGGGAGTGCAGGCGGACTGGAACCGAGTGTGTCCAGTTCGGGGCTCGGCGAGACGGGGCTTTTGCCACAGTGCCCATCGGTTACCTGCGCCAGCTCGAAGTTGAGGTTGCCGCCAAAGACCGTAGAATGTCTGGAACGGCAGCTTCTCAGGGCACCTCAGACGGCGGCAGTGGGCGCAATATCATCTCTCCGTGGGCGCCGCAGCAGGACGTCGCCGAGGAGGAGGAGGAAGTTGAAGAGGAGGAGGAAGACGCGGATGGCGGCGCCCTGGCGGAGTCGTCGCCAGCGCTGGATCTTGCCCAGTCGATGCATGCTGCCGCCTCGCACTCGCCTTCACTCACGACCTCGTCCCCGACGCAGAGCCACAGACGTGAAGGTCATGGGTTTCAAGGGCGCATGCTGGCTCATGGCAGTGGCAGGCCGCTGCTACGGCCACTCAGTGACATTGTCATCTCTGTCGGCGAAGACTGGATGGATCACTATGCCGACGTCTACTTCCAGCACATCCAGCCTCAGTGGTCGTTCTTGGAGGCATCGTCGTGGCGAGCGGCCTATGTGGCCTGGAAGCGCGACCCTGACAACGTCGAGTCGGCAGACATCTTCGTCCTGCTGCTGGCGCTCGCCATCAGCGCTCTGGCCTGCAGCTCATTCCGCGCCGACTGTCAGCATTCACTACATGCAAATACGCTCTATACCAGTGCAGTCCGAGGCCACTTCGTTCGTGTGTCGGAGAACCCTTCGGCGCTTGTGCGGACGCAGGCCTCGCTGCTCATGCTTCTCTACGCATTCCACAATCCTTCGCCCAGTGCGATCCCGGGCGACATGATGCTCGTGCTCACCAACTGCGCAAGCCTGGCAAACGAAACCAGCATCCCCGAGGCAAGCGGCGCGAGTGGCCGTGTTCAGCACGGCTTGAACTCAAACTACGAACACATGCGACGGCTCACAATCATGAGCTCTCACATACTCAACGAAGTTGTCTCCTCAGCGTGGACGTTTGACCGCTTCTATGTCTTTGAGTTTCTGGACGACACAGTAAGTGATGGCATTCCGGCAGGTCAACTGGGAGACAAGGAGCTAATAAGTCGTCGTGCATATGCATGCAGTTGTTCTAGTATGTGTCACGTATGACGCTTAACCGGCGTGAGTACGGCTTCTTTGAGCACCTTTTCCGACTGCGATGCATCCAGTCCCGGATCCGACACAACAGCACCAAGCTTGGGCAGCTCGACCAGAGTGATCCGTTCCGCAAGGTCTCACGCTCGCGACTCAAGGATGAGCTGCACCGCTGGAAGTCCAGCATCCCCATGGTCGCCAGTGCCAGTCCACGCGACAGTGACCCTGTGTACCACAATCCGGTTTCGCTGTCAAAGCTCTACGACTACAGCCTGTCGATTCTGATGCAAGAACAACCTTACCTCATGGGTGCCGGCGACATAGGGCAGCTCGTTGAGAGCTGGAGCGAAACGTGCCGCACCTTCCGCATCTCGCAGGAGAGCGACACCCTCATGTACTGGACTTGGTCATCGGTGGGTGTTTTCACTACTTCTTTGTGGCGAAAGCCACAGCTTCTCCAACAGATCTCCCATCGTTGATACATACATATAGACTAACGTGCCCCTAGCTTGTGTATCAGTTCCGCCTGGGCATTATGCTCCTGTGCTGCTACTTCATAACCGTGCCCATGATGCGAACCCCCGTGTTTTACATGCCTGAGACACTCCTTGGCGTCAAAAGCTGCCAGCGCAACCTGATGGGCTTCTCGGCCAGGTGGCCAGGTGCAGCCATCTTCTTGCAAGCGTACCAACTCCTGATTGAGGCAATGTTTGACGTGGCCACGCTGGACCAGGTCTGCAGCGATATTGGCGTTGCCGGCGGCACCGGCGCGGCCGCAGTTCTCGATGCTGCGCCGCCGGTGCTGCCTACGGCAACAACAACATCGGCTCCGACAGCGCGGCACGGTGCGTATCTGCTCACAGGGGATCGCAAGGCCACCATGGAGCGGGTTCTGGACGAGCTGCGCATGCAGCATGTCCACGAGGCCGTCATCGTCCTCATCAGCGAAATGGTCTACAAACCGCGCGCCGAGGACGTCGACTACGACAAGATCCAGTTCGCGCCTGACATGTCTCTCAACGGCGTCGATCTGTTCAGCTTCTGATTCAAAAAGGTCATCGCACTCAATATTGGCTGTGGTGTTGCTGCCGAATTTCGGACTCGGCGTGAAAGGGAGACTTGTGAAGAAAGACAATCTAGTATTGATCCAGAAGTATCTTGCTCTTGATAACACAGAGGAATGATAGTGCCACAGTATCCTGATTTGCGCCCCCAAGTCCTTCCACCTGCCTCACCCCTTGGCCATTAGCGAGCCGCCGCTTCTAACTTGTGGCTCACTCGCGCGCCGGGTGGCAGCGGAGTTCTGTTCTAGTAGAGCATGTTCTGAAGAAAGTGGCGTTAGTATGCGAACCGACGGAGGACCACTTGTGGCGGCCACAGGGCCCTCGCGGGCGAGTGCTTACAAAGCTGATCTTGTACTCGGAAATTTTTTGCATTCCATCTTCCTTCACATAGCTCTGCTCGGCCGACCAGGTGCCCTGCTGCTCCTTGCCTGTTGATCGCTGGTAGGTTGTGACGCCCTCGATCTTGAGCGTCAATGGGGAGGCCTGCAGCACCGACACCTTCTTGACGTCGTGGACGCGCGAGTCGGTGTTGTTCCAGCTGTCGGCCATGTAATCTCGCAGAGCTATTTGCCCACTTGTCAGCAAGCTCGATCGAATCACAAGGACCGTCTCTTTGTTTGGCAAGACTCGGCACCACAGCGAGCAGGACCTACCGGGAACGCCGACTGGTTGGAAATCGCCCTTGATCAGCTTGCCTTCCTTGCTGAACGAGCCAGCCCAGGCATCCACGGCCTCCTTGCGGTCCGCAGCTTCGTAGAGGAAGTCAATTCCGCGCTTAATCTCGGGCGAGATGGCCTGCGCGTCGTACTCGTAGTCAAGGATGGCCATGATGCTCTGCAATGCTGCTTCGGGCTGAGTTTGGATATTGTTGTTCGAACGTGGAAGAGCTGGACTGTGAAGAGCGGATGCAGATGTGTAGGAAGAGAAAACGAGTCGTCTTTGTACATATATAATGGGAAACAAGACCAGTTTGAGGATGAGAAAGAGCGAAGTGCACACAGATCGTCGGCACACTCGGCGGAGAGAGAGCGCTGGCTGTGGGTCTCCAGCACTTGCCTCTCGGAAACCTCCATCGACTCCAACTGAGCTTGACTCCGTTCCCCGGACCGTGGTGGCGTCAATGGGTTCAGACGACCGCGTCGCACAAAAGTCCGCTGATAAGTCCGCGCTGGTGGAGGCGTGAGATGATGCGTGGGCATGGCTAGGAGCCGATAGCAGATGTGGGGAAGGTGGGCACGCTTCGTACAGACCAGCTACGTCGTTATCGGGCACCACCAGCCGACGACAACATATCTGGGTGTGAGGGCGGCGGTTCTCAATGGAGAGTCCAAGGTCGAGAATACTCTTGGCGTGCCCCTTAGCGTGGACTCCCCCCGTATTCGACGTTTCCATGCCCTCTGAGCACGCCGCCAGGTATATATCTTGGCCGGAATTCTCGCAATGTCCCCTGTTATCAGTCGTTCATTGGGGTCCGGCTTGCATTCATTCCTCCAACACCTTTCGGCACTCCTGCACTCTCCGCTGCTTGTACCATAAGGTTCTGCTTTGGCACTCTGACCATGAACGCGACGGCTAGAGACACGATGGCCAAGGGAGAGAGCCATATCGAGGTGGACCCGCGCTCGGGCGATCCTGCAACAGTGGATGTCCCCGAAAAGGCCCCCATCGCACTCGAGGAGGAGCCAGCCGCTGCCTACCTCCGCGTGCACAGCGAGTGGGCCGACTACGAGCCATCAGAGGCTGGAGCGGTACTCCGCAAGATCGACTGGCGCCTCATGCCGCTCATCATCGGCACCATCACCATTGCAGCGGTTGATGTATGGCCTTCCCCCATTCGTGGAACGACAGCCTGTGCTTGATGACAGCAGAGGCAGCCGTGCTGACGATGTACTAGAAAATCCTCATCTCCAATGCCGCACTGTACGGCATGACGACGGACACGCATCTGGTCGGCCAGCAATACAGTTGGGGTGAGTCACTGCCACAACCACGACAACCATCGGTACATGTTGCACGGAGCAGAATACCCAGAGACTGACTCCTTTCTTCCACCAGTCGGCTCGATCTTCTATTTCGGCTGGCTTATCGCGGAATACCCCGGCAGCGTCGTCCTGCAGAAGTCCCGGTGGGCAAGACTGTCGGGGCTGCCGTTGTTGTCTGGGGTATTCTCGTGATGTGTCTTGGCGCCGCTCAGAACGCGGCGGGCCTCATGGTGCTTCGTTTTCTTATGGGTGTCTTCGAAGCGCCTCTGTTTCCAGCTGTCACCATCCTGAATACCATGTGGTATAAGAAGCAGGAGCAGCCAGTCCGCATGGCTATCACCTTCATGGCTTTTTCCAGTGTAGGACTCCGCTTCTTCTGTAGGAGCAGACGTCGGCCGTATCTCCCGCTAACAAGTACGTAGCTGGTCACTGGTGTCGTCTCATATGGCATCGGTAATGCTCAGACCGCCATCGCTTCCTGGAGGCTGCTATTCCTGGTAGTCGGAGGATTCACTCTCCTCTGGGGAGTAGTGCTGCTCCTTTGGCTGCCTGACTCGCCGCTGAAGGACAACTTTCTCAAGGGCAAGGACAAATTTATCGCGCTTGACAGAGTGCGCGAAAACATGACTGGGGTGGACAATCAGGTGAGCAGCCATTTGTCCAGTGAAGGAGTGGAGTGGTGTTGCCGTCGACTCCCATTGTTCCACCCACAAACTCTGACTTCGGCTAACTGTCCTTCGCCACAATTAGGAACTCAAGTGGTACCAAGTCCGGGAAGCGTTCACGGACTACAAGACGTACCTTCTCTTCGTGTTCTTTCTATGCATGAATGTCCCCACTGGAGGACTTGTTACCTTTGCGGCGCAGATTGTGTCCGGCCTAGGTTACGGCAAGCTCGAGACTACGCTCCTGGGCATGCCTACTGGTATGGTGCAGAGCTTCGCGGGACTCATGGTCGCTATTCCCCAGAGATGGCTGAAAAACAAGCGTTGCATCTCCGCGGCGCTCTGCTGTCTTGTCCCGCTGGCCTGTTCTATTCTTATCAGAAGTAAGTCATTAGCCAGCCGAATCATGCTCCTGGGAGCGCCAGAAACCGCTCTGTAGCTAACTCGCGCGACCAGTGCTTTCGAGCGGGAACAAGGTTGGCCGCCTCCTTGCTTACTACTTCTTTTACTTTTTCTGGGGTCCTTATGCCACTGGTAAGTTTGTTGACTTCACGGGATCCCTCCATTCCTCCATATGCCATCCGCGTGGCACTAACAAAGTCTTTTTCTTTTCTTAGTTCTTTCGTTGCCCATGGCGAACGTATCCGGCCACACCAAGAAGCTCACGATCAATGCAACCGTCTTCCTGGCCTACTGTATTGCCAACATCATCGGCCCTCAGGTTTTCATTGCCGCCGAGGCACCGAACTATACAACCGGCTACAACGCTATTCTGGGCTTCGAAATCGTTGCTATTGCCAGTCTGGCAGCATATGCTATTGGCTGCCGTATTGAGAATAACCGTCGTGACGAGGCTGACGGGAGTGGCGTGTCTGTTTCGATGGAGGAGCAGCTAGGGGATTTGACCGACTACTAGAAGAAGGGGTTTCGTTACGTATATTGAGGTCTGCGGGCCTCCTTTCGTGGTTCGTGTATCGAGCCGCAGCTGTCATTTGACACTATCTATAACACGCTCGCCTGCTTTATTGATGGGAGTCTTAGGTAGCAGCCTCTGTAGGATGCTTTGGCCCTATCGCTCGCCTTAGAAAGAGGCGGCATCCTATCACCACATGCTACGGCCCATCGTGTATCACGACCCAATAAACATGCCCTCTGAGATCCCATTGCTGTCACACAAGCCTCTAAAGATACTGCCCTGCTTCCATAGATGCAAAGGCGACCCCAGCTCGACGATTGCACCCTTGTCCATGACACAGACCCTGTCGTATCGGATCACGGTGCGGAGCCGGTGTGCGATGGCGACGAGAGTCTTGCCACGGAGCCCCGTCGCGAGAGTCTCCTGCACTTTCGCGACCGTCTCCGGGTCGACACTGCTGGTGCCCTCGTCGACCAGCACTATCTTGGTCTCGCGCAGAAGAGCTCTAGCCAGCGCGATGAGCTGCCGCTGTCCGACCGAGAAGTTGAGCCCCTCGGCCTCTACGGGGGCGTCGAGCGTCACTAGAGACTCGTTGCTTCCCATCTCCTCATTTATGCGCTCGCGATCGCCTCCCTGGGACCCCTGCTGCTGAGGCATCGGGTTGAGGTGCGCACGACGGAGAGCAGCCCAGAGTTCCAAGTCGGTGTGCTTGTTGAAAGGGTCAATGTTACTCCTGACCGTGCCGTGGAAGAGTGTCGGGTCTTGCGGGATAATGGCTAGCGAGGAGCGTAGCTGGTGGAGCCCGAGCTTGCTAATGTCGATGCCGTCGATGGTGATACTGCCGCCAGCGATCTCAGTCAGGCGAAAGAGCGTGGACAAGATTGTGCTCTTCCCTGCCCCGGTGCGACCGACAATACCGATACTCTCTCCGGCCCGAATCTGCAACGAGAACCCATTAATCACCAGTGGAAGGCCTGGTCGGTAGCGCATCTGCACATCTTTGTACTCGATCGCACCGTGCTCCGGCCATGATGGTCGAACGGGCTCTCCGTCCAGTGGCGCCTCTTGCTCCAGGGAGTTTGTGTATTCAAGCAGGCGCTCCGTGTTGCTCATGGCATTGTTAAGCTCAATCAGATACTTCACGACCGTCTGCATGATGCCCACCATGGCGATGCTGTAAGTCAAGAGCAAGCTGGAGATGCTGGGCGAGACTGGGAGCGACTTGGTAATGATCAGCATTCCGGTTACGAATGACAGGACAATACCAATGTTGTCCAGACGAACAGATAGCCAGTTGTGGCTGGCGAAGGATAAGTAGTAGGCACTGTCCATGTCGTCGATAGCCTCGTGCACGCGTTGAATGAAGTAAGACTCTTGAGCGTAGGCACGGATACATGATGCCCCTACAAGCGCTTCGTTGAACCGGGCAAAGACTATGCCGTCGAGGACAAGCTGGTGCCTCCGGATCTCTCGTGCGCTGGAACGGTAATACGATATGCACCACCACACGGCCAAGCCATCCATGATCACCGCGATTACAAACTGATTTCTCATCAGCCAATGCTTGCAAACCTCCTTGCAGTAGGGGATTGTGGTGGTCCTTGCTTACATAGTAGAAATATGCCACAATCAAGGCATATGAGCCGATGAGGCTGCCCCCGTTGATGAGCAGCTGCTGGACAGCCACTACAAGGTTGTTGTCTAGCGCGTCGATGTCTCTGGTGAAGCGATAGATCATTCGCCCCAATGGTGTGACATCGTACAAGGCAATTGGGGCGCGCAATGTCTGCCACAGCGCTGTGTCGGACATGACCTGACCAGCCTTTATGCAAACCACGCAGGTAATCAAGGAGGATGTAAACAGAAGAACAATCTGCGCCAGGCTGATACCTGCATAGATGCCGATCTGGACGCCTCGGAGTCTAGTTAGCTGCCTAACTCCCTTCACGAGCTGGATGGCGAGATCGACTTACATTCTGAGCCTGCGTCAGTCCGTATCTGTTATCCACCCACCAAGATAGCCACAAGCCACCGATGATGCTGGAGGCACGGAACAAGCATTGTCCGACCAGGACGGGAAGAGCATTCCACAGCGTTCCTGATGAGCGCAGCCATGACATGTATACGGACAGGGAAACGCTGTCCGTGATCTCTGATTCTTCTTGCATCAGCTGACCAAGGCTGCCAAGGACCGTGCTGGGATGCTCATCGTCTTGTGTGGCGGAGCCGCCGTCGTTGGTAGGAGCAGACTCCTCCGCAGCGGTTCCATCATTGTCTGCAACTTGCACGTGACTCGCCGTATGTCCAGCAAAAGCCATAAGGCGCAAGAATTCCGGGTTTCGGGCCACAATGTCGGAGAAGCCGCCGCTGTCCTCGATTCGGCCCTCAACCATCCAAATGACCCCATCACAGCGAGGGAGCAGATGAAGATGATGAGTGGCTAAGAACCCAGTCTTGGACCGCAACAAACCACAGATAGCTTGCTCGAATATGTGCTTACCCACGTTAGCGTCCACGGCAGACAGGGGGTCATCGAGTAGGACGATGTCAGCCTCGGAGTAGATTGCACGGGCAATGCTCACGCGCTGCTTTTGTCCACCAGACAGCGTTATACCTCTCTCGCCAATCTCCGTCATGTCTCCGTGAGGCAGAGTCTCAAAGTCGGGGACCAGAGCACAAGCTGCGACCACGCGCAAGTATAAAGGCTCGTCGAACGACTTGCCGAAGAGGATGTTGTCGCGAACTGTGGCGTTTTGTATCCATGCCTGCTGCGGGCAGTAGGCTTTGCCGGCCGACATGTGCATTTGGCCTCCCGTCTGCCTCATGTCTCCAGCCAGGGCGCTCAACAGTGAACTCTTCCCTGATCCCACTGACCCAATTATGGCGACAAGGTCGCCTCTCTGGTGCTCAATCGTCACATTGCGCAGGGCGAACGGGCTATCAACGCTGTCAGCGCCAACGGGCAGTCCTGCTCCAGTTGATTTTGTCGAAACGTCATTCTCTGCACGTCGCAGGTGGCGTTGTACACCCCATCGACTCCTGACTTGCCAACCTGGCGCGTTGTGCACGTCCGCAACAGACGGTCTGAATTCCCAGGTGAACGACGCTCCATCAATACGTACGGCAAAGGGCAGACGCTGGTCTGTAGCGATGTTTATGTTCACCTCTTCCGCCGACAAGAACTCCTCAATACGTTTGAGAGACTGGAACGCATCAACAACAAGGTTTGCTGATACAGGAATCCAGTTCGCCGGTATTCGGAGCAGATTAAGCATAGCCAGGGACGAGAAGACTGTCGCAGGCTCCAAGGTGCCATATGTACCTGCGAAGACGATAAATGTCGTCATGGTAGCCAGGACTGGTAGGAACTGAGCCAGCCCACCGATCGCGCACCTAATCAGGTGCATGATCCGAACAGCATGACTCTCCTGAGCTCGGATAGCCTTGAGGTGGCCTAGAAAGAAGGTTTCCCAACTGAAGTACTTGACGAACCGGATCGCCTGGAAGACTTCCTGTGTCAGCGTGACGCGCTTGTCGGTGTGTTTGGTAATGCGCGCGCGGCTGGCGATCAGCGGTCTCATGCCGGACGTCACGGCGACAAGGCCCAGCATCAGAACAACGGCTCCAATGGCCGCTGCCCAGCCCAGGTTGAAGATCAAGAGCGCGATGGTGAGAGTGACCTGGTAAACGGAGATCCACGTCAGATGAATCACGGCCGCAGCTTGCTCGATACGCGAAGTGTCGGTCGAGATGAGGTTCATGACGCGGCCATTAGCCCAGCCTTCGGATGATGGTGATTGTGCGGGTGCTTTCTTCTTACCCGCGTGGTCCTTATTGGGAGCATGGCGGACATCTGCTCTGACGCGAACGCAGTCGCTTCCACCTGCCCTGGCTCGGTTGGACAGCTGCAGAGACTTGACAAAGGCTGCTGCAATGATGGTACTTCGAATTTGCCCACCGAGCAGCATGCCTCTGTACTGGAACTGGCTGGCGGCGAGGTTCTGCACCACCTGCATTCCCGATATTCCGAGCACGTACCCAATCCCAGCGCCGAGACCTAGCGAGTTGCCTCCATCATGCCGGGACAGGTAGGCTTGCTGGACCCAGACAATAAGAAAACGCAGGGCAAAAGGTGTCAAGACCTGGAAAGTGGCAACCAGGAACTGGCACAGAGCCGTGAGCCAGAAGTCAGTCTTGAACAGGCTGTATACAGTCCAGAGCAAAGGCTGGCGGCGCCCGGCTAATTGATTCTCGGCCAATGATTGTCGCAGACGCGCTGCGAGGGGCTTGACGAGTCGTGCTTCAGAAACGGTCCAAATGTCGGTTCGCTCAAGACGGCGGATATATCCGGCCTGTAGGATGCGGAGCACGTTAGCTTAGACCCTGCGTCGTGCCAAGCGCCCGGCGCATGCTTGTTTTGACACCAATGCAGAATACGTGCGCTCATGAGCGGACTCAGCCAGGTGAACCATAGCTTGCTCCACGTGCTGGCATCTCGCTCAGCCGAGACAACTCGCTCGGTGGGAATGTCTGGGACGACATTTGGCTGGAGAGCCAGACGTAACCATTTAGGAACCATGGTGCACACTAGTCAACTCCTGGATTGAGTTCGATGGAGTGGATACGCGTTTGCGAGCGAAAGCTGACGGCAAGATTCGTAACTTGCGGAAGGAAAACCATCAGCAGCCGAGATCCAAACTGTGGAGGGAGATGACGGCAACGAAACAACCCTCACAGACCCCAGCAGGCACCCGTTTCGCGCTCGTCGAAAAGACGTGTGCCTGGTGTGGTATAGAAGATTGTGTGGAGCAGGGATCGTGCAACCGGCATCATCACCGTGCAGGAAGAGGCTCGCAGGGTCATGGTCAAGGGCCGCTCTGTAGGCTGCACCATACAGTGGAAGTTGGCCATGCACGTTCAACAACGTACGGTCATCCATTACCTTATCGGTAACGACGACGTGTTAGCTTCTCATTTCTCTGGAAGAGGTTATCGAAGCCACTCGCCTTCCCCTCCATGGTCCTCGTCGCAAATCCTTGGTTTGTCTCATATGTTATGCCTGGAATGCATGTTTCTCACGTCCTCAATCACAGACACTTCTCTCCTCTTTGGAGAGATATCGTAGAAGTGTGTGTACGCTCGCCGTGCCTCATCGCAACCGCCGCATGACATTATCTGAGCCATGCCCTCGGCCGAGAACCAGAAAACCCCCATCCAAGCGGATCCCAAGTTTTGAGGCGGCTCCTACTGCGATGGTCCCCGCACACAAACATTCTCGTGGTAATGTGAATCGCAGCGACGCATGTCCACTTCCAACTTCTCCTTTTCGTTGACGGGCAGTGTAAGGAAGGTATCTACGAAGCGACAAGCGCGTTTGGCTTTTTCGTCGAGACACTCCAAGCCGCCTATGATGCTCAAATTGAGATTGCTGTAGATAGGGAAAGAAGCGGAAAAAGAAAAGAAAAAGAAAGTAGAAAAGCCCATCTTGTCCACAAGCCCTGCGAACGGTGACCAACACGCCGCGGTCGCCATCAGCAAACTTCGTGAAAAGGATAGTCGCTATCAGGGGACTTCGTAAAAGGGATAGTCACAAACTGACCGGCGAGTTTCTGTAGGAGAATATTACTCGAATTGGCCGTTAATAGACAAGATGGCGATAGCATGGTTGCCAGATGAGCCTGACTGCACTGATGTGGTAAGCTGTGACTTCAACAGCTGCCCCTAGATGCGTCTCTACAGTCTGACGCATGGTAGTAATTTGTGTGGCCAGCGCAGTCGGTATTGCCAGCGCCGCACCAGTCAACCAGGCTTGGATAGTACCTTACTCCTACTCGAAGCTACTCGTGGGTGATGATCCAAGGTCAACTAAATTGGGTCGCACAGTGTAGCAATCACGCACCGCAGGGATTCTCATGGGGATTAGGCCAATTGCATGGGACGGTTGACCTTGCATGACACTCCCCGGCTCGAGGCACACCAGGCTGCCACTGACAGACCAAGCGGTGCGTACGTCACCATGCCTACCATACCAAAGAGTCCGGTCTGATGAGACATGCCGGACTTATCTCTCCGGCTTGTCCGATAACGATACACAGCAATTCAGGCGCCCGGGTCCGCTCAGCCACGCACACCGGCTCGCCTCTTCTCCTTCTAACCTCCCCATCCGTCAATGTAGACCACCTGCAAGCCAAGTTGCCGGAGCGGGCTCCGTGCAGATTAGCATCTACGACCACGTGCATAGTCATGTCCACACGCGAAGGCGACAGTGATGAACCAGGTCTGCTGAGCGCGGAGACGGCGCCTCTACTTGGACACGAGCCCACAGCCAGCAGCCCGTCCGCACAGCACATCCCGCCAGAGGAAAATGGGCTCAAGCCAAAATCTCGCTGCGATTGGCACTGGTTTTCCGTCGTCGCCCTCGTCATCGTGACAGCCATTGTCTCGGACATCGGTGAAGATCTGTACGGCGCGCCGCGACTTCGAGTGTTCGAGTCCGCCATCTGCAAGCGCTACTATGCCGAGCACAACCCCCGCCTCATAGACCCCGACGGCAGTGTGCCCGAGCGGTACTGCAAGATCGACCCAGTTCAGGACCGACTTGCTGAGCTCCTGGGCTGGCTGTACTTTTCGAATAGTGTCCCGGCCATCCTGCTCCCCATCCCGTACGGTTACCTTGCAGACAAGTATGGCCGTCGATGGATCCTGGTCATGGCCATGACGGGCTTGACACTGTCTTACGCTCTGCCCTTGTTCCTTGTGAGTCGTTGGACGACTCCACTTCGTACTAACTCATGTCGGGAAAACTAACGAGATGGCTAGGTTGGAGTAGTCGAGGCACCGATTGGCCTGGTCTGCCTGTCGTCTCTCTTCTTTCTCCTCGGCGGCGGCCCAACAACCGGAACCACTCTGCTCACAACCATCGTTGCAGATGTTGTGCCATCTGAGCTGAGGTGAGCCAATGCACATCTGGTCACCCAAAATGTTGCCTGGTCGTGCTGTCCCAGTTCCATTGCTAACATCTCCTGCGCGCTGACAGGGCCACAGTATTCTTCTACCGATTCTGCACCGACCTAGTTGCAGATCTCACCGTCCCGCCAGTCACTGCCTATCTCATGTCGGTCAATATTTGGATTCCTTTGCTCGGAGGCGTCCTATTCCAAGGCATCGCTGCTTTGATGACTGCCATGATCCCAGAGACTCTTCCGTATCGGCCCTCGCCGAGTCTCTCCACTACTGATCCTAGGAGCCCTTTCGAGCGGCAACCTGCAACCAGCAATCGATCAGAATCATCAGAGCGGGCAACAGTCTATCGCAGCTTCAGAACACCCATGCAAGAGACTGCAGCCTCTTTTAGCTTTGTGACTGGCCACTCCGCCATTCGCGGTCTGGTTTTGACATTTCTGATCTCAAAGGTTGGCAGCCAATCGACAAATGTGCTCTACCAGTATGTCTCGAAACGCTATGGGTGGGCCCTGTCTCAGGTACGTGTGTCACAGAGAACTGGCAGCTTCTGGGAAAGTGTGCATATAAGGATGAGTTTTTTGCTTGACCGCTGACCTCATTGCACGCGTACATAGGCAGGTCTACTGCTCTCCGTCCGCGCCGCTGTCAACATTGCACTTTTCATTGCTATACTACCCGCTCTGGCAAAATACCTCTTACGGAGGATGGACGCTTCTGCCAAGGACTTCCTCATCGCGAAAGGCAGTATAGTGCTGTTAGTGGCTGGATGTTTCGGGCTGTTCCTCGCCGCCTCTGCAGCTGGCATGATCATAAGTACGTTATTCTCAAAAGCCCGGTCTGGGCGCTTGACTCCTGAATCATCACCGCCACAACACCTCCACTGAAGGCGATTTTTATATGCTGACCATGCTGTCCCAAGGCCTCGTTCTGTTTACCATGGGTACAGGCTTCGCCCCCACGGTCCGCAGCCTGGTCACCTCCCTTGTAGAGAACCTCGAGGACAATTCTTCCAGCGATGTGGGCCGCCTGTATGCGCTGATATCTACCATGGAAGGCATCGGGACAATGCTGGCTGCTCCTGGTATGGCGGTGGCGTTCCGTGTCGGGATCAGCCTAGGGGAGAAGTGGATGGGGTTGCCATTCGGGTTGGCCGCGGTATTGTTTGGGGTTGTTGCTGGAGTCGTATTCAGGTTGAAGTTGTAAGGCAAAGGCAGTTAACAGGCTGCTTAAGTGAGAATGAATTCGCAGACGAAGACCTTCAAGTCTTGGAACCTCCGCAGAATACAATCCTGCAGAGAAGGCGGGATCACTGGTCAGCCATGCCTATGAAACACACAACGACTCCAATTGAAATAGATGGGAAACAGGAACAAAAACATTCAAGATACGTGGCCCCAGAATATGTGACCTACTGTTGGAGTCGGGGCACGCCCGACTGCCACCACCAGCCTAGCACAGAGTGGTCAGAATAATGCAAAGTTTGATGATATCACATTCCGTCTGCCATGGAGGCACGCGCCTAAGGAGCAACAGCGACCAACCCCAGGCCTGAGCTAGGGTTTGACAATGGTGAGACAGACGAGGAGTGCACAAAAGGCTGCCCCAGTGCCAACCAACATCTCCCTACGGAGGAGCAGCGGCTCTTGAGGTGCGCAAGCAAGTTTTGCGCATTAATCGTCATTTTGGATCCATCTCTGCCCGGTCAAAGCTTGCCTCTGGGCCACCGACGAGAATGGGCTTCCCGAACATCATGGTTTGTCGCTATGCCGTCTCTCGATGTCTCATCTACGGGCAAATACTACTTGACAGACGACACCACCTTCAACATTGCCCAGATGGTCATATATCGTTCTTTATTATTTTACCATCCCCATCCCCGGGATGGTGGTGGAACCGGTGTATCTCGCTACCGAATACTATATCTGAGGCGACGGTTGGAATGCTGGTTCCCCTAGGTCGTTCAACAAGGGAAGCATCGGGCCGTGAATGAAATCGGGATATGGTCCAAAAGCCTACACAAAGAAAGTCAGCTATAAACCCTGAGGCACTTCTCCCTGTACACTAATTGACTTACAGAAGAGTCTAGATCCATCCAGTCTCTGGTTTGCCAAGCGTCAAAGATGGTCCCACCGACGAACGTGCCGCCAGCGACGCCGCTATTGCCTCCGTAGAAGTCCTGGCTCATCCCTGGCGGCATGCCATCCGCCAGCATCGCCGAGGCGGCGATTTCCTCTGCGGCGTGGACCACATTCGTGCTGCTGTTCTCGACAGGTCGCGCGCCTCCTTGGAGTTTCGCCTCTTTCCTCAGCTCCTCCAGGATGACGCTGTACCGGTGACTGGGACTGTCCGCAGACGTGCTTTGGGAAAGATGCCTCTGACATCGCTGTGCCAGTTCGAGCAAGCCTTGCAGCCTATCTCGGGACGACAGCCCGGCGTGGTTGGTCGTTGCGGGATGGTCCCCCCCTTGCTTATCAAAGCCAGGAAACTGTTGCTGCTGGATCTCCCAGACATAGACGACAGCAAGCGCGCAGAACGTCACGTATGGCGTCCACCAGAATGCGTGGAACAATGCCCCGTCCGGTGACATGGAGTCGACAAGCTCAAGCGCAACCTTTGCGGCCCCGAGGCATTCCGATATGCTGTCTTGCAGGGTCATCGTTCTCGGGGCGTTGCTCGCCAGCGGGCTCATGTCGGGCAAATCCTTTGTCCCGCTGACCACAGAGGAGACCCGGTTCCGCTGCGCGGCGCTCAGCGAAGCGGCACCGAGCAAGAATGGGCGGTTGGCGTGCATGATTGCGTGGCAGTATGCGAGCTTGAGCGCGGACGCCTGGCGTCGGAAGGGCGGGATCAGGGACCTGATGCGTACTGTTCCGAGGTGTGATGGCAAGCTCCTGTTCCATTCGTGTAACTCTAGCCCGAGGCGCTGGGCAGAGGCGAGCCTCTCGCGCTTGGGGACCTTCTTGACTGAGTAGACCTCCCTCGAGATGCGATCGATGAGCTGTGCAAGCTTTGCATGTGCAATGAGCGAGTCGACGTGGCAGTCTATGCTGGGCTCCGTGTCAGCCTTGCCCTCGGTAGTCATGTCCTCGTCGTTGATACAGTCGGGAAAGCCTTGATTGATATCATCGTCGTGGTAGAGCCTGGGACGGCCGAAGACAACGGCGAGATACTTGTCGATGGTGTAGCAGACCCAGAATGTCCGCTTCCTGCACTGGGTAAGAATGAAATCGTCCCGTGGGGTGTGGGGCCCGCCTGTTCTGTGCTTGAAACTGGACTGGCGGTGGAGGCCCAGGGCGGACACTATGGGGACCAGACCGCCAAAGACGTACCAGGCCTGATTCATGCGGGTGGTTTGGAGCAGATAGAGCACGTGGAGGATCCTGGCCTGGGCAGAGGCCAGGGTGGGCAACCCGGTCTCGACGTCTGTCAGACTTGTAGCGAGGCAAAAGAATGCGTCCCCAAGCGCACACATGTGTGACACATCCGAGGTGCCGTTGTTGCGGATCTTGTCCTGCCTCAGCGTCACGATGGCCAGGATGGTGATGATGATGGAAGCACGTGCGTGGCCGACCTCGTAGTGCCAAGGCCGGGCAGTCTCGACATTGGTCAGCAGTGCTTCGGCCCACTGGACGACGGTTGCCTGGTGGAGACAGCGGTAGGTCACCACGCAGTTGTCAAAGTAGAACTGCACCATCTCCAGCACCCTCTCCCGATGGGGCAAGGTGATCTCATGGAATCCAGGGCTGGAAAACGGTGCGTCGCCTGCCGAGCTGAGCCGCTGATGCTGCTCGTTTGGGTTCTGGACCTGGGGCAGAGCGCTGTTGGCGGCGGTGCGCGAGAATCTCCTCCATGCCCGGTGGAGGAAGCCAAGGTTCGATGTCTGGTCGAGGTACTGGCCATCAATCTCGGATGCCTCTAGCTCCGGGGAATTCCGCGAGGTGTATGTACTGGTGTCGTTGTGGATGTTGTTGGCAGGCTCTGTGACCAACGATGATGACGGGGCAGCCTGCAGTGCAGCATGGAAAGATCCAGCGGCCGTGCCTGGATTATTGGCGGATGCCGGCCCTCCGGCCCTGGCGTGGGTAGGAAACAGATCGGCCGTGCCCAACGGCGGCGCTGCCGGAGGTGCTTGCGTGGCCCTCGGTGGATGCGCCGGCGGTGCCCAGTGGCCACCCGGCCCGATGACGCCGGCGCCGGGATCCACCTCGGCCGGAGCAGGCGTGGGAGCCCGGCCGCGACGGTACGCGGCCGTGTAGTCGCAATGCAGGGCCCGTTCGACACACCCCGCGCAAGGGATCGTGCCGCTGCACTTGAGCTTCTTGGCCTTGCAGTAGTCACAGGCGCGCCGGGACTTTGGCTTCTTTGCCGGGCCACCCCCGTCCCCCGCGAACGGCAGAGACCGCTTGCGCTGCGAGGCGCTGGAGACGGTGGTACTGGCTGGGGAGGCCTGGGAAGGCGAGTGCTGGGGCTCCGATGCCGGGGTTGCGCCGTCGTTGTGCGTCGAGGGCGAGACGTGATGAGGCGCCATGGCGTGCCTGCAGCACACGCGGCATGAGGCGCTTCACTTCCGGGCGGGACGTCGGCGTGTGAGGATGGCGTGGATCATGGCACACCCGGGATGTGCGGCCTTGGTGGATGGTGATAGGAGACACGACAAGGAGGAGAGGGCCACGTCCGCAGCATTTCCGAAGCGAGGGTTTGGGACCTCACGAGCCTTGTGGTCTGGGGTTGGGATTTCCGGGGGCGGGGCTGGGGAAGAAGAAACCTGTGGGGGTGGCCCTACCGCGCCCTGCAACTCCAAGCAAGTCAAGCAAAGTCAAGCGAGTATGCCCCCATGTGCGAGTGTGGGGTTGCGGAGGCCCATCTCGGGCACTTCCGCACTGTGGGCGCGGGGGAGGGGGGCTGCCCCTATTCCTGGGTGGTATGTGCGGATGTAATTGTAGCGAATGACTCGTGTGCTCTTGTCAGCCCCAAGAAGGTTTGTCTGATAGCGCCCCCTTTGCGTGATGTCGACAACGCTAAGATAAGATCATGTGACTTGAACCCTTCAGAACAAGCGTCGTGCTCTCAGTAATGGAGCTAACCAACGGCGTCGTTTTCCAACAACGCGCCGTTGTATGCGGCCATGACTGACAGTTGTCAGGGGTTGTTGGGTGACAGCGCTGCAAGCATAACTTGACGACAGTGGAGCCGTTTCGTGACCAGCTAAACCGAGTTTATGCTAGCCTCGTCACCGTGTCTTTGATTTCTGGTAGATCTCGTTTCTGGGGCCAACGACTGCATATCAATGCACACTTAGCACATGTAGTGAGGCGATATTGACAAACAAGTCAAAATTTCAACGAGTCCTGCAGCAGGTACAATGCCAAGAACAAGCTACACATGCAGCGTGTCTATCCTAGAGAGCATACTTGAACAACGGGCTCTTCTCGCCCATCGCGTCGAGCTCCGCATCCGTGTACTGGCGCCGGATCTCATCCTCGTTGAGCTCCTCTTTCTTCTTGTTGAGTCTCTTGAGGGACAGCTCGAGGGCGATGACGGCGATAATACCCGCGGCAGCGAAACCAAACGAGGTACCATAGCCCGTGGGGTAGGACGGAGCCTCGCTATCGAGGTAGATGTAGCTGCCAATGAGACCACCAATGTTGCCGACACAGACGAGGAAACCGATGCTGACAGCACGCTTTGTGGGCGAGGGCGTGTTGGCAACATTCCAAGCATTGACGCCAGGCAGGATGGGATACATGCTAGAGAGGATTGCATGTCAGACATAGAACCGTGGCAACTAGTCAGGCACACCTATGCAGGGAGACTCACCCGAAGCAAGCGAGGCAAATGCCAAAGTAGCATAGAGGCACATTGTTGGTGACGTTTGCGCTCTTGGAAAAGAGGATGCTGAATGCGATGATCAGGCAGCACTGAGGAGCCAGGATGAAAGGCGCCCGCCATGTGATTCTGTCGGCAAAGAAGGAGAAGCCAAATGCAGAGAAGGCACCGATCATGTATGGCGGAATCGTCAGTAGCTGCGCGTTTGCCGAGGTGTATCCCATGCCCTTGATGACCTGTGGCATGGCGAACTTCATGGCGTAGTTGGGGACGGCGTTTGACCAGTTTGCAAAGATGAGCAGGTACATCTTCCAGTCACCAATGACAGAAAGGATAGATTGCTTGTCAAAGTGCTTGTCCCGGAAGTCGTTGGGGGCAAGCAGCCTTCGGACATTTTGTCTCGCCTCGAGATATCGGATCTGGTCAGGAGTCAACCAGCGCGAGGAGAGCGCAGGCGAGTCAACCAGGAAGAAGAAGCAGACGACGCCAATCGCCACAGTGAAGATGCCCTCAAGAATGAAGATCTGGAACCGTGAACTTGTGTTAGTCCGTTGAGCATGTCGCGCAGAGGACTGCACAACTTACCCATCTCCACCCTTCAAGACCAGCCACTCCGTCCATCTTGGCAATGGCGAATGCAAGCAGACCAGAGAAGGCACCGCCTGTAGCGGCAGAGGTGTACAGAACGGCGATACGCGTCTGAGTCTCGTTAGGAAGGTACCATTTGCTGATGATGAGGATCGCTCCAGGCAGGAAACCGGCTCTACAAGACGCAACACATCAGCACTAGGAACTTTCCACGCTCAAGCAAGGGATTCCCTCCAAGTGACCTACTCGAACAGTCCAAGGAAGAGTCTGATAGCAATGAGACCGGCGTAGTTGTGCACAATGCCAGTCAGGGTCATGATGACGCCCCAAGCGAAGACGATGCCGCCGATGTACATCGAGGGCCGCTTGAATATGTGCAGAATCATGTTGCTAGGAACTTCTGCCAACACGAACGTGATGAAGAAAACAGAGACGGCGACATTGTACTGGACACCGTTCATGCCAAGATCGGCGACCATGCCTTCGATTTTGGCATTGGCTATATTGGTCTTGTCGAGGTACGCCACGAGATACAGGAGAACGAGCATCGGCATCAGGCGGACCTAGATGGCGAAGCGGAAAGTCAGCATCATCATGTTTTTGAAGCGGATTGCGATGCACTGGACAACTCACGTCGACCTTGCGGACAGCCTGCTTCTTGACATGTTCAGGCAGGTTGGCAAGGAACTCAAGCTCCTCGCTCGCAGGATTGTCATCAGTCTTGTACTCTGCATGCGTTGACAGGCTCTTCCCGACAGCCTCGTTGTTGTGAGACATCGTGTAGAATTGCCAGGTCTCGAATGGAGGGATGGAAAGGAGAGGCGCGAAGCGATGAAGAAGAGGCACTGGGACTGTGGGAGTCGACAGTCTCGCTTGCCTGATGCGGGAACGTAGTAACTGGCGATCGCGAAGGGCTCATATATAGCCAGACGTCGACTGCCGAAGGTGCCGATGACAAGGCTGAGAGGAGCAGAGACTTCACCCTGGCGCTATGGTGCCAGCTAAGGGGCAAAATGCTGGAGCTCGGGGCACTAAAAAGCCAAGGCAGGGGAGGGCCCCAGCGCCCCAGACGGCACGGCCTGTAAATCCGGGGTGAGCTGGGGAGGTGGGCCGTCCGTAGTGTAGCAGTCGAGACCAGTGGGGAACCCCAGTCGCAGCCCCCTTCCGGAGATCGATCTGTTTCCGAGCCATGTATGGACCGGATATAGCACAGTGTCATCGGAAACTGTGTATTCTGCTCAACCGGCCCAACTATGCCGCAGTCAGTATTCTTGACATCGCGGCCAACGCGAGAGGTTGCCCAACTTCATTTGTGTTATTCGGAGTCTTCTCGGTCTCGAGTTGTCACATCAGTCTTCCGATCATCGAGGATCTATAGAGCTATCACGAGGCGTTCCTGCGTGTTTCATTGGGCACCGCATGTGCATTCATGGGCCCACTGTGCTAGCCGAAGGCTCGTTGGGCAAAAGAGTTTATGAACACCAGCCGCGGTAGCATTTCTTTCGTCCTGCAAAACTCATAATGCAAACTGAGACTCCCGAATACTCCTCTGAGTGTTTTGGGACATCTAAATCTATGCCACGCTGTCCCTCGTTGCATTATAGAGAGATGTGAGTTGTTAACCTCAAGCTGTAAGCAGTCTGAGGTGACAACTGCGGTCATCTCCACTTCAGTGAGACAACATTCAGCGAGAGAGGATGGAGGACAGTGTCCGGAGTCAGGACTGTCGCGCATCCTCCGGAGACTGGTTTTCCGAGCCTACTGCCGTCCTTTTCCGGAACTTATCAAGCACATAGCGATGTCGACAGAGCTCGGCGCCGTGGTAGGCCGCGTGGGGAGCCGAACTGCGGTCTCGGCAGGTCCAGATTCGCGATGGCGACAATCTGCGGGGAGGCAAAAAAGTATCTCGTGATGTGATTATAAAGGCAACGCATCGACTGCACCAGAAACCCAGCTCTGACCATCATCATCATCATCACCGCAACACATAACCACACTACATCCAATTTCCCAAGCTTCCGCACGATCGCAGTCCTTGATCTGTCCCCATCGATCCAGTCTTCTCATTTCCCCGCTTTCCAGTTTCCACGCTATTTACCATGGGTTCTGCCAACACGGTCGGTTTTGACGTCAGCGGCCTTGTCCCTGCTCCTGTCACCCCCTTCACTCGCGATGGCGCTGTCGACTATCCAGCTATTCAGCGCCTTGGTTCATGGCTTGGCAGCATCGAGGGTGTCAAGGGCCTCGTGGTTTTGGGTCACGCTGGAGAGGGCACTTTCTTGACGCAGGATGAGCAGATTGCCGTGATCAAGGCTTTCGTCAAATCTACAGACGGCCGCGTTCCTGTCATTGCTGGCATTACTGGCGAGGGTACCGAGGTAGCTGCTCTCGAGGCCAAGCGTGCTCGTGAAGCCGGAGCCGCCGCCGGCCTGCTCTACCCCAGCCATGGCTGGCTTCGTTTCGGCTACCAGCCTGGCGCGCCCCAGGACCGCTACAGGCGCGTCTACGAGGTCTCGGGCCTGCCTCTGATCCTCTTCCAGTACCCTGACAACACCAAGGCCACCTACAACCTGCAAACCATGCTCGACATCTCTGCGCAACCGGGTGTCTTCGCCATGAAGAATGGCGTGCGCAACATGCGCCGCTGGGACACCGAGATTCCCGTCATTCGCAAGCAGCGCCCTGAACTGCAGATCCTCACGTGCCACGACGAGTACCTCCTCCACACTGCCTTTGACGTCGACGGCATGCTTGTCGGCTATGGCAACATCGCGCCCGAGCTCCTTCTTGAGCTCATTGCCGCCGGAAAGGCCCAGGACTACAAGAAGGCCCGTGCCGTCCACGACAAGCTGTTGCCCGTGACGAAGGCTGTCTACCATCGCGGCTCCCACATGGAGGGTACTGTGGCTCTCAAGCACGCTCTTGTCGCCCGGGGCATCCTGGATCATGCTACCGTCCGCTCACCACTTCTCCCTCTTGAGGATGGTGCCGAGAAGGAAATCAACTTGGCCGTGGCTGCCTCTCAACTTCCCCGCGTGGCTTGAGCGCCACTGGTGGATTCTCCGGGTCATTTGTATAAGCATAGCACGGATTTGCATTTTCTATAAAGCGTTGGGCCCTTTGTGTATATATGGATCGACAGGGTCAACTCAATTCCATTGGCTACTTTCTACATTTTTCCCACGTTGAAGTTAATTTTGATAGAAGATGATCTATGACAGAAGGGTTTGGTTTGATCTTCTATTTATGATCAGAGTCCTCGTTAATGAGTTGAATTGAATGAAACTCCCTGGACTACGTGTGGGACCACCTAATCAGCAGTTGTCAGAAGCAAGTGAGTTGCAATCTTGACAGTTCGGCCTACACAGCAATGTGGCGTCGCGCAGCTCTGTAGAATGTTTCGCGTTCAGCAATACGTCACTGTAAGTTGCTGGAGCTTCCCTGCCAGTTGGGCTTTGATTCCCATTTGTTGGCACTTGAACATGTAACTCTGATTATAGACGCGCCGAGCAGAGTCGCAACACTCTACGAAACCAAGCCCTTGTTCCTTGTTGTCGCCCATTGCGCTTTTTGCCGTGTCTAGATGTCTTAGCACTTAACTGCTACCACCACCTCCAGTAAACTCAACTCAATGCCCAATGGATAGCCATATCAACTTCTGCGAGGTCCCTCAAGATTAGAATCGCCCATAAAGGGAGTACTGGGGAGGATTGTTCCAATTAGCTAGATATCCCCAATCTCACATGAATGGTCATTTACGTCCGTCGTATCGAGCCCCATCAAGTCCTTTTCTGGGTTGGAAGCAGCTTCCAATCAGTTCACTCTCCTGCGGCCATAGATAGCTACGTGCCATACATCTCTGAAGAATAAGTTGTTGAAGTAGCTCTGGGTATACTTGATATTCCATGTTCGCAATCTGATTCACAGCACGTGGCACGATAAAACTTCTCCAATTTCTACATCTGTGGTTGTCTAAGCGACTGTCTCGAGTACCGATAGGTTCCGAAGCGTACTCATATCGAAGCTTTGCACCCAGCTTCCTCCTCATCCCACGGGGCGAAATAGAAGCGGCCGGGTACTGGTTTTCACTCCTATGTAAGGGACATGATCGGTTAGCAAATCGGCAATATGCCGCCGCGAGATTTTCGACAACAGATAACTTCGTCTAGGACACGAAGTTCCGAATGTGAGGTGAAGGGACGGTGTCCAAGCGTTGCAGTGCCCGGGATAGACGCAAAGTGTTGCTGGAGAGACACTCACTTACCGAGGTCGAGGCGCATACAACACGGGGACTGGCACTTCTACCGCAGTCTTCACAAGTCATGGCATACACGCAACGACGTCATATTCTACCTGTCCGACCCACTTGAGGCTAACTTCGGGAGCCAGTGTCCTCGATATGCGAGGATCATACTAGCGAGCCGCTTGAGGGGCATGGTGGCATACGGCAAATTCGCCGGACCCCTCAACACGCAGCGAGGTGAAATCGATTCTTTGCACCAATTGGGCTCGGAGTATCCACGGAAGGCGTCCATGGAGTTCAAGCTTATGCATGGTTTTCTGCAAACAGAGGATCAGGATTTCTCCCGCGAACAACGAAATGGCAATGACCGAACCAAGTAATTTTCGCCGTCCTCTCTGGGGAACCGCAGCCAATACTCGCTCAGCACGATCTCGTTGGGCCGTCGGAGGATTCATCGGCCGGTACCTGGCCGACGGTCCGACCTCGGAATTAGCCGTAGCCACCTCCAACGCTAGTCACGAACTACGCGCGCCGCCTGACCTGGGGTATTGCGGGGGAATGCGGAGACCCCATGCTTCTTCGAATGTTCCTCTGTTCCGGCGGATTCCAAGGCTAGCGCCAACGGAAGCCGCGAGACATAAAAGAGCCCGTCTTCCGACGATCTCTGCATAGGAGGCTACACTACACCACTTGAACCTCCGCCCCGAGATCTCGAGAACTATCTCAATATCGGCAGTCAGTGCGTTCTTCTGCGAGAATTTGGTTAAGACCATCGCAAGATCGTCACCATGGCCGACTCAAAGCCCGTCGCCGCGTCCCTGGCAGTCAAGTCTGCCGAGAAGCAGCCCGACGTTGATCACGTCGATCTCGTCAAGGCTGAGTCTGGCGATGACGAGGTTCCGCCCGTCATCTCTGCATTCGCAGAATTGACCCGTAACCAAGCCATGTGGAAGTTCAAGAGGCTGTATCTCAACGGCCTCCTTGTTTGCGTGGCCGCGTTGTGAGTAGGCCCGAAGCTGGAAATGTATTCTCTTGATGCATGGAATGCGACTAATCCCCACATCTTGCACACACAGATACGCGGGCTACGCCAATTCGGTGGTTGGTAGCATCGTTGCGAACCAAGGGTTTATCGACTACTTCGGATCGACAAGAGACCCTGCGACGGGAAAGCTCGCTCTCAATCCCCAATATGTATCTCTGTGGGGTGCCATCTATTCGATTGCGCAGATTCTCATTCAGGTCATGGCGCCGTGGGCGTCTGACAGGTTCGGGCGCAAGCTTTGCATGTGGCTGATCAGCCTTTTCATCGTCATTGTACGTTCTTTCCAGTTGAGACATGATTTCACGGGTGGCACAGCTGGGTCTGACTTTGGCTTGGCGTCTCTAGTCCATCATCATTCAGGTCGTCTCCACCCAGTGGTACCACATCCTCATTGCGCGATTCATCGCGGGATTTGCCGGCGGCATGATGGGCACAGCCGTTATGGTTTACATGTCCGAGATCTCGCTGCCCCAATTCCGCGGAGCTCTCCTTGGGGCATTTTCGCTCGGATTTGCCCTGGGGCAAGTCTTCCTTGCTGTTGCCTTTAAAATTCTTGCGGACTACAACCCAATGGCCTTCCGGAACGCGTTCTATTCGGAGTTTGTGTTCACCAGCCTGTGGCTGCTCGTCATGCTGTGGCTTCCAGAGTCCCCCGCTTGGTATGCCAGCAAGGGACGTGACGAGGAAGGCAAGAAAGCTCTGCGCAGACTCGTCGGTGGGGTCGACGGCTACGATATTGACCACGAGTTCGCCGTTATCCGTTACGACTTTGAACAATCACAGGCAAAGCGTAAAGCCACCCAGTCCGACTGGGGTGCCATCTTCAAGAACAAGACCAATCTCCAGCGCGCATTCGTCTCTGCCATCCCTTTCACGCTGCAGAATATCGTGGGCGTACCTCTCATGTTTGGCTACACGACGTACTTCTTCCAGCTCGCAGGCGTCGCCGATCCTTTCCTTGGCAACATGGTCAAGCAGCTCGTGCTCGTTGTCGGCATCATCGTCTCGTTCTACACTGTCGACATTGTCGGGCGCCGTCCCTTGGTCCTTTACGGCACCTTGGCCATGGCCGTGCTGACCTTCCTAGTCGGCTGTCTGAGCTTTGTCACCATGACCGCGGCTTCAGGCGCAGCTCTGGTCGCGCTTTGTTGCCTATGGGCGTTTGTCTATGCGAACACCCTCGCACCCATTGGATGGCTGTCGCTTGTTGAGATTTCCAGCCCTAGTGTCCGTGCCAAGACAACCTCTATTGCCGTCACAGTCCAGTACCTTACTGGAATCCTCTTTGTAAGCTTGCACCCCGAACGCTGGCAGCTCCCACTGGCGCGACCACACACAGCCAGTTTCAAATGCTGATCCAAAACCGCGTCTGCATAGAACTACACTGTCCCGCTCATGCTGTCGAACCAGTACGCCGGGTGGGGCACCAAGATTGGGTTCTTCTTTGCGGGACTCAGCGGCCTCATGCTGGTCCCAATCATCTTCTTCTATCCCGAGACCAAAGGCCGCACATATGCGGAGATTGACGAGCTCTACCAACGTGGGATCCCGGCTTGGCGTTTCAATGCAACCAAGACGCATGCTCAAGAAGAGATTGAGGCTTTGAGGGGCGTAGGCACCCTCGCTCAGTAGGCAAGAACTGGCTGACGTTCAAAATATGACAACGGAAACGTTGCATCGACTGTGGCCTAGCCAGCATCGTCAGTGCCAGACAAGGAGCAGTTCTAATTCACGAGCTCTTTAGCATAGCTTCTAATACATTAGTCCAACGTATTTGCTTAACTTCACCGGGGGCTTGTTTACTGCTATGCACCATTGCAATACTCGAGCCAGGCTAATCGTGACCAAAATACGTGGAGGGTTGACTTTCTTGATCGAGACTATAACCCACTGCTAGTTGTTACCGAGATTGGCTGGGTACATCATATCCTCGAAACTAATGATTCTGTCCATGTCCAAAAAGTCATTGTCCATCAGCATGTCGGAAAAGGCCGAGAATTGGGCAACGTTATGCGGCTCGTGCTCAACACCATTGCTCGCAATTGTTTTACCACTGTCAGCCGTGCTGCTTGGGCCCAAACGTTGTGCCGTCAGCCAGGGCGGTTCGTTATCATATCTTCCAATCAGTTTACTTTGCGGATCGCTTGGTGGCGGGAGTCCTGTGTCATGCGGGCGAGGGAATGTGGACTTCGCACCCTTACCAGCCTGTGGAGCCTCAGAGCGAAACTGTTCTTGTGAGTTTGAGGGATCCTGCTCCTGCGCTTGGTGGCCAAGCGTGGGTACCAGATGTGGCGGCTGCGGCAATACAGAAGGTGTGAGCTCGGCGCTGGATCCTGTCATGCTCATCTGGCGGTCAGGATTGTTGTACATGTCCCTTTGCAGCATGAGCAGCTGCTGTGCCAGCTGTGAGAAAAAAGACGGCTGTGGCCTTTGGTCAAGTGGCTCGCCTGCAGCCTCGTCGAACATGGCTCTCCAGTGGCCGTGCATCTGTTCCAACGCCTCCACAATCAACATAAACTGGTCTTGGAGCCGTATCTTGTAGTACTGGTGGTGGACTGTTTCGCACGCAGTTTGACGTTTGTCAGTAGAGTACACATGGACAAGTCGGCGGGAATCCTCGGTCGCACCTAAAAGAAGTTTCGCGCTCACGAACGCGCAAATACCCATCTGCGGTGACACGGGTCGGTTGGGCCCCAGCCCGCGCAGATATTGCTGAATGATTGAGGTTGTCTCGAGCGCCGCATCCAAGCAAGTCTCTGCACTGAGCTGGCTCGGGAGACGCAGATAGCGCACGTCAGCGCTAGGATATGCAATCATTTGATGAAGCAGGATCATAGATATGTTGTGGTTGGCGTTCGCGATGGTCATGTTAGGATCCATGACACCAGGCATGTTCCCTCGGGACATGCCAGAATCTTTCCACTGGTTGGGCAGATGCATCTTCCACCTGCAAGGACGAGAATGGTCAGTCTACAATAGAGCCAGACGAGGCGTGTCAGAAGCCAAACGTACTGTACCAGTCGAAGGTCGATTTCCTTGAAACGCGTCAACCAACTGGAAAGCTCGCTCGGATTGCGCGAACTGATGCTCTCCTGAAGGAAACCCGACGTGACTTGGCTCAGCGACTCGATGGACTCGATGTAATACCCGAAGGCGCCGACGTTGGTCATACTGTCACCACCGTGACCATCCCACCGCCGAGAATCCATCAAAGCAGGCCGCCTGGCTGCGGTGGACCTAGTCTTACGAACCGGACTCTCGTGGTGAGTCGGAAGGGGAGCCGTCGGGGTTCTGATCGTGGCCGCCGAGCGGTCCCAGATGCCGAAGTATGGCGTCTCCGCAGGCTTGTTGTGGAACCAGTTGCCCCCATCAACTGGAAGACGGCGGGATACGTCGGAAGCAGTCAGACTCGTATTCCATCTGCGGTACCACAAAATGTCAGCAGGTGATTTTGATCAGGAAGAACGGCCAGTAGCGAAAGCGACCTACCCCTGAGACAAGGACGAGAACCTATTCGTCGAAAACGCAAGTCAGTCATCTTGTCTCTGCGCTAAGTAGCGATGGGGCACCACGATGGATGGTAATACCTGTCAAGAATGAAGACATTCCAGAATACTCTTCGCCTCTCTTCCTCGTCTAGCCAATTCTGAGTCGCAGGCAAAGCTGCTATGGTCGGTACCAATGCAGGACGGTCAGGACGGTCGTCGCTTTCGACGGAAAGTCCCAAGTACTCGACGGTTCTGGTCAACGACCCTATCAGTGGCCAAGCTGCGGCCATATTCCCATCGCCAATCTGACACTGTAATTAATGGCTGCTTTTGGAACACATGGTCGTCTTTCCCCCCACGGGGAGAGCTTACCTCCATGAATGCTAAGATGATCAATGCCTGTACATTCTCAATTTGGAGACCAGCCATGGCTGCCAGCAGCACTTCGCGCTTGAGTTTTTTCACCAGTGCATCGACATACTCTGTGCTGGGGCGACGTCCTCCTATGCAGAGGAATCGTAGCGAGGCCATCGTCATGGCGCGCAAGACAACCATGAGTGTCTCACGCTTTTCTGCATCATCTAAAGCAGAGCGAATGGCCAGCTCGTGGAGCATTGGCACCCATATGTGGATGCGCACAAAGTACGCGTCGACCATGTCTCGCATCAAGTCGACAAGTACATGCTCGGGAAATGATGGGAAGCCTTCTACAGTGAACAGTTGCTCCAGGTAGCCTGTAGAGCGCTGTGGTTGCAGATGTTCCGCTGTGAAGCTGTCGGGGTCACTATCGGACCTTGGACGTTTGCGCGAGCTGCTCTGTGCTTGGCCCTCAGAACTCCCGGGGCTTTCGAATCTGTCCTGGGATCTCGACACGCCATCTTGGCGAGCGCGGCCGAGGTGTCTCAGCTCCGCGGCTAGGTTTGAGCAAGCGCTGACAAGGGCACCAATGCTGTCAGATGGCAAGAGCGAAGTCTGTAGAGAGCCGCGCGGCGCGACGTCTTCGTGGCCAGCAGCGTGGGTAGCCTGGGTCTGGCCAAAGACTGCCTTCTCGACCCGCGCAAGACGTTGGCTAAGGCTGTCGACGACACCACCTTTGAGCCCCGGCTTGTTCCTTTGGCCATCGTAGGAGCAGGCAACCTCTGAGAAGCCAGAAGTCAGCATATTTTCAGCTACTGGCCTAGGAGCGAGCCCTGGCTGCCATGGGACTCACGAAGACGCTCGCAGTTGGAGCACGCGGGCGTCTGGCGGGAGCACCTCAGCTTCCGCCTGCGGCAGCCAGTGCACGACGGCAACTCTGGCTCGGCCGCCTCGCTGTCCACCGCTGCCATGATGGGATGGCATTGAGGAAGACGCCAAGGAGGACATGTACAGCATGCAGGACACTATACTCGGCGTGCTAGGGGCGTCCTTTGCGATCCACTCCCTTCGACGACCCCAGGCGCCGAGTCCCCCACTCCTCCACCACACGTGCCCAGCCATGGGCACAGCACCGAGTCCTCATTTGGCTCGTACAGGTCTCGGGTCTCCAACCGCGATCCGAACAATAGCCGCCCGGGCAAAATTGCCCGGGCCACCTTCTTGGCCTGGGGCGGGGACGCGACGCCACTATTGCGGCACGGGCGGCGCCGCCCAGGGCTCCCTGCCTGCCCCCGTGCGGAGAAAGTTGGAGATGGCTGTGGAGGGCAAGCACGCCGAGTCAAGGCTACACACTTGCGAAGTGGAACTACTGCCATGGCAGACTTGCCGGGTCCTATGATCCAACGTCTGTCCCCTGTCGTCAGCGCTTCGCCATCCTCTCCTCCTAGACTGCACTCACTTGCCCTCTCATTGACTTGCTGCATTCTTCACTTCCCACGTCGTGGCCGAAACGTACCTACAATATGCTGGGCCCCCAAGCTAATGCGCTTCGCGAGGTAGTCTCGTTAGACGGCATCTGGAACTTTGCTCTGGCTGCATCTCCGAACCTCAACGATGACCCTGCCTGGACGAGGACTTTGCCATCTACGCTACAAGCGCCAGTGCCTGCAAGCTACAACGACATATTTACCGAGCGCGAGATCCAGAAGCATGTTGGCTGGGTCTTCTACCAGAGATCGGTGACGTTGCCATTCTCGTGGAGAGACAATCTCGTCATCATCCGCGTTGGTGCTGCGACACACCGCGGCCGCGTCTATGTCAACGACACGTTTGTCGTCGAGCACCACGGCGGCTACATGCCATTCGAGGCGGATATTACCAGCATCATACAGCCGGGAGAAACCTTCCGGCTCACCATCGCGGTGAACAACGAGCTTACTTGGGAGACCGTTCCGCCGGGTGAAATCGAGGTCGCTGCAGATGGCACGCGAAAGCAAATCGTCCGACACGACTTCTTCAACTACTCGGGCCTCCATCGGTCTGTGCAACTGTGCTGCGTTCCCAAGAACCACATCACCGATGTCCGGGTCGTCACCGATGTCATCAATTCAGGCAAGACGGGCACTGTCGAATACCAAGTCACGACCACCCAGTTAGCAAGAAGCAACAACAGGGTCAAAGTCGCACTCGTCGATGAAGCAGGGTCAACCGTGGCTGAAGCAATGGGAGCTCAAGGCACGTTGACCGTCGACTCCGTGCAGCTCTGGCAGCCCGGTGCTGCATATCTCTACCATCTCCATGTTCGGCTCTTTCCCTCCGCCGTTCCGATCGCGGCGGATGAGTACAAGGTCAATGTCGGCATCAGGACCGTCAAGGTGGTCGGCCGACAGATCCACATCAACGAGAAGCCATTCTACTTTACGGGTTTCGGCAAACACGAGGACTACCCAGTGCGCGGCAAGGGCCACGATGCTGCCTTCATGGTCCACGACTATCAGCTCCTCAAATGGATGGGCGCCAACTCGTTCCGGACCTCCCACTACCCCTACGATGAAGCGTGGCTCGACTATGCAGACAGGCATGGCGTTGTTGTCATCAACGAGACCCCTGCCGTCGGCATGAATCTGGCCATCATGGCCGGCTGGCATGGTAAAGCACACAAGCCGACATTCTCCCCCGACACCTGCAGCGATGTCACACGCAAGAATCACGAGCACGCCCTGAGGGAGCTGATCCAACGTGACAAGAACCACCCCTGTGTGGTCATGTGGGTGATTGCCAACGAGCCCTCGTCACACGAGGAAACTTCTCGGCAATACTTTGAGCCCTTGACGGTGCTCGCCCGGGAACTCGATCCCACCAGGCCCATCGGGTATGCAAACGAGAAACAGGCCGGGCCCAAGGAGGACAAGATCATAGACTTGTTTGACGTCATCTGCCTGAATCGTTACTATGGCTGGTACATCTTTACGGGCGATCTCTCGGGAGCCGAAAAGGGCCTCGAAGCGGAGCTGCGCGAGTGGGAGGCCATGTATGGCAAGCCCATCATCATGACAGAGTACGGAGCCGACACCTTGGCCGGACTCCACACGGTCGGCGATGTTCCCTGGACCGAAGACTACCAGGTCGCGCTGCTGGAGATGACGCATCGGGTGTTTGACAGGATTGGGAGCGTGGTCGGCGAGCACGTCTGGAACTTTGCCGATTTTCAGACTCCGACAGACTTCATCCTACGGATAGACGGCAACAAGAAAGGTGTCTTCACGAGGGACCGCAAGCCTAAAGCTGCTGCACGAACGCTGAGAAAGAGGTGGTTGGACCTCCAGAATAGACTCGATAGAACATCACGCTAGAGTGGAGCTCTTTTTCTTGCTCGGGATCTCCGGGTTGGCTACGCCAGGCTCCAAAACACCTCCTGCGTGTGTGTGCGAGGCTTTCCATGTGCTGGCCTCCTTGGAAATACTCCACAACCTCTGGTGTCGGGCATGGAAATTCCACCAGTCGCGGAGCCACATGCGTGCCTGTTCTGCAGTCAGCGACCGACCTCCACACGTGAGATCCGCCACCGTGGGACCCCATGGGGGGGGGGGGGGGGGGCTTTGAGGGGCTTTGGGGTAATTATGCTAAGACTGGACAAGCCGCGCCACGACGGTCCCCACAGCGGCGATCGTGCCGTCGGAAGCTGCCCAGTGAGGTCACTCAACTCGACTAGGTTGTGCTGGTGCGTGCAGATCGTGGCCTATGGGAGTCACTGGACGTACTTAGATGGCCGGTCCCGGAACTTGACCTTTGTGCTTCCTGTCCTGCCCTTATCTCATCTGTCACAACACGACCCGCGAGCAAGCCACCGGAAATACCAAAACGATCGGTCAGCATTCACGAAGATGGCTGCTGCATCGAGTAAGACGTCTTTCGACGAGAGTCCCGAGAGGATCATTGAGCACGTAGAAGGCGGCCCGGCCGCGGTTGGCGACACAAAGTGCGATCTGGACCTGCAGCAACACGCGCTCTACCACGAGGCTCTAGCGCTCTATCCAAACGATGAGTCGATTGATCAGGCTCAGGAAAAGGCTGTCGTCCGCAAGCTGGACAGGCGCATTCTGCCCCTGCTGGGCATCTGCTATTTTTTCTACTACGTCGACAAGACTACTCTGTGGGTCAACACTTCGTGAATGAGATACGGAACGTCTGAACGTCTGGCTGACAGCACCCTGTGCAGATCCTATGCTGCTATTTTCGGACTCAAGGATGGACTCGATCTCAAGGGTGAAGAGTACTCCTGGCTATCGAGCAGCTTTTATTTTGGCTGGCTGATCTGGGCCATACCGTCCAACCTCATCATGCAAAGATGTCCGCCAGCGTGGTATCTGGCCTTTAACATCTTCATGTGGGGTATCCTGCTCATGGCGCAAGCTGCCGCCCGCAACTTTGCTGGTCTCCTCTCTTTGAGAATCCTATCTGGTAAGCACAGTAATGGAGGAGATCATCATCCAAATACACGCTCAACTGACTCTTCCTACGCCTACAGGTGCATTCGAGGCCATTGCTGATCCGGCTTTTATGCTGATCACCTCGATGTACTACACGCGAAGCGAACAACCGTCTCGCATCGCTGCTTGGTACATCTGGAACGGCATCGGAGTTGCCGGAGGTGGACTCATTGGTGAGATTGATATTCACTGGCTTGTCAGCACAAAAAGGGTGACTAACAGGCAACAAAGGTTACGGCATCGGCAACATCAAAGGCGCCCTTGAGTCATGGAGGTATGAGTTCCTCGTTGTTGGCGCCTTCTGTGCCGCCTGGGGAATTGTGCTCGTTATCGCCCTTCCCAACTCACCTCGCACGATCTGGGGATTCTCGCACGACGAGAAGCTCATCATGGTAGCTCGCATGCGGCGCAACCAGACCGGCATCGAGCAGCGCAGGATAAACTGGCATCAGATCAAGGAGGCCTACCTCGACTACAAGACTTGGCTCTTCACCCTGCTCGGCTTTGTGGCCAACGTGCCGAACGGCGGCATCTCCAATTTTTCCACCTTGGTCATCAAGGGCCTTGGTTTCGGTACTTTGGAAACGGCGCTTCTGGGCATCCCGCAGGGCGTGCTTGTCGTCATCTGGATTGGACTCGGCGCCGTTGCGAACAAGTACATGCCACAAAACAGTCGCACACTCGTCTGCGCTTTGTTTATGCTGCCCACAATCGCCGGTGCCTTGGGTTTCCTGCTTGCCCCAGCCAATGCATACGTTGGCCGGCTCATTTGCTTGTAAGTCATGCCTCAGTAGGCTGTTTCCGTCTACGCGCTGACATTGTCCGTAGCTATCTCACCGGCTCCTACCAGGCTTCGTTTGTCATCTCTCTGTCGCTTATCACATCCAACACTGGCGGCCAGTCCAAGAAGATGATCGTCTCGGGCATGATCTGGTTCGGCGCCTGCATCGGCAACATCGCAAGCCCCTTTTTCTACAAGACGGAGCAAGCACCCTCCTACCCTCTGGGAATTGGGTCTCTCCTGGTCGCCAACTGCATCGAGCTTGCTCTCTTCTTTGTCTTCCGGTATGCCTTTATCTGGGAGAACAGACGCAAGGAGGCGCAGCGTGAGGCACTGCGCGCTGCCGGATATGAAGAGACGGACGAACTGAATGCGACGGCCTTTGCGGATATGACAGACAAGGAGAACCCAAATTTCACATATGTCTATTAGCTTGATTATTGCTTCGAAATAGATAGATCGGCCTTGTAGTAGGAACTGTCAATGCTGATTCACAGACTCCTGAACATCTGATCAACAACACGATTGTACCTTGGCCCTCTGGCCCTCTGACCCTCTGACCCTCTGAACCTCTGAACCTCTATGCGTCCCAGCCAACGGCGGACTTTGTTGAGATGCAAGATATAGATTGGCAGGTCAAGTTTGGAAATAGAAACACTATGAGTATGAGAGAGAACATGGACAGGAGTGGAGTCGGAGAAGCAGGGATTCCCAACAGGAAAAGGGGGAAAGAAAGGGGGAAAGTGAGACGAGGAAGTTAGGGTACAAAGAGAAGAAGCAGAAGAGACGAGAAGCAGAAGAGGGCAGAGGGGAAGAGAAGATCATAGAGACAAGAAAGCATCCGCAAAGACCTAGCGCTAAAGAAAGAAATGTACAAGCGAATACAAGTCAGACCAGAGAAGAAGGTGAAAGGATTTGAAACCTGGTGAAAGAAAGCGAGCTACGGCAACTGGAGGAGCCGAAGAGCAAAGGGAATCAAAGGCTATTTTCGCTGGTATGGATCCACAGCAACGTGAGCTGACGGCAGAATCCGCTTGGAGGGATCGCGATATGAGACGAGCCAATGTCAAAACTGGAGAACAAGGGTAAAGAGCAGAGAGAAGATTCAGTGTGGAAGATGCTACATCACATGTGGCGGTGCGTAGCAATGGCACGGCCGAGGCGACGACGCGAGCCGGAATCCCCGAAGGCGGAACGCCTGGCCAGACCACTTCCTCCTTCTCGGGCATGAGCAGCGGCGGGGAGGCGGCGTGCTAGCTGGCCAGGCCCAAGGGACCGGAGCCGAACACCAACTTCGAAAAGTCCATGGTTTTGGACGAGAGAGCAGCAGTAGGCCAGACTGGGCAGCAGGCTCAAGCGCCTCAAAGTGAATGCTAGTGTGATTCATGGTGATTACTGGACCTCCCTAGCGGCCGTAGCATAAGTTGCGTTTTCTGCACTCGGAGGCATATGGGCTCGGCAGGGCCACAACAAGAACGCTATTGCACAAGCTGTGACGCGTGTGCAGGTGCTGACCTTGCCACATACGGGCGCCTGAATCCATGGTCTACGGCTGAGATTAGATATGTGCATAACCTCCACTTGTTTCACCTGATATCACGAGCCCAGCAAGTCTCAGAGGCAGGTAGAGCAAGATATGGGTCGTGACAATCGAATCACGTTCCGCACCTCAGCGAAGCGTCGCTTGCGTTGGGGCCATGCTCGGAAGTCAATTGGAGGTGCGCCATAGCCAAAGCAACCCCCTTTACGGCCATACTACAGTGTTTGGCAACTGGTGTATATGAGAGCTACCTACATGCACGAGAGCATGGCGGAGTTTGAGACGACGGTGTCTCGCTGCTGCCCCAGCCACAATTTTCATGCCCGCCGGCAGTGGCAGGACAGCCTACTTTACCTACTAATTGGGCGCTGGCAATGCCGAAATGTAGTCAGTTTTGATAGTTGACCGGATTGTGGGATGCGGGTGAGTTGTCAGCTGGAAATAACGACGTGGTGGAGAGCAATATACTCGAAGTACGAAGACTGTATTTCGACATGGACTGCGACAAGTGAAATTGATCGGCGAGTCTCTGCATCTCTTTGTAGAATAATTCGCACTACAGCCATAGATTTGGACACGGCTCCATGCACAATCTTGGCCAGTCAAGTGGAACGGAATTGATCCGCGGGAAACATTGTTCCGGCCGTGAGTGGCAGCAAGTTAGCCAGTTTCGGCCTCAGGCCAAGCAGGTTATCTGCACACCGAGCTGGTCCAGCTCAGAACAATTCTCCGGAGGGGCTGTTCCTTTGTGGTGCGTGTGTGCTGCCACAAACTAGTTGGAAAAGTCTTTCCAAAATTCCTGGGTTGCCCACCAAGTTTGTTGCTGGGTTTTCCACCTTCCACCAAGTTTGACTCGAGCACTTCGTCCAACATCGCGAAGTTCTGCGACTGCTTGCGCCGTCAACTTTGGTCATTTCTTGAGCTCTTCCTCAACCTTCAGTGTCTGCCTCAATTTCAGATCATTCCTTGACTCCTCAACCTTGATTCCTCAACCCTAATTCCTCAATCTTGATCCCTCAACCTTGATAACCACTTTCACCGAGATCGCGAATCTGCAGTCCACCGGACTTTTGCCTGCGGACTTTTGCCAGCAAAATGTCGGACGCACTGGGCATTGCGCCCAGCGAGGACTCTTTGTCCGTCGTGGTCAAAGACGACTTCGAGTACTACCTGAACGACAAGCGTCAACTCGTCCTGAAGGACAAAGCAACGCCCGAGGACCTCATCCGAGGCGCCATCAAGATCGCCAAAGGCGAGCACGGTTGGCTTGTCAAAGAGAAGGATGGCTGGGCCCTGTGCCGCTTCCTCAGAGCTGGCCATGGCAAGAACTGTGAGTAGGTTGATGCTAGCATCGCTGTTCACCTGCTAATCAGACATGTCTCACTGTAGTGTTTGTGCCGCGCGCCCAGATCGACGTCGGAGTCCCTCTGAAGACTCTGAGCATCGTCGGCAAGGACAACAGCGCTGCAGATGCCAGCACTTTGGCTGTCCACGGCCGCAATGCCATCATTCCTCTGTTCGAGAGCGTGAAAGGCCGGACTTACATCATGTTCCGCGCTTCACCCACTGCAGAGCGACCAGCCACCGTCATGTTCAAGACTGCAATCACGCTTCACAAGCTTGGCAAAACGAAGCAGTACAGTTGTACTGTTGCACCGCACCTCAACCTCGTCATTCCGCAGGAGGCTGTGAACGCTGGTGGCTTGAACAACAAGAGAGCCTTGCTGTGTTTCGAGGTGACTGAGGATGGCAGCCGTCACCCATATGCTTGGCACCAGGCTTCTGAGGTGGGCCTCTTCGAGAACAACAGTACTGTGTCCCGGCTTGCAGTGCGGCTCGAGTATCCCGACCAATCGGACGGGCAAGTCGAGCAGTGGAAGAGCATCTACATCTTCGCGAGTGCGGTTGTCGGACACGACGCGGCCACTGGCAAGAAGCCCAAAGCGTGGATCAAGGCGTGGAAGGTGCTCATGCTGCTCATGCGCTGGCGACTGAGGGAGCCGACCGAGTGGTTCACAGAGGCTGAGTACCCAATGGGAGAGCTCCAGGAGCTCGTCTACAATCACCACACCTTGACAATGGAGTGGAAGCTTATCACGTCACCAAAGAAGATCATCACCCTCCCGCGACTCGCCCAATACAAGGACAATGCCTTGGCAGTTACCCGACTCTTTCCGGACCATTGGTGGGGGAAGAAGCCTGACATTGCCTTCCGCGCCGGCAGCAAGGACTGGTCTCGTGAGTCGTGCGATCCGTGCTTCCTCCAAGGCCGCTCCAAGGACAAGAAAGGTGGCACAAGGGGCAAGTGCGTTGCAGATGATTCCAACATCAATACTTGCACAAAATGCATCATCAAGTACAACCGCCCCTGTCTGTGGATGTACCCAGAGGAGGTGGAAACCTTATCTCTGGAGCAACGACGTCGCATGATGGACGAGGGCGAGGACCATGTGTACGAGGCGCTGCCCTGCCATGCTCCTGCCGGAGGCATTGAGCTTCTGGACACTTTGGACGCTGTGCAGGAACGCAACGAGAAGAATGACGCAGACGACAAAGAGATGGGTGAGGTTGACGAGGTTTGAGTGAGGCACTTTGGTGAGACGGAGCCGTTTGCGCAGTAGGATGGACGGATGCACTTTGATGGCACAGGGGCGGGGACAGGATGGGCCAGCGGCCCGAGCGCTGTTCCCCCTGTACGATGGCATGGACCGCCAGTTTTGATTTGATTTTTCCATCTTCGTGTTCTCGTTTTTGTCTTTATTTTTGTCTTTGTCTTTGTTTCCGCACACCGGTTCTTCTTTATGGCGGCCAGGCACGTTGATACCACCAGCCCCGGAACAGGATTTCGCCTGGTTGCCTGCTCCCAAGCCGCGGGCAAAAAAAAAAATGAAAAAGCTTCATACTCACTTACTTTCAACGTTGGTTGCGTGCCTCGCACACGTAAAAGATGATGGTGCACATGCTCAATCGTCGCCAGCTGTGTTAATGTGCTATTGTGCAAAGTCCGTCGGTGGCGCACAGCCGAAGTCGATGGAGCGCGTGAGCGGGCTGGGCGTGGGTAACTGCATGACTTCACAAACACACCCGACACGCACAGTCAATTCAGATGATGCTCGGGTCAGATGATGCTTACTGACCAGAGTCTCACAACAGCAGCCAGCAAGTAGCTGCCGCCGTCCACTCATGGGTGCACGGAGCAATTGCAGTCCCACTTTCACCACGGGTCTTAACCAGTCATGTCCCCACCAGACTCCCAGTGTCACTTGCACACCCTCATGTGCAGGTGCGCAGCAATCCAGATGCATGGCCAGACCTCCGAGTGAACAGAACCAGAATCAATGAGATGAATGAAACTGTCAAGTTGTGACCATGTCAGCCATCAAGTAGTCGCCGTTGTCCAGACACCACCGGTTGCAACTGCGGTCCCACTTTTGTCACGAACCAGTCAAGTCTCCACCGCATTCACAATGTCACATTGCGACAACTTTTCGCAACCAGGTCATGTCCCGCCTTGAATTGGATGAAGATTAATGTAACTGTGCTGATTATATATACTGGTACCGCAAGCGTCTATATATACGTAGATATATATATACCCCTTCTCTATTAAAAGTGTCCAAGCCGGGTCGGGTCAGGGCGACTCCGAGTTTACTCGGAGTCGTAGCGGTAGCACAGGTAACTGTTCTCGGTGTTCATGACGTCGGCAATGGTCACATCGGGCACGAGACCGAGCGCGGGGAGCGTGTCGCTGGGGAGAACCTGGCGGGAGTTGGTAGAGCTGAACGCGCCGCCCATCTCGTTGTTCCGGGTCGCTCCGCGGTTCTGCCAGAAGCGATAGTTGCGATCTATCCATCCATGGTGCAAAAAAAAGAGCGGCTCGACGTTGAATTAATGATTAGCTGACGTTCTCTACGTGTTCTGGAGGTTGTGTTGTGGCTGGGGATCATGGTTGGGGTTCGGGGTTGGAGTTTTCCTTTTTGTGGGGACGGGGTGGGGGACTGCGGTCAGAATACTTACATCCTCAGGAGAAGTGGCGACGTTAGACATGACGGAGCCGACACCGTTGTGTCCGTAGGCGTGGAAGGTCATCTCGGCGCACTGGCGGTAGGCATCGTAGTTCTGAGCCTTGGCGCAGTTGTCGACGTAAGACGGGCCGCAACCGAGGGTCGACTGGTCATCCAGGGCACGGGACAGGCAGTGGGGGTTGTTGATGGCAGCGCCGGGGCCGAGGTTGGGCTCATAGTTGCCAAAGCCAGACTCCATGATACAGACACCACGGCCGTTGACAGCGTAGGGCATGGCGCCGAACCAGCGCGGAGTGAAGAGGTCGGCGCTGGAGAACTTGCCGGCGTGCTTGGACTCGTCCCACCAGGCGATCGGGCCGTTGTAGGCGCACTGGTCGCGGAGCAGCTTCTCAAAAATGTGGACGTAGAAGCGGTGGAAGACGAGGAACTTTCCGCTCTGGTGAACGGAGCTGACGACCTGCTGGTGCAGACTGGACAGGTCCTCGTACAAGCTGCGGGAGCCGGGGAACTTCTTGGGGTTGCTCGAGGGCTTCTCCATCAAGCAGCGAATGCCGGCAACGTAGGCATCACGCTGGGTGTTACTCAGGTTGTCCCACTCGACACGGACACGAGGGGTGCTGCAGCCGGTGGGGCGGGCGCCATTCGACGAGGCGGTCGCCGAGGCAGAGCTGGAAGAGCTGGTGCTGCTGCGGATGGCAGCAGGGGTCACGGCGGAGGCGCTGCTGGAGCTGGTGCTGGAGCTTGCAGCAGCGCTGACGCTGCTGGCGCTGGCAGACTTGCTGCTGTAAAGACCACCAGTGGGAGGAATGGGGTAGTTCGAAGAGAAGTTGGCGAAGCCAGTAGGGTAAGGCGCAGCGACCGAGGCCGAGTACGAGCTGCTCAGGTGGCCGGCTGGGTAGCTACCAGCAGGGTAGCCGCCGGTCGGGTAGGCACCGCCGATCGGGTAGCTGTCGTCGCTGCCGGAAGGATAGGTGTCGTCCTCGGCAGGGGCGGTCAGGTTGAGGTTGGGGAAGACCATGGCCGGGTCGGGCTTGGAGTTCTCGATACATTTCTGGGCCTCCTCGAGGGGCACGGTGTGAGCCGGCTCAAAGTGCTCCAGCTCGATCCAGGAGAGACCAATGGTCTTGACGACGACAGGGCAGTAGTCGATGGGAGCCTCGAGGGGCACGGCCACGGCCGAGACGGCGGCAGCGCCGGCAATGGCGAGAGAAGCAGAGTACTTCATGGTGAACGGGATGTTGTTGTGATGGCTTCACAAAACGAGTGGACGGTGGTCGAGACCACAACACGGACTGGCACAACAGTCTCAGCGACGAAACAAAGGAGCGTATGCGGTCGAATCGATGACGAGACCTGACCGAGGCAAAAGAGAAGGAGGCAGAAGCAAAGCAGTGACAGAGGCAGACGAAGCGAGGCAGCGGCCTGGAGAGGTAATGTACTGTAGAGCGGTCCGCAGGGGCCAAGCCCGTCGATCAGCAAGCACCGGTGCTGGGAGCCCACCACACCAGTGATCACTCCTAGCGCATGAGTGGCCAGCGAGCGTTTCGAGTTGCTGCATGGACCAACACCCATGTGCCTGATTCGACAATGGGCCAATGGCGGTGGAGGGCCTGCGGCGGTACCTTGCAGCAAGGCCACCATCGCGCCACCCCTATTCTCCAGTCTCGAGGCGGTCCACGGCGGCCCTAGCAGGGACCCCATCTGTAGAACGGCCGGCGCGTCGTTGGCGCCACCCGGAAATACGGCCTGGGGTGAGCTGCAGCAAGCGGGCCCAGCAGGTTGGGATGTGCGGCCCAAAGGGGTAGACGAGACGCTGCATCATGTCCATCATGGCAGTGTCAGTCTCGCAATGATTATCAGCTAACAAGTGCGGCAAGACATTGATTGAGTTGCTGTGCCTCCTCTTTCTCAGGCTTGCTGGGACCTGGCTGAGGCGAGCGGGCACTGGCAAGTAGAGAGGACCCAGGACACGGACGATCAGGGGCACAGCGTGCATGGGCGGTGGAGAGAGGAGGAACCACGGGTGGGCCGACTGATTGGCTGCCTCCAGATGCACAGGCGACGCTGTTGTAAATGAGCCCTCTGGGGGACGGGTGACGAGGGACCTTTGGCTGGCTGGCTGGCTACGACCCTGCCCGCACATGACAACCGCATTACGCCGCCCAAGATTCGCTGGAGATGGGACGGAGATGGGACATGGGGCATGGAAATGGCATCGTCGCATTGTGTTAGGGGGCCTCGTGGCCTCGGTAGCGGCTGGTCTCTTGCCATGCAGTGCACCCACCTGGTCTCTTGTCTGCACATTACTGACCTTGCCCGCGTTGCTGAACTACATGTTGTCGCTGCATGATCGCTGCATGATTACGTTTCTCAGTGTCCACGCGAGGCAGATGGGCGCTGTTCCCGTCCGTCCCCTCTGGCTGGGCACGGCAAGACAAGGCGAGGCGGGCTGGCTTGTTTCATCTGCGCTCGGGCGTGGCGCAGCTCGACTCCTTCGGCCCTCTGTCCCTCGCCCTCAGGCATTGGCTCGGCTGGCCCCACGCGGGCGACCGTCCTGGCGATCCCCATCTTGCATCTCGCGGGCGGATGCTGATGTGCCTGATCTCCAGGCCGCCTGCCGGGTTATCCGACTAGACAGCCCGGTGACGTTGCTACATGTACTTATCTGGCACGTCTTATTGACCGGAGGACCACTCCATGTCACCTGGAACGAAGTCTGTCAACTGCAAACATCGCCGCTCTGGCAGTGGGTTTCGGCGCCATTGAGCCTCCCGTCAGCTCTTTGTCTCGCGACGCCCGCCCAGCTGCTCCTCCCCGCAAGTGAGGCGTCGCGGCCTCAACTGCCATAACGGCCCTTCTTGCGCCACAAAATCTGTTTATGACGTGCTGGGCGTTTGACTGCACAGGTCGAGGACCACACTCCCGCTGGCCAACGAGAGCCCGCGTGGTTCTCGCACAGAGAGGCGTCTTCTAGCTCTGCCCCTGAGCTGAACCCGAGGCACAAGCAAAAGTGTCGCCCCTGACAGGACCCCGACAACCCCGGTCGCGCACCCCGTCTAGTGCCAGGCACAAGCTTTTTAGCTCAGGGCAGTCTCCCCGAAAACATCTCGCGACCGCCCCAATCTAATCAGCTAATCACTCGCGTTTCCTGCCAGAGTCTGTGCGCCGGTCAGGTGCAACGGCAGCAGATGTTGCGGCCCAGCCCCAATACGACGGCAGAATGTTATTACGCCGCGGCTCTGGCCTGGCCTGGCCTGCCATGGCCCTCTCTCTCTGCCTTCACCGCTACCAAGAGCTGCTCCGTGATGGCCTATGCTCTGCTGTCAGGACCCTGAAGTTCCACATGCATGTCTGGTATTTAAAAACATGCGTCCCACCCTCAGTGCTCGATTTGTGCATCTGTGGCATCATTACACTATTCGTGCCGCGTCCATCAATGAGATTGGCAACTCGGCCGAGCCTCTTTAGCGGCGTCTCTATTGAGAAACCAGTGAAATGGAATGACCACCATCCCCTTCCTGATCGATCGGGCCGCGTAATGTCCAATGTATGCTTCTGCTGTCGCGTTGCGATGCTGCTCTGCTTGGGATATGCACTAGCATAGCCAAAGTCATTGGCCTTCCCCTCTCTCGTGTGCACGCCGCCTCTCGTGTTCAGCAGCGTCGACGATGGGGAAATTAACTAAAAAGGGCTGTGCAACATGACGAATTCCGCCAACCCCTGCCCTCTCGGCCAGGATAGGCTGGTGCGGCTGTGACGGGGGCGGTCCAGGGCAGCAGGTCAGCATCGCTTGTCCTTCGGCTTATCCTTGGGCCTGCTTGTTTTGATGGGCTGCTTCGTCGCGCAATCAACGCTTACGTGGTCCGGCACTGCTTCACTTTGTTGGCCGGCGATATTCCTCGGACGCTGCAGCTCGCCATCTCGCCTTGTCACCAATCATCGTATTCGACGCGCGTGGCCTTGTGGTAATGTCTCGAGCCCCATCAGTGACGCAAGCCGCGCCCCTCCCCTCTCCCTCTGGCGCAAACCCGAGGGACGTAGATCTGCCAACCAGCGTGGAGCCGTGGGGTCTGCTAGCGATCCAGGGAAAAGTCCGCGCCGAAGTGGAGGCCGTCGCAGGTAGCATACGCACCCACTTGGATCGGCCGAGCAACTTTCCGAGACTGTAGTAGGGCTGTTCTGCACGTTTTCCTAGGGGACTCCTTCCAGTATTGGACCTGTTTCTTCATTCAGCCGCCGGTTTCTAATGATTATTCTTCTGTGGTATCGCAGTTCGTACTTTGGAAGATCTGAAATACTCTAAGCCGATCAAGGCCGACAACAATAAAGTGTGCAATAAATTGACTGTGATACGTCATTGGCCAAAAAAAGAGTTTCCTGATCCTCGTAGCCCTCCCTGATGTAGGGAAGTCTGCCCTCCACGGGCAAAGTTCTTCACGTGACTGCCGTATATGAATCAGCACAAAGAACCGCATTGGGAAAGGCTCATCGCAGACTTCATGTGTTGCTGGAGGGTTTCTCATACTCAGCTATGCGTTGAGGGTTTCTCGCGCCGTTCCTCTCTTCACGTGTGACGCGCATGGGCGCGCAAAATTCTCAGGAGGAGCTGTCACATCATCTGCTTCGGTAGGGCAAATCATTTCCTCTTGAAGAATCTTCATGCTCTCGACAGCGCTCTTCAACCAGCGGTGCGCGTTCCGAAAGTCAATGTAGGCATTCTTAAAGAAAAAGGAGAAGGGCCATGTCTACAAGCTCAGCATGCTCTACCAAGATGCGCCACAATCAGGGTGTTTTATGCCAAGATGGACGTATGACTCTTTGGGTTATTGTCACATGGGCTGTTCTGCAGAAAGGTTATGTCATCACGAAATATCTTGTTGCTATATCCTAACGAGGACGTCCTCGTAATATATGGTAACGGGATTCTGGCGATCCTATGGGCCGATTTCAGGAGAAAACCGAGCTTGGACGCTCAAGCAGTCCAGCGACAAACAATGGCCTGCCAAACCCGCGACCAGATATACACGTAGCCACCCTGCGATGGACTTCCCTTCAGTGCGAATGCGCTTCAAGGCGCGGTCCCTGATATCTCGTTCGAGCGTAGCACACCCAATTGAAAGCCCCAAGTATGAGGACGACCCCAATCACTACGGAGGAATAGTCTGTCTCAGGTGATGTGTCAGCTCATTTGATTGACTTCTGCCCCAGGCAAAAATCACGTACTCATGTTGTTTCCTGTAATTGGAGCCGCAGTGGGGAAGCAGAATATCACGGTGACAAGGGTTGTCCATGCCACGGCCACGATGTTGCAAAAGTAGCCAACCATGTTCGGTACACGGAAGCAGCGTGATGCCGGTAGATACGCATACGAGCGCCTTTGATAAAGTATTAGAGCGATTGGTATGGTAATAGAGAGTTGAGATAGGATGGCGCTCGTTCCGATGAAGGCGTTGAATGCTTTTTGATTTATTCCAGAGGATCAGATTAGAGAGAGTCCATCTCCCGAGACCGGTTGTGGGGGACATACCAGAGCTTGATGCTGCATACAGAACCCCAGCGATCAGACAGAACACAAAGTTCAGGAAGAGGGCGTAGACGGGCATGTGAAGCCTCGGATGGACACGCTTCAGGTACTTGGCCAGGACAACAGCATCATCCCGAGCAAACGACCAGGTGAGGCGAGAAGCTGTCTGGTGCGTCGCGTTCAGGGCTGACATCATAACGCACAGAAGTGCCACCATTAGTACAGTGGCGCCTGCTTGCGACTCTGTCGCTGTCTGCCATAGAGCGTAAATTGGAAATCTACGCAGTCAGCCATGCAGTCGCGGTCGTGCTGTCCGAAGGCACTAGTTAACTCACCCTGTAGGCGTGACCAGGAGAGACTCAAAGTCGTCCGTGCTATAGCACATGGCAACAGCAAAGGCAAACGCCGTCAAGAATCCCACCAGAACCGTCGAGACAATGGCTCTCGGGATGACCTTGGCAGGCGCGCTGCATTCTTCGGCGAGATGCATGGTGGCATCCAGCCCGATTAGCATGAAGGAAGGACCCGAGAGGCCGGTCAGGAAACAGATTCCATCCGGCCACAGCCCGGAATTGTTGTAAAAGGTAGTCCAGACAAAGGAGGAATCCGCCCTCGCGCCCGTCCGGGTGGGGCACGCGATGGAAACAACCAGGAACAAACCCAAGGTGAGATAAACTTGTCAGAACCTGAGTCAGCCTTCTTCTAGCATGTGCAAAGGATACGAAGTATTGTCCTTACAGGTAAGCTTGTAGATCCACTCCGTCTTCTGTGCGAGAAACAGGTTGTGCAGCACTGCTATCAGATGGACGGCCACGTAGAAAAGGAAGTAATGCCATGACTGGACGTTGATGTCGGGATTGTACTGGATTACCAAAGCCATTATGGCCTGCGCTATGACCAAGGCAATCGAAGCACCGATGCTGATCCAGGAGAAGACTCCCAACATGCCGCAGGTGTAGGAAAGCCCTTTGCTGAAGCGCTCGGGAGTCAAGATGGAGGTCAAGTGGTATTGGCCACCAGCAGTCGGGTAGACGCTGGCAAGCTCTGCCAAGCTGATTCCGGTGCCGGTCATGGCGAAGCCAACAACCAGGATGCCGTAAAGGATAGTGACGGTGCCGCCGGCAGCGATGGTAAGAGCCAAGGAGGAGGCGATGGCAATCCAGCTATTCGAGATGTTGAACCCGAGAGCTAGAATGCCCAAGAAGCTGAAGGTCTTTTTCATGCCTGTGTCCTCATGTCCAACGATGTGACCATTGGCTATGCTTTCGGTGGCCTCGAGCTCCCGAGGGCTCTTAGGAGGAGATGCGTTGGCCTCGCTCTTCATTGCGTCGGCTTTGCTGTCGTAGTTTGCCGTTGGATAGACTACAGCGTGAGAAATGGAATGTTGATAGTTTATGATATGGACGAGTTTCGGCGTTGGCTGTTGGCCAGTTTTGCGTAGCCAAATGATGAAAACCACTCACTGGTATTTAGGTCGCCAGGTAATATTCTGGCTATGCCGATATCTGCTGCCGTCCTTCCCCCCGCCTCTTTTGATAACGGCGTCAGAGGAATTGCGCCTGCCGCTGTGTTTCAACAACTTCGGTTATCCATTGAAGTTGTGGCCTTGCAACCATTGTTTCACCTGCGCTATCACACCAGGCCTATCTCTTCCGTAGTCACCTGCCCCCCGCATTATGGCTGCCGTAGACCTTGTAGCCCTAGTACCTTTTCGGCGACGCGCGGCTATCTCTACTAACCTTCGCAATCATGCGTCCCAAAATGCGGCGCTGGTGCTTGGGGAGGGGCTGTGTATCGACCTTGTCGTCCTCTTGAAAACCTACAGGAGGGCAGAGATAAGCTCTACACTAGCTGGAATCCGGGCCCACTGGGAGCGGGGACCCATTCCTAGATGGCCAAGCAGCAGAGCTGAATGCTAGCATGGACGGTGTGCTCGTGGCTGATCGCATCGCGAAGACCTTGGAAGCCATTGCCCATTTCGGCAACCGCGCTTATCTGTGCACCCACCCCAGCTATCAGCTCCCAACCCCGCTCGTCGACCTCCTACTAGCTCAGAGTCAAGGGTCTAGATCGTGAGGTCTGCCGTGCTGTCATCGATGAACCCAGATGCAAGAAGGCAATGTTATGGACATCGAGGTGCTCGCACGCCGTCATTTGACATATTTCAACCCCATGACGACTCAGATCTTATACAAGCGTATACGCATATGTAGATGGTTTGTACTAGGCGTCTCAGTAGGTTGGTCCGTGCGTACAGCGTTGCCAAGGGCCCAGACGAGAGGAGGTTGTCTCGGTCCTGCGGGACCACAAAGTCTTCTGCGTAACGGTAGTAATGCACATAGATGAACAAGTTCGTCTGAATGTAGGAATCATGAAGACAAAGGCGTCGACTCATTGGTATCACTTGATGCTTGTCAATCAGCTTTTATTGCTCATTGACCTTTCCGGGACAGTTCTACCGCAACTTTCATGAAGGAGGACTTCCACACTTATCGTAGTAGTAGAAAACCACGGTTTAATGGTTGAAGAGCATTCTATTGTGGCCTTGTCTGTCTATAGCTTTGAAGTTGTGCTACGGCCGCAGCAGTTGTCACCATTGAACGCAAGCTCGCTTGTAGTGTCCGGGGCATTCAAAACCCCACTGTTGTTCGCCGCAACCTGGCTGGGGGTACTCGCGAAACTGGGGGGTACATCCAGTACAGGACTGTTCAGGAAAAAGTTCCTAGGCTTGAGAAGCAGAGTGATAGGCTCAACAGGCATGACGGGAAAATCTTCCGGTGCCGGAATATGAGTGACACCAAATGTGTGCCATAGGACGATATCTGTGTTCTCGATTGACTCGTTGCCGTCGCCTACCCATTCTGGAAGACCGAGTGAACGCTCTCCTGAGGTCTGGGGGACATGGCGCCCAGCTGGCCAGAGCTGATCATCGGCATCTAAGTTAGACAGAGTATGGTCAGAAAACATAGAAATCCATGAGCGAGCAACAGGGTTGTTTTTCGCCAAGCACAGGGGAGATGTCGCAGGTCTGGGGCCAAAAGGGCTGCCGACTGACACTTGGTGACATGCACGGCATGTCTTGCAAAACCACCACGCTTCCAGACCAGAGATCCGGGCTTAGGTAAAAGGCCCGGCACCTCGCGACTGATTAGCTTGTAGCTGGCGGGCTTCCCGCTGTATGGATGGAGGCGGTTCGTGTTGCAGATCTCCCAAGTCCTAGACGTGCTGCCGTCATAATCCGTCATGGAGTCAGCAACAGTGCTGAACTTGGTTCGCCGAGCTGAGAAAGCATTGCCGTAGAAGTTCTCCGGGCTGCCAACAGGCGCGTCCGAAGCAACAGCATCAGCCATGAAGACTGTGTTGTTGGATCCATCAATATTTGCATCCACTCGAAGGCAGAACAAATGCTGATGATTATGTGCATTGACACCTACAGTAAGTGGTTAGAGTGAACAGCAACGGTCTTGATTTGTGTAGGGTTTGACGTACCAGGGTAAACCTGGGTGCCCCAGCCGTGGGTATCCTCGCCAGGATTCATAACAAATGTGTTAAGGATACCCGTGAGCTTGATCTCTGGCTGAATGGTTCCGTCTTGCTGCCTCGACAGTTAGCTTACGTCATGTCCATCTAGCTTCTGACGGCTTTCTCACGTGAAATATCCACTGAACATACGATTATTAGTTTCTTTCTGAGAAAAGATCATTCAAGCCGGGGAAAAATGCAGTGGACTGCTGCTTGAACATACCTGGATTGCGTACTCGTAGTTGGCTGCGGTAAACACCTGCTGAATGACCAGCTTCCGAGCTCGCGTCACAATGCTTGACTCATCCCGGAAATCAGTATGCTTGAATAAAATGCCAGCATCCTCCTCGTGAATGCAGATGGCGTTCTTGATGTTGCGAATTCCTCCGTCCCTGGTTGGTAACTCGGCATCCAGGTAATGAATCGCGCCCTTGCAGTCACACCCTAAGGCCAGACTGTTGGTCATGTAGCCGGCGCCATATTCGCCAAGATCGAAGGCATGTTTCCGCTGATGAGGATGCTCAGGGTTTCCGCTGAACCAACACAGTCAGAAGGAAAGAACCATGAGACTACAATGAAACCAGGGTGGTTGCGGGTAGTAGTGTGGAGACCAAGGCTTACTAGGGTACTACCATCTCAGCAAGGGACAGTCTGTAGAAGATGGGCCTAACCTCCCCTCTGTCGTTAAATGAAATGTCGTTGAGAACAATGCCCTCCCGGTAATTGAAACCGATGTGGAACTTCCAATTCTGCCACTCGATTTGACGTCCGGTAATGTTGAATGAAACACCTGCTGGCTGGGTAATGTTGATGGGCTTCAAGTCCTTCCGATACCCGCCAATCTTGTTGATAGCAGCTGGGTGGTAGTTGATAGGCTCAATGTTCGCCTTGCGCAGGGGCCGTCTGATCTTTGGAACGTCAATGGCAATAATAGCCTGCTTGTTTGCGTCGTAGATCGGGCAGAAGTCCAAGGGAAACTGGTACTGGCAGTCATCGATATTAGGGCGGTAGTACATGAGTGCCTGTTGCAGGCGAACTTGATTCCCAAAGCGCTCGTCATAGCCGATTGTCCATGGGTCGCAATAGACTTTGTGCATGTCTTCCTTGGGGATGCCGCTTAGTACGCACTGCTCAATCACTTTAGGGTCTGTGCGGCAGACGTGCTCAACGGCGTTCAGATCCTCCAGGGTGATCTATGATATGGTAAGCACATGGATTGCCCTTCTATCTCTAGGTTGTCCAAAACTTACGATGGGCTGCAGTCCGTCCAAGAGCTCCCATTTGATGACAGTGCGATTTGGCAGGTCCACCAGTCCGTCGAAGACTTGACCGCCGGTTGCGATTACCACAATGTCCGCAACGCGCGCGGGCTTGGGAGCCTTGCCTGGATTCGCGAGCCAAGCGGTCATCTCGGCCTTCCGTGGCTCGTGAAGGGATACAATATTGACAAAGGCGACATCATCGTGCTCGGCTCTAATAACGCTGATGGCGGTTTTGATTTCGCTCGCGGTCAGCGGATCCAGGGGATGGCCGTCTGCCTGGCTGTACGCTGAACTCATGGTGGTGTGTGTAAGTGCCGGGGCTCCGATGGCTCATAAGACGCGAAGCTGATCTTGGCGGCTTTGTGCGGGGCCTTGGAAAGCACAGTCCCTTTGCATGGATGAGAACATTTCGCCAACCTGTCCAGGTATTTATACATTCATGGGTAGGCCTGTGTTGGTGGCAATGGAGCGGAACGGGCCTGAAGCAAGAGCAGGCGAGACGAAACCATTGTGGACAGATAACGATTCGGCCATTCGCCATTCGCCATTCGCCATGACCTGGGCTCTGACTCGTGACAAATAGGCAAGAGTCAAGGCAATTTCCGTTCACTTTTGCCGGCGAGTCGGAGGAGAGCCCATCTGCGCTGATCAATTGTGCGTCGTGGCCACTCTGGATGGATGGAAGCTGAACACCGCGTTGATGGACAGATGATCCCGGGGACTAGCCCGCCCGTTAGTGATAAGCGGCTTTTGGCTCGGGGCCCGCCCAGGACTTCCAGTTTGGTCAAGCGCGCTTATCAGCGTATCTGGGCATGTCCCTCAGGCCACTGCCGGGCCCGACTCCCGTCGATTTAGGGCTATCCCCACATGAGTCGAGTCGAGCTAGACGCCGTGGCGATGAGGGGTGCGGATTCAAGCGGTGCTACCATAGAAGGTGACCCAGGCCGTCCATACCTTTCCTCTTGTCACTTGTGCAAGGATGACTATTTCCCCTCCCCACACTTCCCTTTCCCCAGGCTTGAGGGCAGCCATCAACTGCTGCACACACCTCTGTTTGCTGTGCTCTGCGCAGCACCCCGGCCCAAGCCTCGTCCAATTCGATTGCGTGACACGCGGACCGGATCGATCCTGCCGTGCTATCGTCGTCTTGCACCCTGACCTCCCGCCACTCGCCTTCGACAAGCGTGCCTGCCTGTCTTCGACCGAGCCCTCCACCGCCAAGCAAAGGGGAGACATATGGAGAGACCCGCCGTAACCCTGCACTGGGAAGCAACCACGACACCGACCCAGTTCTCGGGGAGCCCGGGCTCACAGCGCAACACGCCCAGGTTTAGACGCTCCAAGACCGGCTGCAGGACATGCCGTCTTCGCCGCAAGAAGTGCGGAGAACAGCGGCCCGTCTGCGAAGGCTGCCGGCGGAACCATCTCTTGTGCTCATGGCCAGGGAGGCCGGCACCGGAGGAGGAGAGCGGGGTCCCTGACGGCCCAGGCATGCACGCACTGGCTGCCATTGCCGCCCGGCCGGGGCCCCGGCAGACCGCCGCCCCGGCATCGATGGCTAGCCTGCCGACGGTTTCCAACTTTGTCCACCGATGGAACGAGATTGGAAGCCTCGACGAGGTTGGCAAGGCCAAGGTCCTGCTGCAGCATTACATCTGCTCCACCGCCTCCCGCTTGACCACTGGCAAGGGCAACAACCCGTATCTCAGCCTCGTCCTCCCTTTCGCCGAGCAGCACTGGGACATTCTGCATGCCCTTCTAGCCATCAGCGCGTCCCATCTGTCATATACCGACCCTGCATACGCCTATCCCACAAAGTCGCACTACGCGGTGGCCCTCAGAGCCGCCAAGAACCATGTGACGACCGTCGGCCGCGGACAACACGATGAGGCGATTCGCCTCCTTGTGCTCCTCGTCCTCCTCTGCCACTTTGAGGTACGTCGCCTGCCTTGGCATGCAAGCAAAGTTTCGACTCTCACCCTGTCTGTCGGCTCCCGCGGCTGACCTCCATGCCCAGGTGGTTGATGGAGATATGCGCGGCGCTATCCAGTTTCACCTTGCGGCGTGCAGGCACCTTTTGCAGCTCGTCTATGACTCTCTTCACCTGCAAAACAAAGACATTGTTGCTTTCATTGCAGAGCAATATCTGTATTTCAACGCTGTTGCTTACAACGTAAGACTCGATGAGACAGGCCTCGCTTCGATCGTACCGGCCACAGAGGACCTAGACCAGGACGAATTCTACCCGCTGCTCAGCGGCTCCAGCGTCTCCGGGTTCCTCTTTGGTACATCTGTGGACCTCTTCCGCCTGATACCCAGCGTAGTACATCTGGGGAGATGCCCCCAATCAGACCCAGCAGCCTCCCGACAGGACGATATTGCCCTGAGACAGGCGTTCCGCAGCTTGGAGATGTGCATTCTGGCATGGAGTCCGGACACGCTGGAAAGCCGCTTCCTAGCGCCCAAAGGCGTAGAGACACAACCGATGGACCACAGGGGAGGGCTGATTCTACAACGTGCCCTCCTCATTCTCCTCCGAGTAGCTCTTCACGGGCCCGGGCGTCCGGGTGGTCGCCTCCTTGGCGAGGTGAACGATTTGATTGGCAACTTCATGGCATGTTTGCGAAGAATCCCACTGAATAGTTTGACTTGGACCAATCTGCTTTGGGCAATCCTGACTGCGGGATCCTGCCTGCAGGCGGCCGAGGATCGAGAGTATCTGAGGAGCACCATGGGGGCTCAAGGACACAAGATGCATACACTATCGAGCGTGCTGCAAATTCTCAGCTGGGTATGGGAAGCCTCTGACTCGGACCTAACCTTTTACGGACCTTACGGCATTGCGAAGGCATGTGCGAGGCATAATGTTCAGATTAGCATGGGTTGACGAGATTCTGACGAGACAACACGTTGACAGTTATCTAATGACTCGTTGATATTCATAGCAAACCGTTCACGTCTTCTATAGGCGGGCTAAGTCGCCTCGCGTTGTTTAATTTGGTCTGGTACCATCGTGTTCTTGTGAAAGTGATCCACACAAGACCATTCCAATATGTCACTGTGGCTCCAGAAGCCAAAAGTGCTAGTCTCGGGGCTCATTGGGTCAGTTACACCAGCTACAACTTCGGTGGCAAGATGTTGAACTTGACAGTCTTGGTCACTGTCCAGTTGTCCAAAGCCTCCTGACCGGAGTCGCGCCCGAAACCGCTCTCCTTGACACCGCCAAAGGGCGTGTTGGCGTTGAGCATAGCCCAGCAGTTGACCGTGACTGTGCCGGTCTCGATGGCCTCACTGAGACGGAACGCACGGCTCACGTCGTTGGTGAAGACGGCGGAGTTGAGGCCCAGGTCAGAGTCGTTCGCCTTGCGGATCACCTCGTCCTCGGTACTGAATGGAGCAATACTCGCGAACGGCCCGAAAATCTCATCACGCATGATGGCATCATTCTGATCGACATCAGCAAAAGCCGTGTTGGCCATGAAATGACCCTTGCCTGGGAGGGCTTCTCCGCCATGCAAGAGCCTCGCCTTGCTCTGTTTCGCCCGTTCCACGTACGACAGGATCTTGTCAAGTTGCGCCTCACTAGCAACTGGCCCCTTGGTTGTCTCGGCTAGGAGCGGGTCGCCATGCACGGCATCGCGGCTCCGTCGGCTGAACTCCTCGACAAACTTGTGATAGATCGTGTCCTGCACGTAGATACGGCTTCCGGCAGCACAGATCTGTCCGTTGCTTGCGGTGATGCCTAGGGTCGTCCAGAAAAGGGCATTTTCCCAGTCCGCATCGGCGAACACGATGCTCGGGCCCTTGCCGCCCAGTTCGAGAGAAACCTTCTTGAGGTTTGAGCGTGCGGCAGATTGCATGATACGGCGCCCTGTGGCAGTGCTTCCAGTGAAGGCAATCTTTCGGACCGCCGGGTGGTCAGCGAGAGCTTGACCAGCTTCGCTACCCAACCCACAAATGATGTTGATCACACCGCGGGGAAAGCCGGCCTCCTTGATCAACTCTGCAGACTTCTGAGCCCAGAGCGGAGTCAGTTCCGCCGTCTTGATGACGATGGTGTTGCCAGCAGCGATGGCCGGTGCCAGCTTCCAGAAGAGAATCATGCTGCAAGTTTGTCAGTCATGACAGGCCGCAACAGTCTTCGTTAGTTGACACAGGGGAAAGCCCGGGCTTACAGTGAGTTCCAAGGCACGACGGCGGCGCAAACACCGATAGGCTCCCTGCGTGTGTAGGCGACCCCCGAGGGGATGGGCAAGCTAGCACCGTCCAACTTATCCGCCCAGCCGGCGAAATAACGCAGGTTGTCCACTGACTGCGCGACGTGGAGGCCCAAAGAGTCCCGGTACAACAGGCCACCCTCAATCGCTTCTAGAGATGCTAGATCAGGACCGTGAGCTTCCACGAGGTCGGCCAGCTTGAGCAGGAGCGCTCTTCTGGTGCTCGGATCACTATGCTTCCATGTTGCAAACGCCCTTTGAGAAGACCGTACTGCCCGATCAACGTCTTCTGCTTGTGCCGCCGAGACCTGAGCAATGATGGTGGCGGTGTTTGGATTCTCCACATCCAAGGTGGCGTTGTTGGTTGCAGGCACAAATTCATTATCGATGAACAGGCCGGTTTGGACTGACGGGCTGTGTCAGACCAGGGTATACGGCGGTGACCAAGACACCACAGTGGTCGGGTGAAGACGGCGGGAGGTTCTCCACGTACCGGTAATCTGACGACCCTCAGCACCTTGCAGTGTTACCGAAGAAGCCATTGCGAACAGTTCTATCCTCCTGGAAGGGGAAGCTTGGGGGGTATGAATTAAACAAAGATGGCGACTTGAGCTTTGAAATTTTCAGTCTCCCAACACTCACAGCTAAGATAAAGAACGGCGACTCGGAAAACATGCACCCGCGTGCTTGAGATATTTCAAGAACAGAAGAATTACGCAAGAATCGTTTCACTCCTACAAGGGAGGGAAACAAGTACGTAATTGGAGCTTGGCACCATCATTTCAGATCGATTAAGCGCGCTTATCTTGCCCGAGAGCCGAGATCCACGTGGAGTAGCCAACGATTCCCCGCACGCCGCAGTGGCGCCATCCAGGACCGGCTGAAAACATTGGAGACTTCAATTTACGCGCGCTTATCTGCAAATTTGGAGATCCGAAAATGATGGTCCCGGCCTCAACATGGATAATGGCGAGACAAAGCGTCCAGAACGCGCGGGGACCCTCGGACCCCGCTGGGTAGATTCCGACGGCCTCTGCAGAGCCCGGCAGGCTCGCAAGCCAAAACTTACACGAAGTTCCCGATATATGGGATGTAATAAGTCAAGAGCCATAGACTGCTTGGTGCTTGACTGCAAGCCCTGAGATGTCAACCTGCGTCCCCTCTTGGATCGACTGTTTCCGAGCAACGGTTGGGACTTTCCATAATGTGAGCATTCCTGCATGGAAGGTAGTTGACCTCATGTGCAGCGAAATTATACTAAACTGCCTCTTCATGAAGGTATACCACATCCTCTGCCTTCTTCGAGGCCTTGATCGAGGTAAGCAGTAGTCCATAAGCCGCTGTTGACAGGTCATGAGGCCTGAATTCTCGCTAACCTTCATATCGCGCAGGCGGGCGTCAAGAACTGCTTCGTCAACCTCGGATCCGACCACCCCAGCATTCTCGAAGCTATGATTCAAGGACAGACGGAGTATCCAGATTCATTCCCGCGGATCATCACATGTCCTAATGAAATGGTCGCGCTGTCCATGGCTGATGGATATGCGCGGCAGACGAACGAGGCACAGTGCGTCATCATTCATGTTGATGTAGGGACCTCTGGCATGGGAGCTGCCATACACAATGCCGCCATAGGAAGAGCTCCAGTCCTCATCTTTGCCGGTCTGTCTCCTTACACGATCGAGGGCGAGATGACGGGCTCTCGAACTGAGTACATGTAAGAATCCAACCCTACCAAAACATGAAGACAAGTGGCTTTTGAGGCATGAGGATTGACTCTCTGGTTGACGATTTTATCAGCCACTGGTTGCAAGACATCCCGGACCAGAAGCAGATCGTTTCCCAGTACTGCCGATACGCTGGAGAGATCAAGACCGGAAAGAACGTTAAGCAGATGGTTCATAGAGCTCTACAGTTTGCCACTAGCGACCCCAAGGGACCTGCATATCTCATGGGGGCTCGCGAGGTCATGGAGGAGGTGATAGAGCCTTACCAAGTGAACCCCTTGCACTGGAAGCCTGTCAGACCATCGGCTCTGCCCCAGAGAGATGTGGCAGACCTTGCACTGATGCTTGTGCAGGCGACGAACCCGTTGGTGGTCACTGGATATAGCGGGCGCAACCACGCTGCGGTCAAAGCGTTGGTCGAGCTTGCTGACGTGGTCAGGGGCCTGCGTGTCTTGGATACGGGCGGTTGCGACATGTGTTTTCCTTCCGATCATCCTGGCTGGCTGGGTATGAAGTACGGCGTGCACGGCAGCATCAAGACAGCCGATGTTATTTTCGTGGTCGATTGCGACGTCCCGTGGGTCAACACCTTGTGCAAACCGAGCCCGGAGGCCCGGATAGTCCACTTCGACGTGGATCCTCTGAAGCAGTTGATGCCCGTCTTCTACATCAACGCCGAGACAAGGTACCGGGTGGACGCGGCAATCGCCCTCGCGCAGCTAGTCGCCCGCATCCGTGGAACCCCAGCATTACTGACGAAGCTCTCCACAATCGACATTCAAAACCGATGGTCGAACCTCGAAAGGTCGCACGCGCAGCTCATCAAGTCACTCGACGCTCAAGCTGCACTGCCAGATCCCTACCTCATGAGCGGCGCGTACGTGTGCTCCACCATCCGAAAGATGGCACCCCCGAATACCGTGTTCGCCATTGAAGCCGTGACCAATTCGGTGATCGCCGCCGAGCAGATACGCCCTACCATCCCTGGGCAATGGTTCAACTGTGGCGGTGGCGGTCTAGGCTGGAGCGGCGGTGGCGCGCTTGGAATCAAGCTCGTTCTAGACGCCGTTTCGACATATGATGTAGCTAGTCGCAGGATGGTCGTGCAAATTGTCGGGGACGGGAGCTTCCTGTTCTCCGTTCCTTCCAGTGTTTATTGGATTTCGCAGAGATACGGCCTGCCCATCTTGACGATCGTGCTAAACAACAAAGGTATGGGCCCTAATTCTCGTCTTTCTCCCGACGACTCAGAATGGTTACCCAGCTTCGGGTAGGTCGTCTACTTCCAATTACTAACCCATTCAATAGGTTGGAACGCCCCTCGTAGGTCGATGCTGCTGGTTCATCCTGATGGCCCGGCATCCAGGGCTACTAACAAGGACCTGAATATCTCGTTCGATCCCTCTCCGAGCTACTCGGAAATCGCACGAGCCGCAAGTGACGGTGCCATCTTCGCCGCAAGAGTCAGCAACGCTGGTGCGCTTCAATCTGCTCTAAAGCAGGCCATGGCTACCGTACAGAGCGGGACGTCGGCAGTACTAGATGTCTTAGTTGGCTAGAGGCAGTCGCATAGGGCCGTCTGGGTAACTTTCCCGACGACCGTGAGCCTGTGTCGAGTGAATACGCTCTCGTAGCTAGTGATACACCAATTCAAAAAAAAAAAAAAAGAAAAAGAAAAAAAAAACCCCATAGCACAAAAGCAATATAATTTCGTCGTTCCACCGCGTCTTAGGCGGATAAAGCTCAACCTATCGCTTAATGAGCCTGAAATTATCTCGCTGACATATAGGTACACCATCTCGAAAGCCTGTATACATAAGCAGAAATAAACATGCGGTTTTGAAGACTCTGTCCAATGGTGCCCTACGTCATGTAAACTCCGACTTCTCACATCAAAGAACACGAACAATGGTACTAAACTAGGCCAGAATAATTCTCATCGAGAACATAATCCTCCGGCCTCTACCTTTACTCACGGTGAAAGATCTTGCCCGGATTCATTAGCCACTGCGGATCCAAGCTCCTCTTGATGTTTTTCATGATCGTGATAGGAACGTCTCCCAACTCCGCTTGAAGGGATTCAATCTTGCCCAACCCAACGCCATGTTCACCCTGGAGAGATTATGAGTTTAAAGATCTATGGGAAGAGCGATGGCGGGGATCTTACCGTGCAAGTTCCCTCCATTTCGAGGGCACGATATACCATGTCCTTTGCGCATTTCTCAACACGCACCCTCTCTGCGTCGCCATCGTAGAGGATGACCTGGTGGAAATTGCCGTCCCCAACGTGGCCAAGTATGCTGCCAAACAGGCCGGTCTGCGCCAAGTCTTTCTTTGATAGTTCTGCGAGAGTCTCCCCATGTTAGATTTCCAACGAGCTAACGGTGTTTTGGATGAGCGACTCGAAAATGGGTGATGAAGATGTACCAATCAACTCGGCAATCCGAGACAAGGGAACAGCAATGTCCGTTGTCCATGTGTCATTTCCGCTCTTCCGGAGCGCGAGCATGCTCCACAACGCTTCCTTCCGCGCCGACCACAGCTCTTCTTGTTTTTCTTTGTCGATTTCGAACTCCATGTGTGGGCTACCATACTTTTCGGCGATGCATCTCACCCGGTTGATGCTATGCTCAACCATTTCCTCATCGCCAGTAAACTTGATAAACAGCGTCGGCTGCTCCTTCCACGTCCTGCCGGTCGCGCCAATGGTGTTGATCACCTTCATCATGACGTCGTCGAGGATCTCGATTGCTCCCACGACCACACCCTTCTGAATGACCTCGACTGCCATCTTTGCAGCAACAGCAATGGTGGGGAAAGCAACGACAGCCACTCCGGTATGCGTTGGAAGCGGGGCTAGTTTGAGCGTCGCCTCAGTGACAAGTCCCAAAGTGCCCTCGGAACCGACAAACAGGGAATTCAGGTTGTAGCCAGCCGACGATTTCCTGGTTTTTTTTTGCAAGTAGCATCAGCATTATGGCTGGTACCGGTCTAGACCGAAAGAATCACTAACCTGGGTCGCCTCTTGGTCTTCACAATCGTCCCGTCCGCCAACACCACTGTCAAATTGACCACCCAGTCTTTCATGGTGCCGTAACGGACGGCGTTCGTGCCACTGTGAAGCGTGAGAACGAGTCGCATTTATGACGACTTGGAGATAGGCCGTAGATATTACCTGCAGTTTGTGCCAACCATCCCACCTATTTGTGCCTGTGAAATGTCAATAGCTGTCCTTGAATGCCAGAGGACGGCTGGATGAGACTTGCGGATGGGCCTGGGTCAACCGGAAAGAATAGACCGCTATGTTCAATCTCCTTGTTCAAATCCATCCATGACAACCCCGGCTGTACCTGGACATCCATACTGCGATGGTTAGAATCGCCTCCTGCCTCGATTCGACCTTTTGACTTACTCTTCGGCGTGGAACTCGACAATGCGGTTCATGTATGAGAAGTCTACGCTCACACCGCCATAAGGAGCAGAGAAGTGGCCTTCCACGCTTGAGCCACCCGAGAAGGGGACTGGGACGAATACTGTGAGAATCTATACATCAAGCGCAAGAGAGAGCTGGACGGCTTACTTATGGGGACGCTATACTTGGAGCATATCTTGGCAATCTTTGAGACCTCTTCGGTATTCTGGGGGAAGACAACGGCGACTGGCAGCCGGTCAACGTTGACGGTCGACCATTCAGAGTACCCGTGTGCAAGCAAGATCTCATCATCAGTGCTCACTGAGTCTTCGCCAAGAGTCTTGCGGATTTCTTGGACAGCCTGCAGCATTCGAGTCGTCAGCAGCAGACTTTCCATCTCTCAAATCTTGCGTCCCACGTACATCTTCTATCTCGGGGAGCGTTGCGTAAGGGCTAGAAGAGGGAGACTGTGCAGCGAGAGATGATGGTGCTAGTCTCAGACGGTGATCAAGCATTGACCACACCGCAGCTCCGGCAGCCAACAAGACCAGCGGGCCCAGGCTTAATGCCCATGCCTGGTTCGATGACGTGGGCGGAGCTGTCCCGCCGGTCGCAGGATGCGAGCTCGACTGGCTCCGTGCATGGACGGCTCTCGTGGGTAGAGTCTTGAACATTGGTGAAACGCGAGTGTGCCGGCTGCCAACGCGGTGGCCGGCACGCAGAGCGAGACAGGTAAGGGCCCCAGCTTTGTGAAGCATTTTGGACTGACTGCCGTTGTGTGGGTATAGTGTGGCCCAGATGAGGGCAGTCTGTTGGCAACCAAAGGCAAAACACCGTTGGAAATAATAAAGCAAAGAGGACGGGGGATGCCACCACCGCACAGCTCGAATTGACCCCATTGCATGCCGGGACACTTGCCGAAAGCCAAGGCTCTGTTTTCCTTCCGGACCGGAGCATGTTGCCACCTACACTAAGTGAGGTACGCACCCAGGTAGCCCACAGCCAAAGCCACTTCCCCTCACAATCCCACGCGCACCCCACAGCAAATGGAGCATCTCCCCAAGTTCCGGTCTTCAACTGGCAAGCGCACTTTTAGTGTGTAGCCATACTGTCACGCTACAAGGGCCGAGATCACAAGCATGGAGACTCTTGTATCGATCCTGTCGTACGATCGGCGGGAGAACTAAACTAACATGCCTGTGCTAGTGGAGTTGTGATCCCTGCCCTTGACAACGTGTAATCCGTCCGAGGTTAATCGCGCCAGGCCCCGATCTTGTGCCCCACTTGCCATTCCTGGGAGCCGCGCTTATCTTTGCACGCTCCTCCAGTCTTCTCCGACGACGTTTGGGTCAGCGGGAAATAAAAGTCTCCATAGTGGCTTCCGGCGGTGGTTGGGCCCGCGTACGTAGAGAACCCCTGCCCCTGGTTCTAGGCGTGGAGGGGGGTTCCGGAGCTGCGTCGCGGCATTTCATAAATGGACGTATCTTGTGCCCCAGGGCAAGCCGGCTCGACATAGGTAGATAAAGTCTACTTGCCCTCTTGCTTGAGGGACAAATCTAACTCTCCATCTACCAACGCGGGCTAAACTCTCCTGATTTCTCCTTCATCATCATAATAGAGCACCCCACCGCCATGACTACTCAAGACGGTTGTCACTACCATATCAACCAAGGGTTGATCCACGGAGTTCCCTCCCGGGCCAAGATATCGCCAGCCGAAAGGCTTGCCCCAGGCGAGCAAACTCTGGATACAATTGTGATCGGTGCTGGCTATGCTGGGCTGGTAGCCTCTCGCAACCTTGCCCTTCAAGGTACTTGGACACAAGCACGAAAAGATCTGGCCCGTGCAAGGCTAACGTGGTACTTTTGCTTTCCTAGGGAAGCAGGTTCTCCTCCTCGAGGCCAGAGACAGGATTGGCGGACGCACGTTCACCAGCGACATCGATGGCTACGGCTACGAGATGGGTGGGAATTGGATCCACTGGGGCCAGCCGCACGTCTATGCCGAGGTGTCTCGGTATTCTATGGCCAACGAGCTCGTCTCGTCTCAAGATTACTCGTATGAAGAAGGCAATTATTGCTCGACTATGATCCACGACACCAAAGGGCAGCTGACGCACCAAGAAGAGGTCAGTGAAAGAAAACCCTTGATCTGTCAAATGTGATATTTACTCAGATGCCGTGTCACACGTAGGAGCATATCGGTGAGACTGCCATGTCTATCTTTTGCGATGTTGACGGCCAAGGCGGCCGCAGGGTCGTGCCTTTCCCGCACAACTCGAGGTTCAAGGCCAATGTGTTTGCGAAATGGGATAAGGTCTCTTGTCAAGATCGTCTGGATCAAATCAAGAACAAGCTCTCTCCGCTACAACTTGCCTTCCTCACCTCGACCCTTATGCACATCTCCGGTGCCAACAACGAGGACGTGAGCGTCGCCGAAATGCTTCGCTGGTGGGCACTGTGCGACTACCGCAACAGCGGCATTACCGACTATGGACTCTTGTACAAGCTCAAATGCGGACAGACCGGCTTGGCCAAGGCCATCTTCGACGAGGCCGTCCAGCTCGGAAACCTGCAGTACAAGTTCTCGGCTCCGGCGGCCAGCGTTCGAGACGAGGGGAGCATCGTAGAAGTCACCACACGGGCCGGCCAGCGGTTTCGCGCCAAGACCATGATCAGCACAATCCCGCTCAACGTTCTCTCCAGCATCCGATTCACGCCCCCGCTGCCTGCGGGCAAGGCCTTGGCTGCCCAGCAGGGGCACGTCAACAAGGCTACCAAGACGCACTTTGAAGTCAAGGGCACGGGTCTGCGATCCTGGTCCGGCGTTGCCTACCCGAGCAAGGGCCAGATGTACCTCTACGGAGATGGGCTCACACCGGCTGGCGACACCCACATTATCGCCTTTGGCCCTGACCCAGGTCTTTTTGCCGGCAAGAAGATCGACAAGATCAAAGGTGCACTGACACATGTCAAAGACGCCGAGATCAAGCGCGTAGTAAGTCCATTCTAGCTGCGGCGGGCAGCAACTGATCCATCATGGCTCCCGTGTCCAAGCCCATGAGTACGAACTAAAGCATGTCCAGATTTTCCATGACTGGAACCAGGATGAGTTCTCAAAAGGTACTTGGGCAGTGTATCCGCCCGAGTTTGCCACCAAGTATTTGGACGATCTTCAGCGGCCTGTGGGAAGAATCCACTTCGCGAGCGCGGACTGGGCAGAGGGCTGGCGTGGATTCATCGACGGGGCTATCGAACAGGGCGCTCGTGCCGCTCTTGCCGTGTCCAAGGAGCTAGTCACGCGTAGATCTGTTCTGAAGACGTCGCACCTTTGACAGCTTGAACGTGATCTGTAAGAGGCTGGAGTACTATGTCGGCTATTGGTTGGAACTCCTTGCTCTGGTGTCGATGTGAGGAGAAAGCGGATAAAAGCAGTAGCATACCACAATCATCTCCGACCGAATGATCTTATTCGTTTCCTCCTCTTATAACGTGGATACTTTTCACTCCGCTGTCTCAGTCTTCTCCCTAAGACTTGCTTAACAGCATCAAAGAATTTGATGGCAGTGGCCGTGGCTGTGGAGGTCAGAGCCTGCGCTGGCATCGCTTGGCAAGAAGACGTGGGTATGTGAGAGAGATCAATGATGCCCTCGTTCCTGCGAGATCGGGTTCCGAGACTTCCAAGAAACTTCTTGTCTATCGAAAGAAACCCTCCCAGGAGACGAAGCTGTCTTCCACTCTGAGCAATCTGCTTGGTCGTAGAGTCTGCTGAGGCCGCGACGCTAAAACTGCACGTTGGCCCCCACCTCGCAGGGCACCAAGCCTCAGAGCGGCTACCGCGAGCCAGGCGCAAGCCACCACAGCCACAATGACTTCAATCGTTGAAGCTCGTTGGTGTATTGTGAAGTAGGTATTACGCAGCTCGGACAACTGCTGCTTGTCCACAAGTGGCGCAGGTGCCGGAAGTGTCGGTCAGGAGGCACACTCGGAGGTGAAGCTGCCCTTGTCCCTCGACTGCGACCCACGGCCAGACACCAAAAGTCATCATCCCACATTTCGATCTGAAGATAGATGAGGCACCGTCCTTGAAGCCAGTCATCCACTCCAGACCTCTCGCAGCTGATTGGACGGCATTACACCTTTCTTCCTCATTTCGCCCTCATCTTCCCGACTAATCCACCTCAGGGGCAAAATGATCTCTCTTGTCGCCTTTGACCTTGACGGTACTCTTGCCGAGAGCAAGCAGCCTCTCAAAGATTCGATGGGCGAGGCCCTGGCCGACCTCCTCGACGTGGCCCACGTCGCCGTCATCTCTGGTGGTGACTGGCCGCAGTTCCAGAAGCAGGTCGCTAGCCGCCTGCCTCCACGCGCCGATCTGTCCAAGCTGTGGTTGATGCCCACCACGGGAACCAAGCTCTTCACCTACCGCGATGGCGAATGGAAGGTTGTATACGCCGAGCTCTTCAGCGACGAGGCCAAGAAGAACATCCTGGCGGCCTTTGACGCCAGCCTCGAGGCCACGGGCTTCAAGCCGGAGCAGACGTGGGGCGAGCGGATCGAGGACCGTGGCAGCCAGATTACCTTCTCTGCCCTGGGCCAGCAGGCGCCCATCTCGGCCAAGGAGGTCTGGGACCCAGACTTTGCCAAGCGCAAGATCATCCAGGTGGACCTGCGTCAGCGCCTGCCCGATCTCTCCATCAACATGGGCGGCGCCACCTCCATCGACATTACCCAAAAGGGCGTCGACAAGGGCTACGGCCTCAAGCGTCTTCGCGATGCCAGCAACATCCCCCTCGAGGAGATGATTTTCATCGGTGATGCCATCTTCCCTGGTGGAAACGACTACCCAGCCAAGGAGATCGGCCTGAAGACGGTTCGTGTGAAGGATCCGGAGGGTACTCTTGCAGCGATTGCAGCGATTGTTGCATGCTTGGAATGAGCACATGCAAGCCTGAGTGCATATGGCGTTGGCGGCACCAATCCGAGAGTATCATAGGAAGTCACCAACCTGTTCCATGCAAGAGATTCTCTCTCAACGTTTCTGCGCCAGCCTGTAGTGTAGTGGCTGTAAGCCAATTCCAGAAATGGCCTGGGCAATCTCCTTCTCAGCTCCAAGAAGCGAATCCAGACAGCGCCTCCTGTCTACCAGGACAGGGACTTCCCCAGGCAATCTTCGAGCTATGACGAAAGAGTGCATTTGCCATGTCTGCGGTCTTGGCGCTGTATCCTCCACGGGCCTATTGCCATCTATGGTAGCTTCCTGCTCGGACCATCTCATTGGTAGTTATTTGCGGCTACCCAACGTGCTGGTTATCCTGGCCCAGGCAATGTCCTCGCGAAAGCTGCATCTGCGCCACTTTCATTTCAGTCCACTTCACCAACATCTCTATACCCCTGTCCGTGCCATCCTACCCATGCATACACCATCCAGCACATCAGCAGCTCGTTTCGTCATGCGCTTACATCGTGCTCGGTGATTGGCAGAGGGTTTCGTCTCTTCATCGATCGACATGTCCGCACTTGCAGCTTCCGCTTGGTTCCCAGCCTGCTCTTGAGCCTGTGTCGCGGGTCTAGTGTATGCCATGCACCCAAAATCATGACTGCGTGCTTGTAAACTTGAACATCTCCTTACTGCTCTTGTGCGCTTCGAGATCGATCGCTTCTTCCCGCTGGACAATTGCCAATAAGCGATCGTCGCCATGATGGTTCAGCTTCGGCTTAGCAGTCTGACATTAATCACGACTGTTGCTGCACTGTTTCCAGGCAGTTCGCGTGCCTCATGGGGCTCTTCACGTCATGGACTGCAGCCACGCGCCGACGCCGGCACGCTCGTTCAGGATATCAATTTCAGCCTGCGTCACGGGGCCTTCCTCGCAGCCATTAACGTTGGCACGCCCGCACAGAGACTCCGCCTGAAGCTCTCAACCACGTGGGGATTCAGCGTCATCACGAATTCTGAGGATGAAGAGTGCACTGGCTCGACGGCCTTTGATGGCTGCTCGGAAGGAAGCTGTGAGTCGAGACTGCCATGGACATAGCGATAACCCCAGCCATTCTTTTTTGACCCATGACTGACCTCTTTTTCGTCTATGTCACCTTCAGTCGATGCCGCCGCATCCAATACTTTCTACAAGCACACTGGGATGCATGGAAACTATTCGAACCCGGGAACGGACGAGACTCTAAACTTTGAGTTGTTTGAGGACAGCTTCAGCTTCGGCGACATCGCACTCAAAAACTTCAGCATGGGTCTCTCCGACGTGACCACCAAGGGCATAGGTTACCTTGGGCTCTCGTTGCCGGAGCCCAACATTGTGAACGAGTACCTGAACAGCAGCAGTACATCAGCGTTGGTAGACCAGTATCTCTCGTATTGGATGGTGCAGAATGCCAGCGTGGTCACGCCCGCTTTCAGCATATGGCCTGGCGACGGTGGTACGGTGGCCCTCTCCCCGACACATAGGCGCATCGTTGAGCAAGCAAGCTAACCAACACACACACTCTCTCGCATATCAGACAAATACTCTGGAAAACTCGTCCTTGGAGGCATAGACACCACCAAATACACTGGGGAGCTCGTGAGCGTCGAGATGTACAACCTCACGTTTTTCCTAGAGGCCATGCATCTGGCACTCACGCACGTCGTCGCCAACAGCAGCAGTGGCACCGACGAGCTCGCCGCCGACCTCCCTGTGGCTCTCGCGCTCGACTACGGCACCCCGATGTCGATTTTCCCGCACAACCTTGCCGTCGAGCTCTGGAAGATTGTTGGTGCGACGTATCTGCCCGACAAAAGTGTCCCTGCGGTACCGTGCGGTGCCGCCAATGCCAACGCCCAGCTCGACCTCACCTTTGGCGGTGCAGGCGGTGCAGTCGTGTCTGCATTCATGTCGGACCTCGTGCTCCCGCAGTCGATCATGGATCTCGGAAAACAGGATGCCCAGGGCCAGCCCTTGTGTGTCTTCCAGATCCGGAACCACACGGACCCGACATGGTTCTCGATGGGTAACTGCCTGCTCCAGTCGACATACCTCGTCGCCGATCTGCACAACCGCAAGCTCGCGCTCGGGCAGGCCGTAATCAAGCCCGAGGTTGCCAGCACGAGCCAGATCGTTCCCTTTGCCGCCCGCCGTGCGGGAATCCCCTCTGCGACCCCCGCGCCGAGCCCGGTGCCAAAGGATGTGCTGCCGTTCTTCAGCTCGGAGCTCCTCACGCAGTCCACCCGCTCACAGATCCCGACCTCCACGCCAAACCCGTCCACCACATACGCCGCGCAGGCCGGCTTCACGGACCCGGCGAGCTGGACTGCCAACATGACGAGCGCTGATGGGGACTCGGATGGGCTCGCGCAGTCTGCCCAGATCGGCATCGGGGTCGGCGTGGGAGTGGCCGTTGTTCTACTCGTTGCTGTAGCAGTCTTGTTTTTCAGACGACACAGACAAAAGAAGCAGCAACTTCAAGCTTTCAACAACAGCAATTCTGCAGCTGCCAATGGCTCGCCGTCGACAATGGCGACCAGCGCGTACGGCGAAGGCAAGCCCGACATGCAGACGAATGCGCCGCCCACTGAGCTCGGGGGCCAGCAGCTCCAACCAGAGCTTGCGACTTGGCACAACAACCAGGAGCTGCCTGGAGACACCGCCGGCGGCACTGGATATGGCTATCAAGGATCCCCGCCGCCCCAGCACATGTACTACCCAGGGCCACAACCTCAGCAACCGTACCAACATCCGCCCGTCGAACTTGACAGCACCATTCCCACACATAGGCAGTAAGGAGGATCTATCCATGTTTTTGTGGACGCGTGGCCTGATGCATTTACGGAAATTGGTATTGTGCCAGAACGGGCCTCTGGGGTGTCATTGAGGTGTATCTGCTGCGAGGGGTTTTGACGAGATAGGCAGAACGTCGACACTATCACAAGTAATAGCATAGTGGACGTATCATCCAAAGTGATGTTGATTGACTGGTTTCTTTGTCCAGTCTTCTCTAGTGGTCCATCCTTGTGCCACCTTGCAGCTTTCCTGACACGGGGTTTCATATATACGACCAAGGCCAGAACAGTGTCCGAACTTATTCTCCAGGAATTGTTACAAATGGTTTCAAGTATGCTCTGGGAAACGACGATCCAATGACCTCATGCTGACTCGATCAACAGCCTTGTATACTCACAGTCCTGCTGAGAACTGTTCCTCTGACTACCGCCTTCTCCGCGAATGGGATCCTACGCCTCGCCTATGGCCGAATTGCCGTTCTTTCCAGCTCATGCGGCTGCTGCAGTACTGATGGTGGGAGCTGCCTGTGGATCTCACGTTTCTTTAAGTATTTGGCTGTCCAGAGCGTTGTCTCTACATCATCGCTAAGAAAAGAGCGGGCAGCTCTTATTATCTAAAGTGAGGTGGAGGAAGATGTTCCTTGCTAAGGGTAAAGCGAGTCCCAAAGGTTACGATAAGCTAGCAGCCATGCCGGTCGACCATTTATCAGAACAGCTGTCTAGTCTGATCTTTGTCTGGCGACTCCTTCTGGCTAGGCCATGCAGGGACTTTTCTTCAGTAGTCAGCCATACCGAATGGGGGAATTTAGTGTAAGGATCGACCGGGGCAAACGTGCGTCTCCCCTGGAAGTGGGCCCGAATTGGGGGTGTTCAAGGTCGGATGCCGCCAACCGGGAGCACATCCCCGCAGTCGGGGGTAGAGCGGAAATCAGGTTCAGGTGGAGCCGGACGAAGCTCGAGGCGACGCTTCCGACAACGATGTGCCCTACCTCAACCGTCTGGAGCAATTGAATAGACTAGGAGCCTCCCCTACCCCCGAGTCGGCGCGCTCCCGCCCGTGCTCAAAAACGAAGAGCCTGAGTGCAGGGTCATTCATTGCGTTTGGCTATGGTGCAAGAAAGCTATATAGTTTGCTCCTCTGTAGATGAGAAAGTGAATGCCAGATCTGAGATTTCATCGCACCGACCCAATTGAATCGGCTCAAATCGTCCTGCTACTTGTGATTCCTCCCACCACTTCTGTTCGCTCGATCATTGATCAATTTACGGGCGGCCTCTTATTTTACCCAATTGTTGACCAGTGTGGTGATTCAATATGGGCAGTGCGGAAAACCCCGACGCCTCGCTCCTGGTTCCTCCCGAAGGTGCAATCGTGCCCTTATTGGTCAACGGCCAGGACTACATCGACGCCGACCCAGAGAGGCATTCCTCGCTACACCACGAACACAATCTTACAACTCCATCCAAGACCATCTTTCAGGGCGCCGACGTGAAAATCACACGCGAGGCCATCGATGGTGCCCAGCAGGCGTTTGCTAATGGTTGGTCCCAAGCATCAGTGCCCATGAGGCGGGCCCTGTTCCATAAGATGGTCGAGGTAAGTGTTGTTAAGGACTTTTCGGTACTTAGATCGCCTATTGACGAATGCATCCCTAAATCCTTAGGGGATAAAACAAAACGAGAGCGCCCTTAAAGCCCTGATTAAAGCAGAGATACACTGCGACGATCTGTGGGCAGACATCCAATACCACGGTGGGATCAGCGTACTCGAGGAGTCGGCAGCCTCGCTCAGCTCCGAGGCCACGAACGGCCAGATCCTGCCGACGGTGGTCGAAGGCGCTTACCCTCTGGTGGTGAACGAGCCCTACGGTGTCGTCCTCGCCATGGCTCCCTGGAACGCACCGCTTATTCTGGGCCTGCGATGCATCGCCGCGCCCCTTGCGGCATGCAACACCGTCGTCTTCCGGGTTTGTTGTCCGTCCCGGCCATTACAAGGAGTTTTTCTTCGTTTCTGATCAGGTGGCAACAAACCAGGGCTCCGAGATGTCCCCAAGGGTACACTCGTTTATCGCAAACTTGGTTCGCTACGCAGGCTTCCCGCCCGGCGTCTGCAACTTCCTGCTCCACCGGCCACAGGACGCTGCCGAGGTGTTTGAGACGTGCATCAGCCACCCGGCTGTCAAGAAGGCCAACTTTACCGGCTCGACAGCAGTCGGCCGTGCCATTGCCACGGCCGCTGCAAGGTTTCTCAAGCCGGTCCTGCTTGAGCTCGGCGGCAAGAACGTCAGCATCGTCCTTGAGGACGCGGATCTGGACAAGGCAGCCGCTGCATCGTTGCAGCATGCCATCATCAACGTGCGTACTCGCTTGCAGGCCGTCCTGGTCCTTGGCCAACCAGCGTCACTCCCCCCGGCTAAGCATGTCACTGTCGCGAGCCTTTGCTGACCGCTGCCCGGCCGGGTGGCCGCGTGCCCAAATAGAACGGCCAAGTCTGCATGTGCACAGACACGATCCTCGTCGCGCGGCCCGTCCTGCACGCTTTCAGCGCTGCGCTGCACCGGCAGCTAGGTGCTCTGTCACCGGCTGACTGCCGGGTCATATCATCGACATCGCGAGCCAACCTGGCACGGATGCTCGCCGAGGCGGCCGCGGACGGCGCCACTATCACGCAGGCACCAGGCGGCCGGTGCGAGGGTAACCTGGTGCCGGTAGCGGTGCTTGAGAATCTGACCGCGGGCGCTGCATACCACACCCAAGAGGCATTCGGGCCGGTCGTGGCGGTGCATGCGTTTGGCCTGGAGCAGGAGGCGGTGGACTACGTCAGAGCCACAGGCTACGGGCTGTCGAGCGCGGTCTGGACTGGCGATACGATGCGGGCGATGCGGCTCGCCAGGCAGCTCGACGTCGGGGCCGTGCACGTCAATGGCGGCACCGTCCACGACGAGGGCAATTTTCCGCACGGAGGCGTGGGCAACAGTGGGTATGGGCGGTTTGGCGGCACCTGGGGCCTGCGCGAGTTTACACGGTCCAAGACGATCATGCTGTATCCATGAGATGAGGCCGACAGTCAGTATTGTTCGCCAAGTGGATGTTGTGTATATGATATGGCGAACAGCAGATAGGGAGGCCGCCTGGGCGGGTTGGTGAGAGACTTGAGCCTTGAATTGTATTCTCTAGAGTGAGCAATGCGGAAGAATCCCCAGCAGTGTAAATCTTGGTGCTGGTGCAAGGAATTGGATGTCCGACAGAGGTGACACGGGTGCGCTGCGTACGTTCGCATGTCTTGCATCTAAACAGTGATGAACGCATGCGCAAACCTGGGGCCTCCCCCACACCTCCCCGGACGGCCCCGGAAACCCCAGTCTCAGCACTCTGCCCAACCCCCAGCTGCCCCCCCCCCCTTAGGGGCGTTCTTGTACCCCATTCTCCCCCTTCTTCTCGCCTGCGTACGTACGTCTTCGCCATCACACCCAGGGGTGGACGCCTCCGCTGCACAGGGCCCAGCCAACATGTCTGGTATGTTGCCGCTCATCTCTTGCCCGCATGTTGGCCACGGGCTGTAAACACTCACATGATCACATCAAACCATGATTCCAGACACCTCTCCTTCCGCTGGCCCCGTTTCCAAGAGGAAGCGCACTGCCCTGGCCTGCAACGTCTGCCGCTCTCGCAAGTCCCGTGTACGCCCGCTCTCCTCCGCCAGTCTCGTTGTCCTCCGCCAGCCTCGGCGGTCCCTGCATTCGGACCAGGCTGGCTCTTACGCCCTCGGCTAACCCGATTGTCTCAGTGCAACGGCGCCCGACCCCAGTGTTCCATGTGCAGCGCGGCCGGGTTCGAGTGCATCTACGAGACCTCTGACTCGGCTACAAACATCATCGTCCAGAAAGAGTAAGTCCGTCTCCTCTGCACAGCACCATGTTGCTCAGGACCACTGACTCCTCTCTACAGATATGTAGTCGGTCTCTCTGATCGTGTACAGGCCCTCGAGGCTGCGATAGCAAAGCACAACAAAGCGATCCAGGACCACGAGACAAGGCTTCAATCTGTCGAGCCTCGTGGTCAAAGGACCCGCACCTTTGACGATGATCATCCCGGGCCTGCAGAACTCGGCCAGACCCCTGTGTCGATAGCGAGCGCTGACAACCAGGAGGCTCCATCCGAGGAGCGTGTAACCGACGGCATGGTCATCTCTTTTGTGAGCGAGGCAGACACCGGCCACTTTGGTATAGTCGATGCCCCGTCCCTTTGCCGGGCTCCTTTCACTACCTCTGCATACTGCATGATGTGATTTGGTGACATACTCAGACTGACAGCGTATCGGAGCAGGGCCCTCCTCGAACATCGCTCTCCTCGGCCACATCTCGCAAGCAGTGTCGTCTTTGGCCAACTCTCACGACATCCCTTCTTCTGGCGTCATGGAAAACTGGGCTCGTATCGACAGCGGCATCATCAACACAACGCGCCGCGCTTCGCCTGAGAATAGCACCGCTGATAATGGCCTTCGGATACACCATGGAAATCCCTCGCCATACGTTCTTCCCTCTGAGGCTGTTACCCGAGAGCTCATGAGACAATACTTCTCAAACACAGGTTTGCTCTACCCATACATTCATGAACCTACGTTTGTCAAGGAGTACGACGACCTTGTTGCCAATGGGTTCAAGAAAGCCCGCCGGCCATGGCTGGCCCTCCTGCACATGATTCTCGCCATGTCCTCGAGCACGCTCGTAGTGGACACAAAGGAGGAGCGCCAGCAACGAAATGCCGAGTCGTTGCTGTTCTACAAGCGAGCTGCGAGACTCTGCGACAGCCAGGAAACGCGAGGGACAAGTCTTGAGACCGGTGCGGATGTTCCTTGTGCCCGAATGAATTCTGTCCCAGGCGCTTATAAGCTAACACACAACAGTTCAATATCTTCTCCTCGCGTGCCATTACCTGCAGGGCACGCAAAGCTCTGTGCAGACATGGTCCACACACGGGTTGGCAGTCAAGGCCGCTTTATCTCTTGGCCTGCACTCCATCAACGCGTCAAAAGACTTTTCACGACACAACCAGGAGTTGCGAAAGAGGGCATGGTACGGTTGCGTTGTTCTGGATCGGTAAGAGTAGATTTACCCCTTCTTGAAGAAAATCGCAACATCATCCCGTTCGATAATCTTCGATAGCTCATACTCTGCCGCGTTCAGAATGCTGAGCCTGACGTTTGGGCGTCCCGCAATAATCCCTCGCCATTTCATACGACTGCCTCTGCCCGAGGACTTTGCCGGTCTTGACACGAATAATGGTCCGACCAGCGCACTTCTTCTTTCTGCCCAGTTCTTTGGTGGTACAATGTAGGTCGCCTATTCTGAATCGTTCCATTTCACCAAAGGGCGACCGTCATGCTAACGCAGACCTCTAGCACACTTATGAACGTGCTTCACGAAGTGATCGCTGACCTCTACGGCGATAACCTGGGCTGCGACCCTCCCCTGGAGGAAGGCGAGATGCTCACCCGGGTGTTCCGCCTCGACCGTGCACTGGGCCAGTGGGAGCTCGATCTCCCGCCGGGTCTGTCGCTGCTGCAGCCTGGGGACCTGACGCAGCTCGACCCCTCAGATACTGTACACCTCCGATTCCGCACCATCCTGACGCTGCGGAAGCTGAACCTCGAGACTCTGATACACCGCCCTGCGCTCGTGCAGACGGTGGACACGCTGAGGAGGAGCCCCGGCTCGAATATCGGGGCTCCCAAGTCGCTGCAGAGCATGCGCCAGAGCTCGATAAACTCATGCGTCACAGCGGCCGAAAGCATCATCTCCATCATCCACCAGACGACGACGGGCGATGGGCCTAGAAAGCGTTTACTTGGAGCATGGTGGTTCAGTCTCTACTATGGTGAGTCCCAGAATATTCATCCACTTTTCTTGTCTTTCTCTTTTTTGAACCCCTGCCGCCGCCGAGGGGAGAGGGGGGGTGGGGGGCGGCGGACGTGGTGTTTATATACCTGAGTACACTCCCAGACTCAGCTGGGCACGACAATGACACGCTGACTCTCGAAAACGAAAAAACAATCGCGCCATCGATAGTATTCAACGCGTCCCTGATTCTGTTTACGAACCTGTTGATGGCTATGCAAGGGGGCCAGGTGGACAGGTCAGCAGCCCTCCAGCGCTGCGACGAGTATCTTCTCATGGCGGTAGAAGCTCTCCGAAACCTCGACGCGGGCAACATGGTAATCAAGATCTGCAACCATCGCTTATCCCAGCTGCGTCAGCTCTTGCTGTCGTGGAGTAAGTCAACCCCCTTCCACCCCGCGCCGCTTTTGGCAAACGCGAGATTGTATTGTAGACGCTGATGCGTGGCTGCGGCTGCAGTGCCAACTACACTATACACAGAAATGGCAGGGGAATCGTCTGTTGGCCAGACCTACAGCCGGATGCATCCGAACGACTCCACGGCGGCATTAGGAGAAGAAGGCGCAGGAGGAGGTGGGGGCGGTGTATCCATGTCTCGGGCGTTGTTTTCCGAAGAGTCAATCCTGTTGCAAGATGGAGGTTTGGAACTGAGCCAGTTCTGCCTGCCGGGGGACCTGTCCATGTTTTTCGGACAGGACAGCTGAAACAGTGTCATCAGGAGACCATGGCTGGAAATCGACTGGAAGACCAGAGTGCACCACACCACCACTTGCCCCGGCCCCATGTTGTTGTTGTTGTTGTTGTTGTTGCAAGAAAAACCAGTTGCTTGCGGATAAACATGTAGTAGCTCTCTCTCCGACTGGTCTATAGATGCTCTACACCTTTGAGATGGACTGCTAAACCAAATAGGCGGGCAAAATAAAAACCACATCGCGACAAGACCGAGTGTGAGATCTCGATAGCCAATCTGCCTTGTTCTGAGATGGACAGCGAACATTGGCATAAAGCGGAGATAAGAGTCCTGCTGCGCCACGACCATCCTCAGTTGGACTGCCAAAGTATAAGTTGCCTCCCGGCATCAGCAGCATATTCGGCAATATCATAGGCCTCCAGAGAGTTATCCTACCAGAAGAAAAACGAAGCAGGAATGCGAGGGCTGCTTGGGCCTTTGTCTTCTTTTCTTTTATTGGCTGGAGAAGTGGTGAGGCTTGCAGCGGCAGTCCCGCCCCATCATCCAGGTGACTTGTTTTAGAAATGCGATCTGCAAGTGATTATCTTAGACAGGCCAGGCAACCTGGGACTGCACGAGAGAAAAGGGACCTTCATGCGCGCGATGGACGAGAATGATTGTTTGCACTATGTATCTACGAAAGAGAAATGCAGGCTTCCATTTCCAGGATAGGCCCTCTCCTCTAAATCGTTCCCGCAGTAGCTTTACCATGTCCGGGCACGCTCAGGCAAACATGATAGAGTTCCGGAGAGTCCCGATATTCGTAATGTGCACTTGAACGTCTGTCCCAGGATCGAGCCACCGTGGAGGGTCCATATCACCACCAACGCCTGTACTTAGAATGTGAGCTGCAGCTCGACGAGTGGTTTTGACGGGCAGGGGAATATAGGTGAAAAGTACCCAAGAAAGCCAAAAGTGGTTTGGGCGACTTGGAAATAGAGATAAAAGGACAGTCGTATGGGGAAAGTATCAACCATCCGCTACAGTACTCACCACCAGGTGTTCCCGTCATGATGATGCTTCCCTTCTGCAACGTTGTGCCTGTAGACAGGTATGACACGATGTAGGCACAGTCGAAGAGCAGATCTGATACCGACTCGGACTGTCGGAGCTCGCCGTCTACCGTGGTCTTGAGCCAGAGCTTCTTGGGATCTCCGACGAGCTTGCTTGCGACAAGGGCAGGGCCGATGGGCGCGTACGTGTCGAAGCCCTTGGAGAAACTCCACTGCGGCACGCGGCCGGCGTACTCGGGGTTGCGCTGCAGCTTGCGTGAAGAAATGTCGTTGCCGACTGTGTAGGCCGCTACGTAATCGAGGGCGTCTTCGACTGAAACATCCTTGGCGTCGCGGCCGATGACAAGAGTCTGTGTTTTTCTCGGGTTGGATTAGGGATTCTCGAGCACGCCGTACGCCAGTGTGGCCAGCCTTCAAGCGAGTCGCTCACAGCATCATCGTTCAGGGCCACGTACCAGCTCACCCTCGTAGTCCGCCTGGTCATTCTGGGCGATCTTAGGAATGATGACAGGCGAACCAGGGCCCGTGATGGATGTGTTGGGTTTGATGAAGATAAAAGGGAAGGGCGGCGGTGTCCGCCCAGCCTGTTGGACTGTAATCACATTGTTTGATCAGAATTGCATCGACCAGATCCCCGAGAAACCTAGAATGGATGATGGGTCAACCACCTACTGTGCTTGGCGTAGTTGAGGCCGACGCATCGCACACAGGGGATATCCGGGCCCGCCAAGGGGCTGAGCAGAGCTTTGATCGTTGCCGTCTCATCTGAAACCTCGGTTGCACCTGTTTCATCAAAGATGTCTGAGCCAGTGATAATCTTCGCTTTGACGCCGTCAGATTCTGCGAGAAAGCCTAGGTCGTAGTCCGGCGTGGGCAGGATGGGCTCGCCGTATAGGATGCGGCCGTCCACAGCCTCGAATCGCACTAGTCGGTCCCAAGAAACGCCCATGTTGTCGGAGGGGTGGGATCCGAACCTGTACGAATGTGTGAATGTCTGATAGGTAGTAGTGCAAGCCCCTGTGGAGAAAGGTATTTGACATGGAAAGAAGCCCGCACGCTTCAGTGGTTGGTACGACGTGCAATGGACCGCACTAGCAATTCATCAAGATGAGTACTGCACATCAAGTCAGGCAAATATAATTCGGAGTGATTACGAGCTGGCGTGCGTCCCCAAGCACGAAATCATTCCGGATCGGTGATGGTGTCCCCAACACCTAGCGTTCCCACGTCGGCTTGCTTCCCCGTTCCCCCCTCTTTGCTCCGACCTATCCCCGGCGACCCCATTCTTTTGCACAGCCCAGTCTATGCCATTGCTCTAGAGCAACTGATGGATCTCGATCTTGACATGGTTCGGCTTCTGCGGCGGCAAAAGATTCCCTACAAAGCATGACTTGTTGAGCCAGTCGTGTTTCCCGGGGGCAACTTCAAATCTAGGCCACGTTTTGGTGTACCACGCACGACCCTCGTCCGCCATGGATGCCGACGCTGGGTCGTCGCCAAAGACAGCCTTCATGGTGGCCTGCGAGGCACGGCCGTAGCCCTCGTTGGTGATGTTGACCAGCGTACCATCCTCGAGCTGGATGGTGTATTTTGCTAGGACGTGGACGACGCCGTCAGCCCTCACTGCATTCCAATCACCACCCCCATTGAGGATCTTGCCAACGACATGCCCGCTGGAGTCTTCAACCAAGCCTCCGGTGATGGGGATGAAACGGCGATCCCCGCTGAATGTGTTGCCAAATTCCAGCGGGGGAGATAGGTCAACGTGAAGGATGAAGACTTGCTGCAATTCCTGAGGCATGGTGTTGCTTGTCGAGTGCGAGCCTGGGGAGCCTGCGATGGGCAAGATGACAGGCTTCCGATCCAAGTGTGCAATTGATAGCTTGGCACCGCTGCGACGATCTTTGTGATGTACTGCGGGTTTCTTGAAAACGTAGAGCGTGTGCGAGCCTGCAAAGACGATATACGGCCGGGAAAGATGTCTGTGGTGCCTTATCGGGGTTCGTGATCCGGGGAAGGAGCTGGGGTAGCCCAGCCCCATCCGGGGAAGCATCCGTTACCCTAAGGTCTAGTATCTTTGGTACAGGAAATTGCAAGTTGTCCATGTATGCCTGATTGCTGTTTCAATGAGCACAACCTCCCCCTTTATTCCCCGATTAAGTTTGACGTCCAACTCAATATAAGGGGTACAAAGGCCCGGTTTGCGGCCAGGTTCTTCTCTCTCGCCATCAGCCCCAGCAGATCATTGACCTTTTCTAACTCGAGCACAACGATTGACGAGCTGCTATTGTTCACAAACTCCGTCTCAACCAGCCACTCATGTCTCCCTCTCCCGACCACAGTCACCACCCTGGAGGTGGAGTCGCCCTCGCGGTTTCCGAGAAGCATCACGGAATCGCTCTGTGGCCGACTCCATCGACCGATCCAAGGGATCCGCTACGATGGCGCAGACGTGTCAAGGTCGCGGCCATGCTGGCAGTCTCGCTGTCAAACTTTGTCTCCAATTTTGCGGGTGCTGGTTTCTCGGTGGCCACGCCTGTGCTTCAGGCCCAGTTCCAGAAGACGCCATCGGAGGTGAACGCGTTGCTCACGGTAGGTTCTTGTTCCTGCAATTTCTGACATGCAATCTTCATCATCGTCCACAATCAAGAAGAGAGATGAGACTGAGAGTCTTGTTAGTTCAATTTCTTGCTCCTGGGCCTTGGCAATCTGGTCTGGGTTCCCTTGGCCTCGAAGCTCGGGAAGCGCTTCGTCATGTTATCGTCGATGGCCCTCTTGTCCTTCTCTCTCCTCTGGACTGCCAAAGCTACGACATTCAATAGCCTCTTGGCAGCCCGTTGCGTGACAGGTTTCGCGTCGGCTGCTGGCGAGGTAGGGACCCGCCACTCTCTCCTCCGAACGTCACAGGCCACCTGTTTACATGACTACAGAGTATCGTTCCAGGTGTCGTATCGGATATTTTCTTCCTTCACGAGAGGGCAACAATGATGGCAGTGTAAGGCGGAGACTCCCTCTTTTCACTACTTTCAAGTCGCCTTGCTGCGGCACATTTGAGGATATCTACTGACAAGCAGATCTCTGAACATAGATATGTTGTCATGACGTCTGGAGCCACTGCCGTGGGTCCGCTCGTCGCTAGTTTCATGGTGGGATACCTTCCGGGCACATGGGTTGACTTCTCGTGGCTGTGTATGGCGTTGGCATTCTTTTGCTTCCTATGCATGTTCTTCTTCTATCCGGAAAGCAACTTCATCCGGTTGCGCGAAACACAAATCCAGGCTCGTCGCATTCATGACGCTCCTCATGACGAAGCTGCCAAGGACGAGACAACATCTAATCACCAGGAGACTAGCGCTGAAAAGCCCACTGAGCAGGGTGTGCAGCATCTGGACCATATCGACATCGATTGGCCCAAGGTCTGGACTTCCCTCGTACACTACGACAACTCGCTGAAATTGAGCATCGCAATACTACGGCCGATTGCATTTGTGGCGTTGCCTCCTGTCCTTTGGGCCATTCTCATTTACGGCTCGGCGCTCGCCGCCCAGATTATTCTTCTGTGCGTGCCTGCAACCATTCTCCAGCCAAAACCTGTTGACGGGCGCTAATCTTACCCTGTGAATAACAGCTTTGCTTTCCCGTCTCTCCTTATGGCACCACCCTACCTCTTCAGTCCTGACGGTGTCGGCCTCATCCAGATCGCTGCTCTGATTGGCTTCATCGCTGCGTGCTTCAGTGGTGGCTTGATCTCGGACATTATTGTTACCCGGCTGATTCGGCGCAACAAGAATGAGTTCTTCCCCGAGCAGCGGCTCGTGTCTCTCATTCCGGCCTTCTGGGTTGGTCCACTAGGCTGCATCATCACAGCTGTCGTGTGCTCGCAGCAGCTATCATGGGTAGGAATTGCGTTCGCATTTGCGATGCGTGAGTCTCCCCCCCCCCCCCCCCCCCCCGCCCGGCCCCCCTCTCGCTCCGCTCTTTTGCTCTATCGCCTTACCGGTTGCCACGACCGGATGACACGCGAATCAACAGCTGACATGCTCAATCGAAATTGCGGCCCTCCGCTTTGAGTAGTCTCCTATGGCACCGTCTTCTCCCCAAACATTGCCATCACATATGTCGCCGACTCCTTCCCGATGTACTCGTCCGAGTGCCTGGTCGCCATCAACGCCTGCAAGAACCTGGTTGCGTTCCTCTTTCTCTACGTGGCGACAGAATGGGTCAGCTCCCGAGGCTGGGTCCAGGTGTACATGATCATGTTCATGGTTACCATGGTCGCGTCCCTGCTCGCCGTGCCGATTTACTACCTGCGCCATTCTCTCACGGGCGCCAGTCACAGAGTCATCACCCGCATCAACAGGCTTGGCTAGAGCCGGACGTATTTTCACGGAAGCCTAGAGCTCGGCGAAGGTTGTGTCAAGGTAGAACGCTTCATCCAAGTAGCTCAAAACCTCGCCGATCGGGATGGCAAGAACGGTCTGCAAGGTCTACTGTACTCGGGCGCAGGCACGCACGGGACAGGCGTGGAGGTGGTGGTAACAAAATGAGACGATCAAAATGTATTTTGTGTGAATTAGATAGGTATCTAGGAGAAGGTCATTTGGCATCTTGAGGAACAGCATGTCTGCGTCAACTGCGCTTAGTCTGGTGCTGCCTCGTGGGGAGTCTTGCATTTAGCGCTACAAACAACAGGTCTGCCCCAGTGCCGCACCTCTCTCAAGCTTGGACATAGCCTGCGGTTGCTGGACACGCGCGGACTGTTCCGTAAAGGGATAAACCGCCATGTGTTCTGAAGCGGATTACAAGTGACCTTGACGATAGCATCAAGTGTAGCATCTCTCAGAATATGAGACCATGGACAAGCCGAGAAGGACAGTATTGGTTTATTTCTACATGAGCTCGAACAATCTGAAAACCTCAGTGGCTGACAAGCCCCTCCGCATCATCTTCAGAAGTCCGGTAGAATCCCAGAGACGTGATCATGGGCACGTCGTCGCAGCGGAACAGGTAGACGTCTCCCGCCCCGCCCGCCCCATCGGCGCAGTCCGCAAAGTGCTGGAACCTGGCCCAGGTCGGGATGCAGAAGGTGTCGTTGCGCTTCCATGTGAGCTTTTCCTCTTCGTTGTCCGGGCCGTAGATTATGGTGCGTCCGGACCCGCTGACCACGTGGTACATGCTTGATGCTGTCTCCTGTCGGATCGGGCTGGACTTGCCGGCCGTGACGCGCTCCGCGGCGGCGCCGAGCGTTTTGCTGACTGGAAAGAAGCACAGGAGCGTTTTGAACATTAGCAAATTGTTATGGGCTTTGTTCCTTTTTGTTTTTTTAGTATCGCAGGGTCGCTGGCATACACAGGCAAAGTCTGGATCAATGATGGCCGCTACCGGAAAAGGGCAGAAGACTTACCCTCGCTACCGTCGTTCCTTGTGTATCTCTGGGAGGCCCAGTCGCCGGCTTGGGCGTCAAGACGAGCCTGCATCTTGTGCCACTTGAAGACAATGGGCGAGGCATCGGTGTCGATGTCCTCGGCTGGGTAACGCGGGTCCTTGAAGTGCTCAACAAAGTGGACGGGGAAGTGGCGGAACTGGGGCAGGTCGAGGCCGTCGAGCCAGATCATGGGGCCGGAGCCGTCCTTGCCGTGGTCGTGCCAGTTCCAGCGTGGAGTGAGGATGACGTCGCCGCGGTTCATCTGGACACGCCGGCCGTGTACGGCCGTGAAGCCGCCGTTGCCCTCGATGATGAAGCGCATCGCGAAGGCGACGTGCCGATGTGCCGCGGCAGTCTCGTTGGGCATGACCAGCTGCAGACCGCCATAGATGGTGTCTGTAGTGTAAGGCGCCTCATCTGCATTTACGTTCCCCCCAGTGCCCCTACAAGTCAGTCAACGGGCGCGCGCATTTTCGACGTTGAAGATATCTCGGCGTCTGTATGATCTGGACTCACTGCGGCCTGGGTTAACAAGCATGAGGACTCGCCGCTCGGCCTGCTTCTCCGAGACAACCTGGCCGGCGCGGAGAAGGTATGGTCTGACCTCGTCGTACCGCCAGACATGGGGCGTGCACCTCGGGTTGGGCAGGGCAGGATTCAGTTTGGCCATCTGCGCCCATAAGGGCAGCGTCGCAGAGCCTTCGAGGTCCCGCACGAGCTTGTCGGCACTGTCGGCAACGACGGCAGGGGTGGGCAAGGTTTGGGTGGCCATGATGCAAGTGTCCTCAGCAAAGAGCCGTGTGGGCACTGAGTATAGCAGGCACTGGCCGCTTCCCTATGCTGAAGGGGCCTTGCCAAAGGTATGTACCCAAGGTACGTTGTTATGTTGTTCCCATCACCATCCAAGGGGCCGGCAGGGCTCCGCGCACCGGGGATAGAGCGGGCCCCACATCGGGAGTCGGCACCCCACAACCTCCGCGCCCCATGATGGAGACGGAGCACCTCCCCCGGCTGGCCCGGAGCTAAACAAGAAAACCTCGGGCCCGGGTCTCGACGATGGCCACAGGGGCTTCACACTCGGTTCACCATTCGACTCTCCGGCACAGCCATCACTATTCCGTACACAGTCATGGCAGGACACTTTCGAACGCAGGCCCCAGCGGCGTCCCTGCCCGGCCAGGCCTTCGGCAGATACCCGCAGTTCTCTGGCATCATGAAGCCCAGCCGCTTCGAGGGCGAGGTGCAGAACCTCGAGGTCGACGGTACCATCCCCCACAGCATCGACGGCACTTTCTACCGCGTGATGCCCGACCCGCAGATGGTCCCCTTCATCGAGGGCGACCCGTGGTTCAATGGCGACGGTAACATCTCGGCTTTCCGCATCCACAACGGCCGGTGCCACTTCAAGCAGCGTTACGTGCGCACGGAGAAGTTTGTGCGCGAGCGCCAGGCTCAGCGCGCCCTCCTGGGCCGCTATCGCAACAAGTACACAGACCTTGTCGAGTTTCACGTCCGCAGCACCGCCAACACCAACATCTTCTACTTCAACGGCCGCCTCCTCGCCTGCAAGGAGGACTCGCCCGCCTACGCCATGGACCCCGTCACCCTCGAGACTATCGGCCTTGAGGATTTCTGCGGCCAGATGCCTAGCCTGACCTTCACTGCGTATGTCTGTCAGCTGTCTGCCCAGAGCATCCCGGGACACCCCGAGCCACTTGCTCTTGCTGACACGGTTTGCTAACGCGTTCATATTGTGTATAGTCATCCCAAGTTAGACCCCGTGACCGGTGAGCTTCACTGCTTTGGCTACGAGGCCAGGGGTGACGGGACACCGGACGTGTGCTACTGGACTGTGTCGCCCGACGGGCAAGTCAAAAACGTCTCCTGGCTAGTGGCACCAGCGGTTGCCATGATCCACGACTTCGCCGTGACAGATCACTGGGTATGTGCCTTGGCCCCGCCTGTTTGGACAAGAGTCTGGATCGTGCCTTTGTCTGACTATGTCGATTGGCACTTGTACGCCAGATCTTGTTTCCTCTCAACTGCCTGACATGTGACGTTGAACGGCTCAAGGCCGGCGGCGAGCACTGGCAGTGGGACCCCGAGCTCCCTTTCTACCTCGGCGTGATGCCACGCTATGGGGGCAACAATTCCAATGTCAAGGTGGGTGGTCTGCATTCGATTCACACCGGCAGTACCAAGCAAGGCCGGGCTCGTATCGCTGACACAATGATTTGCAGTGGTTCCAAGGGCCTACCGCCTTCCCAGGCCATACGGCCAACGCGCACGAGACTGCCGACGGCAATATTGTGTTCGACCTGGCCATGGCGAAAGACAACATCTTTGTCTGGTGGCCCGATAGGGACGGCAATGCGCCGGACCCGAAAAGCGGTGCTTGCCGCACCGAAATGTCGCGGTACACAATTGACCCGCGCTCCAAAGACCTGGAGCTGCCGACTCCCGCCGTCCTGGGGCCAGATGACTGCGAGTTCCCGCGCATCGATGACCGCGTGAGCTCGAAACCGCATACCACAATCTTCTACCTGGCCATGGACCCTGCGCTCGACACAAACTACCAAGCCATCGGGCACCTTGTGGCTGGGTTCGCGCCGTACAACGCCATCGGGCAGCTCGACGTCGTCACGGGCGGCCTCGCCAAGTACTTTCCGGGTCGCACGCATTTCGTCCAGGAGCCCGTCTTCATCCCACGCTCCAAGGATGCCTCCGAGGGCGACGGCTACGTCATGGCCATGGTTAACAATCTCAGCACCATGACGAGCGAGCTGCATATTGTCGACACAAATGACTTCACCAAAGCCCAGGCCATAATCTACCTGCCCATGAATCTACGCATAGGCCTTCACGGCAACTGGGTCGACTCGCAGGATCTGGGACTGTCCAAAGACTAGGCGGCAAGATAGGGACAAAGATATGCAGGGGCGGCGTCACTACCAGGGCTTGAAAAGCCCCCTTGCACGCGAAACGAGCAGATTTCCGTATGACTGTCTTGGTCCATCTAGTTGATGTCGCTCACAGCCAAGAATTAGCGAAACACTATTTATACCAGCCTTCTCCGTTAACAATCCTTGCATCACCTGCAAAAAATGCCTTCTTAGCAAGTTAACCTCCTCCATGCGCGGGCGTGGCCCGCGACATTGCTGGACCACAAATAGTTGACCCTACAATGTTCAACAACATCCCTCATGACAAGTAAAAGTGCGTGACATGATTGGCACACAATGCCCGTTCGGCGTGTGCGTGGCCGTGCGCTCACAGATCCCCCAGGGACTCAGGCAAAGGGGTTCGTAAGTGTCTAAGGATTTCACCTGATCACCTCAGCGGCTCATCGTCTAGATACCTCATTGTGCAATTCTGCAACTAAGCGAAGAGCGGCGACATGACCAGTCCTGCTTCGACTCCAAATTCTGAAGCAACGTTGTCTTTACGACCGTCTCGAAGTGTGTGGTGCGACGCGCCGGACAGCAGGCCGTCCTGTGGAGGTGTACGCGCCGGGGATAGAGCGGGTAAGCCTTCAGCTCCGGGGCGCGGAGACGGGGGTGCATGTAGTGGCAGTGCGGAGGAACGGCGACACACTTCCCGGCCCGCCTTCCCCGAGGAATGGGAGGTAAAGGCAGACGCGGGCTATACAAGAGAAACTTGCGTGAAAAGGATTTACTTCCAAGGGCCGAGCGGAGCTGGGGACACCACGCAGAGCGCGATAAAGTGTTCTTTTTACTCCGTGCAGACCAAAACTCCACAATCGTGACAATCGACTATTCCACGGGGTCGGCCAAGCATGACTGTCAACGGGAAGCAAAAGCCCAGCGTTGGGCATTTCCAGGTATTATCCTGACCCCCTCCCCCAAGTTTGCAGGCTTCAAGTTCAAAACCCCGCCTAGGCACAATAGACATGGCTGACCCTCAGGCCTTGACGCTCGCGAGAACAGTCGTGCAACATTTCTTATCCCAGCCGGAGCCTCGAGTTCCTCGACAGCCCAAGTCTAAAGCCAGACACGAATGGCCACAGCACAGCCGAGGCGCGCAGACTGGACATTCTCGTCGTCGGCGCTGGGCTCAGCGGGCTGGCTGCCGCGGTGGCCCTGGGCCGCCATGGCCACAAGGTCCGGGTGCTGGAGCAAGCCCTGGAGCTCGGCGAGGTCGGGGCGGGCATCCAGATCCCGTCCAACTCGGCCCGGCTGCTGTCGCGCTGGGGTGTCGACCGGTTCTGGGAGGGCAAGGCCGTCGAGCCCGGCAGCATCACGTTCCGCCGCTGGCAGTGCGGCCGGCCCGTCGCACACACGCAGCTGAAACCCGGATTCGCGGACAAGTACGGGGCGCCCTACCTGACCATCCATCGGGCGCATTTCCACGAGGCTCTGCGGCAGCGCGCCGTCGAGCTGGGCGTGGAGATCCAGACGGGCACTCGGGTTGCCCATTTCGACTCGGAGACACCATCAGTAACGACGCGGGAGGGCAAGACGATCCGGGCGGATCTGGTCCTCGTGGCGAGTGGTGTCAGGTCGACTGCCCACGAATCGCTTGGCCACGGAACGACCAATGGTGCTTACCGGACGGGCTTTGCTGCATACCGCGCCACAGTAGACGTCGACAAGATCCGAGCAGACAAGGAGCTCGCCTGGGTCACCGAGAACCCCAACCTCAACGTATGGTAAGAAAGAAGCCATGGAAAGAAATGTTTTTCTCATTAGAGCTGGTTGTGAAGACTGACTGCGCGAGACGTAGGATCGGAGAGGACAAGCACGTCATGACGTATGCCATCTCTGCCGGCTCGTCATTCAACATGGTCCTCTCACATGTCGACTGGAGTGATCCTGAGACTTGGACCCCTGAGGGGGTTCTCGAAGACATGAGGCAACAATTTGCAGATTGGGATCCCCAGTAAGTTGGCGTTGATTTCCTTTTGGCTGCCAGTCCCTGTAGCACGGTCCTCTAACCCCGCTCAAATTCAGACTGGTGCGGATAGTCAACATGGTCGACAAAACCATGAAGTGGCCCTTGACCTCGATGCGGGCTACAAAGCACTGGGTGTCGGTCTCGGGCAGGTTGGTCATGATTGGTGATGCCGTCCACGCCATGGTACCATACATGTCTCAAGGTATGCATAGAACCCCTCGGTCCTGGCCTTTCAAAGCTCTCTACTCTGACGAGATATCCATAGGGGCCGCTATGGCTGTCGAAGACGCTGCTGCCTTGGCCGTTGCCGTGCAACACGCCACTGCCACCGCGAGCACTTTGCCATCGTCGACTCTGAAAGACGCTCTGAAAGTCTTCGAACGCATACGCAGCCTGCGCGCATGCCAGATGCAGCAAGCCTCGCTCGTGAACGGCAAGTTGTGGCACCTGCCCGACGGGCCCACGCAGCAGGCGAGGGACGCCGCGACCAGGGCCGAGGTCGAGGGCGAGCCGTTCGAGGTGAGCGCCAACCAGTGGAGCGACCCGGTCACGCAAGAGTGGACATATGGTTATGATGCAGAAGCAGAAATGTCACGGGCGCTCAGGGAGCAGAGTCTGTGGGATGCACAGCCCGGGACACAGCAGTGCACAGCTGGGTAGTAGTCGATATTTACTGGACGTTTCATCGCCTCCTCCACCTGATGTAAAGTCGCTTAGAAATTCATGTAATCCGGGTATGTGCCACCGGTCTAAGCAAATACACGGGCGCGAAGCTCCACATGACGAGTCCGTTGTGCTTCAGCTACACCGAACAGATTCGCTGCTTACCCACGGCGCTTAACGCTGAGCTTTGCTAGACTTCTTATCAGCATCGGAGCCTTCGCCGTACAGTCCGGCGGGCGGGCTAGGCTCCTTTGCACCTTTGACCTGGCGAGTGAAGCTCGTCGTATCACCTGTGCTGGGCCTGTAATCAGTGTTATTGCTGTAAGTGCTAATGCATGTGCAGGCGATGCGGATAATTTGGGCGGGGATGCGTAGCATAAGGACTATTGTATCTATACACAAAGCTAGAACATTTAACACTTCTACCGTCCAGAAACTGTTAACTGATCCTTTCGCGTGTCTTCGGTAAATATAATTATTCCAAAGACCTCATTCCGACTCAATCAACAGCCTTGCCTACTACTCATAATGCACATTTACAGTCGTTGTGGTGAGAATTGCCTTCTCACTGCCGTCATCTCCCCGAACAGGCTCCTGCGCCTCAGCTGTGGCCGAGTTCCCGGTCTTGCCTTGAGCAAATTCCACATCCTCCCCCTTTGGGCTGGACGGGTAAGTCGAGAACGCATGCGGCTGCAGTACTGACGGCGGCAGCTGGCGGAGCTCATTATCATCCTTGCCGAAGCGATCGTACCGGCCGGCGCCGTGCTCCTTGCGCGAGCGGCTGTGCGAAGAGTAGCCGTATGATTGCCTGTACTCTCGGTGTGCGTACTGCGACGAATCGGCGTAGCTCCCGATGAGCTTGGGGGCCACGTGCTTAAAGAACTTTCGGAGGGTGGGGACTGAACCGCAGATGATGAAGAGATTGGCCTCGACGAAGCTGAAAATGTTGGCCGGGGCGGCGTCCCAAGTAATGTCGGTTGCTTTCAACAAGTTGGGAAGCAGCCCGAGACGGATCGCAGACGTCATGATGGTGCTGTGCGTTGTCACTTCATGTCAGCAGGTGCTTGAACCTCTCTCTCTCTCTCTCTCTCTCTCTCTCAGGAGTCTGCCCAGTGGTGGTAACGTACACTGAGCCCACGGCAAACACCAATAGAGCGCCAATCTTTTGCCGCCTGCCCATCTGCAGACCGATGATAGTGGGGATCGGAATGAGGAACAACATCAGATCGGTAATGATGTTTGTCACAGCATTGGCCATGTACAGCACTCCAACGTCAAGACATTGCCCCGGTAGGGTGATGTCATACGCCGACTTGACTGGCGTGCAGTGAATGAGCAATAGCACGGTGATAATGGTAGTAAGCAAGGCGACGATGACAATGCTCGACCATACCGCGACTCTGTACAGCTTGACCGGCGACAACTTCAAGTAGAAGCACAGCAGAGACAGCTTGGCAGCGCCGTTGCACACCATAAAGGTGCCCCCAGCGACATAAGCGAGCTAAGAGGGGAGGGACTCAAGTCAGTCGCTCGATATGTGGTAAGGGGAGGGATGCAGCTAGCTCACTGTCAATGCATAGATGACTCGTTCCAGCGGCATCTCAAAGACATGGACTCCCATGCCACCAATTCTGAGGGAATCTGAAGATATGCGCCAGTTAGCTACGGACGCCATTCCCTGCACGAGACAGATGCTCAGCCTTGACTTACGTGTCAGCAACGCCTGGGTGGACATTGACATGATCTGATCCAGAAGTCAGCTAAACTTCCGGGGAGAAAGCTTGTGCGGCGGCCCAGTACATACCCAGGCCAAGAACATGAAGCCTGCAGCACGGAACATTAGCACAAAGGATTGATGACTCGCATGCATTGCGTGCAATACGGACCATCGTCGACCCCCAAGCCAGTGGAGAGGTGTATTTTGACGTAGAGCCTCTGAGCCAGAGCGACCGTGGCGAGCGTTCCGAGGACGCCAAACACGGCATAATGCTCTGTCGTGTACTGCCTAGCTGGATCCTGCAAGTTGACGACGTATCCTTCTGGAGCTGGCGTAAGGACCAGGACTCCGTCAACAAGAACAGGGCCCGACATGTCCAACTGTGGACTTGGTGTTTCTTTGGGTGGGCGGTTGTGAAGAGCTGTGTCTTTTGCATTGTCGACCGGAGCAGGCAGCTATCTTATTGTCTGGAGAGAGGTGGAGGACTGTGTAAACGCCAAGGAGAGGGCGTGTCTCGAGGGCTACCAAAACCCAGCAGCCGAACGTGTCGATCATCCGTTCACATGAGAAGAGCGGTTCATTCTGATGTATTTCTGGCTAGTCGTTTCGGCCATGCGGCGCTGCATGTGAAGCTTTGAACCATATTGGGTCACCATTGGTGCAGTGTTGGCTCGCGGAACAATTTGATGCAAGGATCGCCGGGGAAGTCACGGATGTACCCAAGGCCTAACCCGCACCCTCATGGGTCTATGTTCGGCGCCGACCTTGTGTCACGGAAGAACGGAGCCGTGACCTGGACGCTAGCGGTTGCGAGTATCCAAGAAGGATTCGTCGATCAGGGGCCAAAGACAGACACTAGTAGCGGGACTAGACTATATCCGGTTGTTGCTGCATAACAGTCGGCACTCTTTTGGCGAGATTAGATACGTGTTGTCCAACACGATCCTTGCCATGGACCTCCCGGCCTCATCCTAGACGACTATTTCTTACGGGGATCTTCTGTGAAGTGATATAGAAGGCATGAAGCAGGACTGGCCATTGGAAATGCTTCATGGCAAACAACGTGGTTGGGATGCTGCGGGCCAGCTTGCTAGCGGCAGTGCCGAAAGCCGTCAACGTTGAAAGGTGAGATTGACTTGCCAACACGAGATACAAGTTCCCTATCGTCGAATGCATCTGACAGCTCCAGGCCCCTTCCAAGGTGCAGCGAATCTGATGGTTGATGTATTTCGGAACGCGCATACTCCTGCATGCTTATGAAGACATGCTGTCTTGTAAAGAAGTTTGATAATTGCTTCAGCAGGATGCTGTGCCATTCACAGTTCGGCGAAATCAGTCGCAGAAATGGTCCGACTACCAGGTACATGGTTGCAAATGTTCCGATGCAACTCCGGGGGATCGTAGTATGGCGCTCCGAAGCTGGATGTTGGTCCGGGACACTAGCTCCTTGCCCCTGAAATGCAATCGTTCGCGCGTTGCTGGCCCACAGAGCACAAAATCTGTTGGTGACCAGAGTTTGGTCGTGCCTGTTTTCTCAAGCCACGAGGTCCTCAATACGGGAAGGCGATTAGTATTCGATCGGCGTGCCTTCCGACCGAGCATCCTTGAAACTCTGTGCCATGCTTTCTCTTGGGTGATTTGCGACCAGGATCTTTTTGGGAGACCCTGAGCCTGGAGAGCCAATCGCAAACAATACCATGTCGAAGGCGTCTCCTTACGACGGAAAAAGCGAGCGATGAAAGGGGGCGGACGCTTGTTCTAGACGACAAAACTCACATGTAAAGGGCCAACGGAACCATGGTAGCCCCATTTCGGCTGTGATCCGGAGCCGACACAGAAAGCTAGCGGAGTCCGGGCCAGGAACACCTCCCGATTCGAGGTTTGGACTGTGTCTGTTCGGGCTCCGTCCGGATCGGCACCCAGCTGCCGCGGCCAAGCCCGGGGGTCCGAGCGAGAGCTGTGCCTCGTGACTAGCGACGATGAGATCGCCCTAATGCACTTCGACCGTTGATCCCTTCCCTATAGTGATTTGTTGCTCCTTGAGCTTCGGGCACCGCTCGCCTTGGCTGACTCCACCATGACTTGCCAAGCCCTTTCGATGCATGAAGCACTCGCTGGATGCACGACACCTGGGTTCAACAGGGAAAAGCCTTGAAGAGATTGGCGTGCGTCTATTTGTGGCACAAGGCACACCCCGACGGCTCAGTGCTGCAGATCACCGAGATCCAACAAGCGAGATATCTGGAAACTAGTGGGCCAGGGGCATCAAATTCGCCGGGCGGCGTCGCGGCTAGCTCGAAACTACATACCACTTCAGCAAAGACGGTTTCGTTCGGGGAATTGAGCAGATGGCTTCCCCCACGACAACCCTTGGCCCGCATCAGCCAATGGGAGAGGTCGTGGTTATACAGGCAATAGCCTATATCAGGCAAGTGCACGTAATGCTTCTGTAGTCTGCACCACACCTGCAAGGTATCCTTGCCAAGGCAACAGAGGTCATTGGAGAAATGAAGGGCGTGATACCGGCGGACTAGTGACACGCCTTGCCTATTCAGAATCCCCAACCGACGCAGGAGGAGTGTGGCATGCCGTCTCGGACCGGCTCCCTGCTTCCGAACCAAGCACCGCACGTAACGCACGTACAGATCTCTTCTTCTTTAGGGTCTGGACACGACAACTTCCTGTTCATGTGTCTCCTCTCCCCAGCTCCTCCGCCCAATTCCAAGTATTCTCTGATCGGCAGGCTTTTCAGCTCTCTCGCACGAACCAACACAGGCAGCCAAGACTGATTCGCTCTCCCTTTTGTTCCCATTGCCCGTCATGAAAGCCTCGTCCGTCGTACCGCTTTTGGCATTAGCCTCTCAAGCTGATGCCAGCAAATGCCAGATGCTCCAAGCCAAATGTGTAAGTACCACCACGTGCCTTGGAGGGGAAAGCTCACGGATAGATAGCTCACGGCATCCCTCTGGCTGCATAGTGCGGCAAGCTCGCGGGCGACCCGGTCCTGCAAGGCAAGGTGCTCTTCCCTGGAGACAGCCAAGGGCGCAACGACGCCCGCCTGGCGTCGTATTACTCGGCAAACGCCGCCCTGAGCCCCTGGTGTATGGTGTTGCCCACCGAGACTCTGGATGTCTCGAGGATAGCCTCGATCCTCCAGGAGAACGCGTGCCCCTTTGGCATGCGCAGCGGCGCCCATTCCGCCTTCTCGGGGTCCAATGGCGTCTCGGATGGTGTTACTGTCGATTTTGGTGGGTTTCCCGTTATCCCCCCTCAGTACTCGCGATCCTCCTTGACTGGGGCGGAACGAGACACTGACTGTATATAGGCTACCTCAATGCCACCACATACACGCCTGGCAGTGACATTGCCAGCATCCAGCCGGGCTCTGACTGGGGCAGTGCCTACGAGACTCTCGACCCCTTTGGCGTCACCGTCGTCGGCGGGCGTGCCTCCGTGGTCGGCGTCGGCGGCTTCATCAGCGGTGGCGGGTACTCTTTCCACTCGGCCAAGTATGGCTGGGGTGCTGATACTGTCCGCAACTTTGAGATTGTGCTTGCCAACGGCACTGTGGTCAATGCCAACAAGGACGAGAACGCCGACCTGTGGAAGGCGCAGAAGGGCGGTTCTGGCAACTTTGGGTTCATTACGAGGCTGGACATGGGTGAGTTTGTGTCGCATTTGCCTTTTGCAAGCTTGCGTGGGACATAAGTTTTAAGTAACCTTTGAGTCTGTTCCCCTAGAGGTTGTCGACACGAATCAGCTATGGGCCGGCATCATCGTTTACGACACGCCCGAAGTCGAGGCTTCGTGGCAGGCATATCTCGACTTTGTAGACAACATGGGCAATGTAAGTCGGCAACGTGCATTTCTTGACCTCATCGCGGCGGGTGATGGCTTTCAGGGGTTGGCCGACATATACCCTCCTTTCACACCAAAACTACATATGTAGGTTGTGCTGACATGAGGGCAAACAGCAAGAAGCAGAGAGCCAGGCCCTCGTGGCCATGGTCGCCAACGAGAAAACCATCAGCCACACCGCACTCATCTCCAACAGCCGCGGAGACCCCGAGCCCGAGACCCTGTCCGCCTTCCTGGCCCTGCCGAATCTGTCGAGCACCATCCAGCGTGACACCGTGGCGAAAGTGGTGCCTGCCTTCACTGGCCCGACACCTCTCGGTCTGTTGTAAGTGCAAAACGCTCCCCAGTCAAGCATTTGCCCATTTTGCTCTTACTCCGAGCAGTTTCCGAGAAAACCAGGAAAAGATCTCGAAACCACAAACCATCCTCGGGATCAACCCTTCTCCTACCGGTGTGCTGACCATTCGCTGCTTACAAAACCCTCAGCTCAAACTGGCTGGTCGAGCTGTACGCCAGCAACATGGAAGTCCTGAGACACATTGACGACACCCTCGCCACGTACACGGACAAGATCCGCGCCGCAGCGCCGACCTCGGTCTTCCAGATCCTCATCGAGCTGCAGCCCGTGACCCCGTCCATGGTCCGCCACAGCACATCCAAGGGCGGCGGCGGCAACATCCTCGGCCTGGAGCACGTGGTCGCGGCGGAGGGCGGCGGACCCGGCGGCAGTCCGGCAGTCATGTTCCTGATTGCGCTTACGGTCGACACGGCGGCGAACCAGGACATTGTGCTGCCGCTGGTGCTCGAGTTCAGGGATGCGGTCAACCAGATCATGACGACCGAGGGGTATAACCGGGACTGGGTGTACGCGCCGTACGCATGGAAGGGCCAGGATCCGCTGTCGCGGTACGGTGCGGACAACGTGGCGCTCATGCGTGACGTCTCTGCGCGGTATGATCCACAGGGGATGTTCCAGGAACTGAGGGTTTCTGGGTTCAAGATTCCCAAAGATGTTGCGTAGACACGATGCGGTAGCTGGTTTCGGCCTCTGATGAGCTAGAGACGCCACAAAGGGGGCCGGCACGAACGTCGCATGTGGGCATATCTATCATTTTGACGCATAGGGACAGATCAACATCTCTTTGTAGCTAGATGGTCAGAGCCGAATAATCATGATACATGGCTCAGTATTTAAAGCACTGATATCACCATACAAACACAGGGACGAGCTGCACCGCCGATTGACGCTCTTTGTATGCGCATAGCAGAAGCCAGTGTGGCGTACACACGACCAGCGAGCTGAGTTGGAAGTGCAAGAGACGCAACCCTCAGCGTCGTGGCTTCCGCCCGATGACTCGACCTTTGCCCGGCATTATCAATGTCTCATTCCACGATGCTGTACAGATTTTGTGTATGCACATGACCATGGGCGGAGGGTTTGTTCATGTCTGCGAGCGGCGGCGGCGGCTGCGGGTAGGCCCGGGCCGTTCTGACGGCCGTCCGTACGTCGTCGGCCGGCCCGCTCGGAGGGCCGCGGGTTGGGGCGGCTGGAAACGCCATAGTTACCAGCCGGCCAATCGTGGCTCAACGGAGAAGGGCCAGGGAGGAGGCTGCGGCTTGACAGGGGAAACCCCGACGGTATCCGCCCCGTCCTTTACTCACTCACCCTGATGGTCTGCCCTTTGTTTTCCCCGTGCGAGGGGACAAGCAAATCGCCTGCTCTTGTCAAGATCATATGCAAGTAGAAAAAAAACGAGAAAAAACACTGGCATGAGTGCTCCCGCGGGCGCGGTTAGGGTGTGTGTTGCCGGGGAACCACCTACACATGCAGAGCCGAGCAAAGAATGGGGGCCGAGACACGGCCGGATGGACGAGATGAGGCAGCACGCCGGCGAGACAAGTGACGATGAAACGACTAACGCACATGAGGTAAGGCGAGACTTTGGCGGCCCGTGGTCAAGACAGACAGGCTCGGCCACTAAAGAAGAATGCAGGCATGCGGCGCGCAGGGCCTTTCTCCTTCTGTCCCCTTTCTTCCTTGCTCCAGCCATTGGATGGTGATGGTTCCAGGCCTGGCAGAGAGGTGTCCAGAAATGTTTCGGCCGCTTGGCTGTCGCAGATGCATTGTAGTGACCATCGCCTTGGACCAGGGCCCTGCAGGTGTCAGCCGACGGATGATTGAGCAGGGCAGCAGGACGGGCGGCTGTAGCGGCACACGACTTGCAGGACAGCTGAGAGCCCTGGTGTGGTGTGGTGGTCCTCAGCGGCGGGCAGCCAGCGGCGGAAGCTGCCGGGGGTGGATCGGCAGGGGCGCCGCCACATCTCACTTGCAAAAGAGATTTCTCTCAATCATGGCCTCTCTGATTGGGGACTCGGCGACCACTGCCGCTCGCTCCCACTACAACACCGCATCCTCCACGCACGCACGGGTGTCTCTTGTGTTCTTTAGTCTAAGCCGCCAGCGCAATCCCCACGAGACAGAACCGCTTTCACACACAAAAATAAAATCCCCACCACGTCGTTATGCGCGCACTGAGCACCATTGACGACTTGCCCCCCCCCCCCCCCCGGTAGTAGTGGTGACGGAGGTGGCTTGCTTGCCTTCCTTGTCCCTGTCGCACTGTCCCATTCTTTCAAAGCCACCGCTGTCCCTGTCCTGTTGTTTGGTTTCACAGGGCTCCGTCTATGCCAACCTAGTTCCTCTGCTCCGGCTGGCCGGCCGGGTCCGGTACCTCGCCCGTCGGGAATCTCGGTTCGTCGGTTATTTCCTCCCGAGTCGGGAGCCTTCTCGGAACCGCCCAGGACTAGGGGGGAAGAAGAAGAAGAAGAAGAAGAAGAAGAAGAAAGGGCAAAGAAAGAGAGTAAGATAGCTTGAGGCTCCCATAGTGATGTTTGCTCTAGTTTGCTATGCCATGCCCTGACCAGCAGTGTCCGCCGCCATGCCTTGCACTATTCAATAACACCGCGCACGCCAGCCACGCACTCTGCTTCGCCTCAAAGAAAAAATGTTATCACCCCTCGTCCTGGCCTGTCGTGGTCAAAACACCCTCATGATAGGCACCTGTAGGCGGAGCCCGCAGGTTGTAAGCGCGCTTGCATTTTTCCAACATCGCAACGCCCCTTCCGCGCGGCGAGTCCCGCTGCGGGTAGTCATCCGCTCCTGGTGGCGTTCTACCTGTAAAGTTATCCGCAATGGCACGCATCTCGGAACCCAAAAAACTTCTACAATCACTCATTTTGCATACTGGCATGCTTGGACTGCGCGTAGACTAGTAGCTTGGGAAACTTTTTTTTGGTATCCAATCGAGTGCAACTGTAGTGGTATCTTGGGAAAATAAATCACAGACGCAGAAATCATCATACACTCGCCGCACGCACCGTGCTTCGGGCCTGCCACACCGTATCCCTGACGAACTGGCGCGCCGATTCCTCGTTGCGCGCGCAAGACGTGCCCGACTCCTCTCGATGGACAGATATTTTTCTCCCCGCCAACAAAACAGGCCCGCACGTGGCAATTGACCCTTCGAACAGTGCCATGGCGTCATGGCGTCGTGGCTCGCGCTCAAGCCTCCGAGTGCGCCTTGCGCTTGCGGATGCCTACCAGGTGGCCCATCTCCTCCCAGAAACCTGTGGGGGGCTCGACCAGGGCCGCCTCGTACGCTTCGATGGAGGGGCGCTCCCACACCAGGTCCGCCTCCCGCGAGGGCACAAACTTGGTGCGGTGGACCAGCTTCCAGCCGGTAAAAGTGATGATGCCCAGGAACAACATTGTGTAGTAGGTGAAGAAGTTGGTGACGTCCCAGCTGGCGATCGATCCATAGCCAATGAACAACAGGATGAGCGTCTCGACCACGACGCCCACGTAGCCGCAATAGGGCTGGAGCCAGCCAGTGTAAGGGAAGCTCTTGCGGTCGACGCCCTGGACCTGGGTGGCCCGGTAGAAGAAGCAGTAGGTGACGCTGATGACCAGGAAGTTGATGATGCCGCCACCGGTGATGAGACCGAGGAGGATATCGAGAACCTCGTTGGAGCTTTCGCCACCGAGCTGGAGGAAGGACAGCAGAGGGAAGATCATGACAATAGCAAACGCAAAGACGGGCACACCGTTCTTGGTGCAGTACGTCAGGATGCGTGGGGCGCGACCGTCGACGGCAAGACCGTACAAGGAACGGGTGGCGGCGTAGGTGTAGGTGTTGCCGGCGGAAAAGATGCTCGTAAGCATGAGGGCGTTGGTGAGGTCTGGAAGAGCCTTGATGCCGAGATTGCTCATGGCGATGACGTATGGCGATCCCTTGGCGGTGCCGCCGTTGCCAGTCAAGCCGGGGTCGTTGTAGGGGACGACGATGCCGACGCAGAGGGCGCTGAGGATGAAGAAGAGACCGAAACGCACGTAGACGGTCTTGTAGGCAGTCTTGATATACACAGTCGGGCGCTTGGCCTCGGCGGCGACCATGGCAATGTACTCGGGGCCGACAACGGTGAAGGCAGCGGACCAGATGGCAGTCAAAAGACCCTCGAAGCGGGCGAGATCCCCAGTGGCGCCATTTGCCGTGTACTGGGCAAAGGCACCAGGGTTGGACCAGTAGCGGAAGCCGTAGGCGTCGTGTCTTGGATTGCCGCCGCACATGGTGACGAGTGTGAATCCGAAGAGCATGAAGAGCAGAATGACCTTGCCGCCCGAAAGCCAGAACTCGGCCTCGCCGTAGACGCGCACGGCCAGGACATTGAGGCAACTGTGTGGAACCAGACTTGTTAGATGGGAGTTGCACCTTATCAAAGGTTCACGCCAATGAGCAGGAGAGGAGGACATACGCGTAGAGCAAAATGCAGACACAGATGACGGCCGGCGCAGGGATATCGTCACGCCAGAAGGAGAGGACGACATTGAGCGCAGTGATCTCAAAAGGAATGAGGAGCGCCTCGTAGAGGAAGAAGTTCCATCCGGCCATGAAGCCGAAAGCGTCGTCGACCCACTTGCCGGCCATGCGAATGAAACCACCAGAGACAGGCTGGAGGACGCCCATCTCGGCCATGCAGTTGTTGATGCCGGCCATGACGAGCGAGTATCCGGTATAGGCGATGAGAAGCGAGGCTGGGCCGCCACCGGTGAGACCGGTGCGGATACTGACGAAGAGAGCAGTACCAATGGAACCACCAATGGCGATGAGCTGGATCTGGCGGTTGTCGAGACGGCGTTGGAGTTGACCATGCATGGTGGTGATGGTGCCCGGGTCGACATCGCTGGCCCGGCGGGCGGGGACAGCGCTGTCGTAGCCCGGGGGGCATCGAGGGTCTGACTGCCCGTAGGACTCGACGCGTACTTTTTCTCGGTCGTGGAATCCATGATTGCGAACCTAGGACGAAGGCCGAGGATTAGGAGGGAACGGGTCGCTGCCAGAAGCAGTAAAGACAGGCCTTGGAAGAAGGGACGGTTGAGATGGAGAGGGGAGGAGAGGGGCCACAGAGGTCCTCGACGTGGGGGGGGGAAGGGAGCTTTAAGAATGGGGAGGATGAGGAGGACAAGGACGAGGAGGAGTAGGACCGGAGCGGAGCGGATTAGCGTCCGTCCATGGCTGGAAAGCCAGCCGGGCTACGCTGGAGTGCGTGCGGATAACGAGTGATGGATGGAAGATGGAGATTTGGGGCTGGGGAATTTGGGAAGATGGTGCAAGGCCCACTGCCGCCCCACGCGGCACCCTGGGCGTGCAAGCATGGGCGAGGTAGCGCAAAGGTAGCAGCGCTGTAGGCAGGCAATGGCGCAGGTACGCAGGTGCTACTTGAGGATGCCTCTACGAGCGTTTGGCCAGGTGGGGAAGGAATTGGGGGGCCTGGAGGGGGGAGACGAGGTTGCAGCACGCCGGCTGGGGCGCCAAGCTGGAGAGCCCGGCAGGCCTGGCGAATGGCAGGGCGGAGCTGGTGACTAGCGCGGCTGAAAAGGCCCATTTATGACGTCTGCAGAGAGCAGCTCAAAGAGGAACTCGAGAGGAACCCAGGAGAAACCCAGGAGGAACCCAGGAGGAACCCAGGAGGGCTCGCACCTCTCGACCCGGCAGCTGGTCGCGTGAGGGCGTGGAGGCGGCCAGAGACGCTGCTCTGTTCTGTCAAGCCGAGAGAATACATGGCACCTACTGGGACGACAGACCCGACCGAGTCAAGGACAGAGACAGCAACAGGAATGGAACAGAGGTCTAGACAGAGCGGAGGGGCGAAACAGCACTCGGCACACGCCCAAGGTGAACAACATACCAATGCCAGACTCTTATCAATGCATTTTATTCCTTCTCTATTCTGCCCTCGCCAATCTCGCGGTTGCGCGTGTGTGCTAGGTAGATCTAGCCTAGTCGTTGGTCTAGACACCACCAGACAGGCCCAGGACAGGACCCTTGATGCGGCCACCCACCAACCTCTGCGGGGGATTCACCATACCATGGCTGCCATGATCCTGCGCCTACTTTTGCGGCCGCCGGCGACCTCGCGCATGCAGGCAGGTGGGCGCGCGACACAGTCGTCATCTTACCCACATACAGGTGCTCGGGCTTGGCGTGGAGCCCAGCCGGGCATGCCCCTTGTCGACGATGCAACGGCACCGCGTCGAACTGGACAACAGTGGTTGACAGTGCTGTCTGTCTCGAACCGGCTTGGGGTAGAGGCATAGTCCCCTCCGACGAACGGAGGCAGCAAACCTAAAAGCCGCGCTGGTGGTGGACAGGCGATGATGGATGGATGGATGGAAGGACGCCGTGTCGAGCTGTCGGGTCGCACCAGATCCTCCGGGCCGGCAAGTTCCCACCTTAGGGCCAACAGATCCAGTCCAAGCCAAGCCTGCGCCACTGCCCAAGTGGCCCAGCCATGGAACCTTCCCAGGAAAGGCCAGCGGCGAGTCGCCTGTAGGAGGTGGTTCAACTGTCAGCAATTGCATAGAGTGAGTACCGTAAGGTATGGATGGCATCGTTGGCGGCACGCCACCACCACCACAACCACCACCACAGTCGCAGTATCGCGATGCCCACCGAGACCCTGCAGGCTGGCCCGGGGGTCCTTGAGGTTGGCGCGATAAGGCCAGGCACCGTCAGCAGCAGCAGCAGCAGCAGGGGCCCTTATCTGCCTTTGCTGGGTCATCCATTAGGGCATTTCTTTGCGTATCGGCCGCCGCGATAGGCCCTATCTCGATCAGTGCTACTGTACGAGCTGCTGCATCAATGGCTGGTGGCTTACCCCAACTCGAAACACCCACACTCATTGTCATGTCACCTATCTGGAGGCATCTTGCTTTACCCCAATGGCTGGATGGGCTATCCCCGTTTGGCCTCACCGAGCGCCTGATCCAGTGGTGTGCATGCGACAAGCTAACCTCTGCCCACGCAGCACAGCTGGCGATGGCCTAGCGAGGCAGATCTGCGTACCTGCCCCTGCCATGCCTCAGGCACGCACCAAGTAGCACACCACCATCATCCATCGCCCTCGGTCAAGTCCGTATGTCGCACAAGACATGCACAAGTATCATACACCCAAATACACACCACACACGCACATGGCCAAGACAAGCCTCGCAAGCCTCCTTCCTTCTCCTCACCCCTCACCCCTCACCGGAGCACAGTCGGCATCTCGGAGAGCCCCCCCCCAGCTATCCTTGGCCGCCCTGGTGATTCGCCAATGGCCAAGCTCGCCCGAGATAGCTAAATGGCAACCTCGTCCTCCTCTTTCCCCCTCAGGCACCGCGGATTTTGAATTCCTATCTCCTGCCCCCCTCCTCCTTTCTGCACGACCCTCGTCGCCGCCGCCACATGTCCTGCTACTGCTCAGGTCCCATACAACCTCGACTCACAAACGGCACCATGACAGCCAACCCAATATCCGGGATGATGACGCCAACGCCATCGACGCCAACACACTACCTATCCGAAATACTCACGGCCCCCGGACAATCCATCTCAGCCAAGTCTCCCAGCACACGCGCCCTGTCTTGACAAGCACACCTCAACAACCCTGTGCGGACAACCAACTCAGCCGGCGGCATCGTGTATCTTGCTTCACAGGGGACAAACCAGAGGGGACATGCGATCAGTCGGTCTAGATTCTTCCTTCTTGAACTCACCGAAACACCGACAATCTCCGCGAGGCACGACGACGACATTGACATTTGGCATAGTCCGGACGAGACGTGTTGGAGACACACGGCCGGCCTGGCCGAGATACTCCGGTGCCCAAGCCAAAGGTGAACAAAAGCTCAACGACCAAGGACGCCCCAGCAACAAGGAACTGCATCGGCACGGGCACAACGCAACAACAACAACAACTCTCATGACGTGCCCCCCCTCAAAGTTGAGATCCCTTCCTGATCCATCCACGCCAACCACCCCCCAAGGTAAGTAGCGCACCAGGCCTGCTAGGCACCCCGTACTCTTGCGTGAACAGGGGGGCTCTGTCTCCCTGTTCCTATGTCTGTTGTGTCTCCCATGTTTCTCCTCTGTCTCTGTCCATTGTCTCTCTCGTCGCCCAAAGTACAAACAAGTCAAGGCATAGTAGCCAACAGCGGGGACAGGACACCATATGCTGCCCTCCCACTCACCTCCAATTCTTTCTTGCCCTTTCCCCCCCGTAACCGAGTCCCGTGCCATTATATGCCCCCGCGCACATTTTGCCTGCCTAGTCTCGGCGCTCAAATCAGCCAGTCTAGGACTTTTTTTGCTTTTCCTTTGAACACGGACGACCTCAGGCTCGCTCTTCGAGTCGTCTTTGTTGTCCTTCCAATGATTATTCTCCCCAGAATCCGACTGGACAGACTGAGGCACGTGGAAATGTGTTTCCGGCTTGTTGGTTTGAAGCATGTGTGCGTGTGTGTGTATGTGTGTACAAGCAAAGTTCATTGTAGATGATCAGTATTTGTTGAAACTGGCATCTATTTTCGTCCAAAGAATGGCTTTGGGATTACCATCAAACTAAATGGCGCAATGCTTAAGCGCCATTACCAGTAGTGAAAATAGCTTCATACACATATACACAAGCTATGATCATGGCCTAGATTCTGAGTTGATGTGCAACAAAAGTTTCCATTCATGCTGGATAATGCAGCGTAGAGAAAAGCGCCAGACGCCTGCAGAAACTAGTCTATCCGTACACAGTACTCAGCGATCCTCGGGGGTATGATACGTCTCTCTGTCCTCGTCCTCATCCTCATCTTCTTCCTCGTCGCCCTCTTCTGCTTCCTCGCCTTCACCCTCTTCGTCTTCCTCGTCTTCATCTTCATCACCTTCTTCCCCTTCCTCCCCTTCCTCGCCCTCCTCTTCCTCACCCTCTTCCCCTTCTTCCACCTCGGCACCTTCGCCATCTTCCTCCTCCTCCTCCTCTTCATCTTCTTCGTCTTCGTCATCTTCATCCTCATCCTCCTCACCGACCGTCTCCCCCTCATCATCCTCAACTTCGGCACCCTCCTCATCTTCCTCGCCAACCTCCACCTCTGGACCGTCCTCTTCTTCGTCATCTCCCTCTTCCTCTTCGTCCCCTTCGTCCTGTTCGACGTCGACAGCCTCTCCGCCGTCCTCGCCCTCTTCCTCTTCACCTTCATCCTCTTCTTCGTCATCTTCCTCATCGTGACCACGAGCATCAAGAAACGTGCTCTCCTCAACTCGCAGGTGAGACACATCGTCAATGTCCATGGCGTCAGTCCGGTCGTCCCCTGCGTCCTCTTCCTCGTCTTCTTCCTCCTCATCTTCTTCCTCATCACCGTCGTGGTCCTCCATCATCTCAGTGGCATCTCCATCTGCGTTATCCTCTTCGTCGACTCCCTCCTCCGCAAACGTCTCGCCCTCTACGGCTGTGGCGTCTTCTTCATCGCTACTGTCGTGCATGTCGTCGTCCAGACTCGGCCGCTGCAGGTTGGGATACATGAGACGGTGGCCCTCCTCCTCGTCGAGCATGTCCTCGACAGCAACGTCACTGAGGTCGCTCTCATCGTCCGCCGAGTCATGCACGCTACCAGGCGCCGAGCTCAGGCGCTCGTCATCGTCCACATCTCCACTCTCCTTCATATCTACATCATCACCAGCATCACCAGTACCATCTGCATCGTCGGCAGCACCTTCAGGTGGCGTCTTGCCACTCGATACTGAGCGGCGTGTTCGTCCAGATGCAGGTTTGGGTCCTTCCTGAGCGCGGAGAACCGCCTGCTCTGCCTTACGAAGGACATCGGCCCGCCTGATGCCCATTTTACGTGGCTTCTGGCCACCTTCGGGAGCTTGTCCGGACGGGGTCGACGTGCCCTCAGCCCCAGAGTCTTCTTGTATCTGCGGGTTGAGGATCGCGCTGAACGGATGCGAGGCTTTGGCCTCCTGGTCTTTGTTCTGCCGCTCCTTCTCCTCTTCGGCGCGTGTCGCCTCCCGCTCTGCAAGCATTTCGGCAACCGGAGGCCCTGGCAAAGTCTTGCCAATCTCGAAGTAGAGGGCACTGTAGCAGTCGTTGATGAGGTCGTCTATCGGCGCGGCCTTCATCAGGCCGCCGTTGAGCTTCTTGAGCTCGATGGCCTCCTGAAGACAGCCGAATATGGCGTGGTCGGCAGCGGAATCTGTTGACCACTCGGTGATCCTCGCCGTGATGATGTCGAACTCCTCCTGGCTGACGAGCTTGAACTCATCGTCGACCACTGGATCGACTTGGTATGTTTGCCGGAGAAGCTGCAGGTAAGACATGCAGCATGTCACCCATAGTTCGCCAAAGTGGTAGAAGTCTGCTCCCTTCTTGCGCAGGCGTCGAAGGAGTGCTTCAAAGTTTGCCCTATCCTTCATTGCCACCAACAACTTCACGACAAACCGGATGTACCTCTCCGTGTAGACGTGGTGTCGTCCTGGCCGCTCCGCATCACACTTCCAAACGTTCATCACCATGGTCTTGGTGAACATGGACTCGCGGAGGACTCCAAACGCAGCCGTGGCCTGCACGAAGCTGGGCTGCTCGGCGTCTTGGTCGAACAGGACCGTCGCATGCCGCATGGTGATGCGATGTTGCCAGTTTGAGCGGTCCTTTTCACGCAGGTGCACGAGTGTCTTGATGATGAATGACTCCCAGTCCTCTGAGTTGCTCACTTCGACTTTGTCGCCCTTCTGCACAGCATAAGGTTGACGCTGCAGGATGTCCGCTGCCTTTTGCATCTCCAGCTCGCCACGCTTGACAAGCTTGTATATGACCGCGACGATCTTGTAATGCGGCTCGAGAATTGGATCCTGGCCATGCCGAGGCTTTGGCAGTGCGTTGACCACTTCCACCGCCTTCTCCAGAGAACTAATGACCGCTTCTACAGATGGTCGCGATTGCCTGTCATGGTGATCCAGGGTAATGTAGGACTTCTGATACATCTTCCAGATGCACTTGGATAGCATGTATGGGTTCCTGCCGATCTGTTAGCACAGCCACAAGTAAGTGACGATGACGGGACAACTCACTTCCACTGTTTCGGATCCATGGCCATGGCCTTCTTAAACAACCGGCCGGCATACTTGTACACCTTGTAATCCTGGAGTTGTGAAGTGAGGACCTTGGCATCCGCACCAGTCTCGTTGATCACGAATCTCTTATTCTCATCGTGGAATGGCTCCATCGCGAACGGCTCCCGACTCGAAGCGTACATTCGCATGCCAAACTTGTGGTACAACTCGTGCAGGTCTTCCCGGCGGTCTTCAACCAGTTCAGGCAGGAGTCCGCGAGAGTATGACAAAGCCAGCGTGTAGCAATGAATAGCGTTTCGCTGGAACTTGACGAGATCGGCCCGTTCCTTGTTCATCTTGTCCGCTGTCCAGAGCACAAACTCATCCAGTTCGTAGTCAAAACACTCGGCCAAGCGGAACCACGCATCCCACTGATCTGGCGTATATTGGAGTTGTTGACGAAGGAACGTCGCACCCATCCGCAAATCATCGGTTGCACCGGGCGTCTGTCTCCTGTTCAGGTCGACATTCTTGAACTTGCTGAATGCAATCATGCCAAGCAGGAAGAACCACTTCAGCTTAGCCAAGATGCTGTCTTGGTTGTGGACGCTCACCGCGTCAATAGTGATATTGCCCCTCATGGCCTGGTAAAGGCGGAGAGGTTGTACTGGTTGCTGCAGAAGCGATGTGAAGTTACGCAGGTTGTGAATCAGCTGCTGGTTAGATTTGGTTTGTCCAATGGCTTGCTGCATGTGCTCTACTGTGCCCTTCAGATCTGATTTCAGAAGGTCCTTCATGGGCATCGCATTAGCAAGTGTACACACCCTCTCAACCAGAGACATGGTGTTGCGGCGCTCGAGCTTCTCAGGTGGACAGTTGTGGTCTTCAATCTCGTGGCCCTCGAGACCAAGCTTGAGCCCGTAAAGGTCGTACAGAACCTGACTGAGATAATCCTCCCAGTTCTCGACGAGGTGCTGCTTGAGGAGTTCGACCCGCATCATTTTGAGGAAAATCTTGTTGCTGGCTTTGCAGAACTTTCTCAGCCCAATCACCCGATGGACCATTGCCAAGTAGTCAGCCAGGTCGGTCTCTGGGTGGTCGAATCTGTCTTTGTGCTGGGTGATACCGGCTTTGAGCATCGCGTAGATGAGCGACCAGTTGCGAACCTGCATCTCCCGAAGCTTGTTCAAATACGACTGGAATGTAGCGCCAGACGAAGCGTGCTGCGCAAGTCCCGCTCGAACTTCGTCTTCATACATGGAAGTGACATGCAGGGTGCAAGCCAGTCTGATCAGTGCCCCAAGACTCGACTTCAGGTGTTGGTCGTCGATGATGTCGAATGCACTCGAGTCGTTCAAGGCTAGAGTCAGAGCACCAATGAGCAGCTCGTCCAGGAACCTGAACATCTTCATGAACAGTGCCCGGCGTGACTCGAAGGTCAAACCAGCGTACATCTCTCGATCAAAGTCGTTCAAAATCATCTCGATAGCTTTGAGCTGGCAGGAGAACCGCTTCGTGCCGTAGTCGATGGCTTTGTAAGCATCACCAAGGCGGTTCCACAGGAATAAGCGCAGTTCCGTGCTGGTTCCGAGTAGGAACTTCCACAGATCACGAAGTCCTTGAGTCGCCGTCTCAGTGATTGGCAACCCGACAGTCTCGGAGCTGTCGGAGACTGGGCTGCTGGCGATCGGCTCATCAGCCGCCACTTCGTGAGGCGGCGATGGGGTGTTCCCCTCAGCTGGCACGCAGACACCTGAGGGATTGAGCACAGGCTCAAGACTCTCGATGACCGAGACAGGATCCTTGAGGTCATCCTGAAACAGGCTCAGGAAGAAGTCCATTGTGGTAAGCTTCGATATCTCCCTATCAGCCGCATACACAGAGACATCTGGCATGATAGCATTGTTTGGAAGTTCGAGATCCATGTTGCTGGCTGCCTCGGCAAGCGAGCCACGCAGGCTCTTCCAGCATTCAAGGATGTGCTCACGCGAAACCCCCTCGGTCAACGTCACAGCAAGGACAGCGGACCACAAGAAACGCATGGGCAGCAGCCCATCTGTGCCTACCGCGCCAGCGCGACTCCTCTGTGCAGCAAAAGCGAACCATCGGCCGAGTCTAGCCCGAGTCTCGGCTCTTGTGGCAGAATCGACAGCACTGTTAGGGTTGGTGATTCGTTCATACACATCCAGGTGCAATTCGAAGAGCATTTGAATCAGGGCGTCCATGCGAGCGGAGCTCACAAGATCGGGAGCGTGCTCAAGCTCCAAGTGCGTGCGCCGAAAAATGTCAGCGTCCACATGGCTGATCACTTGGACAACCGCAGTCTTCAGCGAGTCTGGCCACTTCGACTTGACGTATGACTGCGAAAGGTGGTTGATAAAGTCGAAAGCCACATCTTGAAGACCCAGCCAACCCCCGTTGACTCTGTCCACAAAGTCTTTAAGATCGTTGGCGCCATCAAATGGGGGCTTCTCTGCCTTGCCCTGCGAACCAGGCTTGGCATCGTCGAGAAACGAGTTGAAACCCAGCGCTACTGCTTCCTTTTTTGCGAGCAGCAACTTCGTGCTCTCCTCGTCAAACTTGATGAGAGTATCCCTGAGGTCCGTCATCGCACGATTTTCGAGCTTTGAGGTCCTTGTTTCCGATGCGCAAGTGTCCAGCACATCTTGCAGTCGATCTGAAGTCTGGTCGTCCAAGACCGCCAGCGTGTCAAGTATACTTCGCGTCTTTGTGAACAAAACCTCATCGGCATTCTGGAATGGCTGCATCTGAGCGGCGAGCTGTACGCCTGCATTGACAACTTCTTCAGTTTCTGTCTCACGCCGCCGCAGGCGCTTGCTCCTCTTCTGGTCGAGGATCTCCGCATCAGCAGCTTCCGTTAACCCCGCCACAGACTGAGAGCGTTTCCTCGACAAGGCGGACGCACTTCGCTCCGCCCTGGTTCTGTCGGTCGCGCTACTGCCGTTGGTTCTGCCTTCGCGCGAGCTTTCTGGCGCATCCTGCTTCGCAGGTACTTCCTCGATCGAGACGGTCTTGTCCTCTCCTCCGGGTTGCCTTGGTCGCTCTGCCAGTTCCTGCGTGACTTGTGATACGTCTGGGATTTCTGGCATATCGATAGTCACACCTCGGGCGGCGATCCCAGTAGAAACCACCGCCTTCACGATTGACATTCCTAAGTCGGCCCACGACGGTGTTGTGACAACCAGGCTTTGACGTTTCGGTCCTGCTAGCGCCAATGGCGCTCGTGCCGACGGAGTTTTGAGTTTCAGAGTGGGATTTGGTAGGTGAGGACTCGGGTCCAGATGCTTTTCCAAGAGTGGCGAAATGGACTGCGATATGAACGGTTGCATAATTGGGTGTGACAATGACACGGAGTCACCAAGGACTTGCAGCTGAACCCTGAGCTGCTCACCGGCAAAGCCCTCGGCGATCGATGGCGGTTCGACATTATCCACGGCTGGGTCGTCATCTAGCTCGATTGCAGCCTCCAGGCAGAAACGGTTGATCCTCTTGCTACTTAAAAATGCGCCCACGCGAGCGGCCCGCCGCCAGAGCTCGGCATCGGACGGGTCGAAGTCGAGTGCATTGCTGAACTCGAGGAGGGCTTTCTGTGCTTGGGCGAGAGCCTTTTTGTCGCGTGCCAATCCTGGGTGATCGGCTGGTCTGGATTTGAGCTGTTGACGTATGCCGTCCAACAGGAACTGGGCATGGTTTTTGTAGGACAAGTAGAGCGTTTGCGGGAAGCTGCTTGCACTGTCGTCGAGGTCTGCCTGGCCATCCTGGAGAGAGTGGGCAAATGCAGAATCGAGAGGCAGCTTCGCGCGGAAATCGGATTGTGTCTCGGCACGGTTGAACTCGGTTGTGCTCTCGGGCAGGTGGAAGATGGCCGATTCGAAGAGCTTTTCGTATGCTTTTGTCGCAGCAGACCTCTTGCGACGCCCCTGTGCGTGGAATTTAAGGGCTGTCTGGAAGCGTTTCAAGGCTTCATCGATCTGTTTGTAGGTGTTAGTCGGAGCGGCCGACCTTGACGACCGAGGGCAAGCGAGGCGAGAATACTGACATGGAGTTCCCGAGTGTTGTCGACCTCGTCGGTCACGTCCTCCTCCGGCTCGACGTTGATTGCGGCAAAGAATGGCTTTGTAGAAGGTAGATCAGTATTCGGATGGTCTCACGGAGAGCCTATGGGCATGATTCGTACCATGTTGCCCATTATGAATGTCACGCTCGTGCTGCTATGGTCGGAAGCCGCAGCGTTTCTGTTGCGTCTATGAGCACATCTCGAGTGTTCTTCCCAAGTCGATCACCAGCAGAACGCTACGTCAGAAGGTTGACAGGCGAAATTTTCGACTTCTGCTAGGGCTAGCCGTCGAAAGCAAACCCTGGGCTAGGGTCAAGGCGTGCAGCTTCCGGTCGCTGGGGCTTCGTCGTCGTGTTGCGCCCGTCGAGGTGCGGATTGGGACAATGGTTGGGTTCGGGCTGTAGATGGGTGCGCTTGTCGAGACGGTGCGTGGGCCGAAGTGTTGCGTGTGTGCGTGTGTGAGTGTTGGCTTGTCAAGCTGTGAAGTCGTTGTCATTGTTCGGCGCGGCGAGGTGCCCGAGTGACGCGTGCCCTGCCGGGGGTTCGTGTCTTGCCTATTAAACGTCAACTGCACCAAACGGAGCACTTGCAGCTCTCCGACTTAGACAGCTGCAGTGGATCTACAGTAGCGTGGTCTGCCGGGTGCAGTGGGGTCAATTTTCTGTTGCTGGTGCCTGGCTGACATAACACTGCACAGGACCCTGATCCCATCGAGCCGGTTCTGGCGCCTCGAGAATTGCTGGTTCGTTGTTCGTGCTGGGCCAATTGGTCGGCCAGGACGATGAATCGCACATGATCCAGCAATTCGATTGTTACGTAGGTACTTAAGTCAGACCTCACTGCGTATTGATCGGTACCTAGATAGAGCTGTGTTTCCATGTGGGGGTTGCTCCTGAGAAAGAACTGCCATGTACGTACGCTATGTAATTAATCGAGCTCCTTGTCCCATGATTGGCAATGAACTTTGTCGTTCGACGCCGTCTCCGAGTGCGACCTTTCTCCTCGTTTAGACATTCCAATGGGGAGGCCAGAATAGAGTCAAGGAACCAGGCCTGGCCTGGCGAGCTGACGGCGATTCCCCCCTAGAGCTCGGAAGGCACAGCCTGAGCTGCCTCCACCCGATTGCGCCTGCCTGCCCTTGCCCCTGTTGCACGACGCCCGGGGGGTGGGACCTGACCACGTCAACACAACCGCTTTGTGCTTGCTGAGCACCAGCACGGCGCTTGCTTGCTTCACCTTGCGCTCGCCAAACACCTCGCGCCGTCCCATCCCGACCGCCCATCAGCAAGCTGCATCGCATCTTCTGCCTTGCTCCCTGCTGGCCAGTGATTGTCATTGGGGCCCCGCCAGCATCCTCACCACCACTCTTCAGCCATCAATCGCACCTGCCATGCGGCGATAGTCCCAAGATATCCAAGGCTCCCATCCCCCTTGCCCGCGCAAGCTCCCCAGCTCTCGACAACGTCGGCCTGGCCCGTCTCGTCAGCCCACCATGCCGGCGCCGGCAGTTCCAGAGTACGCTCAACTCCTTTCCCGTCCCTCGCTGGTTGCGCTTTTGTGCTGATCGTTGTCTTTGCGTGCCACAGAATCACCGAGGAGGAGCTCCACGAGTCGATCCACGCCCGTACCGAATCCCTCATTGCCTTGCGCGAGCTTGGCCCTCCCGACTTGGCGCATCTTCTCAAGCAAAATCTACGCAATGCCAACCGTCAGATCGGGGTCTATCACCACGTCACCGGCGTAGACGCCTCCTCGTCCGCCAGTCTCGCTGCCTACATAAACACCCTCACGTACAAGGAGCAGGTTCCTAATGCTGTCAACAAGGTTGTCGAGGGCCTGTACTGCTGCTACAATGCCTTCTCAAGACTCGACATGCGCGTGCACGTCACGATCCCCGGCACCGTTGAGAGCTACTGTGTCGACGAGCGCGGCGAGAAGCGCCCAGCCACCGACGAGCTGTGGTTGGAGACGTACCTCTGCAGCGTCATCAGGGCCTACTCGTACGCCGACAATGGCAGTGGCGAGACCATCCGTAAGATTATGGGCGTCAGGCGCTTCAACCCAGTCACCAGCACCGAGACCGAGCACCGCTTTCTCAGCGCTGCCGAGCAGCTCTTTTTCCGTGGATGGCAGCTCGGCTCCGACTCGGTCGTCCAGGTCCCCAACAATGTCTCCAACCATCTGACAACCGGCTTGCTCAAATACTTTGAGACAACAGGCCGGTTCGCCTCTGCCATCAACCTCTTCGAGAAGCTGCGCACTCAGAACGTTGAGGTCTCCTCCTTGCTGGCCAAAGTGCTGTTCATGGGCAACGAAGAAGTGCAAGGCGTCCGTGTGTTGTATCAAGCGCTCAAGGATTCCCCAATGGACTACGTCATGCTCGACACGCAGGCAGAGTTCCTCCTCAAAAAGGGTCTTGCGGCCGAAAATGCGGAGCAACGGGAAGAGAGGCTCAAAATGGCGTTGGCCTGCGCAGACCGAAGCACGATTGCCGCCCCGAGCGAGTTCGGAACCTGGGCGAGGCTGGCCCGGGTATATGTCACCATGGAGGATTGGGAAAATGCACTGACCATTCTCAACTCGTGCCCCATGTTCACTTACCAGGACAAGGACGCCCCGATGATGCCGGAGCCCAAGGATGTTTACCTGCCGACCTTGCCTGAGACACGACTTGACGAGATCGACAGCGAACCCGAGTCAAGATATGCCGAACAGGTTGATCCCAGCCTGCTCAACCTGCGGGCCGCCGCATACCGTGGAACCTTTAAGGAGGCGTATGGCATTCTGACCGAAATGACTGCCAAGATTGGCTGGGATCAGCTCCTCAAGATTCGAAGCACGGTCTTCGTGATGGAGGACGAGTACCGCAGCGAAAGACAGGACAGCGTCGCACAGCCTACTGTGACAGCCCGTAATCCAAGTATTGATGGTTTGCGCGGCACGCCTGACCCGACAACAAACGGCGACGCCTCCGATGACGAGGCTGGGACAGAGAAGGGTGTCGCTGGGACGGCAGCTGACTCGGAGTCCACCGCACCGGCTCTTACGAATGGCCAAGATGAAGGCGAGGCCTCGGTCGAGAAGCCTATACACGCAATCGACCCTGGCGTGGTCAAGGCGGATGGAGATACAGTAAGTTTCATCCATGCCTTTCAATGCTGATTCAAGGAGACTAACCGGACAAAAGACGGCAACGACCGAGGAACACCTCTCGAAGCTCAACAACAAGAGACTCTGCGAGAGATGGCTTGACAGCCTGTTCATGGTGCTCTACGAGGATTTGCGCGTCTATACCATCTGGAGAACCCAGATGGCGCAATACAAAGCACAGTCGATGCAGTACAAGAAGTCGGCTGAGGAATGGGAGATTCTGGGCGCCCTGGCGGAGCGCCTGCAGCACCACGACGAGGCGGTTGAGGCGTACCGGGCCTGTTTGGCTGCTCGGTTCAGCCCCCGTGCTCTCAGCGGCATCTTGCGCATGTTTGAGAAGCAGAAGAATACGAGAGACACGGTGGCCGCCTTGATCCGACTCGTGACCTGGCAGTACAGATGGTACTCGGAGTTCTCTCCTGAGCTGCTGCACACGATACGGCAGCTGATCGAGGAGGAGGGCGCGGTCAAGGTGAGGTCTATCATCCAGGCCACCAGCCTGCCGCAGAACGTGCTCGACTTGACGCATCACTACGCTGCACTCTGCGCCACCTTCAGAAGCAGCGGTACGGATGGTTAGATGGAGTCTGCCAGAGGGCGGGCCCGTGTTGAGGGTTGGGACGAGGGGCAAGTAGATGGGGAAGTCGGTGGAGTAGGATGCGGATGTGGTGCTGTTAAGAGCCAGTAACGCACTGGGGAGATTGAGAGAGACATGGCATCAGTTCTTCGCTAGAGGATTAGCTATGCTGCGATAATTTCATGGTTGCCGGCCAGGCTTGTCATGTGTGATCAAGGTAGTCCAATATTGGCTTGCGACAGAAACACAAACCACCCAAACGCTACATCAGCAACCATATTCGCGTGGATGCACGTTCCCGCTCCTCCTACTTGGGCGTTATAATCTGCTCCAGCCAGCGAGGGAGCACCATAATCTAGAGTCCTGGGTTACAAGGAGGGAATCTCGTGATGGACATCTGGAACTTGTCACTGCATGTGTGTTGGTGTAAGTGGGTGGGGGCTCCTGCAATGTGGAGCGTGGGTGTGTAAGTCCCCATGGCGCACAACGTCATCCAACCTCCCATATTGGCATCCATCTCGATAGAGAGCCCGCACTTGTGCCAGCGCGCGTATCACATTTGCAATAATCTCTGCCTGTATCTGCATGGCCTTTATATCTATCACACCTTTGCGTAACCTAGCTGGACCTGATAGACTACTCTCCTCCCAACCGCAACCATGAGTGGGAATCCCCACGTTGACGTCATGCTCGTAAGTCGCCCACGGCTTGACACCAACCACCATCTGAGCTCAACATCACATGTCCAGCAAGTGTCGCTGCTAACGGAGAAAAACAAAACCAATCAAGGCCGGAGCCGCAGCAGCATTCACAGTCGACCTGCTCATCTACCCTCTCGACACGCTCAAGACGCGCCAGCAGAGCCGGGACTTCCTCAAGACCTTTGCCGACCCGGGCACCTCGACCAAGCTGCCCTCGCGCCAGCTCTTCCGCGGGCTTTACCAGGGCATCGGCATCGTCGTTGTCGCCACGCTGCCCGCGGCGGGGACCTTCTTCCTCACCTACGAGGCCGCCAAGCGCGTCATCGGCAGGCACACCTCTGGGCTCGGGCTGCCGCAGCCTGCCGTGCACTCGCTCGCGTCGTCCATGGCCGAGTGCGCATCCTGTCTGGTCCTCACGCCGGCAGAGGTGATCAAGCAGAATGCGCAGATGATCCAGAGCAAAAGCGGCGGCACAAATGCGAAAGGTGCTGGTGGTGGCGGCGCCGCCCCATCGTCATCGCCAATATCATCATCTACTTCCCTCGCCGCGCTCAAGCAGCTGTCTCGCGGTAGGGGAGTCACCAGCAACTTGCTCTCCGGGTACACGGCCCTCGTCGCGCGCAACCTGCCCTTCACGGCCATCCAGTTCCCCATCTTTGAGCACATCCGGCAGAGGATATGGGACGAGCGTCTGGGCAAGTCCGGGACGCTTCTCGAGACGGGCGTCGTCACGGGCGTGAGCGCCGGGCTGGCCGGCAGCTTTGCCGCGGTGGTGACTACGCCGATGGACGTGGTCAAGACGCGCATGATGCTGAGCGTGAATTCTGATAACCCTCAGGGGCAGGCTGCTCCGGCACCAAACTTGTCGTCGTCGTCGTCGTCGTCAGCCTCAAAGCCTCAGCAGGAGAAAAAGGGCGGCCTTGCAATCACTCGCCAGGTCATTGCGGAGAGGGGTATCGCCGGCTTGTTTCGCGGCTCGCTAATCCGTGCCGTCTGGACCGCCGTGGGAAGCGGGTTGTACCTAGGCATGTATGAGGTCTCCAAGGTATGGCTGACACGCGATGGCAAGGAGCTCGAAGGGGAGGGCTTCCCTTGAGTCGACTGCGCGTGTTATCGGTGGAAAGCCCAATGTACAAGTTAGAGCTGTAAATATAGCCTTGAAAGACATATAATTTTTACTAGAATCCGTCTCTGAAGTCAAATGGGGTCTGCATTCACGGCAATTGTCCCATGAGTGTCGCAGCTGGAATATTGAAAATATACCCAAGCATAATCACTTGCAGTGGCAAGATTTCCATTGTTTTTTCTTCCACGCAAGAGTTTTCTGAATTTATTGTAATTTCGGTTGAAAAGGCGGTCGCAGTCACTCGAGTCATGGCCGATGGTTGATTCCTCCAGACAATACCTGCTTCCTAGGCGACCGCTCCAGGCGCTAAAGGCACAAAAGGATGAGTGGCCACTTCGTCGCGCCTGCCGCCAGGGGCGCTCTCGGGAGAACACGAATCAGGACCAGAGGGCCATCTCCAAGGGCGAGGCTCCGACAAATTGCGGCCCGACTTAGCTCGGGAAGAAATGAATGGTGAAGTGCACAGTCTCTTTTGGCCTCAGAAAATATTGCACGGCCGGAGAGTACGGACCAGCGCAAGCATCAGCATGAGGTGTCGTCATCTTGAAGCCCGAGTCGCGATGGACATTATGCGCCGTGACAGCATACCAGGCCGGAGATTATGGTTTGTGGAATGTCCCGGTCTTTGAACGCAGCTCATGGAATGATGTCGTTGCAGAGTAAGAGGGCGGAAGCGAGGGCAGTGGCGCAGGCTCAGACTTAGTCAATGGCGGGCTGTCGTGATCGATGGTCTAAAAATCGCTGCCGATGGCGCGATTCAGGCACGCCCTCCTGCAAGGTACCGGCACCGCACAACCACGTAACCCAGCAAACCAGACACCGCTTGGCTGGAGAAAGCCCCCGGCCGGACACTCGAACTCTGTGATAGTTATTCCGTGACCGCAATGGGACTCAAAGTGTGACAATGGCCTCCCTTGAGGATGTATCGAGGCGCAACAAACAGAGAAGCCACCCAACCCACAGAAAAGCGATCCATGTTGGACCCCTTTCCCCAGAATAGGGACTGAGCTAGTACGAGAACAAGCACGTACACGGACCAAGGTGAACGATCAGTGGATCCCGGGCTGACTTAGACTGCCGGGCACGCAATCCAGACGCAACATGACATTTGCTAGTCCAGGAATTTTGTGTTGCGTTGGCAAGCCCGATTGATGGCACACCGCTCAGGCCCAAGTTATAAAGGTAGCTAGGCCGTTCTTCGGACACTTCCTGAGTCGATTATGGATTGTCACCCTTTGAGAACAACACGAACACCACAGATCGACTCCTGAGCAGAAACCTGGTTCAACGACTGCGCCTTTCCTTGACTCACCTGAGATCCAACATCTTCATCCAAAATGGCAGTCACTGTGCAGTGTCCATTCAGTCACCTGGAAACGAAGCTGGATCTGCTGAAGAAGGAAGTCGAGGTGTCGAATCGGAGCGTTGCTAGCGGCTCAGAAAGTGAGAGTGATGGAGAGCAGGACAGTGAAGATCTCCTCGTGGTCTCGCCATATACCGAGCGTGATCACTTGTTGAACCTCAAGACTCTGGATCCCGAAAATGCACTACTGGCCCGGGCACTGGTGCAGATGGACAACGTGCGAGCCGACTATGCCACCGCGTCGTATCTTGAGTCGTTCAACTGGGTCGAAGTTATGGAGGGCCTCAGACGGCTGGCGAGAGAAGAAGGACACCACTTCAGGGAGACTTCGTTCTACATCGTCGTCTTTCGGTCGCAGATTCCGCCGACGACCGCATATGAAGACTTGGGCGCCCTGGACAAGGTGGCTCATGCGGAAGCGACGGCTGCAGGGGGCTTCCTCAAGTAAGCTGGCATTGTAGCACTGCTTCATGTTCGACAGAAAGCTGACGAAGTCATTGCAGATACTGGTTTGGATCGCCCGATGCCGAGGGCAGGAATTTGGCCACCTGTCTCTGGCGGTCGCGGGACGATGCTCGCCGAGGAAACATGGGACCAGGACATCGCAAGGCTGCTATGGCGACAAGGTCCCTCTACTCGAACTGGCAGATCGACAGGCACCGGCTGACGATTGGTGACGGCGTTCAGAGCTGGGAGTTTGTCGACTGGACGGACTGAAGGTCAGAAACTGTGTGACGAGCCATATCGATTGTCCTGTTGCTTGGTCGTTGTTTGCATTCACTGGCGTTGGCCTGAGATTTAGCGAGGTGTCCTTGGGAGTTTTGTCAGACCGGATTTGTCACAATAGATCTTTTGGTCGTTTGGATTAGAATAAAGATTGCATGCCACCAAATCGACTTTGGAATGCTTCAGCTTGGCGCCGAGGAGAACTGGCTGTGAGTGAGCGCAGCGTGGCAAGCTTCAAGCCGTCCAGGGCTGGCACAGACGTGCCTGGTCTGGTCGGAGCTGCCGAAAGGCACATTTCTTCCCAGAGCATGCTGCCTGATTGGCAAGGAAGCCAGAGAGCAAGAGAATGCCTGCAACTCTCCCGAGGTCATGTGGAAAGCAATGTGCAAGGGCGAATCCCAAAGCCAAGCTTTGAGAGCTTGAAGTGCGGGACGTGTGCAGTTCCAGCAGCACGAGCAGGCATGACCACTCCAGCACCAGCCGCCTCAGCCTGGTTTAGTTGCATGGATATGGGATAAGTGCATGGCTGTCAGAGCTTGAAGGTGGGGGGAAAAGTTGGACGTGCCTTCTGCCCTTGCACCCCGCCTTTCTGCCCACACTCCCACACAATTGCTCGCAATCCTCCCAAATTCTCGAGATCGCCAGTTGCCGACGCGCGTGAAGTCAACCCCCCGATACGCCTTGCTGAGCAGCCCCCCCTCAGCCCCTTGACGAACTCTCCCCAGCGGCTCTCCGTCCGAACCGAATCCGCAGTACCGCGATCATGGCCGACTCAACAAAGGACACGCCGTTCAAGACGGTTCAGGTCGAGGCTCTTGTGCGTCACCCCTCCTCCTTGTGATTGCGTTCCCCGTTACCCCTCCTCACAGGAAGTTCGGGCTGACTTTGAAAATGAATGCTGCTTCAGGTCGTCATCAAGATTGTCAAGCACTGCTCGACCAGCTTCCCCACTACTGCCACTGGTTCCCTGGTTGGCATGGACCGCGATGGCGTCCTCGAGATTACAAACACCTTTGCCTTCCCCACCGCCGACGTGGCCCACGCCGAGGGCAGCAGCAGCCACCAGAACGACCCGTCCTCCCTCGCCGCTGCCGCGCCCCGGGCCAAGGCCAACATTGTGTACCAGAACGACATGATCCGCCACCTCAAGGAGGTCAACGTCGATGCCAACAACGTCGGCTGGTACACGAGCGCCACCATGGGCAACTTTGTCAACTCGTCCTTCATCGAGAACCAGTACCACTACCAGCGCGAGAACGAGCAGACCGTCGCCCTGGTCCACGACGTCAGCCGCAGCTCCCAAGGCGCTCTTAGCCTGCGCGCCTTCCGCCTGTCCTCGGCCTTCATGACTGCCTACAAGGAGGCCAAGTTCACCACCGAGAGCCTCCAGAAGTCCAAGTTGACCTTCAAGGACATCATTGTCGAGGTGCCGATCAACGTCCACAACTCCCACCTCCTCACCACCTTCCTGCACCAGCTTCCCGCCGTGCCCACCGCCACACAGCCCAAGCTGCCCAACTCTGTCGCCGATCTCCTCAGAAACCCCGTCCCGGCGCCTCTCCACCCCTCGACAGACAACCTCGACCTGGCGATAGACCCTTTCCTCGAGAAGACATGCGACCTCCTGCTCGAGAGCATCGAGTCGCACTACACCGAGCTCAACAACCACCAGTACTACCAGAGACAGCTCGGCCGCGAGCAGGCCAAGATCACTGCCTGGCAAACAAAGCGCAAGGCCGAGAACGCTGCCCGCGCCGCCGCGAAGCAGGCGCCCCTGCCCGAGGACGAGTGGCAAAGGCTTTTCAAGCTGCCCCAGGAGCCGAGCAGGCTCGAGGGCATGCTCAACGCCAAGCAGGTCGAGCAGTACAGCAAGCAGGTCGATGGCTTCACTGCTGCTGTCAGTGCCAAGATGTTCGCCGTCCGCGGCAACCTGCTGCCCGAATAAGCATTTTTACGAGCGACGTTGATTCTTATAGAACGAAAGGACACACACACACACACACACACACAAAGCCGTGTCTTTACGACGGAAAAAGTTGAATTGCATTCTGGCTGGCGTTAAGGCGGACATGGGATTCTAGTTTTCGTGAAATAAGAGTCCTCTTTGGACTCGTCTTGATCTCTGAGGATGCAATCTTGGGGGGCTATGTTGTCCCTGGCTATCTAGAGGGAGAGGCAGTACCGATCCGTAAAGTGATCGCCGGGCATGCCGTGCGAGAACACAGACCGCGGGACTGGGAACATCAAGTGCGCAGTCATGAGGTTGATGCCTAACGCGCGCACTTACCGAAGTTGGTCCAGAGGGCTGCTTCTGCTGAAGAGACCCGTTGACGTTGGAGGGAGCAATGACCCGGTGCTCGAATGTAGAGTTCAGAGGAGGGTAACTAGAATAGATACCAATTTTACTCAAGAGATCTAAGGACAAAGCCAAACGATATCCCCATGTTTCGCACACCCGGAACGATGGGCAGCCAGTACTATATCTGACAACCACGATAGGTATCCTGTCAAAAGGAGATATTCCAAGGAAAAGACCCAAGGAGAAGTCCGACAGAAAATATACGCCCGGATAGCCCAACCTGATCTCCAGACTTCATTCAACAAGGATGTGTGTATACACAAACATAAGCTCCGAACGTCCACTTTTGGCGGCACGAAGTATTTGGGAGGACTCAATCCAGAGAAAAAAGGGCCAGCATTACTCTCAACCAGCCAACCGACCAAAGCCCTTTTCTTTGCGAGAGCTTTGGTTGATGGCCACAGACTCTTGCACGCCCGACTTGAGATGCCTCTCTTTCGGGAGGGTACAGGTGTCGATCGTACATAACCCGCGAATTATTGTGGGAGAGAGTGCTTGTCCGGTGGACGACTAGGAGGCAGAAAACGTCAGACAGGTTCGATTCCTATCTCAGCGCCATATGGGTATTGGCGTGGGCGCCTGGTTTGTCTGTCCGGTACGATTCGTACCGCCAGACTGAAGGCTCGAAAAGCTTATGTGTGTGTATAACGCGTACGTGCTCCTTCTAAGATGGCACACAGACCTGTGCGCATCGTCAGAAATGCACATGTCACATTGTAACATCACACGAGATATGTTATTGCAGTGTAGGCGAGCACGTGCAGGATCTCCTTTTGATGGACTCATGGTCCATCAACGCTACTCTCATTGTTCATCTCATACGTCGTCTCTCATCCTCGGCTATCCTCTTCTCTCTTTGTTTGTGTATGTGACAAAAGGAAATACCGCCCAGTCTCTCTCGAGCTTAGATAAAAAAGCACAATGGAATTTGAAAACGCCATGAGGGGAATCATGCATCTAGAGCCAACGCCTTTTTGTTGAAAAATGTGCCAGGCCAGGCTCCACAAAGCGCTCTTTTTTTTCCCCGCCCTCTTTTGATTTGCCCCGATAGAATTATGCCCGCAGGTTCAATGCTTGTTGGAATATAATCATAGAGTTTTGTTTTGCTGCACTAGTAGAGGTGGGCAGCGCGGCAAGTCTCGTAATGCCGCGTGGACAGCGTCCGTAGTCATCAAGACGCAACCTGCGGAATGGCTGACCACAACCTCAGGACCCCACAAGGACCCCGCTTAGTAGCGGTAGTGGTCGCTCTTGAAGGGACCCTCAACATCGAGGCCAAGGTACTCACCCTGGACCTTGGTGAGCTTGGTAAGCTCGACGTTGACGTGGTCGAGGTGGAGTCTGGCAACCTCCTCGTCGAGAATCTTGGGGAGGACGTAGACACCGACATCGAGCTTGCCAGTCTTGGCAAAGGCGACGTACTTCTCGCCGAAAGCCTTGTCCTCGGCCTTGTACAGCATGATCTGGGCAAGGACCTGGTTGCTGAAAGAGCAGGACATGACGAAGGAAGAGTGACCAGTGGCGCAGCCAAGGTTGACAAGACGGCCCTCGGCGAGAAGGATGATGTGGCGGCCGTTGGGCATCAGGTAACGGTCGACCTGGGGCTTGATGTTCTGGACGCTGGCAGCGTTGGCCTTGAGCCAGGCGACGTCAATCTCAATGTCGAAGTGACCAATGTCTAGAAGGAGAAAACTGCGTTAGCGAAAACTGGGCTTGTAGGTCAATATTCCGTCGAATTAAGACTTACTGCAAACAATGGCATCGTTGGGCATGGCGTTGAAGTGCTCGCCAACGAGGATGTCACGGCAGCCGGTGGTGGTGACGAAGATCTGGCCAACGGAGGCAGCCTTCTCCATGGTGGTGACCTGGAAGCCAGCCATGGAAGCCTGGAGGGCGTTGATGGGGTCGACCTCGGTGACGAGGACGCGGGCACCCATGCCGGAGAGAGCGAGGGCACAGCCCTTGCCGACATCACCGAAGCCAGCGACGACGGCGATCTTGCCAGCAATCATGACATCGGTGGCACGCTTGATGCCGTCGATGAGGGACTCGCGGCAGCCGTACAGGTTGTCGAACTTGCTCTTGGTGACGGAGTCGTTGACGTTGATGGAGGGAACAAGCAGCTTGCCCTCCTTGAGCATGCGGTAGAGGTGGTGGACACCAGTGGTGGTCTCCTCAGAGACACCGTAGCAGTCCTTGAGCTGCTCGGGGTACTTGTCGTGGACAAGGTGGGTAAGGTCACCACCGTCGTCGAGGATGAGGTTGAGCTTCTTGCCATCCTTGAAGGCGCTGAGCTGCTGCTCCAAGCACCAGTTGTACTCCTCCTCGGTCTCGCCCTTCCAGGCGAAGACGGGGACACCGGCGGCAGCAATGGCAGCAGCGGCGTGGTCCTGGGTGGAGAAGATGTTGCAAGAGGTCCAGGTGACCTCGGCACCGAGGGCAGTGAGGGTCTCGATGAGGACGGCAGTCTGGATGGTCATGTGCAGGCAGCCAGCAATACGGGCACCAGCGAGGGGCTGGTCGGCGGCGTACTTCTTGCGGATGGACATGAGACCAGGCATCTCGTTCTCGGCAAGCTCGATCTCCTTGCGGCCAAAGGCGGCAAGGGACAGGTCGGCGACCTTGAATGTGGCGGCGGGAGCAGACATTTTTGGCTGTGTGAGACAGAAACGTGGATTAGCTTGGGCAAGCCAAACAGAAGGCAACTTGAAGTAAACGACGGATGAAGATGAATGGAACTGTTCTCTGTGCGAGTAGCAGCGAGATAGCAGGGCCTTTGAAGTCGGTGAGAGCGGTGACTTGAACCAAGGCAAGTTCTGCAAGGGCCAAGGCCTCTCCAACGACAGCTTATCTTTACGAGGACGCCAGCTCTGGGAAAAGACGCTGAATTGGGCAAGGGGCAGATCGGCAGACAACCGGGATGTGCAGCTCAGACTTACAGATGTGTTGTGATTAGGAGGTAATGGAGAGGGAAGGAGGAGAAGGAAGGAGAAGACGGAGGGGAGGAGGCGAAACAATAAGTATGGCCGGGCAGGAGGCGGCAAGCGGTAGCGGCAGGTCTCGGGCTGGAGTAGAAATGAAAAATAAGTCGAGTCCTGGCGGCGGGCAACGCCGTCAAGGTGGATTGGGGGCGTGGCATGGCGGGGCAAGTATCTCGCCGGCGGACTCTGGCTGGCGGGGTACCTGGCCTGGGGACCAGGGTGCTCGAGCCAAAGGGTCCGCCCCGGTATGTGGTCGTCCAGGTGGTGATGGATGGATGCAGGGCCCTGGGCAGGGTCGGCGATTTTCAGACGGTCAACCCATTGCCAGCTGCGGCGGCCCTGGCAGCGGGAGCGTCAGTGGGCATGCACCAATCAATGGGCGCAGCAGGGAGAACAATAGCTTCACAATGCTAGCTCAGTCAGACTACAGAGGCCGATCGCCTGAATCAGTTAGGTGCCCCTTTGCAGAGGCGAGAGAGAGAGAGAGGAAACGAGCACGCCCGAGCACGTAGCCTCGTCCAACTGGATCAGAATTGCCCCTCCAAGAGCCGTTCACTTTTGCGCCCTGCCCCACCACCCACCCGGCCTCAGGGGCGGGCGCCGCCTTGCATGCCGTCCGAGCATCTACGAGCCCAGCCCCTCTACACTCCCATAGTTGCTGCGACTTTCCCATGGCTCGACGTGCTTCCGTGCGTGGTGGGCTCGCGCTCGATAGTGCAGGCTGCATGCCAGCCACGGGTGGTGACACGGGGCTTCCAAGGTGTCTGTGTCTCAGAGACAACTCATCAGCGGCTGCATGGATGGGACAGAGCCAGCCAGCCAGCCAGCCAGCCAGCCAGCCAGCCATGCCTCTTGCCCCGTCTCGTGTGCATCTTGCTGTGTCGTTGCGTGGCATGCCCCCATGCCCTGTTGCTGTCTTATCCACCACAGTCTAAACATGACAGTCAAGAGAGAGGGCGACAGTTGATGGGCTGCCAAACAGCCGAGCACAGACAAAGGAAACCCCCGATGCCCACCACGCACACTGGAACATCTCCACACCCCGTCTGGGAACCACTCGGGCCATCCGACGTCGTGCCTGGCTCGGCTCTTCTGACTGGCCGCCGCTCGAGAGCCGTTCGACCCCGTCACCGCCAAGTACAGGTGGCTATCTCACCTCCCCACCCACCAGGTTATCAAGACAAGGGCCTTCTCTTCTCTTGCCCAGCCCAGGTAGGGTTCTGCGCTAGCAAGTCTCCAGGGTCGTGACGATTCATGGGCGATGAGTTGAATACAAAGCTCATGGCGGATCGTGCCAGAGGACGACACGCACACCCCAAAGCGCTTTGGCTGTGCCTCGGCCGCCGTGTTTTGCAGCCGCGCCCGACTGAGACATCGATTCACCTTGACAAGTAAGGCGAGTCCGAGGGCGGGTCCATGAGGAACCTGACAGCTGGAACCACTGGCTGGACGAGTCCTCCCGCTCACAAAATGTAGAACATAAAAAGACAAATCTCCTTGTATTGTCTTGCCCAGTCAAGCACTCAAAGGGAAAAGTCAGATGCGGGCTCCTGTCTGGAGCACCACACATTATCGCTTGCCATGATCATGCTTCTATATGGCCCGGCTTTGCCTGATATATGCGGGCATGCGTCCTCGCCCATCTTCGAATGTAATCGTACATGATCTTCGACATCGCTCACGCGACACCTTGTCGCAGAGTCAGAATCAACGCCAAAAAGGTTTTTCCGTTCCACAACGCCGCCGAAGAGCAGAAAAAAAAAAGGAAGAATAGAGACTGAGGCACACTCAAGTCTCTGGTTCGCCGTCTCAAAAATTAACTCCAGTCGCTGGCCATCAAAGTTCAGTAGAATTCAACCGTCGCGCCTCTATTGGCTTTGACGGGCTGACATGTGTGCTTTTGTGGGAAGGCCAGCAATGCCTCTCGGCTTGTGCCGTTATTGCACTATTGGTGGCGCACACTTCGCAGGTACGCAGGCGTACGTTCGGAGCAGCACGCGGAGGCGTCCCTATCCGTGGCAGGTTACCTGGGAATATTGCCTCCAGGTAATATGAATGCTCTCACGCCAAGCTCTGCGATCCGGCGGACCACGTTGGTGGTGCCTCCAGACACTTGCGACTCATCTTGTATGAATTTCCGGGCGACTGCCAGTTTGGACTTGGGATCGCTCTCGTCAAGATGAGGGGGCAGGCTGTTCTCGAAGTCGGCAGGAAACTTAGGAGCGAGGTCGCGAATGACGACCAGCGAGTACAGGACGTCACGGTTTTCCCTGCCATCTAGTAGTTCGCGCAGCATACTCAGCGCGTGGGATTTCTGTGCCGACATGTTTGGAGTCTCTGGTTTCTTGATGCGAAGAAACTCGCCAAGATAATACCAGAACCTGAATTCACGGATTCTGTGGTAGTCGCCGTCAGATGGTGGCATCCGGAGGGGGTTCTGGTCGAGGAACTCTCCCGAGAGTAAGACCTCCAAGATGTTGACACGATTCTTGATTTCGTGCGCATCGTCGATGGCTGGCAGATCGGCTCCAGGGTGTGGCTCAGAGTCCACGCGAGTAACGAGGCGCGCAAGATCCCAAACGACACGGAACTCGAGGCTGGCCGAGTATTGCATGCCATTGCTATCGTGTGGGTCAAGGTTGCGAACGGTGTTTAAGAATCCAATCATGACTTCGTTCACAGCGGAGTCGTTTGCCAGAGCCTCATAGCCGGGTGGCATGATGTACCACTTTGCCTCAAAGAAAGACTCGAGTCCTGGAGCATATACCTGCTCATACAGGTCTCTGCATTCATCGACCTGCTCCGCGGTCAAAGGCCCGTCGAGCGCCGGAGGAGCGAGGCCCTCAATGTTTATGAGCTCATCGACTCTCATCTTGCGTGCTGTCTGGTCATCAGCATGAAGTGCAAGACGGTCGGGGAAGTCGGAGGCTTATGCTGGGTGGCTGGATCTGCACAGGCAGAGCAGACGGACGGTGGTACGTACTGGGGAAGGTGAGTATGTTGGCAAAAGCGGGAGCCGTGGAGCTGTGATGAGACGACGAGGTGGGACCAAACCCGCCAGCTGGTATGCCGCTGTGGCTAACGGCCGATTGGGAGGAGGAATAGTGCAAGTACGGCGTTGTTGCTGCAGAGGCCGAGGCTGACGGTGTTGAGAGATTGTGGGTAGCCGTGGACGACGAGCTGCCTGCGGGGTGATTGGGCGCCGGCTGGATGTTTGTGGGCGGGTGCTGCTGCTGCTGCTTGAAAATTGGATCGTAGCCGAGGCATTCACGCTTTGACTTCTGGCAGTTCTTGCAGGTCGGATGGGTCTCGTCGCACTGATGAGGAGCCGGCCAGTTGGGTCAGCAGGTGAAAGAGTGGACGACAGGAGAGAATGGTGGATGTGTGAGGTGTGGCTGGTGGAGACGGATTGGTCCCGCCTTTACGGATCGTGGGCTACATGTGCGAGGCAGGGCTGCCGGCTCAGAAGGCTCCCGGACACTCGTGTCAACGCCCGGCCGTCAATAGCCACAACCACTGATTTGCACACGCAAGTACAGCTTTTGAGCCCGAGCCGTCTAGCACTGTGGGTGAGGCCAATGCTCATGCCAGGGCTGTATAGGGGTTTTCGTGCTGGCCGGCGACTGCGCAGTGTGGAGTCTGGAGCAGACTTTCGCTTCGTCTAGAGTCAAGCGAGACCCCACGCAAAAGCGATCTACACCACACACTGCTATCCACTTGGACGTTGCACGACCGCCATCAGTGGCGGTAGCCATCACACATGCCAGTCTTGCGTGTGACAACTCCTGCTGGGAGACCTCGCCTTGTCAAGCACAGCCCACCAACATGACGGCTCCCCGCGAAACTTTCACAGGTGCATTTCTGGGCAGTAAGGTTTCTTGAAGAGGAATCAACTAACCTTTATACGACGTTTCCGACAGGTCAGACAGCCTGTCTTCGTCCGCCTTTTGATTTCCTGTAATCAAAAACAGCGAGCAAGTCGTCAGCAATCGTCGCACTTTCAATCTCACTGGGTCGGATACCCAGAAACGCTCACCAGCCGCCGCCTTGTTTAGCAGCTCACCTTTTTATGTCGATTCGCCGCAAACATGCTATGAGCATCCCCCTGTAGCGAGTATCGATCTTGATGCAGTCCATACGGACCAGTACTGCCGAGCGGTGGCGGCTGTGGGGTGTATCCTATGCTTCCACCCGCAAGTGTTCCTCCGAGTGACGGCATAGTCATCGCTGGCGTGCGCTGGGGTTGTGGCTGTGAAGACTGTACATGCTGCGTCCCAGATTCGAAAGTCCGCATGCTTGGCAGTGACATGCCGCCGGATCGAGCGGGATTTGAAAGTGGTGGGTAGCCATGATTTGATGGGTTGACGTTGGATTGAAATCCGTAGTTCGAGGGATGTATGCCTGGTGACCCATGTTGAGGCGAAGCAGAATAGGGCACCGATGAACGCTGATCACCTGAAGGATGGTGGTAGCCCGCCATCTCGGCAGGTGAGGAAGCTGACGAGTCGACACCGTTGATCTGATGGACCTCGCTGGCCAAGTCGACCTGCGTGGTGACCGAGGGGTCTATCCTTGGCGTGACCGGTACCGACGTCCTATCGTGATCGAGCGTGGTTTTGTTGTCTGACAATGTAATCGTCGGTGCCTCGGGCGTCTTTGTGGGGATGTGGTTCAAGCCGTCATCGAAAGCAGTGCCGCCAACAGTTGAGAGCGGCGCGTGATCGTTCTCGCTCGTTCCCTGCTCGAGAACTCCCAGGAGTTGCGTTACCTCCCCGCCAGGCAGTGCTGAGCTTGGGGACAGCACATCGAGCTCGCTCTTCAGAGGAGCTTGCGCCAGCTGTGCTGGTTCGGTGACCGGTGTCTGAGCAAGTGCTGCAGCCAAGTCGGAGTCTGTTGGGATGTACTGATCCGCCGACCACACTTCAGAAGTCGTCTCGCCAATGGCCGAAAATGTATGGTCTCCGGATGGTCCTGCTAAGGGTGGTAGCTGGTTGGCAACGTCGGAGGAGGCGTCTGGGGTTTTGACTTCGAGGGCCTGGTGGGCTGTTGCAATGGCTGGTAAAGGTGTTGGGGAAGGAGGAACACCAGCAGCATCACCCTGGGGGCAGAGATGCACTTCAGCGACAGCTGCTGGCTGTTGCTGTTCCTGGTAGTCCGTCATCGAGAATAGCTGCACCCTGTGAGATTTATGGAGCACAGTGATCTCTAGCAGGGGGCCTCGTTACTCGGACGGTCGTAACCGCAGCCGACACGGACGAGAATGCTGTCCAACCGAACCAGGGGTTCACGCAGGTCTAGACAGGGATGCAAGCTGCCTACGTCGTAGGCGTGGAGACGGCCTGAGCCGCAAATCTGGCAACGGCGAGCGCACTCTGCAGTTGCGAGTAGGGCAAAGGCAGGCCCGCGTACCCTGAGGTGGCTTCGGTATGGGGTAGCCGCCAGGCGCGCGCAGAGCGATTGGCAGGACCACTGCTCCTTGGATGCTACCTCGTAGAGAACGCGCCCACGGTCGTATTGCAGGACAAGATATGCCCGCAGCTTCAGCGAGTGTGGTCCCCAGCAAGCCGAAGTCTCGCGATGGGGGTGTGGCCAGTGGGCAGTGCCGATTCCTCCCCTACCTAGGCGTGCTGTAGGGTGTGGGTGACACATGCGAGGGTCGCCGGGGGTACATTCGTATGGTCATCGAGGATCGTGAGCGCGGCCAGCAGCGTTACTGGGCGGCGGCGGCGGCAGCGGCTGCGTGATCAGGCCAGGCCAGGCCAGGCCAGGCGACGAGGGTGGAAGCGGACCGGAGCTGCAGCCGGAAGCAGGAGGGCGCAAAGGAGGCGAGGACTAGGGAGGATCGCTTCGAGACGACGGGCGCTGCAGGCGAGCAGGTGCTGGGCCGAGATGCCTATCTGATGTGCAGGCGCGTGGCCGGCGACACAGGACGACAGGACAACGGACGGCGGCCGCAGGGCATGGCAGGCCGAGGTGGAAGGGATCGGGGTCGGGGCCGCGTACCTAGTGCTGGCTGGTCGTTGTTGAGGAGGTACATGCGGTACCCCAGGGAGACCTGATGTCGCCGGCATAAAAAAAAAAAGAGAATAAAACGGCCGGCGCTGCGAGCAGCACATGGCGTCGACTCCACTGCTGCTCCTTTCGCACTAGCGCCCCGGGCTGGCCTGGTGTCTCCACCATTGCGCCTGCCCTCGGCGCCGTTTTGGCGCTTGAACTCTAGAGCCCACCAACGTACGTCCTCCAACTGATCACTGAGGTAACTACTGGTCTCGCTCCATCGCGGCAAATCAAGGCCAGCCCTGCACCATTATGGACGACCCAAGATGGAGATTTGCTTACTGGACAGGCGGTCCCTCGACCAGCAGAGTGGTGACGGCACACGGCCTCAAGCTTCAGAGGGCTCCTCCCAGCCTGGGCTTGCCCATGAACCTGCAGCCTTCCAAGCCCTGGGCCAAGCAACTTTGCCCGACAGGGCTGCTCTGATTGCAGTACCACGGCGGCCACGAATGGTACGGGAACATGTCCGCGGTGGTGCATCTGGCTGCAAGCTGGGCGTGTTGCCATCCCACACTCGGCCTGTTCCTGGCAGCCTTCAAACCTTACTTGGCCCTACCAGGTAAATCCTGGCTCGCATCGCCCAGCCTGCTCAGGAGGACCCCAGCTTGATGCAGCTTGCGATTAGGCAGCTCATCTCGTCGTTTCATGCCCTCGACAACCTGCACGCCGGCCACACGAATACCCCGCAGCAACCAGGCTCAGATCTCGAAATGTTGAGGCGGCGGCCATCCGACCCTGGCATGGCCTGGCTTCGTGGCCCTGCACCGCCGTCATCGACCTGGCGGCCAAGAGGATGATCGTCGTCACCGTCCGTGAGTAGAGGCAGCTTCGCTTCCCCGTGGTTCCATCGACACACATCCGCGCATCTCGAGACTGAACCAGTGCATCTGTATGCACACTCCCTCCCGAGATGGGTGAGCAACGACCACATGCAAGGATTCTCTGATCAGAGCATGGGCGACTGCAAAACCAGCTTGTTGTGCTGCCGGCACTACGCCAGATCGCAGCCAGTAGCCCATGCCCGCTTCACACATGTGCAGCACGTCGGGGCTTTGCTCGATGCACCTACATATATATCCGCTCCTGGCACCGCACGCGGGAGCAGGGCCGTCAGCCGGAGCCAAGCTGCAGCCACAGCGGACATCGTATGATGCATTCTCTGGCAACCACATGGAGGTGGCTTGTAGGCAGCTTTTCGGGACGTTGTCAAGAGGCTTGAGCGATGGGCTCCCACGAGGGACGACCAACCCACCGGCCTGGACCAGATACGAACACTGCCTATATGCCAAGGACACACTCTAGTGCACAGCTCATCCACCGTGTGGCTTCGTACAGTGAATTTCATGCCAGGGAGGGAATCTTGCCCGCGATGAAGATTAAGCATGAAGGGCATGCCCATGTATCGGCGTTGTACACGAGCGAAGATCTTCACGTGCACATGGCTGGGCAACAACGGGGCCAGCGATCTGTCATGGTACAGGCGGAAAGGAGAGTTGTGTGCTCGAACCAGCTAGACAAGGGTTTCAGGTCAAGCTGCACTTGATATTACGGATGGCGATTCCGCCGCAAGCCTGCACCGCATGCATGCGTTGCGAAATCACAGAGGCCCGCCATGGATGGTCTAACGGGCCTTCCAGAACGCAAAATTGCATGTCGCCAGGGTATTGCAGCATCAATGGTGGAAATACTCGTGTTCCTCGACGCCAAAACGCCAACCGCACGCTGAGTTTATTCGTCTTTAGCCGACACGCATTCTTTTACGGAACCACAGAGACGGAGATCCAGAAGTTCACAGGGTTGCATCGCATTGGCGATCTTTGACCATGCAACGCAAGCGGGTCGTCGAGGTACTTTTCCCGGCTTCCGTAGTTGGACATTTTAGACATCAAGCTATCGTGCCCAGCACGTGACATCACTCGAGCGCTTCATCGCCGACGGACTTCGGTGCACTCAGGTCGCCGAGCGAGGTTTTTCTGCATTGGTAACCGTTGGCCACACAGTCTTGCACGGCCAAGCTCGCACGCAAGAGCCACGGTGACAGTGCCTGTGCACCAAGTGTCAAGAAACATGTCGGCATAAGACTCGCAGCACAGATATTGAAGGGTGGCTGCATGGGGACCCCTGGTGGCTGTCTCGACGCAAACATTTCCCGATTCTGACAGGTGGAATCCAGGACTCTTCTGCCGCGTACGTTTCGTGTCAACAAGGACCTGCCCGGATCTGCCTAAACTCCCGGATGGCACCCACCCACGCAGCCATCACCGCACTCCCACAAGAGGCAGTCTAGTTGTGATCCCTGGTCGTGCCGCGAGCCGAACGGCCTGAATGAAGGGCTGACCTAATCCGGATCGCCAGCGCCGCCCACGGCCGAGTCCCGCGACGACCACATCCCATCTCTCGACTCATCTGCAGCTCCACTCTGCCACGCGATGTGACTTTATGATCAACAACAAGGCGGGCTCGGCTACTAGATCTCCGAGTTAAGTTTTGATATCCTGGTGCTGCAGGATACCTGGCGAGCCGGTCGTATCCACCCCTTAGCTGGTTCGCGATATAGATGAGATCCAGGTAGGTGGAGAGCTGTTCTGAGCGCCATCCCGCCCTTCGCCGTGCTTGTGACGACGACGCTCGATACCATGACGGTTTTTGTCTGGGAAAAAGAGCCACAAAGCCTCTCCCTTCTTGCGCACTTTCAGCTCAGCCAGCCAACAGGCCAGAGAGGCAGCAGCCCTTTGTCCATCCCGGCTTGCCTGTCCCAAACACAGGCCAGCCCCCCTCCTCGAGCATATCTCCGCAGGCGCAGCGGCAATTCCGGCCCGGCTGTCCATGGTCACAGCTCGAGGCGGCCACTGCAGGCAGGCTGCCTGTCCCCACATGTCTTCAACGGTGTACTGGCAGGTCGGACGCAGCGATTGAGATCCTGCAAATCCGTATAGGTACGTGGCCGAATATCTACGTGTGCTCACGCATTGCAGATCTCTCTGGGTCAGTGAGCGCATTACCGTACAGGCCAAGTGTACAACAGCACACAGTACCCTCGGCACCTGCCGATTGGAAGATCCATGGTTTCGGTGTGCGGTCACATATACCCGAGTCGGGCCTAGTCCTTCCGCAGCACTGTTGGCAAACTCTAATGTGCACCCAAAGGCATGATCTGCCCGCCAGCACCGGCCGGCGGCCCCAGGAGGACGACATGACACTGCACCTCCCTAAAGCTGCCCAGTCAGCATTTCCAGGGACTTGATTTTCCATCTCATGCACAATGCTGCGCATATACCACCCTGGAACGAGCTAACTGTGCGCCGGCGCGGGTGTAGGTGTGTGTGAGTGGGCGTCGGGACCGGCCTCGACTTGATTAAGAGCAGGGAGATCTGCCGCAAGCGTCTCGGCTAGCAGGCAAAGACGTAATTGCTTCTCACATGCCTGATGAGCTTGTTTTCCCGGGGCTGAAACTCGCTGCCCAGGAACGGCAACCGAGTTTCTTGCGCCGCATCGACATCCGTCCGGGGGAGGAGCGCGGCGGCGGCGGCGGAGGCGGCGGAAGCAAGGGCCAACACATACGCACGAGCCTTGGCAGGCCAGATCCACGATTGTCACCGGCCATGGCTCCACCTCTTTTTGCGCACCGCGTGCGTTGTTGTTCTGGTTGCCGTTGTTGTTTTTGTTGCGGGCCACATGCTGCTTGCTGACGACTTTTGACAAGCCCGGCCGTCGTGGCAACTCTCTCTCGGTCCGGTCGCTCAGTTGCTCACTGAACCAGCCATCTCTCGACACAGCCCAGAAAGGACACAGGGAAGGGACAGGGGTGAGGGTCGGGAGATTACTCAGGTGGTTCCTGGGCTGTGACAGAACGGCGCCCTTGCAACGCTGTTACATAATTCCGCCGACTTTGGGTCCTTGGATGCTACATGGCATGCATGTTGACCGTTTACCTCGGGAGTCCTGTCATCAGCTCAGGCAGGGGTTCAATTTTTGCGACATTCACAGAGTTTGCATGGTTGTAATCCTCTGTAAGAAAGTCGCTCTTCCATCAACCAGCCAATCAGCTTCTGAGTTGGCCAGTCCACGGTCTGGTGGTCTAGTGGTATGATTCTCGCTTAGGGTGCACCCTGAGTTGGATCGTGAACAACGATTCGAATGTGCGAGAGGTCCCGGGTTCAATCCCCGGCCAGACCCTTTTGCTGTTGTTCCTGCTTCTCCCTGGTCCAATTATTGCCTATTCTCTGTTGTATCTCACACAGGAGGGGTGGGAGAGAGCCTGGAGCAATTGGGCAATCCTTTTTGGTGTCCTGGTGTTGTGGTTGTGATTATAATCTGTTGGCTCAACCGAGAACAAGACTACAAATTCTCAATAATGTGAAACTACACGAAAGCTGAGAATGTTTGGGTGAGGAAATGCGATCCTGCTTGCTCCTCTGGTGATGGCGAGATACCCAGCTCCAAGTCCATCCATCAACAGTGTCTTTTGTCCCTTGACATGCACCAACCTTGGAGCAGCCAGAGCTTGTTACTGGACCGACCAAGTCGAATGAATGCCAAGAAGACTCGAGGACAAACAAGCCAATCGCAAGGTACCATCTCATTCGTCCAGCCTCGCCGAGATGTCCCAAAACGGTTTACTTATCACGCGCGGTTGTTTGGGGCGGTCGGGCATGGCCTACGTAGTACAACAGAAAATACCGCTCTCGAAGTTTCCCCGTGGCATCGCAGAGTTTGGGGGATTTCAGCAATGCCCAAACGCTAGCGTTTTCACAAGTCTGGAGACATGCCGCATTGGGGGTTGCTTTCTATGAACGAGCATGGTGGCCAGCAGGAGGCGTGCATGTTTGAGTTTAGCCCAGACTCCTGGTACTGTTGCAAAGAAGAACCGGGGAGAGATGCCAAGCGCTTGTTGACTAGCTCGTTTTGTGTGGTTCCGGAGAAGACGTTGTGTCTTCGTGGGAGTCAAACAGAATAAGATGACAAGATTAAATTACTGGCACGTGGAATGCCTCTCGGCGGTACGACAATGATGTTACATTTTCGAAAAGGTCTGCTGCAATGTCCTACCTGGTCATTGAACTGCGGGGATTCCCGATCTCGACATTCGGTCCGTTACTCCAGGTACATGGTCAATTTCGTCTCGCTCGGAGCCAAAGCCCCGGAGAAAGGGGGGACATCTTGCGCGCTTCTCGTCCCTTCTTTTCTTTTCTTCTTTTCTATTGTTTACTCTTCCTGGCGGCTGGATGGAAAGACCTTGGCGCAAATAGATGAGTGGACAGAATGTACAAGCTAGAACACACGCAAATTGCAAAGGAATATAAGCACTCCCACATAACGCTAACACGGTTACCCCCGAAGCGCCAACTCAACTTCCGTTATCCCTTCCCTTCGCTCCCTTTACTAATTACTATATTTTCTTTCATAAAGTGCCGCCTGAGGTTCATGAAAGCCACCCCTTCGGCTCCTCCTCCCCTTTCCTCCCCTTCAACCACCTTTCACAGGAGCTTACATGAGTTTCGCGACAGCGCAACAGCGACGCGGCCCTTGTAGCGAGTTTCGCGCCGACTGTGCTTGCCCTCCAAAGCCACCGATCCAGCCAGACCGCACTAAGCCCTCAACCTACCTGTCCCTGCCTGTCATCTGTATTAAAACTCTGATCACTAATCTACCCCCCCCTCTCTTTGCCTCTCCGTCAGGACCTCAAACAATGTCTCGCTCCCTTTGAGATGACATCTCCCCTTTTCTGAAAACGCCCAGACTCCTTGGAGGAAAAAGAAGAAGGGGTAGAAGGGGGGGGGGGGGCGGGGGCGCCAGGGCAGAAGCAGTAGACTAGCCACCTCGCAGCAAACAACGGCCCAGGTTAATGGAAAAATAGTAAATGCATGGATCCATAGATACGCGCCACCCGCAAGATATAAATCCATCGATGCTCTGACCTCACATTGCGAATCCGATATGTGCTATTAGAAGGGGGTTGTGCCCAGCTTACTATGACCGCAAGGGACTACCTTGAATATTATATTAAATATATATATACGTGTGTGTGTGTGTGTGTGTGTGTGTGTGTGTGCGCGTGTTAGACGTACGGAGCTACTCAAACTTGTTCAGATGTAAGCGGCGCTGCGCCTCCGCGCTGAGACCTAAACCAGAGATAACAACATCCTCGGGCCACCGTCACCATTAAATCACCAAAACCCAGGCCACGCATGCCGCATGAACTGTGAAAACTCAAGCCCTTTCACAAACACACACACAAAGGTCACCAGATGTTTTGGAGCTTTTACATACTCGGGATACCCGGGAGCAGCTAAAAGTAGCACGGAGGAAGCGACGTATCGGGAGGCGTATGCCATTGGTGAGTCTTTTGTGATTTCGTATTATTCCAAAACTTGTTGATTCGACTCGGACGCATTGTCCAGTACTATGATGTGGGGGTATCTCCTCCTCTCTCTTCTGCCTGATTTTGAAAAAAAAAAAAAAAAAAAAAATCCAAGATGTGAAACCAGTGCCGTGCAGGAGAAAATGTCCAGAAAAACATGAAATGTGGTTCCAATGTGGTTCCAAGAGTGTTCAAAAACCACAGACAATACCAGCGTCTCCCCACGGGTATATGCTAATCCATCAACAGCACAAACTAAGCAGTCATGTTGACGAGCGACACACGTCTCCTGCCTTCCTCAACCCCGACTCCATTACCATTAACACCAAGCCTCCCATTCCGGAGCACAGGATCTTCTGTACTACAGCCTCCTCAGCCTTCTGCGGCGGTCGTTACGCATGCTGCTGCTGGTTATACACGGGCTGCGGAGCCTCGACATACGACCCGCGACCGTCCGACGCCGATCCTGAGGGCCCGGCAGCTTGGCCGTTGCTCGTGGACCCCGTTGCGTGCGGCTGCACCGCCTCCTTTGTCCCCTGCTGCTGTCCTTGCTGCTGTTGCTGGGGGTCGTAGTAGTCGCTGTAGTAACCAGAATAGTGCGCGGGCTGAGGCTGCTGGATGCCTCCAGGGACGACGGGCTGCTGCGGCTGGGGCTGGCCGTAGAACTGTTGCTGCTGCATCTGCATCTGCATGAGCTGCTGAGGGGTGAACTGCTGGCCCGGGTAGTACATGGGCTGCTGGACGTAGATGTAGCGGACGGCACGGTCCGCGGAGTTGCGCTTATGCGTCTCAATGCAGGCGCGGACAAAGAGGGTGAAGTGGATGATGCTGGGCAAGGGTAACGACGAATGTTAGCCAAGGAAAGGGGCCTCACCCCTACGGGGAGATGGGAGAAAGTTAGAGACTTACAGCAGCAGAGCGGAGAAGGCGAGCAGGGCGTATGTGATGGACTGGTACTGGCCACTAATCATGAAGTTGTAGTAGCCGTAATAGTAGCTCGAGGGGGAGTAGCCGTAGTCGTCGTAGTCGGACAGGTACTCGGCGAGGTAGCCGGCGTTGAAGCCGTCGAGGATGACATTGACCAGGAACCCCAACCACAGGAGGAGGTGCAGAGCCACGTGGGCGCCGGGGTGGATGCTCTTGTGGCCGGTGCGGGCACAGATGGTGATGAACTCTGCGACCTGCCAGCAGATGGCGACGCCGGCGACGGGGATGACCCAGACGAGCTCGTAGGCGTAGCCGTCGCTGAGGGTCCAGCTGGCGGCCGAGAGGGCGACAAGGATGATGCTGAAGACGAGAGAGGCACTGCCGAGGACAATCTTGGTAATGTGCCATGCGCGGCCGACGGGAGGAGGACCTGCGGCAGGCACAGGAGTAGTGCCTGGAGCCACTGGCGCCATCGCGGGTGCCATGGCGGGCGCCGGTGGCTGCTGCTGCTGCTGTTGAGGCGGCTGAGCAGTCATTGTTACGCCCCAGGTATTCCCAAGGGATACGTGCTAGTAGGCTGAAAGAAGTCTGGCTGCGATTGCGACTGTCACGCTGAAGCTGTCGCGAGCAGTAGTAGTAGTCGTCAATGTTGAGGGCCAGGCAGCACGCAACGCCAAGAGCAGCGCCAAACTTGACGTGGAGGAAGAAACGAGTGACGATGGTGAGAGGGAGCAAAAGAGAGTGAAAAAAGAAAGAGTGAGTGGCAGTCAGGCAGCCGTGACCAAGATCAACGAACGAACGACGGCAGCAGCAGGCTCTGATCAGACGAGACCATCGGGGACCTGAGGAGCCAGGCCAGAGCAGAGCACAATGCATGCCCGCCCCATCGGTAAGGCTCGTTCAGCAGCAGCACTCAGCCCCCCTTTGCCGCCGCCGCTTCACGAGGCGGACCCCTGTGGTGCTGCTTTTTTCGGGCACAATCCATGGATGTGTTGGCGGACACGGACGCCCCCCATGTCGGCGCCGCTAGTTTGACAGAGCCTAGCCCAGGCACCAGTCGCGTCGTGGCGGGTCCGGCGCGGAACTAAAAGCAGTTCGCCTGTCATTTCAACACCCATCAGACCTGTCCACAATACGAGGTTGTATGTAGTGCGCGGGGCCGCTCGTTTTTGTTTCTCGGGCAGTGAAGTGAGTGTGTCCCTTCTAATTACACGAAAGACCGGCGGGGAGACTCTCCAACTGGACCGTCTTGACAATCCTGTCGTTGGGGAGAGGACTTCGAGGTGTCTCAGAGGGATGCCGCAGTCTATGTACTGCCCCAGACAATGCAGCCTCGCCAGGGGTATCCTGAGCTTAATCGGCCAAGGCCCTGATCCGGGGTGGGTCCGTCGCGAGCCGCCTTGAACTTCCCAAGGTTGTCTGTCTCTGTGCGAGTCTGTCAACACGTTGCGGAGCCCACAACGAGGCAATTTGTCAGGATGGCACTATACAATCCACGAAACCGCACCTCGATATATGCAAGGCAACAGTCTCTACGAGAACGAGACATGAAAACCAGGCCATCCTCGTTGATCGAACCCAGCCGCAGGATGATCAAGGTTGCGCCACCAAACCGGCATGGTAGTCTGCCCGTCTGACAGTGGCATCCCCGCGTGGCGGGCCTGGCGCCAATCACTCCAGCCCACGAGCTCAGCCTCCCGCCTGGGATTGCATCATTGATGGTCGCGTTGCCTGAGACGCCTTGTTTCTGGCTGGAATTTGCGAGCGCGTCTGGGCATCTTCACTTGTAGACGGGTCCTCGGAGAGAAACATGGCACAACCACGACAAGGCTGGGCACGTATGAATAATCGGCTCCGTCCCGGGCATCCGATATGACCATGCTCCAATGGACAGACAGCCTGATACTCGTCAACATGTGCAATCGCAGCATCACCAGACAACCCCATATCTTCTGAAACGCTTCAATGTCTTGCTAAAAAAGGTTAAAACTGTCTTGGGTACGTCCACAACATCTTGCTCTGATTGCCACTGCTCTATTCATCATCGAGGAAGCGACTCGCCACTTGTCCAAAGAAAGGAACCTCATATCTTATCGAGCCAAACATGTCCGCATTAGTCTTGATTCCTCACAGAAACTCTGCGCCAGCCAGGCAGTCTGCAGGGGCCAATATACACGTACCTGTCGAGCGTATCCGCATCTCTATACGCCTTGAGCGTGAGAAACGCCATAAGACCCAAGTCAGCCAGGAAGATGACCCAGCCGAGAAATGTCGAGAACGAGAAGATGAGGTGGAGGACAAAGACGGCCGTGAAGAGTAGACTCGATTGCCACGCATGGAACCTGTGCTCAAATTGTTAACGCTGGTCCTCGGCCTGGATTACTGCCAGTGAGAGACTTGTTGTTGCGGGGATACGAGCAAGCACAACTCCTGAACGGACAACGGACAAATGACGTACCGGACATAATCGCTCTTGCGCTCCAGAATCAGTAGTATGATTGCACCAATTGGCGGCAGCGCAAGATACGCCAGACACGCCTCGTAGTCTAACCGGATCCCGAGGCTCGTGTCAAACTCGGCAATGTGATCCGTGTATCCGCCATCACCTCCTCCTCCTCCAGAGCCCAGCCCTACACCGGCCTCGGCAGCCCCTGCACCCGGCGCAAAGGCCGAGCTCGACCACTGCCGTTGCGGCTGGGGATGCTGGAGCGGCGGCGGTGACGAGACGCCATTGTTGCCTGCCCGGCCGCCGGCTTGGTATTGGTACTGGTTCGGGGAGAACGGCCGGCGATTGCCGTTGTCGTAGGAAGCCCGCGGCGAGGTTGCGCCGCCCGTGGAGCCCTCTGGAGACCAGGGACGGTTGTGCTCGGGCGGGGAGGACTGGTATGGGGCGAAATCCATGGCCGCGGATGTGTGTTGAGCTTGCGCGCAATGTGGTCAAGCCCAGAGTCGTGTGTGCGTCTTGTTCGTGCAGTCGCAATCGAAGCACAACTGGGCTGGTCGGCAGAAGACCGTCTAGCTAGTACCACTCTCGAATAAGAACAGTCGAGCTTGGCGCGACGTCTTGCGGGTCGTCGCTACAGAGTGGTGTTCTTCCGTCACAATTGTACTTGAGTGGCCGTGTCGTGGTCGAGCTTCTCGCGATCGCCAACGGGAGCAAGCGAATGAATGAATGAATGAGCGCGCGACGTCAACCTGCCGAGTTGATGCTCCTGGTCTACCTGGAATGCGCAGCTGGACAGTTGAATGTCGCAGCAAAGGTCGGGCGGTTGGTGCCTGGTGACGAGTGTAGGTCGAAGATGACGTTGCAGGCGAGGAGCGGAAGGCAGCTCTCGAGCCGGGAGTAGGGGTGTTTGCGGGTGGGTTGGACGAGCAAGCTCCATGCATGTGCCCGAGTCGATGCCGCGCGTGCAGCCGTTTCCGACGACTGGAGTGGTGGGGCTCTGCTCGATCTCCCCCAAGGTCCCCCAAGGCTGCCACATTCCCCAGCCTGGGTAGGCGACTCTGGTAAGAGTTTAGTGTTACATAGTATAGAATATCATATCCGCAAACGTCATGACGATATGTGTTCTTGCTAGCCTACACCGGCACAAATGAATCCGCCTGAGTTCCAAGGTCACTCTTGCCTGCGAGATCGAATACTCCCGCGACAGTTAGGTCTCACTGCTGCAAATACACGGTTGAGGTCAATGGAACAACCCAGCTGCGTTGCATAAATTACAGGCCATCAACCACGAATATGATGCCATTTCTAGAACCCTCGAATACAATATCTGTACAGTGGTAGTGGTGCTTTACATCTTCGGCCAACGCCAGGCCTCTTTGCTCACGAACACATGATAGCCAGGGCAACGAGGACCGGGCGACTATTCCTTCTGGTCCTCGGCAGGCTCCGTCTTGCCGCCGTTCGCCTCCTCATCCATTTGCGTCCTTCTGCTCTCGAGCGCGAGCCACAGGCCCTTGCTGTGGCCTTCGAGGGCAGTTGTGAGACCCAGACCAGCAGTCTGCAGCATGTGCACAAGCTGCGCCCGCAGAGTATCCAGTCCGCCCTCAATGCCGCCCACCCACTTCACGCCAGCCGGGTCGAAGACCTTGCTCTCCACGCGGCCGCCGATAAGCAGGAGCTTCTGCAGAGCGCTCTGCGCGACCGGGTCGTAGTAGCCGGGGCTCTTCTTCCTGGTTGGGGCCGGGAAGTCCGGTGCTGACGGAGCCAGAATCTTGAGCACGGCCGCGAGATGGGCTGGGGACACCGCCGGGAAGGTGACGGCGGCGACAGGGCCGGAGAAAAGCGGCGCAATCTGGGCGTATGCGCTGTTGGGGTCCTTGGTGTTGGCCTTCTGGAGCGCGGCATATGCCGACGTCGACAGGTCGTGCGTGTAGGCATTGGACTCGCCCGCGTGCTTCTCTGCGTCAAAAAACTCGACAATCTTGAAGGCAACGTCGAACATGCGCGTCCGCAGTACCTGGATATCGATGTGATCCGACACGTTGACAGGGACGCGGCCATCGGCTCCGGCAACGGGAGGTGGGACCGCAGCCAGCGCTGCGCGCAACTCTCGCCGCAGGGCGGCCCACTCGTTTGCGGTGATGTTGTTGTGTTGGAAGAAGAGTATTAACGGCGTTGATCGCAGGAGCGAGGTGTATGTGCGCAGCATCTGCGACTTTCTGGTCTGTGCCGGCCGCGCACTGGGAGGCTGTGTGGGAGGGACGAAGCTGTCGGGTAGCTTCACGCCGGCCACGGGGACTGAGGCGGCGGCAGCATACTGGCGAGACTGAGACCTGGACAAATGTGTCAAGGCCGCGCGCGAGGCTGGTGCTGAACAACGAGCGGCGTTTTGGGCGTGTTGGAGCGCTCGGCCAGCACTGCTCCTAGCCGAGGAGCAGGCGATTCGTGCCGGCATGGCGGCTGTAGCAATGGTGCGAAACGGGATGGTGCCGGTAGAGCAGCTGACAAGGAGAGCGCCTGGCCTGCCGAGCGGTGATTGTTTTGGTTGCGGCGTCTGCAATGTGCCCAGGTGCAATGCCAGCTTCCCTCAAACAAGCAACCAGACCACCACGGATGCGAGCCTCGAAATTTCGTGATGGCTGCACTGCACCGCTGGTGGCAGGGACAGGCTGCGCTAATCCAGGATGGGCATAGAGAGGGCCACGTCCCGGGTAGGTTTAGCGTCGACAGAGCTCTGCTTTGTGCCGCGCCTGACCGCTCCAATTGGGACGCCCCGGACAGAGCCGTCCATGCCATGGGTGGTGGTCCACGCCAAGGGCCATTGTCGTCATGCCCGGCTCTTCTTATTCTGCTACCCCGCGACTGGACCCTGCAAGCAGAGCTGGCCCATGCCCCTCGTGCTCCTTCTGCAGCATGGCGAGCCTGGGCAGGCTGATTATGTCGGCCATCTGGACTTTGGGACCGAGGGTGCAACACTGGCCCTCCTTGCCATTTGCTGGTTCCTGATTGATTGAATGGATGCGGCGGGCCTTGCCGTCCTGAAGGATGTGCCATTGGCATCAAGGCGGCTGTGTGAAACGTGGTATCTCACTTGCGACATTCCTGTTGGGCTGCCCAGGCGTCGGGCTCGGCTGAAGTGCCAGCTCCACCAACTTTTCGATCTAGTCGCGAGATCTACGCTTTCTTAAAAACATCCTTGCCAACCACTTTCTGTGACTCACTAACACCAAGATCGTCCAACACACACACAACGGTGCGCTACTCCAGCAAGGACAATCAGCCAAGACCTTTTTGTCTCCGCCACCAAATCAACCTCCTCCAACACCAGACACCGACAAGCCTCGAAACAGCCTTCTCCCTTCAACCGGCCGGTGCTTGCCGTCTCTAACCACCCGCCGCCATGCCTGAGGCACCAAATTCGATATCGCAGCAGCTCGACCAGCCGGCGATTGTCGACATCCGGCAGCTACTGCAGCGGCTGTGGCCAGATCCGGAGAAGAGCAGGGTCACTGCCACCGAGATTGCAGACGCCCTCGCCCTCATCTTCACCAACCAGCTCAGCCCTGTCCAGACCGGCTCTCTCCTCACAGCCCTCCACTTCACCGGCTGGGACCGCCGCGCCGATGTCCTCGCCCAGGCCTCGGCCGCCATGCGCGCGCACTCGGCGCCGATAGACATTCCCGCCGTCCAGCAGGTCATCAGCAGCAAGGCAAGACCAGAAGGGCTCTACAATGGCGGTCTCGTAAGTTAAAACGGGCCCAAGATCAGATTGCCAACCTCACGGGAAGAATCCCCCCGGGAGCAAACTTCATCGCACTCTCTCTCTCTCTCTAACACGCGAATAAAAAACCGGACAAAGGTCGACATAGTAGGCACCGGCGGCGACTCGCACAACACCTTCAACATCTCGACGACTTCTTCGATCCTGGCCTCGTCGCTGCTCCTGCTCGCCAAGCACGGCAACCGCGCGTCGACGTCCAAATCGGGCTCCGCCGACCTGCTGATGAGCATGGAGCCACACCCGGCGCAGCTCTCGCGCATCAACCCGCGCACAATCTCGGCCGTGTACGCGGCGTCCAACTACGCGTTCCTCTTCGCCCCCGTGTTCCACCCGGGCATGCGGTTCGTCGCCCCGATCCGCAAGGAGCTCGGCTGGCGCACAATCTTCAACCTCCTGGGCCCGCTGAGCAACCCGATCCACGACGCCATCGAGGCGCGCATGCTGGGCGTCGCCCGCGACGACCTGGGCCCCGTCTTCGCCGAGGCGCTCCGCCTCCTGGGCAACACAAAGGGCCTCATCGTGTGCGGGAGGGAGCAGCTCGACGAGATCTCGTGCGCGGGGGAGACCCTGTGCTGGCAGCTCGTGCCCCGGGCCGACGGGGTCGTCGAGGTCGAGCACTTCCTCCTGTCCCCGGCCGACTTTGGCCTGTCGGCGCACCCCCTCAGCACGGTATCCCCCGGCAAGGAGCCCCACGAGAACGCAAAGATCCTCGAGAAGATCCTCAGGGGCGAGCTGCCGGACGACGACCCGATCCTCGAGTTCGTCCTGATGAACACGGCGGCCCTGTTCGTGGTGGCGGGAGTCTGCGAGGCCGACTCGAGTAGCATGGGTCCCGGGGACGACGGGCAGGTCATCAAGGAGAGAGGTCCTGGAAACGGCCGGTGGAAGGAAGGTGTGCGCAGGGCGCGCTGGGCCATCAAGTCTGGCGAGGCGTGGAGGCAGTGGAGCGCGTTCGCAAAGGTGACGAATGAGTTGTCACCATGAGTAGAAAAAGAGGTGTCTTCAGGAGATTGGAGAGATCCTCCATGATTGATCAAATGGATCACCAAAAAAGTTAAAATCGACTTAAAAGCCTTTCATGTGGACATATAGAAACTTCGAGTGGGATTCATGCACGTCGAGAGAGAGCTGGTTGTGAAGCTATGTGTCTGTGGCTTTTTCTCCTTTTACTAACTTCATACATGTAAATGCAAGACCCTTGTCGGTTTCCATCAACCAGTCCACGAATGCCGATCTCACATCTGCTGATCTATCTGGCCAGGACGCCTCGAACTGTGCCTTTGAGGATGGGTCTGCCCTCAATTGGCCGTTCGCCGATCCCCGTGTCGCTCCCACTGCCCTTCTCGAGCCAGCGAGCCAGAAGATCATTGCTCTCTTTGGGCTTCACCGAGTTGTCCCGCGTTCCAATGGTGATGTGGGCGACCTTGTTGACACACTTCCACTGCTCTGCGGGATCGACAAGGCGCACCACAACAGCCATGATCCGGTCGTCCCACACCACGCTCTCAAGCATGACCTCGCACTCGCCCATCTTGCCATCTACAGAGTCTGCACTTTTCTCCGCGTGGAGCGTCTTGTAGTGCTGCCAGAGCTCAGAGTGCTGATCCGCCGAGGCGCGATGCATGAGCGTCACGTGGAAAAGAGGCTGCACACGACGGGTCTGTTGCAGCTGACGGTACATCTTTTGTTCGTCGGGACCGGCACCCTTGAATGCCGTCTCGAGAGTGCTGGTGACGTCTTTGGCAGGGACGGAGACGGACATGTACTCGAGTGGCTTCGGCTTCTTGGATGTCTGCGCCTGCGGCTCATTCTTCTTGGCGCTGTTGTTCTTGTTGCTGCTGCGATCCGGGATCTTGTGTCGCAGCAAGGGGGTGTAATCCTCGATCGCCGCCTTGACGGCCTCGTCCATGTCTGCAGCACTGGGTAAATTCGGGACGAGCGCAGGATATCTCTTGTGCAGCTCGTTCACCACGATCTCGACATTGGAACGGCTGCCCTGAGCCGGGTCAAGGTCGATTATCATGTCGAATCCAGCGTCCGGCATCTGGTCCGGCTCACATGGCTGGAAGCGCGAGATGAAGTTCTCCATGATGCCTATGACTTTGCTCTCCTCGGACGCGGCTTGGATCGTCTGATGGTTGTCGCCGCGCTTGAGCACGCGCTCGCGTGTGACTCTTCGCACTTCGTCTATGTCACTGTGGGCAAAGTTGAGGGCGACAAGGCGGGCGTCTCCGTTCTGCTTCTTGACATCGGCGATAATCTGGTCCCGCTCGCGGCGTTCCGAGTTGTTGCGATCCGATATGACAACAGGGTGCTCCATGAGCTGCTTCATGAGCTGTGTCACCATCTGTGCCGGGCGGCCTTTGCCCTGGATATTGTCGTTCTGGACAATGCCCCAGCCGAATAGGTGTGTCAGGGCCATGCCGACTGTGGTCTTGCCACAGCCAATGGTCGCTATTGGCACTAGAACCACGTTATGTGTGACAAGCTTGCTCTCATCATCGTCCTCCATGTTCGCCGCATCGGCACCCTTGATGTTCTTCTCCCGGAGAAAGTCGTCTCTGAGCTTGATGATGCCATGGTTCTGGTTGTACAGCTTGCCGAGCTCTGGGCTCTGGGCAAGAACTTTCCGCGCGTACCGCAGGTACTCCTCGGTGATCTTGATGTGCTTCTTATACTTGGGAGGCTTGCCGGCAATCAAGGCCTTTGTGCATTCTCGCCACTGTCGATACATCAAGTAGGGCTCTTCGAACTTGTACTTGAAGAACCAGTCGGCGAATGGGATCCTTTCCGGATCAGGAGACATCCTGCAGCGGATGACAAAGCCTTCGACGTCCCGGCCATCATGTGCGCCTGATTCTGCAACACCATCGAGGAACTTCTGCACGGATTCTGTATCCGGGTATGTGAGCAGGCCAACCTTGCGGAACCCCCATTCGTCCGCAAAGCCCTGCACCAAGTCGCTCGGGTACGTCACGAACTCTGGAACATTGACGTTGATGCCGTGCAGATAGAGGCCAGCTCTGTCGGGACCGTAGGCCAGGATATGCTCCTCGAACTCGTCATCACACAGCTCGGCCACGGCCGTGACATTGCGTTTTCTGAGATGGCGGGCAAACTCTTCCCTCGTCTTGCCGATGGTGGCGAGCTGCTTGTCGATCCACCTGTCACCAGCGCCGGCGTGGCTGACGTCGATGTCTGTGCGGTCACCTGTCGAGTGCTTGCTGCATACTAGCAAGGTGCCGTCTTCGAGGCCGCTGATGAAGATGATGCAGCCGTTCTCCTTGAGCGTGAGCTCGTAAGGGCCCTGGGTCTTCCTGTGGATGTTTTCCCATTTGGTCTCGGAGACCTCGTTGACGTTGAAGAACTTGTCGTAGCCACGGACAGCAATCTCAGCCTCACCGCGGCGGTTCCTTGTGGTGAAGAGACCTCGCGCGTACGTGGGCAGGTCTGGCCGCTTGTAGTCCCAGTCCTGCAATCTCCAAGAGTCTACAGAAATGCCGTCGGGCGAGCCCTGGATCTTAAATGTCGTCTTCTTGGCCTTGATGCCCTTCTTGGATTTGGTTTTGGGATCCGCAAGATTGCGCACAAGCTCGGCAATCTCCTGCGGATCCTGCTCTTTGAAGGGAACCCTGAGGATCGCCATGTCTGGCAAGGCCGGCGAGACAGAGGCGGGTGACTTGTTCAATGTTGCGGTGGTGAATGCTGCGGGCACACTTCTTGATCTCAGACGCGGCACCGGTGGTAACCAGGGAAGTCGAGACAAGTGACGTCTGTGGTGGTGACCTGCGGTGGTTGTGGCAGGTCCGTTGATCAACGTGTATCTGTGATGAAGGGAGAGAATGTGGGACAGCTGCACAAGACGAGCGGTGCGAGGGTACTTGTACAGAAGAGTGTCTGAGGCAGGAAGGGCTCTGAACAGGCAAAGAGGTCTCGTGAAGCCCATGTGCCCCGTCGATGCCCAGGCAAGGTGGAGTTCTGTCAACTGGTAGTGCTCATGGTAGCGCGGCTGTGGACGCAGATGCTGGTGGTTCGTGTGTGCTACAGAGGCAGCCTCAAACGGGGCTATGCCGCCCTGCTATTCCAGACAGACGCCCAGTGGGCAGCTTGCCCGTCTGAGTCACCCAGGCTGAGCTTGGCCGGCCGTGTCACAAACGTTGTTGAATCCTGGCCCAGGCTAGGCAGAACCACTTCCCCCATGCATACAGACCCCTAGCTCTATAGCGTCCAGGGTCTCGGTCAAATCAATGGGCGTCACTTGCGTAGCCAGCAATCATCATTGTGATTCAACATCTCGAGAGTACTGTCGTGTGGGGTCATTGCATCTCGTGCTCACCTCACAGCTGGGCAGCCCTAGCAGAGGCAACTTCCAAGGGTGGGCTGAGGTCCCACTGCCGGTACGTCTGGTGGACCCCTTGCTGGCCGAGCCCTGCAAAAATTTTGGAGGGGTAGCACGACCATGGATTGCATCACAGGCTCGTCGTTGCTTGGTGGGGTCATGGGCAACAATTTGAAGCCGGTGCAGATCAGAAGCTCCGTGTGCTGCTTGCTTGGTCCAGTACTTCCCAGGCCACTCGTGTACCTGGCTCTTTGGCATCTCGATTACACATTTCGATTGCATATCATCCTCAACGAGGCAACCGTCTAGAGAACAAAGCTGGTGTATCGTGCGCTCCGGTGTCAAGCTCCAAAGATGACGGCCAACCCTTTCCTCCTGGCTGCAGACAACCCGGCGGCGCTCCTGCCGCTGCTGCGCGAGAATCCAGCACTGGCCTCAGCTCAGGATGACCACGGATACTCCCTTGTCCATGCTGCCGCTAGCTACAACCATCTTGACCTCCTACGTGCCTTGATCCGCCAGTTCAATGTCGATGTGGACCTGCGCGATGAGGACCAGGAGACAGCCCTCTTTGTGGTAGAGACCGTAGAGGCAGCCAAGCTTCTTGTCGAAGAGCTTGCAGCGGATCTGACGGCGACAGGCACCGAAGGTCGCACTGCTAGGGAAAAGATTGCGGAAGAGGGAGAGTTCCCCGAGGTCGCCGAGTATCTCCAGTCGAAGGAGTCGTCCCTTCCTGCCGAAAGTCTCAACGGCATCCACCCTGCAGTTCCGGCTAGCAGCGAGGCTGACACTACTGCTGCGTTGCCCAACGGCATGCGAGTGTCCATGGGCACCATAGAGCCTGGCGACGAAGAAGCAGAGGTCGACCCAGTACTTCGCCGGAGGATAGAGGAGCTTGCAGAACGGGAGGATTTCCATACTGAGGCTGGACAAGCAGAGCTGCGCAGACTAGTAGAGGACGCCATTGGAGCTGGCGACTATTCGGATCGCAACGTCAGGTCCAGACAGGAATAAGGGTGGTTAATATCAACATTCTCAGATGGTCTTCAGGAATGTCCGTGGATATCCCAGAGAAAGTACTCCCCAGGAGCATTCGGCGGTCGCATGAGCGTACATTCCGATGCTTCACCGATGGTGCCTTTGGCGAAGGCCGTAGTACTGAGGGCGAACCACTGCTTGGGCGTCACAGCAAGAACAATCTCAGCCAGCAAGCGCTGCGTCCACGACGAAGGCATGAATCCCTCCCAGGTCAGCTTGCACAAGGCCTCTTCGCGAATCTCCTCGACATGACCCGGGGGCGTGTATGTTGAGATGTACTGATCTACATTGTCACCTGCAGCCACGCGGGGACTCTGAAGACGTATCAAAGACAGCCACTCATATATGTCGACGCTGTATTCATCGAATTCGAGATGCCCAAGGTCATTGAGGGCTGTGTGTGGCATCGCCAATCTTGGTGTCAATGTCCTGAGATCCTTGGAAAGGCCCGGCGCGGATGTGTACTTGACCGGAAAGTGCTTTTGAAGAGGGTCGGATGACGGAACTGGTGCATTGTTTAGTACGTGCAGCGACCAGTATCTTATGGGACTCTTATTACCTTCGGAAATATTGCGGAAGAGCCAGGTGACTGGCTTGTTGAGTACATTGTGGCAAGCTGAAAGAAGCCTCTCGAAACCCTTCTTGCCGTGAAGCATCGAGGGATGCCTGAGGTCGTATTCCACGACTAGTATTAGGCCAACAGTTAGTTGAGGTAGAATCAGATGTACAAAGGAAAGAGCACTTACTCCATCTGGGCTTGATGCCCCGTTTGCCTTTAACGCCGTATGGTTTGCCAATGAGTCCGGCTCGCTCATACGTCTCCTTGGCGAGATATAGTGATAGTGTGCCTGCAGGCTGTGAATATGAGGGCTCCCTTTGCCATTGGAGCAAGACCTTTACTGACCATCTTTGAGTGTGAACACATCATCCGCGTCCAACCTGCCGGCCGACAACATGATCACGTTTCCTTAACAGCAAGTCTTGTTAGCACAGGTTTTGTTGCTGGTCTGTGACGTTGATACTAACCAAGCTTAATGTACTCCGTAAAGAAGTCGCCCTCTAAAACCTGACCAAGCTTCATAATCACGCGGTGGTACGTAGGCGTCAACAGCTGTGCTGCCTCAAGCCTGTCTTTCACAGCCTCTGCCACGCCCTGCGGCAGCACGAGATCCACCTATAAGAACAATTAGCGCTCCGTCCCGACTGTGATCGAGAAATGAAAGCAACAGAGGCCTTCTTTTGAACATGCCTTGTGCACAAAGTCTTGTGCGAGGAAGGAGGACCATGGCTTCCCCTTTGCCGGCAGCTGTTTAGGATCCGGGTGACCCATCGTGCCGTACGTAACGAAGCATTTCGGCGAGTGATAAATGCTGGGTGCCGTGAATGAAAGCATCTGTGCCGTCTTCGGGTAGTGGGATGCCCACTTCAGGTCTCAAGCCTAGGATCTGTTGCAGAGGTGACTCGACAAACACCGCGGGGAGCCACCAGCCAGGAACTCGAGCGCTCTGACAAGATGAACGACCTGAGAGATCAACCAGTTCGCGCTGCCTTCATGTGTTGTCGTGCGGGTTGTTAGCATGCGCCTGGACCGGATCCACCATGGCAGAATTGAATCGTGGACGGCGGGCACCACCCACAAAATTGGATGCGGAGCCTGGGATCAGACATCCCACTTAACAACACCAGACACTCATGCACCGAAAAGTTTCTAGAAGGTCATCACACCACAACAAGGCCGGGATTTCGACGCTCATTGTGGCCTTTACGGCATGTACCCGGTCTAGTTTGTCGATTCCCTCTTTTTTGACCACATTTTTCCTCTGATTTCTCAACCTTTCCGAAGTCTTTGAGACCGAAATACACCGTGAACCTGCATCTGGTTTAATATGGAGTACCTGGTTCGCTTCTCACAATGGCATGAGACCTTCCGTCTCGCCGAGCTGCAAGCACTTGCCCAGGTCGCGGGCATCGAGATGCAGGTGCTGTCATACAGTGATGAGGTGAGCCGCGTGAGCTTCGCATGGCCAACTCGACATTAGCTTACCAGTTCTCAGTCTCCCTTTTGCCTGGTCAAGCTGCCTTCAGAGGATGCAGCTCGAACGATACTGCAGAGATCCATTCTGGCGCAGAGCATCCATGAGCACTGGGGCACGGCGGACACTTATGACGAGCTTCATGCAATTGTTAAGCGAGAGACCTCACACCTATGGCCTCGGTACCACGACGTGTCTTTCAAGATCAACATTGACACCTTCTATGGAGCCCGCAGCGCCAAGAAGAAGCTCGAGCTCATCAACTCATTCTCATACTTGCCCCTAGAGGGACGGATCCTTCTCAGTTCGCCGGACCAGGAATTCACCATCTTTGAGCAGTGGGAATTCGGTGCGGTGCCAAAGAATTTGCCCAACCCTATCAAGGTCCATTTCGGCAGGCTCATAGGAACAGGTGTTCGAGAGCTGGTCCGCAAGTATGACTTGAAGAAACGAGGCTATATCAGTACAACATCTATGGACTCGGAGCTCGCGCTCATCACTGCCAATATCGCCTGTGCTGCCCCTGGTAAGCTGTTCTACGATCCATTCGTGGGAACCGGCAGCTTCCCAATTGCATGCGCCCATTTTGGGGCGTTGGGATTCGGGTCGGATATCGATGGGCGCAGCGTCCGTGGAGAAGGTGGCAATAAGAGTCTGAAAGGCAACTTCGCTCAGTACGGCCTGGAGAATTGCCTTGGGGACGTCTTTGTTTGCGACTTGACAAACACGCCAGTGCGCAGAATGCGATTTCTCGACGGCATTGTGTGCGATCCTCCGTACGGGGTTCGCGAGGGCTTGAGAGTATTGGGTTGCAGAGACCCGGAGAAAGACGCCTGGGTGGTGGAGAAGGGGAAGCAGTCATACAAGTGAGTGCAAAGGACCAGTTCTGGAGACGAGGCTATTCTGACAAGGCTTTCTGCCCAAGATTGGCCAACTTTGTGCCACCGAAGAAGCCATACAGCTTCGTGGCTATGCTCGACGACATTCTCAACTTTGCCACGGACACACTGGTAGACGGTGGCCGCCTATCGTTCTGGATGCCGACAGCCAACGATGAAGAGCAAGACATACCGGTGCCAACACACCCGAGTCTTGAGGTGGTTGTCGTCTGCGTCCAGGCATTCAACAAGTGCAAGTCCCTCCCTGCTAATATCTAACACACATGGATAATGCTAATTTCGCCGGTGCACAGGGTCTCGAAGGCTCATCACATACCGTCGCATCCCTGATGCCGAGGTCGACCAAGTCGCCCTTGCAGCGAGAACACAAGCGCTGGTAAATGGATACACTGCCGACGACCTCAACCCTTTTCGGCGCAACTACTTCCGCGGGTTCCGCCCAGAAGAGGGAGTCACTGCCGCCGGTGAGGTTACGAACACCAGCGCCCTGCCACGTACAGACTGAGGCAGAAAAAGTATGTGTGGTCATGACCAAACCAAAGGCGCCTGACTCGACAAAGAGCAGCTGGCAACGTAAGCATGCATCCAACACGGGCTGCATATCCGGCCGGCTATCCATGACGGCCTCTTAGTCCCAGGCATCGTCAGAGTCGTCCTTTCGATGCTGGTAGAGCACACTGCGTCAATCGAAGTAATACGTGGTGGTCTCTCCTCTAAGCGGGCCAGTATATGCACAAACCTCAAAACCCTGTGCTGTCTGACAGGAATGCACTGCTTCGTAGAAGTTGGGTTGCGGGAAACTTTATCGAGTCATGACAGGCTCAGTTGACGGAGACGAATGCGCAGAAGCTTCAGTCAGCTTTCCCAAGCCTGTGGGACGCGGCATGCCGCGCAGAGAAAAAAGAAAACTCCCTGCAAAGCACCCTGACGCAGTCCTTACGCCCTCCTGCACAAACCTGCATGATGGAATCTTTTCTTGATTGTTCCAGAGCCCATTCTCGAAAGCTCCTGGCGTGGCCCTTTTAAAATTCCCACGCACGAATCAGCAAATCATCTGCAGCGAAATGGCGGGTGGTCTAGCCACCAACTGTCACTAGCTCTGGAGAGAGAACATGCGATCCCCAACGCCTGGACGCAATACCATGTGGGCGGCACGAGCACATTGTGCCTGGAAACGGTCGTGGTGGAAGAGGTGTTCTGGTCATTGCGACTTTGAGGCAGGGAGAGGCAAGACAGTCACGGTCTTCGAGTCACGAGCTGTCTCTGTGCGCTGTCCTGGTGCCCAACCACCACCTCGGCAGCGTGGTCCTGGTCATTGTGTGCACACCACTGGGTCGAATACCAATGCTTGGAGACTTTGGTCCTGCAGGGTGCAAGCCTTGCAGTTTGGGAACCGGCCAGAGCTTGGGCATGTGTCCCATTGTGAAGCGCCATTTCGTCGTCATAGCCTGGCATGCGACCATGCAGAATAAACAAGTGTCCCATGCTCTCAACCCGGAACGGAGCCGAAGATGCGCCTGGTGCGGATCTCGCAAGAACCCCATCGGATCTGCTTGTGTGGGATGATGTCGCCGGGCCAGGAGAGGGCACAGCACAGTCAGGTCGGGCGGGCGGTTAGGGGACTTTGGGCCATGTGCCGGCGGAGGAGAGGAGTCGTGCAGAGTCCAGACTGCAGCTGATCTGATGTCTGGTGGAGGAGGTGTGGCACCCTCGACTTATCGGGCCCTGCACGCCCCCACTTGGTCGAGGAGGAGGCAAGAGCGGCCCCCCCAGTCGACTTGCCCCAGCATCCCCCCAGACAACACCCAGCATGGGCGCTCCACCAGGGCGGCTCCGAGTCTCGCAGTGCGTCCTTGACGGCGAGGCGCTCTGCACGCTGCCGAGCTAAACCCTCCTCCCTCTCGACATCTGCCATCCCATCACCAAGCCTGTCCGCCGTGCATCATTCCATTCCCTTATTCCGCTCGTCGTTTCTACTCATGGTGCGGCGTGCTCTTTCGTCCTCTCCCTATCGAAAGCTGGCCACTACCTGACCAGTCATCCACACTTATCGGCCGTCCATCAGTCGTCACCGTAAGACATCTGCTTGCGCGCGCGCATGCTGTGACGCACATCGAGCAGGGACAATTCACGCCTGGAGCACATTATATTCGTTGGTCTCACAGCCACCCGCGCCTTTGTAACCTGTCTCTTCTCGCAACTCCCAGACCACTCTCAACACGGCATTTCAGACCCCGATTCGCAATGCCGACTCCATCCACCAACAGCCCGCCTGAGTTGCCACCCCGAAACCACATCTCGACCTGTCCTGACGAAAGCTGGGGTCCTGGGACGAGCAATTGGGACGGCGAGTACACATCGCAGGTCCAGTCCTCAACAGCCAATGTTGTCGCGCCCACATCGAGAGTCTCTGCCAACACCGCCATCGGCGAGTTGTCTGACGACATGCGGTCTGCGACCAATTCCCCCCGGCCAGAATCAATAGTGCCGCCCTCGTCGATGGACCACGACATGGTTCAAACCCACCCGGCCGACAGTGCGCCTTCAATGGACACATCACAGCACTACAAACCGAGCGACGAAGACACAGAACAGGCCTCTAGCAGAAGTAACGACAGGGGATCCCCAAGTTCGCAAGCGACGCTGACGTCACGATTGCGCGGTGATACGGATGAGGATGGCCACGAAACCATCGATAAAAAGGACAAGATGATGTCTAGCATGTCAGATGAGGAAGGCAGCCTTGATTCCCCAATGGGATATGAATTTTCCAACAGAAGGGTGCGTTGTCCTGACCTAATTAACCACCCTCACGAAGCCCCTATTCAAAACTTCAATGCGCTGCACGCATACGGCCCAGCGTGGCTTGTGCTCCAAGTTTATGTCGCGCATGCACATCGCTGCTACTCATGAAAGTGTCATGTACTAACATGAGCTCGTTCCACGGAGTGCAGATAGCCCCAACTTCGCCCTCCACCTTCCTCCGGCCGGGCGCCAGATTTCACGGCACGCAGCAGTCCGAGCGGCAGGTCTATGACGTGCAGGTTGAGCTCAAATATGTCGACCTTCGAGAGTCATACCTCTGTGGTTATCTCAAAATTCAAGGTATGCCGTGAGCTACGGGCTTGGAACATCTCCGGGGATGGCATCAGAAGGATAGAGTTTCTAACTGCTCTCAATCCTGCAGGCCTGACTGAAGACAACCCGACCCTTACCACGTTCTTTGAAGGCGAGATTGTCGGCAGCAAATATGGATTTATAACAAAACACGAAGGATGGGGTGCCACGGAGAAAGTCGACATCAACCACTGGAGCAAGTTCTCGGCATTCCGACCATACAAGTCTCAAGTGCGCAAGGGCGCCAGCGTGTCTATGGGTAACCTGGCGCATCGCGAGAACATATTTATGCGTTGGAAGGAGCACTTCCTGGTGCCGGATCACCGCGTGCGAACCATCAGTGGAGCCAGCTTCGAGGGCTTCTACTACATTTGTTTCAATATGCGGGAAGGGTCCGTCAGCGGGATCTACTTCCACTCGAGGAGTGAAAAGTGAGTATCTTCCTCCTCTTTGATCATCCCTAGTTGCACAACGCTGACAGTTGCTTTGCAGGTTTCAACAGCTCGAGCTTAAATACCAGGAAGATCGCGGGAGCTTCGGCTCCGTGGAGTTCCGGTAGCCTCTACGCGCTTTCCGGCCTGCCTGACACTTCCCTCTCAGGGTTGTCGGGTCATGCCTTGCGTGTGCTGTACACATTTTTGCAGGGTTCTGCGTGACATTTATCGCATCTTCATCGTTGTTACTTGCAGACATATGATATCAATACAAGCGGTGTTTCTTTCCTGTTCCACAGCCGCGCGGAGAACCAATTTTTGTTTGCTCAGGACGGCGCGTTGTCGGATTGCTCGGGCGTGCGAACAGTCTAATGCCAGCTGGACTTGGGTCTTGCGTGGACATGTCTCTGGGGGCCCTGGTTGCATATTGTTTCTCATAGCACGTCTGCGGATCAATGAATCCACACGAAATACCGAATGTGCACGTCTGAGTGCATTAAAGAATGGGTATCGCTGTTCGGTTCATTTTGGGGTTTCGCTTTGTGGCGAAGTGATCTATGTGCGGGACTACATGTTGGGCGTTCGGCTCTGCTCGTAAGGGAATGCATTCATCGTCGCGCTGTAGCGGAGACGCAGTCCCACCTTCCAGTCAAGTGCCCAGACGTGTACCAAACCTCACTGCGTGATTCCGCGGCAGGTTTTTGTTTTTACCGGCCGGGTGCGTGCGATGGTATCATACATTTCTGAGTCCATACTCGCAGGCTCTTCAAGTGGTCAGGCGTGTGGTTTGCACGCGTGTCCATAAGTTGGTACTGGCCACTTGAGGAGGAAGCGACGTGCTCCAGATACTGGGGACCCATCACGAGATGGGCTTGATCTTGAAGTGCAGCGACGTCAAGCTAAAGACGAGCGCCTTGAGGTCCTGGACGAGGTAGTAGAACACGCGAAGGCCTTCAGGGTCGGCGGACTCTGTGACGTCGATGAGGGAGCCAATCTTTGCTGTCTGTTCCGGTTCGATGACGCAGCGTTAGTTCTTGTTCGCCCGCGCACCAAAAAGAGGAGTTGTTTTGTCTTTCCGCACGCCACAGCGAGTCTGGCTCCCCGTCGCCGTCTGGGCACAGGGGAAGCTAGAATCGGCTCAGGTCCTTTCAATGCACATACCTCAAACGAGATGTGCTCGTTGCCGAGCCTGATCTCGAGCTCTTGCCTTCCATCCTTGTTCTTCTGCGGCCACTTGCCGTCGTCTTCCTTCATGATCTCGCTCGCCTTGACAATGCGCCGTATTTCGTCAATGACGAGAGAGCTTACACACACTAAGCGTCGCAAACGTGGTTCAGGTCAGCCACTCGGGATCCTTGTACAAATGATTTGTTGCTGCTGCCATCCAATACCCCAAGGATTAGGAGGCCAGCTTATTGTATGACATACTCTCTTTCCGAATCAGACTGTCGTTGCGGTAGTTTGAGTTGTTGGCGTACCGCGCGACTGCGCTCCGGCCGTCGCCTACCACGCGGAAGTCGAACTCGAGGAACTCATGGCCGAAACGACCCGAGTGTCCGGAGCTATAAGCATTGAAAACCCCCAGAGGTCAGCGAATTGCAATGCGGGCTTGCGGATCAAATGCTGCTGTGAGGGGCGGCCGTACTAGTAACGCAGATAGAAGGGTTCGCTGTTTGCTGTCGTCATGGCCGCTTGTCGCAAGCGATTGTCGCAAGGTAGCTGGAAGGCGCTCCCTTTTGCGTGAGGATCGATCACCGAAGCGAGGCAGAGTAAGTTGGAGGGACGCAGGCTAGGGAGTGGTGACAAGGTCGGCTCGCGTGCTCGTGAGGTTTGCGTCGATGTGCACAAAGCTGTGGTAAGGCGTGGCGGCGGTCTCGATATCGTCAAAGTTGTAAGCGGGGCAAGTAGTTCCTGGCTGGTGAAGCTGCGCTAGCTGCTGCCAGTAGCTTGCCGGAGGTCCCTGGGCGTGCAATTGAGCAGCTCCCTGTCACTCAGCTAGTGAATAGATCTGCCCTGAAGGCTCCAAGAACAATAGCATGGCAGATGGACGCCCGAGTGTGGCTGGAATGTTAGGAGACTACCTCTGTTTGTGGTGTGCATCAAGCACTCGCAGAAGGTAGCTCGCTACTGCGCCTGATGTGGCTCTGCTTGGGGCTGCCCCTTGCCAGCTGGCCCCAGCGTGCAAGTGCGGGCAGGCACCACTTCTTGGGCACAAGGGGGTCCGCCAGAGACCTCTCAGTTGCGCTACGTATCCCTAACTGGCCCGTATGCAACCTGCAGTGGGGTCCTGCCCTGCGACTGCTGCGACTCCCGTCTGGACAATTTGGCCCTCCAGCGATATTGGCGACCTGTCCCTCCTCGCCAACATCACCGCCTCGCCCCTGATCCGCGATCCTCAAGACCCGAACTTCCCACGCACCACCGCCCGAGGGATGCAGGATCGCATCGTCACCTGCGGTCCGGCTCGAGCTCCCTAATCACGCCCATTCGTCCTTACTTTATCTTGCGTCAGCCCACCACGAGCTGCCTGTGCATTGCAGCATATCGACGATCCACCCCCCTTCTAACAGCTGGCAATTCGAGTCGAGTGGCGTCTTGCATTCGCAGCACGCTGTTGTAAAACTCCACCAGCTTCACCACGCGCCCTGAGTTCTAGATAGACATCGACACGTCCCGCCCATTGTCTTCGCCCACTTCACACTCGAGCTGGCAGCAACGTAGCTGCCACCCCGCCAACCACCATGACCACCTTCCTCGAAAATGCGTACAGTCTTGTACACCAGGACAACACGGCCGACGTTCCCTCGCTCAACGACCTCAAGAACCAGCTTGAGAAGGGCACCGATGAGTCCAAGTGCGAGACAATGAAGCGCATCTTGACCATTATGCTCAACGGCGATCCGATGCCCCAGCTCCTCATGCACATTATCCGATTCGTCATGCCGTCAAAGCACAAGGCCCTCAAGAAGCTCCTCTACTTCTACTACGAGATATGTCCCAAGCTGGACTCGAATGGCAAGCTCAAGCAAGAGATGATCTTGGTGTGGTAAGTGTTCCCTGATCAGACGCACAGCCGATCCCAGCTTACACAACCTCCACAGCAACGGTATTAGAAACGACCTGCAACACCCCAACGAGTATATCCGGGGCAACACTCTCCGATTCCTCTGCAAGCTCCGGGAACCCGAATTGATTGAGCCCTGTCTGTCGTCTGCTCGGTCCTGCTTGGAACATCGCCACGCCTATGTGCGCAAGAACGCCGTCTTCGCCATCTCGTCCATCTTCCAGACCTCAGAATCGCTCATTCCAGACGCGGCCGACCTCATTGCGACCTTCTTAGAAGGAGAGAGCGATGCCACGTGCAAGCGCAACGCATTTGCTGCCCTGGCCAACATCGACCACGACAGAGCTCTAGCGTACTTGAGCACTGTTTTCGAGAGCGTGCCCAACGCAGAGGAATTGCTTCAGCTGGTCGAGCTCGAATTCATCCGGAAAGATGCCGTCCAGAACTCCCAGAACAAGGTAAGTCGTTGCCAGCCGCCTGGATATGGCATTTTTATGCACATCAGAGCACTGACTGGGCTAACCACACTCTAGGCTCGGTATCTGAGACTCATCTTCGACCTCTTGGAGGCTGGTGCTTCGACTGTCGTTTACGAGGCCGCTTCCTCTCTTACAGCACTGACGAGCAACCCCGTGGCCGTCAAGGCTGCTGCCGCCAAATTCATTGAGCTCAGCATCAAGGAGGCCGACAACAACGTTAAGCTGATCGTTCTGGACCGTGTAGATCAATTGCGGCAGAAAAACGAGGGTATCCTAGACGACCTTATCATGGAGATCCTGCGCGTTCTCTCTAGTACAGATATCGACGTGCGACGGAAGGCGCTTTCTATTGCTTTGGAGATGGTGTCGAGCAAGAACGTGGAGGAGGTCGTTCTGCTGCTCAAGAAGGAGCTCTCCAAGACCGTCGACCAGGAGTACGAGAAGAACGCCGAATACAGGCAACTTCTGATTCACTCGATTCACCAGTGCGCCATCAAGTTCTCCGAGGTGGCGGCAAGTGTGGTCGATCTTCTCATGGACTTCATTGCCGACTTCAGCAACACTTCGGCTGTCGATGTCATCAACTTCGTCAAGGAGGTTGTCGAGAAGTTCCCCGCCCTGCGGCCGTCGATTGTCGCCCGCTTGGTCGCTACGCTTGGCGAGGTCCGTGCTGGCAAGGTTTACCGCGGCATCATCTGGATTGTCGGTGAATACTCTCTGGAGGAGAAGGACATCCGTGACGCTTGGAGAGGCATTCGTTCGAGCTTGGGCGAGATTCCCATTCTCTCCTCGGAACAGCGTCTGCTTGACCATGTCGATGGCGAGGATGCGGACAAGGACCAGGTCAACGGCCACTCGAAGCCTGCCGCGCCGACTGGCTCCAGGAAGGTGTTGGCGGACGGCACCTACGCTACTGAGACAGCGCTGACCAGCGCTTCCGCTGCCGCTGCTAAGCTCGAGGCTGTCAAGTCTGCGCAGAAGCCGCCTCTGCGCCAGCTGATCCTGGACGGCGACTACTACTTGGCCACTGTTCTGGCTGCCGCTCTGACCAAGCTTGTCATGCGCCATGCTCAACTCTCTTCGGACAAGGCGAGAACCAACGCGCTCAAGGCGGAAGCCATGCTTATCATGGTGTCGATCATTCGTGTTGGTCAATCCCAATTTGTCAAGGCGCCGATCGATGAGGACTCTGTCGACAGAATCATGTCCTGTGTCCGCTCGCTGGCGGAGTTCTTCGACTCAAAACTCGAGACTGTATTCCTGGACGACACCCGCAAGGCGTTCCGGGCCATGGTCCACGTGGAGGAGAGCAAGCGGGCGGCTAAGGCGGCCTTCGAGAAGGCCAAGACTGCTGTCCAGGTTGACGACGTCGTGCAGTTCCGCCAACTTTCCAAGAAGAATGCTGGTGATGGTGCTGACGATGTCCAGCTCGATCTGGACAAGGCTACGGGAGGCGATGCTGTGTCTGAGGACCTCAGCTCCAAGCTCAGCCGCGTCGTCCAGCTGACCGGCTTTTCGGATCCTGTCTATGCGGAGGCTTACGTCAAGGTGCACCAATTCGATATTGTGCTCGATGTGCTTTTGGTCAATCAGACAACAGAGACGCTGCAAAACCTGTCTGTGGAGTTTGCTACCCTGGGTGACCTCAAGGTCGTTGAGCGCCCGACGACTCAGAATCTGGGACCCCACGATTTCCACAACGTCCAATGTACTATCAAGGTATCGTCGACAGACACCGGTGTCATCTTCGGCAACGTGGTATATGACGGTGCACACAGCACAGACACCAACGTGGTCATTCTGAACGACCTCCATGTCGACATCATGGACTATATCCAGCCGGCGACCTGCACGGAGACGCAGTTCCGCACCATGTGGACCGAGTTCGAGTGGGAGAACAAGGTCAATATCAACAGCAAGGCCAAGTCGCTACGCGACTTCCTGGAACAGTTGATGGCGTGCACAAACATGAACTGTCTGACCCCCGAGGCCAGTATGAAGGGCGACTGCCAGTTCCTGAGTGCCAACCTCTACGCCAAGAGCGTTTTTGGTAAGTGTTTTGATTTGATTTGGTGCCGTCTGAGACCGAGAATGGACGCTAACTTCACTCCCAGGCGAGGACGCGTTAGCCAACCTCAGCATCGAAATGGAGGGAGAGAACGGGCCCATTACAGGATTTGTCAGGATAAGAAGCAGGTCACAAGGTCTGGCCCTGAGTCTAGGGTCCTTGAAGGGGTTGAACAAGATTGGCACGGCGGCCGCCTAAGCCGCCTGTGCTTCTGGAATCACGACTTATGGATTCCTAGCAATAGATCTTGACCTTTGGGCTGGCGGGCAAAAAGAACGCTGCGGGTGCATTGGCGGGTGGTTGTTATCCGGCTAGGACCTTAGAGCTCAAAAGTTTGAGATGATCACGAATAATAGTTGCACATCATAAGATGGGCCCATTGAGTAAGGCGGCATGTGAAGCAGAGATTTTCAGTCGTGACAGCAGGCTATGTGCTGAATAGCGTGCTCAACACCACATTTTTCTCACGATGGGAAAGCGAGCCCCGAAGGGTGTGCGGGCTTGTCATGGATGAAAATGTCGTCTGGTATTGAACTGCAAGCATGCCCCTCGAGCCAGGACGATCGTGGTTGTCTAGTCGGCTTGTTGGAGCATCACATCAATACAGCACCGCCCACGTACATCGTCCGAAACCTTAACAACCAGTCCAGTCCCCTCGCCGTTGAACTCTTCCACTTACCTCGACCACCACTCCACTCCATCAGACCAGCAGGCCAAGTAATGCATGGAAATCACAAACAATCGTGCAACCGCTCGAGCGCTCCGCGCGTGCGAGGTAGGTCGGCGCCCTCCATTCCCACTGTGTCCAGCATCCCGCGACTCACAAGGCGTCGATGGCTTCTCTTAGAACTGCCGCGAGCGCAAGGTCAAGTGTAACGGCAACCACTCTGGCTGCCAGCAGTGCGCGCACCTGAACCTCCGCTGTATATACAAGACCAGCGACGCCGCCTCCAAGAGCCGGGCCAAGGCTGGCCGGGGGTCGGTCATCTCGCGCCTCAAGCGCCATGGCGTACGTGAGAATGCTGTCCCAGAGGTCTCCAGGGGCTGCGGTCTTCGTATAGCACCAGTGAGCAGCAGCAATGGCACGGGTTCGATACCGCTCTCGTCGCCGCCGGAGAAGCCGCTGCCCGGCGCCGGCGCAGGCTCTGCCATGATGATGGCACTCGAGTCCGAGTTTGACCAGGCATTCTTCAGCGCCCTCGTCCAGCCGTACGACGACTACATCTACTGCGTGAGCCCGGTCGTCACGGCGTCCGAGGTCAGAGCCGCCATCGGGGCCATGCACGACGACCCGTTTGACTTCTTGCTCGTCCATGCGTTCGGCGCCGCGACGCTGAACCTCACCCAGCCGGACTGGAGGGCTGATCCGCGCGAGGCGGCCAAGCTGAAGCGGCTGATGGACATTGCCGTGTACGCCAGGAGCCAGCTCAGCGCGCCCTGCTTCAGCAGCATACAGCAGCAGCAGAAGCAGCAAGCTGCTGGCAGTGGTGGTGGGAGTGGCTGCGGCAGCGGCGTGCGGCCACTGCTGGCCGAGTCGTTCATCATGTCCAACATATTCCTCGAGATCTGCTTCATGGCGTTCCAGCGGCACGAAGAAGCGTTCCTCATGCTGCGCGAGGCGGTCAGCCTGATCCAAGTGCTCCGGATCGACAGCAGGACTCGAGCCCGCAGCCTCCAGGAGCGCACAGCAGCAGCAGGAGGAGGAGCTCAGACCGACGAGTCTCGGCGGCAGAGAGCCGCGGAGGCCAAGCGGGAGCGCCTGTACTGGCTGGTATTTATCCACGAGCGGTTCATGGCCATCATCGAGTACTACCCGATTGTCCTCGAGCCGCTGCAGGGCTCGGTCGCGGTGGACGACGAGACGCTGCCGGTGCAGATCCGCGAGGGGTTCCAGAGCCTCATCCAGATGTTCTGCGTCATTGACCACGACTTTGTCAGCCACTGGCGCGGCGTGTCGCCAACATTGTCGTCGTCATCCTCCTCGTCAACTGCTGCGTTGGCATCATCATCGTCACCGTCGTTGCCGTCTGGCTCTGCCGTGACGAGGGAGTGGATCGAGGCCAAGAAGAGCCAGCTCGACAGCCTGGACTTTATGCTGCAGCCTCGGCCAGCAGCCAGTAGTAGTAGCCCTTATTCCCTGGGAAACATCATTCACCCAACCGACGATCTCTTCGCCGCCACCACCGCCGCCACCAGCGAGTCCTCCCCCAGCGCCAACCTGGCCACGGAGAACTGGGCGACCCTGAGCACGCTGCAGCAGGCAGACCTCGTCGTCACACGGCAGTGGATGCTGACGCTGCTGTGGCAGCTCGCCCTGTCGCACTGCGTACTGACATCTTCGTCGTCGTCGTCAGCTTCTGCTGGTGCGGATGGTCACGGTCACGGCTACAACCACGAAGGAGTGCCAGGTTCATCACCACAAGCCACTTCCGGCACCAGCACCACCACCACCGCACCAGAAGCCACGCCAATGTCCCTTTCCTTCCCCGTGCGCCTATCCCAGCAGCTCCGCGCGGTGATCCTGCAGCTCGGCCGGCAGTACGTAGAGCGGCACGGCACCGGCATCATCCAGAAGCTCTTCGAGATCACCACCACATTCGCCGACGTCATCGTCCATGTCCCCGTGCCGCACTTGTTGTCGTCGTCATCGCCAGTGCCAGTGTCAGTATCATCTCCGGGAACAGCAGTGGGAGCGGCGGCGGTGGCAGGAGGTGAAGACAGGGCGAGGAAAGAAGAACAACAGCAACAGGAGCAAGAACAACAACAGCATCAAGAACGAGAACGCAGGCAGCGCTTCGACGACTTTGAATTCCTGCACAACTTCCTACGCGACTTTGCCGGGCTCGACGAGGTCCAGGGCCGGATCCTGGCCGACAAGGCTGCGCTGGTTCGCGCGGTTCAGCGCAGCGGGTGAGAGAGAAAAATGAAAGTGAATGTGGTTTTGTGTGCTTTCATCAACAACGACAAACAAAAAGTTCCACCTTTGACATTTTTCTTTTCGGAGGTATCTCGCTTTCCATGGGAGATAATAGGTGATCACAATCCTTTTTCGGGACGTTGGGAAGAGGATAATCATTCGGGTAATTGCTCGTATTTCAAAGAGCCTTTTTCTCTGACGACGCTTGCCAAAGAATACTCTCGGTTCCTATATACAACAGACAGCCCGAAAGCTGCGACAGAGACTTTTTTTCAAGGTCCAGCAATTTGCATTGAATTACATTGATGAGTCATGCTCGTCTGCTCGTGAAAGAATATAGATGTGACTGCCGCCATAATGCGCTAAAGTGAAGATGAAGAAATGCGAAAGCGTCACCGTCGCGGTGATGGATGGTGAAGAGACGCCGAGAATCCATTTGCGAAAGCAATGGCTTCATCGGTCATGAAAAGGAAGCTAGGTATATATCATGGAAAGGGCGTGCGAATGAGTTGGCGACCAAGCCGCCAACACAGCCAACCAAGAAACGCAAAGTGGTAGCAAGTAAGAAGGGGATCGAAGGCATGAAAAGGAACGGGAGGGGGGGTATCAACGATTAAAAACAAAGGCATTAACAATATGGCCCTTCTGCCAGCCCTGGTCCTCGAGGGGCGTGTTCTCGCTCAGGATCTTGCCCATGTAGGCAACTCGGATGCGCTTGTTTGAGGGTAACTGGGTTGGGTTTTTGTCGTGTCAGCATTTACCCTTTGAACGGTTGACGGCTGCAGATGCAGAACTGCACGGGGAGAATAGAACGCGCCCACACTTACGCTTGATTCCTCGGTAATCTTACGCGCGAGGCTGCGCACGGTTTCGCTCATGCCGACGCGGATCACGAGATCGCGCCCGCTCTCGCTCAACCTTGCCCGTACCGGAACCAAGTCCTTAACCACAGCGACCCCTTTACCCTTCTCCTCCCGGCGGCGCGCGGCCTCTTCCTCGTCCACGTCCGAACTGGGGTTTTCCTCCCCGTTGTTGCCGCCACCGCCACCGCCACCGCCGTGCTTGCTGGACTTTCCTGCAGCAGCAGCATCGCCGCTGCTGCCGCTGTCCTCCGCCACGTTTACCGGGTCGCAGACAATCCACTCTGAAAGAGGGTAGTAGTTTCCGAGTGAATCATAGACGCCGTTGGCCAGGTTCCCGGTCGGCAGGGTGACTTCTGCGGCCTTGAGGATGCCCTGCGCGGTCGCGAGCGCTTCCACCGTGGTCTCGTCCTGGGATTTACTCCTGGTGTCTTCCTCCTCCGCTGCGCCATCCCCTGTTTGTGCGTGTTGTCCCCCGGGGGCCGCCGACGCCGTGGCGTGCTGGCTGTGCTGTTGCTGCCGCGTCCTTTCCGCCTTGCGCTTCGCCCGGTCAGCGTCCCACAGGACCTCGAGCGCCACCTTGATCACCTGCCAAACCTCCGGCCGGCCCGTGACCCGGGTGTCGAAGAACTCGGTCCGCTCCGTGTCGAGCGCGGTGCGCGTCCACGGCCGGTCCGTCGCGGCCCATTGGTGCAGGCGCAGGGGCTTGTCAATGTGCTGTGACAGCGGCGGTTCGTTGTCGTGGTGGTGGTGCCGTCGCCGACGGGGCCGGTGGTGGGCCGAGGTGGTAGGCGAGGCTGGAGATGATGATGATGCCGTTGCACCAGCAGCTGCCGCTGCTCGTCGAGAGCCGGCACTGCTGTCGTCGGTCGGCACGGCGTGGAGCGCGGGCTGCGAGTTGATTGCGCGCGCAGAGGGCGAGGTCGCGCCGCCGGGGTAGGGCGCATTGGGCCCTGCCGGCCTAGAGAAGCAGCAGCCCTATACAAAAGCGAAGTCTGCCGTCAGCTTTGATGACATGTGTTTGCTGACATGTTGGATGTGGGCTTGGGATTAACGGGTGGGTGGGATGACAAAGGGGGGCCCGTACCATGGCTGGCTGGCTGGCTTGTCGCGATTGTTGGCCGAGCCGGTATGCTCGTGGACAAATGCGAGTTCAGGTCGAATCGTAGCAACAAGAGGTCAATTGCGGGAGGTGTGCCCCATCGCCGTGGTCATGGTCGCTCTTGTTCAGGTCGGAAATTGGGCGCCGAAAGTCGGAGGGAGGAGAGGGGCGAGCTCTCGATGGTTGAGGTAGGAGACACGAGAGGCGTTCCGCGAATGACGCTGCGATACGGTGCCAAGCTGCCCCGCGCAGTCGCGTCCAGATGACGCTTGAAGAGCGACGGAGAATCAGCAGCGAAGAGGTGGAATGACGTGGTCTCCTGCGCCGTTTCGCAGAGGAAGAGCGATGCGCTCAAAGAAATATCGACAGAGGTGGTGGTTCGAGACGTTCAAGGTTGGGGCAGGCAGCATGCCATTGGAAGATGGTGGAGTCAGGGGGAAGAACCCAGCATCACCCCTGCAAGCCACCTGCAGGACGGCAGACAACCACTTGGATGTTTGGTTGGGAAGCCTGCACGGCTGGCCTGGCAAGGGCTATCGTGAACTCGTGAGATATAGATTCACATAGGTATTCATTCTGAATGTTTGGCTTTTATGCGAATGCCTTGTCGGGGTTGGTGTTTACATGCCATGAAGACTGGCATGACCCATGTCACTTAATGGCTTGCGCCGAAGCCAAGCGACTGGCTGCCATTAAGAGTATTATAGAGATCCTGTCTGTGGCATATCTTTTGGTGCGCTTTAGATATGATTCGTGAAATCCATCACACACTCTCTCACTCTCTCAGCAATTTAGCGGAGCCTTTGTCGTTGCTCCCTTGTCCCTCACCACAGGAAGCCTCTGCAATTGTCGCTCCCGCACAAGCACTTCGTCATGTCCTTCTGCTTCTCCGGATCCAGGGCGTCATTGTCTTCGTCCTCGACGCCATCGACATAGTCAAAGGTCAGCTCCTCCCCTCGGTTGATGTCCCGTATCGCAAACAGCGCCAGGTCGTGCAGGTGCTTGTCAGCATGATCCCCTACACGCGCAAAGATGCGCATGTTCGGGTCGCACGAGTGGTTGACGAACCTCGTGGGGCCAGACATGTGCTCGCCGTCGACCTCGAGTGACGGGCCGCGGAGCCGCTCGTCGGGCGAGTCCTGGTCGGAGAACTTGTCGAGCGCGAAGAGGTAGACATCCTTGCTTTCGGCCTTGTGGGACTCGTTACGCCGGCGGTCGGCCTCGGCCGACGTGATGATCTCGCCCATGTACTTGTCGACAAACTGGCCTTTCTTGATGTCGACGGTGCTCCGGACGCCCCAGCCACGGTTCTTGGTGCGGAAGATCTGTAGGGGGATCTGACGTCCCCTCTCGACCACGCGGTTCGGGCAGTCTGGCCCGCACGCGCACATGGAATGGCACTCGTAAATGGGCTGGCGGGTGGCGAGGATCTTGGAGCGGAGAAGACCAGCCTTGCTGCCGTGGGAGTGGTACGAGTACGCCTTGCGACGGTAATGTCTGGCATGCTCATCGTCCCCGTCGTGGTCTTGGTCCTCGTCACTACTGTCGTTGTCGACGTCCTGGAGGCAGCCGCAGGAGCCGTACTGGCAGTCCTCGCCCTCTTGGCAGTCGCAGCCGGAGCGAAACCCATCCCTACTGGGCTCTACGCCCTCGCCGAGGATGGAGGCGTCGACGAAGCGGAAGTCTGGGTCCAGCTTGGCATTGTCCTCGTGGTTGACGAGGGTGACGGGGTGGTCCTGGTTGTTTTGGAAGGAGCGGATCTGGCAGGCGTGGCAGGCGGCTTTTTCCTCCTCGCGACCCTGGTTTATCTGTAGTGAGCATCTGCAGAATGGCTTCATGGTGATGGACTGGTGACCCACCTGTTGGCCGTGGAAGAAGAAGTGTGCTCTGGCGGCCTCCTCCATTGTGCGTTTGCCCGGCTGCGGCCACCTCAGAGGCCACCACCTCTGGCTCAAGGGGCGTTGGTGACAGAAGAAGATTCGGGTGTTTTCTGACCCTGCACCTTGTTGGCGGAATTATATGTCTTGATCCACGATCCTCATATCAGCGTGTGTACTCAGTGGTTGCGTGCACTGAACTAAGTCGGAATGTTGAAAGTGAAGCAAACGCGTCTAAGATGTGCGGCTATCGTGTCTGTAGATCCCTTGTGGGTTGTTGCAGCAGACAAACGGCACTCCAATTGTGCCGCCGCCCCATAATTACAGTAGTTGCGCTTGTGCCGTTCTAAAGTTGTGGGGACGCTGCTGATCAGGAACCAGGCACTCGTCGGCAACCACAGGACTGCGGGAACGATGCTAGTCTCTGACCTCTAACAGAACGTGACTTTGCCATACCACCGGAAGACTGGTGAGACGTGCCCAAGGAGGAATTGGCCAAAGAATATGCAGCCTCAGCCTCAGAAGGCTGCCCTTTGACTGTAAACCTACTGCCACCATCAAGGAAGTGGGGCTCCGGCCCTGCCTGCCTGCCTTAAGGCAAATCGAGCCTGCAGCGCTTGGCCATCATGCCAAGTCGATACAACAGACATGCTGTCTTTCTACGTCTTCAACTCACTTCGTCCTGCCTGGCCTTGGTGAGTCTTGAAGTCTTGAAGCTAGGTATCATGTGGATACTTGCTTGCACCTTGACTGTTCCCGGTCCTTTCCTCCCCTGCTTCCCCTCACAGTGAGCTCACCCTCCCAGCTTCCCAACTGCCGATTCGTGGCTCTCTCTCTCTCTCTCTCTCCATTAAGACGCACCTATCAATAGTACCTACACTAGTATGGAAATGTATGCCCCGTGTGCATATGCGGAGATGCATAACCGCGTCACCTTTGACCGCCGCCAAGCGGCACGTTGGACCAACACGGGCAGATCGATGCAGGAGAAACTTAATAATGCCCCCCCCCCCATCCCATGCCATGCCATTTCACCCGTTTCTCCATTCGCAACAACACCCCGCAGTTTGATGGCATTGTTGGGGTGTGCTGACTGACCAGCCGCCCGCCTGCGTGGCTTGCAATTCCGGTGCGAGGCATTGCCACCCGACCACACCACCACCACCACCACACCAAGCCACGTCTCTCACGCCTTCCTGCCTGCCTGTCTGCCTGCGTGCCCGCCTGACTTACGGCAGACTTGCTGTGAGCTGGCAGTCCTGCCTCGGGAGGTAATGCACTATACACATGTTGTGTCTCATGTAACGCAGTGTGTGTGTGTGTGTGTGAGAGAGAGAGAGAGAGAGAGAAAGCCAAAGCTAGCTGGCCACAGTCACTTCACTTGGCCTTTTCATGGAAAAGCCGCACAAGAGTCAAAGTTGGTGATATGCCGCCCCCTCTCATCTTGGAGAGGTGCGCATGTTTGGTATTCTCTGCCGTGTACTCTGCAGTGTAGTGTGTAGCTGGAGCGACGAAGACAGTCCTGCCAAAAGGAAGCGGGAAAGAGACCGAACAGACCGAAACAAAAATGGGCGTCGCTGTGCCCATGGAAACCCAGGATCCCAAAGAAGTGCCCCCCAAAAATACAAAAACGCCGGTTAAAACTCCTTCCTCCCATCGTCATGGGCCCTTTTTTAAATTCCCAGGTAATGGATAATGTCCGTCATGACCCGGGGCCCCCATGTCATGAAGAAAGGGTGGGGGACCAAAACAACAACTCGGTGCACATAGGTGTATGTGTGCCGTGTGCCGCTTCACTTCCTCGACTTGCGCTCCCGTTCCGCCTGCTGGCTCGCGTACGCATTGACCGCGGCCTCGAGCTCCTCGAGCGAGCCCCGGTCGCCGTAGGCGTCGAGCATGGCCATCTCGCGGCGCTTCTGCTGCTCTCGGTGCGAGGACGAGCTGGCCCCCGTCGCCGAGTGGTACGATGCCGACGAGGAGGATGAGGAGGAGGAAGATGCCGTGTCGTCGGCAGAGTAGTGCAGCTGGTTGTTCATCAGGGCTGAGACGCCATAGCCCACGCCGAGGGCTGCTATTGTTGCTGCTGCACTGTTTCCCCGAAATGTCTGTTAGCAGCTTGAGTCTTGTTGAGAAGCGGCGGACAGGTGACAAAAATCTTCAACGTGTGCCCGGGGGGGATGTGTTCATGGACTTACAGCTTCTTCTCCATGCGGCCGGACTTGTGTAGTTTGGGGAGGTAGTTTGGGTGGACGGGAGACACGGTCGAGAAAGGCCTTGATGTGGAGGGCATCTTCTCTGCTGTGGTTGTGTGGTTGGCGGTGGTGGTGGTGGTAGTCTTGTCGCCACGAGCGGTTTTAAGGAGGAAGCTCATGGGTGACGGTGGTTGCTTTGTCGTCTTGCTCGTTTGAGGTTATAGGATGATTGGCGAGGATTGAATGTCCAAGGAGCAGCAGCAGAGTGACCAAGTAACTTGTGCAAATGGTGTGGGGACCCGAGCAGATGGGATGTCGTCGAAAGATGTCGTGTGATCTGGGGGAGTGGGCAGGGGTGTCTGTTGGTGCAGGTGTAGGTATGGGCTGCGGGATGGGCCGTTGGATCGTGCGACTGTGGATGCCGGCTCTGCGTCGACTGCTTGTGAGGTGATTTGATTTCTATTTGGGTGGCTGGATTGGATGTGAGTGCGTGCGTGCTGGCCGAGTCTGTCCCTTGCTGGAGGCAGGCGGCTGGAATATGTAGTCGTCGGGTGCTTCGCATGTGATGTGCTGCTGGACACTGGGGTGGCACTTTCGATAGTCGGCAGTTGTTCTAGACAGCGTCTCAGAAGGGGATACTGTGCTTTGGGCCTGGTCCGTGATCTCTCTCTTGCCGAGATCCCCAAATAGCTTCAAACAAGATCTCTGGATCTGCGCCGACTTCAGAGGACACACACACACGAGACACGCCAGCACGAGCCAGCTTCCCGGGGAGGGCCTTCCGCGAGTATTAATAACGGTCGTGCCAGCAATGAGAGTCACGAACCTGAGACCCGAGGTGTTCCTAATTGTCCCGGGCTGTGGGGTGAGACGCCTTGCCGCAACAAGCATGGCCCGGGCCTGTGAGTTGTGGGGTGCAGCTTGCTCTGTTATGTCCGACCCTCTGGCTCTCTCTCTACACGTACTGTGACCACTGGGCAGACAGCCAAGCCGTTTCGGACGACCCTCTGACAACGACGCGCGGTCCAGCGGGCGGCACGCGTTGGCCAGTCCTCCAGAGGATCAGCGTCCCAAGACTCCCTCTTGTTTTGTTTTCCGTCCTGCTCAGTTCCCAGAATTAGCACAGCGGCACGTCGAGGACAACAAGACCTGCAACATGCAAGGTGTAAAACTCACGTCGCGGATATCGAGTAGCTCGGCTCGGCAATGGGCCCCTTTCCCCGGCTTCAGCCCAGCCCCCCGAATCCCCAATCCAGGTTAGCGCAGCTGGTCGCTCTTTTTGGAGAGCCAATCCTGAGCAAAGTGCCACCTGCATGCACCCCTTCCAAGGAAAGGCCTACATACAAAGCAGTAACACCCGCATATGCGGGGTCACTGTCCAATCACAAACCCTTTGCACAAATCCACGGATTCACCTGATAGGAAGAGTGACGAGTAATTACAGCGACCTCCTCCTAATGGAGTATTGTCTTTGTTCGTTTCGAATATCACAGAGCGCAGCTCGCCTAGCATTACACTGGACAACTTTTCATTTCTGCATACACTATGCAATGCCACCCTCATGGACGAGTTGCATCCCGACGTGCTGCCCACCCAGACCAGGACTTGTCACGGCATCGCACCACCCATCCAGAAACAAAATACTCGACGAACACAAAAGCACACATGCCAGCATAATGATTACTCACGCACCCTTTCTTGTCTGTCCCCTTTTCTAGTCAGGCCTAAGCTCACAAGTTGCTTTTTCCCGCCGGTCTATTGTTCTTTTTTGCATACTAAATCTCTCCCACGTCCCACTTACCAAAAGGCAGCGAGCACTTTCACCATGCAATGATAAGCGACGACGAAAACAAAGCACCAAAGCCATAATTCTTTCAAGCTTGCCTCTCGCTCGCGTGCATCACTCCCTTCTCCCGATCATCTGAGTGACGTGCACATTTCGTCAGTGCGGCTTGGTCGGCGCAAAACGTAAGAAGCGTTTCACAAGCATAAATCATTGCAGATAGAACCAATGTCATGGAAAATCGTAAATATCATGAATCTGAACAAGAGCCCTAGAGTGGAAAAGGTCTAGTACAGTACAGGTCCTTCTGTTGCACGCCCTTAGAATCCTCCTCGGCCAATAAGTGAAACCCCGATCTCAAACACAAAAATAATCTTTCAATAGCCTACACGGTCTCGACGTGCACGTTGGCATTGCCCTCAGCCTTGCCACTGACATCGCTCGAGACCTTCTCCAAGTTTAAAGTAGAGGTCGAGGGAAACTCGTCGACCTCGGCAGTCTTGAACTTGCGCGCGCCAACCTTGCCCTCAAAGAGCACATCCAGCTCGCCGTAGGTGCGGCCCTTGGGCTCCGGCAGACGGAAAAAGGTCCACAGCGCACACAGGGCGCAAGAGCCAGCCCAGAAGAAGCCCGCCTTGGCACCCCAGTTCCAGGCCGTGGGGTTCAGCATCAGCGGAGTGAGGATGTTGGTGGCGATGCCGGTGACGTTGTACAGGTTGCGCGCGAGGACAACAGTCTTGACCTTGAGCCGGGTCGAGGTGAGCTCCGTCACGAGCGCGTAGCAGACAGGGCCGACTGTGCAGTCGTAGACAAAGGTGTAGACCAGGAGCATGGAGCCAATGGCCCACTGAGCATTGGTGTTGGAGCGGTCGATGAGAGCGAGGAAGCCGATGATGGCAAGGAGGGCGCACATGATGAGCTGGCCCCCCAGATAAAGCGTGCGGCGACCAAACCATCCCATGAGAGCCCAGGAGAAGACCGTGCCCAGACCACCGAGACAAAACTGGACCAGAGTCATGGTAAAGGCATTGCTCACGTCGAGGCCGGCCTGCTGGTAAAAGTAGCTGGAGGTTCCCATAAAGGTCGAGCCGCACAGAGTCTGGATGGCCCAGACGACGCACACAATCTCAGTTCGGCGCAGGTCGGTGCCCTTGAAGCAGTCCCAGTAGGTTGTACCCTCGGATGCGGCCTTCTCCATGTTGTTGGTGTAGACCATCATGGCCACCACCTGGTCGCTGTCAAATTCGGGCATGCTCGACTTATCGGTCAGGCGCTGGAGCGAGCGCTTGGCATCCTCGATACGGCCCTTGCGCACGTACCAGTAAGGTGACTCGGGAGCGAAGCTGAGGAACACGGCAATTGGGATGGGCCAGAACCACTGGAGCGCGAAAGGGATCTTGTAGCCCCAGTCGTCTGTGCGGGAGAGAAGACCACGGAGAACGCCAGACGAAAGAATCTGACCAATGACCCAGCAGAGATTCGTGTAGGTTGTGAGGTAGGCACGCAGAGTAGTCGGGCAAACCTCTGCAGCGTAGGTGCAGGCCAAGGTCTGGAACACGCCAAAGGGGATGCCGAGCAGGACTTGACCGACAAGAAGAATCTCAATGGTGGGCGCGAATACCGGGAAGAAGATGAAAGCCGTTATCATAGCGATACCGCCACCCATGGTCTTGCGGAAGCCAAACCTGTCGCAGAGGAGACCAGCAGCGAACAGGCCGACGATCTGCCCACAGAGAGTGCCATTGGAGAGGCCCGACTGCCATGCAGCCGTGAGCTCATAAGTGCCGTTTGGTTGAAGCTGGCCAAACTTGCGCTGGAAGGCGGGATAACCAAAGAGGCTGCCAATGAGGATGAGATCGAAACCCTCCATGATGATGCAGGTGCCAAGGGCAAGTGACCAGAGGGCCTAAGAATACTAGAATTAGCCTTGACGTCTTGATAGTGCAGTGCCAGAACACAGTACTTACAGCCTTGCGATAGACAGTGAAGGCCTGCTTCAGGGTCATCTGATGCTCCATGGCCGTAGCCTGGGCGGCATCTGCCATGTTCTCGACAGCATGTGGGACTGTCGACATCTTGCGAACGGCCTCCTGCGGGACGTGGACGACCTCGATGTCCTCCGAGTTGGGGTGGAGGCCGAGAGGCGACATCTTGAAGACTTGGTTGCGAGGAAGTCTTAAGGGGGAAAGAGGTAGAAGTGGCCAAGGAGGAGAGCGGAGTGAGGCTCCAAGTGTGAGGATGCTGCGGATGCGAGTGATGCCGGGAGTGATGTTCGCCCCAGAGGAGGGCGATGGCGGGACTCTATATAGGCATGGAGCAGGACGTGATGCTACCGGGGCAGGGAGGAAGAACAGGCCATGGCGTTGAGGACTATGGAGGGTCTGGCAGAGGCCATTGCGGCTGGGTTGTCGTCGTCGTTGGCCAAGACATTGGAGTACAGGATCTGGGGTGGCCAGAGGGCGGACAGCTGTGGGGGAGCGGACGGGGTCGCGGGCAGTGGCGTAGTGCTAGCGCGGGCGTGTTTTGCGCTCCATTAGCTCGTGGTCGATTCTGGCGAGGGCTGGCTGGGCGACGTCAGGCACTGGGCCCAAGATATTAGAGTTTGTGCGAGCAAAGGGCCAGAGCAGGCGCTCGAGGGACGTCGTGGTGCGATGCGGGGAGACCCCTGCTCAGTTGGGGAAACAGCAACCCAAGCCGGTGCGTGCCACCTCCAAGCGAGGTGTGCAATGGGTGTGCGTGCTTGGCTATTGTCGCGCCGAGAGAGGAGCCGGCACCACACAGAGAGACACCGGCCCGAGATGGAACGAATCACACCAAGGCGTCGAGAACGTCGAGAACAATCGCGGAATTACTGCTCGGCCGTGGTCCCATGTGTCCCAAGTGCTAATGCACGCGGAACCGGATGCCTTCATTCGAATGACTCCATGGCGCATTGCACCTCTGGATCAACGGACTGCAACGTGCACACGAACACCAAACACTCGTCCGCCGAGTCACAAACGCAATAGATGGCGGCTCTGAAGAGTCACACAACGAGTCTGCCTCGCCTTGACCAGCAGGTCGAGACATCAGTCATGCATGCACAGTGAAAGTCCAAGACGAGACCCCGTGACTAAAGTCTGCCACTACGGAGGATCTAGTGCAACAAAAGTCTCGGTTCCACAGCCATTGGATCATGGAAAACCAAAAAAGAAAGTCCAAGGCAATATTGCTCGGGCCGACATCGAGGCTGTGCCATCGTATAGCTCGAGAGGCATCATCACCTGACCCCTGAGCTGAAGCAGGAGTGGTGACGCAGCGCGGCACTTACACGGGATGGCTTCGTGGAGCTTTTCAGCCTCGGGCCGACAGTCTGCCAATCAGCAACTCGCGACTCAACAGCGGCCCGACATTGGACGAATCGCTGTATTTGCTGGGCGGGAGCAGGGGCAGCCCCTGCTGGATGATCCCTGCACCAGCTTCTCCAACCTGGAGAAGTCCCACTCCCGAACATTTCAGCGAACCCAAATCTGGGGATGCCCTATCAGATCGGGCTGCCAGACTTTCATTCTCCGTCTGCGTGTAACCAGACTCCGCCCTCACTCCGCTTCCGATTGTGAATTCTCCTCCCTCTGGGGCCAAGCATTGCCTGTGATTCGACAAATGTCTGTTATCTCGGCAGTCCTGCCGTCAAGCTCCCCCTCATGGCTGCCCCTCTGTGAGTCCTTGTGATCAGCGTCCCCGTAGTTGACAAGAGACAATTGTGCGGGGTGTGGTTATGAGAAGTCGGTCTCTCTGAGCATATATCTGAGCCTGTCTCGAGCCCTCGTCTTCCTTTTCCGTGTCCTGTGTTCATCAGTGTTCATCTCTTTGTCCCTTCTCCCGCTTTCTCAAGTCCCCCATTTCGGCCGTCCATCCCTTCTTTCTCACAACACAATCTTGTATTTAGGATGACAGTCACCAAGACCTCTGGCTCGAGCCAGCAGCCCTGGTGGAAGAACGCCGCCGTCTACCAGGTCTACCCCGCCAGCTTCATGGACACCAACGGCGACGGCATGGGCGACCTGGCAGGCATCACGTCGAAGCTCGACTACCTCGACGAGCTCGGCATCGACGTCGTCTGGATCTGCCCCATGTACGACAGCCCACAGTACGACCTCGGCTACGACATTTCCAACTACGAGGCCATCTACAAGCCGTACGGCGACCTCAAGGACATGCAGCGGCTCATTGACGGCTGTCACGCCCGCGGCATGCGCATCATTGTCGACCTCGTCATCAACCACACCTCGCACATGCACGCCTGGTTCCAGGAGTCCCGGTCGTCCACAGACAACCCCAAGCGCGACTGGTACATCTGGAAGCCGGCCCGGCACGACCCCGCCACGGGGAAGCGGCTGCCGCCGAACAACTGGCGGTCCAACTTTGGCGGGAGCGCGTGGACCTGGGACGAGGCGACTGGCGAGTACTACCTGCACCTCTTCGCGTCCCAGCAGCCAGACCTCAACTGGGAGAACGAGGAGACGCGGCGGGCCATCTACGACTCGGCCATGCGGTTCTGGCTCGACCGCGGGGTCGACGGCTTCCGCATCGACACGGTCAACATGTACTCCAAGACCCCCGGCCTGCCGGACGCCCCCGTGGCCAACCCGGCCGTCGAGTGGCAGCGCGCAGACAGCCAGTACTGCAACGGCCCGCGCATGCACGAGTTCCTGGCCGAGATGAACGCGGTGCTTGCCCCCTACGGCACGACCATGACGGTCGGCGAGCTCCCCCACACGACCGACCTGAGCAAGGTGCTCAAGTATGTCTCGGCGGCCGAGAAGCAGCTCGACATGGTGTTCCAGTTCGACGTGGTGGACGTGGGCTTCGGCGTGGACTCCAAGTACGCGACGGTGCCGCACAACTGGCAGCTGCCGGACCTCAAGCGGGCGATCCAGTCGACCCAGCACCTGATCAAGGGCACCGACGCCTGGACAACGGCCTTTATGGAGAACCACGACCAGGCCCGGTCGGTCAGCCGGTTCGGCTGCGACGCGCCCGAGCACCGCGTCGCCTCGGGCCGCATGCTCGCACTGCTCAACACGACCCTTTCCGGAACCTTGTTCATCTACCAGGGCCAGGAGATCGGCATGGTCAACGTGCCCAAGGAGTGGCCGCTCGCCGAGTACAAGGACATCGAGTCGACAAACTACTACCGCGAAGTCGAGCAGCGCCTCGACTCCTCCGCCGCCACTACGCCGGCCGAGAAGCAGGCCCAGCTCGCCGCGGCCCTGGCCGCCATGCAGCACCTCAGCCGCGACAACGCCCGCGTGCCCATGGCGTGGGACTCGTCGAACCCGCAGGCCGGCTTCTCCGCCAACCCGGACACCTGGATGCGCACGCACGACCTGTCCCCGACCGAGATCAACGTCGCCGCCCAGCTCGGCGACGACGCCAGCGTGCTCGAGTTCTGGCGGCGCATGCTCAAGGTCCGCAAGCAGCTGCAGGCCGTCCTGGTGCACGGCGACTTTGAGCTGCTCGACATGCCCAACCAGACGCTCTTCTCCTACACAAAGACCGCCAAGGACGTTGACACTATCGCCGGTGCCGGCACCGCAGCAGCAGGAGCAGCAGCAACAAAGGCGTTTGTCGTGCTCAACTTCTCCTCGGACAATCAGCCCTTCTCCCTGCCCGAGCTGCCGCACGCCAGCCCCTCGTCAAACAGCAAGCCCTGGTCCCTCACCGTGTCCACGTCCCCCGTGCCCGCCTCCGCGGCGGCTAACCAGCATGCCACGGTGCTCGAGCCTTGGGAGGGCAGGTTGTACATCTCCTCCTCCTCCTCCAGCAGCAGCGCGAGTAAGTGAATGTTGAACATTGCAAAGTGAACGGGCCCGCCCGGCTGGGAATGATAGAGAGAGAGAGAGAGACAGGACGCGAGATCGAAGACGAATGTCGCCAGGTTATGTTCGGCTGGTTCTGATAATAAGAGGGTTCCGACTTTCCTTTGGCCGGAAGGGAGGGATGGGTTGTGGTTTCTTTCTTCTGGTCATTTCCCAACGCTCTATGTCGGCTTCTGCATTTCTTTTCCATTGAGGGACAAGTTGTGTTCTTTGTATTGTTTGGAAGATACCATGAAAACTGCTACATGTAAGACTCTCGATTAGACTGTATTGAAACTCCCACCCACATCTTTTCCTCGAGCATTCATAATCGTCAACCTCAATCATGTCGCCACCACCCATGACAAAGTTAAAGCCGTATCACATGCATGCCTGGTTAGCACATATCCCGCAAGCGCCCGTGTCTGCCCATTAACCTCGCCGACTTATTTGTCAGGTAGCCGGAAAGTAAATTCGTGTTTATTCCAAGATCTCATCAGCATGGACCAGATCAAACATGCCTAAGATCCAAGGTCAAGACACCCGTTTATCGACGGACATTCAGGCTTGTTTGAACAAACTTCAAGTCAAGTCACTCAACAATAATCAAGGCAAGGATAAGACGCCTCAAATGAAAGGGGTATCAAAGGTCTTTTTGGCATTATTGAAAGTACATGGCTGGCCAGAGAAACAAGCGTGTCGTAACATCACCATCTCTGCCGTACCTGCTTCAGCGCGTGCTTATGCCAGACGCATGTACGCATCGGCGCATTTGTATAAAATTAAAGGATACTTCGATATTTCGGAAATACGGTTCCAAAACTCAGGTCAAAAGCCTGGTGAACATAAAATCGAAGAGGCATCTGCTTTTACGAGCTGATGGCACCCAGAGTAGACTGGATGATGCCATCAGTGGCCAGCATACCGGCAACGGACGCGGAAGTGAGAGTGGCGATGATGCCAGCGATGAGGGACGAGATGGCGAGCTTCGAGACGTCGCCAGAGCGGTTGGGGGCGAGCTGCGAAAGCACACCAATCTGGGTACCAAGAGAACCAATGTTGCCAAAGCCCTGTAAAAATTAGAATTAGCATCGATCCACAGGCGCATCAAGACATGGGTCAAACTTACACAGCAGGCGTAGGTGGCAATGAGCTGCGAGCGAGGCAGCATAAGGTGGTAATGCTGCTTCGGGTCGGTGAGCGCGGCAAAGGCGGCGAACTCGTTGATGATGATCTTGGTGCCGATCAGCTCGCCAACGGAGAGCAGGTCCTGGTTGGGAACACCAAGGAGCCACGCGACGGGGTAGAACAGGTAGCCGAGGATGAGCTGGAGGGTGAGCTTGGGAACACCGTTGCCGTTGGCGTCGACGCCGAGCATGCCCCAGTACGAGGCCCACCAGCTGAGCCAGCCGTTGACAAGGGCGACGAAGGCGATGATGCAGAGCAGGGTCGAAATGATCATGCCGGCAATCTTGAGACCGAGCCAAGCGCCGTTGGCGAAGGCGTGAAGAGCGTTGGAAGCCTTGTGCTCATCATCATCGGGGACGACGACACGGCCAGAGGTCAGGGTCTCCTCAGTCTCGGGATAGCGCATCTTGGAGATGGCAATCGAGGCGGGGATAGACATAATGCAGGACGAGACGAGGGCCTGGGCGTTGAGACCCATACCAATATAGGCAACCAGGACGGAACCAGCAATGGTGGCGAAACCACAGGTCATGACCTGGTGAAGCTCGGCCATGGTCAGGTGGCTGACGAAGGGACGGATAAGCATGGCGGATTCACCCTGGCCAATGAAGGGGGTGGCAGACGCGACGACGGCCTCAGCACCGGACACGCGGAGAGTCCAGAAGAAGAAGACGGCGAACTTGCCAATGAACCACTGGATGAGGCCAACGTGGTACAGAAGCGAGACGAGCGCGACGAAGAAGATGATGGCGGGAATGACACCGGTGAAGAACCAAGGCAGCTTGGGCACAGTGTCGTCAGTCAAGAAGATGACACCGGCGTTGGCGAAGCCAAGCAGGGTGCGAGCCATCTCGGAGACGAAGTTGAAGATGTCGAAACCGGCCTGGGTGCGGAGGACGAAGACAGCAACAATGAACTGGGTGAGCATGCCACCAATGACGGTGTGCCAAGGAATCACCGACCAGTTGCGGGAAGTGAGAGTCATGATGGCGATCATGACAATCAGACCAAACAGAGACTGGGCACGAGCCGCCCGGGTGTTCTCGCCAGACTCCTCGGGAACCATGGAACCGATCAAGAACACACCGACAGTGACGACCGCGGCCAGCGGCTTGTGCAGCTTCGCGGGGATGGCCTCGTAGCCGCGGTACAGAGTGTGGCGGTAGACCGTCTTGACGGGGTTCATGACATATTTGATCGGGATCCAGAGGGTGACGATACGGATGGTGACGGCGAGCCAGAAGAGGAAGGGCTTGAGCCAACCCAAGCCAGGGTCGTTGCGGTAGTGAACCAGACCGTACGCCCACCAGCTGTAAATTGCACAATGCTTGTCAGCACGGTCTGTAGAGTCTGTGTATTGGATCGAGATGCGCCGCCAGGCCATCCTAGCAGCACAACTGAAAATGCACTTACACAGTAAACAGAGTCCAGATGAGGAAGTGAATGATAGGTCTGAACTTGCGGTAGAACCAGCTCCAGGTGTACTTGTTGGGACGCTCAGCCGTCTCGGCCTCGTGGGAGGGAGCCATGCGGCCACTCTCCTCGTCGGTGACAACCTTCTCCTGAGTGTAGCCGCCGCGGGAGCCAGGCTTGTCGAGCAGGTCGTGAGGCCTGTCGCTGGTGCCGGTGGTGTAGACGAGTTCGTGAGAGTGGTTCTCGTGCTTGGCCGCCGCACCGCCGTGGTGAACGTGCTCGTGAGCGTGCTCGTTGGCGATGTTCAGAGCGGGGTCCGGGTTGGGGGTCACGCCAACCTGGGGAGAGGCATTGTGACCGCCTTCCAAGGAAAGGCGCTTCTCGTCGCTCATGATTGCTGACGTCTTATTGGAAAGGATAATTCCAGTCCTTTTTTCCCTTGGCCTTTCAACTTGTGGGAGAGCTGGCAGCCGAGCGAAAAGCTGGGGCACCAAGCAAGGCAAGCAGACGGTACGCCGGGCGAGCCGAGAAGAAAAACAAGACAGCCGAGGGCTGGGTTTTCAGTGCGGAGAAGCGCTGTGGGTGAAGCGGATGCCGATCAGCAAGAGAGCACGAGCAAGAGGCAAACTGCCGCCCCAGGTGGAGGAAAGGGCCGACTAAATAGAAACGACAGCTTGGCGGAGGCGACTGAGGGTCTCTAGGGTGTCGCGCAACCAAGGCCAGGGCCCCCAAGTGGAGAGGCAGGCTCCCGAACTTTTTCGTGGTGGTGGCTCTGAGCTCCGCACGCGGGCACTTGGAGAGCAGGGCCAACCATGGTCGCGAGTGGATCGAAAACCGACGGTGATCGCCAGCTCTGGGCACGGCGCGGCGAAGGCGAGAGATAGCTGGGCAGGCGGCGTGTGCCCCGGATCCCAGCGCAGGGGCGCGCGGGCTCAAAGCGGAAGGACGTCCTATCTGTGGATGCTTGGCGTCCTGCCAGGCGAGCAAATGCTGGCTGGCCGTTGGTGGGCGGCGACAGCGGGAGGGAGGGCGAGGGTATGGGTGTGGGTGTGTGGTGTGCGGATGGCGAAAAGGATGGTGTCGACAGGGGGCGTCGCCAGTGGGGAGGGGCCTCGCCATCCCCATCCACCAAAAAGAGTCTGGCCACGGAAATGCCTATCAGTACGCGTACGTATGGGATATGGCCCGGTGGGATCGCCAGCACGAGCACGCACGGCGTTGCGCGCCTGCCATCTGGGCCGGAAATGGTTGGGCGGCCCTCCAGTGAGCCTGCGACTTGTCAGCAGCAGCAACTACTTGGTCAGTCCCCACGAGTCCGCGGCCGCTCTCGTCGTGACAAGACGGCCGAATCAAAGACGAATGAAGAATGGGCACTGCTTGGAGGAAGGATGCATGCATGCATCTCGTGTAATTACAGTACAACCCATGCCGGGCACGAAGGTTGACGCCAGTGAAGAAGAAAACCCACCGCTGCACAGATACAGGCCCTGTAGCTGGCTTCCCCAGACCAGTCACGGCGCTGGCACGCCCAAGGGTCACCGCCCCAATTGGGACATGTGGACCCCCTGCCGGCTTCGCTCAAGCCCGTTGTCGCGTCGCAGTGCAGCACCGACTTGCATCCCACTGGACCCCTACATCGTAGATCTCCGAGAACAATGCCTGCTCCCAGACTGGCCTGTCCCGTCCAGCTCTTCTCTCTCACGTGTAAACCCCCTGCTCGGGCTTTCAGGTGGCTCGCCAGGTGGCATCACGGTCAATATGTATTGTATTCGTCGTCAGCAGGATTCAGTCCAGTCAAAAGACTGTGGCCATCGCCAGTGAGTCTCGTGGGACAGGCGCGCGAGGATCTTGCAACGACCGAAATACGTAGTCCAATTTTTTCCTTGTGCGGTCCATCTGCGCGATTCAGGCAGTGCCCGCCCGCCCCTTCCGTGCAACGGAAGATTGATGAAGTGCATGACATCGTGACCCACGTCCCGTTAAATTCCCTCCAGCAGCACCATCTTGATTACGCAGGAAGGAGATTGGCATCAATCCGTCGGTCAGCCTCGGTGACCCTGGGTCGGCTTGGGACTCGTTCCAGGATGACAATGGATAGGCACGTGCCGAGACTCGGCTGAGGTAAGACGTGGCCGAATCGCCTGGAAGTCGATCATGTTCCAGTAGGAGTATCGTCCATGCTTGACACCTCATGCCGTCTGGTTGGCATGCTTCGCAAGGTCGACGTCGCCACGGCAAAACGATGCCAGGATGCCGGCAGCTATTGTCATCGCTGTGCCGCAGAAGCCGGCCATCTCACGAGACCAGACAAGCCATGGGCACGGGAAAACGAGAAATGCGCTAGAAACGCACTAGAATAACGGTCGGCTGCCGCCCCTTCCTGGCGGGGACGCCTTCGTCAGAGTGGGTGTGATGCAGAGGGGCTGGCCCGGCTCGGTGGACCAACACTGATAAGCGTGACGCACGGAAACCTGTAACACGTCGAGCCTTCATGTCAGCCACGAGACCTTGTGCAACTCGATGCAGGAGCAAGCATGTCTGCAGCAGTGAGCTTCAGCTGCGCCCGGGGACTTAGGCTGGACAGGGCGAGGCAGTGATGGATGCGAGCAGGCTGTCATGGGTGCGGCGTGCCCAGCGGGCCCGGCTGCTCACATCTCGCATGCTTGGCCATGCAGACAAAGTCTTGGTTCTTGGTGCTGGTGGTGCCGGGGAAGCCGCTGATCTGCAGTGTAGACGCGAGTCTGGTGCCACGACAAAAGACCAGCGCCAACCTTATCACCGTCCTTGATGGAGAGCTCCACGGACGATACCCGTGGTCTGCAGCGAAAGGCACGGGGCATCACTCGACTGGGAGATATGTCGCCTGCTCGATTCGTTGGTCAGGATGCCAGCAGCACGGCGGAACTAGCCGTATTCTCGGTGGCTCGCACAAGGCCGCCTGTGTGAAGCAACCAGCGGGAAATGGACGTTTCGAAACAGACTGGGCTGCCGGTAGCGCTTTGAGCGTGCCAGAATCAGCCACTGCGTGCGCTGCCGCTCATTGGGCGAAACTTTTTATTTGCGCGGTGCCTCAGCTATCAGTATCCCAGTCTCCCGCTGGATCGCGCTAGCAACGCATACCATCCTGACAGGCCAAAACTTAGCGTACCCATGCTTTTAGGTATTGCGATTATTCCAGGCGGACAATGCCCTGAGATTGGCCTTGCCAGCGCTGTCCGGAGTAATCCGTACCTAGACGCCAGCCATCTGTCGGCAAGCCAGCCTATCAGTACCAGTGCTGGCCGACGGCCTGCGCGACGCAAAGGGACTTGGGTCAAGAATGCATGTCGGTTGCCGCGGTTTATCCCAGAGCGTCACCGACCGAGGCCGTTGCGTACTGCTGACTAGGGCCCTCTCTCGACTCTCGCGTTCCTCGCTTCCTCCTGCAGGCTGTATTGTTGTCGGCTCTCTTTGCATTGCAACCACGGTTTGTGCTGTCCGTCGTGTGCCGCAGCCAAGCGAATTGAGGCGCGCGGCATGTGATTCGACGGCCCAAACCTTGCGCTCGCCCATGAATGCAATTTTGCCTCACGGGATCCTGGGAATATTGCGCTGCGGACGAGCTGCTCCTTCTCGTGATGGGATTGGACACCCTGCCCGGTCGTGCCTGCCTGTCCAGGCTAGGCCGTCTCTCTATTGCGCCAGCTGATGCTAAGCTAAGCTAGTCTCCGCTTGTCTCGTCGCGAACGTGCTGATCCCACACCCCAGACTTTGCTTCTTTTGGACTGGGCCTGAGGGGGGCTCCCTTCTCCAACATGGCCGCTTCTGCTATGGTTGCGGAAGCACTGGCACAATTCCCAGAGTCCCGGGAACCGCAGGACTTTCCACCTCGACTCCTATCGATGCATCGGCTGAATCGCTTGCGCACGATAGCACCGCCAAGCTCGCCTTGGCACCATTACCCCAGACTTTGTCCTAGCTCTTCCCGTCGTCCATCTCGAGCTTCGCGATCCTCCTCGCTTCCTGGCCCTCCCCTGACAGGCACAGCAGCAGCTGGTGTCATCCTTGACACATCGCGCGCCGCACAGCACTCACAATGACGCTGCTGCACGTCTCATCCCGCACGTGCTCACTTACCCCAGGCGGCACCCGCCGTGCTGCTCACGCGAGATCACCCCTGGAGCATTCGGAACCGGCCGTCCCAGGCGATCACTCCAAGATATGAGTTTTGGCCCTGTCATCTATGATATGAGCTCCTTGTTCATGCTCGCTTCAAGAATCTCCGATGCAGCGTGGGAACCAGGTGGTTTTTCCAAGGATCGTGAACAACAGAATTACCTGTCCGGAACTCTGCTGAGATGACAGCACGTTGCCGCGGTGAAAAACTGCTCGTCACGGCTTCAATTGCTGGTCAACTTCGAATTCATGATGATCTGGCATTCTTGAGTATTCTTGACACATATCAGGCATATTCAGCCTTGATTGCAATCGTGGGTTTCGTAGCGCAACCCCAGATTGCACTAGCAACAGAGCCTCCACTGTTCAGATCGTGTGGCCCGAAGGCGGACACCGACGGTCCTCGTGCCACCACAGCCCCCAAAGAACCACGGTCCGTTGCTCACATTTCGAATTGGACGCCGCAGAATCTCCCCGAGAAATGATAGCCATGGTTCATCCACGTGGCTGCGATACGGCTCGGCTCCGATCTAGTGTCCGCCCGAAGATAAGGTGTCGCAGCGTGCACTCAAGACCGACGGGTTCCGTGGTCAAAGGGGAATTAAAGGGGGCCGTCCCAGGCCTGCCTGACAACCAGCCCTGGCTCCTCGCAAGCCAGCTCCAGAGATACCACAACTCCGACAACAAGACCGAAATGATTAACATGTGGTCCCGACTGAAGCAAGGCCGGGTTTCCAGCATGAGAAATTATGGGAGCCCACTTCTCCGCAAGCGTTCCCACTCGCCGCTCCGGGCCTGCGTGCCCATGGCCCGTTCTGGACTCCCCGAGATCTCTCGGCCCCTGCCTGCGATTCCTCTCGGACTGCTAAGCATGCATGGGCGAATGACGCCTTCCCCAGATCCGGACACCCTCTCCGCTCGCAAGAGTCTGGAGGTTGTACGTAACAGAATCCGCACCAGCTGCACGTTGCGTTTCCACAATCGAGGCTGCGATATCTGGGGTGCGGGGGAAGGGCCGAAAGGTGTCAAGCACGATCGTTGCGTGGGCAAGAGCAGGTCTGTGAAGCACCAGCAGCAGCACGGTACACCGTAAACACATTCATGGTGTCGACATGGAAACCGTTGTCACCATCGTGAAGTTTTATGGGCTGCGAAAATTTCGAAAGTGCCAAGACATGGGCCCCTGGTCTGTGGTCAACCTGCGTGCATTGGATCGCCAGGTGAAGCTGGTCACTCTTCCTAGCCGCGAGCGCGTAGCACTTAGGTACATGTTAGACAAAAGGCACGCCTTGGTTGTGTCATGCATCTTGCGAGACCCGGATACAACCTGCACCAGGGATAACAACCTGCAGGAATCATTTTGAGCAAGATCTGTGCAGAATTGTACTCTGTAGGTGACGAATATCGGCGGCTGCTTTGAGGACTGAGAACAGAAGAGACGCACCCAGATCAATCAAATCAAATATCAAATTATCCCACATCCCCATCTCTTCGAACAAGCACGCTATATGCGTCCGTCGTACGTTTCACGCGAGACCCTTTCTGGGCCATGATGGATATATCAGGGATGTTCGAATTGTCAGGCATCTCAGATTTGCGCTGCATCTGAATGTTCAGTTTTTTGGTTTGTTTTTTGAGATGTAAGAGAGACAAGGTGAAACTTGAAGCCCACTGCTGCGTGAGCTCCGACTTCCAGCGCTGCTTGCCTGGTGATCATCTGCCGAACCGCGGCGGCGATTGGTGCTGTGCAAGCGGCCCAGGAATGTTGGCGGTGTCCCGGGAGTATGAGCAGCTGGCGCGACAGAGCATGGGGAATATTTGTCTCCCCAAGTCGGGCCTCGAAGTACAAGAAGAAGGGAAAGAATGGGGGGCTGAGAGGGGGGACTCGGTCGTACGTGCATATGGTGAGCGTTGCACGCTCGTGAGAGACAGATAAATTCTGAAATCATGAAACAAGAATATATAAAGAGGAGAGACTGAGAGGAGAGGGGGAGACTGCGATCACAAAGAGAGGATGCGCCGAAAAAAACACAATATGGAAACATAAAAGATACACAGGAGATCCAAGACGTAAATTCATGGCCTTAATATCCTAGGTTTGACTTTCGTTGTTACACAAAAGTACCAATTTTGGTAAGGTTTCACACACACATGGTGAGGGCGGCAAGACAATGGTGTTTGTGCTTCAATCTCCGGAATAGTACTCAACTTTCTTTTTTCCCTAGGTTGAACGGATTATTTGAATGCACGTCTGTATCCACCCAAGGTTGAGCATGAGGAGTTCCAGAGCAATAAATTGACGTTATCTTCTCTTGGCCTGGCTGTCACACGGAATACTGCGACGGTGGCAGCCTCGGGGGAAGCATTGCCGTGGACAATCCCAGAGGAGGCCCCGAAGATGGCACCGCCTCAAGCTTCGCAGAGACGAGGAAAACCTAGTGGTGCTGGTGAAAGTGCCTTGATCATTTGATGTGGATTTGACTTCAGCATGCCGATAATGTTGAGAGACGATGGTCAAGTACTTAGACGACGAGCTCGAGTGACTATGCATAATTAACAAAGGGTTGACTGCACTACTCTAAGGAACCACAGCCATTTAGCGTGAAAAATGATAAGGTACAGCAATGGATACTACGATATGTATAGTTTATATTAGGGTAGGTGTCTACTATGAGAGACGGCCAAACTATCATGGGTGACAAGTCACGGCAGACACTCCCACGAGAATCCCCCGTGGCAAATCGGCCGCACCGGCATCGTCTACAAATGTCATCGCCGACCCTGGATCCACTTGTGCACAACTCCCGCAATCAGGTCGCTGTTCTTCTCCAGGTACATGAAGTGGCCGTTGCCCTTGATGCCCACGTCAGCGAGCTTGACCCAGTCCGGCTTGGCGCCAACCTGCTTCATGTAGTCGTTGAGGCAGTGAGCAAAAGTGATGTGCACGCTGGCCTCAGTCGTGAGGAGCAGGTAAGGCACCTTGGCAATCTTGGGGAGCTTGCGCGCAGGCTCTTTCTGCAGGTAGCAGTTACGATGAGCGAGGGTCTCGTTGCCGACCGAGATGACCTGGAGCTCGGAAGGCGACGAGATGGCCGGGACGTAGTCGATCTTGGTCTCCGTCAGGCCCCAGGGGCGCTGTGACGTGCCGCCCAGGCCAACGCCGTACCACCAAAAGGGAATGGTGGAACTCTCCAGGTTGATGCTGCCGGCGACATTCTGCCCACAGTCGTTGGACAGGAGAATGCCCCAGTGGCCACCATACGAGTGCTGGATGAGGTACGAAGGGCCAATCAAGGAGAGGAGCTGGCATCCCGCAGTACGCATGGCCAGCTCGGTGGCAGTGCGGTTGGTGGAGGACGGGATGATGGCGGCGGCGAACTGGTCAAAAGCCGGGTCGCCCTTGTGTCCTGTGCCGGGCCACTGGGTGTGGAGGGCAGCCTGGGGATAGGAGAGGTAATCCTCGACGGCGGTGAAGCCGGCCTCGACGAGCTCCGGGCCGGAGCCGGCCATAAGAGGGAAGTTTGCGAGGTCGTTGGAGGAGCTGCGGCCAAGACCCGGCTGGTCGACGAGGTAGACCTGGTAGCCTTGCTGAAGGAACCAGGCGGCGAAGCCTCTGCGGTTGTCAGGCGTGTTGAGCCAGGTGCCGCCGGTGAAGCCACCACCGCCATGGAAGAAGACGAGGGGCTTGGGTTGGCGGACGCCCTGGGCGGGAGTGAGCTTCTCTACATAGAGCTGGCCGACGGTGACGTTGCCAAAGGCGCCGGGGAGGAGGCTGCCGCCGACGTAGAAGAAGTCGCGGCGGTAGGGGGGCTCGATCTGGCCGCAGGCCGGGTGGATGGCCTTGACGCCGGTGCAGTCACGACCGGAAGGAGGAGGCGGAGGCGGAGGCGGAGGCGCGTTGAGGCCGTCAACCGCATCCGCGGCGAGTGCCTGAGGAATCCAGGGGGCCACGGCGAGGCCGGCCAGAGCCGAGAGGAAGGAAGCAGCGACCCGAACCATGTTGGCTGGCGAATTGAGCGAACGAACGGCGTGCAGAAACCTCTGCCAGAGCAAGACTGAGCAACTCAGCAACAGACGGAGACTCCTGCTGCCTTGTTCCGCTTCCTCTTCCTTCCTCGCCTGCTCCGGGGCGTCTTGTATAATATCATCTCGGCAGCCCCTGTGCTGTGCCGCTCCTCACATGCTCCGGGACCCTCGAAATCGTCAGCGTTGCCTCCATCCCCGCACGTTTCTGCGTGTCTGTCAACCAACAAGTGGGCCTTTGTCCATGCCGCGAAATTGGCCTCTTCCCGACGAGGTGTATGCCGTCTGCGGACGCCAAGTACATGACAGGACAATGGGCGAAGAGGCAGACTTCGATATTTCTCTGCGGCTTCGGATTCCAGCTGAGCCAGGCACGAATTTACATGTCTGTTCATCGCGAAGCGCGGGGTTTCTATCCCAGGGTCGCAATGCCCGCCACAAGTGAGCAGGCGCATCGGCGCAAGAGCCCTCAAAAGCAGCAAGTGTTTCGCCGATGCATGCTCATGAAATACATGATCCTGCCGGATCACCTGGAGCTCTCACGGCCCGGCTGGACCGGTGAGCACGCCAACAGGGGCAACAAGGCACCGCCTGCCAGGGCCTCCTGGTCAAGTTGCAAGAGACATCCCTGCCTCCCATCGAAGGAATCGACCACACCAAGATCGTGCCGGCAGCGTCCCTCCACCCGCACCAACAGGCCATCGACCTTCATGCAAAGCACGAATATGCTTCAATCCCGGTCCCGCACAACTACCGTCCCCTGTGAATCTGTACAGGTGGCGTCGCCCGTCTAGGCACAGAAGCAACCTCAGAAATTGCTCACCCTACTTCGGGCACCACCTGCGCAATCCCGCTCGCCAGGCCCAACTCAGCCACCAGGATCTTGGTCCATGCAGGATGATTGGCACCAGGTGACTGGGCAGGACCACCTTCCCGTAAAGTGGTTTTATCTGGCATTCTGCGGGTTGGCGCGGCTGTGTTTGAGTGTGGCTTCCGAAGGAGCGTTTCATGGCCACGCCATGGAAATGCAGTCATAACCATGAAGACAGCACTCTGGAATTGTCTCTTATCTGTCGTCCCGTTCGAAGCCCGTGTGACCACTTGACACCCGCGCAATACCCATCGCCGCGGCAATGTGAACATCTCAACCCGTTTGATCTGTTGAGTGACTACCAACCTGTTCACACCACCTTCAAAGCAGCACTCAGGCTGTACGACAACGAGCGCAGATGTCTGGAAACACTACCTCGGCAACACTGGGCAGGCCGCCGAACACGTTGGATGATTACTATACGATCCGAGCCCTTCTTCGCGACTTCGGCCTCGACAAGCTCGATCCGAACGATGGTTACGTTCTAGTAGGCCCTCGGCCACCTGGGCTGCCGTTTGAGAACAAGCAAGCTGGCATCATCGTGGGCATGGTTATAATGATGCTCATCATTATTCTCCCTACCGGAGCTCGACTGCGTCTTCGCGCCACAAAACAACAGATGGTCTGGGGCCCAGACGATTGGGCTATCCTTTTGGCTGCTGTAAGTAAGCTTGCAGTGCTCCTGTGCAAGTGCATCGGGTTCTGCATTCTTGGTCGAGACAGTCCTGTGCTCTTTATACATGCATGATGGTTTGTTTTGTGGGACAGATGCCTAACTCCTCAACCCTGTTCCTAGGTGGTATGTTTCCTATACCCGATCTTCCAGATTGTCATGGTCGTTGACGGCGGCGGGGGGACCCATATCTGGGACGTCACATACACTCAGTACAGAACTTTCATGGTCTTTGGTCAGGCGAGCAGGACCGTATACTACGTCGTCGTCGGCTTGGTCAAGCTTTCCATCACCTTCTTCTTCCGCCGACTAGCAGATAAGGCGTCGAAAGTCTGGCGGGTCGTCTGCGACTTCTTCCTGGCTACCTGCGTCATTACGTCCTGCTTGGGATCTTCCTTACGCCGCTGCTGTGCAACCCACCGCGAGCATTCTGGGATATTGTGTACAGAGGAATGCTCGACACCCCTCTACAGTGTATCAACAAGGAGTATATCGCCAAGATTCTCGGGATCATGCACGTGGCGCAAGGCGCGCTGATGCTGACGGTCCCTATTGCGATCCTATGGACGGTGCGCATCGACCGGGGCAAAAAAGCCCGCCTGTTCCTGAACTGGTTTGTCGGCGCCGTCGCCGTCGTTGGTGGCATGGTCAAGACGTGGTACTTTGTCTTCAGTCCGGACATGATGTGGACTTACGCCGAGAATGTCCTTCTCTTCACTTCACTCGACCTGTGCCTCGGTATCGTGACGGCCTCCGTGCCTGTCCTAGATCACCTACTGGTCTCGTCCTTTGGCTTCATGGCCAACAAACTCGTCAGCTCCAGCAGCGTGATTCGAAACCAGGGGTCAGGCACCGGCGGCGTGCAGGGCTCCCGTCGCCCGACCTTGAAGAGCGATCAGACGACGCGTAGTGCAGGTTCGTCGGCGCTGCCGTACTCCGAGTCCTCTGAAAACATCATCAAGAATCCGAACAACCTCGAGCTCAAGATCATGCGAACAATGGATGTCAACGTGACATACGAGCGCAGAAACGACTCGATAAGCGACGACTGCTATGATGAAGAAGGGGTGACGAAAACAAAAGGGGTTTGACCGATAGACGGTGGAGGGTTTCCCAATTTTTGCGCCTAAGATAGATGTTCCTTATTTACGAATTGCTCTTTGATGAGAGGAGAATGTCAACAACTCGAATTGGCGTCCGGGAGGTGTGCCAGAGCATTGAAACATCGACTCCCCGGAGGATTGCCATGGCAACGGGGCATCAGGGCAACTCGAGTGTGTTATCATAGCCGTATCTGAGATGTATGGTACGTCCTGGCTATGCACTTCTCGAATTGCAGAGTAACATCGGTTCGGACCTTGAGATATTGCTCACGTTGCTGCCGTGGAGAGTGGTTTCCGGCCGTAGACAACGAAGCTGTTCGTGGGTGATGTGGTTAGCGGGTGCACGTTTGAGGGAGAGGCGGAGGAGAACGCTTCGAAATAAGGCGACTTATGTGGCAGCCGAGGGAGGTGGGTCGCCCTGATCTGCATAGACTCGCCCCTCGAGATGTCTCTCGCATATGACTTACATGGGCCAGTAAGCATGGACATCCGGACTCTTAAAATCCTCGATGGCCTTGGCGATACCCTCGGCAGCTTGCTCGGGGGTCCAGCCGAGGCCCATGGTGAGCATGCGCGTGTACAGGCCGCCAATGGCAAGCTCGAGGTTGGCTTGCTGCATGGCGCCGATGGACTTGTACTTGTCGCCCTTGGGCCAGGACGGGTTCAGGGGCAGGCCGTAGTGCAGCTCGGTCACGTCCTCGAAGCCAATCTCGCGCATCCAGCCGGCGTACTGCGGCATGGCCATCATGTCGTTGCCGAGCTTGCGCGAGGCGACGACGGTGTCGAAGAAGAACGACTCCATGTGCCGGCCGCGCATGCTGCCGTCCATGTCGAGCGGCACGCCATACAGCTCCTGGTGCTCCAGGTACCCGCCCGGCGCGAGCTGGTCAAAGGCTCGTTGCAGGGACAGCTTGGGGTCCGACTGGCCCAGGAAGATAAGGCGGCCGTGGATCAGGTCGAACTTCTGGGTGTATGTCCACGGATCGGTAAAGTCGACTTCCTCAAACTTGCAGTTCGGCGGGGTCCTGGTGGGAGTTTGTTCGTCAGTACAAAATCCCTTGGCGGCAATCTCGCCCCGAGCAAAAGCTGAGACATGTTGGTTTTGTCGAGTGCGGACTTGTTGTCCCGCAAGTCATCGACCTCCTGGTAGTGTCGACTCCAGACTTTCGACACAACAGCGGCAGACTTACTCGGACGGTGTAGGCTTGCTCAGGTCGATACCAAGGACTTCGGATTCGGGATGCCGTCTCGCTGCAAGTCGCCGACGTGCATTAGTTCCTATGACTAGCATACTCGGAAACACTGATTCGGGGAAGAGCCCACTTGCCATAATCGGTAGCCCACACGCCTGAGCCAGTGCCAAGGTCGAGGACAGTCTTTGCGTTCTCGATGGGCGCTTTGACGAGGTCGCCGTCCAGCACGGAGGTCCAGATGATGTGCTGCCGGTCCAGCCGTCCCATCTCGGTCTAGTTCAGAATTCTCGATCAATCGCTTGGTTCTGCTATTCTCCGTCGCTTCGACGGCATCAAGAAAAGGGGTGTTCGTACTTTGTCATTGGGAACATAGTATTCTGACTCATGTTAGCATTCCATACTCCGGATAATTTTGACAAATATGCGCCGTGTATGGCATTCTTACTTGCGCCAGGCTTGTAGTTGTGCCACGATCGTTCGGTCTGCGCAACCTGAAGGGCCTCCACAGGGTTGGTAACGTAAGGACTGTTAGGGCAAGACATTTTAGCACCAACGCTCGAAACCTTCGGCCTCGGCTCATGCCGAAAGTAAATTCATGTTGCCAGTAAGTGCAGACACTAACTTTTCGCTGTTGTACGGCACGCTAGCATCGTCGTCGTCGTCGACCTAGTTGTTTGTCCCGTCAGCTTGGGGTCGTTCTGATGCCTCCCCCAAGAGCAACGCTGCCTACTTCAAGCCCTTGCGGATGAAATTCGTGCAGTTTCGTGTTTTCGATGGTCCAGACAGGTAGTCGTTCGTCGAGTGTCAAGGTGTGCTTCTGTGCTTCTGGAGGTGGCACATTGTCGTCGATGACCTTGCCAGAGTCGGCCGAGGCAGGAACGTGCCGCTTTTCAACCTCGCTCAGCTTCTTCCGTCGAAGTCGCTGGAGACGGGCTCGAATTGAGCTCCAGAAGCTGGAGGAAGACATCTTAAAACGGTATGGGATCAAGTCTGAGCTCGGATGAAGACAATATGGTATTGTATAGACGGAGCTGACACCCGTGAACTTCCAGAGAGACAAAAGTAACCATGAAGGATGCGGAAATCAGCTAGGTTTTATGGCAACAAATACAGTTGCAGGTGCGCCAGTATTGGAGTACAGCCTGCATGATATCGTGCTCATCGGCGACAGCCAGGGCTATTGGGGGCTTGGTCCGCAGTTCGTACCGGCGCATCACATGTGGGCAAGCAAACCGGCCTCCCCCGCCTCGGAGCTGATCGCTTTGGCTGGGTCCGAATCATGGATCCAGAGTTCAAGAGTCCATGGAAGTGGTGTCACTGCCTCCAATCATGAGCATCGCGCTGCAAAGCACGGCCAATCACGGCCGCATGACCCCATGGCCGCAGGTGGCCGCATAAGGCATGCACCGAAGAACGCCTCATGGCCCCGAGGTTGGCCAGCTACCAGGGTCAACGGTGCCGGCCGGCAAGGTCGTGGTGACGCACCGTGGACCTAGAGCTGAAGCGTCCGGCACTAAGGCATGTAACCCAACGTGGCAAACCGCAGGCGTATCGAGTGCGGCAGCTCGGGTGTGTATCTTCGATGCTACAGACCCACGGGTTCGGTGAGCCCTAGTCGCAGACTTTGGAAATTAGTGAACCGTCGATTCGGGTCAGCTGCAGGTCAACTGTGCCCAACCGGGGTGGCTCTTGGACCTCGGACGGAGAGTTCGCTCAGATGGGGCCATGTTTGTTGGAATTCTTAGCAGCGTTTTGCGATGCTTGTTATGCCATGTTTCCGACGGCTGAGCCGAGTGTTTGTCCTACACTGGGTGTCCTGTAAGGGGACTCGGTTTCAGCAACTGTTTGCCGCTTGGCTTTCCCGAAGCCCATGTCGTTGCAGAGCACTGATGCGAGCCTTTGACGAGGGTTTCGTATAGCAACGCCGGGCTGATGAGATGAGCCCGGCGGTCAGGACAAACCCTGGATTATCTGTCGGGGTGGCCCCACGCGTCTGTAGCAAGCAGGTGCAATACGCATGTTGCAGAACCACATGTAAGCCGCGCGGGTGTGCAGCATCACTTCACAGCTGGTGACATGCTGGGGTTAACCTCGGGAGGAACAAGTTCCTTCTGTCACTGTCGATTGGCAGCGGTCTGCCAACCCCTGATCCTGGCAATGCAAGGGATGCCAGCAAGCAACCCTTGCACAGGGAGGGTATCTCTCCACCCATCCCGTTGCTGGTTGGAGATACCAACATGGATCGAGGATGGCGACAGCCGCTTGACACGACTGCTTTGCCAAGGGCGGTTCGTTCTCAGGACTTTTGCGTTTTTTTCCGCATTGCTCGCATCCCGAGTCGATGTGAACGTGAGCATGGACGTGTCGAGGATGCATCGGCGGTCTGCATCATACGAGTCAAGTTGCGGAGCGGCGTCCGGCTCCACCGTGGCCACTTCGTCCGACGGCGTCGCACGCCAAGTGGGAGGATCTCTGCGGAAGAAAAGACGCCTGGCGCGGAGTTGGATTGCGATGACTTCCTCTTTCTCGGTGATGTCACGCACGTTACGACGCCGTCCTGCTCTTCTGCATTTTGACCCATTAGCTGAGACAGAACGCGCGGCTGGGGCGGCAGTAGCCGCCTGTGTACCTTTAGGCATGACCTGCATACTAACCTGTCCCTTGGTAGCATCTCCTTAACCAGGTACCTTGCGAGCGAGAGGAATGTGGGAGAAATGGTTGCCCCTAGGGACAATGGTGATGAGGCCGCCCTTTTGGGCATCATAGGGAGGAGAAGCACGATATAAGCATGAGGGACGAGCACCTGTAAAGCTTGGGTGCCGGCACGTCTTGCTGCTGCCGCCCAGCGAGAACGACGACACGATGGATCTCGACATGTATTGGATGGGCCTGGCCGTCTTGGGGCCGATGGTGCTCGGGGCGATTGGGCATGGCGTTGTGCTTCGGGGGCTGAGACGATGGCGATCCGGCACGGGGCCCGTGTCTGTGACGGAGCCGAGCGCGCTAGACGCGGAGGCCAGCCGCTTCCGCACGGTCTTCCTGCGCGTCTATCTCACCGTCATGGCGTCAGAGTGGCTGCAGGTGCGTTCAGGCCTTCCTTTTGCTCTGCTCGTGTTTGTGTGCGTTTGTATGTGTCGTGGAGAAGGAGGGTTTTGCCAACGTGGAAGGCCATCGGTACCTGAGGGTGCATCAAGAGCGACTGCCCACACCAGGCGACAACGGACCGTTGAGACGTCAACAGCAGACTAACAAGGATGCATTACCAACCAGGGCCCCTACATTTACTCGCTCTTCCGGCATGAAAAGTCGCTTTCGGAATGGACCGTTGCTCTGCTCTTCGTCACATACTACACCTCTGCCGCCATATCAGCTCCGTTTACTGGCTGCCTCGCAGATCGCTTTGGGCGCAGAGCTGCCTGCCTGTCCTTTTGTGCTATTCACAGCCTTGCCTCCATCACGGCCTTCTTTGATTCCATCGAGATCCTCGTGGCTGGTAGAGTCCTGGGCGGCTTCGCTCTAACGCTGTTATGGACCGCCTTCGAGAGCTGGATGGTGGCCGAGTACAACGCCAGGGGCCTTGAGCACAGTTCCTTGGGATTGCCAGCCATGTTTGGGGCAATGACGACCTCAAACTGCATCACGGGCATTCTTGCGGGCATCCTTGGCCATTGTATCGTGCTCACTCTCGGCTCCAAGACAGACCCATTCGCTCTGGGCGTGGTGAGTACTGCCTGGCCTGGATGACATGCTGGTCATCACAATTTCTTTTTGTTTTCCTACGGTCGCGCTAACCCGGATCTTCAGCTGCTAAATGTTTGTGCCGTGGTCTTGATGCTACGAACCTGGAACGAAAATCGCGGGGTGCCCAAGGTCCTTTCCGGGGAGGAGAAGTCGGAGCTGTTACCCGCCTCTCAGACATTGGACGCCGCGGTTGACGGTCCTATCCTTAGCCAGAGCCCCTCGTCACAGCTGCGCGACTATAAAGTCTGGGTACTAAGCTTCGTGTCATGCTGCTTCGAAGGCACGATGTTCCTGCTTGTCTTCTTCTGGCCAAGCGCCCTTCAGGGGGCACACGATGCGGCGCTTGGGGACACTGTCGAATCCGACTCCCTGCCTCATGGTGTTATTCAGGCTGCGTTCATGGCGAGCATGGTGCTCGGCGCAATCCTCTTCAACACCCTCACTGGCTCAACAATCCAGTCAAAAGATCGCATCTTGGAGGACACAATAGTCGGCAGATACTTTGGCCCGACATCGCTCATGTGCACTGCGCTTGTGGTCGGCTCTGTGAGTTTTCTGGTAGCGGCGTTTTGCAGAGCAGAGCTGCACATGTTTGGCGTCTTCCTGGCTCTCGAGCTTTGCAGTGGCATTTTCATTCCAAGCATGGCGCTACACCGAAGCATTATTGTGAGCGACAAGCACCGAACAGGCACATATGGCATCATGAAGATCCCGCTGTTCCTGTTTGTTGTGGGCGCGCTGTGCACCACGACGGGAGCCGACCGGAATCAACATCAGCAGCGAGTGTTTCTGCTCTGCTCAGGTTTGTTGCTCTTAGCTGCCATTGCTGCTATAGTGGGTTTGAGAGGCAACATGGACTACTCTGGGCAGAATTTCACGATACTAGCTACTGATGATTTGCATGAGGCTGTGGCGGAAGATTATCTTATAACGAAAAGCCGTGTCTGCGAAACGACATCACCCTTCACCGAGGAGGAAGCAAAGTAGTACATTTCACATACATACCTGCCATGAATTGATCTTAGGCTGGATCTTCATTCCACCGCTGGCCAGCATCTAGAAGCGAAGCACAAACACAAGCGGAGGCAATGAAGAGTTTTCTCAATGCTGACAACCCAAAGAAGATAAAATGTGATATCAAGAACGCCTGACTTATGCTCTTGTAGCGACGCTGCCTTCCCCTTTTTGACAAGATCACTCTTTTTGGTTCCTTGGTCCAATACATGCATCGTATGCTCGGACACTCCAGCAGACATCCCCTGCGGAACCTATTTATTGCTCATCCTCCCAACCCGCTTCGTCCTCCATCTGCTTGTGCAGCATCTCCTCCGCATCTCCAGCGAGGCCCTCGCTGTCAAAACCATCGTCCTCATCGCCACTGACGTCTTCCTCCATGATGTCGTCAAACAAGTCGCTGTCGTTGCCATCAGCACGGACCTTGTAGCCGTCGTACTCTTCCTCATCCTCATCGTCCCCGCCCTTGCCACCACCAGCAGCCTTCTTCTCCTTGCTCTTCTTGTCCACATTAGCCTTCTGCTGCTTCCTCCGCGCCTCCTTCTCCTTGCGGCGCTGCTCCCATCGGTTCTCGAGATCATGAATCTCCTTCTGCGACTTGTGGATTGTGTCGTGCCACATGGTCTTGCCCGAGCACAGGCCTTCCTCGACCTTGGTCATGCGCAGCTTCATGCGCGGGCCCAGCTCCACGAGCTTGACGCGCCGCCGCTCGACCTTGTCGTAGCCGCCAGTGGCAGCACCTCCCTCCTCGTCCTCGTCCTCGTCCTCATCATCACCACCGTCGGGTCTCGCCTTCGCCTTGGCCGACGAAGAAGACTGCACCCTCCGCGCCGTGCTCTCGAGAACCTCCACCTCGGCGTCGGTGTCAACCTCGCTCCCGCTCGTCGCGTCAGACATGTAACCCTGCCCATCCTCGCCGCCAATCATGTAGTCCGCAATGTCCTCGAGCTTGCCGAGATTCGGCACGCCGCCCTTGCGGTTGTTCCGGCGCCCGCCGTCCGCCTTGCCGCCAAACACCTTCTGTGCGGCGTTGAGCCGGCGCAGGGGTTTCGACATGCCCGCCGCCGTCGTGGTGATGGCGTAGTGCCGGAAGTTGAGGACGAAGGAGCCGTCGTCCTCGCCGTTGGCGTCCTTCGAGGGCTCGCGGTTGATCAGGAGCACGCGGCGTATGGACTTGAGCGGTGTGGTCTGCGGGTTGATCCTCGGGAAGAGGGACTGGAAGATTGTGGTTGTGAGGGACTCGAGGTGACGCGGTACTTTGGATTTCGAGTCTGAATTGGAGCTGACAATGTTGTTCATGATGAGCTGATGAACAGGAAAAACGAGTTAGTTATTTGTAAAGCTCAGTATAATGGCCAAATCTGGTCAGCAGGGACAATTCATACCAATGGCGGCGTGTCATACTCCTTGCCTCCTCCTCTCGGATGCCTTTGCGCCCTGCGAACATCTTTACACAAAGAGTACCTCTCGACGCGGAAATGCAAAGTCGGTCCACGCGGCGTGGTCGCTATCCGCAAGTTCGTGTTTCCGGCTTCCGACCTCGAGAAGAGCATGAGATGTGTAACGCCCAGCGGCCCCGTCATGGTGATGTAGTCGCGGAGGCTGTTGGCGCGGCGCTCCTTGAGGCGACTCGCTGTGCCGGGTTCCATGACCTGGCGGACGTCTTTGGCAAGCTGGCTGACACTGGAACCGACTTCGCCAGCACCGATCCGGATCACCATGCTCTTGGGGTCTGTTCCGGCGGCACGGCCTTCGAGAGGCGCCCGGTGCCTTGGGTTGGTGGCGCCGACATGGGTGCGCTTCTTCGTCCGGGCCTTGGCCATCTTGCAGCTTGATAATACGGTTCTTTTGTCTTGCTGAGCGAAGCGCTGGTTGGGATCGTCTAATCAGGGTACACGTGCGTCAATTGGCCCGTGATGATCAAGCTGGAAGTGGCTGCGGCAGCAACAAAGAGGTCTTGTGATACTGCGTTTCCCAAGGTGTAAAGAGAGAGCGCGAGCCCCACAGGAGTGCAGAGAAAGCTCGCTGTAGACTGCGCCGACCAGAAAAAAAAGTCGCCCGATAAGCTGATGCGCTCACTGATAAGCCCAGTGCTCCACCTAAATTTTCGGGGATGCGCTACGCAGCGCTCCGCAATAGTGGGCTTTCGTTTTGCGACAGCTTCATCTGGGTCTTCGCTTTTGACGAGCACAGCAACGTGACGCAAGTGCCGTGAAAACAGAAACGACAAAACACCAGCGACGAGACATATAATTTCTAGCACGAGCACAAGGCGCGAGCAACTCCCAAAGATGTCGTCTGCGGTGAAGCGGCGCAAGATCGGGCACAAGGAGTCCGCTCCTGCGATCAAACACAAGGAGGCAAAGCCGGCTGCGGTCAAGAAGCAGAGAGAAACATCGCCCGAGGTTTCCGAGAGCTCTTCAGAGGAGGAGGAGGAGGAAAAGAAGGAAGAGGAGGAGTCGGCGACCCTGGAGGAATCCGGCGAGGACGATACGACCCCAAAGACATTCAAGGAGCTGGTAAGCAATCCAGGACCGCATGACGACTTTGGAGAGTTCCCTGTGCTAATCATCCTGGTTTGCCTGTAGGGAATCAACGATGCTCTTTGCGATGCCTGCGAATCCCTTGGCTACAAAAGCCCGACACCCATCCAAGCCAAGTCCATCCCCGTGGCCCTCCAAGACCGCGACGTGATCGGTCTTGCCGAGACCGGCTCCGGAAAAACGGCCGCCTTCGCCCTCCCGATTCTGCAAGCGCTTTTGGATAAGCCGCAGCCTTTATTCGCTCTCGTACTCGCTCCGACAAGAGAACTTGCTCATCAGATCTCGCAACAGTTTGAGGCTCTTGGATCTTTGATCGCAGTACGATCGGCTGTCATTGTTGGCGGCCTCGACATGGTCCCGCAGTCCATCGCCTTGGCTAAGAAGCCGCATATTGTGGTCGCCACTCCCGGTCGTCTGCTGGATCACCTGGAGAAGACCAAGGGCTTCTCGCTCAGGAATCTGAAGTATCTGGTCATGGACGAAGCCGACAGGTTGTTGGACATGGACTTTGGGCCTATCCTCGACAAGATCCTCAAATTTGTGCCTCGGGAGCGGCGGACGTTCCTCTTCAGTGCCACGATGTCGTCCAAGGTCGAGAGTCTGCAGCGGGCGAGTTTGCGCGACCCGGTCCGCGTGTCCATCACAACCAACAAGTACCAGGTGGTCTCCACGCTCATCCAGAAGTACCTGTTCATCCCGCACGCCCACAAGGATCTGTACTTGATCTTCCTGGTCAACGAGTTTGCCGGCCAGTCCGCCATCATCTTCACAAGGACAGTCTACGAGACACAGAGAGTGTCCATTTTACTGCGTGCTCTCGGCTTCGGCGCCATTCCATTGCACGGTAAAGCTCCCCGATTATCATTAAAACCCCCCCTAATTAATTGAACTTTGCCAAGCTGACATGACTTTCACAGGACAACTCTCGCAGTCCGCCCGTCTAGGCGCTCTGAGCAAGTTCAAGGCAGGCTCTCGCGACATTCTTGTAGCCACCGACGTGGCAGCCCGTGGTCTCGACATCCCCAGCGTGGACGTCGTCATCAACTACGACCTGCCCCAGGATTCCAAGACGTACATCCACCGCGTGGGAAGAACCGCCCGTGCAGGCAAGTCGGGCAACGCTCTAAGCATAGTCACCCAGTACGATGTAAGCGCATCCAGCCACTTTTCGTCCCCCCACAATCCCACCACCCACGAAGAAGAAGAGGAAGAAGAAGGAAAAGACAAAACGCAGACTGACTGACCCGCTTTCCTAACTCTCCAACAGCTCGAGATATGGCTGCGCATTGAGGCCGCGCTGGGCACGAAACTGACCGAGTTCGAGTCGGACAAGGAGGAGGTCATGGTGTTCAAGGCGCGCGTCGAGCAGGCGCAGAGGCAGGCCCGCACGGAGATGAAGAACTTGCAGGAGGACCGGGGCAACAAGGGCTCGGTGCTCAAGGGCCGTCGCGGGGGTGGTGCTGGTGGCCGGGGTGGCCGAGGAGGCGGTGCTGGTGGCAAGCGGAGTCGCGACCACATGGACAACGAGGAAGGTTAGAAGGAAATGTGTTGGCGGGGGGCGGTGGTGGTGAGTTGTGTGAATTAAGTACATAGCCAGTCGGACGAACTTGTGCCATAAACAATGTTATACCTTAAGACAGGACACGCCCGAAGCCAGATCTCAAGATATCTTCATGTGGTGCTGCACGAAACAGTCCGTTCTTCATTCGACAGTCGTCTGACAGCAAGCATGGATAACACATAGGCAGCAACTCGGAATCATCCATGGATATTTTGAAGGCTGCGCAGTACCTAGCTTGACAAGTGTCGTTGTTTAGCGCATCGCCTCTGTGTGGTGGTTCACTCGAGAGGAAGTCAGTCATATGCAGACGTGCTGCGGTCCATGCCTCCCTGGACGAATATCCTTTTCGATCTCGGTGAGCGCAGCATAATTCGGAAAAGCCTAGTGAAATATCCTCACACAGCTCACTTTTGCTCTAAAATGCATTCTCCGTTTCACTGCATTCGACGCAAGGCGTTCCAAAGCCTTACCCCGAACCGCTAGCATGCTGCGAAAAGACATCAAGCACACACGGCATACACGGCATACACGGCACACAGCAAAATACCCGGTCCTGGCACGCAGAGCACTGGTCAAACTCACCCGAAATGACCACCGCCGAAGCACTGCGCAAGGCCATTATCCAGAGTCCGACTCAGCAAAAGGGGATGAGAGAGGGGGAGTGGCCCAACAACAACCCTCTTCAGTACGTACTTTCCCCAGGTTTTTCGGCGACTCCACTCAACCCCCGACCGCCGCCATCGTCCCAGATCGCACGGCCTCGGGCCGCAATGCGTCGGTCCCCAGGGGGCTGGCATCCACACGGACCTGCAGGTCAGTGAGTCAGGCGACCTCATTCGGACTGTGCAATTCGATTGGGGGAAAGCTATGTATTTGTTTCTTGTTTTACATGTGGTTCTCGATGCTTGGACTTCCTTTCCAGGTCAACCTGTGGTTGACGAGCGACAATATTCACCACGAGAATCCACGGGCGCTGGTTCACGAACGAGGTCTTATTACTATGGGCTCGAACGGCGATGCCGGGCGATATCGTCTAGCGACAGCCGTGGCGTAACGCCTGCCAATGTGAGGAAGAAAGTCTATGTCACGCCCGCCTCTTGGACTAGGTACAGAAGCACAGGGCCCGCCACAAGCACAGCTTCACTCCTCGTCATCGTCGTCGTCGCCATCGGCAGCAACCTTGGAGCCATTGGTACCCGACTTTGGTGCGTCGGCAACGTCAAGCTTACCCTTGCTGGTCTCCTCGACCTCGTCTTCACCATCGTCGTCGCCTGCGTCTCCTTCCTCTTCGTCGTCCTCCTCGGCGACGTCTTCCTCGTCGACATCTTCGTCTTCACCGCCCTCCTCATCGTCAACTACGGGTACCGGCTCGTCCGACTTGGCAGCCGTTTTAGCCTTCTTCTTGGGAGGCGCTGGGTCAACTGCGTCGGGATGCGGTCAGCTGGAGTCTGTATATCCGGGCGCGACGATCAAACCGAGCCTGCCCCTTCCTAGTTCTGCTAGAAATAATGGGATTGGCTCGCTAAGCATGATGAGGATAACTCACCTTCCTCATCGTCCTCGGCAGCTTGCTCGCCTTCTCCCTCCTCGAACTCGTCATCGTCATCATCCTCGTCGACTTCTTCATCTTCACCACCATCCGTGTCTTCGTACCTGATGAGGGGAGTCGCATCAGCTTCTGCACGACGCTAAAGGAGACAACCCTGCGCCATGATGGAGACGGCTCGAGCTCGTCTTCAGACCCATGTTTGGACCTGGAGGGGCGCTTGTTGTCTGTATGCACGAAGGAGGTTGCCTCCCGGGGAGGAACACGGCGCAGGGGGCCTTCCAGATGCTCAGCGGGGCATACTTACTCCTCTTCCTCCTCACTCTCGTCGCTGGGAAGAGCGACAAGCTCCTCGTCGTCTTGCTTTCTCTTGCGGGTCGACATGGCCACTGTGGGAATACTGGTGTGTTTTGGAAAGTGTCGACAGAAATCGAAGGGGCAATTTGGCGCAGAGACCGGCAATAAATACGCAGGGGGCACGCAGGACGGCTTACGGGAACAGACAGGCAGAGGAAGGCGAAGGGGAGAGCAGAAGGGGAACGACGGACGCGGCCGGGAGCTGGGGAGAGACAACTGGCGGCTGGGAGGGAGTATGGCAGCGCTGACTGGCAGGGAGCTGGCCTGCCCAGCACCGGCTGGTGTTGGCTGAATTGGAGGGCAAGAGGGGAAGCTCCGAGAGCTCGATGGCGTGTCCGCCTGCCCGCGGGGCGAGGCTGCTCCCTGCTTAGACTCCTCGCAGCACTTGCTTGTGTCGTCAACTCCCTACATAGCTTCGTGTGCGCGGCCGGCCCAAGCCGGACAATAGCTGGCAAGGTTCCTCGCGCGCGGCCGTGAGCCGGGGGAGTACCTCATGCACTATCAGCCAGAAACCTGCCTGGATCGGCCGCGGCGCGCGGCGCTGAGGGGCCTCGTCCAGCAACGCAACTCTAAAAGCAAACAGTGGCCGGCCGGGCGCCTCGAGCACCTTTGCTGATGCGACGCCGCTGAAGGGGCTGGGCGGGCGGCCACTTGCACTTCCAAGGTTCTCACCCAACTTGCCGAAAGCAGTAAGGAGCTTGGACCACACGAGTGCTCAAGTGGGTGCGCGAACAGCCAGGTCTGGTCTGCCCGGGTTTCGTCAGCGCTCCACTGGCTCGATTGGAGTCTGGCCAGCCCCCTCTCTTTCTCTGCTCAGGTCTCAAGCGCTCGATTTACTGAGCGGAAGAGCTTGTGCCTGCTGTGATTCATCAGCATGAAAGACAGAACGCAATCTTGGCAACACGTCGATGGTGCTTACTTATTGCCATGCCAGATATCATGGCTGGATCACCCGTACTCTGTACTGTAGGCGGCGTTGTGCATGGCGCTTGTGTAAGCGTATGTGTGAGCGACTTTCTGGTTTGGTTGCAGGCGCATACGCAAATAGTTTGTGATCGTGACGATGAGCACTGCGCTAAGCCCAGGCAAGTTCCTTGGTGGAAAGGTGCCGTCACGACACGATATCAAAAAACACAATCGGACATAGGAGAGTTGCAGTATCAACGTCGGCGTCAGATTGCGCGCAGTGGAAATGTGGTCTGTGGCGTTTTGCAACTGTAAGGTCTTCCCTGTGTTAATTGTCTCGCAATTTCAAGTCCAAGAACACATTGTCAGCACAAATTACTTGCCGGTATCGCCGGAAGCATCCTGGGAACATAACCCGTGAACACCGCGGCTGTATAGCGAGACTGATAACGTAAGGAGGGAGTCGACCGTCGAATCACTCGTGCGATAAGCTCGAGATGTTGCTGCCTGTACTGTTCCAGCACCATCAACTGGTTGCTCAATACCGCAACCCTGTCCTAGGTTGAATGAGGGAGCTAGGCTGCTAGGTACGGCCCTGGCAAAGGTTGTGAGACAGTCTTTGCGAACTAATTACTGGAAGCCCTGCACCGAGACCTGGTCCCCTGAAGTGGTGGCGGTGGAACATGGGTACCTCTCGCATCAGCTGCGCCTTGGCTGTTGGTGGCGTGGACTACTGCGCAGTTTTGGTCTACACCATGCGTCCACGCGGGAAGCAAGACGCGTCTTGGAGAAGAAACGCGAGGTGGGGATTCAAAGCCACCCCGAAATGACCGTCAGACACCACCTGCGCCAGTCCGGGTCTGGGATGTCGATATACAGACCAAGGCAGGGCGACGATCACCAACAAACCACGAATCATGACACTCAAGTTGACGAGGTAGATCCGGCCAAGTGAGCAATGGCAAAGGGCAAGCGAGATTTTAAAATGCAGCGCATGGCACTGAGGAGCAACATGCCGCGAATGAGGCCTGCGCCGGAATCGTGGCAGTTGCGACTGCGCGCAAAAAGATGCGTATCGCCATGGTGGCGTAACTCAACCCCATTGCTAATGTCAACCCTGCCACTGTGGGGTAGTGCGTGCCTGGTAGCAGTTCCATGGGTACGCGTAGCGTACCTCGGCCAAGGCAGGAACCTTGGAATCATGTGCTGGAGGCGCACCAACTGGCAGGCACATCAGCAGGCGGAAGTCTGGTGTGTCACCCCAAGACCTCTTCCACAAGTCTTACACCCCGCTATTTTCAACCCAGACCGTGTTTCAAGCAAACATGACCATGAGCATGCAAATGACAGCCACTGACGGTGCAGTGACGATTCCGCCGACTCGAGCGAGGCACCTCATCCCGGCAGTGGACCTCGATCAGCACGCTAAGCACGCCCTCTCAGCCGAGGTCCATATTCGTTGCTGATTACGTTCCTGGACTCCAACTGCAGTGAATACAGGGTGGGAAGCACACCTCTCGTTGCATGCTTGAGTTCTGGCCACATGCAAGGTACTGGTCAATATCCAAAATACACGGCGAACTTGTAGCGCCTTGATAGGCTTGTTTGGCGGAGAGCTCGCCGATCCATGCATTCTAGCTTGACTGACCTGTTCCAAGATGGCGGCCTTGGAAGCTTGCAATGGTGCAGCAGCAGATTCCAACCACAGCTCCGCCAGCGAAGTGAGTCAACTCGCGCATTCCATGGGGGATCGATCGTTGGCCATTTTCACCACCTGATTGTATGCATGGTGAAGGGTGCAGTGGCATGAGCTCGACACCTCACAACCAGGCACGCCCAACTCCACAAGCCATGACCGAAGCCCCTTCACAACATCCACTACAGGAGCACGAAATAACGAAGTAATGGTGATGAGCAGCTGAATCACTTGCAGGACTTGCGGACGGGCCAAATTTTACGGCGCGCCGGGTCCGGAGCCGCTGACCCGTAGCCCGGGATTAACCCTGAAAAGTGACCAGGGTTGGGATGTGGACCAGGGCAACAAATGAGTTGCGCTTCCTTTTCTTTTCCTCTTTTGTTTACTTTGAGACGCATTGACCAATCGCAATGCATGGTTAGGGTGAAGCTGCAGAACGGTCTTCACCCGCGTGGCCGAAGCATGGCCACAAGCTGAACCGTTTTCTATCACCGACCGAGGGTCGAGATCATCCAATCTACTTGTCATATGCAATTTGTGGACATTGGTCCCTGCAGAAACTAGTGCGCGAGCGCATGGCGCTGTTCCTTGCCCGAACACCTCGAGGCACCTGTGTTGTACGAACGATCTGCAAGGTGCTTGTGTGATCCTCTGGGAGAAAGGATGCCGCCCTGGGCCGGCGAAAATTTGTTCAATGTCGATCAGTTAGGTTGCCAGACCCGTGCAGGCAGCAGGAAGAAGAAAACGCAGTGCAGGCCATCAACAGCAGCTGGTCCGTGACGGGCGGCCGAGCACGCGAGGGAAATTGGCTTTCCGGCTGCTTCCAGAGGGGGTCCTCATTTGTGCCGTCATTGTTGGCCTCACGTCGCTCCTCCTGTCAATTGACCCGTCACGGCCAGGGATCGGATGAGCCGGTGCGACGCCGAGATCGTTTCACGTTGCGGAGATCGACCCAGCCGGGATGGCCATCATATGCGAGGACGACGTCGACCCAGGCAACCGGTGCTCTAACGGAATCGGGTCGTGCCTCCCAGCATGAATGGGCAATAAGAGGCATGATTAAGCCTCGATCCATGCTGGAAACAGGGCGAGGGCGGGAGTCTCGTGGATGCATTCAATTTGCATCCCAGTGGGCAGACCGGGGTGTGCTGCTTGGGGGGCTCGCCATTTTTCAGGACGGCACAGGTGAGGCGACCAGGCTGCCTTGTGCCTGTGGCTGGCGGGGTCGCACGCGCAGATACACGGTTCGTGCCGCTTGCTGCAGCCAAGTGCTGGTGTTGCGGGAGTTCACGATGCACGCACGTACGTTGCTTACCTTAAGGTATGCATCGATAGGCGTCGAAAGGAGACCATGGTCCCATCATCATGCATGTACGCGCACGAATCGAGCAGGTTCGTGAGACAGCAGCATGCCACTGCCGGTCCGCCTCCGCGGCCAGCCACTAATACAACGAGCGCAGCAGCACCACAACAACTGGCTGGTCGACAGCACACATGATCGGTTCGTGCTCTCCCTTTGCGCGAGGCTGTATGGAGAGTTGGCGATGTGCCCGCTGAGACAACCCGTGCTTGGCACACCGTCGAGCTTGGAGCAGCGAGCAGGCAGGCAGGCAGGCAAGCAAAAAAAGCCGCCAGCGTGGCCTGGCTCATGCAGAAATCGCACAGCATTGGAGAATGGATTGGCGCCATCCATCCATTGTGCTTAGTTGTGCGCTAAATGACTGACCCCGTCTGGGCCGGCCAGGAACTTCTCGCACCGGGGCGGGCTGCCCGTCCCAGGGGTGGGGTGGAGCTTGTTGGCCTTGACTTTAGCCTCCACGGGGCCGGTCTGTGTGCCCATGAGGCAGCAAGCCTCACGGGTTGGGAGGACGAGGTTTGTTTCTGCCAGCTGTGGGCGTAGCCAGTAGCCCAGCCTCAACGTTGCCGCATTGTTTTCCCCATTTCGCTCGTCCGGCACCCGCGCGGTCCAAGGCCATCGACGATCCTATTTCTGCACCCGTCATTCTTTGCGTTCCCTCTGGGCGGCACTGTCGATCCTCCCCTGCTGCATACGCACAATCTAAGCCAAGTGCCGTGTTGAGGCGCAGGACAGGCTGCAGTCAAGCCCTCGTTGAGCTTGTGGCGCCCAGGTACGCCTCTGTCGCACGCAAGGGTCACAAGTCAGGTACACCCGCAGCCGCAGCCCACTCGCCGGCGTCTTCCAAGGCCGGGCCATCCACCACACGCAACCCCTTGCAGCGCTTCCGCCTCGATCACGCCCGGGCTTTGCGGGCTCGTTGCAGCGAGCAGGGCTCCGAAACCTGACGAGTCTCTTAGGTCATTGCCTGCCCCATGCCGCCGGCGCGTCCATCTCCTTCCGACGCTCATCCTCCGCCCCAACATCGTCGACGACATTTACCTCGCCAGCGGCCTCCCTCGTCCTCGAAACCTAGACTCGGTAGCACACGCCCGGTCCGCTCCTTCCCAACAGTCCAGGAGCCTCGGAAGCAAACTGCTCCTCCAGCCACGGCACTCTCTCGACTTTTCACTGGGCGGACGCCGTCCTCAGAGCCGTCATGGCTCGGGCGATGCAACCAACGGATGCCCTCGGCACTGCCTACCATGCGGGCACTCCAATGGACGACTCTCTTCACAGCCATGCCTTCCTGGTGCAAGAAGAGCCCCCGAGTCCTCGAACCCGCCGCGCCTTCGTCCGCAGGTCTCGCAGCCTGAAGCTGCCGTCCAATTATACCATGTACTCTTCCAAGAACTTTGCTCCGCGGGTCGACTCGAGGCGGCAGGCAGCGTCGGCATCGAATTCGCCGCAGGGAAGCCCGACACACCGTTCTTTCGAGCAGGCCGATTACAGCGACACCATGATCTCCTCCGCAGCCTCGACGTCATTCACGCAAAACACGCGATCCTCAAACTCGACAGCGCTAACCGCCATGTCCTCCCATACCGACGACTTCACGTTGCCTTCGCCGGTCCCGTCGCCAAGGTGGGATTCTATGGGCTACAAGCAACCATACAACACCCATGACTACACACGGTCGTCTCCGATCGAGTCCCACGATTCTTCATTAGCCTGGGAAACTCGAGATGAATTCCCTACGATGTATTCTCAGCCGAGCTCCAGAATCGTCAGCGCCGAATCGGCACCCGTCGAAAATTTCTCTCGGCCGAGGAATGCCAGCATAAAACAGCAACAATGGTCAGACCCGTCCAGGCTGCGGTCAGCTTCTAATATTGTTCCTGAGCATGACGCACCCAGCGCCGCCGCAAGGCACCGGGATCGAGGGCAATCGAATTCATCGAATCAATCTGCGGCCACATATGCATCTCTGCCAACACGAACAGCTCCTGATTACTACCAGCGTGATGCTCACCGTGGTCGTCCGGCACGTCCTAACCCCGCTCCCAATCGGCAACTATTACCATTTTCTCGTGCTGAGAGCAGTGGCCCAACTTTTGCACGTGACCCCTTGCCTCGCATGGCATCTATGCCTTCTGACGAGCTTCGGTCGAGCTACCGGTCTCAACTTACCTCTTCTACCGTGCCAGGTACTTTTGCGACAGAAACTGAGCGCAGCAGTGTCCTGACCAAGTACAGTTCAGTGCTATCGGTGTACGACGATGTTGACGATGGCTTCAGCGTGGACGATGTTATGGGCATGTACGAGAAAGGCTTTGACGACTCTGGCGACGAGGACAATGGCGTGGATGACTCCAGACCTACCACGAGCAGAACTGAGCAGGTCAGCAGCGGCTCAACATTTCACGGCATCGAGGACGTATTACCACAACCGCCCAGGATCGGTGGGCCGCCAGAGGACGAGCCTCTCGTAAGGGACTCCGCAGCATTCTTTCGTCCTTTAGCGGAGTCGGAACAGCAACCTCAACAGCCGGTGCAAGCTGTCCCCGAGCCGAAGACTCAACCGATCGATGATAGTGATGATGACGACGACGACTTTCCTTTTCGGCCCGCCGTACGACAGCAGACCAACATGACAACGACAGCCGACCAAGATCGAGATCGGTACGGGTTCCGGAAGAAGAATCAATATATCACCGAAGAGCAGTATGACAATTGGAATGGCGGCTATTCGGAATATCTTGCGCGGCGCAAGAAGAAGTGGAACGCGCTACTGAAGGAGAACGGGCTCATGACGGACAATCCCAACCGATTCCCGCCACGTTCAGCAAAGACGAAGCGATACGTGCGGAAAGGCATTCCCCCGGAGTGGAGAGGGGCGGCCTGGTTCTACTATGCTGGCGGTCCAGCCATTGTTGCCCAGCACGCGGGACTTTACGATAATCTACGCAAGAAGACTGCCAAGGCCGTCGACGTGGAGGCGATTGAGCGCGACCTGCACAGGACCTTCCCGGACAACATCAAGTTCCGGTCTACACAGCCGGCGACCGGCTCCTCGGAAACAAACACAGCCAATGGGCCTGCGAGTGCAAGTCAAGAAACGCCCATGATTTCCTCGCTACGCCGGGTCCTGCTTGCCTTCGCGATATACAATCCGCGTATCGGCTACTGCCAGTCGCTCAACTTCCTTGCGGGCCTGCTTCTCCTGTTCGTTGAGAACGAGGAGCAAGCATTCTGGCTGCTGAATATCATCACGCGCGTCTACTTGCCGGGCACTCACGAGGTTAGCTTGGAAGGGGCCAATGTTGATCTTGCAGTGCTCATGGCCCAGATCCGGGACACGATGCCCGCTGTCTGGAACAAGATTGGCAGCGAGCTGGATGGCACGGAAGCTGCCCGACCTAGCAGGTCCCTCAGGGGCAAGAAGAAGGCAGATCTTTCCACCCGGCTGCCTCCCATCACCCTCTGTATGACCCCTTGGTTCATGAGCTGCTTCATCGGCACCTTACCAATCGAAAGTGCTCTGCGGGTTTGGGATGTATTCTTCTATGAGGGTTCAAGAACCCTTTTTCGGATTGCGCTCACAATCTTCAAGACCGGCGAACCGGAAATCAAGGCAGTCAAGGATCCTATGGAGATCTTCCAGACTGTTCAGACTATCCCTCGAAGGCTCATCGACGCGAATGTCCTCATGGAGTCGTGCTTCAAGCGACGAAACGGCTTTGGTCACGTCAGCCAAGAAAGCATCGAACAGAAGCGGCAAGAACGGCGAGTACTCGTCAACATGGAGAAGGAAAAGCTGGCTCGCGGCGATGCCAACGACTTCGATGCCGCTGAGGCAAAGAGGAAACCCACCATCTTCAACAGGCGCAAGTGATGTAGCTGCGCAGTCCTGCCAGGGTTGCAGCAACACTTCGACCATGACTGGACCTTGGTCTTTTTTTATTTCTTTTTTTGTTCTACCATCCACCAACTACAACCATAGCATTTCTTTTACACTCTACTTTCACGACCTCACGGCCTGCGGGTGGTATGAACGGGGATCCAGGGCATATTCAGGGAGAACTACGGGAAAAGAGGCATCAGCATTTTTGGCATTTAAAAAATCATTCAGGAGCATGTACTGTACAAAAGCTTTGTCGTTCTGCAAGACTTTCTGTCAATTTTCTTTTATGTTTAGGAATCACATCTGTCTATCAAGGAGGAGCTTTGATAGACGACCGGACACGACACCAGATACCATCAAACGACCTCCATCGCGAGGCGCGCGCTTCTGAATCTCATCTTTTTATTACTCCTTCTGCATGTCTCGGATGGACTGCCTGTTCCTTCACTAAGATGCGACAAGTTGAGTGGTCCAGCTTGTTGATGTAGGGGAGCCATCTTTGCTATCGTGCAGGGGCTTGCATTCCCCTGATCAAACGATCTTGATACCTGGGATCAATGCCCGCCTTGGCAGTGTTTCATGACTTGGAACAACTGACCCGCGCTTTCCCATTGCCTGAACAAAGCCTCCAAGCTTGACGATTGCCTTGGCGGTATCGATAAACCGGCAACACCTGCGGGCCCCGCAGCCCCCCACTTCAGCTCGTGCCTGGAGCCAGAGCCGGGGGGTGGGTTGCTGGTGGTGCCTGAGATGTGCGTCACTGCTGAGCCATTCGCAGTGCACGCCGCTGCCCTTCCTTCCGTGCCGTCAACCTCCCTGCTTGACTACTTCTTCCACTCTTTGCACAACCATTAATCTTGGTATACATCACAAGCTTGAGCCTGAGTACAATTCTGATTACCATCGTGACTCAGCAGCAAGAGACGACTGCTCTATTCGAGCCACCTGAAGCCGGCACGCCGTTCCCGGGGCCTGAGAGGGGTTCATCCCAGCTTGACCTGGCTATCACTATCACGAGAAGATAGTCCTGTGTACACAGAACCGACTGGCCTCTTTCGCACATCCACCGAGCCCAGAATGTCGTCCCAGAAGCGGATAAACAAGGTGCGTTCTCCAAGTCTGGCCTCAGATCACATGCCCCGACCTTTTGTATCTCCAAGAACCTTAGTCTCCCGGATGCCTTCAAAGTGCAGCCACGCACCCATTACTGACATGCAAATCAAAAGGAGCTGGCAGAGTGCACAGAGTCCCCTCCCGACGGGGTGACCGTCGCCCTCGCCAACGACACCGACGTCCACCAGTGGACCGCGACGCTCGCGGGGCCGCCCGGGTCCGCCTACGAGGGCGGCACCTTCACGCTCAAGATTGTCCTGCCGCGGGAGTACCCCTTCAAGGCGCCGCAGGTCAGCTTCCAGACGCGCATCTACCACCCAAACGTCACCAACGACGAGCTGGGCAGCATCTGCCTCTCCGTGCTCAAGTCGGAGAACTGGAAGCCGGCGTCCAGGATCAAGGGCGTGCTCGAGAGCGTCAGGCAGCTGCTCGTCGAGCCCAACCCGGACGACCCCCTCGAGGCGAGGATTGCGGACGAGTACCGCTCGCAGAGGGATGAGTTTGTCAAGAACGCGCGGCAGTATGTTGAGAGGTACGCCAAGGCGTAGAGGGAGGTGCCCAGAGCTTGGGCTTGGGCTGGACAATAGGGGCCTTGGGACTGAAGCAGACAGCAAGCAGGGTGGACTACATGTGCCCGCATGCGTGCAAGGCTCCATACGAGCCTCGATGTCGACGGGTTGACCCACAGCAGGAATGAGAAGGAGTCAAACACGGCCAAGGCGTGGCTATCACGTCGAGTAGCGTCGTCACCATTTAGGATGACAATGGTCTGAGCGGGGGAGACCGACGTTCGTATATGTTCCCCATCGGATATGATCTCCAACTGTTGGTTGATCAAGCTTATTATTGAAGCACACAGCATGTGTGCTAGAACGTTGATACAATCATGACTTTATGACAACACGGCCGAATCGACCCACTGCAAACTGTACCCGAACTCCTTGCACTTACGCCGTGGTGATATGGACGATTCTTCTTGAACGTGATTGACCATTGGTGGCAGGAGGACTCGCTGGATGCTTTCCATTTACAGACTGTAACTCCGCCGTACGATCTACAGAAGTGAATTGATGAGTCCTATCGCTCTTTTTACGAGTAAACCAGATAAAAAATGACAAGGGGGTATCGTCGACAATAATCTACCGAGACAATCTTCGCCACGCACACACTCTAGGTTGGTGCCAATCCCATGTAACGCCACAATGATACTTTCAAAAGGAAGAACAGGAAACATGACAGACGGGATGAAAATATGGGGTTTGGGGGGGGGGGGGATGTGCCTGCCGTCTCAAGTATCCCAGTACCCTTCTCCTTCTTCGTAGTCCTCCTCGTCGTAGCCGGGGTGCTCCATATCTTCCCCGTCGTCGTACGGTACCGCATCTTCTTCTTCCTCCTCATCCTCCTCTTCTTCTTCAGCAGTGGCGGCATCCTTCTTCTTATTCGCGTCCGCCGCCTTATCTTGCTGCTGTTGCCGGATGGTGGCTGAAGCAGTAGCAGTGCCACGCGAGTCATCCGGCTGCGGCGTGCCACCGACAACACTGTTGGCCCTGCTGGTCCGACGACTCATGTCGTCGCGGTCCAACACGGTCGATGCGACGGACCCGGGCCCGCGCTTCTTGTTCTTGTCAAAGATCATGTTGATCGCATCGTAGTTGATACGCCTAGAATATCCGCGGCGCTCGGCGACCTGCATTGCCGCCTCTTCCGCCGTCGACGCCGGGCTCTCCTGGCCTTCGCCCATGCGGGGCCGCTTGGGCCGGTTTCTGCGGCGCTTGGGAGGGCCCAGAGCCTCCATCTGTTTCCGGTAGATCTTTTCCTGCTGCTCGCGGAGGTACGCCTTGTTTGAGTTGAGCCAGATGACCTCTTTGATCTTGACCTGCTCGGGAGGCAGGACGCAGTTGGCAACCTCTGGGTCGTCATCAAATTCGTGCTCGCCGATCGTCTCGTCGTCGGGGACCTGGACGCGCGGGAGCAAGGAGCGCGCCCACTCGGCTTTCACCTTGGCTCTGAAGGCCGCGGACGCGAGAGCGCGCTGGTGCTCGTCCGAGTGCGGGTCGCTGATGACCTCGTTGATCTGCTTCTCCAGCTCGGCCTCGTCGCGCTCCCACTCTTCGTCAAAGTTGAGTGAGAACTCGTCTTTCTGCTTGCGCTTTCGGCCGCGCCTGCCGCCGGCCTCTGGCATTGGCTCGGGTTCCGCCTCTTCCTCTTCTGCAACGGCTTCGCCATGGAGTTGCGCCAAATCATCAAGGGCTTCTTCGGCATTGGGATCCTCCGCAGTAAGCCCGGCAGCCACGTCCGTCGCGGCAGTGATGCGCGGCGCCGGTTTTGGCACGGTATTAGGGTCGAACGGTGCGATTAGCTCGCTGCCCTCGCTGTTGTCGTACGATCGTGGCAAGAAATCCGAAACCTGGTGCGGCAACTTGGACATGTCTGGCTCTGGCCGTGGCACTGGCGGTGGGAGCATGTCTCTGCTGACTGACGCACGCGCGGAGGAGATGATGTCCTCACTAATGTCCTCAATCATCCTCCGCTTTCGTCCGTTTTCTTGTCGCTCCTTCTCTTGCTTTTCCTTCCACTCAGTCGAGTTCTTGTAGAAGGAGGGTGGATCGTGCCGAGACTCGAGGAATTCCTGATTAAGGAAATCCTCAATTGTCAAACTACTGCTCTCCGTGACGTTGAACTCGTCCAAGCGCTGCTCGATGGTGGCGGTGGTGACCTTGACCACGTACACAACTTCCTTCACAGTCCGACGGAAGTTCCACATGCGGGCCGCCATCAAAAGACAGGCACCGCAGATACCTGAAGGCCGACGACCCATGACCATCCAGTCGCGACCCATGCGTCGACACAACTTGATCGCAGATTCGGCCACGTTGTTTGTGAACTCGCCGAAGTCGAGCTTGTCGGCGAACCGAAACATAAGATCTTCAGGAATGATGGATCGTACGTTGTGGTTCTGGAACGAATATATGTTGTTCAGGTCCTTGAAAACATGACCAAGCTCGTATACGTTGATCTGGATGCATTGTTAGTGGGGCCGACCGTAGATTCGCGCGAAGGAGCCCATACCTTGACGATTTCGGCAAAATCAATCAACATGATCTGACAGCGATCCTCTCGCCTGCAGGCTGTGTAAAGGCACACCACTATCACTTTCTCCATGCCACGGCCCTGGATCCAGTTCTCGTTCATGGCCAGCTTGAAGATCTGGATGGCAATGTCAACTGTACTTGAATTGATACTCAGTGCATGAGCAAGCTCGTTCATCCGGTGTTTGGCTGCATGACAGGTCAGCACAGATTTAATGGCGAAAGATCTTTCGGGATCGGTGACTCACCATCACGGGCTGTTCTCTCCCTGTTGTCTGCGATGCCTCCCATCCGCCGAAACCCGGGCCCCATGCTCCGGGCTGTAGACTGGTCGGCTCCAACAAACTGCCCCTGTACCATGGCCGCGCCAGACGATGTCTCTCCGAACTGGACCTCGGCCACGATGTTGGACGCATCGATTTCACGACCACAGGCGGTACAGTAGCCCTCGCTGATCGGGGCTGAGGGGTTGGGACATCGCGGATTGGGACACGACTTGCGAGGCGCGGCGACGACGTCGGCCGCCGCCGATGCAGCGCTCTTGCCCGTCGTGCTGGCGGCTGTCGAGGCATTCTTGGACTTCTCGATCTGGCCAAGGGCCTCGCTAATCCGACTTGCTCCGGCGACTCCTCGCGGCTTGATTTGGAAGCCGCTGCCGGGCTTGTTGAGCTTGCTGCTTCTGATGAAGGAAGACATTATGATGATGATGTAAGAAGGGTTATCTCATGAGAACTAAGAAAGATGTCGCGATGCCGTTGATGCGCCCGCTGTCAACAGGCTGGCCAGGCCGGAGGTAGTAAAGGTTGAGAGCCAGAAACGGCCTCAGAACAGGTGAATAGGTGTACCACGCCACGCATGTGCCGATTTGAAGAGGTCAGTACCATATAAGAAGAGACCGACACATGTGACGCTTGAGAGGAAGGCCGGCATCTGCGCCCAGTCGCGTGTAAGTCAATGTGGATGTGAGATAGGTGAAGGCGTCTGGTGTCGCGTGAAAAAAAGAGGTCGAGGTGCGGGCCAGGGATTCCCGCGGTGGAGCAGGCAGACGAGCCGGACATGGTTTTCTTAGTGGGGTTGCGCGACGACCAAACACAAAGTTGCCCCCTGCCCGGGGGAAACGGCTGGCCATGAAATTCTGCACATGGTTCGAAAACCAGTGTTGGCAACTTTTCGTCCGCAAACAACGGCATCGATCATGACGTGGCTTGAGGATGCTCGCAATGCAGTTTGAGCTGGGTAAAAATGCGCAAAGAGTGGTCCGTATGTTTTGTGTTACGCTCGCCTCTGACATGGTTCAGGTCATGTCCTGGTTCTCTGCGTGAGCACTAGGTCATCTCTAGAGTCGTGGTGGGCGACGACCTCATTCCGTTTGCGTGTTGAAACACTCTTCTCACCAACGAATGAATTGCTGGAGCGCTGCATTGGCCATGAGAGCCAATCCACTGCTGGGTCAGACCAGGACAAATGAAAAAAGCTTTGCGAGGCCTTCATCGCATATGCTACCGCTTCCAATCCTTCATTCACACTATGAGTCCATTCGCGTCTCGAGGTCAGCATTCATTTGCCTTACCTAAGCCGGCCTGCCCTGCCCCCACAGTGAATTGCAGGGTCCACCGGGAGCACGCTTGACGTCGCGCTGTCAGGACACCTTTCCGCCAGCAATTGGGAGCACAGTGATGCAGAGCTGTAGCGTGCAGTCCAGGGTCCGGCCAAGCATCACAACCCTCCACGACGCTCAACAGCTGGCCTGAAGTAGCTCCTCTTCACTCATTACTTCAAAGACACAAAAGTCAGCCCAACTGCCGCAAGCGAGCGACGCAACCACCAGCCACCATGCTCTCCGGCCTCCAGAACCCGCGGCAGCTGGCCGCCCAGGTGCTCAACTTCGGCCTCATCCTGTCGACAGCTTTCATGGTACGCGCTCTCTCTCTCTCTCCGGCCTTACATTTGACACTCTACCACTTCTCCGAACCGATCACTTACCCTCCCCCTACACAAACAGATGTGGAAAGGCATCTCCCTGGCCGCCGACTCCCCCTCCCCGATCGTCGTCGTGCTCTCCGGGTCCATGGAGCCCGCCTTCCAGCGCGGCGACCTCCTGTTCCTCTGGAACCGCAACTTCCTGGCCGAGACCGACGTCGGCGAGGTCGTCGTCTACAACGTGCGCGGCAAGGACATCCCCATCGTGCACCGCGTCGTGCGCAAGTTCGGCAGCGGCGAGCACGCGCGCCTCCTGACAAAGGGCGACAACAACGTCGCCGACGACACGGAGCTGTATGCCCGCGGGCAGGACTACCTGGAGCGCAAGGACATCATCGGCAGCGTGGTCGGGTATATCCCATTTGTCGGCTACGTCACAATCATGCTGTCCGAGCACCCGTGGCTCAAGACGGTCATGCTCGGTATCATGGGTTTGGTGGTCGTTCTGCAGCGGGAATAGAGCTCTCGGTGGCAGGACTTGGTGGACAAAAAGGTGGAGAAGCATCAATCATGTTATTCAGCGATTGTGGCCATCTGTGGCGTATACCCATTATGAAACGCATCAAAGTGCTGCAAAGCTGCCCCGATGGCCTCGATTCTTGGGCCTAATAAGACGAGCCGCGAGAATGCTCTCGAAGCATTCTCAAATTTCTGCTCGAGTGACTGAATCCCCAACTATTATACATGCCGCCTACTGCCCATCTGACAGCACCCTCGTCCAGTCGAACTTGCGCCACCTCTTCTGGAATCCTTCTACTCTGGGGTCGCCCTTGTGCCAGCGCCCTTGCTTCTTGATGATGTGAGGTTCGACGTCCATCATCCCCCCCAAGATCTCCCGTGCAAACAAATCACCGCGAGGCCAGCAGTTGGCGTCCTCAACCACATGGCCCAGCCCGCCATCCAGGGTGAACCACGCATGGAAGTAGGGCATCTCCTTGGCAATCGACCGCCGGAACGCCAGCTTGCCCATCCCATCCCTTGCGCGAGCACCAGTGTCGATGATCTTTTTGTGCTGCGACCACTCCTCGTCGGCAGTGAGAATGGCTTCTTTGAAGAACGCCGGCGCCGTGTCGCCGAGGTCATATGGGATAGGCACAGCGACCATGGCGGCGTGCAGGTGTCGCTGTGGCGCCGCTGCGTTCTCGTAGAAGACAACCTCGCGCCCTTGATCGTGGTACATGCGTGTCAGGCACTTCATGAAGTTGCGAATCTCCTCCCACTCGTCGTCGTCGCACTCCAGCAAATTCTTGCGGTGCTGGATAGGGACGATGATTGCGCCACCTTCGCTGAGTTCTGGCTCTGTCTGCAGCGTCAGGTAGACGCGGGTGGCGAGGGATATGGTCGGGGCGATCGGCGGCTGGTCGCGATCCTCGTGGTGGCACAGCTGGCACTTGTCGAGGATCTTGTTAATCTTTTGGAACTCGTTGACTGCCGAGTTTTTGAGGTTCAGCTCAGACTTTTGCACGCGCTTCGCTAGCTTCTCGGCGTTCTCGTCCATGTACTCGAGGTCATTGTCGAACTTGCCGTCTTTGGCGATGCGTTCGGCCAGGCGCAGGCCCTCTCCGCCCACCTGCCCTTTCGTGCGGCGCTCCTCACGGATCATGTCTTCGATGCTCATGTCGTTGTTCTCTTCCACGAGTCCTCTCTCGCGGCCACGCTTGTTCTCGATGGCCTTTGCCTCACCTCTGTGTCCCGCCAGCAGGCGATTCTCCATGACATTGAGCACGACCGCTTCGGGACCCTTGGCCTGGAATGCCGCAGCAGCTTGAGCGTACTCGGCCTCGAGCTTCGCTGCGTCCGGGGCTTTCCTTAGTTTCGCCTTCATCATCTGAGCCCGCAGTCGGTTCAAAGTCGTTTGGTCGATCTGCGTCGCCACATGATCCGTAGGGTCATCTGGGATGGCGGTCCCCTGGTCCAGCGGAGTCGTGCGAGTCGGCGGCGTGGCCCTCTTCTTCTCATGCACACCCAGGTCGAGCTTCCTCTCCTGGAACAGCTCACCGCTCGGCTTCTCCTTCCCGACGTAACCCTCGCCGTACGTCTTCCGCCGGTCCAGCTCCATCTTCTCCTCCCGCGCGTCGTCAAAGTCCCGGAGGTTGCCGTAGCGCTCCATGGCCACGTCTTCCGGCGTGCGCCCGGTCTCCTCTGCCGTGCGATAGATTCTCCTCAGCTTCGTCATGCGCCAGTGGGACCCGTCGTCGCCGAACCGGTAGTCGACGTCGTGCTGCGCGGGGAGGTCGAGCTCGTCGAGCGACTTGCCCTCGTTCAAGGCCTGCAGCTCCTTCGCGTTGATCTCCCGCGACGAGATGAACCGCTCTGGCTCCTTCGGTGGGGGCGGCGCCGCCTTGGCCTGCTTCGCCCCCTTTTGTGTGTAGTCGATGTCGAGCGCGGACGGGGCCGTCATCCACGAGTCGCGTACTAACGGCTCGGCGTCCACCGCAGAGACTTCCTCATCTGGCAGAGGGAGGTCCTCTTTCGGGTCCGACGTCTTCACATGGCGACGCGACTCAGAGTGGCGGTCGTCGTGATGCCTGTCGCGATGTTCGCGCCTGCGGTGGCTTCGGTCGTGCTCATCGTCGTCCTTGGAATGCCTTGACCTTTTGTGGCGGTGTTGGTCGTCGTCACCCTCTTCATCGCCATCGCCATCGCCTCGCCTCTCTCGACGCTCATCCCGATGTGATCGGTGGTGTCTGTCACGATGGCGGTGTCCGTCGCGACTTCGTTCGGGAGACCGATCGCTGTGGTGGTGGTGTCGGTGCTTTTTTTGTCGCTTTTCTTCGGCACGCTCACGTTCAGCCTTCTCCGCCGCAAGAGACTTCTCAAACTCATCAAGACCGTCCATCGCAGTAGGGTCGCATTCGTCGGCTCATGCAGCTTCGATGAATGTTGACATTGCCTCCGTGTACATTCTCTGAAAAGGATTGGAGAATGACGACACAGCGAGAGCCGAAGCTGGAGAGCTTTCGACCACTGTGGGGCATGATCCACTATCGCGCAGCCAATTGTCTGTGCCTTAGCTGCAGGGAAGCTCAACGCCAGCGAATCTCGTGGGTCCTGGCATTATGCTGGCTTTCACAGCCTCACTTTCGGCCGAGTTCATTGGGTTGCGCAAGTGCTTCAACCAGCGACTACAATTTCGTGAGGAGAGGAATGCCACAGCGTATGTTTCTCAGACCACGTAGCCTCTCTCTAGACCCATGCCTAGTCTCCCCATACTACTTCAAACATGGGCACTGCTCGCTGGCTTGAGCTTTGACATCTTGTCTGGTGTCTTTGCACCACAGAGCCATAACAGGAGTACATTGCACGTGGATCAATACGTGGGTCATCAGGATTGATAGGGCTCACCAGAAGGGCAACATGACACTAAGCAGTCTGTTACGTCCATGTCTAGTTATGGTGGGAGTGTTGAGTAATAATACACGTGGTTCCAATCTGTTCTGTGCGAAATGGATACTCTGCAGGGTCTTTGTACCAACACAGTCATGGTCATGAAGACATGTGGCTGCCCATTTGCATGATTAGTGCCTCCAATCACTTTCCTCGTAGTCTTCATTCCTCCACGGGCCAACACAAAATACCTCTAATTGGGTTTACATGGGCGAACGAGGTGATGTCTCCGGTGTTCTCGCCATTTCGGTTCATTATCTCTAGTGCGAGGCATGAGGGGCAGCGGTCATTGTCTCACGCATAGCAATGATGCCATACACGTACGAGAAAACTAGAAAGTGTCAGTATGCTGACTAGAGCGCGGGTGGATCAAGCTCACTGCCAGGTGCCAAAGTCAACCAAGCGACACTTGCGGCGATGACAGCCTCCCACTGTTGGCCCATCAAGTCGGGGTCGAAGAAGAAGAGTCCTGAGTGGCCGGTGAGAAGCTTTCCGAACGCAGCCCAAGCGATATACACGCCGCTGGCGAAGATGATGCCGGCACTGTGCGCAGCGACGGGCTGTTCACAAGTTTATATCAATACTTGGGCGGCTGACTCTCATAAGTAAGCGCAATACCACTCACCGATTGTCTTCGCATGCTGTTCAGGAAGAAAATCTCAATAATCGCGATGAGCGAGGTGACGGTCCACAGATTGAGAATCACGAAAGGTTTAATGGCGTCCTCGTCGAAAAGACCCTTGTCTGGTCATGACGCATCGTCAGTCATGGATGACCTGGGTCCAAACGGAATGATCGAGGGAAATACCAGGATTGTATGCATCCAGGAAGTCGCTTCCACCAGGGCCTTGGTGACCGTGCGAGGGCATCTTTGGGATCTTGAATCCTCCGTGGCCCGCGGGGACCAGAACACCCCAATATACAATGCTGTTCATGAAGGCAAAGACGTGTGCGGTGGTGTAGAACATGCTGAAGAGATATCGGCGGTTGCGACAGGTGTCCCGAGCTGGGGGAGAGATGAACTGAATGACCTTGGTCTTCAGCCGGTGAGCTCCGCACTCCTCAGGGTCGTCTTCAGGAGTGCGAGGGAAGAGGAGATGCATTGTGGTCCAGACCTGTCACGAGTCAGTACGGCGCTGGATGAGAAGGTTGTGTCCTTTTTAAGCCCAACGAACCGCTGTGAGGTTGTGGTATGCCCAAAGCAGGACAAAAGAGACTGTTGAGAACTGGAAAGGGATTCGCCATTTAGTGTGTTCGTCATCCTGCTCGAGTTTGTACTTCAGGGCAAAGCCGAGTACAGTGGTGAGATATCCAGCAAGGACGAGACGGATAAACGTCAAGAGATTCTGAGAGATGAGACGCCAGGGCGAGTGGCAGGCTCGAAGATAGATGGGCTGCAATATACAAAGGTTAGTGACCAGGCCGAGAACGATATCGACGATGCACAACATGAGTTGTGGGTCAACCTACATGAGAATCCCGGGGAGCCGTCGCGGCACGCTCCGGGAGGAGTGGCGTCGTATCCGACATGGCTGTTGTGTTTGTGCGGTCAGATTGCTTGGCAATGAATTATGCAGGAGGAAGAGATGGTAAGGCTGGCCAATGCACTGAGCCTGATGTGATACGATGACCAAGTGAGCCAAGGTTGACGTCGAAGTGCAGTCGTCCAAGCCGAGTTGGTAGGTGTTTGCGAGGAGACTCCCAAGCCACGACGAACGCCTACGACACGGCGTGGCTCAAGACTTGAATCTTCAGTCAGGATGCGAGGAAGCAGGTACGATCCTCCATGGTCCATAGCTGGCAGGACCTCCTTCATGACTTTCTAGAGGCTGCCACTTGCCGGCTACAGCAGACTGAGCGACCGACGGACCTGCTGCCAGCGTCTGGTGCGACCGGACGCAACTGCCTCTCGACATGCTGCCTGCCTGCAGGGCGCACTTGCCACGAGCCTTGACATTGGTCAATGGACGCACAACCAGCACCTTTGCTAGGTGTTCGGAATGCAAGCGACGCTGCTCGACATCTAGATTGCCCCGGATTTCCTGTACAGTGGTATAAGGACTTGAATCACAGCTGCGAATGGCGTCGGCCCAAGCTCCCTCAGCCACTGAGAACTGAAGTAGCATCAGGTTTTGTAATTGCCTGAGAAGCTGGGGGGGATACCCAAACTGCTCAGCATGGGAAGCTGACCTTGGAGGATGAAGTGGCTGCCAGGAGGGAACACCCCATCGCTTGAGCCTGATTGCACCATCGTCTGTCTTGCGGTGTTTGACATGACCCTGACACAATCACATGGCGCCCATGTAGTCGCAGTCAGATCAGGAGCAGTACAGCTGAGAAGGCTGAAGAATGAAAAACATGTTTGCTAAAAGGTGATGCAACCAACAGCAGGCACGACTTGACCCTGGGAGATTCATTCAGGCTAGGAGCAATCTTCTTACAAAGGAGCAAGCAGGCCATCGCTGAATGCTGCCGATCAAAACAATACGACAACGCACTTCGTTTGCCCGTTCGGGATGGAGTTTTTCCCAGAAAGCACCGCCTTGGGAGGAGTTTGGAGACGAGCAGTGAACCACTCTCGAAGAGCATGCGCGACCACTGCGTATCACTTTCAACTTCGCTTCCTAGTAATGGGAAAAACGAAGACCTCCGATATATGTGAAGATGGGCACCGCTCAGTTGAGCCATGATGTAGTCTCGGTGGCGTGTCTGCAGTACGGACAGATACATGCATAGACTCGGCGCTTGGCCAACCCGATTGAGAAGAACTCCATCCTCTTTCTACACGCGTGGTGTTTCATGCGTGGAAGACACTCAGCCCAGAGAGCTTTCACAGCATTGTTTTTTTAGCCCAAGGCCCCAGGAAAAGCTGAAGCTGAGTGCGTGGTTTCGTGAAATCTAGATTTGTTAACGTAGATTAGACGACTGGCAGCGATGGTTTGATGCGATGTGTCAGACCAAGCGGGAAGCCTGTAGTCTCTGCTTCCATGTTCCAATCAGCTCATGGTTACCTTTGGGGTCAGACGGGTGAAGAACGCTTCCAAGTGAGAAGATGTGCTTGCAGCGAGTTCCTGCAGAGCTTCGCAATAGCCAAAAGTTATCTCTGCCTCCGCCATCCAACTCCAGGCCAATCCCACGCCAGATATTTGCAAGCAACCAGATCTATTTTGGGCACGAACAAACAGCAGAGCACATTCTATGACACGCACAATGCATGCCGGACGGGATATGCTTATCTTGTCCCGGCTTCTACAAGATTCGATTGTGGAAAAGGGGTACTTGCGAGGTTGTGAGGGCCTGGGTCCATACAAGGCCTGCCACGAAGCTGTAGCCGCCCAGGTCTGGGCAGGAGTTGGAGTTCCAAACTGGGAGTCTTCCTCAGGCAACAACACCGGCGCGCACTGACCAAGCCGAGAGGTACCAGATCAAAGCCGCCTTGCGCACTGTAAGCCCCGTGGTTCCTGATGACAACCACGAAATAAGGGAACTCTGGTTGGCCGTGCCCAGTATCTTGTCTTTGCCTTGTTGGCAGGGCTGCAGGAGAGACGTCCGTCTGGGCCCCCCCTCTCTCCCCACTTTGACTTACACGCAGGTGCTGGCTGGCTGATCCACCCACCGCTTTGGGGGGTTCGACACACTCCTCCAGTCTCCTCATCTTGACAACGCCGCAAGGGCTAGTTCGTGGCGTTTCGCATGTCCCCCTTTCTTCCTGTTCTCGTACTGCGGCTCAGTGGTTACATGAATCGTTCGACACAGACCGCTTCGCGGGTTACGCTGAGAAATCAACTTTTGCTGTCCCAAGCCCCAGAGGGGTGTGCATCTACGATCCTCCACGGCGGCGAGGACGAATTCTCAACAGAGCACTCTACCCGGCCACGTGCTCATGTTTCTGACTTGTCTGAGCTGTAGGGCGCCCCTAAGCAAGCGGATCCTTGCTTGACCTTGTTTCGCCATCTTTTCCCACTTAGGACTACGACGGGAACATTCTAGAAGGCCTGCATGAAGAGGCCCATCATGCTGCCATTGGCCATGAACATTTCCAGAAGTTCCTTCCCTTCGTGGATCATACAGACACAAAGCAGTGGCACCAAGGGTTGAGCGTGCGGGCAGTCTCTCACCGCTCGACTTACACGGGACATGCCAACCCAACCTGTCTCCACTTTTCCCGAGTTGCTGCCCACCTGGGCACTTCCCAAGATTGGGCGTTGTGAAATCACTGTGCATTGTTTGTGACATGAACAACCCCCTTTGTTCAAAAATTGTGCACAGCGTGACTTACATCCGTCCACCTCAGTGAACGAGCCGCTCGATCTCAGGGTGGCTTGTCAAGTTGGCATGCCGTCAGCGGGCACATTCCGGTGAGGATTGGGCAACGGTTGGTGCCGGATGCCTATGACTGCCCAAGCCAGTCCCATTGCAACTCAAATCAAACAAACTCATGAGACTTTGACTGGCGGCGAGGCAGCACCAGGTGGTCAGGCTGCTCGTTCCCCCCGGGTACGTACCGAGCTTCGATTGTAGTCCTGCAAGGTGCCTTATCGTCTGTGATACAGCCGAACTCGACCCTCCCCTCGGCATGGTCTAATTCGCGACAGTGATTGCACGTATCACGCGCTTCAACGGTCCTGCACGGAGGGCTGCCCGCGAGACAGAATCAGGTACCAGTACACAACCGTGCTTTCTTGCATGATCGGGCCCTGCAGCAAAGTCTCACTATACATGTGCCTGAAAACCACCACCACCATCACTGCCTTAGGAAGACCCTTTCCACCGCATTCTACCACAAATGGGCTTGGGGATGATCCGATTCGCGAGTTCGGCAACAGGGAGTGGCATCAGGTGATCACGCGCTCTGCGCCTGGGCTCGCGCCTGGACCGCAGACGGGGAGAGGACGCTTTGGGCAGGCTCGGGCCGCAAGACGCAAGACGCGCTTGCGTCGCGCCTGATGCGACGAGTCTGTGACGCTCGACGGCCATTGTCCAATGGAAGACGAGACAATTGGCATGACCATCTTCCGAGGCGGGAGCAACGCGGTGGAAGCTGGAAGAAGGAGATGCTGTGTGATGTGTTTTTGGTTGCCAAAAGGGGTGTCTGAATAGTGAGTGTCTCGTTATCTGCGGCAGGGAGAGCGCAATCCGTTGAGGCGGGGAAGAAGACAATGGTCACGCGAAGAAGCAGTCCAGACGCGGCAGCAGTCGTTGTGATGAGTTGCTACCCGATAGACTTGGAGACAAGTTGGTGCGTCGACCGGTGGGAGCGCCATGGAAAGACTCTCTCTGCCTTGGCTGAAGTGAGGGGGGACAGCTCTTGCCAGGCGCTGCACATTCCTCCCAGGTGACCCCTTGGCTTATCGCGCCATGCTCACCGCTCAGGGTCGATCGGGATGAGGAGGGTATCGCTTACCAAGATGAAGTCATGAGAGGGGTTTCCTCGTGTTGTACACTCGGAGGTACCCATCCCTGGGCCGACGAACGCCGGCTTTGTCTAGGCCGGAGGGGCAAATCTGCCGGCTCCGATGGTGGGCCTGGGCGTTGCACCCCTCCCGGCAGCGGGCATCGAGCAGGGCCGCGTTTCGAGACAGCTTCCATGGCTGGATCCTGGCACGGGGGAAGAATGCTGCTGCATGCCCTCCGGGGAGATCGAGGTAGCCCTTCCACAGGCTGCTGCTCCAGGCGCGGCTTGCTGCACCAGCATTGGCGTCACAGCGCGATGCCCGAAGCATGCACCAGAGACCCGCGCCAAACGCACCAGAGAGCCATTTGCAGAAACGCGGGAGCGGGCGAGAGGTAATGGCAGCTGTCAATGTCCGAAGCACAATGAATCAGGATGGCAGCGGGCTGCACGAAACGGTCCTCAGGCATGACATTGTGCCTACCCCCGCAGCCCGAGTCAATCTCAGATTGCGGCCCAGCGCGCCTACCGCATGGGGTCGTAGGTGGGCGAGACATGCTGCTGCCGCCGTATCGTCGTCGGGCACAAGGAAGAGGGAGAGGACGGGAGGGAGATGAGAGGGGAAGGAGGGGGCCTCTCCGTGTCTGGCGTGCCTGACGGCGGAGGAACCATGCCGCCGTGTTCCGAGGACCGGGCCCCACTGTTGCCGACGTGGCCAGGCCGGACACGACGTGGCGACGATGGCCTCACACGAGAGGAAATGAGGGGGAGGGGTGCGATGGCGCCCGGGACCGCTTCCGGGCGGCGAGGGAGGGCAGCCGGTGTCGAGCGGGGCCTGGCCGGGCGCAATCTGGGCTGGGCAGGAGGAGGGGCGGTGAAGTCTGGGGCCGGCGGGCAGGGCGACGAGGGGTGATGGAAGCGCCTGTTGTTGGGAGGGAAGCTCGAGAAGCCCGATGGGTGGATTGGGCGGCGGCGGCGGCGGCAGCGGGGAGGGCCCGCCCGGGGCAGGACCATGGCCCTGCCCTCTGCAAACAGTGAGCGGCGGCCGTAAGTGCCAGGGACAAGGGCCCCTCTCTCAGGCACCAGGCGAAACGTCCATCGTGGACATCCCACCCACCCGCCAAAAGGGCACGCGTGCTGGCAGAGGGGGGCGTGTGCCGAGATGTGCAACAAGGATCGTGCAAGCAACAGGCGCAATATACTCCGCAGCCGCGAGTACAGCATCGCCTGCGTGACGATCGTCACCAATCTGGCGGCCAAGCAAGGCTGCAGGCAGCATTGCAGGCAGAGGCCGCCAGCACGGACGGGCAGCTCGGCCAGCGAATAGCATCGCGGCCTGCCCGTGGGCCACCGCGTTCACATAAATATCTGGCGTACCCCCCCTCCATTCCTACCCCCCTTCCTTTTGTTCTCCCTCCCCCCTCACCACAATCCTCCCGGGCCGCAAAGAAACCGCCGGCTGTCCTCAGACTACATTCGCTCGTTCACTCTTTCGAATCACCTCTAGGACACGCCGCCACGGGCCCCTGTCAATCTCTCATTTTGTGCGTCGCCAGGCAAACCCCCCCTTCGCTTCACCACACCCCCTGGTCTTTCACGGCCACTCCACCACGCTCTCTAGTCCGGGAACCACGAGACCCCGCGCGACAACTATACTTCTATATCAAGTCTCTCTTTTCGTCGCTCTCTAGACAACCTGCTGCTGCATCATCTTGCATCCCAGACGCACAGCAACCCTCAGTCACGGCCCCCTTCACACTTCTTTCGCTCCTCCATTCCTCAGCCGCCAACATGTTCAAGCGCTCGTTCCGGTCCCAGGACCGAGTCGACAAGTCGGCGAGGCTCAAGAAGTCCACCAACACTACTACATCAACCCGTGATCAACAGAAGCTATCGAAACTGCAGCAGTCGATAGAGGACACCCTTCCCCAGAAGCGGAACCTCTCCTCGCCCATCGTCACCCTGGCCGTGGGCAGGGAAGCTCGGCTGTTTGCAGCGCACGAGGAGGTCCTCATGCAGTCCGCCTTCTTTGAGCGGGCCTGCCGGGAACAGTACCTCGATGCGCAGAGCAAGCGCATCTCCATCCCCGACGAAGAGCCCGAGGTCTTTTCCGCGGTACTCGAGTATCTCTACAAAGGCGACTACTACCCGCGTCTGCTCCACAACAAGCAGCGCAACGCCTGGGAGCTCGAGGACGCCGTCAAGTCCCCGGACCCCTCTGAAAAAAACCAGGCTGGCCGCGGAGCCGTCGAGCCTACAATGTTCGTCCACAGCGTGGGCCAACACCTTCTGCGTGACACCGTCATCTACTGCGCCGCGGACCGCTATGGCCTCGAGGAGCTCAAGCGCCTTGCTCTTCGCAAGCAGGGCCTGCAGAGTGGAATCGACGTCGGCACGATCCTTCGGTCGGCCCGGTACGCCTACGACAACACGCCAGACTCGGACTCCCGCCTCCGCGCTCACTACCTTGCCCTCATTATTCGTTGCAGACGAACTTTTAAGAGGAGCGGAACCATGCAGGCCGAGATGGAAAACGGCGGCAAGCTCTTCTTCGACCTATTCGTGGCCTTGTCCAATCATCTCGACGACGTCGTCGACCTGAAGAACTCTTCAAGTCCCCGCACTGTCTGAGGTGGTCAGCACTTGTGCCATGGGCTAGGTCTCATGGCTCAACAAGAAGGAACTCACCAAAAACACACACCCCAAAAACACAAACATGTCTGTTTACTCGGCGTTGCGCGTTTGGAGAAGATACACATCGGACATCTCAGCTTCCTCGTACCAGGAATGAATCTCAGCTCATCATTTATTGCTTGTCTTACTGTCTCTCCCAGACATGACTCATCAGATTGGAACCCATTCGGGAGAGATGCTTTTGCTTTTTTCAAAAACCCAATGAAGAAAAAAAAGTATACTCCACTTATCTTTCGACGAGGTTGGCCGACCATTTTGATGCAGTTACGGGGCAGATGAGAGGCGAGCAATGGGCCAGACTCGGCAAGCCAGACCAGTCTGCTGCTTCAGCACCCTCGAGGACCGCTCTCCGATCTTCTAATGACCCATACGATCACAATTCCGGGCTGGACCGTTTGGCCGCCCTCCTTCATTGTTTTGAGCTTTTTGGCTTTTCCCTCCAGAGCATACTGCGGCGTCTACTGGGTCCTGGGGTCAGGTTCTGCTGTTTTCCTGCTTTTATTTCCTTGCCCGGTTGCTGGTTTTTAAGCATATACATGGGAACAACAGAATGATACCCCCGGAACGGGCCCAAGACCCCGCCGGCACGATTGGAAAAGGGAGGAGAGAACGCAAAAACATGCTTTTTGTTTTTGGCACGCCGCAACGAAAAAAAATCTCGATTCGATGTTTACTTGTTTTGGAATGGTTTGGCGTCGATCTGATCTTGACTTTTGACCTGCCATCTGTCTCGTTGCATTCACTTGTTTACGGGCAGGCAGGAAGAGAGCGCATTACGTCGACTCACAGGCTTGGGCACGCGCCTCTTTCGCTGCCACACCATTTCCTTTGTTTCTCGTCCACCGGGCCTCCTTCTCTCGACAGGACATCTCCCCCAGGTCGGCAAGAAACGGCATCTCGGGGCGCACCATTTCCAACTCGCAAGAACGAACCCAATTTCTCGAAATGGGGGGAGCTTGGGAGTTCGTCTTGTTGTCGGCCTCCGCGAGAGATCAAGACCTGCCCGGGAACTGCAGGGGAGGAGGATATACTCGGCTAGACTGTTTTGGACAAGGATCTGCATTTCACAGTTGGTTCTGTCATGGTTCCGCTTGCGCTCGAAGCTGGCTTGGATTGAACACCCGCGCAGTTGTTTTGTTTCCCCTTGTTTTCCCTTGCTTGGCACACTGGGTCTTGATGACTCACTGTCAAGAGGGGCTGCCGGTGTAGAGAATGTTACGCGAGTCGGGCTCTTTCCGAGATCCCTAGCGGACTCTGAGGGCTCTGCTCTGCGGTCCCCAGCTGAGGCCCTCATGAGGGCGAGGTTAATGAGAAATTCGGCCACCTCACACCCACGCTTCCTACCAGCATGTGATTGCTTGTGAATGTGTATGCCTGTGAAGGGGGAATGACCACAATGCCAATCAGAGTGTGGCTCGACACCGTCAAGGGACCCGTTGGATCAAGCTTATTCCTGAAATGCGTACCAGCCATGGCTTGGCCTGCAAGAGCGGCGAAAGAGGCGATTCACGTCATTCTCATATGCCGTGGATCACCAGGGCGATGGGAGGTTGGCGATAAGTCTATCGGCAGGGAAGCTACCCCACCACCCCGCAAATCCCTGGTCTGCTATGCTTGCCAAAAATTGCCGGGCAGGCAGAGCGAGCTCTTATCGATCGCTCCAAAAACATCGTCACACCACAAGGAACTGTACGCAATTCTCAACTGTCACGAATCTTTCTACGCGACCCATCAGAGACCACTTTCGCAAATAGTCCCCGCGCAGCCCAGGAAGTACTCCATAGGACACAACAACGAGATCTCACACCCTTAGATATGGCGTCTTCCGAAGGATCCGCGCCAGCCGCGGCGACGGCGTCTGCAGCTACACCTACGGATGGCCCTGGTGCCCAGCAGCAGCAGCTGCCAGTCGCCGTGGTCTGCGTGGGCATGGCGGGCTCGGGCAAGACGACGTTCATGCAGCGCATCAACGCGCACTTGCATGGCCAGAAGGAGCCCCCATACGTCATCAACCTGGACCCCGCGGTGCTCAACGTGCCGTTCGAGAGCAACATTGACATCCGCGACTCGGTCAACTACAAGGAGGTCATGAAGCAATACAACCTCGGCCCGAACGGTGGGATCATCACGTCGCTCAACCTGTTTGCGACCAAAGTCGACCAGATCCTGGGGTTCCTGGAGAAGCGAACGGCGCCGGACCCAGAGCAGCCGAACAAGAAGCCCATCAAGAACATTCTAGTGGACACACGTGAGTGATTGGTTTACCAGTGGAAGACAGTTCCGCCTCTTAAAGTGTATTGAGGCTGACAAAATGCTCACTTGCGAAACATAGCTGGCCAAATCGAAGTCTTTGTCTGGTCCGCGTCTGGTCAAATCATCCTCGAGTCCCTTGCATCCTCGTTCCCTACCGTCATCGCCTACGTGATCGACACGCCGCGGACGGCGTCGACCAGCACATTCATGAGCAACATGCTCTACGCCTGTTCTATCCTGTACAAGACGAAGCTGCCCATGATCCTGGTCTTCAATAAGACGGACGTCAAGGACGCCGACTTCGCCAAGGAGTGGATGACCGACTACGACGCCTTCCAGCGGGCGCTCGCCGAGGACGAGGAGAACAATGCGTTTGGCGGCGTCGAGGGTGAGGGCGGCGGCAGCGGCTACATGAGCAGTCTGCTAAACTCGATGAGCTTGGTGCTCGAGGAGTTCTACGCGCATCTGAGCGTAGTGGGCGTTTCGTCTATGACGGGCGAGGGCATCGACGACTTCTTCGCAGCCGTCCAGGAAAAGGCGCAGGAGTTCAAGAAGGACTACCTCCCCGAGCTTGAGCGGAAACGGCACGAGCGTGACGAGCAGAAGCGCAAGACGCGCGAGAAGGAGCTTGACAAGATGATGAAGGGCATGTCGATGGACACGCCTGGTGGGTCTGGTAGTGCTGGTGGCAGCAAGGTTGTCAGGCCGCCAACCGACGACGACGACGATGATTTGGACGTCGCGAGCGACGACCAGGATGATGACTATGCGGATGTCGATGACGAGTACGATCGTGAGGGTTTGCAGGCACGGTACCAGGCTGCGACCGAGGCGCAGGGCAACTCGACGATGGATCAGGCGAGTTTTGCAAAATACCTGCACTCGCAACGGGGTTGAGCAGGGACATCAGGCAAGACGGTAGTCACACAGGCATATGGTTGGGCATTAGACACGGCGCAAATAATGATACCATGATTTTATTCTCAAGTTAAACCCTGTGCGGCGTAGTCCTGGGGGGGCCACATATCGCATCTACCTCCCATGATCGGGGGAACTCCTAAACTCCAACTAAATGTTTTGATTGCGTGCAGGGCTGTTTCCATACTAGCCCTGCGTTTGCGCTGCTCTCACCGGTTGTCGTGGATTCCGCAACCGGCTTGCCAAAAATGTCTCTTCATGCAGTATGCTGAAATATGCATTGCTATCCTTGTCTTCTGGCTACAGGGTTTACCGAGCCTCGAACTGAACCATTCTGTGAAGGGAAATATGTTAGCAAACGTCTCTTCTCATCCGCGCAATAAGCCACCCGAGTGACTTCGCCCACGCTCGCCAAACAGAAAGAGACCACAAAGATTGGTGAAGAAAGAAGAAAGCAAGTCCCCCGCAGATAGAACAAAAGGACACCGAAAACTAACCTCTTGGTCCGCTCCTTGTACAGCACGCGGCATCCGCACTCGCGGCAGCGGATGGCCTCGTTGCGCTTGAGCGGGAACTTTGTCCCGCAGTCGCCGCAGAGGTAGTTTATGCTGGCGTGCTCGCCGAGGGGGTCGACGGCGCGGGTCGCGTTGGCGCCCTGGCCGCCCGTGTTGAAGTTGGCGCCGGACGAGCCGGTCGGGACTTGGTAGGCTTCGCGGGACATGGCTGGATGTGTTTTTTTTTTTTTTTCTGGAGGGATGTTGCTGTGCTCAGTCGAGCTGGTTGGTGGCAGCTGTATTCGCGGAAGCGGGTTGCTTGAAGTTACCGGGTGCTTTTGTCGGGGCTGCGTCGTTGGGTATGGTGGATCGAGGGAGTGTGTAGGTTTTGAGATGGTGATCAGACTTTCGCGATGCTGCCTTCAGAGCTCTCGGCGGATGGATGCAGTTTGCCTTGCTGGGCTGCTGACAAAAGCGGTGGGGCAGCCGTCAAGGAAGGGGTTCGACCTTCTGGAAGCAAGAGAAAAAAGAGGCGGCCTGTACTGGCAGAATCTGCGGCTGGAATGCGCCTGGCCCGGTTCAAGATCTGGGCGGGCTTGTAACAGGCTTAGCGTGGTCTCGACCCCAGATCGCAGACTGGAGCAACATGTGCCTCGGAAGTGACGTGCTGGGGGGAGCCGCGCTCGGGAGAGCTGCCCCCAACCATCCACTCGACGATTCCGCTTCTAATTCCTGCATCAACACGATATCCCACGAGCTCCCACTCTCTAGAGACCATCACGACTACCACATCTGCCTCGCAACATCCTGTTCGCTCAGATATATACACTCTGCACCGAGTGAACCCCAGCGCGTCGGTGCTTTGAGCCTCTATATAATACATAGGCACCGACTTGTCTCGTGAAGCAACAATCGCGACGCGAACCTCCTCGGGACAACTCGACTCAATCGATAAAGCCAGACCACGGACGAGACGACCATTATTCTGCAGAGTCCCACAGTCATATCCCAGGCTGGCCCGTCCTTGCGGTTCAGCCTGGTCGCAACTTTTGGGTCGTCCTCGTGACTCCCACATCCTCACCACCCTAAGCCGCTCCCTACTTGCACGATACAGATCACACCTCTCGCCATGTCGCCAACACGACAAACACAACAGCCACCCGCCAAGGTCCTGGAGTTCGACCCGTCCGCCCCGCCAGCAAGCACAGACGCCGAGTCCTGCCCCTTCTGCGCCATCAGCCGCGCCTTCCCACCCTACGACCCGACCTCTCCACCACCACCCGGCTCGCCGTCCATAAACCCGGACAAACTCTCTCCGGCATCCTACGTCGTCCTCTCCACTCCGACCCTCCTCGCCTTCCTCGACATAATGCCCCTCTCACCAGGCCACCTCCTGCTGTGCCCCCGCACCCACCGGCCCAAACTGACAGACGTGTCCCCCTCCGAGGCCGCAGACCTCGGTAAGCACCTGCGCCTGCTCTCCCGCGCGCTGTGCCGGACGACGGGCGTGATGGACTGGAACGTCGTGCAGAACAACGGCGCCGCCGCCGCGCAGGTCGTCAACCATGTGCACTACCACCTGATCCCGCGGCCCGAGATTCGCGCCAGCGGGCGATTCAGCGAGAGCTTCACCATGTTCGGCAGGGGGGTCCGGACCGATCTGGATGACGACGAAGCGGCGGACTTGGCGGGGCGGCTGAGGGAAGAGGTGAAGAAGGTGTTGGATGAAGAGAACGGGCGAGGAAAGCTGTGATGATTGTGCTGTGCTGTGCGCGCGAGGATCGTTATGGAGGGTAGAGGGTGGGTTGGCAGGCTTGATGATATGCGAACCTGGGAGTCCGGATCGATATTGGGACGAAGACATTCCGGGGTGTGGGACTGGAGTACAGAAGACAGAAAGGAGCAGCAATGTCGAGGGCTTTCAAGCGAAGCGATCATATCATTTGCGTCTCGTATTTAGTTGAGAGTTGTTGTTTAATTGTAGATTATTGAAAGCTCATGTCACGACATGACGCACCTTCCAAATGTCTGGGTCTCCACAATGCGAATGGTTGGTAATCATCAAGCGCAACAACTGCAATGGCCAAGCTCGACTTACACGGACACATCTCATACTATGTGCGCCTCACAGAAGCCACCTTCTGGAGATGATCGCTTGAATTCAAGTGCCTTTGTTTATTTCATTATCTACATCAGTCTATCTATTGTGCGATTCCGCTACTCTTTTACTCGTCGTCGCCAAAGAAGACCTTGACCGGCAGCCACGCGTCGCCGCAGACCTTGAACCGGTCCTTGAGGTTGCTGAGCTTGTGCACCTCCTCGTCGGTGAGGCTCCAGCCGTCGAGGGCAAAGTTGGCCTCGATGCGCTCCTTTGTGACGGACTTGGGAATAACGTCCCAGCCGTTCTGGATGCCCCATTGGAGCAGGCACTGCTGCGGGGTCTTGCCCTTGGCCTCGGCGATGGAGAGCACCACGGGGTCCTTGTACAGGGGCGAGTTGGTGCTGCCCAGGCACGAGTAGCCCGTCACGTGGATGCCCTTGTCCTTGCAGTAGGCGACGAGCTTGGGCGACGGGTTGTTTGGGTGCAGCTCGATCTGGTTCACGGCGGGCTTGATCTGTTTGTGGGGGGGAGGAAGCAATAGCAGGCCTTATTAGTCTGTGTTACAGTATAGCGCGCTGGGAACGGGATGGTGCAAGGTAGAGACCGGGCGAGTGAGCAAGCAAGAACATACCTTTGTGTCTGGGTGGTTGAGGAGCTTCTCGAGGTTGGTGATGCCAAAGTTGCTGACGCCAATGTTGCGGACCTTGCCGGTGCCGACGAGCTTCTGCATCTCGCGCCACGTGTCGATAAAGTTCCAGTCGTCGTAGTGCTTCTTGAGGTCGTCGGGCCGGGTGCTGGACGGCCAGTGCATCAGGTACAGGTCGACGTAGTCGGTCTGCAGGCTCTTGAGCGACGAGTCGATGCCCTCCTGGACGCGCTTGTGCCACGGGTTGTCGAGCTTGGTCGTGAGCCAGATCTGCTCGCGGGGCACGCCCGAGGCCTTGACGCCGGCGCCGACCTCGTGCTCGTTGCCGTAGGCCAGCGCCGTGTCAATGTACCGGTAGCCCGCGGCCAGGGCGGCCTCGACGGCAGCCTGGCACGAGCCGTCCTTGGCGGACTGCCAAGTGCCCAGGCCGATGGCCGGCATCTTGTCGCCCGAGGCGAGGGTGTACGTCTTGCTGCAGGGCGAAATCCTGTTAGCGAAGGGCTCAAGAGACTGTGGTCTGACGCAGCCAAGGCCAGGACTGGCATCCCGTCGGCACACATACCTGGTGGGCTTGTTGTCGGCCATTGTGACTGTTGCGTATAGTCTCTTGGAATGTGGAATGAAAGAGCTGGAAGGAGGGGCAAGAGTTCCGTTGCGCGACAAAGAGCGAGATAAGTACGACTCAGGGCCACGAGCCGCCCCGCCTAGTCGCATGGAGTTGTGGCAGGCCGATCCCCGCATCCATGAACGCATGGCCCGCATCTCCAGGCCAATCGCTGAACTCGCCATCATCGATGAATAGCACCGAGGAGGAGGAGGAGATGGGGGGAGGGGGGGTTGCTGGTGGCAACAGAGGTGGCTAGCTGTGCTTCCCTCCTAATCGAAGCGAAGCGACTTAATAATCCGGTGTTGAGCCCAGGCCCCTGGCGCGGGGGACTGAGACAGCACGCGATGTGGTTGTTTTATCTTCCGGACATTGCACTCCCCGCCCTATCAACATCTTGTGTTCCTGAAAGTAAGTGATGACTGCTTGCGGAAGAAGGGTGCGGCATGCGTTCATCGTTACACCAGTACCGAGCTAGTGGAAGCGTTGAGCCCATGCGCGCCAATGACGTCTTGCGCCAGGGGTCCTCGGGCGCGGGGGTTTGCCTCCCTTGGAGTCGGGCTAAACTCGAGAGTTGGGGTCAAGACTCACATCCTTGGGCGGCTCAATGCATAGCAATGAGCACCAGCAAACGCTGGTTGTTATATATTACCCGGCCGCATTCATCCCAGCCGACTTATGCGCTCTTCGTTGTCGATTGCGGCCAATCTTTCGTGTGCTGCTGCGTCTCGCTTCGTGCCACGCACGTGCTGGTGTATTTTGTCTCAACCAGGTCTTACACGCGGAGCATTCACACCGGCCGCCGTGCTCCTCGTACATTGCCTTGACATAGTCTGGTTCAGGCGTAGCCAACTTTTAAGCAAAGATTTGGAGCCCTGAACAATGAAATGCTTGCCATGCTGCCTCGCAGGTTTTGCGCCCAGATGAGAGCACAGGCAGAGAGCATAGGTCCGGCCAAAGGGCCTGGTGTGATCAATTCGGTCGGCCATTATCGGCAATACAGAACACTGGATAAACGACTTGTTGCTTGTGTCAACCGAACTTGGAGATCATGGAGCAAAACAAGTGTTGGTCCATGCTCTGGAGAAGAAGCAACGCGTGTATGCTCCATCCAAGCTTCTGCCCGTAGCGCCGGGCCACCCTAGCGGAAAGATAGTCCCATGTCTCCCGTTCCGTGTGCGGCCGGCTCGATGTCCGGGCCCCGCCTGGCACACCACAGTACTGGGATGGCCAACCTCTTGTCTCCTCGCTAAGGACCAGCAGTACGTGACGGACAAGGCAGTGCAGCCGGCGAGGACACGGCGGAACTGCCATCGAGGTGCTCCTGATGTTGTGCTAGCAGAACGCTGAATCCGCACCGATTTGCGATACCAAGATGCGGAACGCGTGGCCCTGTGGGTTGTATGCAGAGATCTTAATAACGAGCATCCCAGAGCAGCACGTCACTAGGCAGATCGGTGGGTCAAGGTGTGGACTGCGCCGTCATCGATCTGCCGAGGGTCGCTTCTTCCACCGCGCAACTTTGTTCCACAGTACATGGTAATAGAGTGCTTGTCCCCCGAGCTTTGCGTATTGAGGGGGGCTGTAGGCCGTGTAGCTGACAACGAAAGCGACTGTACGCCTAGGGCCGCGTTGTTGGGCGGCGCACGTCGTGTGCCTGCCAGCCCAGTCTCCCGCCGTGGAGCTCATGATACCGGCCCCTTTCTCCTTTTGCGCCTGCAAGGTGTCCAACATCACAGCCGATCAGGATGGGCGAGGCTCACGATTGGACGAAGGTGTTGCGGTTGCCAAGCTTTTCCATACTCGATTCAGCCAAGCTCAGCCAAGCATAAGAGCAATCTTTGCTGGAGGGCGGGAGAAGTGGGGCTGGGATAAGCAGCCTCCTCTCGGGTGCTGTGTAAAAAGGGGGTCGTCACAAGCCGGAAGGCTTCAGACCACCCACACTAACTCGACAGGATTTCCGACACTGTCCTGGCTCGTGGGCGGCCTACTTAATTATCTTTCGACGTCTGGGAAATCACAGACGCAAGCAGCCTTTCCCCCGGCGCGGAGTAGGAGCACAGCGCTCCAGTAGTCTGCCCACAATCGATACAATCGGGAGCCAGATCCGCATCCTTTCTGAGGCTTGATTAGGTGCGGGCGTGGGACCGCAAACATGGCTTGCCCGCGCCTTCGTGTTCACAGTCGAAGCCATGCAATACGAGGAAGACTCTGAGTGGCGTCCTGCGCATGTGAGCATGCCAAAACTGTATCGTAACTCGGAGAGACAGGCAGACATTGTCGTCTCTCTCATGACGTATCGGGTTCTGCACGCCGTACTCTGAGCGACTCGAGGCGGAGGTCGCGATTCTGCGACAGGCTATCGACAGGCTTGGGGGCATATCGGCAGGCGATGATCCCCTGTGCGACAGCTCCGGTTCTGGAAAATCTAATTTAATCAACTCGACAGGGGCCGCATGGCCATGGAGACCTCATGCTATCTCCTCGGCGCATGATTGGGCGCATACTCCCAGAGCGGGCCGCTCTTGTGTCTCTTGAGTCGTTGATACTGTACAATTAACCAGTTGTCAGCGACAGACCCCTGCTGGGCATGGATGATGGATTGATGGGAGCAACGCCGCCCAGGGCCCGTCAAGCAGCGGGCGAGATCGCCAGTTGTGAAACGACACTAACAAGCACGCTGTCGAAGGCCCAGGCCGGTCCGCCTCGAGGGCGCGGCCGAGGCCCTGCCGCGATGTTGTCTCTTGAACGCGCCGGCAGGTGGCTTGAACAGCTGTTGGTGGTTTCGATGTTTATTGTTTTGCGCGCGAGCACACATCGTCAAACTCAAGAGTCTGCGCGCTACGGGAAGTGTGTCTGAGGGCTGGCTGGCAGGCGCGATACGCGTCAGCCTGCATCCGCCTGTAACGTGCAGGGTGTACTGTACAGCGGGATCCATCGGGGCTGTTCCCACGCATGACCGGGTGTCTGAGGCTTGTTACGCTCTGTGTTCAGCAACGGGTCCCTGCCCCTGGCAGTCGAGGCGGCCCACTGCCACCAATGCCCGGGCTTGCCACACATTGATACGGCTAGCCAAGCCAACACCCGACAAGGTTCAAGCCGGCGAGCGTTGTCGCGAGGACAAGGGGGAACGACGGAGCTGGTGGGGGCTCCGTCTTGACGGGCTCTTTGTGCAATGCTGGCCCTGGTGCTGCACAACAGGCGGCGGACTGCCCTGCGGGCGAAAGGGGCTACCGCTGGCTGCTCAAAAACGGCCCCGGCCGCCAGCCCTGCACCCTCTGAACTTTTTATCCCTCCTTCCACTGTGTGTGCCTCTCGCAACCAGCTTCTGCTTCCTGTCTCTCCTTAACATTCCAGCTTTTTTTCTTCCCGCTTCCAACCAACCCTCGCTGCTCCTCGTCTTGCACGCAACGACCCCTCCCGCTACAACGACGCCGACAACACCAACGATAGACGCTCGCGAACGAATCACCACGACCCGCAATGGCTTCTTCCCGGTCCGACGAGCGCAAGCTCGAGAGCGGCGGCACTGAGGCTGCCGCCCCTGCCAGCGCTGGTATTCACCCGGCCTTCTACATTGCGTACGTCTTCACTGCGCGACTGCGCCTGCCCTGACATGATGAGAGGAATCACATGAGCTGACAACTTTCTCGCAGCCTCTGGATCGCCTGCAGTGGCAGTGTCATTATTTTCAACAAGTGGGTTCTGGCCGCTGCCCACTTTGGTATGTGCCCTCTTCCAGACTCCCTCCACGATATCAACTTGTTCGCTAACCACGAGAATTTGCAGATTTCCGTAAGTCGATCACGAAGTCCTCCTTTGGTACTGTCCGGGCGAGACTTGCGCTGACACTACCGATCTAGCCCTCTTCCTCACCTCGTGGCACATGGTGTTCGCGACGGGTATGACCCAGGTGCTTGCCCGCACCACCCCCTACCTTGACTCCCGCCACAAGGTCCCCATGGACTCGGCCACCTACATGTGAGTTCTGGGCAAAAAGCACTCCCCATGGCTCTGTCCGCATAGACTGACAACGTTGCAGGCGCGCCATTGTCCCTATCGGTCTCATGTTCAGCTTGAGTCTGATCCTCGGCAACTTTGCCTACCTCTACCTCTCCGTCTCGTTCATTCAGATGCTCAAGGCCACCAACGTCGCTGCTACTCTGCTTGCCACCTGGATCTTCGGCATGGCCGCCCCTAACATGAAGGTCCTCGCCAACGTCGGCATCATCGTCGTGGGTGTCATCATTGCCTCCTACGGCGAGCTCAAGTTCGACATGTTCGGCTTCCTCATCCAGATCGGTGGTGTCATCGCCGAGGCCATCCGCCTTGTCATGGTCCAGCGCCTCCTCAGCTCTGCCGAGTTCAAGATGGACCCCCTCGTCTCCGTCTACTACTACGCTCCTGCTTGCGCCGTCGTCAACGGTGTCCTCACGCTGTTCGTTGAGCTGCCCCGCCTGACCATGAACGACATCTACTCTGTTGGCGTCTTTGTCCTCATTGCCAACGCCTTTGTCGCCTTCTTGCTCAACGTCTCCGTCGTGCTCCTCATCGGCAAGACCTCTGCCGTCGTCCTGACCATGGCCGGTGTTCTCAAGGATATCCTCCTTGTCGTCTCCTCCATGCTCATCTTCGGCGACCCCGTTACTGCCCAGCAGTACTTTGGTTATTCCATCGCTCTTGGTGGTCTTACCTACTACAAGCTCGGTGCTGAGAAGATGCAGTCTCTGGCCAACGACATCAAGTTCCAGGTCAACGAGACTCGCCACAACAACCCTGGCCGCTTCAAGGCCATCGTCGGCTCTGTTGTGTTCGGCTTCTTCACCCTCATCCTCCTCGGCTACTACCACAGCGTCCCTGGCTCGACTGCCGGTGTCCCCTCCGTATAAATCATGGAGGCATAGTCTGGTGACGACGAGTTTCAACGCGCGTCGCGTTTTGAACACGTAACGTCACTAGGACATGTGTTGTGCGTGGGCCATTCCACAATCATTTGCGCCCACGACAACAATTATTTCCGTCCACCCACTTTCTTCATATTCATGCTTGAGACGGACTTCAGACAATTTCGATGTTGCCAAGGTTGCTCTGTGGTAAGAGCACGCAGGTTGGCGGTTTAGGGTTTCTTCGCTTCTACGGTATGAGGGAGCAATGGTGTTTGATACACAATGAATGCACGGGACGGGGTTCTCCTTTCGACGATTCCACAAAATGCGATGACACAATTCAGCTGGGCGCGAAGCATTGGGAAGATTCTATGTAGGAAACCAATCACGTCTGCTTAGCCGAGCAGGCAATCAGAGGCTGCATAAAAGCAGAATCTGGCATCTGGGAGCAAGAAGCAGCCCTGCTTGCACGCAGAAGATATTGGAAATCCAGACAGACTTTCGCATATGAGATGGCGCTTGAGCATCAGGAAGATACGATAGACTTTTACCGACTATTAGTAATACGATAAAATAACAAACCTGAGTCATCCTCGTCGCTGGACAGGCTTGTGTATATACTGCATATCTCGCGCATTTTTGAATGGCATCAAGTTGGTGGTCCGAGTCTTTGCATCAAGTTTTGCCCTTAAAAGGTGTTTCTTCTATGGCGATAGGCATTAACATTGCCCAAACTGGAGTTCTCGGCCTGCCACGGAGCCCGGCAATGTCTGTCTCAGGCGGTTTCCTGTGATCAGTGGAAGTGTTTCGCGGGGGTACCTTCACAACTGCTCGCGACCACAGAACTTCTCGCAAGTGCGGGACGCTTGCTCAACGTGTATGTATTGTGATTAGGTCTTCGGAGTAAATTTGGTTCAGCTCCCTCTCTCTCTTTCTCTCTCTCTTTCTCTCTCTCTTTCTCTCTCTCTTTCTCTCTCTCTTTCTCTCTCTCTTTCTCTCTCTCTTTCTCTCTCTCTTTCTCTCTCTCTTTCTCTCTCTCTTTCTCTCTCTCTTTCTCTCTCTCTTTCTCTCTCTCTCCCTCTCTCAATGTATCATGCGTGCTTGTATGCAAGCCGAGTTGGGAGATGTTGACCAAATACGGGTTCAACTTGGTTTCCTAGATTTGGAGCCTAATGGGAAAGCACTTATCACAGTACAGAGGCTTTTCGTGATGATCGATTTCTCTCCTCATAGGAGAGGATGTTGTTTCTGCAACCTGGCTGGTTCTGTCAGAGAATTGCTAGAGTGGCGAGCCATTCTAGTCACTTCGAACTTCTAGCTACCGTTGGTTGTTTATGCGGTGGTGCTCAGACAACTCTGCTCTGACAAACATTGAGTAGGCATGGCACGTGATAATTCAGTCGCTGTGGCCCCAGCCGAGCTTGATTGTACATCCAGGCATGTACTTCCTGATGGAGAAAAGGGGGATTGGCGGAACGAGAAAACGTTCTCACGGGACCGAAGTCGTCGATTGTGTGGTGGTATCGGGGATCTGGCGCCACTCGGCGATGCCCGTGTGATGTAGCATTGTGGCTCCCTTTGTGTGGTTCGCCGGGACAGCTTCTTCCTGCTTTCTAGTCATTCAGCTGCATCATGGAGCGGGGACCGGCCTCACATGTGATAGGAAAAGGAGAATGAGCCAACTATCGCCTTGTCATGGCAGGTTTGGTTGGTCTTCGGGAAGGCATACTTGGCGCGGACAATGAGCACTACGGCCCGAAAAACCCCCACGGCAAGCATCATGATTGGCACGAGTCTGTAGGTCGCACAACCAGTTTTCCACCTGGTGCGTTCGGTAGCGCGGGACTCAATGTTGGTGCGGGTGCTGTGTAATTGTGCCTTGCCAAGACACTTGCGAGACTGTGGCAGATGTGGCGGTGGCAGCGGCGTGTTGGAAGCACAGCACAAGAATGGAAGTCTCCGAGAGCTAAATTTGGGAAATGCCTGGAGCACCTGATCCGAAGCCTGGGTGCGGCTGAGCGGTAGGTTCCTGCCACAGTGGTCGCCGTGGCTTTTTATCCTGTCTGGCACTGCTGGATGTATACAGAGACTTCGCGTCTCGAGACTTGGCAAACCTTTCAGAAGGGAATGTGATTCTTCATTGGCTATAGAGTTCAAGTTTTCACCTCCTGGCTTGAGAAGCATTTCTGCCTAGCAGCGACAAGAACTCGGTGGACCAGTCGCCTGACGAGATCAACGAGTGCACCAAGCTGGAAGCAGGTGGTTGCTTGTGCGATCGCGTTCTTTGATAGAGATGACTAAGTGACACCATCGACCATGTGGTACCACCAGGAGCCTTTGCTCCCTGCCTCCACAACGCGTTCCGCTCCAAGACAAGACAGCTGCAGGAGCACTTCTGGAACATGGTTGGCAGCCTTCCATGCAGGCCGTCCTCGAGTGCTTTCAGCTCCAAACTCTCTTGAGACCTCATTGGACGTCTCGGTGCGTACGTCTGTGTGCGCTAGCCCCCGCCCAACGTTACATTGCAGCATGCCCTGCTGCGATCAAGTTAGCCTTTGGATGTCTACATTATGGTAGTTAACTCTAACTGCTCTTCGGTAGCCTCAGCCAGGCGCTGGCCAATCACCTGTCTTGCCGATTCCAGGCCACCACACAGCCCGGTCGTGGCGGCGGCTGGGGTCAAGACATCGACGCCTTTCGGTGAGTCCAGCACGGAGCTGGAGTCTGCAGTGCCTCGTCCTGGCTGGTAGGGCTGACCAGACTTGTCCATATGCGGCCAGTCTTGTGGGCGCTGCCACCATGATGGTTAGTGGCCCCTTCCAGATGGCTGAGCTGGACTCACTGTAGCCAGGAAAGAAAGGAACAATTCATACAAGTAGCAGCAGAACGAGACAATTATAAAAGTCACGGCAAGTCCACCCAGATTGAGTGTTCGAAATAGCCATCAGCATCACAACAAGCAACAGCTTTCCCCGACTTTCCTTGCTCTCTTCTCGGCATATCTCTCCTATTGCATTCCTAGACCGCAGGCATATCTCACATTGCACCCAGCCTCTAGACAACAAATACTACCCGCAACTACTTCATCAATCGATCAACACATTTGCTCCTGATAAATAGACAACCAACACAGACATCTCTCACAAAATGCACGCCACTCTCATCCTCACCACTGTCCTCCCCATTGCTCTGGCCGCCGGCATCCCAGCCGCTGCCCAGGGCAACAACCGCCGCGACGCCGCCGAAGTCGCCGGCCGTAAAGGGTAAGCAAGCGTCTCTCTCCCATACACTCTCTCTTTCTCCCTCTCTCCTGCGCATGGCATGGCCCCTGGCCCCCTTCCTGAGCTTTACTAACCGTATCATTTATAGCACCCCCGCCAACGTTGCCCGTGCCACAATCACCATGGCAGCCCGGCAGGACCAAGAGACCGGCAGCAGCGGCGACTCCCTGGACGACAACTACGGCTCCGCCGCCAGCGACGACTACGGCTACAACTCTGCTGGCGGCGACGGCGCCGGCAGCAGTGACGACTACGACAACTCCTTCACCTCTATTGATGGTGCCGGTGCGAGTGGTGGTGGTAGTTCCGACGACGACTACGGCTTCGGCTACACCGCCGAGCCTACCGGCGACGGCGGCTTCGGCGTCACGGCCACGGCCGACCCGTCTCCTGCCGATCCCACGGCCAACCCCAGTGGCGGTGGCTACGGCGGCGGCTCCTCGGACTACATCGACGACAACTTTAGCGAGGAGACGGGTACTGCTACTGGCACTGGCACTGGCACTTTTGCCTCTGCGACTCGCCCCCCGCCGACCAAGACCTCCTCCAGCGGGAGCGGACAGACCGGGGCCGCTTCTCCGTCCTCGTCTGGTGGCAGCAGCGGCAACAATGGCCAGCCTCCCAAGACCGGCGCCGCGGCCGCCAACACCAACAACCTGGGCGGCCTCAGCATCTTTGGCCTCGTGGCACCCCTGGCCTTTGCCCTTTTTGTCCTCTGAGAGAGCGGCGAGTCTTTGTCTGTTGGATTGAACAAAATTTCGGGGAGTAATAAGGGGGATGAATGTTTTTTTATTATCTTTGCTACTACCGGGGTTTGCATGTTGCAGTGATCTCTTGGTGTTTTCTTGGTTTAGGAGTTTGGTGGAGGCGATGCCTGCATAAATTGTTACCACACGGGATTCTGCTTTCAGTTGGTACTATGCGGAGAGGCGTTCAGTACTTGTTTTCGGAGCATAGAGACAGAGCCAAAGGGGTTTCAGCATGGTAATATATGCATTCAGACAATTTCAGTATTCATGATCTTCAGCACCTTTGCATGCACGATAACTAATGACTGTGAAAGCATAGAAGATTTCCTAGACTTTTTTGATCTCCAGCAGCTTGATAAACCTACAAACTCGCTACCCTTTAGCCATCTCAGATTTTTCTCAAAGAGTCGCTCGAAAGTTTGGTCGCCGTTTGGGTTGTGGCTCGCAGGCGAAGCTCAACAACTACTCTATTGGAACACCAACGCCTTCAAGTGATTCTGTCACATCCCCCCCCCCCCCCCCATGGTGCACATCCAATCTGATGATAAAGACCAAGCAACATTTACTAATTGACTGTACTAAGTTGTATCTCATCTATTTTTTCATTGACATCGCGTTACTCGTTCGTGATCAGCATTCCACAGCGGGAAGTCCTGGAGCACCTATACCCAGAATACCCAGCTGAATGGCTCCCTTTTGGGTAGGAAACAGAAGAAAGGAAACCCATAAAACTCATGCTTCGTTATGATAATCCACAGTCTGTGTCCCGACGTCCGGGGTCCCCGCGGAGGAGGGGGGTGGGGGTGGTTGTCCATAGAGAAAGAAGGCGTAAAGGCGTGGACCAGTCGTCTATGACTGCTCCTTATGTTTGTGAGTCATGATAGACTGCTACTCCAGGGCCGGCCTAGGGCCGCGGCCAATGATCTTGCCAATCGTCGGCGAGCTGGCTGGAGGGCTGGGGTCCGTGGGCGTCGTGCCGGGCAGCGGGACGAGGCAGATGCCGATGCAGTCTGCGCCGCCGTTGTTGGGATCGCAGCTGTCGGTGGGATCGTCGTAGCACTGGAGGCCCGGCGGGCACTGAAGACCCAGGAAGCCGCGGCACTGCTTGACCCGCTTGGGCACGCAGATGCCGGCTCCGTCGCAGGTGATGCCGCAGCCGGGCACGCGGGGGTCGGACATGCATCGCGAGGACCTTGGGCAGGACTTTGAGCCGATCCCGGGGAGGAGCCCGCCGCAGGGCGGGTAGAAGCCGCTGTTGGGGTTGGGCTGGCTGGCGCCCGCAGCGACGCACTGCCCGATGCACCGCGTCAGGTCGGGGCATCCGGGGATGACGGGCACGCAGGTGGTCCCGGGCTGGGTGCAGGCGCCATACTTGTAGCCGCAGATGGTGGCGCTAGTGGTTGTTGCTGCCGCCAGAGCGGCGAGGGCAAGGCTGAGGCGGACCATGTTATGGTGTCTTGGTCTGCGGATGGATGGATATGTAGGGGAGAGGGTAGAGTGGTGTCTGTGGTTGCAATATCACACAAGGGACTTCCTCCAATGCCTCAAATTAATGTAATGTGACTAGGAATGGGCAATACGTGGATCCGGCTGCCTGGAAGAAGAGCAGAACAGCCTTCGATGAGTAAGTATATGATGGTTGTAGGAAGGACCGAGTGGAGCTCGAGATCGTTCCTACCGTTGTCTTATTGTGATGTGACTTGGAGATGCCTCCGATACCGTGAACAATAAAGTGCCGACTTTGTCTCTCTTTATATCCATGGTACTCTCACAGTCCTCGTAGCGCCTTCTTCTCGGACTCGATGGCCGAGATCTGTGGTGCGGGAAATGCCGATATGCCGCAACGTGGCTGCGAGAAGGTAGGTTTGCCCAAAGCCAAATCCCACTAACCACAATGCCAAGCTTCGCTCGTGGAGAAGGAGGAACATTCCAAGACCCCCGGGCTGAACCTTTTGCGCGACGCCACCCGCTCAGTGGTGGCTTGATATGGTGCGTGACCTCGGCTGTCCAATGCTTCAGCACACAGAACATGACCGAGACAAAGTCGAATCACTGGTCAAGATCACCAATGGGAAGGCTTGGGACTCACCAGAGACATCAACCAGTCTTACTGTGCTAGTTTTCACAGCCGCTCATGCAGATCATCTGCTCGCTACCGCGCGGATAGTCCCGTCGCTGCATGTCTTGGAAGCCCCACGGCCTGCAAGCGCTAACGCTTCTGCAGCCCCGGCTAAAAAGGAGGGTGACTGACAGCATGCAAGGGCAGGTCCTGCCGGCGAATTAGAGTTAGGCGGCCAAGGCCTTTGCGGGAGAACTGGGACACGAAGGTGAGCTCCGTGGCGGACGGCCTGGATCCAGCAGCAGAGCTCCGCCTCGCCTGCAAGCAGATGAATGTTCCCGATCCATCTCGCCGAGAATCGCTACTATCCTCAAGACTCCGTGGTATCGACCTAGAGCAAACACCGGGACTCTCACACCTAGGCAGGTGGCCAATGCAGGCGATCATACCAAGACGACGCTGGTCGTCTCGCTACGTCTGACCAGGCTCATGAATCAGTGAAATCTGCTGGTGATGACTTTCAGGTAGATCGAGCAGAAGACTATCAAGTACTGGCTCTGATGACCCCGCTGTGGCCTTGGAGGTCTCTCCCGCTGGCTGTTGAACCACTTGTGTTGCGCTATCGAGCCAATCGAGATCTCAGCTTCTGACCTCAGCAACGTATCACCAGGTGTGTCGTATCCTTCCGCCCGCGTAGCAATCATGCCGACATGACTGTCTTGGCCAGCTCCACCGCGCATGCGGCCCTGCGGGCCTGGCGAGTTCAGGTGACTCGCGAAATCTTGCAGCCACCGGGTGTTTGCATTGTTGCCATAGATTGCCCATCAAGTTACATAAAACCTCGGAGCTCGGAGCTCTCGCCCTGTAGCTCGACAGCCACACCTTGAATTCTCCCAAAGCCGCCTGGTCGAGACCACCTGGATAGATCGCTCTGGACGTGGCGACTCCTCCGGATCGGGAAAGAACGCCAGGATGAATTCGGGTGACCCAGTCGATAAGGTTTCCGCTATGCGATGAAACACGTGGGAAAGCACTCTCGAGGTAGGCGGTTAGCTGCGGAGAATAATGGTGCTGTGAACGTTTCGAGCTCTCCTGCCACGTTTTGCTACCCCGGGTTGTCGTGGTGCTGAAGGTCTGGAACACGGAAGACGAGGAACTATGATCTGTCCTAGGGTTTATGCCTTAGTCAGAGGACTTTTTGGATTGTCTAGGAACCCTCATGTCTCATGACACACCCGAGAGAGGACTTTGAGACAGTGTGTGTCAGTGGGGGGATAGTGACACGCGAAGGACCTTTTCAGCTGCAGAAAAGAGGACTTTCCTCGACAAAAAGTCCCAGCCAAGCCTTCTGATAACCAAGGCAGAGCATCACAGGCGGCACGCGAAGATGAATCCAGCTGCTTCCAGCTTGCAACGTCGTCAATGATCAAATACGACGCGCACCTCAAACTGATGCCACAACGGCGCACTACCGCCGTCCTTGTCCACAAGGTCCGCCTCGGACGGCTGCGGGAACGTAATGGTCCCTGCTTCGTGGTCCATGACTCTCTTTACCAGCCTCGACTGCACGTCCAACTTGCTGATTCTCGCCTTCCACTCGGGCCGTGCAGCAACCTCGTCCCACATGTCCTGCCAGCTCTGCACATCGTGCCTGTACATGTGACTAAAGTGCTTCTGGCTCTTGCGCAGGAAATGTCCCGGCTGGGCGTTGCCGACCTGTCCTCCCAAGATCAGGGCCGGGCCAGACTTTGCGTCCGCGGGGATGTCCTTGCGCAGGAGCCGCAGGCAGCGGTCCGCGACGGCCTTTTGCTGCTCGAGCGGAAACAGGTGGAACACGGTCGTGATGTGCAGGATGCTGACCTTGTCGTGCAGCTGGGTGAGCTTGTCCCGGGCGATGTCCTCCGGGGAGGTGAGCAGCATGTTCCCCGGGCAGAGGAAGTGGTCGCGGGAGAGCCTCCCTTCGTCCTGGAACAGCTCGAAGCCGTGGTCGATGAGCACCCGGGACACGTCGCTGGCGTAGATGCGCGCCGGGTCCGCGCCGTCGTAGATGAGCTTGCGGACGTCCTGGCCGAAGCACGTGCCGACGTCGAGGAAGATTGGGGCGTCACCTCTGTCATCTGCTATTTGCTGCTGCTGGCCCGTCTGATCGCCCTCGGGTCCGCCGCCGCCGTGATGTTCGGGCTCTGCCGGAGCGGAGCCGGCAGACTGGGGCGGCCGGAGGAGGAGTGGCGCGAGGACGTGCTCCGTGTAGGCCGGGTGCGCGGCGAGGTCGAGTCCGAGGTAGCGGAAGTTGCCTATGCATGGGTACGGGCAGTGCGTGTATGCGGCATCACGGATGCGTATGATGTGCGCGGCCTGCTGGGCGGGCGGGATCCCCGAGTAGTGGGTGAGGATGTCGGAGAAGAGCTTGGGGACGACGCTGAGGTCGCGTTGGACGTGTGTCACGTAGGACTTGGCGTCTGGCATGGACGGGTCCGCCATTGTGGCTCTGACGTCTTTCTGTCTTTGTTTACCTGGGCGTGAATGCTCGAGAGAAGTGAACTTGGAAGGTACACAGAGAGGGGGAAGATGAGGTTGATGGCTGCTAGCCCGTGAGGGGTTCTGTGCATACGCGTACGCAAGCTCCGTGGGCAAACACGTCATCTCGAGGCTCTCAATCAAATGGCTGCAAATATTCACCCCGCCATTGACATCGGGGGATCGCCGGCTAGTGTGCATTCTATGTAAGTCTCCTGACTCTTATGATTACTGCGTTTTGAACAAGAGAGGCCACAGTCGTGGAGATGCTGGGGTCGAGATTGCCCGATATTGTCACCACCTCAGCGACGCTGTGTCTAGCATCCGTGATACCGTTACCCTATGCTCTCCCAAGCCGTCAGCAAGAGGCACACCAGTCCGTCCAAGGCAATATGAAAAGGCTGGCCCTGCGGCAATCACCCACGAAGCCCCCGGCGTGTTTCCATGTGACATGTTACCCCTCTCTCTGTCCCGCCATCAACGCCGATTCATGCGTGACCACCGGGAGCCGAGGTTGGCCAACGTGAGACGATGCAATGGGCGGGATGCGAAGCAAGTCGACAGCTGGTCGGCCAATGTCTGGTGAGGACTTTTGGGATAGCCTTTGTGAGGGCATCTAAAGTGCGGGGAAAGCGAAGTGTACATGTCGAATGGATATCAAAAGATTGCCGGGAATGCAGACCACCACCCCCTGGTCGGTGATTAGCGGCAGCCAGGCCGGCCGCCGGCGTGGTTCCTGGCGGCAGGGGTCTCGCAGGGGCTCGGCGTGGATCCGCGATCCGCGTATTCCGTCAAACCAAGCAACCAATTGGTCCATCTCCACGAGCTGGCAGAGACAACCGCGGTGCAGACAACAATTGCTCGCACGGGCGTCATCCTCGCCTCCTCCTCCTCTTCCTCCCCTTATCGACCATTAATCGCATACATATCCATCAGATCTGAACCCAGCAACACCTCGACGACGCCCTCACCCGTGGTCAGGCACCCCAAACAAACATCACCAGAGACAGTTGCCCGCCATGGCGAAGCAGTGGGCGTCCACCGGCCCAATTGACGTCGAGACCAGCCCAGACAGCGTCCTCAACCTTGGCAAGGGCGTGTCGCTCGTCTTCTGGGACGTCTCGCTCATCGTCAAAGGTCCGTATTGCAGCGCTGATCCCCATCCCCATCGAGGCGTCTCGCCGCCGAGAGGACAACCATGCTAACCCCCGTTCCTCACCAACAGACAGAGCCCAGGCAAAGCGCCACCGCAACAAGAGCTGCGGCTTCGCCAGCGGCAACAGCCCGAACCAGCTCGCGATCCCTTTCTACAACATTCTCTGGGCCGAGGTCACTACCAATGCGTCCTCTTCTGCAATCACAATCGACTACGCTCTGCCGACGTCCGCGAAGCACGTCCGCCCAGAGAAGCTCACATACCCGCTAGGCGACGTCCCCGTGCCAGACGCCACAAAATGGACAGAGGTCCTCCTCGCCAAGGCCTACGGCAACTCGCAGCGCCGCAAGCGCGCCAAGGCCATCGTCAACCCTCACGCCGGGCCCGGAGGCGCCGACAAGATCTGGGACCGCGAGGTGCGGCCCCTTTTCGAGGCGGCGCGCATGCCCCTCGACGTCTCGCGCACGACGTATACCGGCGAGGCCATCACGATCTGCGAGCAGCTCGACATCTCCCAGTTCGACGTGGTGATCCCGTGCTCCGGCGACGGCCTGCCGTACGAGGTTTTCAACGGGCTCGGCAAGCGGCCCGACGCGCGCAAGGCCCTGAGCGACCTCGCCGTCGCCCACATCCCCTGCGGCAGCGGCAACGGGATGACCTGCAACCTGTACGGCTCCCCGCCGAGCCCGAGCCTCGCGGCGCTGGGCATCGTCAAGGGCGTGCGCGGCAAGATGGACCTCATGAGCGTGACGCAGGGCGACCGGCGGATGCTCAGCTTCCTGAGCCAGAGCCTGGGCATCATTGCCGAGAGCGACCTGGGCACCGAGAACATGCGCTGGATGGGCGCGACGCGGTTCGATGTCGGCGTGGTGCAGCGCATCTTTAGCAAAAAGGTGTACCCGTGCGAGGTGGCCGTCAAGGTCGAGATTGCCGACAAGCACGCCATCAAGGCGCACTACAAGCGGGTGCGGACCCAGGAGGAGGCCACACTGGCGGCCCTGGCCAATGGCGAAGACGTGGGCGGCGGCAGCGAGAAGCACGTGCTCGAAGAGCAGTGGGAGGGCGAGGGCTTGCCGCCGCTTAAGTACGGCACGATCAACGACAAGGTGCCCGAAGACTGGGAGCAGACGACATACGAGAAGATGGGCAACTTTTACAACGGCAATGTAAGTTCAAAACGCGGTCGCCCGTCTCTGCTTTCTTCTTTTGTCACTCACCAGTCTAATCGCGATCGCACAGATGGCATGGATGGCGCCAGCTGCCAATTTCTTCCCAGCTGCCTGCATCAACGACGGGCTCATGGACCTGGTGTACAACGATGGCGACCTGTCGGCCTCCAAGTACATCACCCTCATGACGGCTGTTGAGAGCGGCAAGTTCTTTGATAACCCGCACATGACGTACCGCAAGATCTCGGCGTACCGCATCACCCCGCGCGCCCAGACCCACGGGTACATCAGCATCGATGGCGAGAAGGTCCCCTTTGAGCCCTTCCAGGTTGAGATTCACCCCGGCCTGGCCACCGTGCTGAGCAAGACGGGCCGATACGAGGCACCCGGACCGAACGGGTGGGAGCAGGCGTAGAAGCGTGGCGGGAGCAGGCTTGGACAGGATCGAGAGTGGTTGCACGAGGATGGGCTGGGATTACCATGCTCCGCTGGAGTGGACGGCCGGGCACCTTATGAGCTGCAGGAACTGCGAGCTCTGCAATATGTAAATAATTTGGCGAGGCCTAGCAGTGAGAGAGAGAGAGAGATACCCCCTTTGTCAACACGTACTAATTTGGAGCAATATGGCGTTTTGCTTGTGTAGGTGGACTCAGCAAGTGTCTCTACAATTACTCGGAGCCGTTGTGATTCGGTGATCATGTAGTCAAAGTGGGTGTTCATTGTTGAACTCGCGAAGCGTCATCTCATGAATCCGGTCAACAGCGGGAACAAAACACCCGTAACTCATTATTTCTCTATCCCATGTCTTTGACGCTTTCCATGTTTCAATGGCGCATTGCCGACCAACGGCTGTGTACGTGAGTACAGCATTGAGAAGATAACCTCGCCGGCTTTTACATTTCAAGCACGATCAAACGCGAAGCCGTCAACGTCTCTCTAATCATCGAATCCACCCCAACCGTCTTCCTCATCGGCCGCACCACCCTCACCCATCTCCTCGTCGTCCTCCTCATCCTCGCCGCCTTGATTCCAAGGCAGGCGCTCGTCGGCGAGCGACTCCTTGGCCCGCGCCCGCACGGGCTTGCTGGGCGACTTGTGCTGCGCGTCGACCAGCTCGCGCAGGGCGTCGAGGAGGTATGACGTCTTTGGCTCCTCTGTGCTGCTGGACTCTTCCTCCGCCTCCGCCTCCTCGGACACGGCGGCTGCAACAACAAGACCAGCCTTCTCCGCCTCGTCGACCCAGAGATCCAGCACATGCAGCCTCAAGCCCACGGGGACCTTGGCGAGGTCTCCCGACTGCTCAAACGCCCACTCGCGGAATAACCCGACCAGGGCGGCCTGCCTTGTCCTGCTTGCGCTGTCCGAGTCTGTGATGTCGTCCTCTGCCTCCTCGTCCTGCTGAGACGCCTTTGTTTTCCTCTTCGTATTCGTCGCCGCAGCCTCCTTCTTCTTCTTCTGTGTCTTGTTCTTCTTCGCCGCCTTCGCCTTAGCACCCGCAGAGGACGCGGTGGTAGCCCAGACCAGCGACGCCGCAAACATCCGCCTGACCAACAACAAGAACTTCTCCAGCCTCAGCACGTCAATCGACGTCCACTCGCGCGCAATCGTCTCCCAAAACGCCGCGAGCCAGCCAATCACCACCTTGACCTCGACACTACTCTCCTCCTTGTCGCCGCCGCTATTGTTGCCTGCGGCTCCGGAGACGTCGGCCCTCCGCGCCGCAGAGGCAATCACGTCCACCAGGCCCGCCAGCTCGGCGCACAGGTTCTGCTGCGGGACGGGGCGGTCGCACATCCACAGCGAGTAGTACAGGCCCTTCCAGAGCTTGAGGTTGTCCGTGTGTGAGAGGCGCGCGGTCGACGCCGAGGCCGAGAGGAACGTGCGCAGCGTCTCGAGCGCCGAGGTGCGGATCTTGCGGTCTGGTTTCATTTTGCGTCGAGTTAGCTCTCACTCACTCTCTCTCACATTCTCTCTCTCCCTCCCTCCCTCGCTCTTTCTAGTCCTCTTTTGCTTTCCTCCGGGGTGACCTAGGACCTACCACTGGAAGCCAGGTGCTTGATAAACGGCATGCTCTGCGTGTCTGCCGCCATTTTTGCGAAAAGAGATTCGAGCGACTCCCGTGTGTGTGTGTGTGTGTGTGGCTGGATGTCTATGGATATCTTTCGCGCGCGCGCGACGCAAGGCAAGGCGAACTGGGCACGGAGATTCTTGTGTGTGTCGTCCAGCAGACCTTTCCGATACGGCCTGCTCTACTCGATGTTCTCTTCGTCGCTATTTCCGGGTCCGGATCGATTGTCGCAGGAGATGCACGGCTCTTTTCTTTTTCTTTTTTCCCCCAAGATTTAGCCTCGAGTATGTTACAAGTCCCGGCGCAGCGAGCGTTCTGGTCCGACTGTGACTGTCCGTGTCGCAAATGTTGGCGTTCAGTCGAAATGTCCGGTGCAGGCAGGACGGGAAGTCTTGCAGCAGCGAAAAAGTCCCCTGGCGATTGGCCATGCGCAGAACCTCTAGCAAAGCTTCGGGGACCCGTCCCCGCGACCGATAACAAAATTTTAGTGGAGCCCTCGGCGCCAAAACTCCTTATCCAGGCTTATCAGCTCGGACTAACCCGCCCAGCTCGCGCATGAGATGGCCTCCCGGATTTAAGCGTTGCTCTATTCACAATGCAATTTCCCAGTAGAGGCATTCCCGAGCTTATCTATGGGCACAATTGCAAGCCAGGCATACCAAACTTGAAGTCATTAAATCATTGAATTGTGTGCATCTCCCGGCGCCGCGCGAAGTCAGCCGCGTCATAAGCTGACCAGCAAATACCCTGATTTGCGGGTAGTATCAAGTACATGGGTAAACTACAGGGCTGATCCGAAGGATCTCTTTTTCGTAAAGTCATGAAAGCATCGCTACTTCTTCCACTTCCCCACCTTATCGTCCCCGTATCCATCATATCACAGCGTGACTCGTAGAGTCTATTGTTGAGAAAGCGCTGGCAAATGTCAAAAACATTTACAACTCGACCTTGTCCTGGACCTTCTGCTTGGCAGCAGTAGAGCCGGCGCCGACCTGGTCAACAACCCACTGGTATGCGCCCTTAACGCTCTCGCCCAGCTTGGCAAACGCGGTGCCAGAGGGGCTCGAGGTGCCGTACTTGAAGTAAGTGGACTGCTTGCGGGCTAGAGCCTTGAGCTGGTTCAAGGTCGAGCCCTGGGGAACGGGAACGCCGTAGCTGTCGAGGTAGGCCTTGAGCTCGCTCTCGCTCCAGGTGTCGAAAACATTGGACTTGGCGGCCTCGGTGGCCAAGGCGAGGTAGTTGGTGGCAGATGCGTAGCTGTCACCACCAGCGCTAGAAGCCGAGGCGTACGCAGATTGCGCGGCAGCGAGCAGCTCGTCACGGGTGGCACCACTGCTCTCGCTGATCTTCTTGCCGGCCTCGTTACCACTGCTGGCGAGATAAGCCTTGAGCTTCTCGTAAGAAAGGTCGTCCCAGGTCCATGCGTTGAACCCGGAAGCGGCCTTGTGAGCGTTCTTGCGGACCAGAGCACGGAGCTCGTCGGTCTTGGATGCCTGGGGGACAGGGATGCCACGGGCATCGAGGTAAGCCTTGAGTCTGCTATCGGACCAGGTGGAGACAGCCTCGTCGAAAGCCTCCTGGGCAGCCAGGCTCGCATCGTTGGTGGCCTTGGCGTACTGGTTGCCGGCCTTGCTGGTAGCAGCGCCAAAAGCACTGGCGGCGGTGCTGCCCACGGTGTCACCGAGGAGAGCAGCACGGCGCTTGCGGACGAGGGCACGCAGCTCGTTGGTCTTGGTGCCTTGAGGGACTGTGAGAAAGCTGTTAGCCTTTAGAGTTGCTTCCAGTCGTGTAAAGTCCACTCACCGTTGATTCCGTTCTTGTCGGCAAACTCCTTGAGCTGGGACTCGCTCCAGGCGTCAATAATCTTGTCGGTGAGAGTAGCATAGGCGGCATTGGCACTGGCGGAAGCCGAGGCCGCCTGGTCCTGGGCCTTCAAGTAGGCGATGCGCGAGTTGCGGCGAACCGACGCAATGAGCTTGTCACGCTGCGGAGGCTGTTAGTCAACTGCGATGCCTTTCATCCAAACGCATGTGACTAAGAACTTACAGTGGTAGGCTGGGGAGCAGGGAAGCCGTGGGTATCGAGCCATTCCTTGAGATCAGACTCGCTCCAGGATTCGTAGAGCCAGTTGCCAGGGTAGGCGGCCGCCTCGCCGGCCTTCTTGGCTACAGCCTCGTAGTTGGAACGGGCCTTCTGGAGGAGGGTGTCACGGTTGCGCGGTTGGGGGACTGGAGATTACAGGTTAGCCACATGCTGCGCCGCAGTGTTAATTTGCCAAGGGTTCCGTATTTACCAGGAATGTTGTGCTTGTCGCAGAAGGCTTTGAGAGAGCTGTCGGTCCAGGTATCGAGGATCCAATCGCGGGCGTTACTCCAGGCGGACTGAGCCTTGTCCTCGGTCTCGTACCAGCTGTTCTGGACCTGCGAGACGAGGGCGTCCTTGTTCTCGACCGCAGCGTTCTTGGTCTCGATGCCGCGGGCCTTGAGATAAGCAGCCAGGCTGTCGGTATCCCAGTTCTTGTAAGGCGAGACCGCATAAGCGTCCCAGTTGTCTTGGATGATCTTCTCGAGATCCTTGCGGTCAGCCGGGGTAGGGTAGGGAATGTCGTGGTCCGACAGCCAGCGCTCGAGTTCCGTCTCGTGCCACTTGTTGTATGCTGGAGATGTGTGTGTTAGCACGATGGCCGTGAGATGGCTTTTGTCCCTGGTTTTCTACAACTCACCAGCCTTGCTGAACCAGCTGCTGCTGGCGACAGCATTGGTCGCCAGCGCGAGGGAGACGACGGTTGTCAACAACCTCATTGTGACGTGAGCTGTGTGTGAGCTGTGTCTGATGAATGAACCGCGTTGCTATGGTCAGAGTACCGCTTTGTGTGAGCTTGGAAGAGCTACAAAGCCTTGATCTCGAGTGCCCAGAATGTATGTGGGTATGAAAGATGTGTGTGTGAGAGGCAAAGACAGCGGCAGGAATAGTGCGGCAGGTTGAGTTTTGTGTGCGCCGTGGCAGGTCGAGACTCGTGTGCTTTTCCCGAGCTGGTGTGGAGAGACATGGCGTCGAGGCAGGCAGGGACGCAGGCATCCGGTGGCTCCAGAAATGCATCACGTCACTGTGTTGTTTGTGCACAGTCATCAGCTCGCCGCGTTTGCTCCTGCCCTGCCTTGGCCACTTCACAACGACTGGAGCTCCATTAAGGTTGCCCACAATACTCTATTGCCGCAAGTAGCCTCTACCCGTTTTTGCTCGGCCCATAACGTTCTCGTGGCTCACGAGCAATTCCCATGCCTTCTGGAGCGAACTCTCTGACACGCCGTCTAGCGATCCTCGAGCAGTCATGCTGCTGCGGGCAGAGTAAAGCCTACGCCTAGCTACACTTTGGTCTCCAACCCAACTCTTCTCGCTGCTTTCTCATCCTGCTACCACAAAGTCCTGGCCTTAGCTTCAGCCACAGTAAGTCCTCAATACTTGAAGCAAAATGCTCGATGGGCAAACATTGTGCCAGCCCAGCATCACGTTTCCATCCAATGACGTAACCACGTCACCCTTTGGGGCTCAAGCTCCCTCGCAGAAAGCGGGGAAGCGAACCTGGCACACCACGCAAGCTGCCAGATGAGCAGCGCCAGCGCCCAAAGCTACAAGGCCCGCAAGCCTGGTGCACAAGCACGAGCTTTTTCCTCCCATCGCCAGCAAGCTGTGAATTGATGCATCTCGATCGCCGCAGCCGTGGGGTGTCTGACTTAGCTCTTTCGTCACTGCCCAGGTGCGTTTCGATATTAAGGTGGGGAAGGACAAGGCCAGGGAGCCTGTCAGTGGTCGATCAGCCGCACGACATGGGTGGGCCGGGCAGAATGCTCCGGTGATGTCATGGTCCCTTACAGGACCACCACCATTGCCTGCTCTACCTGGGGAGCTGGACATCTGTAACCGAACAGGGTCAACGGGCGCTCCTCGACGACCATGATGTTGAAGAGGCCCGGAACAAGGGTGGCATCCAGTGCTACTGGGGAACACGCAAGTGTCTAGAATGTGCCCTCCGTGAATCTACGGAAAGCCAAGGAAGCCAACACGCCAGGGCGAGCATCTTGGAAATCTACTTTAGGACCTCAAGCACCTTTTGAATGTCACCCCCGCAAGAGTTTGAATAGAAGAATTACCGGCCTTGGCTGCTGCTGGAGACGCAAGGGCCCGATATACATACTCGTGCCGCGCACGGACGGACGACCTAGATATGAGTTTCTCCACGACAGTCTCATCCGAGACTATATCGTCCTGTATCATACTCGAATGCTTGTTAACATACAAAACGCGCAGTGCGCATGTATCCAGTCATGCTGGCATATTATCCATTGCACAGAAATGGGAACGCTGATCCCAGCACTAGGGTTGTTCCATGCAGAAAGCAGAATACGTGACCTCCAAGAGCTGACTGCAAACAACACTTAATGCTCACCACCCAAGTGGAGACTTTATGTGTCCGAAAATTAGGGTCTGGTAGTGAGTGGCTTTGGCACAGGTCATCACAGAAAACTGGCTGGAAACGACGCAATCTCGAGAACAAATAAATTGGTATCGTGTGTAAACGTGAGCAAACCAAATGATCTGAAGCACCTTCCGCAATGCCCAGATACTGGTATTGAAAGACAGAACGCCTGAAACTCCAGCTGTTTATATCCCTATGACATGGCAGTTTTGTTGAAATTTCTCTCTTTTACAATGCCCTGCACTTTCCTCAGGACTGTCATCTTTGAATGCCTCTGGCAACGGCTAGTGGTGCGGCCCATTCTGACCATAGCCGTTGTGGCCAGACTGTGTGCTGTCATACGTCCCAGTCGCAGTGTTGGCATAGCCGGATTGTGGGCTGCCGTATGTCTGTGCTGGCGAGGCTGCCGGGTGATTGCCCAGCAGGCTGGGGTTGTAATGGTCTTGGGAGCCCGGAAGCTCAGATGGCGTGTGGCCAACCAGCTCAGATGGGGTATTGCCAACCGCGCCGAGTTCTTGTGGAGGTTGCTGATACGGCTGGTGTTGGTAAGGGTATTGCCCGTAGCCCTGGTAGCCCTGCGTGCCGTACGGGCTCTGCATAGACGCTTCCGGCGAGCCCGGCTGGTTCTTGACAGGCTGGTAATAGCCGCCGTGAGGAGACTGCTGGTACTGCTGCGGGGGAATGGGCTTCTCGCCATGGCCAGCCTCGGCCGCACTGCCAGCACCTGCGGCGGCAGCGCGCTCCGCCTTGTCCTTCTTGTGGCGGCGCCAGAAGAAAACCGCAAGGCCGATGATGGCCAGCGCGCCGATCGCTATGCCGACGCCCATACCAGCCGTGGCACCAGTGGACAATCCAGTGCTACCCGTGTTCGCGGGAGTGGTATTGTTTCCTTCATTGACAGGGCTGACTGATTGCCCCGAATTGACGTCGTCGGTAGTGAGTGCCTTCCATGATCCCGACCACGACTCCTTCCAGTCGTTCTGGCTGGGCTTGATCGTGTTCTCGTCCTTGCCAAGCTCAATAACGCTGGCTGACGGCACATTGGGACCTGGGGCTTGTGCCAGCCACCATGTCTCCTTGCCCCAGTTAGCGCCTATGAATGCATCCTGGAGAAAGGCGCGGCCTAGAGTGTACGAGTCGGATCCGGTAAAGCAGGGGAAGTATGGCGTGTCGCTGCTAACCAGCGGTTGCTGCAGAGTCAGGTTTAGATGTCTGAAGGGGACCGATATCGTGACGTTCTTGGTGTTCGAGCCGGCGAGGAAGGTGAATCGCAGGGCAGACGCTGAGCTGACGATCTGCGAGTACTTGACATCGTCTGTGTTCCATGTGTATAGGCCTAGCTTCTTGTTGAACTTGACTGGGAGATGACTGGCCAGCGCGTCGCACGTCGACTTAGGAAACGTCAAGTAAGGGGAGCATCCGTCAACCTTGACATCGATGCCGCCGGAGGAGATCGAGTTGTTGCCAGCCGCAAGGAGCCCACCAAGAGATGTGAAGTTCCAGGGAGACTGGCCATCGAGGACATCGATGGAGATGTCCTTGAGACTCAAGGTCGAGTGCGTGCTGCCCTCGCCCGTGAGCACATCACCCACGATCCGGTTCTGATCATAACCGCCAAAGTAGAATGAACCCTTGATTGGCGGGTTGACTGAGCCGATGTGCATGCCGAAGGAGTTGGACTTGATGCTACCTTTGGCTGAGAGGTAGCCGGGAATCAAGCTGGCATTGACAGCAGGACCGAAATCGTTGGAAAACGTCTGGTTGATCGTGCCGGGGGCACCATAGCCCATGCAGCCGACCGTAAGGGGATACGCGTCACCGCCAGGATATTGTGCAAAAGCATTGCTGACCAGAGCCATAGACACGTTGGCAACGGTGACATCTCCGATGTTCCAGTAGTCCACCCATGACTTTGCCTTGCCACCAATAATGTTGACCCCGTTCATGAAGTTGGACCCTGGAGCATACTGGATGAAGGCATCGGAGCCCGACTGCTCAAGCTGCGACTGTGCCGAGTTGTAGAGACCAGCCTGGCTACCGTAGCAGGGCAGACTCTTGTTTTGGTTGCAGTAATCACTAGTGAGCAGGTAGCTGGCGAATTCGGCACCGGGATACATGGCGATCGGTTGTTGTGTGCTGAAGCCGATATCAATCTCGACAGCCGGCCACGGTCCATCGGGACCATATGTCGACCCGGACCATGTCAAAGCAATAGGCTCTGCCGTCACAGACGAGAGGAGGAAGAGGTACGGAAGTAGCGACAATGGCAGACGAGGTGCCACAGTGGACGCCATGGTCGTTGGTGTGCCTATCGTGGCGCTTGCTGGGTGAATGGGGCTCTTCCAGACCAGAACAAAAAAAAAACCCAAAACAAACGAGCGTCGTGGGTTGTCGGTGGACGTTGAATCCAACTGGAGGTCTAGAGTCGATCTTCGCCCTGGCGGAAGGGACGGGGAGGAAGGCGAGTTGTTCAGGTCAAAGAGTGAAACGAAGAACAGGAATCACGCGGGACGAGAGACAGGCAGGCAGGCAGGCAGGCAGGATTGGGAGAGGATCGGAGCCGAGAGGAAGAAATGTCAGGTATACCCCGGCTGGGCGAGTGGGCGGCCAAGCTTGCCATCTGCTCTGGTCTGACATGATAAGGCTCGGTGCGTCTAGTGCTTCTCCATCAAGCACGCGCGTGGATCAGGGATGGCCTGCAAATTTCCATAATTGGACTTGCAGCCAGGGCTGGGCTCGGCGCGAGCCTAGTCGGGGCCGCCCCAGCCATGAAAACCAGCAGGGCTGTGCTGAGCAGCGCTGAGCAGGTCGACCAGGCGCCTGGAGCCCGACGGGGAGGAAGCAGAGAGGCGGGTGTTGTGCATCTGGCCTGGCCCCTGGAGCGAGAGCGAGCCCACGCCCTGCCGCGCAACTTCTCAAAACGGCGGCCTGGCAGCGGCCGAGTATCTGTGCGACATGCTCTCGAAGCTCACGGCTGGGATCCGTCCGACCTTGTTTTGCACTGTCTGATTGCCTTCCTCAAAGATCGTTTGCAGTCTTGCTCGAGAGTGCAGTGCCTACCCGCAGACTCAGGGGTCGTCCTCGTCGTCAAGAGCCATCCATGTCGCAGCTAGAGGGCCCGAAGGATTGACAGCCCTGTCGTTTTCGACGAGGGCTGTCTCGAGTCTGTGACGGGTGCGGCGGGCGGGCGACGGGAGTGGCTGGCGGTGAGGTGACAGGGCGGTCGAGGGGATTGGACGGGGGCGTTGGAGGAGGCGCCTGGCGTCAGTTTCAAGATCGTCGGCGTCCAATCTCCCTCGCTCCCCACAGCCTCGCAGACTATGCTCAGCTGGGCCTGGCGGCGGCCCCGCTTGTCAGCATTTAGCCCCGCGACCCTGGTCTCACAGTATCATTATACCTGTCTGCGTACACAAGGAAGCTGGATGGGATCGTCGCAAGGCAGAGAGCGTGGCTAGGCCGGCTCGTCACAGCAGGAAGTCAGGCGTCTCTGTGCGCAATCTGGCCAGGCGAATTGGCTGGCTGTTGGAGCGACTGAGGTCGGTGGCCCGCCGAAAAACAATTTGGAGGCACCGCAGGCTGGCCATCGGAATAAACTCCGTCTAGGGCTGTGCCTGGGGCCCAACAGCTGGAGATTCGGCCCTGCGAGCAAACTCGTAGCCGCAGGAGCCTGCAGCACGGGACGCAGAGACACAGGGTGGTGCATGCTGCAACGTGCGCGCGTGTATGGGGCACCCGGCAACAGTACCCAAAATTACGCTACCTTGCAACCCTCCAGCAACGCTCCCAAGGGGAACCGTCCGGCAGCCTACAGACCAGTTCGACAAAGAGTAATGAAGGCCTAAGATGTGGCAATGGGCGGTTACACAGCTTGATCCTGACCAGTCCGCAAGAGCAACGCCTATTGGCGTGGTATATTTGCCACGTTCTGGAGGCAGTCTGACATCTCTCTTTGCCCGCCGCCGCGGTGGAGTGGCGAGGCTTAGCTCCCAAAAATAGCCCACCACCTACACGCCTTCGTCTTGCCATGGGCGATTGTATCTTCCGACGGCCAGGGCCAATCGTCGATGACGCGCGCGTGTGAGGTCCGGAGCACTTCTTTGCATTCATGGGCTGCGGCATCAGCTCACTCAGTCAATCAAGTTTCTCCTTGTGGTTGCCCACCGGCTTGTCTTCTGCATCTCCGACATCGAACTTCGGAGTCTTCGCCCGGGACGTTGGTCCCGCCATGCTGAGCGAAGTTCTCCAGGAGCATCTCCAAGAGCACCTGGGCATGTCCACCACTCCACTCAGAGCCAGGGCCGCTCCCGTGAGCGCCAACGCTAGGTTGTGTCTGACAAGAGAAACACTACGGAGTATTAGTGCCAACCTTGCGTGGTCGTGCGCGGGCATTGTTCAAAGGTTGCTGCTTAGCGCTGCCGTCGGCTGCGAGGTGTCAAGTGCCCCGCGTGGCTTGCCTGGCTCGCCTGGTAATGGCGCTTTGGGGCATCCAGAATGACTCCTGACAATCATTGTGCTCAGTGCTGGATACACTAGGGTCTGGCGAATAGTAGAGCCCCAATCCAGGCGTGGGCCGGCTTTGCCATAACCACAATACTCCCCGGGAGTGGATGCTGTGTTCCCCTGCTTACCATGTACTAAGGTAGCCTGCCGGTTACAGCGTGCGTGGCCCCCTTGGGCACCATAGTATTCTGCCTCCACTGCCTGCTGCACGGCAGCCTTGGTGCATAGCGGTGCATGCGTCCAGGGCAGCCTTGTCTGTCCACAACGCCAGCACACCATCTTTAATCTGCGCAGCGTCGTCACCACCCCGGCACGCTCTCGATTTTGACGGCAGTCAAACACCCTCGCCACAGCAGAGCTCCAAATGACCTGGTGATTCTCTCGCCCTTACATCCCACGAACTCCCTTCGACTCCATTACCGATCAGTCATCATACATCATCACCTGGAGCCGCCCGCATTGCCTGCCACGCCGCCATGGCGCCCTTCTCCGCAGCCTGGGCCTCGCTCACCGGCTACAGCGCCGTCCCAAAGACCGAGACGTCAGGCTCCGAGTCGACCTCCTCGCTGAACCGTCCGACACTAGCCCAGATCCTCGCCTCGAAACAGGTCCGCTACGCCGCCTCCATCACCGCCGTCGTGGGCGTGTTCTACCTCGCCTTCCACAACTATGACCGCCTGCCGTCCCTCGACGACCTGCGCGGAGGCGCCGCCTCGTCCAGCTCAAACTGCGCGCCGGCCGTCGTGCCGCCATACAACGAGAACAGCGTCGACTGGTCGCGCTTCGCATACACCCAATATGTCACCAACAAGCAGTACCTGTGCAACTCGGTCATGATCTTCGAGACCCTGCACCGCCTCGGCAGCAAGGCCGACCGCGTCATGATGTACCCAGAGTCCATGATGGACCCGGCCGAGAAAAACCCGACAAACGAGGAGGGCAAGCTCATTGCCAAGGCCCGCGACGAGTACAAAGTCAAGCTGCAGCCCGTGTCCGTGCAGAGGCGGGCCGGTGGTGATGGTAAGTCTGCAACAAGATCCGCAACTGCCTTTCCCCACTGTCCGTGATGAGTGGGAAAGTTGGAGCTGACAGATGTTCCCCGTGTCGCAAACAGCAACCTGGGCCGAGTCCTTTACCAAGCTGCTCGCGTTCAACCAGACCCAGTACGACCGCGTCGTCAACGTCGACTCGGACGGCACGATCTTGCAGGTCATGGACGAGCTGTTCCTGATGCCCCCTTGCCCGGTCGCCATGCCTCGAGCATACTGGCTGTTCCCGGACAACAAGATCCTCTCTTCGCAGCTGATGCTGGTGCAGCCGAGCGCGGTCGAGTTTGACCGCATCCTGAAGAAGATGGACACGGCGGGCCGGGACGACTACGACATGGAGATTGTCAACCAGCTCTACGCGGACAGCGCCATGATCCTCCCGCACCGGCCGTACGACCTGCTCACCGGCGAGTTCCGCTCCAAGGACGAGGACCACTACAAGTACCTCGGCACGGACCGCGAGGCCTGGGACCCCGTGGCCGTCTTCAACGAGGCCAAGTTCCTGCACTTCTCCGACTGGCCCGTCCCCAAGCCCTGGATCCCCAGCACCTCGATGCGCGAGCAGCATCAGCCCGCCTGCGTCACCGACAAGCAGACCGGCGCAGAGGACTGCACGGCCCGCACGCTGTGGAATGGGTTCTACAAGGACTTTGAGACGCGGCGCGCCGACGTGTGCAAGACTTCGTCGAAGAAGGCGAGGAGGTGAGGCGGCTGGGTGGTGGTCGTGGGTTCTGGGATGACAATTGGAGGAAGTGGAAATGAAGGATTGACGTGGGCTCGAATTTCAGTTATTTTTTCATCCCCCCAAGAAGGGAGCAACAATTTCTGTTGAAAAAGTGCATGGGCCCTCGTTGGTGCTTTTTTGGGCGTTGCCAAACATTTCTTGTAAAATGCTGTGATACCAGTTTCAAGAAAGCAAGCCATATCTTTGTATCGACTGGATCGATTTTTCTTTCCAAGGGACGCCCTCCCCATGACTAATGAATACCATTATTGACGAGGAAGAGAGCAAAAGTATTGCATGGCTTTATGTACGTGCGTTGTGTGCGGGGAGACATCTCATATCTTTGTGTGTGTGAAAATCAGTACGCACAGATTCAGCACGCCTGCCTTTGCCCATTGTGCCCTATCTGGATGGACGGACTTCCGTGGGTCACATCAAGATGTTTGATTGAGCGCGCGCGAGAACTATATATTTTGATTTGCTGTCGTTGGAAACCACTCCCCCTCGACGGAGATGTATTAGTAGACTCGTAAAGAGGACCGCGGTACTAAGTTAAAGTCAAGGAGAGCTGCAAAGATGATATATACACGGGAAAAGAAAAAAGAAATGAAAAGAAACGAAAAACAAGTGCATGTCTTCTCTTTCTTTCTCGCTTAGCCTTGCCACGCCCAGCCGCGCATTCTCCGTGTCATGTTTTTGAGCATTGGCGAGAGGCGAGATGCCATCGGCATTGATAGGGAGGATCGGACCACGGAGTCTGGCGAGGGCGAAGGTGGAGATGGCTTGGTGGGAGCGATAGTTCGTGATGCCGTGAAGGCTGTTGGTGACGAGGACGAAGACGGTGATGATGGTGAAGACGTAGGTATAGACGTCGCTGCGGTAGAAGCCATGGACGGGGCAGCTGAGAAAGCAGAATTGTCCGAGCCTGCCGAGGAGGCTGACACGGGAGACCAGGCGTCAGCCGTGGACGACGTCGGAGATGGAGGAGCGGCAGAAGAAGAAGAAGCGGCGGCGGCTGTATCAGCGAAGACCGCGCGGCCCTCGCCCGAATCCAGGACACACTCGATGACGCACAGGCTCTCGGACCGGCCGCTGCGATCCCGGTGGACGCCGACCACCCGTAGGCCGGCCTCGCTTGCGAGCTGCCGCCACTTGTCTAGGCTGCGCTGCTTGCCGCCTAGGGAGAGCATGATCATGTCCATTGCCGACATGCGGACGCTGGGCGGGTCTTCCATGACGTCCTCCTGGATCAGGAGCCTGCTTTCCCGGGGGCACATGCTCGAGGCAATGACGCGCAGCATGTTGCGTGCTATGCCGTCAGGGAAGTTGAAAAGGCAGCGCCGGATGAAGTAGACGTAGGCACCTAATGAAGACAAGAAAGAGAGGTCAGCAATGGGGATTTGTAAATAAAATCTGCTTGACGTCTAGCAGAAAACGTTTCAAACTGAAAGGGCTGCCGCAGACTGACCTTTGATGGGCTGCTCGTTGTGAAAATCAATGACCATCTTGGACACGTCTCGCAACCCCGGGTCGTCCATGGCCTTGACCTTGCCGACCACCCCGGCGCGGTCCTGAAGGACGAAGCGCGAGGGCTGCAGGTCCGGGTTCTCTACCATTATGGCCTTGCTGGCCTGGCCCATGCCGCCGCCCACGTCGACAAAGACCGCTCTCTGGCCGCTCGCTGGGAAGCCTGCCGACAATGGGGTTTCGGGGCTCTCCTGCTTCACACGCTCTGCCAGCCAGCTAAAGTCGTAGATCCCGGCACTCGGCATGTTGATCTCCATCGCCCGCATCTGGCGGCCGAAGCGCTCCATGCGCTCCGGGTCCTTCTCCAGGATACTGTAGTAGGTATCTTCCGGCATGCCGTACGCAAAAGTGCTGGGAACATGGTTCATGGTCTGAGGTTCCTTGCGTCCATATGTCTGGAAGAAGCGAGGTTCCTGTGCAAACGGCACCATGCAAACCTCCCAGCTGCGAGATGATTGTTAGCACTTCTTGCTTTTATGCCAATGAAGAGAGACAAGACGGTGATGACGGAGATACTTACAAAAGCTGGCACCGCTTCCCGACGGACTCTCCCTCTCTCAACTCCAAAGACTTTGCAGTGTGGGCAACTGAGTGCGTACTGGTCTGCGCAAGCACCCCATGGGAGACGAGCACTCCAGCAAGTCTCCTGACAAGTGCCTCGTCGGCGTCCACTAGCGCGGCCAGTTCACTAAGTGACATTTCGGCCCCTTCTCCTACAGGAATCTTATCGAAAGCCTTCCACGTGCTGAACAACTGGCGGGCTGTGAACAAAGCACATTGAGTCATCATCTCTGAGGCCTGGTCATCCGCTGGTGAGGCTGCCATTTCTTTCGAGATACGGCTCAGCTCTGTTGTGAAGACCTTTTCCTCGATACTGTTGGGCTCAGGGTCCACACGTTCGAACTCGAGTAATGCTCGAGAGTACTGGCCGTGGAGATCCTTGAACCGTGCCGCCCGCTGGTTCCTGGGACGTGGGGAAGGGTGCTGAAGGCTGAAGGCGAGTGCTTCGGGCCCGGCCACGACTGCGGCACTGGCGCTGCTCAAAGCTCTCTTGAGCAAGCCGTCCACTCTTGCTCTACGCAAAAGCGAAAAGGGCCAGCCTTGCGTGGCCATGGCTGGGGACTGCGGAGAAGATTGTAGAGAAGCTGTTACGGATGAAGGTTTGATGTTAGTCCGTGAGTATGTGCATGTGTGTGTGTGAAGAGATCAACACTCTGGGAAAGTCCCGTGGCTCAGGTTTGGGTCGCCCGACTTACACATAAAGGGCGATTCTTAGCACTATTAGAGTTGGGACCAGAAGACTGGATCTGAGGGTAAGACACCACAAAATTGGCGCCGATACTCGTGACGCTACTGTCGATCTAGCGTCGCCAGCTGCTAGCTACGCACCTGGGCACGTAAGCTGATCTGAGTGTGACAGCAACGGCGGTGGAGTTTGCCGGTGAAACCTGCCGCAGCCCTTGGCTAGCCGAGTCTAGTCTGGAGCTATTGGTGGTCTTGTGCGGAGGTTGCCTTAGTGAGCAGTGAGTCTGACATCTAGGAGGAATCGAAAGGACCGAGGCAGCGTGCCAAAGGACGAAAGGATGGGAGTGCTCGACATGACTTAAAAGAACGCGCCAGATGTCGTCGCTGGAGAAAGTGGTGGCACAAAGTAAGGGAAAGTTCTCCCGGAGACTTTGTAGCGGAGTGGCCTGACGCATTGTCGATGGTACTTGGACATTGCAATTGCCAAGGCAAGAGACTCAATCTCTTCCTCGGCGAGTTGCAAGCATATGGAACATTGTTGGTCAGCCACGAGGCTTCCTGTCCTGGACGACTCGGAGGTGGCAAGGATGTGCCTTGTCCAGATGCAGGGATTAGTTCAGGCGCACGCGGGATGAGTGGGAAATAGCAAACAAGACGGCCTCGATTCCTCCAAGACGCCGTCATGGAGTGCTCCAGCGTTGGAGGCACTGGCCGCCATGATGGGCAGCCACGCGCCGTGATTGTTTGCCAGCGACTGTGATGGCGTCGCACAGGGCCAGCGTGAATCAGCCGCATCGCAGTGTCAATGTACAGATCGGGACATGGCGAATGCAAGGGCGGGAGGCTCCGGTCGGGATCCGATCAGCTGGGAAACATTGTGCCGTCATTGTGTTGTTTCATGCTTTGTTTTTCTCGCTGTGATGGGCCTCGCTGTCGCTCCTGCCACTACCGCACCTCCGCGAGACATGCCGGTGCGGCGTGTGGAGCCGCTCTGCATCACCCAAACCAACCCAGTGGGTATCTGTTCATTCGAAAAGCTGCCCCAAAACCCACATGACGATATCTTGTTGGTGCCATGTGGCCAATCTGGCCGGCGCTTTTTCTTTTTCCTCCTGCCACTAGTATGTGACAGGCCTGCAGTAGTGGGTGATCAGTGCGTCGGCCAGAGCCTGAACTCGACCATAGCCACGAAGCCACGCGTACCCCGTCACATCACGATCGTCTCAGCACGCGTGATACGAACGACTGCGAACACTATTCGCGAAAAAGCGAAGCGAAATTCTGCACCGCGCGGAAGGTGCCGGTGCGAACCCCGACCTGGGCTATGGCCACGAAAGGACGGAAGCGCCAGTCGCCTGGAGGAAGCTCTGCTTCCAGTCACATGCTGCGCACCACCATAAACCTGTGACGAGCTCTCCTAGTAGCCATCACGATATCAGCACATGGGATATTGGCAGGCTGCCGACGGAAGATGAGAGATGGATCTGGGGCAGAGCCGGCCCTCGTCAATCTGCCAAGCTTCCCCGGAGCCGGGAGAACGGCTAAATGCCTTGTCCAGCTCCGAGAGTGGGGCCGGAGCGCGGGGGGCTTTTAGCCGGGGGGTCACGAGCGATGCCGGCCGCCACGATGCTCGCTCACCGGCTCACGAATAAATTTGCATTCGCAGCCAGGCGGAGGCGGTGCTGCCGGTCAATATATGACCTCTCTCCCCCCAGATCGGATCGTCCTGTGAGGCCTCGAAACTGCATCATCATCCCCAAGTCCCAGCATGCCCCAAGTCCGCAACCCGATCCTGCCGGGGTTCAACCCGGACCCCTCGGTCCTCCGCGTCGGCGATGACTACTACATTGCCACGAGCACGTTTGAGTGGTACCCCGGTGTGCAGATCCACCACAGCAAGGACCTCGCAAACTGGGAGCTCGTCTCGCCTCGCCCGCTCAACCGGGCCTCGCAGCTCGACATGCGTGGCGACCCGGACAGCGGCGGCGTGTGGGCGCCGTGCCTGACCCACGACGGCGACAAGTTCTACCTCGTCTACACCGACGTCAAGCGCAAGGACGGCGACTTCAAGGACACGCACAACTACATTGTCACTGCGGACAAGCCCGAGGGCCCCTGGAGCGACCCCATCTACGCCAACTCGAGCGGCTTCGACCCCTCCCTCTTCCACGACCCGGACACGGGCAAGAAGTGGTTCGTCAACATGATCTGCGACCACCGCCGCCGGCCGCAGTTCTTTGAGGGCATCATCCTCCAGGAGTTTGACGCCGCCAAGGGTGCCATGGTCGGCCCGCGCAAGAACATCTTCCGCGGCACCGATCTCGCCCTCGTCGAGGGTCCGCATCTGTACAAGCGCAACGGCTACTACTACCTCCTCACGGCCGAGGGCGGCACCGCCTACGGCCACGCCTGCACTCTCGCCCGCAGCAAGGACATCTGGGGCCCCTACGAGGTCCACCCGGACAAGCACATCCTCACCTCCAAGGACTCGCCCTTTGCCGCCCTCCAGCGGTCAGGCCACGGCGATATTGTCGACAGCCCTGACGGCAAGTCGACGTACCTTGTCCACCTCTGCGGCCGGCCCATCACCCAGGAGCGCCGCTGCGTGCTCGGCCGCGAGACATCCATCCAGGAGTGCGAGTGGCGCGACGACGACTGGCTGTACGTCAAGAACGGGCCCGTCCCCAGCCTCCACGTCGAAGTGCCCGGCACCCGCGACGAGGAAGCCTACTGGGTCGAGAAGCGCTACACCTTCTCCTCCCCTTCCCCCTCCGCCATTTCCTCGTCGGCCGAATCCTCCACAGCATCCAAGGACCGCGACACCGCCGCCGACTCCCTCCACGCCGACTTCCAGTGGCTCCGCACCCCATACCCGAACCGCATCCTCTCCCTGTCCGACACCCCGGGCGCCCTGACGCTCTACGGCCGTGAATCCCCGGGCTCGTGGTTCGAGCAGTCCCTCGTCGCCCGGCGCCAGACCCACTTCTCCTACGATGCCTCGGCGGTGCTCTCGCCGGGCTACTTCCCGGACGACATCCGGCAGTTCGCGGGCCTGACGGCGTACTACTGCCGCTTCAACTTCTTCTACCTCGCCGTGTCCGGCACCAACGACGACTTCTGGGACGAGTCCCTGGACATTGGCTCCCGGGGCCAGCGCGAGCTGCTCATCATGCAGTCCGAAGGGTCCTACCCGCACAGCAAGCTCGCGCGGCCCATGGTCGAGCCCGTCCCCTTACCTTCCCGCGACGAGTTCGACGGCCGCATCAAGCTATCCCTCGAGATCAGGGCCGACAAGCTGCAGTTCTTTTACGCGCTCGAAGACCTGTCCTCGTCGTCCTCGTCAGCAGCGGGGAAGGCGCCTGTGAAATGGGGCGAGCAGAAAAAGATTGGTCCCGTGCTGGACGCGAGCATCCTGTCCGACGAGTGCGGAGGGCACCTCGCCCACGGCAGCTTCACCGGCGCGTTTGTCGGCATGGCCGCCTCCGACATCAACGGCACGGCGCTGCCCGCGCGGTTCGAGGAGTTTGTGTATACCCCGGTCAAGCACCAGAGCGATCGATACGAGATTTGAGGAGGAAGAAAGACAGAAAAGAAAAAAAGAAGCTGAAGGAAATAAGTATTTGACCGCGAGTGTGTGGTTCGTCGGGATCAGAAATGTAGGTAGAATCTACATGGTCTTACCTGTAGAATTAGTTTTGGGGTACGACGGTCGGTAGAAACACCAAAAATGGGACGATGAATAACGTAGGCTTGCTGGAACAAATCACCAATCACGCATCAAGCCATCAAAAGGGTAATTGCAAGTAACTTGGAATTCGTAAAAGGATTCATGTATCCGTACATACAAGTGACCCCCATGATGTGCTCTGCACACTGGGAGCCCAAGCCTAGTGCCACTCTTTTGCGGCAAAGGCGGGAACAAAGTCGTGAGTCGACCGCAAAGTATCGAAAGCGATTAACATGAGATAGATGTATTGACAATCAACAAAGGCTGGACAGGATAGGAAACTCTGACAGTATGAGATAAAAGGAAAGTGCGCATGGCCAGGGATGTCCGTGTTAGTAGGGCATGCCGTCCATTGGCGTCTTTTGGGGGCTAGCAGTGAGCAGATGTAGTGATTGCAGCTCTTGTACTCGTACTCTGTGCGAGTTTGCTGAGGTGTGGCGTGTGTGGTGACTCCCAAGTATGCGAGACTGGTGACTTATAGGGTGAGCACATTCACATCGGGCATGCTCCGCTGGCGTTTGTGGCCCCAGTCTTGCTGTGAGGACGCCTTCCGCTTCTGGTTAACGGTGTTGAGTGGGCTGCTGGCGAGCTCGGATGTTCTCCTCTGCTTCCTGAGGGGTGATATGGGTACATTGGTGCTTGCAATGCGGCCGTCTTTGATGCCACGAAGCGTTCCCTCGTAGTACGGTCCAGAAAAGGCGAGGGACTCCCGTGTCGCCTTACTACGGCTGATGAGCTGATGGTTCGCTTGGTCGCGGCGGAAGGCGCCAACAAGGTCGGCGTTTGCCTCAAAATGGTCAAGCAGAGATGTCATGTCGCTTGATCCTGTAGCAGGGCGACCCATGGAGTTCGGCGTACACAATATCGGGTCTTCATTGTCCCCTGCGCCTTCGTCGCCAGAAAGACCTTCAAACTCGTCGTCGAAGTCGATGAAGTCTTCCAGTTGCAAGTGCTTCTCCTCGTCTTCCTGGTCATGCTCGCCACCGCTGTCGTCGAGGTAGTTCGTGTCTGGCGGAAGAGAGAAGAAAGCCTCCTCCGGTCCAATGGCTTGTGTGTTCATAAAGTCGCCAAATGTGTTGGACGAAACCATGGCGCTCATCATCATGTTGCCGGAATTGACCATGGGTGATGATTGCGGCTCCGCCTCGAACCATTGGAAGTTGAATTGCTCAGGCGACAGATCGAGCCCTCCATTGCGGCCGCCTTGTGGGGTGAAGATCATCATCTTGCCCGTCTTGGGGTTGACGATAGCAATGGGCTTCTTCCGAGGGTTATCCAGAGTGAACCGTCCCACGCGAGGTTGGCCTCGGCGCGCTCTGATGATGGTGACCACTTCGGAGTCTGAGTCCTCTTCGGCTAATTCTCTCGCAGTTTTAGGTCGCACAGGCCTAGCATCCATGTCATCTTCCTCTTCTGTCGTATCGCCATCGGCTGTAGCTTCCGTGTTAGTAGAGCGCGAACGTAAGAACCTGCATCAGCAAATAGCTTACTCTGATAACCATCGAGCGAAGTGTCATCGTCCATTTCTGGTGATGGCATCAGGCTTGATTGGGCTGTAGAGCTCTCATGGCGGTTCATGGGAGTGGCGACAGGTGTACTGTCATCATCTTCTTGAAGGGACTGGAGGACAGCCTCAATATCAGTCGAGACATTGTCGTCAAACGGCGAATCGTGGTGATTGGAGAAGTCGTGGCTGTGAAAGTCCCAGAAGCCTGAATCGGAGTTGTTGTCGTCATCGTGGTCGCGCTCGATCTCGCGGCGGAACCCCGGGTCGAGCGAACTCTGAGGCACAAAAATGTCCGGGAAGAAGTCACGATTCACAACGTCCTCATCCGTTTCGGTTGAGTCGCCATCAGAGGAATCAGGAACATCGAAGCGGACTCTTCGTTCGACAGCCGAGTCATTGCCCAAGGAGAGAGTATCCGTCTCGTCCTGGTTCAACTCGTCCACGTCAACATCGGACAAGATGCCATCCCAACTAGCGCTTTCGACAGGATCGTTGTCTTCTTCCTCGTCATCATCGTCGTCATCATCTTCCTCCTCTTCGTCTTCGGCATCGCCAGCTTCGTCGTCTCCTTCCTCATCTTCTTCTGTCGGCTGAGGTGAGCTCTGAATAATGTGCTCCTCCTCAGCCGCCTCTACATCTTCCTCGTCGTCCTCGTCAGATGTGAGGTCGTCAAGATCAGAATAGCCATCTTCGTCGGACAGATCGAGGGACGAAGATGAGGAGACATCGGATGCTCTCCGTCGAACAGGCGCTTTGCCTTTGACAGGGGTTGTGGGCTGGCGCTTGATGCCCTTGGACACCTTCTTGTATGCAGGCATATTGTCTCGAGGCTGAGGCTTATTGAGAAGAAGTACAGTAGTTTTCCTCCTTGTCTTCTTGTGTTGGTCGTTACTATCGCCTTTGTTGCTTGGAGACTGAGCCAAGTTGCCTATGGCTGAGCAGTCTTGATGTGATACTTGCGAGAACAATCTCTGGGTGTGGATGGTTTGTGTCAATGAGGACGTTCTCTAGTCACTCAAATTGTTGTGGTAGTTATATCGAGTTGCATAGTACGAATGCGTAGTGGGCGGAATGTGATGTATACGGAGGTGCTCAGTACGGCGAAATTGACAAGACGTTGCCCAGGAGCAGGTTGAGAGGGCGTGATATGCAGTAAATTGTATCGAGTCGAGGCTTCCAGCCACCCTGTGCAGTGAGCAGAGGGAGCAGGAGCAGCGAAAGCCTGGTAAAACTTCGTCGAGGTCGGATCAGATTGAAAGATGCGCAAGGAGCTGACGGACTACGAGGCGTGAGGGTGCCACGCCCCGCAGTGGGTGTTTACAGCTCAGCGACGGCCGAAGGCATTTTGCTCGACGAAGTTGTATTGGTGTATGCTCCGAGAGAGGGGTAGGGCGACTTCGTTGTCTGTGGTGCGTGCGGGTGGGCGGGCGGGTGCTGGGGAGAAGGAGGAAGAGAAGGGAGGGGGTCGAGTGAGGCCCGAGAAAAAATGGCTGTAGCGCATATCCAAACTTTTTTTCTGGGACGGGTTGCTGGCAACGGCCCCCTTGCTGGGTAAGGTACGCCAGCACCGCATTGGCCTGACCTGACCCGACCCCAGCACTCGCTGCTCCGTCGCCGTCCGACGCCCACTCGCACCTGCAACACCTGCCACTGTGGTAAGTGCGGAAAGCACTGGGCGGGGGGTTTTGCTGGGCTGCATGCTCCGATCATCTCCATCGCGGACGTCTTTCTTGCAGCTGCACACCAGTCTCCCCATTCCCAAGTGCCATCCCCACCACGTCAGCTCCCTAAGGTATCCTATCTGCACGAGGCTGCTCGCCCGCTGCCCTCCCATTCGCCCTCTGTGCCTGAGACGACGCCTCTTAGCATTCGCAGCTCCCAGTCACCGCCATTTCGACACTTCTCCCACCCCTCCAGCCGAGACATGTCTCCGCGAAAACAATGCCTTGAACGGCAACCGACTCGCACTGAATGTTTCCATCTGCTCGTTGGGCCGCATTGCTGCTATTCCGCCGGCAATTTATACGGGCAGTGCGTTTCTCCTGTCATGGCCGCGGCTCTGGCCAGCCGCCCGAGATTGAATGAAGCCACAACTATGCAGCACAATGAGGGGCGGACACGCCATCGCACCCACAAAGGAGCAGGCGGTTGTCATTAGCATTTCTGGGCGGCATGCCATGAAACAGCCCACTTTGACCAGCCAGTACCCACAGAGTCACGCACGCCATGGGCCAAACCATCACGTAGCCCTCGGACAAGGCTGTGCTCGACGACGCAAGTCCCTCGTAGCCATCCATGTGTGCAAATCCGGTAGTGGCCTACTACAATGGCATCCTGTGCGTGGCGTCTCGGCCGCTCCCACTTTGATGCTCAATGTCAGCTAAGCAGTGTTGGGTGTGGCAGGAGGTGCAGCGCCCAGGCTGGAGGGATGGGAAACCCCTGCTGCGAGACGTCGATTGGCGTTTTGCGATGACTGGACATGCAGCCACTAGCATCCTCTCCCGCATGTCTCACCCTTCCGCGGCGCAGCCATCGTCGCTGGCCGAGTGCTCCTGCCATGCTGCCTGGATCCATCGACGATGCGCATACCGTCCCGGCAGAAAACCCTTGTTCATGAGGGCTATTTTCCCACAACATAGTCGAGGATCATCCAGCACTCGTCATCGCGCCAGGTTGGGACCTACACTGTACGCAGCAACTCCGCGCCCCCGCAGTGGAATGGGCCATTTTTCGAGGCAAACCAGAAAAGAAGCCCCGCCAGCGATTCTGGGGACAAGGGTCCTCCAGGCCCACTCTCTGCCCCCGTCAACCAACTCAAAAGTCTCCAGCGAATGACGTGGTCCCGCAGACTCTGCCGCAAATTGTCCATATCGCGCCAGTTTTTGACAACGCCCACTTCCTCGGCACCCTCCGACTATTCCCTCTGCCAGTGCTCGACATTGGCCTGCAGAGTTAGCTATTGGGTAATGTGCAAAATCTGCTGCCGCACGTCAAGAACTCTGGCGCTTCACAAGGCATGAGTTGTGACGCATCATGTAGTATGACTCCCTCGTCATCCGCAAAGCACTGATCCTGTCTGGTGTTTGTCCTCAAGTACGTGGAAAGCCCATGGTTGGAAAGATGAGTCTTTGCTTCGTCTGACTCATGGAGCTTCTTTGGTCAAACTGGTCGCTTTCTATTGGCTCCGGTAGAAGCACAGTGCCTTTCTTGGAGACTTCTCTCCGAGACTAGAAAAACTCAGCTGTCCTCATCAAGCCGCGGCCACTGCCAAAGAAAGACTGAAAACCGGAGAACCCCACACATGATGTCTTTGAGACTGGAGGCTGTCGCTCACACAAGCCATCTCGCGTGTATCATGCTCCTGCCACGTGCGTCTCGCCAGGTGCAGCAGAGGCATAAGCGACAGGGGTAGCGGGTGTTGAAATTTTATTCTGCCGTGCGTCATTCAAGATTACCCTGCCCGATTCGGTTTATTTGTTCATCTGCTTGCTGTGTCTAAAACCCCGGAAGCTCCCTTCCGCGTGGACGTTGTCGGCAATACCAGGCTCGTCAATGACGAATCATGACCTTGATCCGTGTATCGACGCCTGAACGAAAGACATGAGAATGTTACAATTGCAAATTTAGACTCAAGAACAAGAATAACCTAGATATCATTTCCGCCAAGGGATCCCCTTCTCACTTTGTTTCTTGGTGTTTAACTTTTCCTTCGTGGAGGTCAATTCTGAGGCTCTTGCCGCTAGCCGAATCGAGCCACAGGGCTGGTCCCTGATTGGCGCGGGATGTTGCGCACCCCTGCACTACACAGGGCTGGCTTTGCAGTACATTGCGCATGGTCGCACGGATAACAGAGCTTGGGAAAAGAGTGAAAAAAAAAAATGTGACACAAGGCATGAATGCACAACGCCGATCCGGACACCCTTCTTTACGGTCTCTGATTTTCAATATGTGGTGGTTCTAACGGGCCTAGGGTTGAGTTGAAGAGCATGGCGCAAGGCACTTAGGATCGAGGTACGTGGTGCGCGCCGCCACACCTGCGACAGGGGAGGAGCTCACATATACGTATTTCCATCAATAGATCTCCCTTAGGGGATCTCAAAGATCTTCTGAGAAATCATGCACACGGGCCATATCGTCGAACGACGAAGTCCGATTCAAAAATGCTGCCCGCGCTGTTCAACGGCAGAAAAGACGCGGCTATGTGCTTCACAAGGTCCAGAGGTCATATGGATCGAGCGTCCACGGACCATGGAAGACTGTAATATCAGCATATTGGGCATGAACATGGTGGGAATAGGCTGGCAGGCTTGTGTTCACCAGCAAGACCCTATTCTCCCGACTTTGCACGCGAAGTCAGACGCATCTCCCAAACTGCGCTGATATCCAGACACGACCGGAATACGAGGAGTGACAGCTTAGTCTACAAAATTCGCTCGTGGCCTCTCTTCCACAGTTACGCACTCACGATCTGCGCTTGCGAACTCTTTACCAATGCCGTAGTCCTTGCGAATTATTAAGGGGCCTGGACAAAAGGAGGAGGAGGAGGAGCAGGAGAAGGAGGAGCAGGAGAAGGAGGAGCAGGAGAAGGAGGAGCAGGAGAAGGAGGTGGTGGTGGTTGCTTCGCCATCCACGGCTCCAGCCACGTAAACGTCTCGGCCAGGCGCGCGTTGAGGGTGTGGTTGCGCAAGTCATGCACATGCCGCTCAAAGACCCTGCTGATGCGCATCTCGCGCGCCGAGGCGCCCGTGTATATGTCGCTTACGGGGTACGGCCAGTTGAGCGAGACGTTGGGGGCCGCGAGGATTCGGTAGTCCTCCGAGTCCGAGGTGCCGAGGTTCGTGATGAGGAGGTCCCTGACTTCGGGCCTGCCAAAAATTCGTCGCATTAGCGATGTGTCCGTGGGTCAGGGGTGATGGGAGGAAGGGGTGCAGGACAGGGCTGGGCGGGGAGACATGCCATGGCACAATGTCCATCCATATGGGATGAGGCGTGAACAATTGCGTTTCTGTCGGGCGCAGGAATGCAGGCATCTGCTCAAACGTCTTTTTGCATGGATTTAGTAGCCACTGCCCGTGTCATGTTAGTCAGGCAGCAAAAGAAGGACGGCCCATTGTGGTCTAAACACGTACGCGAACGTAGTTACACATCAGATACATGCCTGCCACTCTCTCGGGCACGCCAGGAGCCCTCATGGTGAACTGACCAAAAGTGCCAATCGCATTTGTGATGGGATCGACGGCACTATCTGGCTCCGGGTTGAGCAGGGACGAGATGGCTGGGAAGGTTGGCCGAGCCAGCTCCTCGAGCTGGTTCTTGCTCATGTGTTGCTGTCGAGAGTTGACAATACCAAGGAGGACAGCCTCGATCTTGGCGCCAGGTTTTGTATACTGCGGCACGCGCTCCCATGGGTGTGGCTGTTTCGTGTTGACAGCTGCCTCCTGCTCACATTCGGATCGCTGCTCCTCAGTAATCGTGGAAAACATGGCCGGGATCAGTGGTTCGGGGAAGAGGCCGCTATACTCGAATTCAGTCACTATGCACGTGTTAGTGACTGTAGACACAAACTCAACGTCATATGGCAGGGATAGGAATACGAACTGCACATATCGCCATCTCCTAGAATGCCGGCGTCTAAAGGCTGATCAGCAGGCCACGAAAGCGCGAGTGCCTGGTCCTCCTGAGGAAAAGCCACGGCAGAGGGGATTGGTTCTATCTCAATGGTCGGCGATCTGGACGGTTGCCTAGTCCAAAAGATCTTCTGTTCTGGTTGCACGCCAGCACCACCGCTCGCGAGCGAGGACGCTGGACTTGGTAAAAAATCGGCAGTGGCTGAATCGACGATTGTCGACTCTATTGACGCCACAAGATGTGTGGGTGCTGCCTCCCTGCTTGACCCGTAAGTCGGGGCCAAGAGAGCCCGCTGAATTGTCCGGATTGATTCATGGACTGTGCTACGGACGTTGTTGTCCTTGTCCTGAAGTCTGCGGACCTCACAGCGGGCCGCATCGAGACGCTTTTTCAAGCTCGCAACTTCTCGTTCGAGACTGGCGATTCTCGTACGGCGGATACTTCTGTCAAAAGCAAGAGCTCCTGTCAATCACTACTCTCGACTACCAAAGACAAGTTCCGCGGGCCACAAGAGCCATACCGGGATTCCCTCTGGTTGGCTCTGTCCATTGCTCGCTTCCGGGAAAGCTGTTCTGGCGTCAGAGACGCAATAGTTCGATCCCTCATCTTAGATAGCTACAGAGAAGCGGGGACGCCAAAGGTGGTCGCTGTTTGGGAGGATTGCACCATCGCCGATCTTGTGTATGCCGAGCCTTTCAATACTTGAAAGGATGAGTGCACTGCATCGATATCGGATGAATGGTGGAGCTCGGATGAACAACAATCTCGCAGCTCATGCCCTGGTGTCCAGGTGCGATGGTGTTGGCGCTGACGCTGTCGTATCAACTGCTGATTGAAAAGGCCTCTTGGGCGATTGTGTGCTTGGCAGGTTCGATGGCGTCAGAAGCGGTTGTGCATGCAAGTAACGTGCTCGGCTGCAGGTATCGACATTGACATCCCTGGCAGAACTACAGACAACAACAACAACAACAACAACAACAGGAAAAGGGGACGAATATAAGTATATCATAGTCAATGGCTGCCGTCGTTGCCGACCAGAAGCACACAAGACTTGCCACGGGGATTTTCAGGGTTCACTGCGGCCACTCACCTGCCATCAGTGCATCTGTGGCGGCCTGTCCCGAGCCCACGGGTCTGCCCCACCATTGAGCCTCTCCCGCCCCCCAAGGTTTTGGCTCAAGGTTTGTCTCTACCCAAAGCATCGTCGAACAAGGTCGACTGATCTTGTCCCAAATGGACTGTCGGCAGCGTTTCGCCTGAACCAAGATTCGGCTCGATGCATATCTCACCAGCTATCCTCTGGATCTTCACCACCAAAGTGGCTGATTAAGCGCTGCCGTGGCATTTGATTGACGTTGACGGACGCCACAATTGCTGTTCTTTGTTCAACCGTCGAGCCTTGTCGTCGATATGGTGTAAGTGGCTCCTCGCTACTCGGCGTCTGCGTCCAGGCCGAACCATTCAAAATCTTGTATCGGAACGCCATACCGACACGCAGCCGGCTCGGGTTCCGAGATTCCTCACATCTCGTCAATCGTCCCTCGTAGACGGTCTGTTCTCTGGTTGTGTCAAGCTCGGTATCGAGCAGCTCGCCTCCCGCCTTTGGCTCTTGTCTAGCTGTTGGTGTCGGTGCAGTCAGCTCAAGGCGACAGGCCCATGTCCCAAGGCGATTATGGCGTCCTCTGCTATTATCAGGGTCAGATTAATGAAGCCTCACTTGTCTTTCCTTCGCGTAACTAAGTGATTTGGACTGCAATGAAAAGTCCTGACTGGTGCCTTCGACAATCAGATCAGGAACGAACAGCATGGGGGACAAAGGTCGCTCCTGCCGGAGGTGGAGAGATCCACCCGGACAAGTGGGTCTCCGATCACGTGAAAGTTACGAGGCTCATCCTCCTCCTCCGTCCGCTCATGGCACGCCAACTTGAATGCTCCATGAACCAAGAGGGCCCCGAAAGTTCAGAAGCAATGGGCCTCGTGCTACCCGTGACACCCAAACCGGCAGAGGACTCGGAAACAATCCATTGCCCCGCCGGAAGCTTGTCAGCGGATGCTCCGTAGACGTCCACGGACGGAGCCGAACTTTCACGACCCGCCCGGAACGCCACCGACGCTCCTGAACTGACCACCTTGGACGACTGACTGTGGCAGCACCAATACATGCGATGGAGCAGCCCAGCCAGGCATCTCGTACGGGTGAGTCTGGGATGACATCGGATCCGGGAGCGAACAATGGCTCCGTGACGGCTCCTGCGCCGACCAGCAGCGCCTTTGGTGCCAGCGGCACATCAAGCTCCACTCCGCGACCACACTACGTGCCTCAGTTCTCGGCGGCCACACAGATGATACTGCAGCGCATAGGCAAGCCCGGAAGTTTCAGCTCGGCCTTGTCCTCTGCCTCAGCACTCTCCCGGGATATCGAGCCATCAGCGTTTCAAGATGCTAAGCGACGGCTCGTTATGAACATGAACACATCCCTGACGATGCCCCTACCGACTCCCCCAAAGTCCCAGCAGGAGACAGCCGCTAGCTTGCCTATGAATGATGCCTTCCAGCTGCGCACCCCTTCTCTCGGTAAAGCTGCGGCCATCAAGACGACCACGGCCCGGACCTTACCACTCCCGAAGCCACCTCCTCCTGAGGGCCCTGAAGCAGCCAGCCCTGTCAGAACGACGCCAGATAGAACACCACGGACGTCGCAGAAACGTAAGCGGGCCAAGAAAGAGGGCAGCATGGAATCCCCTAGCATTCTCAGTGTTTCCCAGAATGGAACCCCCACGACAAGCAGCAAGCCCCTAGAAGCCTCACCACTAGCAACCACGACCAAGTCTGGACGCCAGATCCTGAAGCCTACCACGTACAACCCAGCGACGGTCGCAGCTGCGCAGGTCGCAGCTACACAGCAGAACCAGTCGAAACGAAAGCACTGGGGAAAACGAACTGCGGAGCAGGCTCTGTGCAAAGTGTGTACAAGGGGTCTCAGTCCGTTCAAGAATCAGGTGGTCTTCTGTGATGGATGCAATCTGTGCTGGCATCAGCTCTGCCACGACCCGTACATCGACGACGAATTCGTTAGCGACGAATCCCGATCATGGTTTTGTAGCAAATGCATGGCGAAAAGAGAGAGGCATTTGGCCAAGAAGAAGACGGTAGATGGGTTTCGAGGCACCAGTTGGGCAGCAAAGACTGCAGATCAGGTTGGTCGTCGCTCACTGAAACACATGCACCTGCCATGGCCTACTAATGTACGTCTTCGTAGCGCCGGACATATCTAAACAGTTTACCAGCGACACAGCTCGTCAACTTGGTCATGTACAGCCTTGAGCTTCATCCCGATCTACCCATATTTCCGCCAAACGATAATGGCAAGCGCGGTTCGACAGTACTTGCATCACAAATCACAAATGGGCGCAGCACACCGTCAGACATGAGCCCAAAGGCCCCCACTCAATACTCGCGAAAATTCTCAACACCAGATAATGGAAAGACAAATGGAAAACTATCCGGCGCAGCCACCGAATCGTTCCACACACTACAGGCCACCAGGGAGTCGTCTACAGACTCTGTGCCTCCATCATGGCCAAAGTCAGGACAAGGCTGCTTGTCTAACATGGAACTTCTGGAGGACGACTTCCATGACAAGAACGATTTTGAGGCGTTCAGCCTCACCACATATGACGGCAAAGGGCGCAAGCTTGCCGAGAATGGAATTCCAGTCCAGCGTGGTGGCGGTACAGAATTGCCGTCATGATGACCGGCTGAGGATGGCTGTATCATTACTACCACTTGCTACATGTATTGTTGCTCCATGGCTAAATATAGAATACAACAAACATCACGGTCGACAAATAATAATATTAAAGGAATCCCCGCACTCTGGCGCATCAAGGGGCAAAGTTGAAGACACTGGCTTCTTGGGGCCCATGACTCGTGAAATCCTTGGGTACAGCCGAAGCACCTTTGGGAAGGACGAATTAAAGTCAGCCACGGAGATGCAAGGATGAATGCTGAGAATGCCGCCGAATGAATGCGTGGCTGTCTGGTAGCAAGAGGGTGGCGTTTCGTTTCGCAGACGCCAAGTCCGTTTCCCGAGTTGCAGATGATAATATGTGACATAGAAGGGGATCGCTTGCCTATCAATTCCACCCAAAAAAGAAAAGAAAAAGAAGTCAGGGCCGTGAGTAGGAGCCACAGGATAATGTTCGCCAAGTACAGCGGACGGGTGAGAAACGGAGACGAATTACCCCGGAACACGCCCTTCAGGGGGGAGACAAGGCTGAATGATCTGCAGGGCACGGGCAGTGCCTGCCAATCCGATCGATCGACATGCCGAGCATGCGGCGGGATAAGACATCGCGCGCCTCACTTTATGTACTATTTTGGGGGCTGGACTGGGGTCCTCAGCTGCACTCACCATCGAACCCAACGGAGTCCCGACTTTCTCTTGCTTGTCCTTCAAGGGTGGCCATATTCTTCGCGTACAGAAAGACGAGGATAATCAAGTATATGATTTGTCAAAATTCGTTGCTATGGGCGTTGTTTTCTCTCCAAAATAAAATCTGGAGCGCTCAGGCCTGTATACTTCACACCATGATCTGCGGTACCTTTGTGCTAAATGAGACACGTAGGGACTTTTTCGAATGCACACAGGCCGGGCAGACGGACAGTCTCGGTAGGACACGCAAGAACGGCACCGATCGGTTGTCGGGGCCATCTTGTGCATCCAGGGTCGATCACGGGGTAATCCGCCCGATTGATCTGCGTGTGTCATTCAGTTGGGGAGGCAAGGACCCTGAAAACTCACTGCCAATGGCGAGATAGTATTCTGCGGAGGATCTCGAATTAGACAAAGCACCTCTAGCGAATCACACCGCAATCCGTGGGACCAGAGCATCAGCTATAAACAGATCCTGTGGGGGATTTTCGCAGCTGAGCAAAAAAAGACCTGATGATCTCCCATAAGATAACATCATGGCAATCACGCATGAAAACACGGAATGGCCTTCATCTCCCAATACAAGTAAAGATCTGACCATGCACAGAGCTCAGCTATCCCAGTGGTTGATTCATGGCTGTGTCGAGCGTGAGGATAGGCCCAACTCATGTCGCAGCCGCTGGTCTGTACAGTATCGTGGCGAGAACTTCATTTCCTTGATCGACAGGACGAAGCAAATAACAGAAGGATCGTCACAACGATCATTTCACGAGATACGAGAACCCGGAGGCATCATCAACATCCATGTTGATGACCAAAACAGGCACAAGGGTTGAATATAAATATGCCTGGAACTCCAGCCCATCACAGAACAATGGAACAACTCAACCAGCACAACCATACTCACAACCACAACTATCACTCCCTCACACACACCACCAAGCCAATTATTCATACACTTTTACAACCAACAACAACCCCGATTCATCAAAATGAAGACCTCCTTCGCCACGCTCATCACCTCTGCCCTCGCTGCCACCACCTCCATGGTCACGGCGGCCCCCTCCGGGAGCACCGGCACCGGCACCGACACCATCGCCGAGCGCGACAACTGCTTCTACCCGAGCTCCTGCTCGTCCACCTGGTCCGGCAAGTGCGAGGACTACTGCGGCACGCGCGGCTTCTCGCACATGACGGGCGAGGACTGCGAGTGGCCCTCGAAGAAGTGCTGCTGCATCGTCAGCTAAGCTGGATAAAGCCCTCCTCAGACTCCGTTTGCCATCGGTAGGTCCTTGTCCCTTGGTGGTGATTGGGCGAGAGTTTGTGTACCTTTGAATTCAGACTGAGATATAAAAGGCAGTACGGGTTGGTGGTGATTTCGGAGCGTTCTGCTGAAACGTGGAGAGGAAGTTAACGAGGATGGAGAGTTTGCAGGAAGCTTTCATGAGAGTGCTATGGAGTCGGCTCTGGTGGCTTAGATCAATATGGAAGCATGCTAGTGGGTGCCTGAGAGTACATAACGAGACATTGACAATGCCATTCGCTTATACAACAACCCTGTCCCGATTCCGGAGTTGCAATGTGTCGAATTTCAAAAGTCAGTACGGACACAAATGGCCACTTCTCTAAGACGAGAACCCATCCTGGATGGTGGCCAGCCTCTCACGTCAGAAGGCGATGTTGTCAACCTTGTTCCATGTCCAAATCAAGCTTCACAAAAGTTCGCATTATTTTGTACGAACGGTGCTCTCGAAGAGGGGGGTTAGTAATGCCCATGGCAGACCTAAACGCAATAATTAGTTTGTCGCCAGGAGCTTTACAAAATCTTTTACATAGAATTGATTGTGTAGCAACGGAGACTAACATCTCTGCAAACTCTGACGGAATTCCTCAACCTCAAACCGTGTGCAAAACAAAAATGAAATGAAGCAGAGGCATGGGCAAGTTCTACACACAAGATTCCTTGACGCCTCTCTTCAGCATCCTATTTCCATCTTATTCCGCGACGATCGAAAGCATCTACCAGTTGATCCACGCCCTAGCTAACTAAAACTGTGCGGAATGTCAGACCTTTCATGTACATTGCTAAGCACCATCTCCTTCATCATAAAATCGGCCGGTTGGCGCAATGGTAGCGCGTTGCTTTCCGGCTCTGTCTGGCAAAGGTTGCGGGTTCGAGTCCCGTGCTGGTCGCATTTCAATCTTTTCTTTTGTCCTATCTCTCTCTACTTGGGTTTTTTCTTTTTTTGCTCCTCATCGATTGTTTTTGGCTTGCATGTTTTTCACAGTTACATAACGGTTTGCTCAATGGATGATGATGGTAGAGCATCGCGCAGGCGAAGCTCGCATCGTTCTTCGCTAATCTGTGCTATGATGCGAGGCTTAAAACTGGCTTTGGCCGAAGATTGCTCACGCTTGACATACTTTCACGGTCGTTCCGCGTCCTGGAATTCCCATATTACCTGACTTGTGCGTCCCAGCAAGGTGAGGCGTGGCACTTTCAACAACTTCTTCCAGGCTGCTTAGGTTCGATTGCATCGGTGCACAATACTAAGGAGGAATTGCGAAGCACGGCATCCAAACTCTGTAGAGACAATATGCTTTTTTCTTCCGTCTACCTAGACTTTTTATGACCACCAATGTGACAGGCTTCCAGATGCCCTGCACCAAACAAATGCACTGAATAGATGCTGTCATGAGTATGGTTTCACTATGTATACCCAAAACCGCCAAAACCGTCCTTTTGTTCGTCTGTAGGTCGTAGGGCTGCATGGTTGCGGGCCTTCAGTTTTCTGACCCGGGAACGCTTAAGCGAACATTGTGACCTCTGGCCACTTCTTATGAGCCGCAGCCTTGAACGGCTCGGCCTCTGAGCTGCGCCAGTTACGCAGGATTGCATATGCCTCGAGCGCCTGGTCATGCTCCACACTCTCAAGGTCGAGGACGCTGGCCAGCGCCTTCTCAGCCTTGGCGGTATCTTCTCCCAGCAGCTTCGCAGTGCGGGCCGCCGCGATGACGTGCAGGGCGCTCTCCTTGTGCTTGGCAAGAAACTCGGTGTTGTATTGCTTCAGGTCGACGTTGGTATCGAGTGCCTTGAATTCAGACTTGATCACTTCCGCAACCTGGGCAGGTAGTGAATCAAGCTTGGTGTTGATGGTGGTGCGGAAGCGCACCGTCTGCTCGTGCACGCTTGGGTTGCTGGCATCGAGAGCAAGAGCCGCATTGAGGCATCCCAAAGCAAGGACATATTTCTCTGTGACCATGTCAGTGATTGCTCCAGATTGAGGCAGCGCCGAAAGGAAAACACTTACCCCTGCGAAGATAGACCTCAAATCCTGCGATCTGGCCATCGATGTTTTTGGGGCTATGCTCAAGGATAGGCGTGAGGAATTTGGTGGCTTCCACCAGAGGTTGCGTCGTTGCAGCAAGTTTCTCCCCGTACGGATCGTCGTCCTTCTTGACTGGCTCGCCAGTGGCTGCCTTGGCCTTGTTTGGGTCCTGCTTGCTTGCCTTCTCAGCCGCGTCTCTCTCCGCTTTCTGGGCATCTTTGCGAGCCTTCTTCACAGCCTTCTTCCGCTCGGCTTCGGCCTCGTCATCTGCTGATCCGTTGACACCATTTGTGGCCGACCTGCCATCGTGCATGCTGATGTACAGGGCAATGGCGTCGAGAGCTGCGCGCGTATAGATTGGGTGCTCGCGCAGCTTGTCCTCCCACCGAATCATATCCATGTAAGCTGCAAGCTGTCCCTTCCGCAATGAGAAGCTGTGGAAGTCGAATTGATCCTCCTGCCAAACATCAAAGATGTTGTAGATGGTGTGGAATCTCTTGAGGGCAAGCGCAACATCTCCGCGTCGTACGTAGGCCTCGCCATCTTCGCTCAAGAACCACATGCATTGCATGTCTATCAGCTCAGCCAACGGTCCGTTCGGCGAATCGCTTCTTGTGAAGAGAGCAAACGTCTTGAGCGCCTTCTCGTTCTCGTTGTTGCGAAGCATGTACTTGACTGATTTCGAGTTGATGTATCTGTCCTTTAGATCGAGGTTCCGCGCTTGATCCATGATCTCCGAGGCTTTTTGGGTGTTGCCCTGGTGCTTGAATATCCGCGCCTTCGTCATGTGGAACTCAACGTTCTTCGGCATCAACGAAATACCTTTCTCAGCATACTCCAGCGCCTTGGTGAGGTCTCGTGACGGGTGGTAGTTGTAGTGCTGAGCGAGGAAGTACAGGGCGGCGGTCTCGCCCTTAAAGTCGCTGCTGGCAGTCTTCTCTGTACTCTCCTTCTCCTTCGTCTCGAGGTAATCGAGTGCGAGCGACTCAAGTGTCTCCTTCTTGTTGGCATCCTTGTAGAGGTGCTTAAGGTTAGCGAATGTCGACGGAACTCCCCGATCGAGCATGTAGGTGAGATATGAATCGGCGGCCTCCTCGAAATCATCCTCTGTGACGCGATTAGACTGAGACATTACGATTACCAAGGTTGTCTACATACCAGCGAGGAAGTCCAACGGCAGCCGCTTTGGCGCATCTGCACGAGGGAACTTGGTGGCATATTCGTCGTAGACCGCTTTCTTTGCAGCCTGGTCGTCGGCAGGCAAGTCGAGCACCTCAACGAGTTTGTTGTAGTACTCGGCGTGGTCTGGGTTTCTCTCCAGCAGTGCGCGGTAGGCCTTGGCGGCATCCTCCTTCTTGCCCAATTTGTACAGATACTCCGCACGGCGTTCCAGCACATACAACCGATCCAGACCGCTCTTGGCTATTGTCTCGAGGTGATCCAGTGCCCTCTGGTAGTCGCCAGTCTCAGCAATGATGTAGTTCTTGTACTTCAGCGCTTCGGAATGCTCCAGATCGGTCTTGGAGGGAGGCGTCTTCAGCGACTCCTCGTACGACGTCAGCACCTTCTCGGCTTGCGCCAGGTCACCAGCCAGATGGTGGGCAATGGCTAGAGCACTCCAATTCTGTCGGACCTGCGGTCGGGCCTGTAGCATTGCTGTCCGGCTCTGAATGTAGCCCTGGTAGTCCCGCATCTGCGCCTGAAGCAGGGCCAGGTCACGCTGGATCTGCGCAGACTCCGGCTCCAGTCTCAGTGCAAACTTGTATGCCTTGATTGCCTCCTCGAAATTCTTCTGGTGTCGGTAGAGCAGACCGTAGACGTGCCAGCAGATATGCGACTTCATGTCGGCCGTCAGGGCTTCCTTGCCAAGCGCGAAGGCCTCTTCCGTCTTGCCCTGCTGATTGAGGATCAGCGCCTTCATGGCCATGGTATCACCATGCTTGGGGTTCTTCTTGAGAATCTGCTCGGCAGCCTTGAGGCCTCTCTTGTACTGTTTGTCTTCATAGTTGCGGATGACCTGGCGGAAGAGCGAGCTCTCCTTGGCGCTGAGAGGCTGTGGCATGGCGGGCAGTAGGTGCGGCTCCTACGCCGTCGGGAACAAAGCGACTCGTCGGGTGGGAAAGGGCCGTTGCGGTCGTGAGGGTGACGCCTCGTATTTGCTGGCCAGCGATGCTACCGTCGGTGACGCACGTGTGCCTTGATCTGGGGACAGAGAATGTGCCCGGAGTGCGGTTCTCGAAGCCGTGCTTAGTGGCCAGAACTACGTGGGGCATACCTCGCAGCACGGCAGGGTCAGGTCAGGTCGTGGGCCGAACGGGAGGAGGGGCACCTTCCAGGCGGGTCAAACTTGTGCATGGGCTCAGCGGGCACGCCGAGTTGATTTACGAGACAACCAAAGGGTATGACGGTAGAAAACCCAATTGAATGAACATTGCGGCCCAAAGCACAGAATGTCGAGTCAATACTTGAATGGGCGTCGTGCTGAAACACAAACCAGCCTGACCGACAATTATCCGGCTTCGTGAAAGACTACCTCAGATTGGTCACAGCTGGTGTCTCTGGCTTTTGCAGACCACTCCATGTCTGAGTCGGGCCACACCTACGTACCTTGGGTACTTATGCATTCTTCCTAATATCAAACACGTCTTGCCAGTCCTTCATTGAAATAAATGGATTGGGATATCTGTACACTGATTCCATGCTATGCCATCTTATCGTACAGAAAGAGTGGTAATAACTAGTTCTAGACTAGAAACAACACAACGCCATGCTGATGAACCCCCTAAACCATTAAACCCACCTCTGCACTTTCAACTAGGTCCCCAGTTCGCGTTGAGGGCTCGACTTCTGCTGCTCGCGCCTCCATGTGTCGAGTGCCTGCTCGGCGTCAATTGGAGAAGTTCCGCACCGCTCACCCAGCACTGCCCAAGTCCGCGATCGAACAATCTTCTCCACGCCTCGTTCCTGCCGCATCAGGTTCGCCAACTGCTCCGTCCGCGCCTCTCTGGGGAAGAACCGCGCCGAGTACGGATCAAGTCGCTCGTCGACTATCCGGTCTCGGTTCTTCTCCGTCTCGGAGGCTCGCAAAGCGATCTCCGGGTCGTCCGGATCTGGGCTCGTTGCAACAAGCGAGCAGTACGTAAGGACATCCGATCGACTCTGCCAGGACGGAAACAGGACTTTGCCCTTGAAATCTTCGCACGCTGCCGCGCCTATGGGCTGCCGAGGCCCATGAGGCGCTCTCGAGGCGGTAGACCGGGGATCGAACCCAGCCTTGGCAGGCGTGACTAGAGCATTGAGGCTCTGCGTGATGGAGTCGTCTACCGTACTTCGGGAGAGACGCAGAAAATCTGGTTGCGCGGGTGTTAGATCCGTGTGCTGCTAGCAGGAAGCCTACACTTAAGCATCTCACCTCTCAAGGCAACGGTGGAGAAGCAGAACTGTGGCGTGAGCCTGGCCTGGGCAGATGCTTCAGTCATGTTCGTGCTCGCATCGCTCGAGCTGCCCGACAATGGCGCCGGTGCCTTTGACCATAAAAACCCAGCCAGGATGACTGCAGTAGCCGGCTGATTTACACAGGGTTGGCCTCTCTCGACTCAGACCCGCGGGGTATCAAGGCTGAGGCACTATTTCGATGCCAGGTTACAGAGGAGAAGAGGTGTGACAACAATGCTATCTTGAAGCAGGAAGTCACAACAGCTGCATTCAGTGTGTCTACAGGTCATCTTCCTGAGAGCTTTAAGCATCACTTGATGATGACGCGACTCCGGCTGTGTTACCTAAGCTCATGGATGGGTCCAGCCCGGAGCAGCTTGCTGCTACCCCACCAAAGGCCTTGCAAAATTCTTGATAAGTGCATAGAGGCGCGGCTTAAGTGCATAAGGCTCTAGCTTGAGGCAACGCAATGCGTCCCTGCCTGCGCTTGCGGCGACCGCGTGCAAGCAAGGTCCCCACCGAGCCATGCCGGATGGACGTTGTCATGTTGCTGCAAGCTCACCACGACCTTGAAGCGTCCCACCAACGCACACATCCCAACACAACCAGCCTACCAAGCGAAGACAACCGTGTCTGATCTTCCGCAGCTCCAGCTCGATTTCTGAAGACCTCGTGGCTACAGATACACGTCTGAGAGACCCAACCCGTTTCAGGCACACAGCATGTCGAGCACACAAGACTCGGGCGCCACCGCTCGACGGGGCTCCGATGACGACAAAGACCCCAAGAAGAATGGCAAGGGCGACGCAGCTAGTGCCGGTGCTACCAAAGCTGGAGGCGATGATGCAGAGATGGAGGACGCCGAGCCTGAGGAGGAGGAGATTCTCGACGAGGAGATCCTCAGCCTGAGCACACAAGACCTCCAGATGCGGAAACGGTTGTTGGAAAACGACGCCCGAATCATGAAGAGCGAGTTCCAAAGGTTATCACACGAGAAGGCGACCATGGGCGAGAAAATCAAGGAGAATATGGAGAAGATTGCAAACAACAGGTAGGTTGCGGGCCGTCCTGACTGGGAGGCTCACCAGGCGTTCACCTACGCAGCCCTGCTGTCCGTGACCATCATCTGACCTTATCCTAGGCAACTACCCTATCTTGTCGGCAACGTCGTCGAGCTTCTCGATCTTGACCCAACCGCCGAGTCGTCCGAGGAAGGAGCCAACATCGACCTCGATGCTACTAGAGTGGGCAAATCCGCGGTCATCAAGACTTCGACAAGACAAACTATCTTCCTGCCTCTTATCGGTCTCGTAGACCCAGCCACTCTCAGACCCGGTGATCTCATCGGCGTGAACAAGGATTCATACCTGATTCTCGATACACTGCCTGCTGAGTACGACAGCAGAGTGAAGGCTATGGAAGTCGACGAGAAGCCCACAGAGAAGTACACCGATGTCGGTGGGCTTGATAAACAAATAGAAGAGCTCGTCGAAGCTATCGTGTGGCCCATGAAGGAGGCCGAGCGGTTCAAAAAGATTGGAATCAAGGCTCCAAAGGGTAAGCGCTTACCAAGCATGGTCTTGGCGTATTGTGTATTCCTGGGCTGACTGAGCGTTTGAAAACAGGTGCGCTGATGTACGGACCCCCTGGTACTGGCAAGACGCTCCTTGCGCGTGCCTGTGCTGCCCAAACGGACGCGACTTTCCTCAAGCTTGCCGGCCCCCAGCTCGTGCAGATGTTCATCGGTGACGGTGCCAAGCTTGTGCGAGATGCGTTCGCTCTTGCCAAGGAGAAGGCGCCCGCGATCATCTTCATCGACGAACTCGATGCCGTGGGCACGAAACGTTTCGATAGCGAAAAGAGCGGTGACAGAGAGGTCCAGCGGACAATGTTGGAGCTGCTCAACCAGCTGGACGGCTTTGCGTCAGACGACCGGATCAAGGTCCTTGCGGCCACGAATCGTGTCGATGTGCTAGACCCTGCCCTGCTTCGTTCAGGACGTCTCGATAGGAAGATCGAGTTCCCTCTTCCGAATGAGGAAGCCAGAGCTCAAATCATGCGGATTCATTCTCGGAAGATGACGGTCGACGATGGGGTGAACTGGAACGAGTTGGCGCGTAGCACAGATGAGTTTGGCGGCGCTATGCTCAAGGCCGTCTGTGTCGAAGCTGGTATGATCGCTCTGCGGATGGGCAAGAACAAGATTGGACACGAGCACTACGTGGACGCCATCACCGAGGTGCAGGCCAAGAAGAAGGAGGTTCGTCATACTCGCCTGAAACCATCATTTGATGTGGACAATTTCACTAACCATTCTCTCAGACTGTCAACTTCTATGCTTAAATCCGCCTCGCTCGTGCCGGCAGGGACTCTTTCGGCTATGTGGAAGATAGAGCTTACTAGATATCCCAGTGCTAGACAAGGGCGCATTCTGTACATTTACCAGGCCGAAACAGTTTTGCACTTGGAGAATGCCCACCAGATTTGGTTGAAGGCATGGATACCACTCTCTTCTGGTGCAAATTATCTCCACCATAGCTAAGAACGGGCTCTGTCACAACTACCAATCAAACACTTGTCGTTCCCTCTGCGCTTCGACAGCTAACAGAACAGACCCGTGCTCCGAAACTACCTATCACATGTTCACAATCACACTTTGCTTCAACATGCGGTGATCCGTTCCCATTCTGCGCCATGCATCGTTGATAAGGAGCAGCTGCTTTGACATGTGCCAGCGATGACTTATCTGGTCACAGGCTTATTGTTACAGTCGTCTGTGCAGCCCGAGTTTCCGATGCAACTGGATAGACGAGTGTGACCGCCACAGCAAGCGGGTTCGAACCACTGGTCACCGTCACTGCCGTAAGCGATTTAGGCTGGAGACCCTGCACAGGACAGTCGCCGCCGTGAATCCGCGTACGAAGCCTGACGCTGAAGAATCCGACTACTATGTTAGGCGTCAGACTGCAACACAGCATCGGCTCGTCCGTGGATGGTATAAGAGATGTCGAGTTATGACCATTGACACGACGTTGTTTATGACGATTTACTCACAATTCACGGGAGCCCGGCTGATGTCTCCGTCACCACCAGACCCCCTGGAACCGTATAATTTGCCGACTATAGCGCTTGTTGGCAGGGGCAAAATCTCCAAAACCCTTGTCCCCACCCCAACCAGGTGATGGCCATTGACGTCGCCGTTGCCAACTTTCTGGGCACTTCCCGACAATGACCCAAACAGAGGGATCGTCGTGCCACCCTTGCTAGCAGTACCCAGCCAAACATGGCTATTTCGGCTCAAAATCGTACGGGGAGCGCACTCGCCCCTCCCTGGATTCTCCGCCGCCCCGAGCCCGCACCTTGTGGTGTGGCCAAGTGCCTGACGACCCTTTCGTGAGCGAGCCACACCTCGCTACTTGCCGCCTTCCACTTGGTGCGCACTACTCCGGCGCCCATACTCACAATGTTCGACATCAGTGGTGGATGAGTCGATGACGATCGACCCTCAGCGTCGCATTTGGCCACCCCGCAGCCAGCCACAACTTGCCACATGGACGTCGTTGAGGCTGGATACCGTAAGGTACATAGGCGACTATGCCACCACTTGTGAGAGTGGCCCACACAGTCTTCTAGCGGTTGTCAGGTGGAAACAGCCTGCAACTAGTCCCGGAGTGAATTGACCGGAACAGCCAAGGTGCAGGGTAATATCGATTCGCAAGTTGGCATCCAGATCGGAAGCTAAAGAGTGATCATATAGGTAGGGAACGGCCACCATTGCTGGTAACGAGGATGCTCTCACTGGGCAACGCACCCCGGCAACACTTTCCGATCTGAGACCATGGTCGTCTGCCAGGGGTATGTACGGAGTATGTGTGCTGGCCCGTCCGTGCAACAGCGCACTACTGGCCGGAGCGAGCCCTGGCAGCTCGGTACTTAGCGTACTTAGTCAACGTCACTTGCCTGGCGCCGGTGGACTACTCTCACAAGTTCCAACGGTTTCACACCATGTTCTTGTGCCACACTCCGCTGGCTGCAGGGGTTCGGAAAGAGATCGTCATCGCTACCTAGGTACGCACCGAACACGAGTCGAATGGCGACCTGGCGACAATTCGCTCCCAGCAAAAAGCACTTTGCCGTGCCTTAAGCAGTCGCCACAGCCGTCGATCGGAGGCCTACTGGGCCCTGGTTGCATGTCCCCGACAGCCGCTCTTTGAGACGAAATGAGGCTCGCTCAACCCTGGGTGCATACTGCATGACGCACGCAATGGGCTGGACCTTCAGTGCTCCAAGTTGCGCTGTACACACAACTTCTCGTTGATCCACCCCCACAAAACCGGAACTTTCGTACCTGGCAGGGTCCAGGGTCATCGCATCTGCTGTTGCTGTGCGTGGTGATGGGTTTTTGCCCTTGGCATACTCTGCAGATGTCAGAGCACGCAGGCAGGTTAGAATAGTGTCGAGTCTGCAGGAAGATCTGTTCGCTCAATGGAAACTTCCACATCGATTCAAGAATGCCAATAGAGACACGGAAACAAGGAAGGAGGTTGTGACGTGCGAGTTTCCTGGACACATCATGGCTCGAGCCGAGCCCTGGGGGTGTTACAAGTCGAGCACAGAGCGAGGCGGATGTTGCCCGGCTTAGCCCTTGCAAGTCCGAGCGATGATGCAGTCGACGTGACACAGCAAAACCCAATCCGAGAAGCACAACAGTCTGTGAGTCTCAGCGGCCTGAAGCCTCTCGCCGCTGCAATCAGCCGTGGACCAACCACGAATCAACACGGCCTCGTGGAATTCATGCCTGCCCTCTGTCGATCGGTCATTAATGGGCCTACTAAGATGGACGTCAGCCTGGATAGCGGCAGTGACATCCTTGACGTCCGATTGCTCCGCAGGCTGAATCTACAGACGAGAGGGCATCTCTCATCCATGCCTTGTTTTTGTCCTCGCTCCACTTCTTGCCTCCCTCCCTGCCCACGCCATGCCATCGGGCAAGCTCAAGCCCTGAGTCCGCAGTCCGTGAGGGAACCCACGCAGTGCCTTTGTTGCTTGGATCGACATCACCGCCGACCCTTCTAGGAGATGAACACTCGTCAGTGTCAATGCTAGCCAAACCGGGCAGTACACCCGTGGTTCCAATTGTCCAATCGCAGTGGTCAACAGGGCATTTCCCCTGACGCCACAATACTGTGGTAGACGTTGCTCAGACCAGACCCTGCGGAGATGCGCCCGGCTCCCATTGCCTCGGGGCCATCGTCATGCCTGGAGACCATTGCAGGGAGGTCTCGATAGGTCGTCATGAGCTTTATGATGAGCCGGAATTGATATAAAAGTCGGGCTGTCTCCCATAGTCTCGAGTCTAGAAAAGCCTTTGATCATCCTCATCATCACACAATCTGCACAAACACTTCGCACACTCGCAACTTTGAGACAAGAACACCTCCTTATCAAAACTCCCTCACAAAACCAGTCAAGATGAAGACCACCTTCGCCATCGCGTCCCTCTTCGCTGCCGCGAGCTCCGTCCTCGCCGCGCCCACCATGGAGTCCCGCCAGGTCCCCTACGACCCGTGCTCGGGCCTGTACGACACACCTCTGTGCTGTGCCACCGACGTTCTGGGCGTCGCCGACCTCGACTGCGCCAACCCGCCCGCCGTCGTCACCGACCCGGCCAACTTCCAGTCCACCTGTGCCACTGCCGGACAGCGCGCTCGCTGCTGCATCCTGCCCCTCCTCGGACAGGGCATCCTCTGCCAGACTCCTGCCGGCGTCGTCTACTAAGCTCGTCTCGTCTCGTCTCGAGCTTAGCTTTTAAGACACTCCTCTTATCATGACATTTATGGCGGATCGCTCATGTTCGACCTGGATCAATGCGTCACCCAGTCACTCGGTGACCCTTGATCGCAAGCAATTCTCGTCACATTTGGAAGTGGATGAGGGGTTGTACAAGTCAGCTTGCAACCTTGTATGATTCAACAAGACGGGATGAGGAAAATTGTATCGTACTTACTCTACGAGGGTGTTCATGATTTTTTTTGTTTTTCCTCTTGGAGGAAGCTACGAGGGATGGGTTTTCAGACGCCAGAACAGTATTTCTTAATGTTACAATGATGGTTACAACGAAACAAACACACGTGATGCGAACATTGCTTGACTCCAGTGATTCAAGGTTTTATCATGGACTGGCAGAACTGGCATTGGCTTCGCGGCTGCTTGGATTATACCAACGACCCCCTGAGAGACCAGGAGCAAAACTTTACCTACCTAGGTCGCCATAAATCCCCAAGCATACCATTGAGTGCCGATAGTGACACTTGCAGACCCTCGAGCGAGAAGCTGGCAGGGCAGACGAATCGTGCGAGAGCTTGACCGACTGCTACTTTCCAGTCTTGATCCAAGGAACTCGTGAAATCTGGGACCACCTACCAAGCCCATCCCTCCCCTTGTGCAACAACATTATATGCAACATCTCACACCACACACAGCTGTACACCCCCGCACGCGACAATGTCAACCAGATCACTACATGTGGGGAACATGCGGCATGTCACAAGAACACCTAGAGCCGCAGAAACGCGCAAGTATGAAAAAGGCATGTCGTCGTGGACGCGCGCACATCCGAGTTCCCAGTGTGCATTATACGTAAATGCACGTGTGCGCGCGCCAGAAACGCGGGCAACCTGCAATGGTGATTGGCGTTTTTTTCTCTTGGCCGAGGTTTGGTGGTTATGGTTGTTTTGGTTGGTTTGGTCATTCAAGACGTGCTGTGAGCTTCCTGGCACTGTACTACTCGCTGCCTTTTGTTCAAGGAATGGGCGCGTGGGATATCATTGCCGCAAGGAGAAACGCCCGTGGCTTTGGGGGCGTGCTTTGCATTTTCCCCATGTCATGCTGTGGTCCTGCTAATGGATGTCGAAAGGGATTCGTTTCCAGCGAGCCACGCAGTAATTACGACTGGCCAAGGGTGGTGGTGGTGGTGGTGGTGGCTCGCAAGGGTTCACGCGGGTGTGTGTCAGTGGTGGTGGTGGTGTTTGCTGACGAGGCGAGAAGTTCGGTCGGTTTCCAGCAGCGAGCTCCAGCCTCACCGGGGCAGACACTCCTCCCTACCTCTACGGAGGCGAGTGTGGAGGAGGCCCCGCTGGCCAGGGACCATGTCAGATCGAGTCAGGCCCTGCTGGAGGAGGCCTTGGGGGCGAAGCCGCATGCGAGAGGGGTGCTGTGGACGGGAGTGGTTGATGAGTACGCTTATACGATTGGTCCCCAGTACCGTGGTGCTGGTAACTGCACGCGTACATACTTCATGCAAGTAGGGTGTGTGTGTGTGTGTGTGTGCTGCTTCTGCTGTTGGCCAAAGTTGAGCTGCCTGAAGGTGGACGTGACAATCGTGCCTTCAAATCTTGGAAACCATGCCCACCACGCTGGGGAGGTGGTGGTTGATGGGATGAGTGGGTGATGAGGCAAGCCAATGAGCGTGTATACTTCCCCTGTGCGGACCGCTGCAGGAAGGGTTTCTCTGGTAGTTTTGCATAGTTCAGTCATTTCTTGGAGATGTACCCTAGTGCCATTTGGCAGCTGCATGGCAATGAAAATGCACTACCATCTACAGGGATGCATCGCCAGCTTGTCGATCTGTCGAATCAGTGCAGCAATGAAAGGGCACTTGCCTGTGACTAGCGACCAAGTACCCCGAAAAATACGTGACCAGGGTACTCAAGCCGAGGGTGGGCACTTAAATCTTACACACGGAGCGAACCATCCCATCCAAGGGCTGATCGACCTTTCAGGAATTTGTGAAAGTTTAGACTTGAAACTCAAGATCCACAAGCATCACGGCTGTTTCGCGGCACGTCATCGAACTTCCCGGAGATACAGGGGTAGAGTAAGTGGAGTTCACGCTGGCATTGTAGATCGTGTACTGGAGACATAACTGCGAAGAATGCTAACGTTCAAGCATAATTGTATGGCCGAGTAACAAGTGACTATGAATAACTTCGGCGAGGCTTACTAACAACGCAACGGCATCATCTTCCATAAGTATCTAGACATTTACTTCCGTCTGTAAAATTGCTACTCCTTCATGCACTCGCACTCTCGCCGGCAAACAGCAAGTAGATTCCAGCTCCGCGCGCTGAACTCTATCCGAGGCGCGATATTTCCCGAATGGAAAAGTGACAATACAAGAATGGTCATTATACAGTTATCATACATACATGTTCTCATATGTGCTCGCACCACTCCATCCATGATCACATCGGATCGTGCTCATTATTAACGATCTGTATGGCGTAAGAGAGCACCTACTTTGATACGCGGAAAAGAGCAGCCTCGCCTTGAAGCCACGCGAATCCGGATTGCATTAGCTCATTCCTCAAACAAGCCCAACTCTGCGCATAATATCAAAAGAAATGTTCCGCGCAGGCTCCCAGACATGTTGCTTGCCATCGTACGTGGTATACAGAGCACCGATTCCCAAGCCGCACAAATGGGATGCATGGTTTATGCCTAAGCGCAGGAATTTGAGAGCACCAAAAGCACCGAGAGTCTCGAATGCAAGCAGGCCCCAGAGGAAGTCCTGAGCTTGCCAGGACATGGGTACGAAGATGATACCGATCTGGCTCGTCGGATTGGTCATGAGCCACGAGCCGACGATGCTCATGATAGCGCCACTGGCACCAAGCGTCGGTGTGAAACGGGTAATCGGCTGAGGCCATGGCAGTGCTGACCAGAGATGCGAGCCGAGTCCAGAGAGGGTACCAGCAGACAAGTAGAAGGACAGGAAGTGGCTGCCAGAGCCGGCGAAAACCTTGCCCTCGCCGACCTGCAAGCCGAACATGACAGTGGCATAGGCATTGAAGGCCCAGTGCAGAGCGCCGCCGTGCACGAAAGTCGAGGTGAATAGTGTGTAGCTTTTCAGGAGAACTGGCACGTGAGCGAGGCGGGCGGGAATCGTGGGTGTGAGCCTGCTTGCACCGTAGAGGCCGGCGTTGATGGCGACGAGGCTGTAGACCGACTTGCCAATGGGTGACAGGTTGCCCCAGAGCGGCACTGGCAACATCTGGCTGTCCGCCTTTTTAGGGGCCCAGTACCAGCCCGAATCGTTGTCAACCTGGGCCAACGTGGGCGTGCGAGTGGTGCGGTGCCGTTTCTTGTAGTCGGTGACGTCGTGGTGGACAGAGTAGCCAGCGCAGCCTAGGTAGATGAGCCCAGAGACGCTGACAGCCCAGACGATGGGACCGAGGACGCGGACGCGTGGCGCGCGGTGGTCTGCATAGCGGAAGTGAGCGTCGAGGTCCTCCATGGCCTGGCGGGAGAATGGCCTCCGGGACGCTGGCCGTCTCACGAAAGCTCCGGGCTGGGCGCTTGCCCAGCGCAGCGGCCTCGGCGCACGACGGACTGCCGTTGCAAACATGGTGACGGCGAGAGCTCCACAGAGTCCAGGGTGCAGATTAAGAGGACGTGATCCCGAGGGATTCCAGGTGTCTCAAAGGCGCATCGCGTCGCTGTCCAGATATATCGAACACCGCAATCCGGGCCTGTTTGCTAAGACCATGGGTATAAGAGGGTGCTAACGAGCCGTTGATGCGGTGCTAATGGATCCAATGTGGGGGAGTTCACGAAGGCTCCTTATCTTATCGTTGCTCCGGTTGGCTCGCTCGTTGTTGGGCAACAACGGGGCTGACGCCGCTGCAACAAAGTAAACAAAGCGGGGCCTGTCGCAAGCAGGACTCCATGCAGCCAGCTCGACAGCTACAACGCCAACCCCGGAGACATTATTGGGGAACACTCCCGCCTCACCAGTGCTTGTTGTTTATCCCGTATACTTCAACAGCCCAGCGGCTACATGCTGCGACCACAAACTACAATATCGCCCGGAGAAATCATTCCTTACTTAACCAGAGAAGGTCTAGCAGCAGTTCTGTACAACGACGGATCGCTCACTGCGAACACCACGTCTGAAGCCAGATCCTCAACTCAAATGATGGACAGCAGTCAGAAGGGACAGGCCAGTAGCCTGTTCCAGGTCTACCTTCGTCTTAGGCCTCACAGAGCAAGGCTGCCAAACGCGGATGCGGAGCGGTTCCTCCTCGTGGAAGAGCCTGAAGATGGCGGCGCTCCCACTCACATCACCCTGAATCCGCCCATGGACCGCAGAAGAGCAATCGAAAAGTTTGCCTTCACCCAAGTGTTCGAGGAGGCCTCTTCGCAGCTTGACATCTTCCATGGCACACGTGTGCTGCCACTGGTCGAAGGTGTGCTTGCTCCACAGGGCGGCGAGGGTACTGACGGCTTACTCGCCACGCTGGGCGTCACCGGCTCTGGCAAGGTAAGTGCCTCTCTTGTACAGGAGAGCGACTGCCGGAGACAAGAGCAGCCTTCAACACGCAGGTACTAATTTCGAACTTTGCATCATAGACACACACCATGCTGGGTTCCCGTCAGCAACGCGGCATGACACAACTTGCTCTGGACGTCATGTTTCGCGGCATCGATGCGAGCATCGTCGACTGTACACGGTCATCGTCGCTTGAAACGAGCATACAAGCGTCGGATGCCTCCGACGCAACTCTGCTCACCGCCCCAGCCTTTCTCGAGACCGTCTTTAGCGATTTCAGCGGTCCCTCACGCGCAGGATCTCGAGCTGCAACCCCAATGATAGTACGAAATCCCCCAACTTTCTACAAATCCCCTAACTCCTCTACGAATCCGCAAATGGGACTTGTCACGTTCTCCTCCTTGTTCGGTGGTTCAGGTCGCCGATGTCTTTACGTTCCACACGACAGGGCGTCGCGTGTTGCGGACACAACACCCTCGGCGAAAGCTGGGGTCAGCGGGCAAGATCTCTTTCGTGAGAGTCTACCATGTCCTCCGTCAAAGTTGACGAACACGCCTGGACCTCCTAAAAATTACATGTCCCTCACTTCTGCCGTGCGATTGAAGAATGCTGCTAAGACAATGACACAGACCGATCACGCTCCGCCACCAACACCCCGACGTCACATTCAGCGGCCGTCGGCGCTGCCTCAAGCTCCCGATATAAGCGCCGCCAGGGCTTCCAGCGACCCCTCGGCCGAGTACGCAATTGTGATATCCATGTATGAAGTATACAACGACAGAATATTCGATTTGCTCACGCCACCCATCAAGTCCAATGCAACCAAGGAATATAAGCGAAGACCGCTTCTCTTCAAGCCCACCGAGAACTCGCCCGATCGCAAAGTCGTCGCGGGACTTCGCAAGATTATTTGCAGTAGTCTGAAGGAAGCCTTGATGGTACTGGAGGCTGGGCTTCACGAAAGACGCGTGGCTGGCACAGGGAGCAACAGCGTCTCTTCGAGAAGTCACGGCTTTTTCAACGTTGAGGTCAAGAAGAGGCGACGCAGTCGTACCGCTTCACACTGGAGCACAAGTACACTGTCTATTGTTGATCTGGCAGGTAGTGAGAGAGCAAGGGACGCCAAGACGCAAGGCGCGACGCTTGCTGAAGCCGGCAAGATTAACGAGAGTCTGATGTACCTTGGGCAATGCCTGCAAATGCAGAGCGACGCGGCAAGCGCCACGAAGGTACGTTTGGCATGTCCTGGGTCCAAGCTCACTATCGAAGGCTGACAATATGCATAGCCAAACCTTGTGCCCTTCAGGCAATGCAAGCTCACCGAGCTGCTCTTCTCCAATTCCTTTCCGTCCACGTCTCTGGCTCAATCAACGACACATAGGCGGCCCCTTCAGAAAGGCGTAATGATTGTAACAGCGGATGCCTCGGGAGATTACAACGCCAACTCTCAGATTCTGCGGTACAGTGCACTTGCCCGAGAGGTGACGGTCCCCCGAGTGCCTTCCATCACTTCCACAATATTGGCGCCCGGTCAAGCGCAGCAAGATCTTAGCAGCAGCCCGACATCAACTTCGCCAATTGCGCAAAGAATGCATCATCCGTCCGCGACACACTCCCGCACATTCTCGCCGATGTCAGACACCGAGAGGGGGACCATGGAGAATGCGGCTCTCGAGATTGCTCGCATGGCAGACATAATAGATCAGCTAAACGCCGAGCTCGCAAAAGAGTCGGAAGCGCGGATGGAGGCTGAAGCTCACCTCATGTCAATGGAAGATCGGGTTGTCGAGTTAGAGCAGGAGATCCGTGAGGACTGCTATGCCGACTTTGAGCAAAGACTTGCCATGGAGATGAACCGGTGGAAGGCTTCATTGTCGCTTGAACAGGAGCGCGGTGAGGAGCACTGGGATCGCAAGGTGGAGGTCCTTGCCCGCGGTGTTGGTGTTGCCAACAATCATGACAACGGCGACGACTCCGAGGATGAGGACAAAGAGAACATCTTGATTGAGAGCCTGGAGCAGGAGAACGACCGCCTTCGTCGCGAGATTGCCGTGCTGAAGCGCGAGCTGACAACTCGCACACCCAGCAAGCGTGCGCCTCTTCAGGAGAGAGGCGACGTGCCCAGCACCAAGGGCGAGCTCAGCAGCCTCGGCAGCAGCATGGAGAACTTAAGGATAAGCACAAGCAGCAACGGCGCAGAAGACCCGGCGAAGAAAGGCATTCGAGTATCGAGCACCGGTAGCCCGACGAAGAAGGTCCGCAAGCTGCCAGCGCGAAAGTGGGAGTCTATCGATGCCGACGCCGACAATTCACTGATGTGAGAGGTGTCGTTCTCATGGCGTTCTTGGGGGAACAGGATGGTGCTGGGTGTTGGATTCATTTCATCGGCTTGTGGCGGCGGTCTTTCTGATGTTTGCACATACCCTTTTGAATTTTGATGACCACATTCTTGGCTTTTTGGCAGCATTCCGTCAGGATACGTTGTCTGAAGTTTCAGACGGATTTACGAACACAATCATCTTTCATAATACAGCAAGCTATATCTCAAATGTGTAAAATACATGCACTGACTTGACGACTCTCGAATGTTTGCCCACTGCACAGTACAATCACGACGCAGCAAATTATCGAGAACGAAAAGCTTGTGTCGTCATCGCCTTGTCGCTCAACAGAAACTGTCTAATGGCTTCTTCTATATCTAGCAGAATTCTAACTCACAGCGCCCTTCTCCTTGAGGGAAGCCACCTCATCTGCGCTGTACCCCAGCATCTCCGTCAACACCTCGTCCGTGTGCTGGCCGAGCAGCGGTGGCGGCGTCCTGATGCTGGGCTTGCTGTCGCTAAACTTGACGGGCGTGTTGACCATCTTGATGGGCCCGCAGCCCGGGTGCTCCATCTCGACGACCATGTTCCGGGCCTTTGTGTGCTCGTGGTTCAGGGTCCCCTGCACGTCGTTGACCGCGGCGTACGGCATGCCGCTGCCCTCGAAGGCCTCGAGCCACTCCTGGGTCGTCTTCTGCACCGTAATGGCTTCTATCGCGGCCTCCAGCTCGACGCGGTTGGCCACGCGGACCGCGTTCACGACGTACTTGGGGTCGGCCTTCCACTCTGGGCGCCCCAATCCGTCGCACAGGATACCAAAGAGGCGGTCGTTACCCCCACCGAATAGGATGTCGCCATCTTTCGTCTTGAATGACTTGTACGGGACGATCGAAGCTAGGGACCCTTGCCGTTAGCAAGAAGCACAGCCGCGCGCGGTAGGATATACGAGTCGGTCTTCTTACGATGTGCGGTGCCCCATCGGCCAGAGTCTTTCTTGCCACTTACGAGACAGCTGCTCGCAATGTTGGCCAAGGTCGCCGTCTGACAGTCACTGAGAGCAATATCGATATGCTGTCCCCGCCCCGTCTTTGCCCGCGCCAGCAGGGCGGCCATGATGCTGTTGCTTGTGTAGAGGCCTGTCGTCAAGTCCGTCACGGCAACGCCGACCTTGACGGGCGGCCCGTCCCGGTCACCAGTGATGTGCATCAGTCCGAATTCGGCCTCGACCATGACATCGTAGCCAGCCCGCTGCGAGTAGGGCCCAGTCTGGCCGTAGCCGGTGATTGAGGCGTAAATGAGCCCGGGGTTGATCTTCCGAAGCGTCTCGTAGTCCATGCTGTACTTTTTGAGAGAGCCAGGTATGTAGTTCTCGACCAGGATATCACACTTGGCAACTAGCTTGTGCAGAACCTCGACACCTTCGCCATGCTGGAAGGAAAGACCAATTGATTTTTTGTTGCGGTTGACCTGTTTCCTGATGGTTCAGCAAATGGTACTGCTGAGTTGTCAGTCCAGGGAAGTCTTACAGCAAAAAAGTACGCAGCTTCGCCGGGGCCTTGCAGTCCCGACTCCTGAGTGTACGGGGCGAATGGAGGACCCCATACTCTGGTGTCGTCGCCGCGCGTCGGGTGTTCAGCTTTGATGACCTCGGCTCTTCAACCACACAGTCAGTATTCCATCCGAGTCATTACTAGTCAACAGAAAGCCGCCCGGACATACCCCAAGTCGCCCAATATCTGTGTACAATACGGCTGTCCAAGAGGGAAACAGTACAGTTAGGGCCGACGAAGCGCAGCGCACGATATTGCAGCGGCAAGAAATGCAACTCACACCAGCGAGAACCCTCGTCATGTCCAGCACACGATATCCCGCTAAGGGGAGGTTTGCGGTGGACGAGACATCGGTGGCGGCGGCGGCGGCGGAACGGCGACGGGCCGTGGTCGAGAACAAGACCCGGGATGCCCTGCCGGTGGCAAGGCCGCGACCACCGGCGCGAGCGAAAGACCGGGCCAACATGTGACGCTTTATGCCGTCAGAGCTGATGCTGCCTCATAGGCTGGGCGGTGGATAGGGCGGGCGTCCAGGCCCGGGAGCACGATTTCGTGGTGGTGGTGGGCGGGCACGGTGTTGAGTACACCCGTGATGACGGACGGGCAGGCTTGTTGAGATGAGCAGGCGGACACGCGTACCTCTGAGGCAATGACAGGTCACGAAGCCTCCCACGATTGTTGTTCCTGCAGGGGCATGGCTCGAGTCTGCTAGGTTGGGCGGCCGAGGTGGCATTCCGTCCATGGCGGAAGCACCGCAGTGCCAAGTGCCGCTGGCTGGTGGGGTGGCCGACGCCGGCGCCGCTTCCCCACAGAGAGCAATCGGCGCCATCAATGCCTGCCAGGCAGGGCTTCTAGCTCGTCGGGGGCACGTCATCATGGCCAGCCTCGACCTGTCCCGAGATTGCAGTATTTTCTGTTGATGTAAACAAAGGACACCCGTGCGGTGCACATCAGGATCACAGAGTCATCATAGACTCGTCAGCAAGCCCTTTGAGGGGGATGTGATGTTGTCACGTCACTGGCAGGGGGTGCAGCTCGTGTCTGCCGGCTGCAGCTCCAGCGCTTGTTGTTTCATGAGTGCACGTCGCTGCCCGTCGAGATGAGCGAGACTGGCCCATCGAACCTTCCCCTGTAGGAGAGCTGGGCCTATCTTTCGAGACTGGACGGCCCGCGCACCACCAGCGATGATGATGCACGTGATGGATGATGACCTGACCTGCACGACCTCTTCCCGCGCATCAAAAGCAACACTCGCTCACTTTTCCGCCGTGGATGACTGTGTGCACTGTCCCCAACTCTAAAGATTAGTATGTTTGCAACCCTCGAAACACTGGCCTGGCTTGACTGCGCCTGCACCCCAACTTTGACCAAAATCTGACAGCACCGACACTGCACATTCGGTGCGACCACGAGACCTGCTCGGACTGGGCAGTGCCCGGCGGGGCTGACGAGAATTACTACGCAATATGCTTGTTCAATCGGCCGCAGCGAACAGACCATCAGCCTTCCACTCTTCTGGAAAGACCATTTCTCGTCTCGAATAGGGAATCCTTCCTGCCTCGAGCCACCTGGACCATCGGGGCACATGGGAATCAACAACGAGCCGCCATTGGACAGGCCGTCCGCGAATAGTACACCTGCAGAGCACTCTGTGCCGATACTCTGCATGGCGCATGCAGCACCGGCTCTCGTGTTGGCGCTGCCGCGCCCAAGCACCCGCGGCACGCTTGACACGACATAGTGTTCATGCCAATGCTGCACTCCCACCCCTCGACGAAGGATCTGTCCCAGGAATGCAGCTGAATGGGGAGGGCTGCAAGGATGTCGGCTGTGTGTGCGGCCTCACCAGTGGCTGCTGCAGTTCTAAATGTGGACCAACGGCAGGGAATCGCAGCCCCACCCAGCAGGCCCTTTGCTTGCTCGCACCAGTTGTCGTGCGAACCGAACAGACTCCCGAGATCGCGACCGATTCTACATCTCGGCACACCTGAGCAGGGCAAGACTAGTTCCATAGGGAGGAGGCAGGAACAAGTTTCCTGACCCAAGGCCTTGCCCTCTGACGAAAACATCCCCAGCCACTCGTCATTGCAAAGTTGCGATGCTATGGGGAGTAGCACGGCAGACCAGTGCTGCTGGCTGCATGACAAGTCCCAAACTCTCTTCCCTCCCACGCCACCACGCCAAGTGCCGCTGCAACACGGATGGGCCCCCAGGCACAGCCTCGTAATCCCTAAAAGCCTGACTCCCCAACCCCAGCCCACAGCCCTCCCTGTGTTCTGATTGGCCATCTGCACCCTACAATGTCCTGTTTCGTCAGCCAGTCGGATCTGTGGGACTAGCCGGGGTGCGGTTCGAGGCTGTACCAGCCTGAACCCTGTCCAACCCATCCACCCACCCAGACCTTATGTAACGGCGCATGGCGTAGATGTGTCGTGGATCAAATGAAAGAGACCAGACCCAGCCTCGCCCACTCCTGGCCCTGCTTATTGCCCACGACCGGGTGTGCGTGTCAATTACGTTTGGCCTGGCGTCGTGCTTCATCATGCACCCCAGCCAGCTAGCCCTTTAGTGATTAAAGTTGGCGTGGTGGCTCGTTCTGCTGATGGTTGGCTGTTGACGTGCGCAGACCAAGGCCACGATATAAGCACCAGAGCCTTCCCGGCGACGTCCACCCTCAGATGGGTGACTCTTGTCGTTACCGTACCCATCTCTACTCTAATACTCTAATTTGTAATACCCATCTGTTTCAAGCTGACCTCATCTCTTTCCAACCTTCGCTACCATCACTAGCGTACTTGTGAGGTCTTTTGCAGCTGACCCAAACCTTTGATCTGACATCGCCGGCATAATTACTTAACCTCTGTGCGGTTGCACTTTGCCGCCCCAGTACCATACAACGACAAGATACACGCCACATCGCAGACAAGAACGTCCATATGGCGCCCACAATATCCAACCTCGCCACAAGGGCCGTCGCCATGGGCGAACACATCTCACACATTTCCAAACGCTCCGAGCAATACGAAACATGGCAGATTGTACTCCTCACACTCATCCCGTCCTTGATAGCCGTCAGCCTCGCGGCATACTGCGTACACCAGCGGATCCGCCTGCATCGACTCTACAAGGAAAAAAGAAGACACACCCGCTCCTGCGGGAACGCGAGTTTGCCAAGATGAGCAAGCTGACGCGGGCTGCACGGCGCGACACCGAAGAAATGGAGCGGTCCATTATGATCCAAAAGTCGCTCGCCAGCCGGTCGTCTCTGGTGAGCACTACGTGTGGCAGTGGAGCCGGCGACCAAGGATCTATACGAAGCGTGCCAAAGACATTTTCAAGCAGTGAAAGGTCGTCACTACGTAATGTCGATCATCTTGCCATCACAATCGAGCACCACTCCCTCCACTCGACGGGTGACTTTTTCGCATTCGAGAATCAGCAGCAGCAGCCAGACAACAGACCGCGGACCGCGGGCTCACGAGGTCTCGGTCCCGTCCCGCCATCGCCGTTGTCGCAGGTCATGGTGTCACCCATTCTGGATTCGATACCGGTCTCGCCGTTGGTCCCTGCTTCCTTCGCATCGCCGCTCCCCCAGGCCCGCAGAGTGTCCTCGTCGGGATCCGCGAGGCCAGCCTCCAAGTCTGTAGGATCGCAGGAAGCTGCTGCGGTCAACACCACTGGGTCGCGGAGAGCCTCCTTACCAACCCGACCGAAGCTGGTAGGTCCGGACGCTCATGACTCGACCCAGACACGGCCGCCATCGAGTGTCTATTGATGCAGGATAGAGCCAGATGATAGTTGTAATGAAAAACATGGATTCAGGTAAACTTCTAATGTGCTGGCTGCCCCAGCACTGTGGCGTCCTTGTCCAGAGAATCGTGGATGATGGTGTATTCACCATGTATGTGATCACGAATATCTTGCATATGAGTCTTGCCAAAGTCGAGGTTAATTAGCAAGGGGATGTGCATGCGGGCTCGAGCTTCCAAGTTGAGACAGACCCAGCCTCCAAGTGGAAGCAGCGGCCTGGATCCACAAGCATAAACTTAGTAATCCAACCACACTTGGCTCCTGCGTTCACTTCCGCGTACCCACCGGCTACCCTGCCAAACCACAACGCAGAGTGGATGAGTCAGCTCTGGAGACTTCTCTCCATTCTACAAGGTTCTGCCTGGAGCCTCGATATTCGGCATCAACTTCATCCCTTCTACGTCAGCAAAGTGTTCGTCGCTCGTTGCCCGTGCCAGCTCGTTCCTTCGTCCCCAGCGCTACCACCTCGCGGCGGTGCATTCGCGGTTTCTCAGAGTTGTCACTGTCGCCCAGTCAGCACCACTGTCGCCCTCACGGTCTTCGCACACGAAGTCGCCACCGCCGCCCGTTTGTCGATTGGTATCACAGCTTCAGCCGAGCCCTCTCCGCCATGGCGACCTTCCCGGACGATGTGCTCGCCTCGATGAAGCCTCCCGGCATGGCTGATGCCGGCGCCGAGGACAGCTACAAGGAGAATCTCAACACGCACATGATGTGTCCCGACTGCCGCGAGTTTCCTCCCAACCTCATCGAAGAGTTTTCGTCTGGCGACATGGTCTGCGCCTCGTGCGGCCTGGTGCTCGGCGACCGGATCATCGACACGCGCAGCGAGTGGCGAACCTTTGCCAACGACGATCAAGGCAACGACGATCCGTCTCGTGTCGGTGATGCCATGAACCCGTTGCTCAACGGCTCGCAGCTCGAGACAGGCATCGCGTTCGGCGAGGGCATGCGCTCGCGAGAGCTACACCGCGCGCAGAACCGGTTACAGAATGACAAGGCCACAAAGGGACTGCTCTCTGCATACCGCGAGATCTCCCAGCTGTGCGACGCAATCAACATCTCCAAGACCGTGCAGGACTCCGCCAAGCACATCTTCAAGCTGACAGACGATGCCAAGCTCTTCAAGGGCAAGCCGCAAGACGCCGTCATTGCCGGCTGCATTTTCATCGCCTGCCGGCAGGCGGATGTGCCGCGGACGTTTAGAGAGATATTTGCCCTCACAAAGGTGTCCAAGAAGGAGATTGGCAGAACATTCAAAGCCCTCGAGAAATTCCTGCAGAGCAACCAAGAGGCGAACACGAGCCGGTCGCTGCTGCACTCCCTCAAGAGCGACAACACGACCTCGACGAGTGCGCCACAGCTCTGTGCTCGGTACTGCAGTGGCCTCAACTTCAACAATCCTCACCTTATGGAGAAGATCTCGAAGCAATTGGCGGAGAAGAGCTCGTCGGTCAAGGATCTGGCAGGTCGTTCGCCTCTGTCCGTTGCCGCGGCTTGTATCTACATGACTTCACACCTCATGGGCGAGCCTCGATCGTCCAAGGACATTGCCACTGTTGCTGGTGTTAGTGACGGCACAATCAAGACCGCTTACCGCTTCCTATACCAGGCCCGTGAGAGACTGGTGGAAGCGAGCTGGAAAGGCGCCGACATCGATAAACTGCCCACTAACTAGAGGCTGCTTGGGTTGGTCGTTTGTCGTCGTTCTGGCCGCGGGATGATTCTGCCCTGAAGTGGGGACTGCCGAGAATGCTGCCACGAAAAGGCACGTCTCGCAGTCATAGACTGAGAGGCTCTGTGTTGCTATTCGTGGCAGGGCCTACACTATCCGAGTTGAGCACGTTGGGTGATTCCACAAGCTCAAATTCTTGATTGAGTCGTAGGCTTGAGTCTCGACTCGCGCGGAGCAATCTGGCTCAGCGACGTGGACACATTGAACCCTCAAGCAGCTGGACTCATAACTGCCGAGCTCCTTACGGCTGCCTCAAGAACAGGTCTTCAGAAAAGTCGATCCTGAAGTTTGAGATCTCAGACAAATGCGTTCCGGCCGTGCACTTCGTTGGGCAGACGCGGGGGCCGTTTGGGTTTGCATTGGGGAATTCCTGGGATAGGGCATTGGAGAGCGCACCTCCCGCGCCTACACTACGAAAAGAAAAATATTGATACCACTCGATGGCGTTTGCATTTTACACACACATGGCTTACTGCAGCAGATACAATATCTTTTCTAGCGTAGAAGTTGCATCACGAACGAAATTGGAACATCTCTCTTGATCTGCAATTGGGGTTCGCTCGGGATAAGTGACTTGGATGCCTTGTGGTGTGGCCCAGGTGTCTCCCAATATTGCGCTGGTGGTCGTGTCTGGTATTATATCTTGACTATGCCCCTAGACCTCACGAGCCTCCGAGACTGCCCATCAACACCAAGTCTACCATTCCCTTCACCTCCCTCGAATCTTATTCTATACACGGGCCCTTTACCAAGTCATCTGTAAAATCCCGCCAACCCCCTTCTTCTCTCTTGTGCTGTCGCCTCTCGACGACACAAATAGTCAACTTTCGTTCACGAGTCCTCTTTCCCCGTCTCCCTCCTTCACCCCCCCCTTCTTCTCTCAAGGCTATAAGCCATCGCTCTGGAAAGAGGACATCAAATTTGATGATCATCATCATCATCATATCATCACCACCCTCTACTCACACACTCGTGTGTGGATGAGAGCTCGTCGTCGCTATCATCTCTAGCTCACCGCACGACGACCTCGAACTTGTCGTTGGTCTTGGTGGAACGTGTCGCGCGCGCGTTGTTCTCGAGCAGGTTTCATCTGGTTCTGAAGGCTCCTTCTTCTGCCTGCGCTCCTCGACGCACTGGTGCGCGTAGTCGACCAGCCGGGCGAATCGGGGTCAAAGGCAGGGACACAAGGGCGACACTCATGTGCAGCAGCCTGGGAAGGCTGCCCAGCACGCCGGCGACGAGACCCGTCATGTGGACAGTATCAAGGTAGGAGTGCGACTGGGCCTTTTCCAGGGTGTCAAAGGGCCTGCCGAAGGCAGGGTCTCCTGTTTGAGAGATGTTGCGAGTGCCTTGTCGTCATTGATGTGAAAAGGATGCGTGGCAAGTTCGTTCAGAGCAAAGAATCAGGGGCTTACTTACCCATGCTGTCGAAAGACCACCATTTCGTCCATTCTGTCAGATTGACGACCTCGCCGGACCTGTGGGAGAGCTGCTCGACCAAGATATCCGAGTATTTGAGCAGTCGTGAGTCGTAAGCCCTCAGTGGCTTGGGAGCGACTGCCTTGTCCCAGCCGTGCCCCCAGCGGTGGGCGTGCTCCGCCTTTCTCACGCATCTGGTGAATCGTTACCATTGATATGCCAATGTCGTACCACTCGTCCTTCTCAAAGGTGGTGTGTGTTCCGTGGATAGACTCGACCATGTCTGGATCGGAGATGGACAGCATGTTGGGCCTGACGCGGACATACTCGCCATACTGGGCGTGGAATTAGTCGAGCAGCCACGCCTGGTAAATATTGTGAGAAACTTGGGCGGCGAGCCAGAATTGTGTGTATTTGGCACCGCTAGGACCGATGAATCGGCGGAGAGGATGGAAGAAGGTGCGGTATAGTAGGGTGCTCGTGAACAAGGAGGCAAAAAAGGATAAAGATGCTGTGGCCACGAGCTGCAGTGCCCAGGACAAGAGACCGGCCATGACGAATGACAAGGAAGCATGTTCCTAAAGGGGGAAAAAGCACACTCTCCCAGAGGTGACGAGGGCCGTGGGCGAGATGCTCGCCACGGATGAAGGAGCCAATGTGAATCAGGGCGCCAATGATGGATGCCATCATGGCGACCTCTGAGAGTGTTAGTGGAGCAAATGCCACATTGTTTTAGAGACGAGGAGGTCACAATACACGAAGTCAACCAGAATAACCAAGTCACTGGAAGGGCAAAGGAGGCGCGTTTTATACAAGCTATATAAGTGTCCTATCGATCGCCTTGCTCCGGCGAAATCCTCGTAGTGGCCTGAGAGCGGGTTGAGAGCGCAGGCAGGCTTCGCGAGGATTATGCAAGCCGCGCGGCGACACTGCCGACAGGACAGCCTGATTGGGCAATTGAGACATGGCGATACGAGGAGGACCATAGTCTCAGGAGACAATCTCGGCCCGCGAGAAACTGCCCTCCCCGACTGGCATACGTGTGGCATACGCGTCCATGGAAAGGCGAAGGGATTAACCTTCGTCGCCCAAACAGGGCCGAGTCGCCCGTCATGTCCCTTTCCGTCGATATGTCGTAGCATTATCAAATGCATGCATGGTAGTGATGTTGTTGAACAAAGCCGCGAGTAGGTCAGGATGTGGTCGCGAAGCGCGTGGTGACTTACACACCTGCCAGCTTCTTATCGGGTGCTTATCAGTCATCAGCACCCCCCCTGCAAGTCGGCCACTCCACGGCCCCCAAGCATGGCGGACCCTAAATTTCTCAACGCCAGAAGTCCATCGTCGCCAGATTCGTGGACAACCACGTCACACCTCCCCACGCCTCAGTGCTACAGCAATCTCTCCCGCCACAGCTTGGTGCCCAGCTGACGGCTTCCACACATATCATGGCAGAGCCCACTCCGCCGCCGGCCACAGAGGCCGCTGGTGCTGCTGCTGCTACTGCTCCTGCTGCACCCGTATGTCATTCCCCCCCACCAACAGCCGCATCCCATCCCATCCCATGGCCATGGTCCAGCCAGGCTCGCTCACTAACACCCTGCTACGACCAGAAACCAGCTGCGACGACCGCGCCTGCCGCCGCCCCCTACAAAGCCCCGCAGCCAAGCCCTCTGCGCATGATGGGCATCCCCGGCCTGCCCAAGAAACTCCCCTCGCGCAACTGGATGATCTTCTGGACAGTCCTCGGCTCCTTCTCCGCAGCCGTCATCTACGACAAGCGCGAGAAGAAGCGCGCCACGGCCAAGTGGGCGCGAACCGTAGCCCACCTGGCCAAGGAGCCTGTTGGCAACGCACAGCAGCTCCCCCGCAAGCTGACCGTCTACCTAGAGAGCCCGCCGGGCGACGGCCTCTTGCCTAGCCAGGAGCACTACATTGAGTACATAAAGCCCGTGCTTGCTGCGTCGGGCCTGGACTGGGAGTTCGTGCAGGGTCGGAAAGAGGGCGACATTAGAGCCGCCGTGGCCGAGAGGATACGGCGGGCACGCGACACGGACGGTTCGACAAGGGCGGAAGGGCAGGAGCTCACCAAGGACGAGATTATCAAGGCAATGAGGGAGAAGTCGGGAGTGCCCGAGTTCCACGGCCCCAAGGGCGATATCGTGGTCGGGAGGCATACATGGAAGGAGTACATGCGCGGCCTGCACGAGGGCTGGTTGGGGCCTCTGACTGCTCCTGTAACAGAGACACCACCGCCAGCTGCAGACACCAAGGCGCCTTCAGCTGCTGCTTCCACATCGGCAGACTCGTCAAAAGGTGTTTCCGCCCCCGAAGTGGTCAACATTGATGAGATAAAGCACGACGAGGACGCCTCCTCTGCAAAGAAGGCCGCCGCAGAGGCTGCGGAGAAGGAGAAGAAGGAAGCGGAAGAAGCGGCTGCCAAGAAGTCCGAGCGCCCGCCGCAGCCTGTTCCATACAACAAAACCACCGACTACCCGAGCTCGCCACTCCCTCTCCTAATCCCGGCCGAGTTCTCTCCTTCTGCGCCGATCCCGTGCCCGCACGTCCTGGGCTTCAGCAGCACCCCGGTCCGCCTATGGCGCTTCCTGAACCGGCGCAAGCTTGCTGACGACGTGGGCCGCGAGGTGGCCGCGGTGTGCCTGGCCGCGGCGCGCGAGTGGCGGGAGGACGACGTCTCCGCGCAAGACCCCAACTCGTCCACGCCGACTCCAGAGTACGAGACCGCCCTGGTGCAAGAGGAGAAGAACTGGCCGAGCAAGCTGTGGAAGGAAGGCGAGAAGAGCGGGGGGTTTACAACGGCGCCAACTCTGCCGAGGGCCAGGAGAAGATTTGGACGCAGCCAGTCGTGACGGACCCGCGGATCACGATGCGTATGCGCCGCTTCGAGCTGCTGCCCGAGGACGAGGAGCGCTCCCGGGCCGTCGTGGTCCCCGAGGTCGAGATCGAGGGCTGGATCAAAGGCAGCCTGAGGGAGCTGTGGCAGTGGATCCGTGCGCCCGCGGAGCCAAACCCGCGGTGGTCGACCGATAGCGACTTCTCCTGAACTTCCTGTCTCGAATAGGAGTCAGGGGGCTGGGCAGCCTGAAAGGCGGAGCGCAGTGGAGGGGAGCGAGTGCTCCTGTTTGAGCTCGATGTTGAGGAGGCGTCGAGTTTTCTGTTGTATAACATGTACATCAACCACACATTTTTGCATGCACGGCCGGGAGCCGAAAAAGGGACAAGTGGCACGAGATTGGGCAAGGGCTGGCAAATTTCTGCTTTCCTATGGACGAACGACATCATGCAACTCACATATAGATACTCTCTGTCGAAGGGAACGGGAAGACATATCAGCCGACGACTGAGGCCCTAGGAGGGGCAAGGCAGGAAGACGGAGACGCGCTGATGGATGTGTATAATACAAGCAGCTTCACTGTGTGATTATATCGACACTTTGACATCGTCAAATGCGTTACAAGTTGTTCGTCGCTGACATAGTTTTGTGGTTGCTGTGTAACTCCTTATTTGAGCTCACCTGAGAGGCAGTTCTCCAATCGCTCGTGACAAGTCCGAAACCCCCCCCCCCCCCCAGGTTGTACTTCCTTGTGATTTTACGGAGGACACTCTGCGTGCAGACGGTTCAGACGTCTTTCCGCAAGCAGACGTTCATCAGTGTCTGTGGTCTTTTCAGATGGTCATGCGTATGACGGCATGAGAGCCTATGGGACCCTCCATTCACAGATCTCAGTCAGGAGAAGAGAGCGTCTTGACGACCTACTGTACAGCGATTGACGTGGCCCGATTGTGGCACCAGAGATAGCTAAAGCCGTATTCCGTAATGGAGGACTGCTTGCATAGGAGATCTTCGCGGGATATCACTCCCGGTCGTCTATCCATAATGCAGCTGGGAAGAGGTCGACTCTGTGTGCAAGCGGCTATCGTGCTGTCGTAGTTGGGGAAGAACAGTAACTGGCTGGCCCTTCCATTCCCTAGTGGCGTAGCCAAGCTTGCTAACAATGGCAGCTTGTATATGATTTGAGGGGACGCTGATGGTCGACCGTCGCTCATCGTCAACGCCACTACTGAAGGAAGATGCTCCTGACATCCTCAATCTTCGTCAGAGTCGTCCGAACCATAGGCCACCAAGCTAGCCTTGGCCTTCGGTGCAGGCACAGGACCGGTCGTCTTTGCAGGCGCTTGCTCACTTTTCTGCGTCGCCGGCGCGAACGCGGCCCCTCGTTTGTCGGGAGAAGCGCTGTCGGCCTGGCTCTTCTTCTGCTGCTCCGGAGCTGTACCTGACGAGCCACCTTCTGGAACACTCGTCTTCCTCTTGACGCCCTTAAGGCCCCCGATCTTCACAGCACCACTGCCGTCCTTCTCCCGCTTGCGCTTCCTCCCACTGTGTTCCCAAGACACCTCAGCGTCTCCAGCAGTAGCAGCAGTAGTAGCACCTCCATCACCAGCCCCTTCCAGCAGCACGGCTCCATCCTGGCCAGCACCAGCACCAGCGCCGCCCTTCTGCGCCTCCCGGAAGGCGGCAAGACCCTCCTCGACCTCCCTCCGCCGCCTCTCCTCCTCGGCCCTCTTCCTGTCCTTCACCCCGTCGAGGAACTCAATCTCGTCGTCGTCTAGCGCCCGGAACTGGTTCCGGATCCGGTTCGCCTCCTCGAACGCCGCCTGCTTCGCGGCCTTGTTCTCCTGCAGGATCGCGAACAGCGACTTCTCCCCTTCGCCCTGGGCCTCCGCGCGGCGGCGGGCCTCGCGCTCGCGCCGTTCCGACTCGAGCGAGGCTTGTACGGCGGCCCATTCTGCTTGGCGGGCTTGGGTCGCGGGGTCTGTGGCTGTGGTTGTCGCTACTACTGATAATGATGATGGTGACGGCGACGCAGTGGTCTCAGTTGTGGGCTCGTGTGACTGCGCATGCGGCTCTCGTGTTTCTTGCTGGAGGAGCTTCTGCTGTGGCCGAGCCTCGCCGCCAGCGCTCCCCAGTCCAACCGCTGAAACAATGCCACTTTTATTCAGCGGCTGCCGCCCAGCAGCAGGCCCCCCTGCCGTCGTCGCCGCAGCGCCCTCTATGACTCCTCCAGTGGTGGTGGTGGTAGTAGACCGCCCGTCGCTGCCAGCGAGAATCGTGCCGGCCGACACGAACCGCGACGACATTGCTTTTCCCCTCTTCTTCTTCTTCTTCCAAAAATCCCGTCTTCTCTCGCCCTGCCCGCTCCTCCCCTTTCTCTATTCTTGCACCCTTCGTCTTTCTTCTCCCTCTGTTTTTTTCTCCGCGGAAACACGCGCCTCCTTTCGCGTGCTGGCTTCGATTTCCAAAGGTTCCCCCCTCGTTCAAACCGATCCACACACACCCCCGGGAGTTCCAGATATCTCCCTCTAACTTGTCCGTTGTGCGCGCCCGCCGCTACCGCCGCACTGGCCGGGCCTCGGAATATCGCAATGCAAGCGGAAACGTGGCGAGGCGGGCGTTTGTGTGTATGTGTGTATGTGTGTGTGTCTGGTTTTGACCAGATATGTCCCACGCTCGGAGTCGGACGCGTAGCCGAAAACTCGGTCGAGTTGTGCCGTGGCTGGTGCTGCAAACGGAGTGTCAGGGAAAGAGGAGGGGAGTCGCAATCAAGGCTATCGAATGTGTGCCTGCGTATTCTGTGTGTGTGGACGTTAGGCGCGTGCGGTGCTCGTCATTGAAGGTGGAACGGGGAGGTAGGTACACAGCTCTTGGAAAAGGCGCGATGGCGCAAGCACACCGCGGCACCACCAGATTCGGAGGCTGCACGTCACACTGTCAAGCTTAAGCTCACGGCATCGGCCCTCACCATGGAAGACCTGCCCACAGACATGCTTTCGCATCACACAACACTACCCAACACATACATTGCGCTTCACACGAGATGTCAAATGATTGTCCATGCTGTTCTCTATGGCAGCCTTGGTTTGGTTGTTTTTTGTATTGTGTTTTGGCTTTGCGGGTTTTTCTTTGAATCTATACTTTGTTATGGGATGCGCAGGCGCACCTTCGCAAGCGCTGCTGTAATACAGGCAATGGCCAGAAGAACTAAACCAGAAAACTAGAACTTTTTCTATACGTCCCCGCTTGAACACGCGCTAGTTGCTGCTGCGCCGATTTTCGCCCGTACGCGAATTCCTGTTTCCAATCCGAATGTGAATCATACTCGTCGTCATGATGAAAGACATGAGAAATAACTGATAAAAACACAATGCCACCTGCTCGACCAGAACCGACGCAAAAGGAGGGCCGAGCATATTAAAAAGTCCAGAACGAAGAACCGACGGGTTTCGACGAGTCGCTCAAGAGTACCGGATGCTGGATTGTCCAGCACACCGGGGTACCTGTGCAGGCTCGAACCACAGAGAGCATGAGATCCATCCGTATTAACACAATGAGGGGGGGTATCCCTGGTTTTTTTTTTGTCCCGATGCTCTTCGTGTCGAAAATGATGGGTGAATCAAATCAAGTACGCCGGGCCACGTGAAGAATGAGGTCGTGAGGTGAAAAAGGGGTATATAGGCCGAGGGGGTATGCACGCGCGGTGCTATGTTCGGTTGCTGAAACAAGTGCACCACCTGCAATCGCCAACGTCAACAGTATGTGACTGGGCACAGGAGCTTGAACTCTATGCCGGAGGCTCCAATGCATACGACGTCGACTTCCCGAATCGGCCCTTGCCAAGCGGAGAGCTTCCGTCGGCTGCTGTGATTGTGTGGCCGGAAGTCATGTGGGTTTTCTTTTTTGAACGCCGAAACCCTGTAGTGTGCCCAGTGGGTGACAAAATGCAGTGTGCTCGGGAAGTGCCGAGTCTAGTCGAGTGTGCAATAAAACCAAAGTCTGAACTTCGCATCAGGGGCGAAGTGACGAAACGCCGAAATGAAGTATCCGATGCAATTTAAAAAAGGAAAAGAAGGCATCGCTTCTGCTCCGTTCTGACAAGAACGACCAGCACAGCGCCATGCATGGCAGGAACGTCGCCATGTAGGCATGCCATGCTTGACTCCGAAACAGGAAATGCGGAAGTTGATGTGTAGGTGGGTGTAGTCGGTCCAAATGAGAGACCCTACACCAGACCGAAAGTCGTGACTCCCAGGGTATCAGAAAAATCAGATGTATGGTCCTGAAAATGCGAAGACAGGTGACTATGGCCAGTAGTCAACATGATCACCCTAATCCAGCAGCCAGATAATGATGACTGGAATTGGGCGTTGGGCCGGGTGCTTGGGGCGCAGCGAGACCCATCAGCACATCACTAGCCTTTGTGGTTAAAGGCGCGTGTTCGTGTAGGCTGGGGTTCTAGCCCACGACAGTCTGCCCATAGTGATGCCCGTGGAAGTATGGCTGCTGCTTGGGTTGGAATGCTTGAAGACAATGAGAGCAGTTGCAATCCGCAACAGGCGCATCCCAATGGCTCTGGCCGTAGTGACCAAAGTATGTCGGATACTGGGAAGCGTTGGCGCTACGAGCACCATACGTGCTGGAGTGAAAGCCTCTGCTAGCGTTGTAGTTGCCCGTGTTGACAGCATGGGTGAACCACTCGTTGTACCGGGCATTGACCGAGGCGGCAGAGTTGAGATACTCGGGCGTACCATAACCCGAGTCCGGAGGCGTCAGAGGTGCCTGAGTCCAGCCATTTTGGTACTGGCCGTGCCAAGAGTTCTCCCGCTGCCTGTACGACATGCCAACCTTGGACGAACGAGCCATTCTATTGCGCTCGTACTCGCTGATCTCCTCTGGGGTCCAACCTTCGTATGACAGAGGGTGGTGCTGGCGAACAGTGTCGCGGCGCGAGGCAGTGTGGATGGGGGCCAGCCTTTCACGGGCGGCAAGGTGCGACTGCTGTTGCTGAGCAAGCTGCTGAGCCTTGCGGGCGTCTTGCCAAGACTTCCAGCTCTCCAGCCAGGCCTTGTAGTCTTCACTACGGTCGAGGTTGACGTAGAGCACCCAGTTGATGTGTCGGAGCCACTCGTTTTCCATGGAGTTGAGCTCGGCAACGGAAATGCCACTGACTTCAGACCAGGACCTGTTCTGGAATGTGTTGTCGTCAAGGAACTTGCTCCCAAGAAGCAAGGCGACGGTGAGCATGCGCCAGACCTGGCCCTCCTGAGCTTTGAAAGGGCCAACGGCATTGAGCATGTTGATTCGCTTCGCGAGGTAGTTCATGCCCAAGAGAATGGTCGTGCTTGGCAGCCGCGTAGAAGTCAGAATCTGGGAAACAAATTTCCTGAAAGCTCCAGTGACCGCAGAGTTTGGCATGACGATTCTCATCGCCATCTCGGCCACATATTCAGCCATCATTTCGGTCTCATAGTCGAGAACCGCGCATACGCCGCCCGGCATGATGACGGTTGGGGGGAGAGTCTCCGTCAAAGATCCAAAGATGACCTTTGTCGGAGAAAGGGGCTGCGAACTCAAGAGTTCGTTGCAGATCAGGTGCAAGGCAGGTCGAGTCGAATGAGTCGCACTTCGCAGCGAGGCAAGGAGCGCGATGAGCAGAAGACGGGACGAGTTCGGTAGCCTTCAAGGTGTTTCGTGACCATCAAACGTCGGGGAGGATTCGTGGTACAAGAGCTACGTCAAGTAGCGCTTCTTTTCAAAGAATCGAGACTTGGAGGGCGCCGTTAAGTAGCTGCGTTGATGAATCGTGATGACCGAGAATGCGTGTGAGACTTGAGCGTGAACACTGCGTGACGTTAGTTTGTTGTTCGAGTGAATGCAAAACAAAACAAAAATAGCCCTTCTGGAGGCTACAGACTCGTGGGTGCAAAACCAGTATTTGGGGCGACACGTGTTGATCAAGGCTGCTGTGGAAGACAAGCCGGCCAGCGTGTCGAGGTATCATGCAGACGCAACGGCTTGCAAGCATTACCAGCTATGCTCGTAGCAGAGGCAGTCTTGCTGGTGTTGACGGCAGGTGCTGATGACGCACACAAGTGACAGGGAGTCGACTAACCTGATGAATGGGTCGCGACGATGGGATGCAACCACGTTGAATCCGTGTCCGCTCGCAAAGGAAGGCAGGTGATCTGAAGATGCCGCGCTGCTGGGTCGAGTTTGATTTCGGTGATGGCAGTAGGCCACAGAGAAGCCAAACACGCTCAGAGGGGTCTGTAAAGGCCTGGAGTGGTCCGAGTGGTCTGTTAAGCAGCCATGGAACGAAGAGTAATTTGGACGGCTCGAACGGGGAGGTCGATGCTGTAGCCAAAGGGTGAGGGAAAAACACGGCCGAGACCACCGGGATCGAGACTGGCTCGGTGGTGCGTTGGGTGGGCAGACTGCTATTGAAAGCGACGCCGCACAGGTGTTTGTCGGGGGGCTGAGGGATCGTGGTCGGAGAAAAAGGAGCCTGAATCCAGACGCCGGCGTGACCAAAAAGTGAATTTTGGCCGCTGTCCAGAGGTGGGATTGACGGGATGGTCGTGGATGTCGAGGTGGGAGGGGACGACGAGGAGGGAAGAGGGTAGTAAGGCAAGAGGAAGGATGAGAAGCGCCGACGGAGCCAGGAGAGAGCCAGCGGCGGAGGCCGGCAGCAGGGCAGGGCAGGGCACACACAACTGGATGTGTGTGGTGTGTGTCTGTGTCTAGTGCTGGGCTAGCAGCACGCAGCCAAATGACACGCACAACGGCCAGGAGCGAAAGCGCGAGACGGGCAGGCGAGTTTGAGGTGGCGCCGCTGCACAAAACGGCCAAGGAACGTCGCCTGGTGGACGCAACGGGGTGGACGGGGGGGCCTGCTCGTGGTCCTGGAGCCCGGCGGCTCGAGTGCTGGGGCAGGAGGATGAGGACGGCTCCCATGACTGGGACGCTGCGTTGTGCAGTGCGCCAGGGTCTGCCCTCGGGTGGAGCAGCGCAGCGAGGACCCATGACCCAACGACGACCCAGGGCCCCAGAACTCTGAAGCGGTCCATTGGCAAAACAGCGGCGCCACCCAGCCAGAGGACGAGACGAGGAGGGTGGGCTGCGCAGCACAAGAGTCAGAAGCCGGGGCCAGTCACAGCCCGCCGCCTGCTGACCATTCTCGACGCTGGAGCGCGCGCACTGCCTCACCTCACCATGTGCACACCACTTGAGTGACTGCCTGCCTGCCTGCCTTCTCCCGCTGCTCCCAGCACCGTCAGGCTAGCGGCGCAGACTCTGCTAGACCGCCCGTCTCGGGTCTTCAAGAGGCGTCTCTTAGGGGCGGCGCAAGACTTTTCCCAGCTCCGTGGAATCCACCGGCATCGACCGAGTCACAGAATGGCACGCGGTCGTCTGGTCATCCAAGCTCAGTACGTACTTACTTGTCCGCGCAGAGGAACACGGTACACGGCCAGCGTTGCTTCGTCGACTCGGCTGGGTGGGACTGACTGACTGGCTGGGCAGCAGGGCCGGAGCAGTGACTTCTGGCCCTGGCCACGAGCATCCCCTTTGGCCGGCGGTCCAGCGTCGCCCAAACCCCGTGGGCTGCTGCTGCGGAAATCTCTGTGCTTGCATGTGGCCATTCACGACGGAGCCCCCATGCAGCAGCCCCGGCCCAAGATCCACCGGCGCGCAGTTGAGCCAGTCGAGCGATTTTTTGGTCTCTGGGCTTGGCAACAGGTGGAGCCCCTTTCCTCCAGGCTGGCTCGCAGCGTCATGGCAAGCTCGGCAAAAAGGTGTTTTGGCTGCACAATCCCTGGACCTCCGTGCTCCAGCAACAGTTTCGCCGCCTGCAGCATGTCGGCAGGCAAGCATCTTCGTCCGAGGCTGGGCCTGCGGGTATTCCGCAGGTGAGGCAGGAGCAGGATTACTCGGGTGCTCATGTCAGTCCGACACGAGCCAGCGTCTGGAAGCTGCCGTGCACACCGGGCCTTGGAAGTTTCGCCGACGCGATGCGCTGAGTTAGCTGCTTTGATGTCGCGACGACGAGGGAGCCAGGCCAGCCAACGCGTTCATCCCAAGTGACCAGGGCACCAACGGGCACCATTGGGCTTGTGCGTGAGGGCGAGTCCAGAAATAGCCGTCTGTCATCTGGTGACGTTTCGTGCCGTTTCGTGAAATTGCGCAGGTTCCAGTGTAACATTCCGTAAAGGTCAATCATAACGGTGGAGGCTCCCACGCCTGGGCGAGCAAGCCTCTAGCGTCACTACAGACGGCGTCGAAATCGCTGCATCGGTGCGTCGCCCTAGATCGTGCAACGACAGAGGCAGCAGCGGAATCGCTGACAGGGTCCTTCGGCGTGGCAACTTAACCGTTTCTCGTGTCCCTCAGAAACGCTTCGTCATCGTATCCCATTGCCACTTGACACCTGTCGATCTCAACCACAGTCAGGTCTCAGCCCATAGCCACAGAGTACGACGTCCAACAAATCTTGTGCCCAACTGGAGCCATGCCTAGAACCAGAAGGATGCAGCGGTCAGGGAGTGGATGACTATGCCAAGAACTCAAATATAGCGGAATGGTGAAATGAGGTCCTTTGAGCCATGCATGTAGAAACGAGATTTCAACATCCCGATTCTTTGGCTGTCGTCCCAAAAGCACATAACGGTTCTCGAAACTGTGGGTCATGAGCAGCACTAGCCCAATTACGGTTAAGCCGAGAATCGGTGTCTTGTTTTTAGACATCTGTACCGTTGTGCGCGAGTCTCAGGCAGTGCACAATGCTAGTCGTCAGCATGGACTACTACTGCTCCGTTAGAACTTCTCCCCTAGGATGACTTCCACCATCGAAGTACAAGAACCAGGACAAGTCCGAAGAGAATTCTGCTGCCTGCTCACTGGCACAACAATAGTGCTGACGGGATGGGCCTGCGCGAGCCAAGCAAAGGCGCGTGTATTCGAACTTGTCCGACGTGGTTGGCACAGGTACTGAGGCAGGCGAGAGTGGTCCAACGCGTCACGTTGTCCGATATTGCTAGCACTCACTCGTGGCACTCATTAGCCCCAGAAAGCGGCGGTTGTCCAAGCGGCCGTCAAATTTCGATCAGTCCACAAAGCCAAGTAGCCATTTGGGCAGGGCTTTCAAAACAATTTCGTGTCATTAAATCGGTCCCGGTCAGGCTTGTCGACAAGGGGGCTGTCGCCAAAACAGTCGCTTGATAGCCTGCGGAGCCGTTGCCGCGCCAGAACGAAATTGGACACTCTGCACGAGTTCCGCTCGGAGCTACGGGTTCAGGGGGCCATGGATCCTATCAACGACGCTTTCGTGGCATCTGTGTTGGCGAGCAAGCAAGCCCTGTCGCATGCAAGGAGTTTACCCGTGTGAGGGCTGCACTAAAGTCGCTGGCTGGGATCGATATCACGCATCTGCACACACCTAGGTACGCCCGTGTACATCGTGGCAATGAAACGCGTGTCCAGTAACGGACGTGGCCCTGTCGTGGTTCTTCTTTTTTGGCACAATGCATGGGTGAAGTCCCCGGCCACGGCTGGATCAAGAGCTTGGCCGCCCTGTCATCCTCGGACTGAATTGGCATGTGGACTGCAAAGATACAGCTGGCACAACCGTCCGTTGTCAATCCAGTTGTTGTGTGACCATCCGTCTTGTGGCCTTGCCATGCAGGTCGGCATGGCGAAGTGCTGAGGCAAGTGCCTGCAGCCTTGTAACATCTCCCAACCCATCAGGGAGCGCGCGCCATATGCTGACCAGAGGGCACTCAACGACAGCAAAATGTCGCCGGGGCCTTGATCGATCGTAGCATGTGGACAACATGGAGGTCACTCAGGATGACCCACACGGCCCATATGGATCGTCAGCAGGTAGTACTCCAGGGGTCCTGCCACCAGCGCTTGTTCAGTCAGACAATTTCACCTCGTGGACCCCTACTGCTCCTCCAAGTCTCCAGATATTCTCGCCTGGCGCTGCTGCCCGCTCGTGTCTAGGTACGTTCCAACTGACGCTAGCCTAGTAACAGTCTCGATGCATCCCTTTACCCCAACTGCATCACCATTGGACCGTGAGCGCGAGCTAGCTGTGGTTCCCGTGGGCCGAGTCTGTCCCCAACACAAGTACGCTACACAGCTACTCGTCGAGCATGCTACTGCTGGTTCTTTGGGGCCTGGGCTACGTAGAGATGTTGAAGCCTGTAACCAGCCAGATGTAATCGAGCCAGCAAGGACGAGCGCCTCCAAGAAGGCCGGAACCCCAGGTGATTCAGGTTCTCCTCCGCCGAACTCGGGACGAGATGCAGTTTGAAGAGACATCCCAACCCCTCTCTCCCCCCGTGTTCGCATGGGTACTCCACATCGGAAGTCGGTCGCGACGGTCTGCTGCACCATACACAGCACTCCGTAACGTGCTGCCGGCCTGAACCAGAGTCTCATTCTGGATAGTCAGTGGCACAGCGACAGGCGCTTCGCAGGCGGTGTGTGTCCAGGGCCTGGTTTGCACCAACCCCGTGGATCTCTTTAGGCGCTCCATAATTACCTGCCACCTGCCTCTTGGATCAGCAAACTGGGTCCGTCTTCCGGCAGCATGCTTCTCAGGTGAGGATCGCGGGCACTGGGGGACCTGAAGAAAATCCGAGACATCTCTCAGTTCCTGAGCCCTGATGCCATCATGTGTTGTTCCTTACTGGTCTCTTGTACTTGTAGTCATGGCCCAGCAAATTGCTGTTCATTCCCCAGAGGAGACCACCTTCCAGCTTCTGCACGGACTGGCTGCAGCCCGCTATATTCTGCGGATAGAGCATAACCTACCTTTCAAGCAGCTCAAAAGCGGGACTGCTCGTTTTTTTTTCTCTATAACTCCCTGAGGCACAGATCCTCGTACAGAGGTGGTCGCTGGCTTAAAATTCCTTCCTTGTGCCATGTGCAATAGTGGGACCACGGCCAGCAAACCCCACTGCTCTGCAAAGTACTTTTCCTGGGACGGGCTTGGCGGGGCAGCTGCCGAACAGTCTGGAACGACTGCAACGGCGACCTTTGTCTTCGACAGCCGCACAATCAGCCTCCACGATATGCATGTCGGTTGATCATCGATCAGCAGCAAGCGAGCGAGCGAGCACCGGGACTGCCCTGCCTGGCTGCCCTCAGTCCTTCGTCACCCTGGATCAGAGGAGGGAAGGGTGTCGTTCACACTTCAGAGCCAAGCCAAGCCCAGAGCACGCCTCCGACGTATGACCCCCTCGTCCTGTGCCACGCTCTGCACACATATTTGGGCAACTGCCTGGCGCCCATCCTCCTATGCTTGTGTCGTTCGTCGATGCGCCGATCTCACAGGATAGTGGTGGCGAGTGAGGGATGGCCGGCCAGGCTCTGTAAATGGTGGCACTGGACATTTTGACAGCGCCCATCACGTCACACGCTCTGCCCAGTCGAGCAGCAGTGACCTCAGCAGCTTCTGTGGCCGAAGGATCGAAGCCCATCGTGTCCCATGGCTCGCGGGGCCCAGGCCAAGTGATGATGTAGCTGCCGTCGGCAGAGCGCGGACGACGACATCGGGCAGCCTCTCCGCTCCACCCCGCCACCACCCATACCACGATGCCTTGTCCTTCACTTCCTCTTTGGCTTCCGATGCTCCACTTTGCTGTCCTGATTTGACTTTGTTTTCAGTGCGTCAGCCCGCCAAGAGGCAACAACCACACACATATTGGGCGACCTCGTCCTGCAAAACGGAGCGAGGGGGCAAACCGACATGCTGCATGTTCTAGGGCAGAGCGCGCTGCGACGGTCGGCCATCCCCTGATTTCTCATCAGCCGTCACCTACAGAAGGTCATGGCAAGAGAGACTGGATGGGCAAGCGGGCCTGGTGCTCCGCGTCCGCCCGCGCCGCCCGATACCGAGAGTAGAAGCCGTATCCTGACACCCCCATGTCAACGCATGCATGCTCCGTACATTTGCATGAGATAGCCTGGTATGCTTTGTCAACTTGGGCAGTCACAGAATCGACGGCCACGACCCCACGGCGGCGGCACGTGTCCGTCGAATCCCTCTTGCCGCACTGCATTCGCCGTCCGTGGCGGCGGTGCTCCCGCGCCTGCCTGTAGGTACTTTGTGGCCCGGCAAGAGGCGGAATCAAGTCCCTTCTGCGGCGGACGGCTGGAATCGGGCATCCAAAACTGCACGGCAAAGACAATCACTTGCACCAATCGAGCATCGCGCCTCTCCCAACCGAGACTTGGCCCTTACACTTCTCAAAAGTTGAAGGTTCATTTTTTTTTTCCATTTTTTGAAACCAGCAGGCAGGAGGTGCTCGGCCGGGATGCCCGGTAAAAGGCACATCGTGACAGAACGCCCGCTTGGCTGTGGCCAGCCTCTCTCTCTCTCGCTCTCTTTCTCTCTCACGCACAGCGTCCAGGCAATCGTGCAGCAATGTAAGAAGGCGGCTTGCGGTGATGACCGCCATCCCCGCGCTGGGGTTGACTCACTTGCGTGAGATGGTGTGCCAACCGGCTGACTGTGCTCTTGCTGCCCATGCATTACGTGTGTATGCAACGGGGTTAAATTTGTCTGCCTGATGGGACAGAGTTCATGGCCACTGAGCTCAGCCGACGCTCAACTAATGGGTTGCTGAATCTGACTCCACCTGTTGCTTGCTGTCTTGCCGCCGCCGCCGCTACCCCCCCCCCTTTGCAATCTGGACTACCTAGTAACACATCCTGGTGACCTACTGGATGCGGAGGTGTCGTGCGTCGCTCAGTCCCATCAAAAGTGAGCCACCACTACACACTGCGATACCCTGCCTTGTCTGGTTGCCTGTTCGCGACACCGGGGATTCCAGCAGGCTGCCGCTTGAGGAATCTTCATTGATATGACATGACCTCAGCGAGGCGGTTGACAAAAAAAGCCGGACACCATAGTAACAGGGGTCCGCGTGAGCGTCCGGTTTATTCTGTCACCCGCCTCGCTCAGCTCGGTACGCGGCCCATGATGAAGATGTCCAGCCAGCCAGCCAGCCAGAGAGTTTGCTTGGAATGATTAACTAGAGCAATGCGGGCGGCTGTCTCACACAATCCTCCGGCCTTGGACGGCATCCTAAGGACACCCAGGAGGGGTTGCCTGGAGTGCGGGCTTTGTTCCAGAGTTTTTATTTCCCCGTTATCCATAGAGATGTGGCTCAATTAGACTGGCCACACAGCCTTGATTGACGTCTAAACGGCCGAACGGTGCGCTTGGAGAGCTATGAATTGGCTGCCTGGGTAAGACCGTGGGGTGTTTCTTCGAGGTGCAGTGTCGTGCCTGACAAAGAACTGAAGCACGATTTCGGCCCACCCGAGATACAACGGGGCCAGGTGATCATATCGTGCGCGTGCGAATACGTAAGATAATATCGTTTCTGCTCATTGTCGTGGGCCGTGGCTTTTGGTATCAGCAGTCCGTAGTTTCGCGCACGATGCGTCTGCTCTGCAAGGAAAACAAATCGCTGTTCGTACCAGTGACTACACACATCGCTTGCCATTCGCATGATGGTTCATGAATCTGTGAAATTGCCGTCAAATTGCCGCTTTCTACCTGATTACCAGTGGCGCAGACCGCCCTGCTGTACTGGGCCGGATGTGAGAAGGGAACGCCGCGTGCGTGTGGTCATTGCAAAATTGGCAAGGCACATGCTGCTCTCGTCTCGGATGGTGCATCCTCGCCGTATTCTGTGTAACCTGTGACTTTGGTCTTCACGTGAGCCTTGGGCTAGACAACTGGTTTCACCCAGTCGAGATCGTTGATTGTAGTCCAAAGCCTGTCATGATCTCGGCAGCTAGCTCCTGCTTTTGTCCGGGAGGCGCGTACTCCAGCGATATGAATTCACAGCAACGAGAGTTTCCAAAACCCGAGTATGTCGTAAGCAACCACAGGTAGAACATGGACTGTTCTCCCTGGTGTTTCGAAGTCTTTTCTTGTTCGCAGGTGGGGGTATCCCCAGCCAGACAGACGATGTGTACATGCCCTGCCGACAGTGAGCCAGACCCAGATTCATCAATGGCCACCAAATGACGAACGTCACCCCCATATCGAGAGACAAGATGCGAAATGCAAAACAGGCAAGGCAGAACAAGGCAAGAGGAAACACCCATTCTCTGCTTCCAAATTAATTTTCTTCTTCTTCCTCCTCCTCCTACTCTTCTTCTTCTTCTTCCTCCATGCCCAGCTCGAAGTGCGCTCCGCGCCTCATCAGGAGAACCCATTGCGTCCGTCTTGAATTAAGTCAGGACACACATGATGATTAAAATGCCTCCTCTCTCTCGCCATTGTAGTCTGCGTTGTATTATGCGCTTTGGTCCCCGTCTAAAAAAGGCCGCCAACGCTCATCTAGATTCCGCTGGCTCAGCAAAGAGTAAAGTAACACAAATATAAGTAAAGACACAATCGAATTTCTTTTTTGAACTCAAGCCGCATATTCTGAATAGTATCCTCTTTGAGCAACCCAGTGCAGATGTGTAAACCGCCCTCAACAAGGCGACGACGGGGCAATTTGTGTAACTCCCATTTTCCCTCTCTTTTAGGAGCAGATATTTTTATGCGGGCACTCCTTCAATGACTAACTCCTCATTGCAGGAGACGATAACAGAAAAATAGGGCGCTCCCTAGAGTCAAAATCAAAATCAAAAGAAAGGGGAAAAAGGGGGGGTGGGGTGAAATTGGGGAATAATCAAAGCAACCGACCAAAGTACATCAGGGACAGACGACCATACCCCAGACGCTGAACGCGGAGCCTCTGGACGGATCTCGCGTACCTAATAGATCTAGCTGGCAAACGAGGACGGACGAGCCAGAGATGACATAAAAACACTGGTTTCTTAATGGTCAGGAGACGGAAACTTTCAGACGACGGCACGATATCACACTTTGTGTTTTTTTCTTCTCACAACATGGGAACATTTACCCGTAGACTGTCACTGGTGAAGATCGATCACATATAGTGGCACTCGCGACGGCAGCGTTACTATAAGGTTATGTTGGGATGCATAGACCCAGGAAACAAAGCAAAGGAGGGCATGCTGGAGGAAAAGGATATTATTATGGCTCTAAAAGTTACTTGCACATGCATCAGTCAACCGTGATGAATTAAAGCAGATATGCGCGAGAAGAACGGCACATCTTTATGTATGTTCAAATATGAAAGACCAATATGCACACAGGCACTAAAAAGTGCGGATCTGGGAAGGCCCTGACTCCTCCGGGAGTGTTATAGCCTGCTGTGTAATACCGCTGCTGGGACTGAGGCCATCATTGAAGATACAAACGCCGTGCAATCTGTGCGAAATCGCCTCACTTCGCCCACCCTCCAATATACCCAGGAAACAAGCAGATCGTCCGTCCCAATCACTGCGGCATCCTCTCGTCCGTGCTCACGCGCAAGTAAAAGTCATCAATCATGAAGCTTGAGTAGCCTCTGCAGTGCCAGGGCTTCTCCGGGTTTGCAACCTGAAAGTCAAATGTGCGGAGCAGCTCGACGAAGACCTTGTTGAGCTCGAGCCAGGCCAGAGTCTTGCCGGGGCATAGCCAGCGACCATGGCCAAATGCTAGGTCGACCTGTTTGACCAGGCGGGCTTTGGTAGCCTCGTCGCAGTCAATGAATCGCTCGGGCCGGAAAACGTCGGCGTCGGAGCCAAAGACTTCCTTGTCACGAACCATGCTCCACAGGTTGACGAAGATATCGGTGCCGCCAGGAACGAACTTGCCGCAGATGGTGTCGCCACCCGGCGGCACCTGCTTGGGAAAGCCAGTGATGGCGGGAGGAACCATGCGGATGCCTTCGTAGATGACAGCCTAGAGGTATGTTAGTACAGCCGTGGGGACGAGAAGCGCTGTCAATCGTAGTCATACCTGGAGATACGGCAGATTCCTAGCCTCGTTCTGGGTAATGGGGCTGGAAATCCGACCCTCTCGGATACCCTGCGCGATTTCTTCCTTGAGCTTTCCGTGGACGCGAGCACTTGAGAGTATGTAGAGCATAATGCTGCGGATGGCTGTCGTGGATGTCTCAGACCCGGCCGGTACCTGAATAGCCAGTTCCAGTTCGCACTCTCTCTGAGTAAGGCCGTTCTTCATCCATTCGTCCTATTCAGGGGCCGATACAAGTTAGATACCAAAAATTTCCAAACTCATAGCAGAGGTTAGACGACCGGCCACTTACCAGCATGTCACCATGTTGCTTGTCCTTGTAGTCGCCAGCGAATCTTTCTGCAACTGTCTGTTTCACAATGCTGTTCAAAGTCCTGGTCAATGCCTGTCAGCTTCCGATGGTTGAGTCACCTCGACTTACCCTAGATACTTGCCCATGCCATTGGCGTCTGTGGGCTTCGGGCCAGCAAGCTTGAGGAAGAACTGAGACGCAAAGAAGTCGCGAAGTGCCGGAATCATCATAAAGGCGTGCAGAAAAGGCACAAATGTGTCGGCGATGCCAATAAAGTCAAAGTTGTCCTTTTCGTGCTTGAGATCGCCCCAAGGCTTGCCAGAACCGGCCACAGTGACAAGGTCAACCTGGAAGAAGCGGATGAGCAGGGCGAAGTCGAGTTGTTTGTCCTTGTCGGCGTAGTTCGTCTTTATCACGTTGACAAGCTCGGCAATCATGGTGTTGACGTCCTCCTCGAGGTCGGTGCGGCCCTTGCCGTAGTAGCCAGACATGAGTTTGGCCTTGCGCTTGTCGTGGAGTGCCGTGTCGGGCTCGGAGAGCACGCTGTGGCCATAGGGGTCGAACTGGATGCTGCCATACCAGGCACCGCGGGGATACTCGGAGCGAACCGAGTTGATGTGCCAGAGTGTTTCCGAGTCGTAGACCATGAGCTCATTGGGACCGATGCGAACAATCTTGCCATACTTTTCCTGCTCTGCTGCCAGCTTGTGGTGCATCTCACCCGTCGTCATCTTGCGATAGCCCCACAGGTACGAGAAGGATGCGAAGCGCGGGCCGGGAAAGTGTCGTAGACGCCACCATGATCGGAATGTCTTGAGAAACTGCCACCCGATCCAGGTGGAACCCAGAGCGGCAGCGATGGTGGCGGGACGGGCGTCCCAGAGGACCGACAGGTAATCGCGTACGGAGTCTAGTGCCTCCATCTTGGGACGGTCGGTGTAGTTGGCGAGAGGCCAGACCGCAGCCTAGTGACAAACAACCCAGGGCCGGATGATTTTGTTGTTGTGTTTGCTGAAGGGAGAGGAGAGGAGAAGGCACGCGGCAGGCGGGCCCGGGCCTGATGAGAAGATGAGACTGGAGAATCGATATCGGACTCGGGAGAAGTCGAGGACCCTGCCGGGAGAGTGGACCGTCCCTGGTGACAGGCAGGCGGGCAGGTGAGAGACAAGGTCGTCACCGAATGCAGACGAAGGAAGAGGCTAGGCTGCCCGACCCCGGTTCGTCGATGTTCCCTGCCGGCTACTTACACATGTACGCAGGGAGGAGTAGAGTTGGCCTAGTGCGATCTGGACTAAGTTTGGTCCCCTGCTGGGGATGCATGGGCAGCATCTTGGAACGGGGAGGGCTGAGGGCTGGTTCGCGAGTGACTCCAAAGTTGAGCACGTGTGTGGCTCTCCCCATCCGCCTTGCTTGCTCGTTGCCGAACCAGGCCATTGTGATTGGGCGGTGATGTGATGTGCTCGAGGATCGTGCCTGCCATGGCCACCTTGGCTCGAAGCATCTGGGCCGTTCGTGTCTTTGAACAGGGCGGGCCCGATGTTAATGTTAGCGGCGGGCAGCAGACGGTTGACGGAGCTAGGCTGCTCCCGTGCCCTAAGTACCATAGCGTCCGTTGCAGGTTGGCTCTTGCCTGCCGGGACGAGTCTCCCGGCAACTCAACTCTGCTTCCAGCATGCCAGGAGCTTTAATGAGGAAACTGGCCCCAGCTCGGCCGGGGGCCCGTCGGCAGGCATTGCTCTGCCTGGGGGGGCCCGGCGCTTTGGTCCGCCTGCAGGCGCTGCTGTCTGCTGCACTGCACGTGTCGAGTGCGTGGTCCAACTCTTTTCCCACGAACCGGGCTCCTGGTGCCAGTTTCTCGCAGCTTGGGCCCCGGAATCTGCCACTATTAACTTTCCGCTCAACCATCGCCATGCCTTACCTGTCCAGCCGGGGTCATGCTCTGGCCAAGAGACTTACCCGCCACGCCGTGCCTCATCAGTGAAGCACGTCCCGAGCTGGTCTTCAAGATCTACTCATGCCGCCTTGAGGGCTATTGCAAGTCCATGAGCGCATTCGGGCAGGAGAGCTTGCACTATTGGACCCCAATGGGGGCTGCAGCTGGCTGCAGAGGTGCAAGCCAATTATGCACGAGCAACCAGATACGACACCCTGCAAACCGACACGACTTGCGATTGGCCAGGCTCACATTTGCACGCTGCAATCTCCGCATGGTGGCGGGGAGGCGGTCCTCAACAGCGAATTGGCTTTCGCCCCTTTGTCAACCCAAAGCCATGATTGTGGTCTTGGTTGCTCCTCGTGCATGCGACCCGACGATTACAAACCCTCCAACATCGAGTCATGCCTGTCTCGGCGCCATGGTTGCACGGTAGCGCCCATGAGGCCATGTCTCACTTTTCTGGCAACGCCCCCTGCGCGAGCCGCATAAGATCATGCCTCGGAGACTCAAAGAAAAACAGGCGTTGTCTTCCACGCGTGTCTCACCCAGCGCCATGCCAGTGCCGTGCATGTGACCTCCGAGAGTCACAGCGCTTCTTCCTCCAGACACAACGGTGCGAGTTTTGGGGAGTGCCAGGCCTGAGCCAACCCGGGATGGTCTTCCCGGAGTCACTCCCAAATCATGACGGCCGCTTCCCGTGCCGCTATCAAGGCCGGACTGCCGATCGCTTGGCATGGAAATCTTTGACCGGGTTCCTGGGCTCTGGCTCCCATGCGAATCGCATCTCGTTCTCTTCCCCTAATCCCCTATTGATTCCCTATTAGGTGCTGTCTTGCCAGGATCATCCCGGCTCTCTGAGCCAAACACGTCCCCGCCTGCAATATCAGAGTCGGGAACCGGGACTACCCGCGCCATGACCCCCGTTCGTGGCTTGGGCTGCCGATACTTAACAGAGGCATCCAGACAACGCAGAACCCCCGAAACCCACGACTCGACATTGCAGAACGATCATGCTTCTATTGTTTCTGGTGGTGGTGGTGGTGCTGCCGCCACCCGTGTGGAATCACACGAGGCGCCGCGTCTGCAGCTGTGCCGTTGCAGCATGCGGTTTTACGGTGACAGCTGCAGATACACCCACTGGGCCGGGACTAACGCTCGTCGTGGTGGCCCGCGAACCTGCAGAGACGTGCCCTTCGGCGAATCTCAGCAAGGCGATAAATAACTTGTGACCCGTTGGGACGGAAAAGTCCCCGGCAGCACTTTGCTTTTTCCGGGCAACGAGCTCCATACCCAGCTTGGCAATGCGAGATGCATACGCTCTGACGGCATCAGCTGGGCACACTTGCTGCTACCCGGCCGAGTCCTTGAAAATATCAATGCTAGCTAGAGTGGATAGGTTGGGTCGTTTTGCCTGTAGTGTGCCTGTTTGGGAGTCAGGGTCCTGCAGCCAAGCAGTCAAGTTTGTGGTTTATATGCCCCACAAGCTTGTGGTAGGGTTGGTGCATTTCGACGGACTTGAGAACGAGACAGATCTGCTTGGGAGCCGACTACAAGCTTTACAATCTTCCAACGAGCATTTAAGTAGCTTATTTTGAGGCATGGGCTCAATATCGGGCCGCTGGTCGCGATTCCGGAACATTGCCAGTCATGGAGAACGCACAAGAGTTGGGCAGGGACCTCGTTGCAGCTGGAGACGAGCATTCGATCCGTTGGTCGCCCGGGGCATGTGTTCAATATTATCCGACAATCGCACAGTCTGGACAATGCTGATCCAGGAAGTTTTGTTTTCATCCGGATATGCATCATCACAAGAGCTCGGCTTCACGGAAGCGGGTTTCCTCGCGAGCCTTGTAAGCCGTACATAGCTGCGAGGCGTCTGAGCGAGGCAAATTGTCTTGGCGTGGGACATTTTGTACTATCATATTGATGAACGGATGAGGGTTTGGCCACAGGTACCACAGCCTCAGCAAACATGACAGTGCTGTGACCGCGGAGGCTGGACTAGAGGTGCATCCAGACGCGGGAAGTGCCGAAAGGTGTTGTGTTTACATGATCGATCTGTCCATGATAGCTATACCTCAAATTATTCCATATTTGAGGATACCTAAGCAATAGACGAGTCCACAAAGTGATTTGCATCGAAGGTCTGGTGGTGAAAAAATCCCTGATCCATTAATTCCAGAGAGCATCTCATATTTATCACGGTGGTCCTGAATCTCGATCTGGAATGGCGCCGTGGTTGGCTAGTCATATATGACGAGGTAGTTGTCCTGCAATCTCAAAAACGTTGATCCTAACCACAATCTACTCTAGTGAACATGATAGCTGACGGTCGCCAGAGGAACAATAGCTACAGTGAATGAATTTAAGACGTTCCATGGTGCCACTCTTTGATAAAATCCTGGCAGCCGCGTGTTCCATCATATCCTTAATTAGCATGCTCAAGCACTTTCGGAGACTACAGCTCCGGAGGTCTGTTGGCACGCGGCACAAGCTGAGGGCCATCTCCAAAAATCATGCAGGCAAGAGAATCCTCCAAGAATATAGCATTCCAAGGAACTGCCCGTTTCGGAAAAACTTCCACGACTAGACTTTCCTCATCTGCGCTCATCTTCAAAGTCGGAGTTCCCGAAGGATCTGCCCAACAATACTGGCCACTTACAGCGACGAGACCGCATTTAATGCAGACTTGAGCCCTGTTCAATCCCAGTCTTTGACTGCCCACGTTCGGTACCGAGCTGCGAGGTTCTGCAAGCCTCCCTTTCTGCAACGTTGTACGAACAACGAGTATGCAGGGCAACGGACGGCGATTTCAGACCTTTCTCGGCAATAGTTCTCTCCAGCCTCGGTCTGGCTGCAGATCTGAGTCCTTCCATTGGCTCTAGCATACTGGAGCCCCCTTGCGGGTAAATATTCTTCGACAGGAACAGGGTGGCGGCTCGGAGGAAAGGGGTGCGGGATACTCTTCCAGATTCAGCTATAAAACTCCTTGATTGAGCTCGCATGTTGCAACTCTTGCAGGTGAGCATCTCTAACCCGCCCTTCTTGTAGAGAGGGAATAACCGCATTAGCCAACTTTAGTGCTGTCATCAACCTGTGGACGAATTCCAGTCAATCACACTCGAGCCTTCCGAAGTCAGACCAAGATGCGCTCCATCATCTCCGCCATCACCACGGCCCTCGCGCTAGCATCCTCGTCGCTCGGCCAGGGCGTTCCCGACGAGCCCATCTCCTTCTACGCGCGGCTGTACCACAACTCTTCGACCTGCGCCACCGTCACTGGCGGTCGCACATCAGCATACCTCGGCAGCATGGGCAGCTGTGTCAACATCAGCGTCAACGGGGGAGGGTCCGCCGAGATCATCGTCGGCGAGGTGACCAAGTACTTCTTGGCGGGCTGGACGGGCAGGGACTGCACCGGCCAGGTTGTGCTGGTCGAGAGCAACGTCCGGTCGTGTATTGACTTTGGCGGAGTGGATATCCAGAGCTGGTCGAACGATATGAAGCCTTTTGGTAAATGAGGGCCTCAGAACTATGAGGGAGAGAGACGACAGAAGTGGCGCTTAATACGATCTCCCGGCGAGACGGCTGATGGCCTCGGCCGGCTTCGTCAAGAAAGCAGGGCTCAGGTGCTTCGTACTCTAGGAGAAGGGATGTAAAATACCAATTAGCGCATCCCGGGGACAAGTTAAGGGAGCGAACAGAGTGGTATACAATGCATCTTTGTTAAGGAACATCTTCATGGACATTCGAGCATGTAGCATCCCGTTGACGGATCACAGTGTCAAATACTGGTTATACATACCTACCGCGATATTGGACAGAGTCTCGACAGAAGAGAAAATACATAACCAGAACGCTTTTCTCTAATTGAACATGACGATTGGGCTGGTATCAGCCACCTGTATCTAAGTCAAACCACAGTGATAGTGACCTTGGTTGTCAGAAGCGCGTGCACGCGTGTGTCATTAGTGGAAAATCCACAGACGCACACCTCCTTTTCTCATGACATGTTTTGTCTCTGTCAGTGGAATTTGGGTGACGCAATGGGACATACCGTCTGCTACTACAGCTGACTGCATGCTCTGCCCATTTGCGCTTGGTGAGAGATACCTGGTATTGCTAGGTCTAGGAGCGCTGCTCTTGGTTCTGAGCATCATCTCAATTCTCGCTGGGCGACAGCCATGTGCCCACGCAACATCTGTGCGCGTCGGTGTAGACAGACCATGGCAAACTGTTGGAGGATTCCAACAATTGAGACAATAGCCTTGTGCTTGTCCATTGTCCCGGTCGAATAAAGCGGGGTCTGGGGGTTTGCGACTGGGGCTCCAAGGTTTCAGGCACGTCGAAGCTCAGTTGCACCTCTGAACGTGAGTCCTAATTACCCGCAGCAACTTGTTGAACTCTGCCCTGGCCTCGAAGTATGGCCGACGTCCGTTTGGCCACGCCGATTGGAGGCCTGGTCGCCAAGTGTGCGGAACAAGAAAGCATGACCTGCACCGGTTCACGCATAATGCAAGCTCAGAGTTCAGCCCAGTAATCGGGGTCCTCATGGGCAGGCCCCGCATATCACGTCGTCTCTCGGCCAGGAACAAGCCACGAAGCAGAGGGCGCAACTCCCTCCGGGCCTCCCTGCAGAGGATGGACCTTCCATGCGCGATGCCTGGGGCCCTCGTGGGAAACGCACAAAGGGTCCCGACGCAGACGCCAGGTTGCAGAGGTCAGGCTGTGTCCGGACAACAAAGTCCCCTGAGCCCCTGGGTCTGTCTGGGTGTCAGTGCTCGAGGCGGACGGCGCTAGATGCCCGTAGCTGCGACGCTTGCCGGGGCAGCTGCGACCAGCGGCGGCGGACCAATCCGCCCCCTCCTGCCGCCGCCCCCTCCATGCCACCCGCCGCGACCCGCTTGCATCCCCTTTTCCCAGCAAGCAAGCGGCCACCACCACACACCACCACCGCCTCGAGCCATCGACACCCCGTTCAAGGCCTGGCGTGCATCTCACTTCACCACTGTTCTTGCCGCTTCCCTACTCCATCATTGCACGCTGCTTCTGGCGACAGCTTCGCCCGACGGCCTCTCGCCCGCCATGGACCCCCGCGACCCCAACAACCGCCTCTACCTCAACGTCGACAAGTCCCAGCAGCAGCGCTTCTCCCCCTCGGACCGCGCCTATCCCACCACCCCTTCGACTTTCCCCCAGCTCGTGCCCCAGAACCTCAGCCAGCAGATGGGCCAGCAGTCTGGCCAGAACTACAACAGCCAGTACCAGGGCCAGGGCCAGGGCAACTACTTTCCTCAGCAGTCCCAGTACTCGCAGTCGCAGTACCAGCAGCAAGCTCCCAACGACTATCTTGCCGCCCAAAGTGCCTACCCGAGATCCGGCACCCCCACCGATCCCAATGGCGGCCTTGCACACCAGTTCTCCCACCAGAACCTAGGTGGAGGTGCTGCCCGCGGAGGCCAGCAAGGCTATGCTCCTCGTGGACCTGCCACTTCCCAGCGGCCTCGCACTTCAGGCTCGTCGGGCCATCAGTCTGGCGGCAGCTACCAGCAGCACCCTCCGATGCCCTCGTCCAGCCCGCGCCCGGCCGAGTTCCAGGCCGCCCCTGAACGGACACCGGAAAAGTACGGCACCAATGCCAACAACAACCAGAAGAAGTGCTCGCAGCTTGCTGCCGACTTCTTCAAGGATAGTGTCAAGCGGGCCCGTGAGCGCAATCTGAGGTATGGCGCCACAACACACTCTGATGTCGTTATTGAGCTCAAGGCTAATTCCCGTTTCTCGCGAACAGACAGAACGAGATCGAACAGAAGCTCGCCGACCCCTCCCAGTCGAGTTCCAGGCGCGAGCAGCTATGGCAGAATGGAGGCAAGAAAGAGGCCCGATATTTGCGCTTCCTGAGAACAAAGGACAAGCCTGACAACTACACAACCATCAAGATCATTGGCAAGGGTGCCTTCGGAGAGGTCAAGCTCGTCCAGAAGAAATCGGATGGCATTGTCTATGCCATGAAGTCCCTGATTAAGACGGAAATGTTCAAGAAAGACCAGTTGGCCCACGTGCGTGCCGAACGAGATATCCTGGCCGAGTCGGACAGCCCATGGGTGGTGAAGCTCTTCACGACATTTCAGGACGCCAACTTCCTGTACATGTTGATGGAATTCTTGCCCGGTGGTGATTTGATGACCATGCTCATCAAGTACGAGATCTTTTCTGAGGACATTACGAGATTTTACATCGCGGAGATTGTGTTGGCTATAGAAGCAGTGCACAAGTTGGGCTTCATTCACCGGTTGGTGGCGATCTAAGACCTTCTTTGGGAAGTTCAACCACTAACAAATTTGACAGCGACATCAAACCTGACAATATTCTCTTGGATCGGGGCGGCCACGTCAAGCTGACAGATTTCGGCTTGTCCACCGGCTTCCACAAGCTCCACGATAACAACTACTATCAGCAGCTCCTCCAGGGCAAATCAAACAGACCAAGAGATCGCAACTCGATTGCCATCGACCAAATCAACCTGACTGTCAGCAACCGAGCGCAAATTAACGATTGGAGAAAGTCTCGCCGAGTCATGGCATACTCGACAGTAGGCACACCAGACTACATCGCGCCAGAGATCTTCACTGGCCATGGATACAGCTTTGACTGTGATTGGTGGTCATTGGGAACGATCATGTTCGAGTGCTTGGTTGGCTGGCCTCCGTTCTGTGCCGAGGACAGCCACGATACGTACAGAAAGATTGTCAACTGGAGGCAGTCGCTTTACTTCCCCGACGACATCACCCTTGGTGCGGAGGCTGAGCATCTCATTCGCAAGTAAGTTTGCCCCGCTAGTCCCGTGTGGCGTATTCTCAGTGCCGTGTGCTAATCCCCTGACCAGCCTGATCTGCAACACGGAAGTACGACTTGGCCGTGGTGGTGCGCACGAGATCAAGAGCCACGCGTTCTTCCGCGGAGTTGACTTTGACAGCCTGCGTCGCATCCGTGCTCCTTTCGAGCCCAGATTGACGTCTGCCATTGATACGACATACTTCCCCACGGATGAGATTGACCAGACCGACAACGCTACTGTGCTGGCTGCGCAAAACCTTGCCGCTGGCCGGACGGACAACGACGAGGCGCCCGAGATGAGTTTGCCATTCATTGGATACACTTTCAAGCGGTTCGACAACAACTTCCGATAAGTGCTTCCATTCCAAGGAGGCAGCATCTGAGTGCATATGAGCAAGCCCAAGCGAGCAGTGAAGCAGGCCGACTGGGATACTCATCACAAGCGATCATTTAGCTGGCAGTTATGTCCCAAGACTTTGGTAGATAGATGCTAGACACTTCTACACCACTATAAAGAGTCTGCATGCGGACGAATTGTAGAATCTCTCAGCGCATGCTGCGCAGAAGTGCTTTGATATTGATGAGCCGAATATTTCATCTCCTAATTTCATGAAAGTTGGTTGATTCCGACAGTGCGAAGTGTAAATACATTAATCGACACTGTAGACAAGGGTGCTATCTTATCGTGCGGCTGCGCGAGAGCGCGCAGATGTGCATGCGCCTGCAATTCGCCCGAGCTTCTGCGCAGGCAACCTTCGCAACACATTCACCTCTAGCACTTTGTTTCTTCGTCACACAACTCACCATTCGCCGCAGCCAGCCATTCGATAGGACGAAAAACAATCATCACACAATAAAACAGCGTCATTTTCACATCAGCGAATCTCCTCAAAGGCGACACTGTTGCCCGACTTGCCAAAAGGCAGCCTGTCATCGACACGAGCCGCCCATCGGGATCGTCGTCGGCGCCGTTGAAAGCAGCAAACGACCAACAGAACTTCCGACACGATGGACTACCAGAACCGCGCGGGCTCCAAGTTTGGCGGCGGCGGCGTGGCGTCGTTCAGCGCGACCAACGCGGACCGGCGGGAGCGGCTGCGCAAGCTGGCGCTCGAGACGATCGACCTGGACAAGGACCCGTACTTTTTCCGCAACCACATCGGCTCGTTCGAGTGCCGGCTGTGCCTGACGGTGCACCAGAACGACGGCTCGTACCTCGCGCACACGCAGGGCAAGAAGCACCAGCAGAACCTCGCGCGGCGCGCGGCGCGCGAGGAGAAGGAGGGAAAAGGCAGGCAGATCGACCCGAACACGGGCCTGCCCGTGGGCGTCGTGGGCGCCGGGTTCGGCAGCCTGGTCAAGCGGAACGTGGTCAAGATCGGCCGGCCGGGCTACAAGATCACGAAAGTGAGGGACCCGCTGAGCCGGCAGCAGGGCCTGCTGTTCCAGCTGCAGTTCCCGGAGATTGGGCAGGGGGTCACGCCCAAGGTGCGGTTCATGAGCGCGTTTGAGCAGCGCGTGGACGACCCGCCGGACAAGAACTTCCAGTACATGCTGGTCGCCGCGGAGCCGTACGAGACGTGCGGGTTCAAGCTGCAGGCGAGGGAGATTGACCGGTCCGAGGACAAGTACTGGACGTGGTGGGACGCGGATCTCAAGGAGTTCTGGGTGCAGGTCATGTTCCTGACTGAGCGCGAGGAGCGGTACGTCGGTGTGCCAGGGTTGCCTGGACGGAGGTGAAAGCAAGAGTACGCTAGTCAGACTTCATAAAGGGCAAAAGGGAGAGAAAGAGCCACGAGGCATGTGGAAATATACCCAACCATCCTGTTTTGTTGTGCGAAGAACCTCCATGGCGAGAACCTGATGCTCAACTCTGTTTCTGTCTTGAGGTGCCAAAATGAAAAGAGTCGAGTCGTTGACTCTGATTCCGAGGGTCGGGATGATTTTGCAGCAGCGCTACTGAAGGCAGGCACACAGTCAATCAGGAACTGCTTGGATTGGGTGCTCCAGCGTGCTTCTCCGCAGACGACGCCCTTTGCTTGACAGATGTTCATCACTACACACGCAGAGCTTATACATTTGCAGGCCAAAAGATCAACACTTGGCGGGGTACTGCACCCTATCTCTTTCCTGCTGCCTGTCAGCCTTTGCTCATTTGAGCGCCGTGTTAGCGTTGAACGCAACTTTAGAGCTCGGAGTAGTAGTTGCATGCGTGTAAGTAGTCCGATGTCGAGCTCCGACAACACTTGCTCATTTAAGAACCTGGTTTCCACAATCCTGTCCGACCTGCAGCTGTAAGAGTGAAACACAAGCATCCTTCAACAAAGCCTAGTTTGCAATGGTGACAACGACGTCCACAATCTCGTTTCGGCGCCATGACCTCGACAACCTGCGCACCTCGCTGACGGGGCTCGTCATCCTGCACCACACGTCCATCAGCTTTGGCGGGCTCGGGTCATGGCCGTTCCAGTCCGTCAGCGTGCCCGGCGTGGTCCCCACCGTGGCGGCATTCAACGCCTTCAACCAGTCCTTCTTCATGGGCTTGTTCTTCTGGATCTCCGGCCGCGTGTCGGCACAGTCTCTCTCGCGGTCGTCCTCGCGCGGGGCGTTCATAAGGTCGAAGATCCGCAGGCTCGTGCTGCCGGCGGCCGTCTACACGGTCCTCGTGAACCCAGTCGTTGCGGTGCTTGGGCTGCCCAGTTGGGACAGGAGAATAGTGCAGAAGACTCTCTGGGCCTCTGTCAGTGGTATCAGAGGTGCCCGTGGGCCGGTGTGGTACCTTGCGACGCTGGCCATGTTTGATATCATCACCGCCGTGCTCTACAAGATTCCCGCCGCCGCTTCACCCACGACAGTGTCAAAGTCGGAGAAGCAAACAGTCAGTACCGCCCCATCGTGGCTCAACTACAAGTCCGTCTCAACCTGGGGCTGGATCCCAGTCGGCCTGGCGTGCTTCGTCATCCGACTTTGGGAACCTCTGGGAGAAAGAACACCCGTAATCAGTGTCCAGCTGGGCTACACGAGCCAGTTCGTGTACGCCTACGTACTTGGCCACATGTCGCACTGGTCCAACGAGGAGCGCATGATCAGCCCGCTTGAGCAAAAAAAGAAGAACAAGAAGAAGCAGACAAGCACTAGCAACAAGGACAACAGAGATATAAACCCGTCACTGGCACTCGCGAGCGCCATATCGCTATCGGCCCTGGCTCTCATGCCCGTCCCTGCGCTCATAGCGACTGACACCTTCGACGCCAACGAGATCACCTCCCAGATGAGGGGCGGCTGGAACAGCTTTGCGTTTGGCTATGCCATGTGGAACGAGTTCTCCTTCGCACTGATGGGCCCGGCGCTGATGGCATATTTCCGCCGCTGGCACTCATCGGGCCCGAAGAACAGAGACGGCGGCGGCAAGCAAGGCGTTGTCAGTGCCAGGAATGCATACGCGGCGTTCCTGGTGCATGCACCTGTCGGCATAGCCATCTCGAGGGTGTTGGATACATGCCTGTGTTGGGGAGGTGCGCGACCGGCGTGGATGGACACGGCCGTGTGGACGGTGCTCGGTCCGCTCGTGATGACGGGCAGTGCTGGGCTCATGAGCGTCTATGGCTCTTTCCTCGTGGGCAGTAAACTGCTTGAGTGGGTTCCGGGGATGACGGCGATTCTGTGACCAGCTGCTCCCAGAGTACGCAAGACATGCTTTAGGAAGCCATATAAGTTTTACTTTGAAACAATGAGAATATTCATGGGCCAGGCTGCTGCTGAGCAGAGTGAGGCTTGCGAGAAAATAACATTCACAATGTAGGGACAACCATGTTGTCTAACACTCTGAGTTGCTGGAAGTCGCAGCTCCACCTTTGCAACTCCCTTGCATCAAGCGATGTCCTTGTTCTCCAAGACCATCGCCAATGTGTCGAGGTACTCTTCCTCCCCATCAACCTGCACTCGAAACTTGCCAACTTCCCGGAACCCAACGTTGCGATACAACAGCGAGCCCATTGGGCTCCCGAATACCGTCAGGTCCAGCCCTTCGCGCCTCGCCTTCTCCAGACCCCAGCGCACGAGCTGCTTCCCTATCCCGCGTCGATGATAGGCGGGGTGGCATGCCAAAATACTCAGGTACAAGTTCTTATCGCCGAACGGCTCTTCAAAAAAGCGATGTTTAGCCTTCAAGAATTCTTCCGTGTACTTGGCGACGCGGGCAGGGTTGGCATCTGGCCTCTCCTTCGAGGGTGCCTGTACACCCTTTGCCTGAATCGAAGAGTTTAATGCAGGAGAAAGGCGTCCCAGCGCGTTTTCGGTAGTCACTGAGCTTGGATCTCTGTCTGCTCGTTCATCCTGGGCAGCGACTCTTTGTGATGGTGGGAGCTCCCATATGCTGAATCCTACGATCCTTCTGTCGCCTTTCTCCACGGTTCCAAGACCTGCCGTCTCCCTTTCCTGCGCATCTGGCGTGTTGCCGAGGTCCGAACCTGGCACTTCGCAGACCATAACCACGTTGTTCGGTTCTGCCAACCACCCAGCATACCGGATGCGGGTGAACTTGGCGTAGTCCTCAGGAAATTCCTGCCAGCGCGGATACCGGTACGGGTTGACCGGGTCTGCGGGTAGCGCGGCGATGGCGACGGCGACGATGGCGTCCAAGTCTGAGTGGCCGGCCAGCCGGATCGTCTGTTGATCTCTCGCTGTAGACAACGCCATGATTGATGATTGATTTGCGGTTCCACTTGGGGAAAAAAAAAAAAAAAAAAAAGAGGTCTCTGGCCCGTGGCCGTTTTTGATGTCGCCGTGTAACAGGACGGCTTCGGCCTCGCGATGCAGGTCCACGAGATTTACTGGGTGTCCTCTGGGGCTCCGCTCTGGTGAGACGAGTGATGGATCGCAGACCCTGAGTTTGGGCTTACTGACCCGCTCTCTCTTATCCACCAACTTGCCTGATGTGGTGAAATGCAGCCTCGTAAGGATGAAGTAGTTCCACATCAACACGGACCAGGGTAAGAAAGGTCGGCTTCGGCTTCACAGCTGACATCCACCATCATTGCAGCGTTTTGGACGTCACTGCCGAGACACAGGTTTACCAAACAGCCTGCCAAATGAAGGTTGCAGAATATTAATGAAATGACAGGAGCGAGAGCGCCCGGAGTGAATGGAGAGCAGTCTACTTTGATAGAACTTGACGATGTATTATTTGTTTCGTAGGTTTACCTGCCAACACTACTCAGCCACTCATGTTCACATTTGCCGGGTTGGACATCCTGTCCTGGATCCAAGGAGTCGTACGAATGGTTTGGACTCTCATCTTTCCATTGGAATGAGGGTGTTATCGCAACAATACTGCCTGCATCGCTGGATCATCGAATGCGATAGCTTGAAGTGGCCTTGCCACTTTCAAAGACTACACGGTGATCTGGTACAAGTCTTTTAAATAAATCATGCCTGATACCCAGCAATGATCTGTCCGCAAGGTTAGAACAAATATTTCAGTGGGTTTTTTTCCTGTTGTTTACGGTAAGGTCTAGTCAAACGTGACCTAAAGTGGGTGTGTTGCGAAAACCATCAGGCAGCTTTTGCTCGAGTTCGAAGTCATTAATGACGGAGGCTGTGATAAGTCCAGGTTTTCGCTGACGTCTGTAAGGATATCTACAGCATACGTGGGACTAGAACCTCACTCCACGAAATAACAAAGAGATATTAAACACGGCACAGGCATTAACTCCGCGCAAGAAGCAAGGTATCCTGCGACGATCACCGTTCATGGCGATTCGGCAACAAGTGAAATACAGCAGGGAGTGATCTTTCCCGTGCTGACATACTTGCAGAATCCGCAACCACGAACGTCGGTGTTCAGAGATTCCGTGATTGACGATGAGAGGTAGAATACCTGTTCCACCCAAAGACAATCATACTCCTGGCAAAAGGTCATACTGCCAAACATGCTTTGTAGCCGGCATCACGAAGCCAGATCATCCTTTGTCGATATTCTGGCTAGAATAAAGACGCCGTTCGACCATCCCAAGCTTCAACTGATGATTGTTGCGATCAATCTCCATGGCAGAGGCTGTACTTGAGCGGCGAATAGGTTCCCCATATTTGCGTATTGGAGGGTATCCTGAGAATCGTCGCTGTTGAGGTGCAGTTGACTTTTCGATTGGGAGCAGTTCTTTGTTTTAGAAAAGGGCTCTCACGTTCTGTTCTTCTCCTCCATCAATTAGCCCTGAGTTCTCATGAGAAGTGCGGGTAAGGAAGCTACACGTCGTTTGCCACTGTTGTTCTATCTTTACAACAGCCATTTACGATTCCACCCTGACCGACGACCTGAAGTAGCTTCTATGCTCAACTACAAAGTCATAACGACGCTTGCAGATCTGAAGAACTCCTCAGTGCTTTGAACGTAGTTCCTTGTTGTAGCCTTGCGAGTCGAATTCTCCCAAGAACTACAGTCCCTTCCGAAGGAAAAATTTCTGCAGCCTTTTAAATCCAACTATTTCTGGATGTGCAAAATAGCTTCCAAGCATGCTCGGAATGATGACACCTCCTCCTTCTGACTAGCTTTACTTGCTGCTTCTTCAGTACGACCTCTTCAACTCTTCAACAGAGAAATGAGTACGAGTATCTCCAAGGAACTATAACCAACTGCGGAGCGTGAGCCCCGTGTTTCAGGAGCGACCCCCCAAAAGAGGAGAAAACACACCTCCGTACTGCAAAGAGTTGGGGATCTAACCACTCACAGTCGACTTTGGGGGATTTCAACCACTCACATAGCATCTACAGAGCAGACTTCAAACACTGGCTGCATATCTGAACAATCATGCACGAGAAAGGGGGTTGAGGGGTCTGTGAGGGCCTTGATTGTTATTGTCTATATAGGCTGGACTGCTTCCGGCTGTTTCAATGTAGAGGTTTCGAGCCTTCCTAGAGGTAAATGGTACCATCTGCACGCAAACCGTCGACTTCGCTGAACGAAAGGCAGCCTGACGGACACCAAGGAAACGTTATGAACATGGAGTTTCAACAAAGCAGTACCACGAGGGTATCAGAAAGTTTGATAGGAAGTTTGGGGCAGTTCACGACAGTGCAGACAACGGCAACGCAAGTGAAGGATTTCACCTCTTCGGCTGGCCCCGGCTCACTCGGATTACACTCTGGCCACTCGCATCCTGGGAGGTCCCGGGTCTCCCATCTCGGGGTCAGGTCAGGGACCGCTTCGGCAAGGGTTTTTCGCCCAACTCCAGAGCAGCCTCGCCGCCCTCGACAGCAAGGGAATCACAAATCACGAGGAAATCCACCGCCCAAAATCAAGGAAGGATCCCAGTTGCGAAGCAGGAACACCGTAGCGACCCTCGGCAGGTACAGGACGCCACCAGCAGCAGCAAGAGTTTTGAGTTCCGAGTGTCTGCAGGGCAGATCATCGTGGCGATCAGGTGGTACACCTCGACGCAGGGACTTTCCTTGGTCTCAATGGACTATTGAGATGATTGCATCCTCATGGGGGTGGTGGTTTGAGAAGAGCAGCAGCAACTGCAGCAACAGCGGCGAGGCGCGCGAGAGAACTTCACATGCTCTCGAGCCCACCGCCCGAGCTCACGATCTAGACTCGCCGCGCCACAAGGCCATGTAGCCATCGCCACCGCACGGTTGTTGTCCACAAGCGGCAGGAGGCATCTTTCTCCAAATACAGGGCCATCTCAAGGCCTGTCGGACAAGGAGGGCCACGACAAAGCTGATCTAGACCATTACAAACAGGGACCATGGCGGAAAGCCCAGCCACCAGCACGACAAGAGCGGCGGCAAGACGGGCAAAAATAGGCCAGAGGCCGCCACGGAAAGCACTCTACCGAGTGTAGCGCCCATGCCACCTAGCCAGCCCAAGCCGCTGACATGAGGAGATCGTGAACGGCAAGTCGGGCAGCTGCGGTAATACAGAGCAAAGGCGAACCCTGGCTCCCTGGTAAGCGGAGGAAGAAATTAGCGACCCCACGTTGCATCTGGTCTTTCTCCTGCCGCGTCTAGCCCAACTCAGGCTGCTGTTCCGAGGCATGCTGCTGTACATGGTCCCAAAACGGACAGCGAGGTTCTTGTGGCTGAAAGCACGATCACGAGCTTGGGCCTAGGTCAAGTCCAGCCAAAAGATCAGCATTTCAAGATTTCTTCCCCCCGCAGAGTCATCGCCCACGTGGATGCGAGCCAAGATTGACAAGATCGACCCATCCTCCACTACTAGGCGCCCATTAGGGCGGGCAGGAACCGACGAGGATTGGATTGAAGCTCCTCGCGAGGTGGTCCCCCAGACTATCGACACCGAACCCCGTGAGTAATATGACTGCAACACCGGCTGTACTTTGAACAAAGGACGTGGCCAAGTGCGGGGGAGGCCAAAATTTGCCGAGTGGTAAGCCACCTAGAAGAAGACTAACCGCACCAGGAGCAAGCAACTGTCAGCACCACGGTAGCATTCTCCTCGACGCTTGGCCTAGTTGACTTTGGAGCTGGGACTTTGGTTGTCTATCGTCAATAATTCCCATGTGACAGAAACCGCTTTACCTTTACACGCGTCACTTCAGTCTCAAGCAGCTTTTCATCCGCCCAACTTGACTGAAAGGACAATCTTGACGCTGCTCACTGAGCATGGCCTCGTGCGCCTTGATTGATCTCTCAAGCAGAAACAATGCAGGAACCACTTCGTCTTGGTCTGTTTAGCACATGACAAGGCCGGGAGCGAAGCATCAAAGAAAACACACCTGATCTCGGTGACTCAGGTGCGGCGGAAATGCGGTGCAGCAAACGCTGCCAATATCTTCAGCCGATATTATCGCCGTCGGTGCTGCTTTTACCCCCGCAACCTGGGGCATGCAGGGTTGCGAATCTCTCAAATTCGCGCATGCCCCGTATTACTCGAGGCTTCTGGCTGCACCAAATTGATCCCTGCAAACGGATGCCCAACGAAAAGCCCGTTGCTCGCTGAATCGCGATGCTCCAGTGTCCCATGGTCCCCCTCCATAACTCGTGGCGCCGACTGACCAGCAGCTCGGCTTGCTGTCGATCACCGCGGGGATATTGTCAATTTGGGGCCTAGCTGTCCCCCCAAAAAGTGAGGAACATCATCAGCCTTGCATGCAAGGTGCTGTCCGTAGAAGCACCAAAAGTCAGCACACCCACCTCGAGCCAGTCCCGTCACCGTCCCGCCCACCACGCTCGCAGGCGGGTTACCGTTGCAGACTAGTGTCGAGGGAAGCAGCGCCGAGCACATGCTAGTCTATTTTGCTTGCTGTTACATGCCGAGTTTAGCTTGCATCTTTTCAACGAAGGGAGGGCCATGCAGGATGCAGGACAAGCCAAAGTTACGTGCCCAGGCGGCGAGATCTTTGCCTGCCCCGCGGCAAAGACCTTCCAATGAGGCAGGCTGTATACAAATATCAAGATAGTCCGCCAAGAAAAAAGATTCCGCCCAGCGCATAGCAAGCGCAGCCGACGCAGAGAGTTCCCTCCACGAGGCGCTGTGCGCCTGTCGTGAGGCTTCCCCACAAATGAAGAAGCACAGACCATGCCCCAGAAACAGGACCGCCGTTGGGATTGTTCCTCGGTACCCCATACCTTGGCGGACCGCCAAGCGATGCGGGGGAGGAGACTGCCCAGGCGGCGGCCCCCCGTTGTGGCCCCACTGCCGCCCTTCCACGGGGGCCTGATTAGCACCAGAGCCAAGTCTTCCCTCTGCCGGTCCAGTGACGACACTGTCAGCTTGAAGGGGGGCCTTTTTGACAGGACTAATGGGGAATACAAAGGCCAAGCATTCAGCTTGGCGCGGGTCATGGGTTATGGTGGTGGTGCACCAGAGGGCAAGATGCTTGCGTGTGGATCCCTGGCGAGCCAAAGGGCTGAAAGGGCACCGGCCTCCCAGACGAACGGACCTTCACAGATTGGAGTTGTGCATGAGGAGAATCTGCATTATGCCGTGCACTGAGCCTGCAAGCAAGCACTGGCCCAGTGCACGCTCTTTCCAAGGGGAATGTCCAGAAAGGTGGCTGGAGCTCCAAGGACGGCACATGCGAACTCACGTGCCAGGCTAAGGCGTTCTGTCAGGCACGAGCCACACTAGTTATCCAGTCGACTACTGCAAGGGCGCCGGGCCTAGCGCTGGGAGACCAAGAAAGCCACGGAAAGCGGTCTAGCTCGAGCGAGAAAGGGGGGGAGGGGTGGAAGAGGATCGACAAGCGACACGAAAAGGTGGCTTCTGCGCGCGGCGCTAGGTATTTGGTACCAACCAAGGCCAACCAGTGAGGCTTGTCGCTGGGCAAGCTCTCCGCTCGCTGCTTTTCCAAGATGGGTGCGTACAGCTCAATCCGCGCCCATGGGAAGGACACCGATTGCGCTACGTCCTGCATCAACAAGCTCCCTCCGCACAGACACTAGCCTAGCTATTCTGAGCCAATGACGTCGCATTCCTCCTCAGTCTCTAGATCTTGGAGATTGGACCTCTGGTCCTTATAATCAAATTAGACTTTTTGTCTTCCCTCCAGAACGAGAACAAAGACATTGAAACGCAGCTAGCCCCCGGGGAAGCATCCCGATTTTCCCCTTTGCGCAATAAACCGCAGAAATGGGCTGGTCACACAACGACATGGCGGGACCGAATAGGTCGATAGGGATCTGTCATATATTGGACCCACCCCGGCCGCCAACAGAGGGAAGAAGCACGCACGGGAAGAACCTCCACTTCCCTCCCCCCCAGGATCTTGTGCTTGTGGGGTCGTGGTCCCGCGCCGCCGATATTTTACCAGCCAGGGCTTAGACTGACTGGGTCGAACCGAGAGCCCTGCCAAGATTAGGGCGGGCATGGGGCTAAAGGCGGCAAGACGTTTTTTCCTTTTTTGTGGCTCCTACGCGTGGATTTGCGGGCGGCAGGCGCCCTCGTGCTCAACGCAGGCGGGCGGGTAGGGTCTGTGAGTTGTCGTTGCGGGATGAAGCTTTCTGACGAGTCGGAATCAACCGTCTGTTAGATGAGGATCGTCTCCACGAATGACTTGCGCTAAAGTGGATGCTACCTGCGGCTCGCCATGCTCGTGGTCTTCTTTATTTGCTTCCGACGCCCTGCTCATTTGTCCATGCAAAAAAGATGAAAGGATTGACAGCGCAACAAATCATTACCAGCCACCCTGCTTGACCCGCCGAGAGAGCTAGCAGATGATCACTTTCCCTGCGGCCGAAGAGACCCCTGCCACGACCTGGCTCCTCCACTCACACATGCACATTATCCGCTACTGCAGACGTAATAGTGTCCGCGCACGAATGAGCGTGCTCGAAAGGGCCGGGCACCACGAGCGGCGTGCACGGTGTTATTGCTTCCCATGCATGAGGCATAGGGCAGGGGTGGCCTTGCACATGCATCTGGCCCGGTGTTAGTGTTGGTACTGAGGGAGCAGATTGACGGTGTAAGTGACTTGTGCCAGACAAGGACACAAGGATGGCGTGTGGCGCTCCCCGCCGATCGCGCTGGGCTGATAACTTTTGCCGTCCACGTCTGAACAAAGTCGTACACCCTCTAGAAAAAAAGGAGGAACAAGTGCTTGTTTGTATGTGGATCGGCGCGCGAAGCTCATCAGAAGAAAAAAATCATGACATTAACCATTAACTCATTAAAGCTTGCCACGCATGAAAAGCGTAATGGGGGACAGACACCTCTGTCGAGATCCCCGCAAGCTGATAAAAACGGGGTATATGCGATTCCGTGGCCTCTCTTCCACTTCGCCCTGTGACTGTTTCCCTTTTTGCCATTCCGCCCAAGCACCTGTTCCGAGGCACAGGAATCCGCCCTGTATGTACTCCTGTATTGCCGTTGAAATGATTGACTCCGCCGATGGGTATATGGTGGGTATATATGTGGTGATGCTTAGTAATGCAAGAAATGAGTGGTCGCGTTATTTCTGTCGTCGTCGTAAAAACATGTCTTCTGATCGCGAGTCAGATTCGTATCGCGCGTGGGGGCTCTTGTACAACTTCCTTCTCTCTCTCTCTCTCTCGCGGCGCGGCGTAATTCCCTGATTGGACGTTGGAGAATGCTTATGGGTAAAAATGAGGTGGGCCACGTTTGCAAAACAAGAATGCGGCAAGAACCGTTTCGTATTTCCTTTCTCCTTGTCGATCAGCGCTTGCTCAGAGCCAAGCCCATCTTCAGCATGCTCCACATCATGTTGCGCTTGACAATGTCGCCGTCGCGGGTCGCCACCTTCTTCTTGCGCGCGGCTTCCCGTTTCCGAGAGGCCATCGCGTTCTCTGTGGTGTTGGTGTTCCCGCTCGTGGATCCCTGGTCGTCATACTCGTCCCAGTGGTTGACCATGGTCTGAATCAGAGTCGCGTTGAACGAGTCGCCAACAAGGTCGCCGATGTTGAAATCACCGCCCGTGAAGCCGGTGATGACATCGGCGAGAAGCTGGCCAATGGGGACATTGGTGCGCAGGACCTTGGTCTTAAGCACTTCCTCGACGTAGGGGATGTGCTCGCCGTTGATGGTGGTCGAGTTCCCCTGGGCGCCGAGCTCGATGTTGCCGCTCATGAGAGCCGAGGCCTGGCTGGCCATGATAGCAGGGAGAGAGTCAAACAAGACCTTGTAGTAGAGACTGCCATTGCATTCGACGGCGTTGTCGCCTGGTGCCAGCAGCACATTCTTGCAAGTGACATGTCCAATGGGAATGGTGCCTGACAAGAGGTTGAGACCAAGGTCACCTAGTCCCAAGGTAAGGACTCCACTATTGGGAAGGTTGACAATGGTGTGGAGATTGTTGCCTTCCTCGTCGGGAGGGGCCAGGAGCTTCAAGTCCGTCACGGCAAAGCCCTTGAGCTTGTTGAGCGCCTTGACAGTGACGGTCTTGTCAATATGCGCGGGGGCATTGAGCGCTCCCAGGTGGACAGTCGTGTCACCTCTAACTGACAACTCAACCTCTTCCTCATCAAAAACATTGTTGAAGAACTTGATCAACTCGTCCAGGTTGCTGATTGTCACAGTCTGCTCCGTAACGTCGACCTCAGTATAGTGGTTGATGTGCTGTGGTGGAATGGTGAGGTTGGTGAATGGAGTGTACTGCGTAGTGTTCTTGTTGTAGAGGTACAGATCGACGGGATCCAAGTCAGCGGCGAGAGGCGTGTCCAGCGATGTCTTGAGAGTCATCTTCATCTGTGTAGGGGACAGGGCGATCAAAGAACCGCCGAGGACTGGCATCTCCTGCTTGCCCACGATATCCTGCACGATGGCTGGCAAGATAACCTTGAAGCTACATTGGTGGGAATCAGTACACTGCAACAAGGACTCCTCGCGAAATGATCCTGGATGATTCCAAACTTACATGATGGGCAGCAGGATCGCAAGGAATATGATTGTTCCAATGAGCCACCAGAGCCAGAAGCGCGCACAGTGGCGCTTGACCTTCTGCCTCTTTGAGAGCTTCTCTACTGGCGCAGTCTTCTCGACGACATGATCGCCGGAAGACGCGCTCTCAATCCGTTCAGAGACTGTGGGAGAGTCTCTGCCGGCCGCCGTCGCGGGTGGCGGCGGCATCGAGTCGGGCTCATAGTGGCTTCTGTCAGCTACGAAAGTCGACATGATGACCTGAGCTTGCGACGACTGTGACCGTGTCTTGGCTTGACGATAGTGAGTTGGCAAAGAGGACCGAGACAGACACGCCTGGAGGTTGAGCAGCAGTAGCAAGAAGAGTCAGAGACTGCAGCAGCAGGGTGGTGGATCCAGAGGAGCATCGGGATGGGAGCAGGACGTCTCTTGAGGACGCTGCGATGCCGCAGACGTCTCGCAGCACAAGCGGAGCGGGAGTGACCACCCTGGAGGGCCAATCTCGGCCATGTCCACAATGCAACAAGCGCTCCGACAAGGGCTGACTGCTGCTTCGGTCAGTTCTGGATGCTGCTCACAGCGCGGCGGGATCACATGCGCCTGCCCATGCTGCTCCGCTGGCGATGGCACCGTCATCCTCGCTGGGGCCCCCGGCGGGCTGCCCAGCTACCCCGCATGAAGCTTGATCTGTGGGAGCGAAGGTGGTTGTTGATGCCAGCCCAACGCAGAACTCATGTTTGCGCCGTGAGTGGTGCGATGTTTCTTGCTTCTTCTGGCAGATGGGCCAGGATGCGGCGAGGGTGCCGGGCCAGGGCAGGGGTCGCCCTGGAGGAGGGGCCGCTACGAGGCAGGGATTGACACTGGCAGAGCTGGCGAGGCAGGTTCTCCGCTGCGGGGAAGTGGGTGGGTGGGACGGGCCCGCAGTGGACCCGTCGCTGCCTCACAGGCACGAGCGGGGCGTGTTGCTTGGCTCGCAGCGCCCAGACTGGGGTATGGACCCACCCGGCCAACAGCGGCGTGATCGTGCCCTTTCCAGTCTCGACAACACCAGCTGCCCGTCCTAGCCTGGCCTGGTTCGCTTGGGTTCAGCAATCAGCTCGACTACGCTACTTTACCATCACCGCTGACCCCGGTCACAACCCTGGCCACCAAAGGTACGTACTCCACCCTGTCGCTTCCCTCGTTGGGCGACTGACAGCCTCGACAGGGTCATCCTGGCGTGCGCAACAAGCAATTCGGCCCCTGCCACACTGTACCGTCGCCGCACGGGGAAGCTGGGGAAAGCCAGCAGCCTCGCCTGTCCTCGGAATAGTCAGCAGCACCTTTGCCAACCACGTCAATCACGCGAGGCACGGCAGCTCCCCCAACCCTTGTCACTGGACCGTCCATCGCTGCCTGTAATGTCACCTATCGCGGTTCGCTGCCCGGCTTCGTCTGCGTCGTCTCCGCACCCTCTGGCCACCGGCGAGGGCGAGGGCGGGGTGCCCTCGACCACACCTTTGGCGCAGAGTCCCATCACACCGAACCCTGGTCTTCCCCGGACACGAGCCGGGCGCCCTGCCAATATGCTTCTGGACATTGCTCCGAGGCTCAACTCCTCACGAGCCCGCATGTGAAAGGGCAGGGCGGCGTGCGAGGCCATGAGGCCAGGGCTGTCTGCGTCCCCAGCTTTCCCCGACATGACATGGGCGGCGACGCATGCAGTCTTGATCAAATCTTGACCCGCACCAGGCCCAGGGGGTAAGATCGCGGACGGCTCTCTCATCACAGACTTAATCCTCCCCGTCCGCAGTTCTGGTCGTTCAGCCAGGCTTTAGTTTCCCTCTTCCCAACCTGGCTGGTGGCACCCGACCTACCTTCAAGTCTAGCCAGCATCCAGCATGAGGTTCTCGAAGCTCTTCCTGGCGACTCTCGCGCCAGCGGGTCTGCTCGCCGATGCCTCCAAGGCGGACCGCGAGCTTGACCTGGATGAGTACCTCGCCCGGCACAATCTTGCCCTTGTTCCCCGGTCGGATCTGACAGAGGTCCTGGCTGAGCTTCATGGTCTGCTCAAGAAAAAGAATGGCACCCCTCAACAACGGGGGAGCTTGCCCAGGCTCTACACCCGGCAGAACATGACTGTCGCTGGTGTAGGAAGCGAGCAGGGCAATGAGCAGAGCACGGCTGGAGCAGAGGGCGGCACTTCAAGCAATAACGCAGCCACCAACGTCCTTGGGCCTACTTCTCTGCTCCCACCTTTGAGTCCTACTAGTGGGCCCAGCGCTGGTGGTGAGAGCTCCACCCATGGTTCTGGATCACCAACCAGTGCCGGCTCTCCTTCAAACACACCACCGGCCGGATTTGGGTCAGGGACTGGAAGTGGTTTTGGCAGTGGTCAGGGCGATGGTCAAGGCATCAACCTTGACGGTCTGGGAGACTTGATCCCTGGCTTGGACCAGCTGGGCCAGTTGATTGAGGGCCTGAACCGCCTGTTCGATCAGCTTGCCAACTTCGGCGATCTGTTCAACGCCATCACTAAACTGCTCACTGATGAGTTTCTCACTTCCCTCCACAACGCCATGGTCTACCTCGATGGGCTGCTGGCACCACCCACGTGGCCGCAGACCAAAGAAGTCCTCGCCATTATTTACCCCTTGGTCCAGTCGCTGTCCAAGATCGACCTGCCAGGCATCATCGAGGAGGTCGCAAGTATTGACATCAAGGGCATTGTCGCAGCGCTCGCTCCTGTCCTGGAACCTGAGACGATCCAGCTCATTGTCGGCTTGCTCAAGAACGCTGCGAACCTGCTGACTTCCGACAATGTCGACCTCATCAACGCGCTGCTCCAGATTCTCCCTATCCTGATCAACCAGCTGGGAGATATTGACATCGGAGGTCTCATCGAGGCTCTCAAGCCTCTCCTTACTCCCGAGACTATTAAGTCGCTGGTTGGCTTGCTGACCAATGCTGGCAACCTTCTTACCTCCGATAATGTCGACCTCATCAATGCGCTGCTCCAAATCCTCCCGATCCTGATCAACCAGCTGGGAGACATCGACATTGGAGGTCTCATCGAAGCTCTCAAGCCGCTTCTTACTCCTGCGACGATTCAGTCGCTGGTCGCCTTACTCGCTAATGCTGGCAACTTGCTTACTGCCGACAATGTCGACCTGCTTAACTCTCTGCTCCAGATTGCTCCAATCCTGCTCAACCAGCTGGGAGACATTGACATTGGCGGCATCATTGATGCCCTCAAACCCCTCCTCACCCCCGAGACCATCCAGAAGATTGTTGGCATCGTCACGAGCCTTGGCGAGATCGACCTCCAGGCGCTTATTGCTCAGCTTAAGCCCCTGCTCGACGCCCTCGGCGAGATCGACCTTGCTGGTCTCGTCGCCCAGATCGAGCCTCTGCTCAAGACTCTCTCAGAGCTCGATCTGGCCGGCGTTCTTGAGTCCGCCAAGCCACTTCTCACCCCTGAATCCATCCAGGGTATCGTCACCCTTCTGGCCAATGCCAACAGCCTGCTTGACGCTGAATCGGTTGCTCAGCTCAAGACCCTTCTTGGCAGCATCGCCGGCTTGGACCTTGACAAGCTCCTCGACCAGCTCGAGCCTCTGCTCAAGACTCTTGGCGAACTCGATCTGGCAGGAATCGTCGCCCAGATCGAGCCTCTCCTCAAGACACTGTCATCCATTGACCTGGTCGGTCTGCTCGACGCTGCCAAGCCTCTGCTCACGCCCGAGACGATCAAGGTCCTCGTCACGCTTCTGGGTAATGCCAACAGTCTTCTTACCGCTGAGGCCGTCACTCAGCTCAAGACACTGCTTGCCAGCCTCGCTGGACTCAACCTCGAGCAGCTCCTTGACCAGCTCCAGCCTCTGCTCAAGACGCTCGGCGAGCTCGACCTGGCCGGCATTGTCGCCCAGATCGAGCCACTCCTCAAGACTTTGTCCTCCATCGATCTTACAGGCATCCTCAATGCCGTCAAGCCTCTCCTCACTCCCGAGAGCATCAACGGCCTGCTCGGCCTCGTTGGCAATGCCGAGTTCCTACTTACTCGCGAATTTGCCGAGCAGACCAAGACCGTCATCGCCGGTGCCGTCCCTCTGGTCGGCGCCCTTGGCGGTCTCGACCTGGAGGGCCTTATCGCCCAGGTCGGCCCTCTGCTCGAGGAGCTCGGCAAGCTCGACCTCGCCGGTCTCCTTGCCAAGGTCACACCCCTCCTCGACAGCCTCTCTGGCATCGACATCCAGGCTCTCCTTGCCAAGGTTACCCCTCTGCTCGACTCCCTCTCGGGCATCGACTTGCAGGGCCTCCTGGCTCAGGCTGGTCCCCTCCTCCAAGCCATCGGCCAGATCGACCTGGTCGGCCTCGTCAACCAGGTCAAACCGCTTCTCAACGAGGTCTCACAGATCGACCTTGGCGGTCTTGTCAAGCAGGTTGGCCCGCTCCTCCAGGCTGTCAGCAGCATCGACCTGGTGGGCCTGGTCAACATGGTCAAGCCTCTGCTCGCGAGCCTGAGCGGCATCGATCTGCAGGGTCTGATCACGCAGGTCCAGCCTTTGCTCGCCTCCCTCAGCAAGATCGACCTCGCCGGCTTGCTCGACCAGGCTGGTCCTCTGCTGTCCCAGGCTGGCCCACTGCTCGCCTCGCTCGGCCAGATCGACCTCCCCGGCCTCATCAACCAGGTCAAGCCTCTCCTGGATGCCGTCTCGCAGATCGACCTCCCCGCGCTCATCCAGCAGGTGCAGCCTCTCCTCGGCGCTCTCTCCAAGGTCGACCTGGCCGGTCTCCTGGAGCAAGCCGGGCCTCTCCTTTCCCAGGCGGGTCCCCTGCTCACCTCGCTCGGCAAGATCGACCTGGTCGGCCTCATCGACAAGGCCGGACCTTTGCTCGACGCCGTCTCGCAGATCGACATCCCGGCCTTGCTCAACGCGGTCAAGCCCTTGCTCGCGAGCCTCAGCGGCGTCGACATCAACGCCGTCATCGAGGCCGTCAAGCCCTTGCTCACAACCGAGGGCATCACCGGCATCGTCAACGTCCTCAACAACGCCTCCAAGCTCATCACGGCCAAGTTTGTCGCGCAGACGTCCGAGCTCATCGGCGACGCCACTCCTGTAAGCCATCTTTTTTTTTTTTTTCAAGTCCCCCCCCCTCCCCCCAACATCATAGAAAACACCAAGCCCTTCATGGGAAACCCACAGTTAGCTGACCATGACTTTTACACACCCATTATAGCTCGTCGCCACGGTATCAGACTTTGCTCTTGCCATCCTCAAGGCTGTCCAGTCAGCCACTGCATAGGCGTGGCTGTGCTAGCTGTTTGGAGCGTGGGATCCGCGCTCGCGCACCCGGGGTCTTTTACTCGCAAATTGTCTTGACTCTTTCCACGTTTATGAAATGCATCCATGAAGTTACATGTCTATACAAACCCAGGAAAAACACATACGCACATGCATGTCATGAATGACCACATATGTCATGAAGGAATGCTGGAGGGAGCTCGACCTGGTGGCAGGCTCGGGCATGAAGATGGAGAAGATAGTAGTTGCCGAGTGGGATGATTTCGCGCGATATGATACCTCAAATGATAATGTCTGGAATGACTTTCTTTTCCAAAAAAAAAACCTGACCTGGGACGAATTCGCACAAGGGAGCTGCTTGTATTGGTACATGTAACAAGTGTGGTTGTTTCGAGCCTGCTGCTCCACGAAGTCTAGCTAGGCTCAAGTCCACTGCAACTGTTGGCTCAATTGACAATCTTCAGTCGATCCTATCCCCTATCTCCACACTTCAAGTGCCCAGTCCTCGAACAGTGTCGTCTCGGCATACCTCTACAGGATCGCTGGAAGAGCGATGATTCCAGCAATACCCATTGCCATCATGTGGTTGTGGCCAAGAGCCGTAGCAGCGGCAATCGGCTGTGAGTTCCATGGTCAGCTTTTCTCTGCCAGATGTTACTAGGTAGTCAGAGCCTGACTTACAACACTAACACTGGGCGTGGGGCTTGAAATAGTCGGATTTGGCGTAATCGTTGGGTTGATGCCACCAATGCCACTAGCAGTGCTGGAGTTCGGAGAAGGAGTGCCGGTGGCCGTGGGGGATGGGACAGTCGAAGATGCAACAGACGACGTTTGAGAGACAGCAACGGGCGGCGCTGTAGAAGAAGGGCCGGCAGAGGGCGCACTCGAGTCGGCCGGGTCCGGAATGGCATCACGACCACATTGCTTGGCAGCTACGGTGACCTTGTCGCCGTACCACTTCCAAATGCCGTAGTCGTTGGCACAGCTCATACACTCCTCGTAGTAATCGACCCACGCCGGACTGTCGCAGTAGTCGCCAGTGGCCTTGAGAATGGTCTCGCCGCAAGCCTCGTGGCAGGCATACTGGCCTGGAGAGACGTTCCCCTGGCGCACCTCGAGGGGCAGGAAGGGATGCAGCTGGCGAGGAAGTGTGATGGCCGACGGGGAGGCCAAGGCGACAGTGACCAGGGCGGCCATGGGAACAGCGTAAGTATGCATGATGGTGTATAATGCACGGAGGAAAAGATTCGAGAAGCGCCAATGCCTGCAGGATTGTAACGACTGTGTCTCACTGGAGCACAAAACGGAACGAGGGACAAGGACAGGCTTATTGGGAGATGTAGCGGAGAGGATGGCCACACCTGGCTGGAGTGGTCTTGAATGTGGCAGCTTTATAACAGCGCAACCGGCAGGGGCTGATGGCAGCTATGGCCGCTCTTTCCTGAAGAGAAGGCTTGGTGCCTGGGAGAACATGTGCATCACCGTCCCCATACCGCCCCTTGCCATCTCTCGAGCTACCGGAGCTAGGTACTCGGGTGTTTGTACCAAGGGGGACTGCCAAGACTAATTGGAGCTACGCGAACCCGGCTCGTGAGCAAAATGGAAGTTGGTCGGCCTGTCGATGCGCAACCACCAGACGACCTGGCCGTCGGCCTAGAGCACCGAGCCGGAGGCTTCGGCCGAGAATGCCATGCCATGGTGGAGTTGCTTGAGTGCAGGGTTCTGCAGGCCAGCTCACGCCACTTCTAAGTGGGCAAACAAGGACATCAGTCAACAGGCTCCCCGCTTCTGACTTTCATGCGGCGGCCAGGCTCGACTCAGGAAGCGCCATGGCAAGCCAAGCGGCCGAGCTGAAAGCAACAGCAGGGGCGGGTCCGAAGACGGGGGGGTCCGACCAATGGGAAGGGTTCTAGGGATCTGATTAGATGCGATCAGATTGATAAGATGGGCAGCCCTCGTCCGGGCTCTCACCAGGCTCCACAACCTCAGTCCACGCCAAGGCGCTTGCTCGTCGTGATGTGACCACACCTGACCGAATCAAGCAAGGCAAGCCTTGGCGACTCCAGCTGTTCTGCTGTCCAGCTCTTTTTTCCCGGCTCGTGGGCAAGTGGTGGGCGGCGCGATGTGTCCCCGCGGCACAGCGAAGCAGGTGCCAATGCCGATAATCGGTCACCGCATCTTGCTGGTGCCATCCCAGCTAGAGGCAGGGTTGGGTTCTTCGTCCTGGTCGTACCACTGGCCGGTTGTTCGACAGACCTTGCGCATCTGACTTCCGCTCATCCGGCTGCAGCCTCTCACGAAGCTCCCTCACCTCGCACCACGAGCCGGCAGCGCTTCCGTGCATGTGCAAGCATGGCAGACGTGGGTGTCTAGTGCGATCCTCGTCGCACCTGACGGTGTTTCCGCCGGCTGCACCTGGGTGGGCAGGAGCAATGAACCCCCAGCAGCTGCCCGGTCCTTCTAAAATCCTCCAACTTGCCACCCCAGCTTGTCGTTCGCTTCACTCCTCCTTTCACACTTACCCATGCCGCAAGGCAAAATAAGACGCTAGTCTCCGTCCTTCTTCCCAAGTTCATTAGGGTCAAGCACTCCTACCAGGACGACCCGAATTCAACGGGAGTCGCTAACGCACAACACCATCAAGATGCACAAGATTGGCGTGCTCAAAGCCCTTGGGGCTGCTGTCCTCACCTTCGTGCCAGCAGCGGCTCAGCACCAGGATATTGACCAGAATGGAGATGGAGAGGCCGACGGCATGGGTCCAGCTGCCTTCATGTGGCCACCCGACCGAGTCTGGCTCGACTTCACCGACAACACTGGCCCTTGTGGCTCCCCCGATGGACCTGGAAATCGTACAGCCTTCCCTCTAGGTGAGTTTCCTGCCATGTTTCAAAGTGTAGAACAGTACTGACATTGTCTTTAACTCAGTCGACGGCGCTGTGTCCCTTGTGCAGCAAGACGAAGCCTTTGGTGTCCAGATATCCATCTCATACAGCAATGGTGAGTGATTTGTGAACTCAAAAGAAGCCACCCATCCACCCATATATTGTGTTCGCTGACAGAGAAATGGCAGATCCAAAGTCAGAGTCCGACTTCCAGGTCCTGATCTCGCCTGACGCAGTCAAGGAGTTGAACCCGGGTCACCAGTGCCTCAACATCACCGACCCCCCCTCCAATGTTGTGGCAGGAAGCAACGCCACTATCCAGGTCAAGTACGTCTCGGATTGGGACAAGAACATCAACGAAACGTACTACGCGTGTGCAGACATTACCTACGTTGCTGCTGATAAGTTCAACTTTGCCTCCATTCCCTGCTTCAATGTATCGGTTCCGGCTGCCCCTGAGCCGTCTTCAACAGCCCCAGGCACTTCAAATGCATCTGGCACCAACTCCCCTGCTCAGGGAGGATCTGACAGTCCCGCGGGCCTTTCTGGTGGAGCCATTGCTGGTATCGTTGTGGGCGTGGTCGTCGGCGTGGCTGCGCTTGGCATCCTGCTCTTCTTCTTGTACCGTCGCGACCAGAGACAGAAGCGGGTTGTCGACCATGTCACGTCAGCAAGAAACAACGTCAAGTGGGATGCTGAGAATCGGTCAACCGGGGAAAGCGCAAACAGCGTACCTCTCGAAACTCTCTCGAAGTAGACGAAGCCGCGTCAGGTGTACGGGACGGTGCGAATGATGGTCTGCCTTTGGTCTGATGGACTCTCTCGAGCTTCCCGCATATGAGTGTCCCTGCCATATGCTTACACTTAAATTGTATGCGTTGAAAGGTACTTCCGGTAATATGGACGAGCGTATCAATGGCATGTGTCAGGCCAAGGGGGGCAAGCGAACAGTCTTTCCGAGTTGAATGAGTTCACGATGTAAATACCCAATAGCGGCAAAGCACATTATGCTAAGGACGCTACCTGAAATATAATTTCTTATGAAAGAACGATATCTGCTCCTGCGTTGTGACGTGCTCTTGGAAGAACAGGACAGTGCAGCAGGCACAGTGTCGGACACGTTCTCGCGCGGTGACCCCGTGCCAGCTGGAGTCAATCGAAGCACCCTTGCCAGCACGGTGGGTCTTGCGCCTGCTTGAAGCTGGCGCAATTCAACGCTCCAAGGCGCGTCGCATTTTCCAGACACGACTTGCGAACCACCAGCGAAGATCCGATCAGTGGCAGCTCTTCCGCAGAGCTTCATCACCCCCACAACCGCGCCGGAGACTTCAACCGCATACGAGCCATTCCAGTCGTCCCCCTGCAGTGCAAAACCCCATTTCCGCACCATGGGTCGCAGACCAGGTCGTGCTGCTGCTAAGCGCGCAGCGCAGAAGCTGGGTAGGTCGACGACAAGCTAGCCTGCACGAGCCCGAAACACTCCAAACTGGCATCTCTAACAATCGCATGCAGAGAACATCCCACAGACCGTCGAGGAGATGGAAGACGCGGCAATGCCCGATGCTGACGACGCCGATTCGGACGCGGAGCCCCAGGTGGAGGCGCAGGCCAACGACGACGAGGATGATGAGGACGAGGACGCTGGCGCGGCGCAGAACGGGGGCGACGATGACGAAGACGAAGGCAACAACGAGTCGGAAGGCGGTTCGGCAAAGTCGCCGTCCCCAGCGCCCGAGCCTGTGATTAGGAAACGCAGGTTAGGCAGGCCGCCGAAGAACCGGCCGCCCGACTGGGACCAGCTGCCGATTGAGCGACCGAACCAAGACCCGAACGAGACACCGAAAAAGCGAGGGCGCGGCGGCTACAGAGGGCGGGGCGGTCGCAAGGGCGCGCCTGCAGTGCCGACACAGCAGGAGATTGACAAGGAGGGGACAATGGCCGACATCGTGGACGACGAGCTGCTTCTGGACGAGGACCCCGAGGGTGAGACCAAGGTCGACAAGATGGGCAACTTGCTCGGCGGGCGCGAGTACCGGTGTCGCACCTTTACGGTCACGGGCCGCGGCGAGCGCCTGTACATGTTGTCCACGGAGCCTGCGCGCTGTGTGGGCTTCAGGGACTCGTACCTCTTCTTCACCAAGCACCGGAAGCTGTACAAGATCATCATCAACGATGACGAAAAGCGCGATCTGATCGAGCGCGAGCTCATCCCGCACTCGTACAAGGGCCGCGCGATCGGTATTGTCACCGCGCGCTCCGTGTTCCGCGAATTCGGCTCGCTCATCGTCGTCGGCGGACGCCGGATTGTGGACGACTATGAGGTTGCGAAGCTAAGAGAGGAGGGTGTGGTTGAGGGCGCCATTGCGGATCCTACGGATCACTACAACCCCAATGAGCCGTACAACAAGAACCAGTATGTCGCGTGGCATGGTGCCAGTGCCGTCTACCACACCAACGCACCATCCGCCTTACCCGCCCAGGCCGGAAAGCCCGAGGTCAAGAAGCGGAGAGTGAATGTCAATGACACGAACTGGCAGTTGGAACATGCCCGTGAGGCGAGGTGAGTTCTTTCGAAGTGGCATCCAATTTTTCTACGCGGCCCAAACTAACCTGGTAAATAGCCGTTTCAACGCCGAGATTGGCGCTATTCGCAAACACAACAACCTGGGCGTGTATGAACTGCACACGAACATCATCCACTACCCCGCGTTCATGCAGCCCACACACGTCCGGATAGAACAGGTGGCCCCAGCCTCGAGCAGCAGCAACAGCTCATCACAGAAATCCTCCTCATCGTTCCCTCCCCTGGATCCCAAGATCGCGCGCAACTTCCGCGTCATCGACACGACCATGGAGTCCCCGGGCTCCGGGATCGCCCCGGCGGCCATGGAGACGCACGACGTGCCCGCCTTCCTGGCCGACTTCCAGGGTCTCGGCGCCGTGTCCGACGACATCAAGGACCTGCTCCCGCCAGAGTGCCGCGCGGCATTCGACACGGCTGCGGAGAAGGAGCGCAGCTGGAAGGCCCAGTGGGGGCCCGAGGCGCAGTTCGCCCACCGCCGGGCGCCCATCATTGACGCTGCTATCGTGCCGTATAGCAGGGGTTAAGCAGCGGTTCCGTGTGGGCAAAACTCCCTCGCCGGTGAGGTGTGTCTGTCTAACGAGGTGGCGTCTGGCGCCTGAGAGAGATGCAAGTCGGAATGGGGGCAAAACGGATTCGAGTACGAGGAGTAAGTGTGTGTTTGGCAAAGTTTCGTAGAAGCCCCTCTGAAAGGCGGGCCGGGAAGGCGTTTGTCGGAGTTCAAGTAGAGTGTCACTTGATGTGAGTCGGATCCATTTCGCGGATTGCGGCAATGATAATACAACCCCCTTTTTTTTATTACGAATGTTGTCGTTCATGTTGCTGGCCGGATGGACTAGGGGCAGGTCTCAAATGAAGACGTAGATGTTACTGCTGCGGTACATATGTTCATTTGGTGGCGTAAAGTCATCAGCTATGGTTACAATGTCTTCAATCCAGGGGCTTGCACTAGGGATGGCCTGAACTCTGCGCCGTATCCGAATTCAATGCCACTTTGTATCGGTCTGAAAGAAAGCGACAATTCAGACAATTTACGAAACGGGACACGATGTAATCCTCGAAATGAAGTATTGGGTATCTCATTTGTTCTTTTATGCTCGCAGGTCTCTCTTCTGCCGCCCCATAGTCCGTGACTGTACACGCTCTGATACATCTCTTCCCATGTGTATTTCAAGGTGGCTAAAGTCTCATACCAGCGCCCACATTTGAATAGACAAACGACGCCTCGTAACCTCCCTGGCTCTGCATTTTACAAAGGCTCCATGTCGTTGCGGCCCCACAGCTTCACAGTCTTGTCGTGACCACCGCTAACGATCCAGCGGGCGTCTTTACTCACGTCAACGCTCGCCACTGGGCCTGTATGTCCGTGCAGCGTTTGGATCAGGCTCCAATCATCAGCCGAGAAGATGTTTACCTTCTGGTCGAAGCCACTGGACACAAAGAACGTGCCAGACTTCTTGGGCACAGGGTTGCCCTGCTCGTCTGTCTGTGGTGCGATGTTGTTGCCGAGCAAGGGGTCATCAATGCCTTTGTACCACCGCAAATCGGACACGGCACTGTTATGTGCGCCCACGCCGCCCGTACGCTGCACCTTGCGAACATCCCAGCATTTCACCCAGCCGTCTGCAGACCCGGTGAGCACACGGTGCCCATCGGAGCCCCAGTCAATACCGTGGATCGGTTTGATATGTCCGTCCAGGTGGCCATCGAGAATCATGACCGTGCGGCCGGAGCGGAGGTCCCAGATCCGCCCGATGCTGTCCATGCCTGCACTCGCCAGGAGTGAGCCGTCTGTGTTGAAGCTTACTGCGAACACGCCACGCGAGTGGCCTTCTTGTAAGAGGAGCTCGGTTGTAGATTCCACGTCCCAGAGCCGCCAGGTCGTGTCCTCGGAGGCGGAGGCGAGGTACCGTCCTGAAGGGTGGAATTCGACTCGGCATACCCGCTGCGCGTGACCCTGGAGTGTGGCCAGCGGCGTGTCCTGCTCGAGTGACCACAGATTCACCTGTCCTTCCGCGCCGCCGGAGGCGAGCTGCACTGTCGCTGGGGCATTCGTGTCCGCATCCGGCTTCCACGATATACCGCTGACCCGGTTTGTGTGGCCTCGCAGTGTCATCTTCTCCCGCAAGCTTGGGATCTCGATCAGCTTGATCGACCCTCCCCAATTGCCTGCCGCGACGACCTGCCCGTCCGGCGATATCCGCGTCATGCTCACGTTGCGGTCTCCTGCCGTCTGACTACCTTGCAGCTCGAATGCGCCGAGCCGCTCCCGGATGACCTGCTTCCTGAACTTGACGTGCGTGCGTAATGGTATTGTGGACTCGCGCTTCTGGAACTCGAGTCGCCGTCGCGCCCGGGGGAGCGAGTACCGCGCAATGTCCTGCCGCGCACGGAGCAGTTCTTCGGTGCCGTTGGTGTAAAACTCCTCCTCGGCCTCGTCGTCCTCGTTGTCGCCGCCAGTACCGTCAGCGTCCGCCATGTCAACATCCGCGCCCTCTCCACTCTTCTCGTTTCCACGCTCGACCTGCCGCGTCATGAGCTCGCGCAGACGGTCTCTCCGATCGGCGGGGCCTTCACCAAAGAGCGTGACGGGCTCGCCAAACTCGCGCAGCTTGGCGAATATGCGCGCATTGTCGGTCGGTACGGCTATCGAGGCGGCGAGACGCTTCCGATCGAACTGTGACAGGATCGCGGACGCCTTGTCGCCACCGGTGCCGGGGATTTCGTAGTCATGGTCCTCGGGGACCTCGTCGAGGCTCATGCCACGGTCCTGTTTGGGGGAGAAAAGTCAGCAACTAAGGACTATGCACAACGACAGAACGGAGGTATTGCAACAGCACAGTGACATACCTCGTCTGCCTCCTCCACGTATGCCTGCCGCGACGGGTGCATCATCTTGGGCAACCTTCCCGTCTATGCCTGGCTGTGGTTGTCGAAACGGCCACGGCCGTGTTGCGTCTCAGCCCGGATGGACTTCTTCGAGATGACTCTGGATGGAGCACAAGGGCGTACAAGAGCGTGATTTTGTTCTCTGCTATGGTTTCGGATGTTGTTTTGTGTATACTGTGGAAGTTGGCGTTTGCAGGAAGGCTGCAATATGGAGCTTTGAAGGTGTTGCGCCGCTGGACAATGTTCCTCCCTTTGGCGGAGCTAGTCCTCAAAACTGTGACAGGGTCCAGCCTGTAGCTCTCCAACACTTAAACGGTCCGGTCTGCTGCTGCGACAAAGCCTAGACCTGCACGGATCAACAATTCGACCACCAGCTTGAGAGCATCAAGAAACAGTAAAACAATTTAGGACTAGCACGCATTTGACGATAGGCAGAGAGGCCGGCCAGCTCAAGCTGCACTACTGCGCATTCACGGACGGCCCAAACAGGAACAGCGTCGAAGGCTGCATTAAACCCACGCTGTATGATCGCCAGTTTTTCCTATGAATCGGCTACAGTGCTGGCAATCGTTTTGCTAATTGTCGAATTCAAAGGCAGTTTGTCAGTCATGGATTGCCCATAAGCTGGCGTCCGACTGTCCATGGTAGGAGCACTTGCTCGAGACGGCACTCCCGGCTGCCAGTGACGGGCTGCCAGCTGACACATGACTGCCGCGTTAGGCTCGCTCTTGGAAGCTGGGGGGGCCGGCCCCACTCTTCCCGCCCCAGGCTGCGTCTGCGCCTGCAGCATGATTTCGTGGTTACGCTACGCTTGCCACGCCCCATTCGCCCTTATCCGAACGCCAGGCCGCATCGCGACAGAGATGCTCCAGGGCTCGCTCAAAAGCACAACCCCTCGCGCAACACCACAGACACGGACGCAGCTGCCGCCGCCATCTTCTCACCACTGCACAAGGCCTCACCTGCGCACAGGCTCTCTGCGCATCCACACTACACTACATCACCCGATGACAGCACCGCGTGCACCGTCTCTGCAGCTGCGAATCGCGTACGGCTTCTACCAGTAGCCCCAGTTCTTGACATCACGACCGCAAGGTCCCCGTCCTCGGCGTCGCCAACGCAGCCTACCGTTCAAGGACAGCGACGTCAACAGCCAGCGCATATATGGCCAGCATCGACCGCTACCGCCCGACCGGCGGGCGCGAAAGCTACCAGCCGCCGGTTGCTGGCCTCAGTGGCAACCGCATCAAGTCTCCCACAAAGAGGCGCGAAATCCCTCCTGCCGTCCCGTCGCCCCCGACCTTCTCATCCAGAAACTCTCCGCCGCATTCCCAATCGCGAACTACAGCGTCGTCCTCCCAATCCACTCCCAGAACGCCAGTGGCATCTCGCAACCAGTGGCTCTTTACGCCCGAAGAAATACTCAGCAGCCCAAGTGTCCTCGACGGCATTAGTCCAGCGGAGGAGAGACTACGGCGCGCAAAAGGCGTCAACTTTATCTACCAGGTTGGCGTGCTGCTCGAGCTGCCCCAAACCACACTCTACGTGGCGGGCGTGTTCTTCCACCGCTTCTACATGCGAAGCAGCTTAGTGGAAGAGAAGCATGGCGTGCATCACTACGTATGATTTCCTCGAATAACGCATGGTATAGTCGTGGATCACGCTGACACTTTTATACTATAGAACATCGCCGCGACAGCACTGTTTCTTGCCAACAAGATCGAGGAGAACTGCCGAAAGACCAAAGATGTCATCATCAACATTGCGAAAGTCGCCCAGAAGAATTCGAAACTCATCGTCGATGAACAATCGAAAGAGTACTGGCGCTGGAGAGATAGCATCCTCATGTACGAGGAGGTCATGCTGGAGAATCTCACCTTCGACCTGATGATAGAGAATCCCCACATCAAGCTCTACGAGACCCTAGGTCACCTTGGCGTCATCCACAACAAGGCACTCCGGCATGCCGCGTGGGCATTCTGCAACGACTCATGTCTTACCTCGTTACCGCTACTGATGGAGGCACGGGACATTGCGATTGCGGCGATCTTCTTCTCGGCCACGTTTACTGGCGAACAGATTCCAGACATCCACGAACGATCTTGGTGGAAGGCGATCAATGCTAATGAGGACCACTGCGCAAAGGCCATTGAAACCGTGGCCGAGTTCTACAAGGAGAACCCTCTACGCAAGACAGACAACCCTTACAACGGTGCGTCGGATTTCAGCCTGGAGAACACCCGGCGGCGCCTGGACGACTCCAGCAATGGCGTCACCCCAAGGACAGAAAACGGCACACAAAGCCCACAAGTCCGAGCGAACGGCGCAGACCAGAAAGAGATGGAAATCGAAGCTGAAAAGGCGTCTCAAAAAGCTCCTGGAGACTCGGATGCCGCGCTCAAAGAAGCAGCCAACGATCCCACAATACATCAGAGCACAAGTGCAGGCAGCATGGGATCGCCGAGGTCAAAGAGAAAGGAGTTTGAGGCCATGGACACGGACGACAGGGACTCAAAACGCCAGAAGACGGAGTCAGAAGACGACGAGGGTGAGGTACACGAATAGAGTCGTGCTACTCGATATTTTCTTCGACCACGGCCGCGGAAGGTCTAAACCGCATGCCGTCACATCCGGTATATCAGTGTGTCAGTTTATATTTCAGCATATTCCACGGCGGCATTTTGCGGCCCGCCGTGCGACGAGGACTGGTGGCGTTTGGGTGTCGCGCTGGCCGGATTGAACTTGGTGCAGTATCATTCCAGGCGGCACATTTTGAGATTGGTCCTTACCTACGGCGCACTACTATGATACCTCAGACCCATATCGTGTGTATTTGGCAACGCATAAACTGTACTTTCAGTTACAAGGGAGGGGTTTATGGGATTCCATGGTGTCTCCATGAGTTGCACCTTGGAGACGAGAGTGTATACTTGCAAACTGCCAGAATAAACACCAACTGCCCACAACAACTTCGCCTTTGGTATGAACTTGTGTATATTGTCAAACACGCCGTGGTATAACACTAAACGTCCAGTCTCCTGATTCCGCCATGCTCCTTCCTTACCTCGTCCAGAAAGTCGACAACATCAACCATATTGCCGAGCTCGCAGAGGTACGACCGCTCCTTGCGCGTCAGCAGACTCCGTTTGTCCGGCCCGTACCCGGGGCCACACATCTCGGTGAGGTGATGCACCGCCAACTTGAGCGGCAGCGGCGCGCGGGCGAGGTTCGACATGAACACGTCGACAGCCTCCCACGGGCATGTCTCGTGGCCGGAGAACAGGGCTGGGTTCGCGAGCAGAGCGCGGGCGGCCATCAGGCCGCGCAGCTTGGGGATGTTGGGCAGGGCCGCAGCCTTCTTCGCTGCGTCGGACAGGTCCACACCTGCTGTGGCGGTGGTGGGAGTCGCTGAGCCCAGCGACGGCGAAGGCTGGCGCAGCTGTGGCGTGGCGGACTTGCTGTCCTGCTCATCGTCAATCTCCTCGGCTTGCCGGTCCAGCTCTGCACGAGAGGTAAAGGTCGGCTCGGGCGCCAGGAGGTGTGAGGTGTACGGCAGATGCCGCAGGGTGAAGACGTCTCCCGAGACGAGGATCGGGACGCGGTCGCCAAACATGTCGGTCAGCAGGCTGAGCTTCTCTACGCTGATGGGCGTGGAGCTCGGGGTTCGGCGCGTGCGCGGGTGGATCGTGAGCCAGTCGACGTTGCGGCGGCCTGGGGAGCTCCCGCCATGGTCGCCGAGCACGGTCTCGATGAAGTCGACGGTCTTGCGGAGGTCCCCGTGCACGCGGATCTTGACGCTCACGCTGCGGCCCTTGGGGCTCGCCTTGGTCGCGGCTTCAGACTCGGGGCTGTCGAGGTTCACAGCCCAGCCGTCGTCGTGGAGGCGCTGCCGCGTCGTGACGAGCATGTCCCGCACCAGCTCGCGCTCTTCCATCAGCGCGGCGCCCAGGGTCTCTGCGCATGCCCATGACTGGGGACACCCGCAGTTCAGATCGACGCCGCTTGCGTAGGGAGCGACGAGGCTCGCCGCACGGGCGAGTTCCGCAGGAACATTGGCGCCGAACTGTACAATAGTGGGAGGCTGGCGGGAGGTTGACAAGGCCCCCGTTGGTGAAGCCAGGGAGGGCAGGGCGATGGTGAAGTCGCTGTCCCGTGCGATGGTGGAGCGGTTGAACTCCTTAGCGAGGATCATGGGCGTCCAGCACAGGTCCGTGTTGTAGTGATGGACGGTTTGGCGGAAGGCGAGCTGTGAGAGTGTGAGTCGGTATTTGCAGGCAGTCGATCTCGTGGCCCACGCTCATGGGCTTCATGACTCACCTTGCTGTACCGCACCATGGGCGCGCAGGCGTACACATATCTCTTCTGCGATCTCGCATGGTCGAATATCTTGAGGGGGCTTCCAGGGGTGTGAGCAAGACCGAGCTACCAGGTTCAAGGAATGTTTGAATGCGTTCTTGTGAACATACTGCAGCGTTGGGCGCAATGCCTCGTCCTCAGGTGCCAGGTCCATGATGGGTGTCATGTAGTCTCATTGCGCTCGCCTCAGATATTTAGTGCCTGCCTCGCACCATCGTCGACGTGGTACTCTGCTTCACTATACACTGGGGAGGGACGAAGAGTCACGGTGTTTCAAGTGTCGATCACTAGTACCTATGACGAAATTTAGGGCGGCACTGGGGCTTCGGGACCTATGGATCGATGAAACCCTGTACCTACGTACTTTACGCTTATATGTTCGTCTGGACTCCTGGCTTTCTGAGAGGCAAACAGTCTATGGGTTTAAGAGCCCTAGTCTCTTAATCCTCAATCATATCGTAGATGGTTTTGGAGCCTATCTTGTGTTGCCAGCAAACTACTTACACAACTCGGGACATAACCTCGATAAGGAAAAAAAGTGGCGTTTATCTGGATGAAGAACCCCCAATTGAGCTCCGATGGCGGGGTGCAGAGGCCCAAAAATTTGGACCGCCTGCTGAATCCAGTAAACCCGCGCATTCTGCCGCACCTCTCGCGACTCATACATTTGCTTGTGATCACTTTCTCAAAGAGCGACTCGAAAGCTCACTAGGCGCATGCCTCGTTGCTCTTCAAATCCGGCTCTTGCTGGCAGCCAATCCTCCATCTCACAAACATGTCGGCCAAACCTGTCATCGGTCTGCTCGGAGGTGGCCAGCTTGGCCGCATGCTCTGCGAAGCGGCCAACATCCTAGACTTTTCTGTCGCAATCCTCGACGAGGAAAAGTGCCCCGCCAAGCAGGTGCACCAGAACGACCTGCACATCACCGGCTCGTTCAAGGACCCGGAGAAGATCAAGCAGCTGGCTGCTCGTTGCGATGTCCTCACCGTCGAGATTGAGCACGTCGAGACCACCATCCTCGAAGAGATTGCGACCAAGGGCGTGGAGGTCCCCTCACCAGATGGCAACGGCACAGTCCTGAAGAAGGTGCCCGTTCACCCATCCTGGAAGACAATTCGCCTTATTCAGGACAAGTACCAGCAGAAGGAATACTTTGCCAAGCAGGGCATCCCTGTCGCTGAGCAGGTCGCCATCGCCGAGGGCAGCGAGCGGCTCTCCTCGCTCCGTGCCGCCGGTGACAAGTTCGGCTACCCGTTCATGCTCAAGGGCGCCAAGGGTTCCTACGATGGCCGTGGCAACTACAAGATTGACGGCCCATCCGATCTCGAGACGGCTTCGAGCCAGATGGGTGATCAGCCACTGTACGCCGAGAAGTGGGTGCCCTTCGAGATGGAGCTTGCAGTCATGGTCATGCGCACTGAGGACAGCGAGGGCAACTTCAAGGCCGTCCATCCTTACCCTGTCATCGAGACCATCCACGAGGACAGCATCTGCACCAAGGTCCTCTACCCACCGAGAAAGGTGTCCGATGAAATCAAGAAGCAGGCTCAGAAGATTGCCTCCGACGTCATCGCCAGCCTCTGGGGTCGCGGTGTCTTTGCGGTGGAAATGTTCCTGACCAAAGACGGCCGCATCCTGGTTAACGAGGTTGCGCCACGACCTCACAACTCAGGCCACTACACAATCGAGGCGGTTCCGCAGATGTCCCAGTTCAAGGCACAGATCTACTCGATCCTGGATCTTGTGCCACGCAAAGGTATCAGCCTGAGCCCGCGAGTGTCATCTGCAATCATGCTCAACATCCTTGGCGGCGCCAAGGAGGACTCCCACGACAGATTTGTCAAGCTTGCCGAGGGCAGTTCCGACGCGTTCACAGATGTCTATGTCCACCTGTACGGCAAGGCTTCCAAACCGGGCCGCAAGATCGGACACATCACAGCGACAGGTTTCTCGTCGGTCGACCAGCTGGCCAGCACGGTCAGCCCACTCATCAAGTGCATGGACGAGATCAGGTTAGAGCGGATAGGCTCTTCCGCCAAGGCGACACCGGCAGCCACACCAAAGGTGCTGCCGTTGGTGGCCATGACCATGGGCTCGGACTCCGACCTTGCCGTGATGAGTGCCGGCCTCAAGATCCTCGACGAGTTCTCCGTGCCCTACGTGGTCCGCATCACATCCGCCCACCGGACGCCACACCTGATGATGAAGTTCGCGGCCGAGATGTCTGCATCGACATGCAAGGTCATCATCGCTGGCGCAGGTGGCGCAGCGCACCTTCCGGGCATGCTCGCCTCGGAGACACACCTGCCCGTCATCGGCGTGCCCATCAAGGCCTCGGTTCTCGACGGCGTGGACAGTCTCTACAGCATTGTGCAGATGCCACGGGGCATTCCCTGCGCGACCATGGGCATTGGGAACTCGACCAACGCCGCCTTGCTCGCGATTCGCATACTCGGCAACACTTATCCCGAGTATGCGGAGCGGATGAAGGAGTACCAGGCAAAGATGGCGGCCGAGGTGTACGCCAAGGACGAGAAACTGGGCGAGGTCGGATTCCAGCAGTATCTTGCGGGCATGCAGAAGAAGTAAGGCTCTGCGTAAAATGACGAACGCTTTGGTTCAAAGGTCCACAATGCTCGAGATCTAAAGGCACATAAACTGAGGTGGTTATCGGGAAGGCTTCGTGCAAGGGTCGGCGAACCTAAGGAGCGAGGTTTTGGTGGCAGGATTATTCGAGTACACCTGAAAAAGACACTACTTTCTAGCCCTATGAAGTGACCATATCGCGCCTGCAAGTGATGGGCCAAACCAATGAGAAGTGCAGGGGCCCAGCGAGTGACACGTCGGTTGCCTGCGGTTGGGGTTTCAAGTGCCGCGGGCTGCGATAACCTGCTCGTTGCTGCGCGGGATGCGATGTGTCCCAGATAGGACTCATTCGTGCCTATGCAGGAGAAGAGAGGAGAGCAGCAGCCACAGGCCAGGACATGGATGGGGCAGAACATGCGTCATGACCCCCCCAACACCGTTGAGACCAGTCCAAGTCGGCCCCGGAAGACCTGGACTTGGCGATACGCCGGCGATAGCTGCTCTTGACGGACATTACACGAGTTTTCGTTGTTCGGACTCATTTCCGTGCCAAGTCGATCTCTATTGCTTGAATCGCGGAGGAATGGATCCTTAGTGCGGGCTCAAAAGGGTTGCAGCAAGAAAGCTTAGAGTGCTTACATCGGATCGCGGGGGTATGCCAATGTTTGCTTGGCCTGTGCTATCTCCGGCTACGTGCGTCTTCTTGCGTGACGCTAGACTCAAACAGGAAGACCTTCACCCCTGCAACACGCGAGCTCCCGAGCTCCACGCCACGCCCATCTCTTAGTGCCGCCGATTTCAGGGCCGCCCCTGAGCTTCCACATACGTACTTTTCTTTGTCGGAGCTTGGAGCTGGAAACCTGCTTGACCCCGCGCGACCAAAGATGGAAAACCCCGTGGTGTAACTAGTACAAACCACAAACTCCAGAGGCCACTAAATCCGGGCCGTGGATCTCCTCTCCAACGCCGCACAAGCCCGCGCTCTCTATGGCAAACTCCGTGTGTTCGGAGCCTCCGGCTCTTTTTGGAGGGGCCAGGTCCATGACGTCTCCGACCGAGACCGGTGGTGGAGGTGGTGGTTTTGAGGGGGGGTTTGAACTCAATGGGGGCAATGCTTTGTGGCACGAAGTCCTGTATATAAGTCTGTGTTGGCACGTTGACAAGTCTCCTAGTCGTCTCCGAGCAGACACACATCAACTGCGACACCCTCCACATCCATCTCTCCAGTGTTCTGTGACAACACACAGTACGACGACGACAGTGATTACAACAGCCCTCTCATACTCACACACATACACACACTACACAAATGCCTACCATCAACGACCAGCAGATCGGCCCAACAGGCTTCGGCCTCATGGGCCTGACCTGGCGAGCCACCCCGCCCCCGAAGGAGCAAGCCTTTGCCGCGATGCGCGCGGCCCTGGCCAACGGGATGAACTTCTGGAACGGCGGCGACCTGTACGGCAACCCCGAGTACAACAGCATGACGCTGCTCTCCGAGTACTTTGCCAAGTACCCCGAGGACGCGGACAAGGTGGTGCTCAGCATGAAGGCCGGCGTGAACCCGGACCAGTCGCCCGCGGGCGTGCGCAAGACGCTGGACAACATGCTGGGCCAGCTCAAGGGGACCAAGAAGGTGGACGTGTTTGAGTTTGCGAGGAGGAACCAGGCCGCGTCCATGGAAGAGGCGTTCCGGACCGTCAAGGAGGAGTACATTGACACGGGCAAGGTCGGCGGCATCTCGCTGTCCGAGGTCCGGCTGGACACGCTCAAGGAGGCCGTCAAACATGTCAAGGTTGTCGCGGTCGAGGTCGAGGTATCGCTGTAAGTGCTTGTTCTACTTCTTCTTCATTCTCCTCCCCGCCACCACTGAGCTCGCTCGAGCTCCAGGGCTTTCTAGTTCGATCTTGTTCTTGGCTGACTCGTGTGGTTTTCAACAGTTTCTCCACCGACGTCCTCACCAACGGCATCGCCGCCACTTGCGCGGAGCACAACATTCCCATTGTCGCGTACTCGCCCATCGGCCGCGGCCTGCTCACCGGCCAGATCCGGAGCATCGACGACATCCCCGAGGACTCGATGCTGCGCCACTACCCGCGCTTCCAGCCCGACACGTTCCCCATCAACATCGAGCTCGTCGGGCAGGTCGAGGCCATTGCGCGCAGGAAGGGGTGCACGCCCGCGCAGCTGGCCATCAGCTGGGTCCGCAGCCTGTCGAGGAGGCCCGGGATGCCGACGTTCATTCCGATCCCCGGCGCCACCACGGCCGAGAGGGTCGAGGAGAACTCGAAGCACTTTGACATTACGGACGACGAGATGGCAGAGATCGATCGGATCCTGGCAAAGTTCCCAGTCGCGGGGGAGCGGTACCCGGAGCAGATTCCGAGCAATACCTAAGCCTTTAGCAGAGGAGGGAGGCGTACAAAGGGGAAGAGATGGCTGCGGAAAGTAGTGGTTGTATTGTCAAGCTAGACTGAGGGGATGTGTCTATGGCACTTGGGAGAAAGAGAATACCAAGCATGTTGCCCACACAACTTTGCCCGACGAATTTGGGCCACTCGTGCAAGACTTTGAGCAGACAGAGATGTGATCCACCACGCGGAGAGATGCGTGCCTTTTCCCCGACAATCACATCCTTTGAGCGAGGATCTTCGGTACACAAAGCACGCTCTGCTATCCAGCGATCAGGCGAGAGAGTTATCCACAGTATCAGAGAAGCCCGTCCTGCCTCTGCACTGCCCGGAGGCAACGCAAAGGCAGGGGGGCTGTCCCCTTTTCAGAATTGCAGAATTCTTTAGAGTGCTCATCATATCGACTGGAGTAGCGTGGCGGCAGCTGTGCTTGGCATAACACGGAGCTATGTCCGCTGGGGAGAAGTGTGGTGAATCAGATGATGTGATCATTGACCTACCGTGGTCGGTATCGAGGCCGGATGGCATACCGCGGTCATTCTTGTCGGCACACGTGAGATCCGGTGGTTATGAGCACGGAAGAACTGGTGCTCAGATACCTGCGGTGAAGCAGCCTCGACAATACTGGAGGGCAACCATCCGGGCGACGATCGTGGATTTGTTCGCCGCAAAGATGTTGCGGCGAAGTTGTTGCTACGCCTGGGCTTGCACTTTGGGTGTGCAGAAGCACGAACAGTGAAACGACCGTGCGCGCGGGTCAAAAGTGCTTTCTGCCGGGAGCTCTGAAATTTTTGTTAATGTGCTGCCCACCGGGTAGCTGGGTCCGGAGCTGCACAGTGCATTTAGCCGTATGGGTGATCAATATCCTGGAGATAGGGCTTGGTGACGGCTTTCTGCACTGTGTCTCGAGGATGCCGTAAATTACGAGGGATTGAGTTTCTAATAGTTGAATCGAGTCGAACCATTTTGCGCACGGCAAGCGACTGTTGAGAGTCGGCATATCTGCAGTCCTCGTCCTTGCATCCACCCCGTCAGCAATCTTTGACGTGTAGAAGGATGGATCATCCCCGACTGACCGCGTCCAGTCATTGGGTCTCTTGCTCGCGTCCTGACTGGGGATCGAACACTCTAGAAACAATCCTTGAAAGCAGCTTCCATAACTGTATTCGAGGTGTTCGAGAAGGCATGTTCTGCTTGACGTGGTGGTAGATTGCGACGGTGCTTTTTTCTGACGCGAGCTTTCTGTGCTTGATAACAGACCAGTTATTGTTTGGTGCAACCTCAAAAAAGCACTTGCACGATAGGGCGGAGATGACGAGCCCGCTGTCTCAAGGATCGGATGGCATGCTGACGGAGACTTTATGCACTGTATCGCCGTGACCCTGCTCTGAATCTTGGAAGTTGGCCTTGCTGGAGAAGACTGGCCGCATAGGCACCACCTCGCCTCAGTGACACCAGAGACGACTTGGCGCGTTAGGGAGGGATCTGCCTTGTTGATGGGCTCGCCGGCTCCCACCACTGTCCTGGCTGTCCAAGGTTCCTGGCACGGAAACAGGCCGCATCCAGCAGGAGCTGGGCAGGGCAGGTCCAGATGCGCGGTCCCACGGGCTGTGGAACTATCGAAAGAGGAGGGAGGGCAGCAGAGCAGCTCCGCATGAGGACGCACGCCTGGAGCGCTTGAGCGGCACTCATCCCACGCAGTGGGTCGCCTTGCGCGTGGCAGGGTTTGTTGCGTTGCACACAGCCAGTCACGGCGCCCGCAGTGCTGTGCGACATGGCGACCCCGGCCACATGGCATGGGCCTGCACCCTGCCCACACCAGGAACGACCCTCAGCAGCTCGCCCACTCACATTAATTATCGTCTTGCAGAAAGCGGGCCATGGTAGCCGGGGCTCTTGGGGGTCGTCGGCCGGCGGCGTGTGCGCAGGCAGGCAGGCAATCCTCTGTGGGTGCGTGCTGTGGTGCTGTGCTGTTGGCCGCCGACACGAGGTGATGGGAAGGGAGCGAAAGGGGATGCCGCGAGGAGATTGCGAGATGCATCTCGAGCATCGCCGTCCCAGCCCTTGAGCAGCGTCGTCCCTGTGTCGTTCCTGCATCTGTTGGCTCTGGCGACGCATCCACCGTGGCCCAGCGTGAGATCGTCCCAACTTACTTCCGGACTTGCGAACGCAGACCGCACTAAGGTGGCTCCTGCATGAGTCGCCGAGGACGCCCTCCTCAAAAAGCCCGCCTGGACTTCCCCAGGCTCAACATCGTCGACGCCGCAGCCCGCCCCGGCGTGCGCATTCGCTTGCTCGCCAGCCAGCGCCCGAGCACTCAACAGGGCATCCTGCACCATCCTTGATTGTAGGCAATCTCAAGACTCGCGACAGCCTCGTCCCGCGGCCAGCTAGACCGCTCCATTCGTTTCCCGTAATCCAACCTTCACTCCGAGTGGTACCAACAACCACGACAGTCTTTCGGACACCGCGCTCGAACATTTTGCAACTTCAATCTGTGCTTCTACACGCACGGATTTCCCCAGCCAATTATTTCGTGCTCGAGGCGACGACTACTACGACGACGACAACGACAACGACGAGCAGAAGATCCGTGACGAAACGACGCTTTTCCGGTACTCGACTGCCTTACGTTTCCGTTTCGGCTTCCCACGCGCTTTGCGCCGCACAATCTCAACAAGAACAGGTCTCGGACGCCGGCCGCGGTCGTGGCCTAGTCTGTCCATCATCGATAATCCTTCGAAGCATACTCCTGGCGCATACGGTCAGCGTGGTGGAGGTCTTATTGTGTTCGGCTCGCATACTAAGACTGTCTCAGACACTCTGCCATCGGCTGCCCCGCCACCACTCTGGTGGGAGCGACCGCGAGCGGTCGAATCAGCAGTAAGAGCTTGTCTCGTTGCGTCGATTGCCCACGAAGCTTCCCGGCAATGCCTGCTACACCAGATGGACCGACGCAGGCGGCCGGCGCAGTTGCGCATGTCGCCCAGCCTGCGTCCCCGACTCTCACAAACCCAGATATGATTCTTCCCGACTACTACGACGACTCTGCATCCTCGCCGGAGAGATCTCAGTCCCCAGTCGCCATCTGGCAAGGTACGCACGACTTGTCTTTTCAGCTTCCACCACAAGCCTTCTCAGCTGGCCCGATCTCGCCAACCACTCCAATCATCTATGGTAATGGCACCATGCTCTCAGACATTGGCGAGGTCACAGAGGTGGAGAGTGTGTGTGGCAAACCAGAGTACAGGCCATACACGCAACAGAAGAATGCACCCGCCGTCGGCGCCACGGCCCTGTCGCAACACCTTGGCCGCAAGAAGGAAACCAGGGCTGCGCGGCAACGTCGCGCATCCATGGACTCAAATAGCACTATAACTGGCGGAGATGAGAAACAAATGCACTTCAACGATTTCGACGACAGCGTCAGTGTAGGAGGCAGCAGCTTTCAGGGCGACGATGAGGAGAGTGTTGCAGAGTCATACAACGACGAGCCTCGAGGGCACCAACGGGCATTGCTGCTCCAAGAAAGCAGCAATATGGACGAGCGCTACTCCACAGCTCTGAGTAGGCGGGCAGAACAGATCCTGGCCAATGCGAAAAGGAGGTTGACGGTAAGTTCCTCGCGCAGTCGTGGGGATATCCAAGACAGCCTACTAACGAATCCAAAGACGATGGAAGGGAACCTGCACCGAGCACGTTCTTCGCTCTCCTCGCCTACGCTCTCATCCGTAGACTCTGATCGGACCCCTTCTCCAAAATTTAACCGCGCTGTCACAAGAGAACCTGCGATTAAGCCTGCTGGCAGGAACCCCTACGGCCACAACAGAGTGTCTAGTGAGCACGCTGTGCCAACAGGACCAAAGCTCAGTACACAATTGCCTCGCTCGTCGAGCGCACTGGGCGCGGCGGGCGGCTATCGTAAGCCATTGCATATCCATATTGCCTCCGCTTTTGATGAGGACACCAACGAGGACGACGAGAGTGAATATTCAACAGAAGGCAAAGATGAGCATATCCATTACAAAAACCCTGTGTATGGGAACACTGGTTTCTCCAAGAGCAAGCCGGCTCTTGAGACCCTTACAGAGCATTCTGTTTCCCCTACAGGCGGCGCGATGCGCGATAGCCAGTCCCACGACGACCTCAATTCCCAGCTTCGCCCAGATTCTGCGCTCTCGCCACACGACCAAACTATCCGCCGCTCAGCTTCGGCAAGTCAGATGCGAGATCTGAAGGAACAGATGACCGATCTCAAAGGTAGATTGTCGTCCCTCCGAGACCAGGCGAGAGCAGACAGCCTCAAGCGGCGCAGTATGCAGAGCCTCAGGACTCCGAGTCCGTTCACGCATGCGCCGGTTGAGCAGTGGTACTCGTCGCAGCGTTCTTCAACTCAGAGTTCCGAAGTCCTCCCCATGCAGCAAGGGCCAGCTCCTGACGCTAGCGCCCAGCAAGACACCGAAAAGGTCACCGAGGCCAATGGTGTGTCTGTGCCAGAAAGTGAACCCGACAATGAAACCGCCGACGATTCCATGCTCGGGTTCGTCGACGTGGTCGATGAAGATGACGAAGTGATCCCATATCGTGCCCCAAGCCTAGTCGATGACGAGTACACGGACGATTTGCGTACCGAAGACGGATTCGAGGATTATCGGGACGAATTCGTGGACTTTCGTAGCGACAGCGAAGCTTCGATGTATCATGATTCTGTTCAGCACCAACTTTCGCACGAGGATCGCGAAGACGCCTTTGACTACGAGCACTTCTTCCTGCATAGTGCCATGGGCAGCATGACTCGCAGGCGAATGGAGCGACGCAATAGCGATACTACTTATACTTCCGAGGAGTCTGTAGAGACGACACGAGGTCCTGACATTCCGATTTACGAAAAGGGCCATGTCCGTCATCGGCGCGGAAGCCATGGCTCGTCGTCAACAGTAGCTTCCTTCGCCACAGCTACCGAAGGACGAAGCACCCGCTTGGATGAGAACATCACCAGCAATGCAGCTGAGCAACTCTTTGACTCGATGGAGCGCACGCGCACGAGCTCAGAGCAGGCGAAACGCGCCACCTTTGGGGGTGCATACGGCGACAGTGGATCCGACCAAAGCTCTCGACCTCCGTCCTCGATGCATAACCCCAAACCAAAGTCCGCGCATCGGCCATCGGTCTCCTCCATAGGATCTTCTGGCACGACGCGGAGCTTCCCGCTCGTCAACAAGCCCAAGAGCAATGGTGTGTTGACACCACGTGATTCGCCTGAGCAAGGGCATCACCCGGTGAACGACGTCACACGGAGCGAAACGTCAAGCCTCTACGACCTAGACAGCATGGCTGGGGACAATACTGCTGCGGCCATGACGGCACTGTCAAAGGATGATCAGATCCTTGTCCAGCGTCTGGTTGCTAGCCTAGGCAAGTGCGTATTAGGCTTGACTGAGTCGGGTCGTGCCAGCACCGAGAGTCGGATTGCTCGCAAGCGGATTGAGCACGCGAAGAGGATCCTTGAGGGATTGAGCGATTAGGTTCGGTTTAGCGATTGTTTTCAAAGTGACACCCACAGCTGTCTAGACTTTAGGCGGCTATGTATATATTCGATTCTTCCTATTGACGGCTTCGTCATACCGAGCGAAAATTTAACCATGATGGAAAAGTTTGTCCGCACGGAGTTTTGGTGAGATTCATCCTTAGCCTGGTATCAAGTGGTGTTGCTATTCTGTAGCCTAGAGCATACGCGCAATTTTTGGCACCATTTGACGACTTCAGGAATTCACTGAGTGTTTGAGTCCCATCGGGACGCCCTCAATTAGGTCATGTTGAACAACTTACTGCTGAAGCATATCATGCACAAAGACGCAATTCCGCTTGGTCAGACTCTCGTACGGCGCGCGGTACTTTTGAAGGAAGGCCCCACATATGTAAGGGGAACCCAGCCAATCAACACTCACCTCCAGGACGACCCAGATGCCTGGAAGGCAACCGCGGCCTTCCGTGCATCACGCCCTTTCCTCTCTTACACACTCTTCATCCGTACATCACAAGCTCACGTATCACAGCCGCCTCTTTACTGTCACTCTCCTTCGATGCACGGGTGATAGTCAGTCATGCGTCTTGGGCTACTTCATACCCCACCTGTCTCATTTGTCGCCTGCATGCTGACTTACACGCAACCTGTCGTTGTGCTGCCGCCATGATCGAGCCTTGGAGCAGCAAGTATCTGCCCCTGGGGTGCCTCGATATCTCCATCACAGATTCAAATACAGTCTTGTCAGATCGTTACGATCTTACCCAATGGAGAGCATTTACTCGCGCTCGATCAAAAGAGGTTCCAGCGGCTCAGGCCACTCACGACACTTTGTCACCAGAAATCCAGGCAACCCTTCTGAGAACCAGCGAACGACGCATCCCGGCTTCTTTATGGAAGACGCAGTGGATACAGTTGGCCTTTCGACTGGTTGAAGGCTCAGCCGAGACAATAGGGAGATTTCGCGTCTATGTTCTGCCTTTCGACGTCGACAGATATGCCATCGGCAACAGGGACGATGAGAAGCTCGGCAAGGCTTTGGCTTCGCTGCTCCGCCGACTTGACTACTCGCCAGAAGCATGGGCTGGGCACTCTTGTGTGGCCAAAATGCCGCAGCCAGCGCCTTTCGACGCTACGCGCGCTCCTACCTCGGAAGACTCAAATCTGCTGGCAATGTTCAACAACGTGCCATCGCCAGATCCTCAACCGCAAGCTATCACAGATCCTGATGCCCGCCATGCCATGGTATCTATCCTTGAGAGCAACCTCCCAGGCCTCAAGACCACCCTCTATCCTTACCAACGCAAGTCAGCTGCGCTCATGTTGCAGCGAGAGCTCGAGCCCGGCCGGGTTATGGACCCTAGGTTGCGATGCTGTCGAGACCAGAATAGCAGAGCCTGGTACTACGACTCCGTGACTGGACTAGTTCTTCTGGAGCCTCGCTACTACGATGGCACACGTGGAGGCATCCTCGCTGAGGAGATGGGCACTGGCAAGACATTGATGTGCCTCGCCCTCATCTTGAGCACGCGGCGTGAGCCAACAATCGCTCCGGAGCCATTCGTTGCTGAGAATCCACCTCGCCGCCGCCTGGCGAGTCTCTTAGACATGGCTGCTGCAGCTGCCAATAGAGGCTCTATTCCCTGGCAGCCATACTTTGACTACATCCAACATCAGCTTGGCCATGATCACACTCGATGCTTGAACGCACTCAGAGACCCAGCCAACCGTGCGTTCTATAAGGTCAAGACAGATCCTCTGGTTGAGCCGCGGAGAAGCAGTCGTCTCATACCACGCGAGGCACCGACAAAGGAAATCCATCTCGGCAGTGGTACCTTGATTGTTGTTCCTGACAACCTGGTCACGCAGTGGCGGGAGGAGATCAAGAAGCATACCACTGGTCTCCAGGTGCTGATTCTTGTTAACCGCGACAGGATTCCATGTGTGGCAGAGTTGTTGACGTACGACATTGTCCTCTTTTCTCAGAGTCGCCTCGAATGGATCTGGGGAGAGCGGAAGAACGGCGAAGGGCCGCCCCGCGATATATACTGTCCTCTGGAGCACATTCAGTGGAAACGATCTATTGTTGACGAGGGCCACAAGCTGGGGAGTCGGAGTAATAGTAGTACATCGATTGTCCTCGACCAGCTCTACATCAGCGCCATGTGGATTGTGACAGGAACGCCTACACGAAACCTCTACGGTGTCAAAGAGTTGATTGTGGGCGATGAGGCGAAGCAGCGCAATGACCTTGACTCGCAGCGAGCCGATCTTGTTCATATCGGCAAGATGGCCTCGAAGTATTTGAGGGTGCGCCCGTGGGCCAACACACGGGAAGAGGCTGGCGATACTGTAGCGGACTGGAACGTGTATGTGATGAACCCGGCTCAGCACTCAAAAGGTCAGAATCGCATCGACTCGCTCAGGTCGACACTGAATTCCCTGATTGTGCGGCACAGGCTTGCAGACATCAGTACTCTACTTCCGGCTGTCGACGAAAAGATTGTGTATCTCGAGGGTTCATATCAAGACAAGTTGGCCTTGAACCTGTTTGCGATGGTCATAATCTTCAACTCTGTGCAGTCGCAGCGCACGGACATCGACTACTTGTTCCACCCACGGCAGAAGAAAAGTCTGGCTGAGCTTGTTCGTAACTTGCGACAGGCGTGTTTCTATGGCGGGGTCTTTTGGACAGTCGAAGATATCCAGCAGGCTCTTGACGTGGCAGAGGATTTCTTGAAGAAAGGAAAGATCTCACTCAGCCCAGAAGATGAAGAAGCTATACGGCAAGCGATAGACTTCGGCCATGTAGCGGTGTCTAATCACCTGAAGACTCTCAGCAGCCAGTTTCACTCCCTGCCACTTTACGTGGAGAACTTTCCAGGTGGGCACGGCGGAGCCTGGGCTCTCGATAACCGTGACGACAGTCTGATCTGTACGGACGCTGGTCTCGTCCTTGCTTTGCAGAAATTTCTCAACCCGTGTGTTGATGCGCCAACTTCTTTGCAGCGCATGATTGACTCCGGTCAACTCGACGCTGAGGGCCAGGCAAAGAGGGAAAAGGCGCTAGAAATGGCAGAGGCGACGTCGTCTTCTGATCAGGCTCGGAGACAGAATGCGCAGTCCACCGGGTTAGCTGGACAAACCCAGCTCGGGAGCGATCGTCATTCGAAACCGAAGTCTGGGCTCCTCGAAAAGTCTGCACTTATCGCAATCGACGATGATTCCCCAGCCATGCAAGCAGACCAGCATACTGCCAACATTACTGTTGCGGATGCATTGGCATCGACGAGGATCATTTCGACGGTATCTGCGAAGCTGTCATACATTGTCGATGCGATTGTGAAGTACAAGGACGATGAGCAGATCATTGTGTTCTACGACAACGACAACATTGCTTGGTACTTGGCTGGAGTTTTGGAAATTGTGAGTTTAACGATACGTATGTCATTTGTTGCAACGACTAATGGTAGTACATTAGCTGCAAATCCACCATCTGATCTATGCACGTGCCGGCATCAACGCCGAGCGCCGTGCTCAATACGTCACGACATTCACGCATAACCCCAAGTTTAGAGTTTTGTTGATGGACATTAGCCAGGCTGCATTCGGTTTGGACATGCGAAGTGCTTCGCGAATCTATTTCCTGAGCCCCGTGCTCAACCCGCAAGTGCAGGCACAAGCTATTGGTCGTGCTCGCCGGATTAGCCAGGAGAAGCCCGTCACTGTTGAGACTCTGGTTTTGAAAGGCAGCATTGAAGAGGTCATTGTCGACCGGAGTAAGACGATGACCCAGGCAGAGCAGCGCAAAGTGATGAACTCGGTCATCGAGGACAAGCTGATCAATGACTGGATCAAAAACGTCCAGATCATGCCTATGAACCTGGAGACGACGCATAGCTCGGAGCCAGGGAATGGGCTGGCGCAGTCGGCGATGCTCAAGGCGCCGCAATTCGTCTTCGGAATAGGCTTTGGAAGAGAACTGCACCCTGACGAGGATCTCCTCACAAATAGCCCGTTATCCAGCAAGGAGCATCGCAGAGAGGGCCAGGGTTCACTGCCCGGACCGGCTGGCCGAATCCCCTTCAAGATCCGTCTTGGGGGCATGAAGAGGTCGGAAAGTCCGCTCTTGACATCCTCAACACGGGAGGCTACGCCATTGTCATTAGCGGGCGACTCTGTTGATGAGAATCAACAAAAGGAAGCCGAGGCTCTTGAGCACCGGCCGAAGAAGAAAGTGCGTGTTGCCTGGGCTGATTGAAGAGGCAACGTGTGCAGTAGACCTCGTGGCTCGAGTCATTGGCTTTGATGTATTCCAGATGGGGTACAGGGTCCAGAGCATGGAGTACGGTGTTATTTTTTTCACAAGTTTGCTGAGAAACAAGAACAGCTTTTTTTTGATTCAGGTCTTGCTGGCGTTTGCAGGATCTCTTGGATCTGTCGTGAAATAGATACGAGGTCTTCGTATTCACACAGGTAGAGCTGAACAATGGCATGTGATGTGGCGCAGCACAGCCAAGTCAGTATCGAGGATCGGTGATCGTGAACGACATGTGCGCGGAAAGCGCGAGGATGAATCGAGCAGAGCTGAGGTGACTTGAAGTTGTCCCGTGATGGAGTCGACCTGCACTTGGCGACCTTCGCAAATGTCGTATAGCGTCGCAACAGCCAATCTCCCTCGGGCCCATCGTTGCTGTCTGCACGAATATTTACAGAGGTTTGGTCAATGGATAAAAACGATTCATGCACTGGCTTTCGGTCGGCAGGAGATCATGGTTAGTAGAACAACAGCACTCTTCGCAGAGGCTGGGAGATGCGGCAGTGAATGCGTTTGATTTTTGCGCAGGGGTGAATCCTCAGGAGGGGAAGTCTCCTGGTCAGTGGTTCCCATTACATGATTAAAGGCGGTGGCTTGCTATCTAAAGCCGGCAAAGGAGCCTCCCTCGGAGTCGGTCTGTGACAGGTGGTATATAGTTCTTTTTTGTGTACAAAAGTGTTGGAAAATGCCCGACATGGCGATATAGAGAGCTCGCTGCTCGTTTTGCAGTACATTATATTAGAGATTAAACGAGTGTCGTAATCGTACGGTTGCTGCCCGTTTCAGCGTGACAATCATGACAGAACCTCCCGATAGTGATGAATCATACCTCATGCAATGGAATGGCTAATGTTGGCACCAACGGCAAGATCATTCCGAGCACTTGGGCGTTTTCAAGCCAATTGTCCGTCGTTGGCTGGCGGACGTCACCTACATGGCCCTGGGCGCATACTTGCGTGAGCAAAGAGCCGAAACGTTGATCAGCGGAGCCCTGCCCTCAAACTTCGGCCTCTCTCGCGGCCTTCGTCCCTTCTCGAGTTGGAACCAGTGACTTGGTTCCAATCTTCCCACTCCTTGCTGATCTCCATGAGCACAGAGCCCATCACTGTCGCACTCGCCATGAGACCGTGACCTTCACCCTCAAGAACACGGACCTCGCAACGGCGCATGGTCTTGCCAAGCCAGCGCACGTTTTCCACAGGCACGCGTGTGTCCTTGCTGCCATGGTGGATGACAACAGGACGTGTGATGTCCACGTAGCGGAAGCCGATCGTGTGTCGACGTTCCAGGCAGACCAGCAAGTCAACCGCGGGGTTGGCTCCTGTGGTGGCGAGGTCCCAAATTGCATGTGTCAATCTCAGGTCATAGTGGACTTGGCGTTCCTTATCCACCATCGCTTCCTCTGCGGCAGCGAGGATCGCGGCCTGCGGATCAGATGAGCGGTTATTCTTGCCACGGTTGTGCTGTTGTTGCTCTTTCGAGATATCGCCTGTGAACCCAGAACCAAGGAATTCCGGGTCGATCGAGTCATGCTTGCTCACAAGGTTTTCCTTGTCGACTACAGAAGGCAAATCCTTATTCGCCCCAGCTGGGGTCGTTGAATTGTTCGCCTTCCGTTTCGTGCGCCGAGGGCTATTCTTCGGTAACGAACTGGTGATCGAGCTGCTCGTGGCAGACATGAAAGAACTGTTTGCGGCTTTCAGAAATGGCGTTGGCAAGGCCCTCAAGATGCGTTGTGACGTGGGTATGGAATTTGCCGGCGGCGATGCTTGCGAGGCTCCAAATACGTTCATCTGTGATGGGGGAATCCACGGTGCGAGCAGGTGGATGCGGCCGCGGATGTGCTGAGGCATTCGCAATGCTGTAGCTAGGGCATATATCGCTCCGGCAGAGTGGGCAAGAATCGAGAATTTGGTAATCTTCAGTGCTTGGCAGATAGCGTACACATCATCTGCAACAAAATTTAGTATTACACGACTGGCAGCTTGAGGCTCGAGGTTGACTTACCAGGCCAGCTCAGAGGTGTGGCCGTGCCATCTGCGTATGCCTCACTGTCTCCAACACCAGGTCTGTCGGGTGTGATCAGACGCAACTTCAAGGTGAGGGCCAATTCGTCATAAAATGCTGTGATATATCTCGTGAGTCCCATGCCCACACAACAGAACACGGCGGAACCATCAGCATCGCCGACTTCCGAGAATGAAATAACTCTTCCTGTCTGAGGGTGATGAATTTTTTGCGAGAGCCGTGGTGAACAGAGGTACGACTCGACGGCGTCGTCAATAGAGTCTGCACTTTGTGGCCTCTCGTACCCGACAGTCGGCTCTGGTGTCGCAGAGCTCTTCCGTCGATCTGGGGTTTCCGATCCTTTCGCGCCCACCGACAGCCTCTTCGCACGGGAGCTGCTTCTCTTCGAACGCATCGTCTCGCCAGGGTCGGGCGTCGTCCTGCCTGACTTCTTCCGGTCGGCGCTCTGTCCGCTTCGTTTTCGGCTCGAGGAAATCGAGGGGAACGGTGCACCATCATCCACGGCCAATCTCGACGTGTCCGGTGGTGCTGAGGACTCATCCACGCGAGAGCCATTCTTTGCAGAGGCCCCATGAGCTGATTGGGTCGTTCTTCCTGTCGTGGTGCTTTCCCTCGTCCTTGTTGCATCCGTATCTAATTGGCGACGAGAAGAATGTCGCTCTTGCTTCGCTGCGGCGAGGTCCCGAAGCTCACCATCCTCACCATATTCCGGAATCATATCGTTTAGCGCGCCGTCACTCCGTCGCCTGGCCTGGGAAAGTCGCTGCGAGGATCTTCTGGAAGCCGTCTTCAAGGACGACTCACGGGCTGGAATATGGTAGCCGTTCGTATCACTCGGCGTGGGTTTCGATTTCGCTGCCTCGCTCGTCATCGACCTGGAAGCTCCCGGCCCATCAATGCCTGGTGTCTCGGCATGTGCTTTCCCCGTGTTTGGAGACGCATTACTTTGACTGCCGCCTCCACTTGCGCGTTTGCGGTCGGAGTCTGATGTCCGCAGCTGCTCCTTTGAGCTCATGTACGCCAGCACTTTCTGCGATCTCGATTGTCGCCTGCCCCAGCTGTCATGTGAACTCTTGCGGTTTAACTCTATACTACGTGAGGAGCCACGCTCGACGGACAGATTGCCAATGCTGGCATTATCGTCGTGTATTGAGCCTGCAGAGCTCTTGGAGGACGGTCGCGACGGGCTGCGCAGAAGTTGTTTGAAGCCGCCGGAGGACTCCCGGCGCGGAGACTTTGGGGCAGTCAGGGCAGAGTAACCGGATGGGGGCTTGGACGTGCGGACGATCGGAGGGCTCGCGGCGAGCTCGTCAAGGTCGACATCCTCTTCTTGCAGCCGTGAGAGGGGCTGGGGTGAGTATGCGCCATACTCGACACCAAAACTGCCATTGCTGCTGGCACGCCGAGGAGAGCTGGGCATGGAGGCGGATTGTCCTTCAAAATGGTGGTTGGCTGGTTTCGATATGACCGCAAGGCTGGTGATGAGGGACGAGATGATTTCGGGAGACGCGGGAGGAACGCCGATACGGCTATCGCCAGCCTTTGTTTCGGCCAGGCGCAAATGCTCGACAGGCTTGCGGCGTTGTGATGACCGAGTCTGCTGAGGGTTGCGAGGCACCCCTGGGGGGCTTGAGGAGGAGCGCTCCATGGCCGTGGCAGCATAAGAGCCTGATTTAGGGAACAGCAACTAGGACCAACCAGGCTGCGCGAACGTCGTCAACTGCGCGTATCGGGGTGGTAGCAGGTGAGCGTTGCAATTGGAGCGCAGGCGAGCCACTGCTGTCGAGCAAAGTCGGTCGGATGGCGAAGTCGTAGCTCGTCGGGCGACAGTGGCCGGTCGTCGTCTTGCCCAGCGTCCGTTGCCTACCGAGTGAGGCTCAGTGAGGCCGATGAGGGACCAGAAGGACAGCCAAGAGGACCGGACGCTGTCACAGGTGGTGTGCGACAGTGTCGCACGCTGGGATGCGGCGTGACTTTGGGGGAAATTCTGCTGCAGGTTGAGGTGCCTGCGTCTGGCGGGCGGCGTGGGCGCGGGTTGGCACACTCAGGCGCTTCAGACAGGGGGCAGGCGCAACATAGACCTTGTCACGCAGGGTCGCAGTGTGTGGGTGGCGGCTGCCGGGGCTGGATTTGGGAAAAGGGGAGAGCCACCCAGGCTGTTGGACCACCAGCGACTGGGGGGACAGATACGGCAGTAAAGCCTCAAACCGTCAACAACGGCAGGCAGCTCGCGTGAGAGTTCAGACAGACGTCCGGACGGTCCGTACTGGCACGATAGGTACAGCCGCCTCTCCCAGGGCCCTTGACTGGCTGGTTGCTGTGCCTGGTTCAAGACACTTCACACCATCGGCCGATAACAGCAGCAGCAGCACCACCACCGCGTGTGGGTAAGACATGCCTCAGCTCCAACCAGCCCGAGCAGGGATACTCCGGCAGGCCACCCACGCGCCGTCGATCCCTGTTCTCGCGCAGAGCCAGTCAAGACATTTCCCGGCATTCCGCTCGACACCAGTAGCACCGGCCTGGTGCCCGAGGTGCCCAATTCGACCGCCATGGCCACTTTTTGGGGCACCCTGCCGCGCTAAACCACCCAAGGTGGCCATGTCTCAGCATACAATACCGTCCGAACCGGCTAACACGCTTGATGGATGAGGCAGCTCTTAGCCAAAGGCAAGAAGACAAGTGACCCAACATCTGGACACCACAAACTCTGCCAGTTGACAGCGCCAGTTGGGGGCTGGGCTCCTGACCTCCCGAGACTGACAGCATACTGCAAGTTAGCAGACTTGGCGATGTGCTGTCTATGGGTTCTTCCGTGGCATGGCGCAAGTCAATGTTCCGTGCGGCACATGTTTCTGCGGAGTTCGCAATTTCACAAGAACGTGACAAGGGGCGGCCCCCCTGCCTGTGACGAATTCTCGTCAGCATCCTCAACCACCCCCGGAGCTTCACTCTTGCAGAGAGACAGAGCCAGGCCGAGAATACTCCAATTCGGCGAGCAAAGTGCAACGACAAGTCTGAGGCAACGTCGATCATGTCAAAATGGCCACACCTCACATCCCGTTCGCCAACGTCGTGGGCGGGGAATCGTCCGGCCGCGAAACAAACTCGACCCTAGAAACGATGCAAATTGATGTGGACCTCAACCTACGGGCAGAGTGGAGCATAACCGTAAACGAAATGCAGAGTCCTGACGCCACGCGGTCGCCATTGGCCCGGAATCCTACCCTCATAGCAAACCACGGTTGAGATTTAATGTAACACTGCGACCACGGGATGCATCTGAACGTGAACCCGCAGTAGGCATGTTTCAATGCACTCTGTGCAATTTGAGCACATATCAAGCATGTGTGACGTTCGTCTCTAACTCAAGGAGCTGCTAATCATTTCAACATCCCATCAACCTGATCAAGCCCTCGCCGAAGGTTAAGTGAGTGTTTCTGCCTCCGAAGGATTTGCTTGCAATGATCCCAAGCATCTCAAGCTTGGAACATGAACGGCTCATAAACTTTGTGTACTCTGCAATCTGTAACATCAGGGAAGACGAGTCGGAAGCCACTGTAGGCTAACCGTAACAGCCCGGACCCCCCAGGTGTTAACCATTCTTAAATGGAGTCCAACGTGGAGCCACGGTCCTGATTGCGAACGACATAGATGTCAAATGTTGACTATTGTCCGCTCAGCATCGGTGCAAAAGCTCGAAACTAGATTTCTGTTAGTCGTAGAAAGGCAATTAGCTCCTCCAAGAAAGGGAGTGAATGGTTTCCCCCAAGGGCAACACTGAATTGAACTCCGCCCTGAGGAGGTTACGGCACGTACTGGGCCGTTGAGGATAAGCCGTCCTGGGTCACACCGGAGGAAGCACGGAAGAAGGCCTCTCAACCGACTGTGTGAGCACCCCGAAACGGTGGCTTGTCCTTGACTGCCCGTGTCCACTGTCTCTGCCGTCCCTCAAGGGTTTTGCCGCGGGCAACACAAGCCAACATCTAGAGAACACTCATATCCCTCCCTGCATAATCCCACATTCGTGCACAGAGGAGCACAGCATCATAGCAAGAATGACTAAGAGGATAGGTGTAACAAGGCCACACCACCACACCAATATTCGCGCCGAGCATTACTTTGTCCTAAAGCTCAAAAGTGCGCAGACATACTGTGGCCTTGCAGTCCTCCATGCGCTCTCTCAACCAAACCTGCGAAAAGTCATCAAGACAAGTATGAATCTCTTCCCACAAGTGTGTTCTCAAAGAGGTGAGCGTGTTCGATACTGTCATATTTTCCCGTATCAGTAGGTGAGGAGCTGGCGACATTTACTCGTCCAATTTTGAATAGCTGTATCGAGTGACAGGGCTTCAAGAAAGCGACTTGTATTAGTCCTGACCCCTAGATGCCCCACGATCATCGTGACTAGTGGCACTGCGGATGTTCCAATGGCGGACTACCATCCCAGACCCCTGGCGGAAAGTATTGGGCCTATGGTCGCAAGGGCTGCGAGTGACGTCATTCCATCAGCGCATGCATGGCTGAAGGGGTGTGAGAGAGTGCAGACACATAAAATCAAGGCACAACCCAGCAGTCTGGTGAAGGCACGAGAGACAAAGCTCGTGATTTACAAGAAATCAGCGCAAAGCCGTCTAAGGGGTCCCGAACGCAAATCAAGTCAAGCCAAACGGCGACTACCAGCGACTTGAACCAGGCAGCAGACGCCACGCCCACTCCTACGTAGCGCGCCATCTCACAAACTGCACGCAACGACCAGCAAGACCAGCCAAGATGGACCTTATAATGTCCCTGCCGATCCTGTCGTACTTTGCGGCACCGATGATGACCTCTTGGTCGACGTCGCTCAACCTGCTCTTCTTCTACATGACGTGGTCGACGCTGGTCCTGTCGCACGACCCAATCTATATTGAGATCATTGGGACGACGGCTATAAAAGTGGTGTTCTGGCTGCTGCCATCGCTCCTATTCCTCGCCTTCGACGCCCTCGTGCCCAGTCTTGCCGAGTCGATCAAGCACTACGGTCGTTCCTCGCTGCCGCGCCGTGACGCGGCATCACTCGCCCAGCAGGTCATTCTGGCCATCTTCAACGTGCTACTCTGCGGCGCCGTCGAGGCCGTCATATCGTTTGGCGCCTCGACATATCTCCACCGACCACTGTTCAAGTCGAGCACCACGCTGCCTTTGCCGTGGCAGATCATCAAGCACATCCTCACGCTGTACACGTTGCGCGAGCTGCTGACTTACTACATCCATCGCTTCGTGCTGCACTCGCCTCATGGGCGTGGCGGCGCCATCGCCAGGCTGCATGGCAGCTACGCGCACGCAAGCCGCGGCGGCGGTGCGCCGTACGCCCTGATGCTCTTCGCCGACCACCCGCTGCCGCTATTTCTCAACCGCCTCGTGCCGGTGTACCTGCCCGCGCTGGTCCTGCGGCCGCACCTGCTGACATACTTTGCCTTCACGCTGCTCACCACCATCGAGGAGACGGCCAGCATGTCCGGGTACAGCATCGTACCGGGGATCGTGCTGGGCGGGATCGCTCGCCGCACGGCGACGCACTACGCAAGCGGCGGGCAGGGCAACTACGGCGCCTGGGGCTTCCTGGACTGGGTCAGCGGGACCAGCGTCGGGAGAGACGTGATTGAGGACCTGCAGGACGAGGCCGACAAGCACCATGTGAGGGAACGGGGGAAGCGAGCTGCGATTGATGCTGGAAGTACGGTGCAAGATGGAATTGATGGGGTCCGCAAGACGAGGAAGGGTAGGAAGACTAGAGCTGCCTAGGGTAATTAACTGGGTTCCGAATTTCTGAAAAATGGTTAGAATGAATGCACACTGAAACACGACTTCGAGTTGATGCCTGTGTATGGCTCCAGATTTGGTCCAACGCGGAATCCGGGGACGTCTTGTCATCGTTTCTACGCGCGGCGCACGATACACTAAAGCAGACGTGCCGAGACATTGGCAATTGCTGTCTTGAAAGAAGGTTTAGGGGCACAATGACCCCCGTTGTGGGGATGATGCTGGGAATGCTCGTAGTCCCCCAGACAGAGATTCGTCTTGTTGCCAGCGGCAGGTGAGCAAATGTCATTTCCCGCTGCAAGCGAAACATGAGCACGGCAACAACGGTCGGTTGACTGTTGGGTGAAGCGCCATCAGAGGTGCGGGCGCTTAGTAAACCCAAGGGCACGCCGCAAAGCAGCAGTTCGTTCCAGGGCTCAGATGCAGTTGGCGTGTCGATCCATGCGCAAGTCGGAAGTTGAGTGCGCGTGGGGCGGGGATCTGTGAGGCGGTGCACGGAGCGCGAGGGCGAGGGCGAGAGGTGCTGGACAACTCGAGCGTCAGGCAGGACAGTCGGTCTGCTTTTTTCCTTCGTCCTCCTTCTCCAACAGCCGTTTGGCATTGTGTCACCAGCATCTCGTGCGCTCTGCAAGCATTGCCGCATCACGACCTGTCAGGCACGCGCCCGCGCGAACAGATTGCCGTTGCTACACACTTTTCCGTTCCACGCCAAGCTGCGTCCCACGTCATCGTGATCCAGACGGCCCAAGTGCTCCGGCCTAACTCGGTCGTGGTCCCCTAACGCAGTGGCTCCAACTGCCCAGTGCGCCAGTCACACGCCTGCGCCTGGAGATAAGCCCGCTTGTCGTCATCATCCACACAAGCAGAGCATCGACTCCTCGCGGCCCGCCAACTCTCCATCGCACTGTCCCAGGCAGCCAGCCTGCCGCATTCTCCATCAATATCGCGGGACTCGCCGTGGGCATCGAGATACTTCTCCCGGCGCAAGGGTCTCCCCCGGGCCGCTGCATCCCTTGTCCTTCTAGATTGTCCCGGCGCCTTCTATACTCCTCACGCCGTCCCCAAACATGTCGTGGGAGCTCACTCGACGACGCCTCACCCGGGCTGTCAACAGCAAGTTCATCTATGACCGCGTGGTATGTTCCCTTTCATTTCTGCTCCGCCCCAAGTCTCGATCAGTGCCCGACTTCTACTGAGCACCTGCCGCTCCTTCCGTCATTGCTCCAACATTCGACGGCTAGTGCATGTGAGAACACTCTTACATCGGCAGGCCAGATTCTGCGCACGACGAGCACTGCGCATAATAGTCCTTGATGCCAATGAGCAGCTGTTCTAAATCTCTTACTCACAGCCACTCCTCCATGCGATAATCTTCCTGACCGAAATGGCCATCATAGCGCGGCTCGTCTCGCGCTTCAACAGCTACTATGACCAACGACCGGGTATGTCGTCATCTCTCTCGTCTCCCAGTAACACCCACCGCTGACCAGGGTACATTTTGATAGTTCTCACAATGATGGTGACCAATGCCGTTCTCGGTGGTGTCGCCGATACTGTTGCACAAACCATCACATCCGTTCGCCAGCGCGCTGTGCGAAAGCCAGGTGGTCCGGGCAAGAACGACACATTCGCTATTGAGATCCACGAGCTCGACCGCAAAAACCCAATGAGCGACCATGATCTGGTCCCAAACTCGAAGGCTCTACCGCCACCCTTTGACTTTGAGCGACTGACGAGGTTCGCGGCCTATGGTTTCTGCATGGCGCCCCTTCAGTTCAAGTGGTTCAGTTTCCTGTCCCGAGCTTTCCCCGTTTCCAAGGATTCTGCACTCGGCCCGGCAATGAAGAGAGTCATATTCGACCAGCTCGTGTTCGCGCCGTTTGGTCTTGCAGTCTTCTTCACCGTCATGACCGTGGCTGAGGGTGGTGGCAAGCGAGCTGTCACCAACAAGCTTCGGGACATGTATGTGCCTACTCTCAAGGCCAATTACTTGGTGTGGCCCGCCGTGCAGATCATCAACTTCCGTTTGATGCCCGTGCAATTTCAGTTGGTAGGCTCAATCCCTTTCCCGACTTCCCATCTTTGTACACGCATGCTGACTGTTTCCCCACAGCCATTCGTGTCTACTGTCGGTATCGCGTGGACGGCGTACTTGTCGCTCACCAACTCGTCCGAGGAGGCGGATCAGAAGGTTCATGAGCCCAACTCGAACATCCGCCTACAGTAAGAGATTTTTGTCCAAGAAGAGATGGGGTTTGGCACAGGTTCGAACTGTTTGCACATATATGAGCAGCGAGCTCTGGTTGTGGCTTGAAACAGCATCACAACACGGGTCAGAAGCGACACGAAAGATCCGGCTGGCTGGCATCGTGGATTCCGGGTTATCGTCTTGAAAAGGAAAGGAGAGGCATTAGTGATGTGAGTCGGAACTGCGTTCATTTGATTATCATGGCGTCTGCATGTTCGTTTCGCAGGGTATGTCGCATAGCAAGAATATTCATATCAGCAAAGACCGGTCACATATGACCAGACCAACGGTGCATACTTGTTCGGATCCGAGCCCGAACTTGCCTTCCGAGGTCCACGATATTTCCCGGGCCTGAATCTTGACCCCATGGGGTTTCCCCTGTCGGAATAGCAAGAGAATAAGTCGGGCATCGGGCCGCGGCAAGCCACGAAAACAACCAGAACAGAAGGCTTCTTGATCTGATATGCTCCCGGCTTGGCAGGACTGCTCGTGCCAGCGAGCCTGGTGTAATCCTGCAGCGGCTGTGTAGTCATTCGCAGGCGACAGTCCATCATGATTACGGACACCACGTTCTCTTGGAGCAGAAATGTCTCGCATGGTCCAGATTGTTGAGAGAGAGGCTGGGCGGACCGATTAGCGGGTCCGACGTCACAGCTCGGCGGCCGGCGGGCAGGGAGCTGCGTGGGAGGGGCTCCTGCACCACAGCTCACCAAAGACCCGTCTGGCCCCACCATGCCGCCGTGAATGTTTTGGCTGCCCCTCCACAATGAGCTAGCCCAGCTCCAGCTGCGGCCGCGCTCAACCGAACTTGCTTCTCATTGACCTGCGTGCTTTTCGTGTTGTCGAATCGTCCGATTGCAAGTTCAGATCACAGTCAATCACCTCATAAACGTCAGTAGAAACGCATCTCGGACTGCCTGTGCTTTCGTTGCTACGCATTGTCAGGAACAAGAGTGGCTAACAACACCCCCCACCGATCAGCCAGACACAGCAACCATGTCGCTCTCCAACAAGCTCTCCATCACCGACGTTGACGTCCAGGACAAGCGTGTCCTGATCAGAGTATGTACTACAGACGCTATAAGAGAAATTCCCAACACTTCCACGATGGCTCGACAGCCACAGGCCAAGCTTGCCATGGTTTCTGCGAGTTCGCTCAGCATTGAACCCAGACGACTAACTCAGATATGTGATCCTTCCAGGTCGACTTCAACGTCCCGCTCGACGGCGACAAGAACATCACCAACAATCAGCGTATTGTCGGTGCCCTGCCCACCATCAAGCACGCCATTGACAATGGCGCCAAGGCCGTCATCCTCATGTCCCACCTCGGCCGCCCCGATGGCAAGCCCAACCCCAAGTACAGCCTGAAGCCCGTCGTTGCCGAGCTTGAGAAGCTCCTGGGCAAGAGCGTCGAATTCGCCCCCGACTGCGTCGGCCCCGAGGTCGAGGCTATCGTCAACAAGGCCAGCGGCGGCCAGGTCATCCTTCTCGAGAACCTGCGTTTCCACGCCGAGGAGGAGGGTTCCTCCAAGGACGCCGAGGGCAAGAAGGTCAAGGCCGACAAGGCCAAGGTCGAGGAGTTCCGCAAGGGCCTTACCGCTCTGGGTGATGTCTACGTCAGTAAGTGCTCGAAGACACCCTCTCTTACAGTTTCTAGTCATCAGTCTGTTGTTAACGCGGTGGCCACTTGAACAGACGACGCCTTCGGCACTGCCCACCGCGCTCACTCCTCCATGGTTGGTGTCGACCTTCCCCAGAAGGCTGCGGGTTTCCTCATGAAGAAGGAGCTCGACTACTTCGCTCAGGTCATCGAATCGCCCAAGCGCCCCTTCCTTGCCATCCTCGGTGGCGCCAAGGTGTCCGACAAGATCCAGCTCATCGACAACCTGCTCGACAAGGTCAACAGCCTCATCATCTGCGGTGGCATGGCCTTCACCTTCAAGAAGACCCTCGAGGGCGTCAGTATTGGCAACTCCCTCTTTGACGAGGCTGGCGCGCAGACTGTTGGCAAGCTCGTCGAGAAGGCCAAGGCCAAGGGCGTCAAGCTCACTCTGCCTGTCGACTATGTCATTGCCGACAAGTTCGCCGCCGACGCCAAGACCGGTACTGCCACTGACAAGGACGGCATTCCCGATGGCTGGATGGGCCTTGACTGCGGCCCGGAGTCGGCCAAGCTCTTCAAGGAGGCCATCGACGCCTCCGAGACCATCCTGTGGAACGGCCCCGCCGGTGTCTTCGAGTTCGAGGCTTTCGCCAAGGGCACTAAGGCCACACTCGATGCCTTCACCGCCGCCGTTGCCAAGGGCAAGACCGGCATCATCGGAGGTGGTGACACCGCCACTGTTGCGGCCAAGTACAACGCCGAGGACAAGTGCTCGCACGTCTCCACTGGCGGCGGTGCTTCTCTCGAGCTGCTTGAGGGTAAGGAGCTGCCTGGTGTCACCGCCCTGAGCTCGAAATAGGGACTACTTTCTGCGGGATCCGCCAAGGCGACGGCATCAAAACTGTGAACTGAGGATGCTGTGAATAAGGCGTCAAAGGAGCGCCAGGCACGCTGAGTACCATAGCCAGAGGAAAGCACAGCTAGAATGAACAATATCGATACCAAACACGAATTATGAAAGGTCGAGCCTTGACATGGTTGCAGAGTCCCCCATTTGTGTTGCCGTCGTTGCAATGGCGATGCTTTAGTTCAGAAACGTGCACTTTCACGTGTCCATCGTTGTCGTGATAGATTACCGTGCAACTAGAAGCTTGAGTCACACGACACAGTGCTAGATGCATGAGCACATGCCAAGCAATGTCTATTACTGACTTTAGTTGTCCAACCTCGGTCTGTCCTTTAACTTTGGTCTCATTCTATCGGATCGTGCCCATCCGTAAGCCGGGCTGTAATCGAAAAGATCAAACCCACACTACGCAGAGAGTACGCTTTGGCGGCACAGCACTGCTGCCCCCAGCAGATTCCGTACGCTAAAAGCGGAGGACGAGCATTCTGCCAGAAGCGTGACTTTACTCGTAGATGTCCTTGAAGTTGGGTTTGTGGTCCACGGAATGAGATTGCTCGATTCCTTCAACACGGCTCGTGTTGGATTCTTCTACCTCCGCTTGCTCGCCTCAACCTTCTTAAGCTCCTCCCTGTGATTGTTTCAAATATCAGCGCTCGCTCTCTACGCTGGGGCATGCGAATGGAAGTGCCGTTCTGGAACCACAGAGGTAGGCTTCTCTGCAGGCCCATGTGGTTCTGTGGGGAAGCACCCGGCCCCCATATGGCCAAAGTTGGGAGTTAATCCTTACCTCAGCTGCGCCGAGAAGTCGTCGGTCGTGTCGTCGTCGTCCCAGCTCTCCTCCCAAAGGTGGCCTGTTGTCGTGCCGGCGGCGTCGCCGGTCGCTGTGGCGGCGGCCTCGGTCTCCTCCGCGGGCCAGTCTGTTCAGAGAGAGGCAAAAGTCCTGTCAGCATAGGTTCGGGGTTTGTTTCTCTTGCCAGAAAACTGGACGGGTTGTGTTTGTGCCATATCTGCTCGTCGCGGCCCTGGCTACCGCATTCCCCGTCGTCGTCGATGTTGCGCGCCCGTGGCTCTCCATCTTGACAGCCCATTTGCAGTATCTGGCCCTGTGGCGGGACAGATCCACGGACGCAGCGAGCGGTTCGAGTCGCGGTTCGGCCAGGCGGTGACGAGAAGCTCAGACGCTCGGCTCTCTAGCGAGAACAGCATTTGTCGGCTTTGGGGGGAGAGCGCTGGGGGCAGCGCGCATCAAACGTACCCTCTACGGGGAAATCTTCAAACTCGTCGTCCTCCTCGAGCGGTGCGTTGGTCTTCTGCACGGGCTGCTCGGGCTTGGCCGAGGTGGCCTTGCTGTCGCTTGTGCCTTTGGGGGCTTCTGATGCCATGGCTGGTGGTGTATGTGGTAAGTGATTGTTGGGCGTCCGGACGTCGGATCAAGTGAACAGAGGGGACGAGTCGAGGTCGACCGGTGGATGCGAGGAACCGGCTGGTGTTTGCGGGTTGTCGGGGAGTCGGATGGTCACGACGATGTGATGCTTGCTGGATTAGCGAGTCGTGGATGAGCTGCTGGTGGTCAAGCAGCCCGAAGCAGTGGCGGCGGGCAGCAAGCAAGGCCAACGGGCATTGTGGGGCCGAAGCTGTGCAGAAGGCGGGATTTCATTGGGCGGGGGGTCCTCGCTGTCGGGGGCTTCGAGCGCCAGGCTCCAGGGCAGGTGCGACGCCGACAACTCACCTTGACTTGTGGCTTGGGTGACTTCCCTTTCACAAGAACTTAACATTGAAACCGTTCGGGGTCACGAGTTAGAGCACTCGCCATACTGAGCTGGGGAGCTGGAAGTCACGCTTTGTGTTTTTCTTCAATCTGCGTTGTTCTTCGATATATTTGGCCAGCTGCTTACGCTCTCTGTTGTTGGTTGTTTCACAGGAGCGAGGCGAGCGATGTTGGCCTCCAAGTCTCGCCAACGTTCATTCGGGAGACGACGGCCACAAACTACCATAAGGTGCTCAGCGTAATTGGTGAATCAGTCTCCTGGTCTCAATACTTTTGTCCTTCGATCACTCCTTGCAGCTGCTCGGCCCTGCCAATCGTCATCGCATCCACGAAACTGTCTATCCTGACAGCCTGAGTCTGCACTTATGTCAAACACAGTTCTGTGAAACATAGGGACGATACAAGAGCATGTCATGAGATGGAGGAAGTAGGATGGCTCCAGAAACTACTGGGCTTTAATTAGCATCTTTATCTCGTTGTGATGGTCGTATCTGGGTGAGACAAGCGTATTTGCGGGCCAATAAGAAACCACTTTGGCTAGCATCTCAGCACCAAAAAGGACTTCCCAGGGGGAGCCGCGTCATGCACGACTTCGTTCCGTGATATCTGGTTTGGGACCTCGATCAGTCCGCTGGCTAAGTCCAGGGTGAACGAGCACTCGTGGAGGGGCAGCCCGGAGATAAGCCTCTCAGGCACCACCGATAAGCTTGGCCCCGGGACGGAGCTGAACGCCCGTACGTAGCCAGTGCGACGTTGCAAGACGTCATCCTGAGGTCCCTGGCGCTGGCGATCTTCGTCAATATGCCGCAGCGCTGGGGCGGCTCATTCACTCCGATCAGACCGAATTGGTGAGCGACCTCAACGACTACAAGAACTGCACAGGCAGAACACGGCATTCTGAAAGGGAGACAGCAAAGCCAAGCATTGCATCCCGCCAACTCTCCCGTTTGGCAATCTGCATCCAGGTTCGACAGGCAGCTTTTTAGGGTCCCTGTAAGCAGGGTTTGGCGCCCCGCGGCTGACCGTTTAGCAGCCTCCCAGCAGTCCCAACCATCGCGCCACAACATCAGCACCACTCCAGGGCTCGGCCGGCCTGTCCGATGCTGACGAGGCCCCGGATCCGCACGGAGACGCATGGGCCAAGGCCTGCCAGCTCACTCTGCTCACCCATTGACGTCGTCGCTGCGGAGTCTTCTTCGTTTGCTTCAACACTTCTCTGTTACCATTTACCATAATCTCCCCTGGTCCAGGATAACTAGCCGGTCGACGTAGACCGGCCGATTTTCTGCAGACATGAGCCGCCTGCTGGGATGGGCGCGCGGCGCCACGCCCAAGCACAGCTCACAAGCGACCCCGGCACAGTCCCAGGAGGACCTCCTCGCCCAGCAGATCGCCGTCATCGAGGATGCCATGTCCCATGCCGCCATGATCATGAACGACGACATTGACGGCGCAGAGGAGCAGCTCCGCAAGGGCAATTCGACCTTCCACTCGCTTGGCATGGGCGTCTGCATCTTCATGCGCAGCGTGCTGGGTTTCGAGAAGGGTGTCATGCTCGAGGCCAGCAACCGTCTCTACGACACTGAGAATGCCGCCTGGGAGGAGATGAAGAAGGCCCAGAAGGAGGCCGGCACGCAAACGACGTTGCCTGGCAAGATCTATCCGCCTGGCAGCGAGCATGCTCTGGTTCTGGCCGAGGCACAGCTCATGTCCGCAATCGTGGCTGTTCTGCACGAGAGCTTGACAGAGGGCATCAAGGGATTCTACAAGTTACGCAAGGCATACATCACCCTTGACGGCATCATGGAATCGGAGAGTGCCTACCTGAAGCAGCAAGGCATCAAGTTGGAGAATGGAAAGGATATCATGCTCAACATGGCGGCACCACCGAAATCTGTCGATGACGACGAAGATCTTGAATTCACTGATGCGGCTGAGTCTGGTATTCCGACGCCGGAAGAATATGAAGGACATCTCGCAAGGGAAGTTGACGAGTCGGCGCAGAAGCTGAAACAGCTTTCTGTCGAGGAGAAGAACACGAGCAAGGTCCCGGGCACGCCTGAGACAGCTGCCGACGTTTTCACCAACCCCATCGACGCATTTGTCCACAGCGGCGCAAACATGTGCTTTGGCATCTTGCTGCTCATAATATCCATGGTCCCGCCGGCTTTCTCTCGGCTATTATCAATCATTGGCTTCAGGGGTGATCGCGAACGTGGCGTGCAGATGCTCTGGCAAAGCACCAGGTTCGATAACATCAATGGTGCGGTGGCCGGTCTTATGATATTAGCATACTACAACGGTCTGCTTGGCTTCTCAGACATCTTGCCGTCAGACGAAGACGTCGAGAACGGCGCGGTCATGGGCTACCCGAAAACCAGATGCGCTGCACTTCTTGCCCAAATGCGGTCACGCTATCCTGAGAGTGGACTGTGGCGCCTCGAGGAAGCTCGAGTGCTTGCTGTGAAGAAGGAGCTGCACGAGGCTATCAAGATCCTGGAGAACAACAAGGCGTCGAAGATGCGACAAGTCACTGCCCTCAACTCTTTCGAGCTCTCTCTTGACGCCATGTACGTTCAGGATTTCACGCTGATGAGAGACAGCTTCCTTCGCTGTATAGAGCTCAACGACTGGAGCCACTCTCTGTACTATTACCTCGCTGGGGCCGCAGAGCTCGAGCTTTACCGAAATGCCTACCACTCTACAGCCGACAAGAACGAATCCGACATGAGGATGCACAAGAAGAAGGCTGAGGAGTTCTTCCGCAAGGCCCCTACAGTTGCCGGCAAGAAGCGTTTCATGTCGAAGCCCTTGCCGTTCGAGCAGTTCGTTCTCCGCAAAATTCAGAAGTGGGAGGACCGTGCCAAAGAACTCGGCATTGACTTTACCGATGCCGTTGGCGTCAGTCCCGTCTTTGAGATGACTTACCTCTGGAATGGTACCAAGAAGATGCAGCGTCCAGAACTGGACAAGGCAGAAGCCCTGCTCTCATGGCAACGGTTGACGGTGCCTGCCGAGGCTGCGGCCCAGATCCAAGCTGAAATCGACGAGGAGGCCCTGCACAATGTCTGCTTGGCTGCGGTGTACCGAAACCAGGAGAAGCTGGCCGAGGCGAAGGACATCCTTAAAGATGTCCTCGCCATCAACAAGTGCGTACAAGCACCCCCCCCCCCCAAATCGTTCCTAAAGCTCATACTGACTGTGTTGCAATTCAAGGGTCGATATTAAGGGTCCTACCAAGGACGATTACCCGCTTCCCGCGGCGCACTACGAGATGGCAGTCATCTCGTGGGTCGAGGTCCAGAACCCTCAGCTTTATATGTCGGAGGCGAGCGATGCAGAGGACGAGACGGCGTGGAAGCGGAAGAAGCTTGACGAGTGCCACACGTGGCTCGACACGGTGGGCAAGTGGGAAGGCTACGTGCTGGACGCGAGGTTTGGTATGCGCGTTAACACCGGGCAGGACACGCTGAACTGGTACAGACGGGAGCACCCGTGGGCGACGGCGACGCCATGATTGTATAAGACAAATGGTGCACTTGGCGATGTACACAAATCGGGACTTGGTCGGCAGACCACAGCTGAAAGCAATAGACGCAAACGGCGAGTTTGCCCGGGGATAATATCTATCCGAGTACGATCTTGAAAGTCGTGTTTTTGTAAGGCGATTTGTTCAGCAGCAACTGGGAGACCAAGAATACTGCACAGCTCGAGTTGACACTGCTGACATGTTGTATGACAATATGCCAAGTGGTGTAGTAGAAGATAAGCATCTGCATCGGTGACCCCAGCAGCTAATTCACGCTGCAAGCTAGTAAGAGTGAGACAAGATGTTGTTCTGGGATCACCAAGTCGTTGCCTGTGACCCCGTGCTCTCCCAAGGATTGTGCTATCCCCTCCACCAGATAGCGCATCTAACATCAGCTCGCAGGTCCTCGGGTTGTGTACTTCAACCACCAAGGCATTCTGCGGCGGGAAGCGCCCATCAACAATGTACACGTGCTCGCTAGCACTTTGTAATGGCCGCCACATATGACGTAAACTTAGCGCTGCGAGATGAGACGCCCTTTACAACTTTTCGTTGTCGGCTACAGGCTAACTGTGCGTTGGCTGCGCGTTGTTCCATGAGAGTAGAGGCTTCAAAAATGACTGCGCGCGAAGCTGTGAAATTGTGGACTTGGCGCGCGTCTTTTTGTCCCCAGCTACATCCTCAGCTAATGTCCCCAGCTAATGTCCCCAGATCCCCAGCTAATGTCCCCAGCTAATGTCCCCAGCTAATGTCCCCAGCTAATGTCCCCAGGTCCCCAGCTAATGTCCCCAGCTAAGGTCCCCAAGCTAGCGAACGGGTTTTCCTGCTGTCTGACAGGGATGGGGGCTGTGGCACACCAGCCGCTGCAGGTGCAAGGGAAGCAATGGACCGCGTGGCTGCTCGAATCAGAAAACCGAGGTTGGTTGGCTCAGCAGGGAGCGCGGACATCTGGAAGTGCCGTGCCAGCTCGCCCAGAAGAAGTGACCATGTAGGCAGGGGCAAGTTATTGTTAAAATCTTCAACCCTTGTCCAGTATCCTGGCGAGAAGTTTTGTCTTGGAGCGCCAGAAGGCTGCAGTGACCAATGAATAAGGATATCTTAAGGTTCGACCGTTGCATCTGATGTACGGCATACCTGAATGTTTCGCGGACCTCCGATACGTACTGCTCTGTCTTCATATTCCTTGACCGACAACATAAAATGGGTGCACGCGAGGACCTCGGTCACTGCAGAGTTCTGGCGCTCCAGCACCTATACTAGCATTCATACATGCCAACACCGCTACTTCGACCCTCATGGCTGTGCCAGTGCAAGAAGCCAAAAACACGCATGGGCATCGATGGGGGCATCGATGGGGGTATCCATGTCCATGCGTGCATCGTTCCGGGCACACACACACGCGCGGGATTGGTGCATTACAAGGGGCGGGATTGATGCATTGCAGGGGGCGGGATTGGTGCATTGCAGGGGGCGGGCAGGCAGGCAGGCAGGCAGGCAGGACAGCCCGTACTCGCAAGTGGGCGCCTCAATCGCAAGGCACTCGGGCGAGCGACCAGGCTGCCCTGCCCTCAGCCCTCCACCCACCACCACCCATTCATTCCCACGCGCCATCCCTCTCCACATTCCACGGCCAGCATCATCCTCGCTAAAGGCATCCGCCACACCGATGGCCGTGCCCACACTTAATCACATCTTGACATGCTGTGTACGAAGCCATTGGGTACTCAAGATAAGCTGGTCAAATGATTTAAATTCATTGATGTCCGCAATAGTTCATTCATCTAGGACAGTGATATAGCCTGTCATAGATGTTATTCCTTCGTCTCGGGCACGTTGCTTTCCTGACACTACCAATCCAACCGCTGGAATCGTCATGAAGGGACTCCCTGTACCCGCCATTACCCTCTTCCTCACATTCGGTGCAGTTGCGACCATTACGTTGCTCTGTGCTTATTGGCTGTATGGCCACCAAACAAGTTTTCGAAGCTGTCGACAACCTTGCGGCATCCTGTCAACGCAAGACAGGAGGGTATACATTAAACTTCTCAAGCACGTTCACGCAGGATTCAAGAATGGTAACAGCTTTCCACGATTCACGTCAGTGGTCATGGCCGTGACCGATTTGGACACAGTCAGTTACGTCGCCCTGTCCTATACGTGGAAAAGGCATATCGCGATGCGCTCCACATCGCCCCTATGCCGGCAAATTCTACTCGACGGCTCCCTCTTGGCTGTCGAAGAGAACCTCTGGGACTTCCTCACGTCTGATCCCGGTGCGGAGGTCATGAAAAGCCACCAGCTTCTGTTCATTGACGCGATCTGCATCAACCAGTCCGTAAATTTGGAACGAGAAAGACAAATTCCCCTGATTCCCGTTGTCTACGAAAATGCGACCCGGATAGTCGTCTGGCTCGGTAAGGACGGTCGTGCTTGTCCTCACAACCCTGCTCGCTCAACGCAGATAGGCGCGACCAGTCTCAACGAATTAGATCCTTGCGTTCTACGCTTTGTTGCTCACAATCTCTATTGGACACGATTATTTGTGGTACCAGAACTTATTCTGGCTGGGAACGTTCTCATCTGTGTCAACGATGAAGTCGTCGAATGGGATGGCATGCAGGACATTGACGCCTTATCACAACTTCTGCGACAAAAGTGCCCCACCCCGAACGCATACCAGCCCATGATCAAGATACTCGAATTCAAGAGAGCCTGGGACCAGACACGTCACTGCTTCAACTCTACTCGTACGAAACACGCCCAAGGCTTTCTTCTCTTCGACGCTCTACAGATAGCGGCGCAGCTCCACTGCAAGTACCCAAGAGACCGCATCAACGCAATGCTCCCCCTTACACGGAATTGTCCCATCCGCGCGGACTACGGGCACATCCGCACAAACTTCAACTTGTGCAAGGATGTCTTGCAGTATGGGATGAAGGAGCTATACGAGGAAGGACGATCTGAGGAGCAAATGCGCGATGCGGCGGCGTTTCTCGTCGGTTTTTGCCAGCCCTTGCTAAGTGGGCATGACCAGGTGCGGGCGGCGCAGCTTGTTCGGCAGACGCTCAATTCGCTTTATGCGTAGGCGTCAAGAGGATCTGATTGATGAAAAGTTGGGTGGGATTGCTGGCCGTCAGTTGTGTGCGAGGCTTTCGAGAAGGGTGGGGGTTCTCTTTATGAAGGGCATGGCGGATGTACCAGCTCGTACATCGTCCCGCTGGGAGTTTGGTAAACCCCGTCTCCACTGTCGCAAAGAAGTTTTCGGCAAGGCTAGATGTTGGGGCAAAGTGTGTAAGACAGCTCGAGAGCAGTGATGAGCATAAATATGTGATGGAATGTAGGAAAGTTTTGGCCGCCAAATAATGATTAGACACCGTAAAATGAGCTTGATGATGCTATGACACGATGCCCGAAGCTCAGAGCCAGTATGGACGCTCCGTTGGCCGGTCTCGACGCGTGAGACTGTGGGCTGAGGCAAGTGAAGTAGAGGAGGTAGACAGTTTCCGTGACTGAGCGATGCCGTCACGCCAAGACTGCAGCAGCGCGGGAGCTCAAGCTCGCATACAGTCAGTAGTGCAGCGAGCTCATATCATGCACCCAGGTGGGTGTCCGCACTTACACGAAGCTCTGGCACATGCTGCCCCACATTGGCAAACCACAAGGAGCTGCCGACCCTTAAAGAGTTGGCTTTGAGTCTCAAAAGGAGTCCCGCTCGCGCCCGCCGGAAAGTGGATCCGCTTCCCGCACGTCAGAAGGCCCAGAAGCAAGCCATCTACCGCCGGATCGGGTAATGCGGCGGTCCCCTCTTCTTCCGTCTCGCCCGGCAGCCCGCCGCCCGAGGAGGTTCTAGGTCTGCAGGTACCAGAAAGTCTGGGGCCGACTAAGGTTGGCAGATGACGAGAACCTAATCTCGTGAGGTCAGCATGACTGCACAGAGAAACAGCAGCAAGCACCCGGAACAGGCCTAGCCACGATGTCAAACGAGCTCAAGGCTGGCCGCTCCGGCTTCTCGCCAAGGCACTATCCGTGTCTTTGGGTTCTGGGTGAGTTGCCCTCCCGGTTTCCCGGCTCCTCATTCGCCACCCACCCTCTCTTCCTTCCAAGATCCTTTGTGATCTCATTCCGCTAGTGGGTCCACACCGAAGAGAAGTAAAGACAGCGACGAGGGTGCCTTTTGAGTTGAACCCTGGACGAGGCTGTACAGGCTGTCATGAGCAAGCTTTCAGTCTGAAAGACTAACCGGGAAAGATCATGTCTCGCTTCGGCGAAATTGAAGGTCGGGAAATTCCACGGAGAGATCGAGAGCTAATGTACCATGATTCCATGATCGGCTGAAAATGGGGCGTGCGAAAAGGGAGGGTCTAGGTAGGCCGAAGGAAGTGGTCTGGCCATGAAGCTCGTGACACGCTGTGGGAAGAGGCTTGGGCCTGGGGGGTTCTGGCTGGTGCCTCTGTGCTAGCCTCTCGTATGTCTAGAGCTCCTCGGCATGAGATATGGTATGGGGCTGGCCCTTTCGCTTGCCTCTTGTTCATTTTTTTCCGCTGAGACCCCTGGACGGCCTGACTTCACCTTGTTCAACCAAGCATCTCAGGAGCAATACAGCTTGTTCATTGTGAACAAACAAACCAACAATAGCAAGCTATCTTCCCGAGCAGGAACGTATTCGTCGTTCCTCATCAGACTGCCCAGCTCTCCTTTCACAGGAAGGCACAGAGGAACCAAGAAGATCTATTCTATACTTCTGCCTCACCAGAATATTCAGCTGTCCTTACAAGAAAGAGGAAGCAAACAACCCGCGGGATCTTTCAAACTGCCATCACCGGACCATCCAGCTTTCTCCATCAGAAGGAGAAGAGAATCACCAGCAAGACCTCTTCCATACTGCCCTCACCAACAAGCACAATGCGGTTCGACACCGCAACACTCGCCCTGACGGCACTGTCCCTCTTGACACCACCAGTCACCGGCGGCTTCATCCCCCGCCGCCGGGTGAACCCCATCGTAGAAGGGCAGATCCACGGCCGGCACAACTTTGCCGACGGGTCCCGCGGCGACGCCGCCGCGCGGGCGCTGCTCGAGCGCGCGACCCCGGAGCACGAGCGCCTCGCCCGTGTCCCCGGCGCGCACAAGCCGGGCCGCCGCATTGACCACGACTACACGGTGGACCAGAAGTCCCGGGCGAACCCGCTGATCGACTCGGACCCGACCTACGAGATCAGCTACCTGTCCAAGAGCGACGACGACGTCGTGTACGACGACGAGCAGCCCGGCGGGGACCTGCGCAGGCGCAACCCCTTCGAGGCGAGCTGCTTCGACGTCCCTACCTTCGCGCTCAACGGCATCCTGGGCATGTACCCGCCCGGGGAGAAGTGCACGCACGTGAGGGCCGGGGAGAGGACGGTGGCGATCACGTGCTACCACGCGGCTGATGGGGCGGATGACGATGATGGGTTTGGCATGATGAGTGCGGGAGGGAGGAGGGATAAGAGGTCCGCGGAGGAGATGCACGAGGAGAGGAAGCTGCAGTTCTTGTCGCTGTGCGATACGTCTACCCGGCCGGAACTGATGGTGAACTGAGTCTGCCCAGAACGGCGATGTGCTAAGGCGCTCATGCAGGACTGAGCGCCAGGAACAAGAACACGTAATATGAGGTTATGCTTCTATTTTCTTTTGCATTCTCGTTGAAATTCTTGTTAAAAGGATTTGTCTCAGCATTGTATCGTTTTGGTTGTCATTTCGGCGGAAGGGTTTTGAGCCTTGAAGCAATTTCGTTTTCTTGCCTGTATACTAAAACACTCACACCAAAATACGAAAACCTGCCCGGCCGAGTTTCACTTTGATCGTCCTCCGCAATGATACTCTTAGCCTTGTAAGTTATGACCACCGCCATCTTGACCAGAGGGTCGATTAATTCCATTGCCGTCCACAGACAGAGGCCATCGCGGGCCGCACACTTCTGCGAGTCCGACGCTCTCCACCGAACTGTATATGAAAACGCCAGTGAGTCCATGTCCACTGTGGAGAGGTTGCCTGAAAGATCTGGATGAAATGAACCACTTTACGATGCGTCGATATCAACCCTGGTTACGGACACAACTCACCCCCAGAGCTTCCCGTCAAGATGCACTATTAGAAGCCCAGAAGGGAACACTGTGGAGTGTTGAGTGGTAGGGGCTGAGAAAGTCTCTGAGCATATAAGTAAACCTGGGCGTGGCGCATCTGTTGTTGTTCGCTCCGCAGTGAGATTTTGCAGCTTTATGGTCGTGACGATTACCTGTCATCAACCTGCAAACCTTACCGTGGACGTCACGTCCTGCCAGAGATGATGTGGGATCGGCCAGAGGCGGCATCTGTTTTGAAGAGGCTTCTAGATGAGACTTCACTAAGCAACCGACAAACAAATAGCGGTAATGGACACATTGCGCCTTCATGAATCCAGGTCAGCGGCAAGTTACAAGTACGCGTGTGCGACCACATATCTGGAGAACGTGGCTACGAGTAAGCATAAGACGTTGGGAAGTCCTGAGCCTTGACAGCTGTATGCATGCGAGGTCCTTCTCCAGAGCCGCAGGAGCTTGCAGTGTCAGGGCCGCGCAAAATGCCAGACATGCGATTGACGGAGAGTCTTCTGCCGTCGAGATTGCAGCAAGCAATGCACGTGGTGCCTGCAGCGAAGCACATCGAATCGATCCGTCAGGGCGATCCGTCAGGCCACGTGCGACAACCACACCACCAACCACGGGAGGGCGAAGTCAACAACATAGGAAATCAACGATCACAGGCACGATGCCCGACGAGCCCAAGTAAAATTATCCATGCCAGGCTGGCAATGACGCAGCTTGTCGTACACGAACGGCACTCGCCAGGGAGACAGGACGGCGACGTTAAAGTGGTTTCACATTGCCAGCGCTGGCGGCCTGTCAGCACACATGCTAAGGGACAAATCATCGAGCTAGGGCACACAGTCATCGTCCTACGGCAACGGATTGGCTGACAACAGCGCTGCCGAAAGTCACCTTCCGATTCCTCTGGTCGGCACTCCTGGCCATAGCGGCCGCTTTTAATGGTCGCTGTAGCATGCCGCGTGCCGTGTGGTGTGCCTCGCCCAAAAGCACAAGACCCAGAAGCATGAGCTGCCCGATTGGGCCTTTGTGGAACACAGGGCCGAGAGCAGCAGCCACACGCCGGTCTGGGCTGGACGAGTGGTCAGTCAGGATGATTGCGACAGGGCGACGCGACGGGGCGAGGTCAGCCGAAGGACGCACGGGCAACAGGCTGCTCCCTCCGGGGCGGCGAGGGCCAGGATTACTGTGTGCAGACTACAGAATGTCGCGATTGCTGATGCCCGACAGAAAACACATCGTCAGGGTGGGCGACAAGACGGCCTGACCGTGGGCGCACTGGCCATGAGAGAGCACTCGCAGGTAATCTTGTGGTACGGGCGAGTGCCTGGGCGTCGAAACCTGATTGATTGTGCGCCTGGCTGAGCTGACGCGCCGCATTCAGCTGTGGTCATGACGAGCAGGAATGGGGCCTACATGTACGGCTTGAGGCGGGTGCTGGAGCGCCCAGTGGGGCCTGTGGATCGACGCCAGGCGGGCCTCATCGTCTCGTCTTCGGCCGGGGAGGAAAAAAGCCTGAGAGGGGAAGAAAAAAAAAGGAGCAGAGGATGGAGAAATCGTGGGGATGGGACGATGTGGGTTGGGAGATGTCCCACCAGAGGACAGGACAGTGCTATGGTAGATTCCGGGTGCCTGATCGTCGAGGCTGTAATAGTCATCCGGGCAGGACAGCAAGTTGCCATGACCATTACATTGCATTGCATTGTCCGGGCTGGTGGATGGATGGCTGGCTCCTTCCCTGGCCGCCTGCCCCTTGTTTTGGCTTGTGACGGGGGCCTGGCGGTGCCGTGCCGTGCAGAAACCCATTTTTAGCGAGAAAACCAAGCAAGCCAAGCAGGGCGTCCGCCTTGGTTAAGAGCCGCCTTACTGCCGCCCGCGCGCCTCTTGCCTAAGCACTCCTCCGTCCCCAACACCACCATTTTGGTGAAATTTTCTGCTCACGACAACCACACACCCGCAACGACACCACCCGCAGCCGCCAATGCCTCAGAACCAGCACAACGACCGTTTCCTTTGCCCCCTTCTCCTCCGCAGCCAAATGCTTGTCAACGCCCAGCCCTTCGTCAGAGATTACCTTGCCACCATCCGCACCGACGCCGAGCGACGTCGCGGCACCCGCGAGCCTTGAATCCCTACCGGCTGATCCAGAGTCTGCCGCGCACAAGTAGCCGGCTCGACGCTCTGCGCGAGCCCTTATACAACTGAAGTCGCATATAATACAAACAAACAAACAAACCAAACCACCCTCGCTCGGCCGAGTGGTGGCCAACCCCGACAAGGCATCGCACGATAGCACCACAATGCTGCCACCCGCCGCCCCCGCCCTCACCACTGTCCGTGGCTTCGTCCCCACGCCAATTGCCTCTGGCGACGAGGACAGCGACTACTGTGCGACGCCTCCGCTCAGGGCCGCCAAGCCGAGCAAGCGCGGTCGCAAACCTCCCTGCATCGACGATGTCGTCAGTGCAAACTGCAGTCCGGTGCTGCGCGGCATCAACTCGCCCGGTGTCAGTGGCATCGCCAAGCTGCGCAGCCAGCTGGAGCCTCTCAGCCTCATGACAGACTCTTCTCGCGCCAGCACCATGACGCGCAGCGACAGCCGCCAGCGGGTCATGAGCAGCATGAGCCGTTCCGACAGTCACACGGGCCGTAGCGACGACGAGATATCCGAGGTCGGCTCCACGAGCTACGAGGTCCGGCTCGAGCATGACTTTGTCAGTGAAAGCGTGCGCGAAAAGTCCTACATGGGTCCCATCGAAGGAGGCGTAGTCACCCGAAAGGTGCAAGCCGGAGATTTCGAGCCACTGCGTTGTCTTGGCAAGGGGACTTACGGCACGGTGCTTCTGGTCAAGCAGCGCTCCACGGGCAGGCTGTATGCGCAGAAGCAGTTCAAAAAGGCATCGGTCGTGGTACACAAGAAGCTGGTCGAGCAGACCAAGACCGAGCGACAGATCTTGGAGTCAGTCAACCGACACCCTTTCGTGGTGAAGCTCTTCTACGCCTTCCAGGACCACGAGAAGCTCTATCTCATACTCGAGTACGGCCAGGGCGGCGAGCTCTTCACCCACTTGAACACCGAAAAGATGTTCCCCGAGCCGGTCGCGGCCTTCTACATGGCTGAGATGGTTCTGGCCCTGGCGCATCTTCACGACACGTTGGGAGTTGTCTATCGTGACCTGAAGCCCGAGAACTGCCTGCTTGATGCACAGGGGCATCTTTTGCTGACAGACTTTGGTCTCTCGAAAGTTGCCGTCGAAGATGACTCGAGCTGCAAGTCTATCCTCGGTACCGTGGAGTATATGGCTCCTGAGGTCATCCTAGGACAGAAGTACGGCAAGGCTGTCGATTGGTGGTCGTTTGGCGCTCTTGGGTACGACCTTATGACTGGCAACCCGCCGTTCCGTGGTGGCAACCACGCCAAGATTCAGCAGAACATCGTCAAGCAGAAGCTCGTGCTTCCGTATTTCCTGAGCCCCGACGCCAAGGATCTGCTGACTCGCCTGCTGCGCAAGGAGTCCGCCAAGCGCTTGGGCAGCAATATGCCCAAGGATCTGCAGAATATCAAGAAGCACCGGTTCTTCCGGAAAATCGACTGGAAGAAGTTGGAAGCTCGAGAGGTTGAGCCACCGATACAGCCGATGATTACGGATCCGGAGCTGGCCGAGAACTTTGCTCCAGAGTTTACCGAGCTGTCAGTCAGCCCGGTGGTCGCTACCAAGGACCCTTGGAGCGCACTGAGCCCGTCCTACAAGGAGGGTGTCAAGGACGACCCCTTCGGAGGGTTCAGCTATGTTGCGTCCAGCAGTCTTTTGGAGAACAGCGCCTTCACCATGTATGCCGAGGCATGAGAGATGACAACACTTGCACGGCGGTCACGCGTTGGCGTGAACCTCAGCGATTCGCATTGGATTTTACAAAGCGTGTTTCATGAATATGCATGAGCGAGAGCACATCGGGCACAAGGAAGCACCATGTGCCCGGAAAAGCAAACATACAATTCACATCAAGCATTCATGCATCAATACAATATGCACAGCTCTATTACATCACGAAGGGATAGATTATGAATGGGAACGAGGGAGGAGGGGAAATATCTATAAAAGTTTGGTTCATCGGCAATGCGCGCTTCCTTTAGCAGGCGATGGCTTTCATAATGGTTGGTTCAGCTGTACAAAGAGTCTTGTTTTGTTTTTAATTTCTTACTGGCGTTATTTGTATCAATGATAGAATCATTTCTATTCTCATGAATACATTGCTGCCTGAGCCCTGAGTATTTGACTTGTTCCCCTTGCGCAGTTTAGGTCTTTGTGTTTGTCATGCTTCCGTTGTCTTCGGGATACACCAAGCCCTCAAGTCATGGTGATCAATGGCCCCGTGCCCACGATGAACAGATGTGTTTCGTACTAGTATGGGCGCGTCGTAACTGATTGTCGAAAAGTCAAGTCTAGATGTAAAGGTTACGTCGTGGCCAGTGGATATCTGTGGCATTGTTGCAGGCGCCTGGTTTACAATTTACGCAGTGGGAAGCAGAAAACGGCAGTAGACCAGGCGGTATTGGGCACTCCTACATAAGTCATGGTGTAAGAGTTGCACACGCGGATGAGAAGTCAAGTAACATGACATCAAGGTTTCTTTTTTTTTTTTTTTTTTCGCCCCTTATCTAAACAACTACAAGGCCCTGGCAGTTCTACGTTGACAGGAATGGAAACCCTTGCAAGCTCTTTGTATACCCAAGAAGAAGGCCCGACCGAATCGTACACTCGGAAGACAAAAGTACAGGAAGGACGAGAGTTGTACACCCCTTCACCCAAACACACCCACAAACCCACGCACTAAAAGAAAAAAACCACTAAGCAATCGCCAGCATCTGTCAAAACTCACCGGCCGCCATAAGACCCGGCCGGCGAAACGTGGGACGTCTGCTCCTTGCTGCGGATCTGCTCGCCACTCGCGCCGCTGCCCGAAGACAAACCCGCCCTTCTGCGCTTCCGCAAGACGCCGAAGCCCTTGGCGGCCACGTAGGCGACGAACATGACGGCCGCGACGACCGAGTAGGCAATGACAAACGCGTCGTCCGAGCCGGCGAGCTGGAGGCCCAGGCCGCCATTGACGACGCCGAGGACCATGATGGCGCGGCCGTACCAGATGTGCGCGTGGCTGATGACGCCGCGCTGGAGGTGCTTCTTGTAGTACGCGTGGTGGGCGAAGCCGAGGAAGGGCTGGATGCCGAAGAGGGCGACGATGACTGTGCCGAAGATGGTGTGTGTAGCGCCGAAACCCTGAGAGAAAAGAAGAAGAGGAAGATGGGTTAGCTACTCGCACTAAGTCCGAGGCGGGAGAAAGCGGGAAATGAGAGGGAGACCCAGGGAAAACTTACCACTGTGCTGCGCGAGGCAACGTAGCCAATGCCAAAGCCCGCCCACATGAGCAGGAAGGCGACGACTTGGACGCCGCCATGGACGATCCAGCTGCCGACTAGCGGCATGAGCAGCGAGCCGAGCGGGTAAAGAACTACCATGACCACGGTCATGATGATTCCGTGGATCATGATGAGACGGGTCGTGCTCGTCCCGCTGGAAATCTGGGTGACTCCGTTGCCGCTGCCGCTGCCACTGCCACTACCACTGCCGGAGCCGGAGGAGGTCACGTATGGGTTGGCGTTGTTGGCAATGGTCGCCCGGGTCAGGTCAAACTGCCAGGCAGCGTGCGAGTCGTGCTGGCCGATGCTGGCCGAGGTGCTGGCGCCGTTGCTCGGGGCTTGTCCGACGAGGTAGGCGCCAATGTAGTCTGCGGTGGTGCTCGAGAGGCTCATCTGGCCGCCGCCCCAGCGCTGGCAGTTGGAGCAGACAAAGTTGGCCACCATAGTCTTGCCGTCGCTGGAGACGCCGCTGCCGGCGAGGAGCTGGATCTGGACGCTGCTGTCTGCCTGTGGCATGATATGGCCCCGCCCAGCACGCGCCGAGACGGTCACATTGCCACGGCCGTTGGCGTACATGACGAAGATGTTGGCACCGGCCATCTGGTCGCCCTGGCCGATGGCGACCCACGAGTACCGTGTCGAGGCCCGCATCTGGTAGTAGATATTTCCTTGACCTGAAGAGGCCGACGCAGTGGGAACACCGACTTGGAAGCAGACGTCATTTTCTATACAGTTTGAGAGAGGGTCTGCCGTAACAAGCGTGCTGAACGATGCAGCGGCGGCTAAGGAGGATTATTCATTAGTATTGAATACAGAGTACAGCCAAGCTCAAGTTGCACCACCAACTGAAACCGACAAGGATCAATCGTTCCCGAAGACTTACACAGTGCCGTCGTGGCAAGCTTCCACATTATGGCGGTGTTGGTTGACGGGAAAGGGTGTCGGCCAAATAGAAGGGTAAGTGGTTGCAAAAGGTGCCTGGCTCGTGAGCGCTTCAAGGAAAGCGTTGACCTATGGATATATGACCGTGGAAAAACCGATGACCCCTGGATCCGGAATGGAATCTCCCCCCAAGACCTTTGTCTCGAATGTAATGGCTTTGTCACGCGGAGAGCTCCAGGTGCCACGCGTCTATAAGACCTCAGGAATTGAAGGTCTCAGTTGCGACTACTTGGAGATGTCTCTCTTTCTTGTGTACGTGACACTGCGCCGGAGCCGCTCTACCGTCTGGATTATGGATTCGAGACAATAGGCTGCACTATGTAAAAGCGACGCCGAGAGATATGCTTAGTGCCGAGGTGATTGACAGAGAGTCTTTGCACTAGGGTTCACTGGCGAGAACCCAAATTGTGTCCTGATGGGGTGGCAGGAGGACGATCGTCGTTGACGTCCTTTAGCACTGATGGTGCTTCGGCCTGAGGGTGTCGTGCTAACGACTTGAAGCGGATGTATGATGCGTACTGAAGGGCGGTAATATGGCTATATTTGTTGTAGCAGCGGGCGAGAGATACGAGGATGACAAGTCGAGCGTGCGGGTGCCGTTGGGAAGCTGGGGGCGCCGCTTTTGTAAAGAATGAGATGAGCCGAGCTTACTGCTTGGCCAGGGGCCCAGCGGGGAAGAGAAGTCGCAAGCAAGCTGGGAGCACCCTCGCAAACTTAGACTTACAGATGGTTGAGGCGCCAGCTGGAGGGCGCGCGTGGGATGGCGGCAGGGGTGGCGTCGTGCTAGGGGCAATCCTTCACTGGGCGGGCATGCGAGCGTGGCCACCGGCTGGTCAGAGTTCCGTCCTTTCGTGCTGGGTGGAACTAGTTATTCTTGAAGCGGAAAGCGAGACAAAGTCAGACGAGGCTTAGCAAGGACGACGTGTTTGTTGACTTTTCTGCAGAAGCTCACTTACTAGCGTCATGTGTGAGCATTCCTTCGTCCTCACGACGAAAGCCGTGGGCTGTCACCGACCTCAAATACCCTTTGCGGCAATGGGGTGCCCAGAACACCTGTGGCTGCCAAGCACTGCCGGCGCAGCGCTGCTGACGACGCCTGCGGGATACCACAAGGTACGTAGTCGAGTGCCCCTGGCATTGGATTCCTGTCGTCGCCGGTCTCTGCATGTCACGGCCCGCGGGCGCTGCCGGGCCCGGCGAGGCTGCGCATGCTACGTAACCACGACGTTTGGATGGAATACCCCCCCGGCAGGTGCCAAGATGGCCTCCACGTAAAGGTGAAACGCTGATAAGCGCTGCAGCGAAGGACACGCCAGGAAATGTGCACAGCCCGGACGCCCAGAAAGTATGCGCTGGGCTGGCTGGGATGCTCCTTGACGTGGACCTGGCCTGATCAGGCATTAGTAAACATCCTTGTTCCCTCAGCGATCATCCCCCCGGGGCAAGCCCCATAACCGTCCAGGACTCGATGGGATGCGAACGAGATCTGTGCTGAGAGGGTCCGGGGCGCCCACAAGGGTCTCCCAGTGCCGAAGCCAGCGCCCAGTGGTCTCCGTGGCAGACTGCAGCGCAACACGTGAGGCGAGACGCCCTGTTTAGTGGATGTCTTAGCATCATTTCACGGAGAATGTCCTCCAGTGCAGATGTGAGATACCCCTAGCAGAGAAGGACCGCGGGCGTGCTGGCTGCCAGCCATCGCGTAATGCATGGACAGCTAGCATGCAGGCGAGGAAATAAGGCTGGCGCTAGCTCTAGAAGCCACCCTTCCACCGAGGCGGGCCCCGGCTGGCCAGGGATACGATGGAGCAACCCGAGCTAATCAAAATAACGCGGTTCCTGGTTGGGTGTACAGTGGGGAGGGCCACTACCGGGCTCGCATTAGCGATCGGAGCGTCCCATCAACTCGAGGGTGGAGGCGGGCACTACCCGCATCTCAAAGTCCAGAATAGGGCAAAGTGTCACCCTGGGCTGTTCTGGCAATTGCGACCCAGTCTGCCGCGGGAGCAGTGGGCACAGTGTTCACGATCGCGGCAAACAAACAAGGACAAGGGGTAGTTCGTCCAGAGAGGAACGCCTCCTCGACGAGTCAGCATCTCAGTTGCCAAGTCGCACATCGAAGACGACGGTCTCCAGGCCGCGCTGCTCTGCGCATGTTGCAAAGATGGCCGCGTAATCGTCTGCATCTTGGCAGTTCTTGTATAACTGCCTTGTCAACTTGCCGGACCCCGGCCCCCTCATCAGTCCCTGTTGTCGTAGTGCTCACATCTGCGGCCCATATAAACCGACTCGTAGCCAAGACTCAGGGGACCAAGTTCATGATTGGACTCGCTGGAGTAGACGCGACAGCTCTTTCGTGGCCACATTGTCGAAAACAGAGATAGCTCCTCGAGCTTGTGTGAAGCAGTCAGACAGACATACGGCGGATTACTCAGGATGCGGTCCTAACCCCTCTTGAATGAGACGACGGCCAAGTTCTTGTTTGCAGAAAACAGACAGGATCGTCCCTCCCTACGAATCTAGATGGACGTGTCATGGCAGCTGCAGCTCTGTAGATCTGTGGTTTTGCTCGCCCAATGACATGCAACTGGGAAGCCTCATCGTGATAATGGCTTAGTTGCGAGTGCCACTGAGCTGTCACTGCTGTGATGAGTGATCGATGTTCCTGCGTCAGGACTTCATAATGCAAAGACTGGGTGCGCAGTAATTACAAAGGTGCTTGTACCTTGAAACTAGCGCTACACCAAGCTTGAGTACCTCATTGTCCCAATCTGGAAATCCCCAGGCCTCCGCCCACAAACCCACTCCCGCACACTACAAGCCCCGGCGAATCAGCGTGACCCGACTCGCATGCAAAAAGTACTGGAGGTACCTAGGATCAAGGTTGTCAACAATCGAAAGGCACAGGCCGCGCAGAAATCAAGCCGGGACGCACTAATGAGCCAATAATCACGATGCCAAATTCCATGCACTGCACAGGTCAACTGCCGTCTGCAGATCTCCAAAACCTTAGAGGCTCTCTGCCAGACCTCGATTCATGATTCACAGACCGTCAGCCGAAGGGGGCGCGAGCACACACATACGCGAAAGAGTTGCCATTGAGGCTGTGCAGAAAAAAGGACACGACAAAGGCTGACCTTAGCCCACGCCGAGACGTGCGTGGTTGGTGTTTTGTGGTTCCGGCCGTCGTCCACTACTGCACCACAGACGCACACCTCTGCAAGCCAACGGCCTTGGCACCACACATTTGCCAGCGCTTCTGAGGACTTATCTGATCCGACTTTAGGTCCTTTGGCGTTGCATATCGCTTTTCCCGTGTTAGTATCCTGCAGTGTCCGATTGACTTACCTTCCGACGTACGCGGCCGCTGGCACTGGCGGCTTGGCGCGGGCGGCAAGCTTTTGGATTTGGGCTTGGATGACGCTGGAATCGCAAATCATGGTCAATCATTATCAATCATCGTGAGCAGCCGGGTGTCAGCAAGCTAGTCAGAATGCTTCTGCCCGTCCTTGTTGATGCCTGGGGACTGAGACAGCGGACACGTTCATTGACAATGTGTGATTGGACAAAGTGTAATTTCTCTATTGTTCTTGCGTACCTAACAAGTTTGACGATCATCAACACGCCGAACCTTGTTCGCGCATTAGATGTGTGCACTGAAAGAAACAACGTATTCGCACATGGATGTCTCCGCGACACTTAATCTTCGCTTGCTTGAGCGCTTCATCATGTTGCAGCTGCGTATTCTTGGCTGTTGCCTGACTTTGTAGACTTTAGGTTCTGCAATCCTTCACTGAGGAGAGCATGACGCGCCCACAGCACAAGCATGCACGGCTCAGCCCATTTAGAGCTCCAGTACTCTGTATCAAGTAGAGATCTGCTAGATTTGTACTTCCGGCAAACAGTTGCTGCGTTGAGGGTATGGCCCTGCTACCATTTTCTCCCTGGTCAACACAGATAGCGTTGCTTGCGGAAGATGGGCAGAGCTCACTGGTTGGTTGTGTTTACACATCAACATATGAATCAAAGGGGCTTATCGGAGACGGCAAAAGCTCGACCATCACCAACCATACATTCTCCCTGGCGTCTCCCAGGCATGGCTAAACGCTTGGAACCGGATGCGATGCAGTTGGGCGACACAGGAGTAAAGAAGGCCTCAAAAATGCGTATGCCATGCCTCGCCCTCTGAGCTTCACCGGCGCACGTCTGGAGTGGGACAATGGTGTGCGGAACCGCCAGTCGCTCGTTGGGATGCCCTAGGCGGTTTTTTTGGTTTCGTTGCGTTCGCTATGCAGACTATGGGGAGCATTGCTAAGTTGCATAGAGAGCACACGGAGGCTATGGTCGCGAAAGCCAATGCGGAAAGAGTGACCACGGTACCCCGATAGATTTAATTTCTGGTAGTCCTGGTGTCTCTATCCTCCACGATATTGGAAAGGATCAATTGCTGAAATCGAAACGACAGCGTTGTAGCAGAGGAAAGGGTAGGCAAGAATGTCAAGGGCTTGGAGGCTGTCGAGTTGACCCATACCCAGTGGTCGCTCGACAAGACGCTTGCCACCGTCGTTCGACACGGTTTAGATTCGATCTTGACGCTGCTATATTTAGACCCGCTCAGAGTGGCTGCGTCGGAATGAACCATCTCTCTTTTGAGGACGACAGACTACGAGATGTTTGCGAATCAATGTAGAAGATTCTACTCTCCCCAATACTTTGCCTTCTATGAGGTCCATGGTAGACTATCGACAAGACTTTGTTGCTTCCAAGTAAATGCGATTAACCAGTTCTAATGCGCATTTTGCCATCAAAGAACGTAGCATGAGGTCAGAGCACACTTCCGATGTCCAGGTTGCCACGCGGAAGGCTGGCTTGTCGTGGATTGACTGTGGTCCGCCAAATGCAGAGGCTTGGGCGCCTGGTCCATCGAGCTGTGGTGCATGATTTTCTGGGCCTCGGTTCTCGACACACGACGTACTGCCGGCCCATGAGAACTGGACCGTACAGACAATAGAGTTCTGCCCCAAGATGATTTGATCATTCAAGTTCACTTTCCTTGTCTTGTTCGTCCCGTGATGGAAGAACTGTGACGCAAAGTCCGACACATGGCCAGAAACCGAGTACTCCGGGGTGCCTCACACCGATGCTGTGGCACTCCTCATACTGACAGACTGGTGTTCTAGGATAAGCCCATGCGCTCAGGATATGCTGGCAAATTTACCAAGATACCGTTAAAGCTGAAAAGTCGGCAATGTTCAAGTTCTGACCGCCTGGGATATGCGCTATCGCCTCATGGCCATCAGTGTAGAGTCTGATCCGGGGATTGACAGAGAAGTGCTCTCCGCGCTTGTGTGACTCAGCTTTACCGCATCGCCCCGCAGCGTTGCGAACAGTCTCTAATCTCATGATTCCGCGTTGTCTCCATCTGCCATGTATCTGCCTTTACCGATGCCGGCTTTGATGGGCCTTAACGCTTCGAGGTTCAAATTGATCGCTTCCTGGGCGGCGGTTCCACAAAACCGAGTTCCACTTTTTCGAGCACTCCCCCATCGCGGATTATCGCAGGGCTGCCTCAATGCCTCGTGACGTGTGTATGTTCTGTACCACCCACGAGGAATCACCTGGAGATTGGTGTTACAGAGCATGAGTTTTGTAGCGGGCGTACAGCGCACGAATCATGACATTCAGATCACTCTGCTATCAATTTGATTTCATGTCATGGGAATATGAGGGTTCATGACATAACCACGTTTTCACAGCTTTCCTCGTCGGACTTCCATTGTGCTATATACGCAGTCTGACCAGGCGAATCTGGTCGTAAAGACCACACGGCCCACCTCCCATGCGCGAATATACTATAGAACAATGACGATTACCTGTTGTGGACACGTGACTGCTTGATTTGAGAGCGCAGTATCCGTGCTGGTGTAAAACATTAAATACCAAAACCAGAACGACGAAAAATGCAGCGCCACGCCCCGAGCGAAGCTAATTCCCTTCCCACAACCAAGAGTGTGAACGGAGAACACATAGGTCTCCAGGTCATGTCACTGCCTGGAAAATTCCATTTCGCCTGACTGTGACATCGATCACTCTGATTTCTATGCCGCACCTCCGCCCAGAAGACAGCCAGCGATACTGACCGCTAGCGCCCTTTGCGTCGATCCGCCTCGGAATTCTTGAAGGGGAACCCGCTGGTCCGCTTGTCTGCCCCGGTCCGGCGACTGATGTGCCCGCTCGCCTTCCCGCCAAAGAGCGAGCACCACAGGCCCCAGGCACCGAGGAACGCGCTGACCACGCTGCCGATCAGGAAACCAGTCTGGTGGCCACTGTCAACAGCCGAGTAGCACGCCCAGCAGTAGAACGCGGTCGCCCCGTGGTAGAGCGTGGTGAGGAGCAAGACAGCCGAGGAGTACGGAGCCAGGGCGTCTGGCGTGGCTGTGCGGTTGTTGGTGTGTCAGTGAACAGGTCTTTGAAGGTGGCAACAGTGGGTGGCAGGATTCGACATGACACAGATTGCATACCATCAGTCGACGATCCAAGCGGCAGAGCGCCGGATAGAATGAAACTGACCAGCCCGAAAGCTGTGAGCGTGAGCCCTAGGCTCCGAGCAAAGTACACCTCGATTCCCGAGGAGGATGTCGGTCCAGGTGCTGCATATGAAGTGTCGACATTGAGTAGACCGATGACAGCGCGTGGCCAGAGCACGAGGGGAAGTGCTTGGGTAAGCTTCCATGCCGTGGAGGCGGCGCTGTACTTGGCGAGGACCTGTGCGTGTTCAGCTTCGTGTCAGCTCTCATACACCCCAGTCGTCCGAACCGTGCAGGACCCAAATTCTATGGGAGAGTACTCACGTCCATAACGAGATATCAAGCCGCTCTCTTTTGTGTAAAGCCCGAGCTGGTATACACTGATCTGATGTGTGGAAAGGAAGTAATGGACCAATTGAATGAAACAACTTGCTACATCGAGCTCACATTTATTTACAAATGGGGAAACACAAGTGACGGTCGATCCGGAGTGGTTCGCTGATGATCCTTGCTTGCCTGATTCCCGCAAGAGATGGGAAAGTCAATGTGGCCAGGGTTACGTCATCGTCTGGGGTCGGCCGGGGACGTTCCTCGTCACAATTACAGTTTGGCCATGTGCGAGACTGACAGTCAGGGCCCTATTCCGACACAGTAGCGGCTGGAGTAATATTTGGCTTCTGATTCGCCTGTCACTATCAGCTCCACAGAGCGGGCAGCGGCTCTTTCCCCCCCACCATCAACCGCAGGCGGCCCTCTCCGCCACTGGGAAAAAAAAGGGAACGGCCGATCTCGCAGGCCATTACAAACCAGCATATCCACCAGCCACCGGACATCCCTTGGAGGCAGTTTACAACGTTCTGTTTGCATGACATTTTACCGTGACAGCCAAGGCTCCCAACGACTCAAATAAGCGCCACGATTCCAACATATCGCTGTCTTTGCGTACAAGTGCACAGAATCGAGCACCACCCGATAAAACCCCGCCCAGCCCATCGCACAACCACCTGCTCGTCCCGACACACACACTTGCGGCGCAGCGTCACAAACGGCCCCGGCCGGGACGATAGCCACAAGCCAGGATCATGTCGGCAATCCTGTCTGCAGACGATCTCAACGACTTCATATCGCCCGGTGTCGCCTGCATCAAGCCCATCGAGACCCTCCCTGCACCCCCGCCACCGACCGACGACAATGGCGTAGGCCTCGAGCACGAAGTCATCCTCGACGGCCCTGGTGCCCCCCAGGCCGCCGCCACTTCCGCAGAGCCGACCCAGATATCGCTCACAGACTGCCTCGCGTGCTCAGGCTGCGTCACCTCCGCCGAAGCCGTCCTCGTCAGCCTGCAGAGCCATTCGGAACTGCTGACTGTGCTGGACGGCGCACCGGGCCTGCGCATCGAGAAGGATGAGGCGACGGGCAAGTTCAGCGTACTCGGGCTGGAACACCCAGAGGCGAGACTCTTCGTCGCCAGCGTCTCGCCACAGACGCGCGCGAGCTTAGCAGCCGCTACCGGCCGAGGCGTTCGAGAACAAGATGCCGGCAACATGATCTCGCAGCTCTTGTCTGGCGAGGCGGGACTCAGAGCTGGCGGGAAGTGGAACAATGCTTTCAGCTGGGTCGTCGACACCAACACTGCTCGCGAGGCGTGCCTGGTCCTCGGCGCGGAAGAGGTTCTCGCGGGCGAGACGGCGCCCGGCGCGGCAAAGAAGCCCATCCTCTCCTCGAGCTGCCCGGGGTGGGTCTGCTACGCCGAGAAGACGCACCCTTACGTCCTGCCGCACATCTCGCGCGTCAAGTCGCCACAGGCGCTCATGGGGACGCTGCTCAAGACTTCCCTGAGCCGGATATTGGGCATCTCGCCGGACAGGATATGGCATCTGGCGGTCATGCCCTGTTTTGACAAGAAGCTCGAGGCTAGCCGTGAAGAACTGACAGATTCTGTATGGGGTGGTGATGGCAAGCCCGGGAGGGGTGTTCGTGATGTCGATTGCGTCATCACGAGTAAAGAGATTCTCATGCTGGCAGAGTCCCGAGGACTCGATTTCTTCAGCCAGTCGAGAACGGCCGTGCCCGCAACCCAGCAGGCGCCATTTCCAGATGCGACCTTGAGTCGGTTCCTGTTCCCGCCACGAAGCAAGAGACAGACAGACCCGGCAGCTGGAACGTCTGGCGGAAATTTGCACTACATTCTCAACCATATTTCGACCCAGCATGCCGGCTCTCGGATCGAGACTGTGCGAGGCCGCAATGCTGACGTTGTCGAGTTCTCAGTCATTGCGGCCTCTGGAGAGCCCATATTCAAGGCCGCCAGATACTATGGGTTCCGGAACATCCAGAATCTTGTGAGAAAGCTCAAGCCCGCGAGGCAGTCACGGATGCCAGGGGCACGCCCGATGGGCGGCGCCAGAAAACCCGCTGGGAAGTCGTCCGGACTGGAATTCGCCTATGTTGAGGTCATGGCATGTCCGGGTGGCTGCACCAACGGCGGAGGACAAGTGAAAGTCGACGATCCGATCATCATTGAGCGCAGCGGCTTGAGCGCGAAGCCAGACCTGCAAGAGCAGAAGTATTGGCTGGCGCAGGTTGACGAGGCGTACTTCTCAGCGGACGACGCTGACGGAGAGACTACGGCGGGCAGCAGCGGAGACATTGTTTGTGGCATTTCCCCTTTATATATACGAGATACCCTGACGCATTGGGCTGGCGTCACTGGCATAGAATTGGATAGATTGGTGTCGACGAGCTATCGCGAGGTGGTCAGCGATGTGGGCAAGAACAAGCCCAGCGACACTGAGCGGGTAGTTCAGCTTGCCGGCAAGATTGGCGGCGGGTGGTAAAAGACCTTGGACGCTCCCGGGAGTAGCATATAGCATAGCTTTGGTAGCATATTTCACCAGCGCAGTTGCATGACAGGCGTTTGTATATATATTCAACTGTTGTCGGCATTGCGCCGTGCGAAGCCGAATCCACCTCTACCTGTTCCGTCCGGTCCTCGGGGTGCCCGAACCGGCGCTTCCTCTCGCGCGTCTCGGGGCGTGGACCTGCCAGATACTGGCGTGACCCCTCCACGTTCTCCCCGCGGACTTGGCCGAGGCGCATATCCAGGGTCATACAGCTCTTGCGGCGTGCCGCCAGGCTGCTGTCCAGGACGCGGCTGCTCTCGCTCTTTATCACGCTGACGGTACCCGCCGCCACCGCGAGCCTCTGAGTTTTGATTGCGGAAGCCGCCGCGGCCGCGGCCGCGTCCTCCTCGGCCCCCTCGGCTATTGTCGTATGACCGTGGCGGTGTCGTGGTTCCTGGCGTGCTCGCGCCACTGCTGGGGCCAGATCCTCCGCCTGCGCCGTTGGCCGTGTTGCCACCGTTTGCCGTGCCGAAGATCTTGGCCCTGGCCTCCTCATACCTGCGCTGCTTCTCTTCGAGCTCGCGCTGCTGCCGTGCTCGAATCTCCTCGGGCGTGAGCGCCTTCTTCGCCTTGTCTTCGTCGTCGGAGTCGTCCTCGAGGGTGAGCTGGGAGAGACCGGTCGCCGGGTCCTTTTTGGCAATCATCTGAGGCGCGGGACGCCGGGACAGCACCTTGAGGGCGGGCTTGAAGGCACTCTGTGTCTGCATCGAGGCGGGGATCTGGGAGCTCTGGCTCGGGAGGTACTGGAAGCCGTCGGCCGGCGGTCCTTCACTAGTTTCGCGTTCAGCTTGGGGGGGAAGTTGACACTTGACAGGCGCATGGTCTCGCTGCGGCTGCAAGGGGGTGGGACAATGTGGCCTTACGCTGACTCCCACAGTTTCCTGTTGAGCTCGGCATGTTGCGCGAGCCGCTCCTTCTTGGACAATGGAGCTGGCTGGACTACCTTGGGAGGCGCCGGGGGCTCCTTTGCAGCCCGGTCCGCTTGAGCCTCCCAGTCATCGTCGTCCCAGGCGTCCTTGAGTTTTGCACCGCCGCTTCTAGACATGTTTGCTATGGCGCTGCTGCTGCTTCGTGTATGTTTGGTTCTTTTTGGGTGCGAGATGCTCCGGGCAAAGGCTGCTATGGCACGGGAAATGCGCAGATGCGAGGGAGGGAGGAACTGCCAGTCAGGGCTCCATTGAGTCGAGGAGGGCAGGTGGGCGGACGAGCCTGGACTGCGCAGAGGGCGGGCGGCCGAGGACGAGACATATATGGACGTCTTGGGCAGGCGGCTGTGTAGTGTCCAAAGAATATCTAGACGAGGCAGCGGAGGACAGGCAGAGGCCGGTGGGAATTTCTGGGGTCGGAATGGGACCTCTTTTCGCTGCTGAGGGCGGGAGGGCTGGCTTGGCTGGCTGACTGGTGCCGGTGTGTGTGTGTGTGTGTGGTGGGGTGGGGCCGCATGCCCAACGACACGCCTGGACGGGGGACGTCTAAGCCGCCTTGCGGACTTGCATCTCGTCCCACGGCAGCTCGAGCTCTTTGATCACCTGTTGCGGGGATACGTGCTTGATTGTGGTAGCTCTGTCCTTGCAAGTCTCACAAAACATCACTTTCAACCTGCTCAGGTTCGTCTGGAATCGACTCGTTCCCGACGTCATCATGGCCGGCCGCCCTCGGATGCCAGCTCAGCTGCACACGCCTACACACTCGTTCAGCGAGGCGCCTATACAGACCCCGGATTCCACAGCCGCAGGCAAGGCCTCGGCGCAAGAACGCCGTGAACGCGAGCAGTTCGAGTTCACCAAGCGCCTGACTGATCAGAAGTTCAACATAGGTACGCACGGGTCCTCTATGCCACAGGGCTGGCTGGCCCTCATGTCCGTCGCAGACTCATGGGCCCCGTTCACGGCTGACCATGCTGTCAAACAGCTTTGTATCCAGATCCCCTACTGCCAAGGCAGCTCACACAAGAGCAGCACTTTCCTGCTGGTGTCACGACGGAAATGGAGGCATATCTGCAGAATGTGGCTGCGAGGGTGAAGGGCATGGCTGTAGAGAAGGAATAGTTCATCCGATTGACTCTGCTCTTGCAGGCGCAAGACTTCGTAGATGGACACGAGTACTTCCAGAAACGAGTCGCTACTGCCTCACTGCGAATCTTTCTTTGACACAATCAATGCACTCGTCAGTCAATTTCCGGTGCTATCTCAGACTGGCCCTCCCGCCAACCAACTCCCATGACCCCACGGCCGCATACCGACTCCAGTACCCATGAATCACAAACTCATGACACTCAGCACGAGCAGTCCCGGAGAGTTATTGCCCAGTGACCTGCCTCTGTGGAATGACAAGAACCAACATCCTTCTATGCCAAACCGAAGAACTCCACTAGTTTCAAAGCAACAGAAGGCATCTGACCTGAAGTGTATGCCGCCATCGCGGCAGCAAGCACTACCATCAGCCATAAGATTCCATCTCGATATCTATTACGAGACAAAATAACCAAGTAGTGTCTTCGTCACGGCTCTATAACAGCAAATCGCTACAAACAGCATCTACATTCACCGTTCTGACAGGGCAGCTGCTACTGAAGCACAACAATCACCATGAACTCACCTCCACCCGAACAGCGGGCTCACCAGCCCGACGAGGACGTTATTATGACCACACCTGGTGGTGATGGCCCTATTACTCCCACCAAGGGCAAGCCCGCTCCTGTCCGCCAGCTCCCTACCCCGTACTCACCCCAGAACGGCGGACTCGTGGTGACCTGGGACACAAATTATGGAAATATCAAGAGACGTCTCGATTTCGCAAACGACAAGCCAGATACAGCTGCCGTGGCAGCAAACGTCGAGGCCCCTTCCAAGTTAATCAGCGATACAACCCCGGCGGCTGGCAGAAAGGGCTACAGCGTCACTCAGCGCGACGAACACCTGGCCCGCGCAAAGACCTGGCTCAACTCGGCCACAACACCCGAGCAACTACGCAAGCGCGCCGATGCCATAGTATCGGCGATGTTCCAGGGCTCTGGGAGCTACTCCCTCGGCGGACGGGCACGGCGGGCAGACAAAGACGACGGCTACTGCTCATGGGAGGACGAGTCCCTGTCTGATTGGAACTCGGAGGACGAGGAGAACCTGAAGAACCTCGCACCCCGCTCCTCCTCCTCCAAGAAGACGTCGGTTCCGAAGCACAAGCTCTGGAATCCAGCTGCGGTGCCGGCCGACGACGCGGACCTCCCGGCACCCAAGATCGGCGAGGTGGGCATCCAGAACGACGAGGATCTCGATGTAATTACGCAGTTCCGCGAGACGCATAACCCAGTCGTGGCCTCGATCAGGGCAGGCAAAGTCGTCCTGCCTTACTGCGGGGCTGTTGCTCCCGGAGGACGCCAGGATCAGGCACAGCAGACGGACGAACACTCGTCAGTGCCGGCTGCAACTGTCCCGTCGAACGCCGCTGGTACCACAGAAATCTCCGTCCCAGCAGTCGAGGCAGTTTCAGAGACTGAAGAAGATGATGATGCCCAAGTAGACGCACAGCCTGGACCCCAGCACCGCCTCACCAAGATCCCTCCAAAGACCCTCCCAGCGGGCACCAAAGCAGCCAAGCACCTCCAGCGCCAAGCCCGTCGAGCACTCACCAAGAAACAGCGGGCCCGGAAGAAGAACAAAAAGATCGATCACGGCGAGACGGAGTGGCAGCCTGGTCTTGACGATATCCGGCGCGGCCGCCGTGGTGGTGCTGCTGATGATGATGGCGTGCCGGTCCGCAGACAGGGGTCGCTGCGGGTGCAGGCTAGACAAATGGAAGCGGCTTCCTCTCGGCCTCGCGGTGGGAAAGGCAAGGGACGTGGTGGTAGAGGTGGTGGTGGTGGCAAGGGACGTGGCGGTAGAGGTGGGAAGCGCGCGACGGATGCGCAGAGAAGCATGCTGGTCTCATGAATCCAGCACGCGTACTTGTCGTGATGTGTGGTGGGAGACGTGCTAGAGCATATCCCCACTGCTCATATTGACTCTTGCCGTCTGGGTTCAGAGGTCCTGACGGCAATGCATGCTCACACTGGAACCTGAAAGGCCAGCGTAATGACTACTAAGTATTTCTAGGACAGAACGAATGACTTGAGAGAGCCTGAAGATATATGCAGACTGCACAGTGAAGGGTTCACCAGCCGAGCACGGGGATTTCGACAATATTCTTTCGGCTTAGCATCAAGTGACCGCGTATAAGGAGAGTGGCGAGGCCCTAGGAGGAGGTGTAATTGGCTTGCTTGCGTTTCCAATCTGAGATCCAGCCCAGGATCTGGTTGTCTCAATCTGTGACTACGATAGAAGGGAATTCCAGGCAATCCACAAATCCATAGAAAGAGCAGACGAGCATGTAGCGGGTTGAGGAGCCAAGACCCTTGTAGATGGGCTTGCTCCCAGGTTGTTTCTCGCACCCCCCGGAATGCTGTGTCGAGAATGTGGCACACATCAAGTTTCCATAATCATGCAAACCACATGTTGATACGCTGGAGGCAGTTCCAACTTGTTTACTGTGCTAAGGACTGGGACCTCATTGGTTTGGGCAGATGGTCCGAGGACCACAGTGATATCTCTCTTGCGCAGGATGCATCTTGATATAGGGAGGAGGATATGGAGCACGGCCAGCGGGGAGCGGCGTGCTCCGCTGCTGCGCGGGAATACAGCTGGTCTTCCTCCATTCTCACTTCTGATTCATCAGGAATTAATGGAGCACATAGCATGTAGTCCAGTGTCTTCCTGCCCATTGTGATACAATCCGTTGGGCGACTTGTGACTGCTCATGCAAAACAGACATGGGTTGGGCCATTTAGGAAATCGATCCTTTTCTTTTTCCTCCATTTGTCATCATTGTGAACACATTTTGCATTGTATGGACGTCTGGGCCGTTCGGGGGCCAATATTTGGCTCTATTGTCAATCCTTGGCGCGAAGGTCACGGTGGCGGTGTGAGGACGACATCATGATGGAATGAAGTTGGAGCACGGCCCCCAAGGCACGGCCCAATATGGCGGTTCGTTGAAGGCATTCCTGCCAGTATCGCCCTTGCATGTCCGGAGGTCGGCGGCACGCCTGGGCGAGACAAGTGTCCAGAGACTCGCTGGGAAAGCACAAATGCGGGCTGGACAGCTCCACAGCAATAGCCCGGGCCAAGGAGCTTTTTCACATATTGGGTGAGACTGCTTGAGCACCAGCGCCTGCACGACCAATTGACAGGACGGCGCAAAGGCCATAGGAGGATGATCCGCTCTCACTGACGAATCGCGGCGGAGAGAAGCAGTCTGTGGATCCTGGTTCGGTCGACTTACACGAGCGACCCACGCACGGACGGGCGGCCTGCGCATGCCTCTCGTGCTCTTCTTTGCTTCATGGCGAATGCTAAACTTGGACGCTCCAGTCAGCAATTCTCCTAGGCGAGCCGAATGAAACTGGCCTAGCGGTTTATTCCGAAGGAAGGTGCGGCAGAACTGCACCGCGCACAGTCAGCAAGTGAAATGTGGCAGGGACCTAAGCGCAAAATGTTGAAACCACTTTCTGGCCAGCATGTACCGAGTCAACAACCGGAGTGACGTGACCGACTCAACGTGCCTGTCAATCCTTCTGGAACGAATTGGTGCGAGAGATAAGGTGGCTAGCGTTCGGGTAAGCCCGGAGGCGCAGAGCTGAGAAGCGGGGGCTTTCTGTGCAAAACTGAGCACCTTCGAATTCAGCAGTTTCGGAGCGAATGATACCGCGCTGAGGCCGGCGGGAATGTGTCGTGTTCGGCGCTGATTCTGGCCAAATTCTCAGCTCGGCGAGAGCGATGGCCCAAGGTTCTGATCGTGGACCTGTCCAGACGAAGCTGGTGCGGGTGCGCCCGTGAGTCAGGTAAGACCCCTGTGGAATTGGCCGACGTCCTGACAGCGTCATACTCGGGGCCCATGATATCGATGCGCTGGAGCTAAAATGCCCAAGGCTCCGCTTTGGGCTCAGGGGATGGACAATCCCGATCTCGTCGTTGCCAGCAGCAATGCTGTGTTCTGGGAGGCCCGTACGTGTCGGGTGCCGGCATGTATCTTCTCCTCGTTTCAAGGCCTTGGCATAGTTCGTTTGATGGGAGGACTGAAGCAGCAGCAGCATGGCGGGGCAGTGTTCTAGAAGAGCTCGCATGGGGCCAAGCCAGCGGCATGTGAATCTGCGTCGGAGGACTGTGATGGGGGGCGAGGCCATTGACCTCTGTCTCGCACCATGCAGTAGGCGGACGGCGAAAGGCCCAAGCTGCATGTCAACAGGATGCTAAGGGGCCGACGCGTTTGTCAAGCAGGCGAGTGGCATCTGCGGATGCATGCGAGATTGCAATAAGCAAGTTGAGGTTTCTGGAATAAGCACGAGTTGGAACGGGCCTGCTGGTGGGAGGATCACTACGCTTACTTGCCTTAAGCGGAGACTACACTGCACTAGGTACCATAAGGTAGCGTAGTGACTATCGATGGATTGGCAGCACGTCTGGCGTCAAACGGACATGGATCTGCCCTGTCGCCTACAAGGCCGGCTGCCAGGCGGAGCCGCGCCAGCCACCATCAAGCCTCGTCTTCCAAGTTCCAAGTCTGAGTGTTTGACTGCTCGACTTGCACGGGCAGGAGAAATCGTGAACGGGGCACATCCGGGCACGCAGCGTGGCGGCAGAGCCCCTCCTTCCCCAGAAGACCCCTCACTCGCCTCGTGTCCCCAACACAGCCCGCACGGCAAGTTGAGGGCTTGCATGCGCTGCATGCAGCAGCGAAGCTGTCTGGTCTGGAGCAGGCGGTTCCAGAACCGAGCCCAAAGAGGAGCTTGGCCTGAGGCCGCAGTGTCCCAGCAGCCTGGAAGAAAGGGCCGAGGAGCGCCCAGCCAGAGCGCCTGCAGGCGGCAGGCAGCCTGCATTCAATTGTTGCCCGCCAGCTTCCAGCCAGCCGAGCCGCCCCATTTTATCCTTTGCCAGCGCCTACCCCCTCCCGCTCGAGCGCCCGAGCTTGGGCTCCAGCCTGCAAATACCACCAGACTTCGCCGGCGGCCTGCTTCCCTCGCCAGTTCTCTCCCGAGTACAACCTGTGCCCCTGTCACCACCACCACAACCTCGACCACCCTCAGCACACCTTCCCTCCCTCGCCCGCCTCTCCCCCCACGCCCGCGCAAGCTTGCCGTGATTCCAGGCCTACTCATGGGAGCTCGACTCCGCAGGCTCTGAGCTACAGTCGCCTGTGATAACCATCGCCGTCTGACTGACTTCCAAAAAAGTCGGCGTCCCTTCCTGTCCGCCACTTCCCTCTCCACGAGGCGCTGCTAGAATCGTGCGTGGAGCGACTCTCAGCTGGGATATATCCCACAACACCTCCAGCCAACATGTCAAACTCCGAGGGCGGCTTCGACCTTCTTCGGCGGGCCACGCAGGCCATGATGTCCAAGTAAGTCGACAGCCTCTCTCTCGTATCCTCCTAGCCTCGCTTTCCCTTTTCTCGGATCATCCCGCTTCAGTCACATCCCTTGGTCTCGGCGCCCATCACTTCACTTCACTGGCCAGTTCACTGGACCGTCTTGTTTCCGAACCCGCCTGGGTCCTCAGCATACAGCTTCATGTCTGGGCCTGGGGAGCTTCATTTGGCATCAGTCTCCGAGTCCGTCTGGCAAGTCACCGTGCCTCAAGTCGAGCCTCGCCGGCTGTCGAGCCAAGTTACCTGGATTGCGGCCCCAACACGTCAACCAAGGCGCATCATGGCCAGATTTCAATTTACCCGCAACCCGGAGCAACCCGGCTGCCGTTGGGACATCTTCGCCTGCAGCTTCAAGCATCACTGCCGAGCATGCAATCGTCATACTTGATCACCCAGTACACCACTTCCTCAACGCCATCGAGTATCCGACGCAGCAGCATTGGCAGGATCTGTAACCTCGGCTAGACCCGGGGAAACTCTTGGGAAACTCCAAAGCGGCCTTCAAAGATCGGGACTATGCAACAGCTGACGCTCCGCTTCTCGGCGGCATGCATTGCGCGGGGTTTGCACAAAACTTCATGGCGGCCTGACTCGCCTGCAGCGCTTTGGCTCGATTCGAAGCTGCACAGGGCAAAAAATTCCAAGCTTGACCAGGATCGGTTCCCCTCTCGGCGGCTCTGCGTGCTAGCACGAGCTTGCGACAACCCCTCCCCCACCCCAGCTTCCTCAAGCATTGAGGAACACCAGAACAGCAGCTCAACAGTCGCTGTCACTTGCCGCATTGCCGGTCTCAATTCTGTGTAGGGGCTTGCGACAGGCTCGTTCTACGGGAATTGGGCAATCCAACTGGCAGCAGTCGTGCTGCAGTAACGATCGCTTTGCTGGGGGATTTGGTAGCGATGACGAAACCCCCGCGAGCCACCCCGCATGGAACTGGCCGATCCGACAGAGAACGACTTTTGTCCAAGTGGACGTGCGAGTGCTCAGTAGCAAAGCGATCGCAATGCACGCAAACCGCCCCGTTCCGCCTCTTCGCGCGTCAGCCCGAACATCCTGCATACTTGGAAGTCTTGTTTCCTGGTCCGGCACTTGCACCACACCCTGCAGCGTTTATACAAAGGCCCCACTGGGCAAGGGTTCCTGGAAGCATGTATTGACTGATGAAGCAGGACATCCCCGGCCGATGACGAGGTGTCGGACCACATTGGCAACGACACCCCCCGCTCCGGCATAGCCACGCCTCAGCCGGATCTCCACGACAAACGCCTGCCACAGATCATGAGCTATTTTGGCCAGGTTCGTTCCGCCTCTCTAGATTTCTTGTCGCGTTCTGCCGCCTACACCCGATCTCCCGAGCGTGGTTCTCTACCTCCCACATCACCTGCGATAGACACGAAGCGAGAGTCGATACCACGAGAAAGACACAGCGATGAGCCTCCTGGTATGAGTCAGGAGGAAGAGGCGCACGTAAAGCTCCCTCTTCTCCCGCACGAGACTCTGGAGCCGCTCGACGATGCTGTCCCTCCACCAATAACACTGTCCTCTCACGACCCCTATCCCACCCCTCCGCGTTCGCAATCATCATCAGAGAAGGGAATTAGGCTTGAAAACGCCAGCGGCGGCCCTGGTTCAGACAACGCTCCTCGCAGAGCTGTTCGGCCGGTCTCTGCGCACGTCAAGCGTCTCTCGGACCTGTCTTTGAAGGTCCGAAGGGCCAGCCTTTCAGCTCCTCTGAGTAGTGTTGTCACACCTTCTACAGTGCTCGCAAGTCACCTGTCTAACCCCAGTTCTCGTACCACTCGCACAACTCCGAGCACTCCTTTGAGCATGACTTCTTCCGGCGACGTTTGTGGCTATTTTGCGCAGTCTGCTTCAATTGACAATTTGAGGAAGCTAACTGACGTTGCTGCGAAAAAGAGCGGCCAGTCGACCCCCACTCGAGCGATGTCGGCGGCGCAGCCCTCCCAAGCAGAGAGTCGTTCATCGTCCAAGACAAGCAATGGAGACGGGAACGCCGCCAGTGGCAGAGCGACGCCCGTGTCTTCACAAACCGGCGGAGCAGCTGCACCCGTGCAGAAAGGGAAAATGACAATCAAGATCCTCGAGGCCAGAGGCATACGGAAAGCCCGAGACCCGTATGTTGTTGCAGTGTTTCAGAGGAGCGAGCTCATCTCAGCAGGCCCGCAGCCCCTTGAGGAGGATGACGACTTGTCACCGTCCGCACCCACCAGTGCAGGGATTCCGATTCAACGGCAGGCCAGTGACTCAGGCCGGCCCATGGCTATCCCCATGCGCAGCCGGCAGAGCAGTAACACGAGCGTAAATGATCACAACACATTCCGCAACCGAAACGCCCAGCGAGCATTCACGAGCCCTAAGTGGGATGCCGAGGCCGTCTTGTGAGTAATCCAACCTATTTAAATAGTAGGGAAATGGTGAAGACCGCGAAAAACGGAGAAAGCTGACTTCTTGCATAGTGATGTTGTGGATGCGGACATGCTGGTCGATATCTCGGTCTACGATCACGGAGTGACGGGCGAGGAGTTCCTCGGGCATGCCGATTTCCAAGCGCGAAACCCTAGTCGGGACGAGCCTGTACGGGGCTGGTTCCCTCTCAAGGGCAAGGCCAACACGACAGCTGAGGATGCCCCGACTGGCGAGATCTACGTTGAGTGCTACTACCAGCGGACCGAGAAGAAGCACTTTGGTCCCGACGATTTCCAGATCCTGAGACTCATTGGCAAGGGGACATTCGGGCAGGTTTACCAGGTGCGGAAGAAGGACACGGGTCGTATCTACGCCATGAAGGTGCTGTCCAAGAAGGTCATTGTGCAGAAGAAGGAGGTTGCGCACACAGTCGGCGAGCGCAATATCCTTGTCCGCACGGCGATGACCGAATCCCCATTCATCGTGGGCTTGAAATTCTCGTTCCAGACTTCCAACGATCTGTTCCTTGTAACAGACTATATGTCCGGAGGCGAGCTTTTCTGGCACTTGCAGAAGGAAGGTCGTTTCGATGAGAAGCGGGCAAAATTCTACATTGCTGAGCTCATCCTCGCCATTCAGCATCTTCACAAGAACGATATTGTCTACCGCGATCTCAAGCCTGAGAATATCCTCTTGGACGCTAATGGTCACATCGCACTATGCGACTTCGGCCTTTCGAAAGCCAACCTGACCAAGAACGACACCACCAATACGTTCTGCGGCACCACGGAGTATCTGGCCCCAGAGGTCCTTCTCGACGAGGCCGGATATACGAAAATGGTTGATTTCTGGTCCTTGGGAGTTCTCGTGTTCGAGATGTGCTGCGGCTGGAGCCCATTCTACGCCGAGGACACGCAGCAGATGTACAAGAACATTGCCTTTGGCAAGGTCAGGTTTCCACGAGACACGCTCTCCCAGGAGGGGCGCAACTTCGTCAAGGGGCTGCTGAACCGCAACCCGAAGCATCGGTTGGGAGCCATTGACGATGCGGAGGAGCTGATGCGCCACCCATTCTTCAATGACATTGAATGGGATGTCTTGGGTCGGAAGCTCATTGCACCCCCATTCAAGCCAAAGTTGAAGTCGGAGACCGATGTTTCCTACTTTGATCCGGAGTTCACGAATGCTCTCAACCAGAACGGGTCTTTGAACGAGAGGGCACAGCAGCTCGCGACGGGGTTCGCTACATCGACACCTCTGTCCCCGACCACTCAGGCCAACTTCCAAGGATTTACGTTTGTGGACGAGAGCTCTCTTGACCACCACATGGGCGGCCGCTACGATGACGAGGACATGAACGACTCAGGCCACCATCACCATCACCGCCGAGATAACGACTGGGACGATCTGGATGAACTAGCTCAGCAGAGGGCCAACAACCGTATGAGCGGAGTTGTAAAGACAGGGCACGGTGACGAGCCGTTTGGCAACTCGCACTTTGACATGTAGCGCGCGTTGCCATGCCAGGTTGCTCCGCCAGTTGCTTTTATGAATCACAGAAGGATATGACACACATTCACGATCATCATGTAGGGTTGGGTCTTTTGCTAGGTTATTGGCTCATTGTTTCCTTCCCTTGCAAATTCGTTACTGGGCCAGGGTCATTCTTGCTGTACAAACACACAAGCGGCCCTTGATAGGTTCCGGCAGTACACACATTACAGCATAGTGGCGAGAGGCAAAGTTAACTCGTCCGCACACATTTTCTGTTTCTTCCTTCGCGTATCATTGCATCGGGTCGGACGTGGTTTGCTTCTTCTGCGTGTGTCACTTTGCGATGGCGTCTGCTCATTGCTAGGTATGGATATTAGGAAGAGGACGGGAGACGAGGGGGTGCCTGAGTGGGCATCTGGCTTCACATCATCTTCCAGGACGATCTGATTGCCGTCATTTTGTGCAGTATGTTAGCGGCCGCGAGAAACACAAAAAGGGCGGGCCAGCATTGGTCAGGTATTCAATGCGAAAAGTCTGAAAATCGTCAGCTCGTTCTTTTTGACCAGTAGAGTAAGCAAGTGTCATTGGGTAAACCCAGTCAGTTGGGGTCTTTGGCAAGCCTGCGTCTGATTGTTTCAACCTGGTCTTATTCTAATCACAAAGTTTTAAATCTTTGTGATGGTTGGTTTGTGCTGTGTAAAAGTTGTTTCTCCCTGCAATTCCTTCTACAGGCTCCGCGCTACGATGTAAACATACCGGACTTGCAGTCTCTTGGACGGCGGACTGGTCGACTTTACTTGACATAATCCTTGACTTTACGAGGTTGACCTTATGGGGGCGTTTTAACATCACATTGGTCTCGCGACTGTGGCGCTGTTTGTTAATGATATGCAAGACAGAAGAAACCGCGCGTGTTCGTCTAAAGCTTCAAAGTGCGCAATTGTGCAGGCCAGCCTCTGAAACGAAGACATATTCTGAAGCATTGACCAGAAGTGGGAGATGTAAGTCTGAGCAAGGGGCCTGTTTTCCTTGCTCACGATTACTCGAGAAAAGAGAGAGAGAGAGAGAGAGAGAGAGAGAGAGAGAGAGAGAGAGACCCTCATAGAGGGGACTGATGTAAGCAACTCGTTTGTGTAAAGTCTGCGGTAATAATTTTTCACGTGTGCTACAGGCTTAAGTAGCAACTAGTGATCAACCTCACAGCACACATTGCGGCCCATGACTCGGAGGCTAGCTAAATACTTCCGTCGTTCGTGAGGATAGTCAGAGAAAAGGGGTTCTGTTGAGCCTTGTTATGATAAAAAAGTATTCTTAGCCTTGTACCTTGTATTTAGCCATGGGATGAGTGGAATAAGCGACGTTTAATACTACCAAGCAGAGGGATTCTACTTGGTTTGATCGCCAAATCCCCCCCCCCCCCCACGGTTTCGCAAGCTCTTGAACATCGAGAGAACATCGGCCGTGGAAACAGTGATGGCCAACTTGCAGAAATGGGGGATTGCGTGCTTCATTCGTCTCGAATCGTCTCGTCTCATAGTGCAAGGGGTGTCAGGGCGAAACACAGCCACACACCGCTTCCTTGTTGTTGTTGCTAGTGCTGCTTTGTTGATCATCATTGACAGGCAGGGCTGAACCGGCCTTGGAAGATGCCCAGGTGGTGCGGAAGCACGAACCACCATTGCAAGGCGGACCCGCAGTATGCATGCATCAGCCCTGCCTGAACGATCTGGAAAGGTTGCTTGCTGTACTTAGGGAAAGGCTTGTGGCCATCTAGCCTAGGTACATACTTTATACATTTATGCGTTGTGTTGTCACAGTCCCGTGGGAATAGAGTCAGATGTCAAGATGGCAATCGGAGCTGAGAAAGTGGGTTGGGCGGCGTGTGTGTTGCTTTAGTGGTTTTCATGCGTCTATGCGCTTTATTGGGCTCGTAGCCGGGCTCTCGCATTGGCCAGTCTGAATTGATGCAAGTTGAGCTGCCTGAGGTCACCGATGGGGAACGAGGCGGTCGGCTTCAGTCAGTCACCGCCCTCTCTCCATATCACAACATGCAGGAGGTTTCGAAGACGTCCTCTCTGAGCCAATAGAGGTGGCCATCCATGTCAAAGATGGCCCCGTAGCGCCCTGCTTCAGGGATGCTGGGGCTGTGGGATGTTGTCGGTGTGTTGTCAGCTCCACGCTTAGATCGCGTGGGGTGCTCTTTTGCATCGCCTTGCGGCGTGGTGGTGGTGCCAGTGGTGGCGCGGGCGCTGCTTAGCCTTGAGATCTATCGTCATCGCATGCATCATCGAAAGCACCCTCCAATTGCCACAACAGGGCACATCGATATCGTCATCACCCACTCACTCTTCACCTGAGAGTGCCTGTTGTGATGGCTGGATGCCAGGTGTTGCAGCTTGTCACGACAGTAATGTTTAGTAGAGACAATTGTGTGAAATCAGTGCTTTGAGCAGGATCTAGGATTGCAGTGAACTAGAAACCCCCCAGGTTTTAGATGTACACGGATTACAGACGCGTGCGCAGAAAGCTTCCGCTAACTTGCGTACATGTGCATCCACGGCCTCGCTGCATCGAGACCGCGGGTCGACTCGCTTGTGAAATGCGACCGCTTTGTGATTGAACACTTTTTGTGGTGACATGCTCTGCTTCGAAATCAAAGCATCTGTCTTCCCCTTCGGCTGATGATCCTCCTCTGCTTCCGAAATGGACACGCTTGCAGCACCCCAAGACTTTGAAACATCGAACAGACTTCCCGATTTAGTGGTGGGCAGCCTCCTCACCCTCGTCCTCCTCAACAAGCCAGTCCTCGACAGCGGCAGGAGCAGTGCCGGTAACACCCTCGTTGCCCTCGACCTCGACGGCCATGCTCTCGTAGTCCTTCAGCGAGTTGGCGAGATCGGCCTCCTCGGGAGACTTGGGGGCCTTGGGGGCTGTGAAGGTCTGGACTTGGCCGACGGAGTCGGTGTCCTTGATGGGGGCAGGCTTGTAGGCCTTGAGCTCCTTGAGGTACAACTCCTGAACGAAGTCGGCTACGTATGGGATATAATGTTAGTGTCGGTGTTCATTCAAGATGCAGGTCTGATCTCAGTCATCTCCTCTAGATATCATCCACGCTTCTGGTGGCGGCTGAAAGGGAGTATCGTCCAGCGGATATGGTGGGCTGTGCAGTCGAGGCAGACGATCGATTCGTGTGTTTGGGGCGCGAAGAAGCTGTAGGTGACTCGATGTGTACACGGCGAGGTTGCAGCGGTGGTCCTCGATTGCCACTTCGATGGTTGTCGTCGGTGGGTGTCGTCGTTCTAATCCGTCATCGTGGTTCGATATCCCTCGCCTCAGGCCGTGTCTCGAGGTTGATCCGTGATCTTCCCATTCCCAACCTCCATGCCTGCCAATCCGAGCACCAGAAGAAATATAAAGCACACATACCTCTGCGAGAGACGGTGGGGGCAATGAAGCCGCGGACGGCGTTGACTCTGGCCACGCGGGAAACGGCAGCGGCGGCCGACCGGGCAGACTGTAGGGAAATGCGCGCGCGCAATGTCAGCGGAACGGGGTCGCCATGAGAAATACGGACGGCGGCGAGATGGAAACAGGACTACGCACCGAAGCTCTGAGCTGGAGAAGCATGATGACCAAGGGTGTGGGCGACAAGGGCCGATGGCGGGATGTGTGGGAAGGGGTACAGGTGGTGATGCAGCAGCCACTTCGCGGGTGAGGTTTTTCTCTGGGAGGAGGCGCAAGTGGAGAAGGCGAGGTCTGGTGCTGGCTGAGGTTGCCCGCCGCCCGCCCAGTCGTGCACGCCTGGGTGGCCTGTCGGAGGAACTCGGCAGGCCCATCCACGGATGGCCCGCTGTCCCCACACCCGCAGTTCTCCATGTCACGTGAGAGCACTCGGCATGTGCCGGCTATGTGCATAACCACCCTGATTTCGAGCTTGACTTTGCACGTACCCAGCACAACTCTGGACCCAATTGATGCATAGCTCGACTGTGGATATCAGATTTTCGACATCGTGCTTTTTTCCGCAAGTCTAGGGCAGAGAGATGGCAGTGTACTCGCACCCTGGGGGCAGCCGCCTGGCCTTCATGCTTGCTTCATCACCACTCGCTCCTTGATCCATTGGCTCGAAGTTGGAGCTTAAAAGAGCAAAAATGGGTGACGCCGGGCCAGGCACCAGAACTTTCGACATCCCAACCGGGAACCAAGAAAACCCAAGGTTGCAGATCCGCATCACGGAACCAGCCCTGCGGGCCAAGGGTCTGCCCTTGACGACATGGGCGTCCGCCGAGATCCTCGCGGGCCTGATGCAGACCATTGACAGCTCCCGAATCGTCTTCCCGCGGGTCCTCAACCAGTCCGAGGTCATCCCGATCCTCGAGCTCGGCGCCGGTACAGGCATGGCCGGCGTGTCGGCCGCCGTCCGCTGGAACCAGCATGCCGTGCTGACAGACCTTAGCCCTATCGTGCCCGGCATCGCCGCCAACGTGGCGCTCAACAAGGAAATCCTGAAGGACAACCGCGTCCTGTGCGGCACCCTGGACTGGGAAAACCCATCGGACTTCCACCTCGCCGAGGACGAAGGGGCCTCGCCCCTCGCCACGGCCACAAAGGCCCATCTCATCCTCACGGCAGACACGTGCTACTCCGAGGAGCACCCGCTGCTCATCTCGACGACCGTGGCTCACTGGCTGAGCCGCGACGATCCCAACGCCAGGGCCGTCATCTGCTATGCGCTGAGAGTCGCGTATCTGGACGAGATCCGCGAGCTGTGGTCTCGCCTTGAGGACCTGGGTCTTGAGAGCGTCGCGGACGGGCAGCAGCGCGCTGACTCGCAGATCTTTGACGACGAGTGCTTGTGCGAGTGGAGCATCTGGCGGTGGAAGCAGGACACCACTGGTAATGGCAGTGCTCCTGCGTCATGAGCCCGGAGGCCACACCGCATTTCTGTTTGGCGGAAACGTGGAACCGTTCCGGCCTGGTATGCCCGTGAATGAGCCTGGCAAGTGGGCATAACTTTGCTCCCATTGGCCCTTATGCTGCAGCGGAATATAAGCTCCAACCGAGGGCCAGAGCTATTGTGGTTGGTGTCGAGTCTGGGCACCCATTCTTCCAGCTCGTCGGCTATTTCCTCGACCCCTTGCCGCAACCGTGACAGCTTATTCAAGCTGGCATGCCACATCCTGCTTCGATCCGAAGCTTGATCGCACAGGCTGGGCATGCAGCGCTTAAGAAAAGAATAAAACCTCTCGCCTTGTTCAACATCACCATGTGAACACCCTCTCTTGTAGGCCGCGTTCCAACCAATCCTAATCCCGACTGGGCAGTGATAAGACGGTTATACACCTAGCGTGCCCTCCGCTACGACTCTGACTTGGCAGGATATGGCACCAACATGGCAGCGTTCCGCATGAACGAGAGAGAACCGCGATATTGGCCGAGAGCAATATGATGAGATACTCTGGTTTGCTTCGGCGGACGACAAACATGGAATTGCTCGCTCTCAATAGACTGTATTGAATCATTAAATTCATTAAGGCTTCCTTGCTCCTGTGCGAAAACCAAATGTACGTAACTTCAAGGCCTGAGCTCTTTTTGAGCTTTTGCATGCAACATCCTTACGACGCCATGGCCTCATCGTTGTCCACGTCAACAGATCTACTTCTCTTGGCTGGGGGGCCTGCCGCATCAGACATGTTTGCCTCGACATCGGCGTTCTCTCCATCGGCAGGCGCCTCGCTCTCCACGGACCGCTTTGCCATGATGTTATTTGTGGCGGACAGCCCCTGTGCTTTTGCCTCGGCTGCGAGAACCGCACGTCGGCGCTGCCACCAGTCCTCCTCGACCTGGGACACCTGGTCTAGAACCACCTCCTTCTCGAGCCATTCTTTGCGGTATTCCTCCTCGAGCTCCTTGCATTGTTTGCGCAGCATGTCACCGTCGGCGGTGCCCCATTTCACATTGGCGACGCACAGTTTCCATAGGGATTCGAGATCCATGCTGAGCTCCTTTTGTGTGAATCCTTGCTCCTCCGTTAGAGGCGTGAAGAAGTCGGCGCCGACCGCATCGTCTCCACCATCAGTGTCATCGACAGAGTCGTCCTGCTGTCCGCCGCCAAGATGCGATTGTGGCGTCTTTAGTATTATCTTGAACGGCTTGCCCTTTGCGTTGGACGAGTTAGAGTGCTGCATCGACTTCGGAACAGGGTCGGACGGTCGGAGGGCTTCAGTCTCGTGGACAGTCCGCATGTGTTTGGCGAGGGCGTCGGACCTTGTGAAAGCGCGATCGCACTCTGCAAGAGGGAGACACCTTCGTGTTAGTGAATGCTGATATTCTTCTGAAAGAAAACGGATCACCAAGGACTGTCTTACCAGGTAGATAGCAGTAGAATGGCTTTTCGCGAGTGTGGCTGCGCATATGCGCCTTCAACGCATAGCCGCTGGCATGCGGCATGCTCTTGCGAGGACAGCCCACCCACTCGCATGTGTAACGTTTCTGGCGGCTCTCGATGTGGTCGTTGTGGATGTGCTCGACGAGTTTGTCCATATTTCCCAAGTCGCCGGCTTCGCAGCCGTCCCACGCGCACACGGTCACTTGCTCGTGGAATTCCTCTTCATCTAGCTTCGCGTTGATCGGCGAGTTTGGGATGTCGCCGGACGTGTCTGATGAGATGTCGCCATCCAGGTCGTGACCGTGGTCAGAGTCGGCTTCTGGCTCTACGTGAATCGCCGACGAGGCGCGCGATGCTGTGGCTAGTCTCTGCTTCTTCGTAGGCGGAAGCACAGGCTCCGGCTCCTCCACAATCTCGGTGTCCTCGAAATCATTCTCCTGCTCCTGCTCCTGCTCCGGCTCGGGGGAGTCGTCTGAGGACAAGGAGCTAATGTCTGACGAGTCTTCGGATAGGAGAACCATTGTGCGCGTAGAGTGGTGAGGATGATTGATCTCCTCGTTGCGTTGGGTGGCGTGATACTCGACTTCGTGGCACGCGCAATTTAGACGCCTCTCGTCGCCGAAGGACGACTCAATTATTGGATGGCACTTTCGATGAAGACGCTGTCTGTCCTGTTGATCTGAGCGCGATGAAACCGTGGCGAGTCGGGTTGCCTTTGATTATAGTCGATCTTTTCTGCAGTATGTGAGCGAGGTTGTGGTTTGGGAAGGGCGGGAATGCGGCTGTCGAGTTGGGGTGAGGAATTGGAGACGCAAGCACGACGAGGCTCGTCGCGAATCGCATTGGGCCAATGGGAAACCTCACCCATGGCTAGCCTGGCGGTGGCTACGATTTGGATGAGACACAGTGCACTTAGGACAGTGCATGTGGGAACCGCACATTGTGCCAGGGCTGCGGGCAGCTCTGCTAAACCTCCAGCCGTCCAGATGGAGCTTTACCTCCCCGCGTCTCTGGTTGATCATGGGCCTGCCAATGATTCAGAGTCTAAATTTGTGCTCAGCATTCCCATTAATCATTGCTGCTGGCAATGGGGTGATGCCTTACTCACTCACCCCTTATGCTGTAGCCTGCACCATCCCTTGGCAGGCCTCGTCATCAGTGACGGATTGACGGCATGCACAGGCAGCCTGGCAGCCTGCTCAGAATGGGATCTCCAGCATTGTGATCAAAGCTATATGTACCTGAGAAATGGCGGAAAATTTTCTTCTTTCGGTGCCTGAATTGGTCCAAATTGGCTTTCCCATCTTCTCAGGCACTCTTCAGACCGTGGTTGCTGCCCAGCTGTCGTGGCCCGCACCGCCTCACGCCGTCCGGGGTCCTCTCTGACATCACCCCGCTTGCTCCAGTTTGGCGCAGCTCTCCCACGCCGCCCACTCCAGCCAGGCTTTCGTCCTCCCTCACCTACCCATCTTCGCCATCTCCTGAGACCGCGCCCAACTACTCACGCCCGTATTGTGCACGAAGCCCTGCTCATTCGTGTCCATCATGGCGTCTCTCAACCTTTCCGCCAACGGCCCCTCCATCAAGAGCAGCTACCAAGCTGTCGTGAGCGGCGGAGCACCCCCCGCCGGCTCCTCCTCCACCTATGCCCAATGGGCTCTGTTCTCGGTGCAGGCGCCCCTCGCCAATGCCTTCCAAGACTCGTCCAACAAGGAGAGCGTTCTCAAGGTCCAGTCTACAGGCGAGGGCGAGCTTGAGGAGCTCATTGAGGATTTCAACGAGGGCCGCATCCAGTTCGCGTTTGTCAAGGTCAAGGACCCGAACTCGGGCCTCCCTAAATTCGCCCTCATTGCGTGGGTAAGGAAGCTTCTCACAGGCCGAGCTTGGTCTCGCAAACGCTGACAGTATGACCAGTGCGGTGGAGGTGTTCCTGAGCGTACTAAGGGCTACTTTACGAGCCACGTAAATGCTGTTTCCAAGGTTTTGCACGTAAGTCGCTCCTCCTGGCATTGGGCAGCTTCCAGTCCGCCCCATCGATTTGGGCTGACGAGAAATGGACCAGGGCTACCACGTTCAAATCACCGCCCGGTCCGATGCCGATCTCGAACCTGCGACTATCCTGCAAAAAGTATCAGATGCTTCTGGAGCCAAGTACACCGCTGGTGGGAGTGCCCCCGTTACTTCTGGCGGTGCACCTCCCCCGGTGAAATCAAAGCCCGTATTCGCTTCTGCGACGCCGGGAACAATCTCCTTCAACCCTCTGGTGGCTGCCAGGAATGCAAACCTAAAGAAGAAGGACGACGACGGCTGGGGTGATGCGCCGGAAGTGTCACGCTCCGAGATTCAGAAGGTCGAGTCCGCTTACAAGCCCACAAAGGTCAACATTGAGGAGCTCAGATCACAGCAGCAGCCCGCATCAAGATTCAATCCAGCTCAACGTGAGGACGCCCCCGATGTTGTTAGAGGAGCTTATCAGCCTGTGGGTAAGGTCGATATTGCGGCCATTCGCGCGGCTGCCAAGAACCAGCACGACGACAGACCGACCACTGTCAAAGGCGCTTACGAGCCGGTAGGAAAGGTCGACATTGCCGCAATCCGTGCTAAGGCTCAAAAACCATCAGAGCCAGAGCCAGAGCCGGCACAGGAACCTGAGGCGGCAGAACGGCCCAAGTCACTCGCAGAGCGCTCCGCAGCATTCAGTCAGTCTGAGCGTATCACTGAGCTCCCGAAACCCAAGGTCGCAAAGAAATGGGGTGGCGCCTCTAGCTTCACCGGCACAAAACCACTTACTCCTGGTGCCTTGGGTCTACATGGTCCAGTGGCAACCCCAGCCGCTGCGCCTGTTGGGTCCGCCAGCCGTACATTCGCAGACCAGGGCGGCAAGACCCCGGCCCAGCTGTGGGCAGAGAAGAAGGCTGCGCAGGGAGGCAGTGTGCCCCCTGCGGCAACATCTCCGTCGCCTATCGCACCTCAGGCAAGTGGTAGCGCCAATGGTGGAGGCGGCGGTGGCTGGCAGAGCGGTTACTCGGGCAAGAGCTGGGCTACGGTACAAACCGGCTCGTATGGTCGTGGCATCCCGGGCCAGAAGACTGGTGACACGGCGACCAGCTCGGAACCTTCTGCGCCTGCCATCGAGAGCCAGACTTCCGGGTCGATACGGGATCGCTTCAAAGAGGTGGCTCCTACCGGAGTTGCCGCTGTTGGAGGCGCTGCTGCGGGCGCCTTTGCTGCTTCTCGGGCGACTGGCGCGGACGAGGACGAGGACAGTGGGCCGCCACCGCCTCCTATGGGTGCTCGCCCGCCTGTCGAGAGCTCTTCTGGCGCTCCAGCCGGCGGCTTCGCACTTCCCGGCATGCCTCCTCGGCCACCTCCTCCTACCGACGAAGAGGAAGAAGAGCCAGAGCCATCGTCGCCTATCAGGGTTGCCATGCCCGTCGCACGTGCGCCGGAGCCTGAGATTGAGCCGGTGCAAGAGCCCCCCGTGTCACTGCCGACAAGGACGCTGGAGCGTGCGGTGCCCAAGGAAGAAGACCTGCCCACCGAAGAAGAGTCCTACGACCCGCGTGCGGCATCCGAAGCTGTCGCACAGGAGGAGTTTGGGTCTGCCCCCGCCGCATCGAGCGGCGGAAAGCGTGCTCTGATTCAGTACGATTACGAGAAGGCCGAGGACAACGAGCTCGAGCTGCGCGAGGGCGAGTACGTCGAGAACATTGAGATGGTGGACGAGGATTGGTGGATGGGCACGAACAGCCGAGGCGAGTCCGGCTTGTTCCCCAGCAACTATGTTGAGCTGGTCGAGGACGCCAACGATGGCCCGGCGCCTCCAGAGCCACCTGCCGCTTCGCGCCCTCCGCCGCCCCCGGCACCTGCTGCGGAGCCGGAGCCAGAGCCTGCGCCGGCGGCTGCAGGTGGAGCTACGGCGACGGCCGAGTTTGACTACGAGGCTGCCGAGGACAATGGTAAGTGGACCACTTGACAATATTCAGACGTGGCTACGTTAGGCTGACACGATATGCTGCAGAGCTGAGCTTCCCCGAGGGTGCGACAATTACCAATGTCGAGTTCCCCGATGAGGACTGGTGGTTTGGGCACTACAAGGGCGATTCTGGCCTGTTCCCGGCCAACTATGTCAAGCTCGACCAGTGACGTCGAGACGCGGCAACTAACGAGCAGACTGTGTATCGAGGTGTTTAAAAACTGGATTCAAAGATAGAAGAGGCACTTTGCAGACGGAAAAGATGACAACCATGCACACGAAGATGATGCTGAAGAAGCACCCTTTGATCTGTGCATCCGCCACTAGGGTTCTGAGCGTGACTGTAGTCGGACCTCAACGATGATCCCGCCGTGCTGTGCTGGGTCTTGTGTGACGAGCTGGGCCGATCTTGGACTCCCCAGCTTCCCGCCTCACAGGGGCCCCCCATGGTAAGGCTTCAGCCGCAATATCCGGGAAATACAGACGGCGATGCCGGCCCGCAGACAAGTTGAGAGGATAATCCACACAAAACCACTCTGAGGGTCCTATACGCACTCGAGATAAGCAGTTCCTAGTCGGCGAGCATGTCTGTGGAGGCCAGCACCCTTTGGTTGAGCAGTCACTCTGCCATGACAACATGATGGTGCCTTGAAAAGGACGCTAGAGAGGTCCAGGCCGGATCGGCTAAGTCGGCAGCTGCTAGTTATGGGAGGAAGGGAGAGCTTGCGTAATGCGGGGCGGGGCCCGCGGGCGGCCAGCTGCCATCAGTAGCACACGACTTTGTAGCCTGGGAGTCGAGGAGAGCGATGCTGACGACGCCTGTGGCTTGAGACGGCACCAAGTCCAGATCTGCATCTTGGGGATGCAGAGCGAGTGGAGGGAGAAGGCATAGCCTCGCCCGCTCAAGGGTTTGTTCACAGCCACAGTGGCCGCGGGCTGCGATGTGGACGCCGTCCGGGGAGGAGCAGCAGACGTTCGAGTCAAAAGGTTCAGTGACGTGGGCTTCTGTTCAGATACGATCGTTGTCGTGGTCGGGTCGTCGTGGTCGGGTGGCTGGAGCGGGCTTTGATTGCACGAAGCTCTGGTTGCCTTAGTCTTGCATCACTCCCGCTCTTTGAGTTTGTGGCCTGCCTCTCCCACGGCCTGGTCACTTGCTCTCTGCCAAAGGCCCCTGCCCTCATGGCCCCGTGCATTGTTTTTTGCCCACTGCAGCTGGGCTGCCTCTGATGGGCAACTTTAATTCCCTGCCCCCAAAGACCGCCCATCCCCTTCAATTCTTCACGCGTGCGTCCTTTTCTAGCTCGCTCCTTGTCCTCTTTGCCCACCTCGCTTCTTCCACAGCACTGCCAGCGACGCCAACCGACCAGCCGTCCTCTGCTCATCCTCTGCTGCTCTACGCGCACAACTCTCGCTCGCCAGCCAGCCACCTGTTGCTCCTTTGTATTCCGGGAGATTGGTAAGTCGTCGTCGTTCTCGTCGTGTGCGACCACCCGAGCCAGAACCCCGGGTCTGGGCACGCTCTGCCAAGAGATCTCCAGCCCGCCCCAGCCCAAGCCCTGCATGAACGAACCCATCAGGAGCACCCGTGGACCCCCTTGCCTGTGCCAAGAAAACGTCACCCCAGGACCCGGGTCGTCGTGCAGTGCAGCGCCTCGTTTTTGTGGGAACGACAAAACGGCCTTTTGGTGAATGTTTGACGTCGGCCGTCGCCACTTTACCTTCATTTTGCCAACGAAATTCGCATCTCTTCTTTTTTTCCTTTTTAATTCCCAGTCGTCAATTCCCAATCGTTCCATCTAGCACTGGCACTGTCATCACACTCGCTCAATTTCGTCTCCCCGGTCGCGACGACTGACACAAAATACAAAGCACAGAAGAAGCTTGGCACTCGTCTAGCCCTCGCAACCTAAGCTGCGCTTAGCCTCTGCAACAACATCAGATTTCCGCATATTTATAAACCCACAACCTCAACCACCATGGGCGAAAATCGCGACTACTACAACCAGGGCGGCGGCGGCGGCGGCGGATACTACCCGCAGCAAGGCGGATATGGTCCCCCGCAGGGCGGCTACGGAGGACCCCAGCCTCCTCAGATGGTACGCTTCCTCCTTCGCCTGTCATCTCATCGCATATCACTGGAAAAGGCATCACGTCCACCAGAGGGTAAAATCTCATGTCCTTCACTGACACCGGTGACTTGAGGAACTATAGTCCTACGCCCCGCCCCAGTCTTACGGCGGCCAGCCCCAGCAGCCGATGTACTACCAGCAGCAAGGCCCTCCGCCCCAGCAGGGCCGCCGTAACAACGACGGCTGCCTGAAGGGTCTGCTTGTCGGTATCCTCGCGTGCTGCGCGTGCGATGCCTGCTGTGACTGCTGCGAGTGCTGTATTGACATGTGCTAGTTTCGTTCTTGGGGTTCGCGGGTTGAAATATGTCAGGGAGGAGGGCATATGGAGGTCGAGGCGACGAGTGCTCATCTTTTTAGTTAAGTGGCTCCGCGTGAGGAGGCTTGTCTTTGGAGACCTGTCGAGTGGTGTGAAGAGAGGAAGATCTGTCTAGCTCTCCTTGGTGACTGTGTAAACGGAGCTGTGGTGTTAAGGGCTGGCGTTGTCAGGAGTACTCCTTTTGTGTTTAGAGATTGTTTTGGAGAATACATCATGCTCTACTTTGGCTGTTTTCACAAACATTAACAACTTTGTCTTGTATGGATATAACTTTGTGTTATGCCTCTTCAACTCTCGTGCGACATCCGTGAGGAGTTGTACTTTCAAGGGATTAGCTTAAGTGTGCGTACCTCAACTGCTCCGAGTCGAGTAACCCCAGCAATTGTCATTTCCCCTCAAAGAGCTAATCAACTTCACTGCGAAGAATGACTTCTGCCTCACGGATTGCCAGGTTGACATACTGGGGAGCGTGAATTGGGTGTATTTTATTTACGCAGAGACGAACCACAGTGCTTCGACCAAGATGTCTTCCTCCCCCGAGGGTTCGGCGAATATAAAGGTGGGGTTTCCGTATGGCTCTTATGATCAAACCAAGTTAAAGTACATGCGAGCTGCCATGTACAACGCTAGATGGCAGAGCCTCGTCTAAGAAATACTCATTGAGCCATTACTTACCACTCCTTCAGCTGCTTCATCGTGCCGGAGAGGCTCGTTGTCGAACACAACTCGCTCGCACAGCATGCCGGAAGTTGTGAAGAATGCCATATATGTGTGGTGGTAGCAATGCGCGAGAGAGCGTCTGCGAAAATTAAGGTACGTCGCGTGTGTGTACATTCGAAATCTCTGAATTGCAAACTCTGAGTGCGCAAGACACGTAACCAGACGTTATCCGCAGATGGCGCTGCTAATTCGTAGGATATATCAGCGTTGCTATCAGCTGTCTGGCAAAATAAAGATGAAATGCGGTGCCCCGAGAATCATTTCTTAGAGCGCATCAAGGTCAGCCTCGTGAAGTTCCAACACAACGATATTCCTCCAATGTACCTGAAAACTTGGACTGAAAACAGTACTCTGTCTAGCAGCAAATGCTTGGCTAAGTTATTCAGCAGATACCTTCTTGTTCTTCTCCTGCCCAGCAGCCCCCGCCGCCTCAACACCCCTATTTCCCACCGATTTCCCCCTACCATGCCACGTCCCCAGCCCGCAACCCTCATAAAGGTCCATAAACTCTGCATTCAACATCTGCGTCCCAACAAGTACCACGACAGAGTACGTAGTGATATTCAGCGAGTACAACTCCAGCCTATCGCCCGCCTGCTTGAAGAAGTCGCCCAGCTTGACAACATACGAGGTCACCCCTCCTGCCTCCGTGTACGCGTCGCGACGAACAAAGAACCCGTCATGGCGAGGCGAAGCCCACGAGTTGTGCCAGTACACGTCCACTGTGGGCGGCCCGGATACGCACGCATCGGCTGCGGTGATCTCGCGGACACGGCGCTGGGAGAAGTCGTTGTACCGGCCGTCCACGATCGGGTAACCTGTCGTTGTCCTGGATGAAGAAAGAACCGGCAGTTAGAGGCGGGGAGGCTCGGGCCAGTGGATTCTTGTGGTCATGAATGCATGGAACCGGGCACAGGGGCGCGCCAACTTTGGTACGAGAATGAGAGCGCGGGTTTAGATACCATGATTGGAGGATTGGGGTGGTCTTGGCCTCGCGCAACTTCTTCTGTTCCTCTTCCGGCAGCTGTTTGGGGATATAGAACGGGCTAGTCCTGAGCCGATCCCACTCTGTCGCCATGGTGTTTTGTGATCTACACGTGTAAAGTGTCGTGGTTTCGTCGAGAGAGCTGTGCGTTAAGCTGCAGAAGCCAATCCCAAAGCTTTCGAGAGGTGGTTTTAGGTGGGCGATGGAAGGAACGATTAGACTGAGTGCTGCTGCTGCAACGGAGCAATCGAATCCCGCTTTCATTTACGAGAAGATGAGCGCACTTCCTGCTCTGCCGTGCAGCCAACTGCATTCAGTGGCCTGACCGGACCATGTGACATGCGAGAAACGGCTGGGTTTGTGTGACCAACTGCAGAGATCTGTCGCATTTAAGCATAGTCATGCGATGGCCAATAGAGACTGTTCCAGGGGTGTCTATCGTGGCCATGGATTGGCCGATTGCCCAGGTCCCAGAGACGTGCGTTGTAGTAGATGCAGTTGGTCGCCTTGCAGGTGTCAAGGGTCCGTCAAGGATAATCCATATCCCACCAGTCAAACAAAGTGCCTTCCAGAACTCGTGTCGTGGTTTGGGGGCCAACATCGTCGCTGAATCAACCAACATCATCACGCTGGACTTGGTTTCCCCGCTCAAGGCCCGACTCTTAGACTCACCAGGCGAGTATAAAACATGGTCAGGTATACAAATTTCCAACTCCACGAGGTCGTTCTTCACCATCCTGGTTCATCCCACACTACTTCTCGGCTTCGAACAGCATACAGCTTTGGTGACCAGTTTGTCTCTCCTCGAGATATCGTCCCCGGTCATCACTCACGATGAAGGTAGAGGATTTTCCTTCGACCCCTCTCCAACGAACCTTTGCTGACGGCCCAAATCCAGACTTTGACCAGGACAGCCTCCTTCCTAGCTGTTCTTCTCGGTGCCGTCGTGCACCCAGGTTTTGCCGCACCCCTCGAGTCAATCGACATCGAAGCACGCCAGTTCGGCGTGCACGGATATCTTTACTGGTGCAAGAACTCGGTCGTTGAGAGTACGTGCCGAAGGGATTGGGACTCGCGCTGCCACCAAACGAACGGGAACATCATTACAAACAATAGAGCGCTGTGTGGGGAGCTAAACTGCGACTGTGAGGCGATTATTGTTTGTGAGATCTGCAAGGGAAATGAGGAGGAGGCTGTTGCGGACGGCGTCGAGGTGGAGGCTGCTGAATAGGCTTCTGCATTAAGACTTCTTTTCGTTGGATTGGCGGTTCAGGATTGCCAATTCTTGCGAGCTGTTGTCTTGGTTAGTGCCCTCCATTGCATATTGAGTCGGGGAAAGATGACTGTTTATGTGGATGTGTATGCCACAGATCACCGATGTCTAGTTTGAACACTAGTTGCTCTAACCCGTCTCTCAAGACAGACAAATTCCTTCGCACTGAGAACCAGATAGGCTTGCTGAGCCTGTGCTTCTCCCTTCGCCATCCATAACGCTATGGTCGATTTTGTCCCCTACCTCTGACTTTGTGATCCAGCCGAGGTTCTGCAAGATTTTATCGATGCATGCCGGATTGTGAGAACAGGCCTCTCTCTTTTAACACACAACTGCTACCTAAGGCTTCTCCTCGCTGTCAAGCAGCGCTTGTCCCCAAGAACAAAGACCTAGTTTGTCTCGTGGCGCACCCTTGGGCCCTAAAAGAAACCGCAAGTCCTACAGGGACTGAGCGGCCATGCTCGTCTCCTCCGTCCTTCCTGGCCTTCAGAATCAGCCCTTCTCGCATGGGATTGTAGCTGCCATGCTAGTGCAAGTACCATTCACTATTCTCACACGGTTGAGTAGCATGCTAGCGTCCACGCGAGAAATGAAAGCATACCCGCAGCCTTGGACTTGCTTGGCCTGTAAACGGGAAGCTCTAAAGCGCTTCGCATTCATGCCTTTGCCTGATTCAAAAGTCTCCAAGCGTCGAGTTCACGTCGCAAAAATTCCCGGTGACCAGGCGAACGTTCTGTGAGATAGGAGCATCGACAGAAAGGAGGCGAAACAGCCCCCCACTATCGTGCCACGAGATTGAAATTAGTTCGTATAAGGCGCGGCTGTCGCTCTTACCGGTGCTGGTGCGGCTGCCGCCGCTGCGCCCCGGGACCTTCGAGGATCATTATGCTACACGTTCGTACAGCCAAACCTCTTCTGCGCCGCTTCATTTAACGCGCAGAATTCACCGCGAGACTCGTCCTGTGAGCAACAGCGTCTCGTTGCCGACGGTCCAGGGTAATGCAAGATGAATATGGCTGACTCCCATAAAAGTCATACATCACCTTCAATGCGGGGGAAATCCGCAATTCCGGCTGCGATTCGCTGGCAGTGCTCGATACAGGGCGACCAGTATCCAGAGTTCCTGATTCCGCGGCACCACATCTGACCGGCTTCGGGCCAGGATGTCCTCCAAACAGCCTCGCAGAGCTCGATTGGGAGCTCGAGAAATCTCGAGAATCGACCTTGAAGACCCTGTGTGTTCTTTCTCTTCTTCTCTCTCGCGTGCAGCCATTGTGGAGCGTCGGTGGAATCGGGCGGCGATGATAAAGCCATGGCTGGTAAGGTGCTCAGCATCGGGATGCTTGCGTATGTTTGCGGTGCGGTCGATTGTTAACCTGGGGACAGTTCAGAGGCAAGATGCAAAGATGCTATTTGTGTCAGTTCCAGTAGAGTACGTCCAGTCATGTTTGTTGGTTGGTGACTCACAAGTCACGGGCGGAGCATTCTGCCAGCACGGCCTCTGTACTGTTTTCAGCAAAAGGGAGATCGGCCGCTGGATCTGTCTTGTGCACAGAGAAAGCCACAGGAGTACGAAATAACAGTCCGAATGGGGCCGAGTCAGAACTCCCGTATTCACGTTGGGGCGGAACTTGTTCGGAGGCCCTAGCCATGACGAAAGCGTGACCGTTACTCTCTGGACCGTCCGGTGTGAGGAGAGGAGCGCCATGCAAGAAGAGCCCGGCCAGTAAGGAAGCGGAAAGAGGCCCAAGGTGCACGATAAGATCATCCTCCCCGTCTGGTATTCCTTACAATTAATATGGAGTGCGGTTTGTGCGCCGACAGTGACGACGGATATGAAAGCCAGACCCTCACGTACCATGGCATGGCTTAAGATGCTTGAGAGGAGGCTTTCTAATTGATGACAGCCTGTGAAAAGGCTTGGCTGCAGGTGATATGTTTGTATCTATCATTCACCAGTTGGCGCCGCTTCGGACCGTCACTTCTTCCCAGTCTTTCTCCTTGGGAAACCACACCACATTGAAATTTGCGTTTCTCGAGAGACTATGTCCACAATGTCAACACAGCCATCGCACAGGATAACAGCTCCCCGGCCCAGGCAGAACCCGTGGTCCTTTTCGCTGAATTCTGACTGCTTCCAGTCGTCGTCGCGGCTGTCGGCTGGATCCCGCTAGATGCGGCAGCAGAAACGGAAGGAAACGGCCCTTTTCCATAGAGCACGACAGCGCCCCAGACGGCCATGTGCTCCTTGCCGCCGCAGGATTTCTGCTTCTCGTTGCCCGAGCACGTCGAGTTGCAGGAGCCCCAGCCAGAGTAGTGGTAGTCGGCAGGGGACATCAGGTGCGGCCCGCACCAGCACTCGTCACCGTTGCGCATGCCCATGAAGGTGATGGTCTTGCTGGGCAGCAGGTCCCAGCAGCGGGCGCGGCAGTTCTGGACCGTCATGCTCTTGTCCCCCTTGCTGATCTGCTGGTCGAGAATTTTGTTCGCGAAAGGGTCCGGGCCGGTGGGGTAGCACGAGTACGGCTTCCACAGCCACGGTGAGGGGATCGGGGTGCCCTCGACGACGTGCGTGGGCGTCCCGGGCGTCGGCGTGGGCAGCGAGCTCACGAGGCTGACCCAGAAGGGATCCGTCGCGGTGGCGATGTAGTCGGCGTCGCGCTTCGCGTCTGAGATGCAGTACGACTGCTGCCAGTACCAGCCCTTGCAGTCGACTCCGACGCTTGGGTTATAGGTGTTGAAGTCCTCTGCGGTGAGGCCCCAGTACGCACGGAACTGCTCGCACGTCTGGTTCTCGTCAGGCTCCTGCCATGTCGTGCACGTCGGGATCGTCTCCGGATCCCACTGGTATTCGGGCCATCCTCCAGCTCCAGCCTCCACGGGAACGGGCGCGATGAGCAGAGTGCTCGCGCTGGCCAGGACAGCCAGCGCCAAGCGTGTGTTGCCCGTCATGGTGTCTACTGCCTCGTCGTTCTGCGCGGCGATGGTCGTCTTTGAGCAAGTTGTCACTTCAAACGTGATGGAAGGAGTTGTTAGAACTGGGAGATTTGAAAAGACAATGATACGCATATTCAGAGAAATTCGAGCAAGGGCACCCTTGGCCGGCAAAGTCGCGGCTCATTTCCGACTGGATCCACAGAGTTACGCTGACGCCGCCGAATTTGGCATGTGTTCAAGTCTTGGCGTTCGCGATGGTCTTTTGCAAGTCCTCTGGCAGGGGCTCAAGGCTTGGCACAAGGTCCATAATCTCTCGTGTCCGCGGTGCCTTACAAACTTCAGACGATTGACCGCCGTCGCTGTTGCCTGATGTTAGCGCAGACATAATATCATCGTCAACCTTGGAGAGTTCACTGGCGATAAGCTTCAAGAGCATCTGGGCTTGCCAGTATCTCTTTGAGCCACTCCCCGAAGGGTCTTGGGTAATGTATGCGACGAAACATTTTGGCTTGTTCGTTGCAAACCCCTTGATACTCGGAGGTAGAAATGCTCCCACATCTTGACCTGAACTTCACGTGAGACAGTCGCAATGCACGGCGCGGCGTGCTGACAGCATCGCCGGCCGAACGGCCAACTTCACGCAGTTCTTCGCGATGAAGTCCTCAGATTGATGACAAGTTCGACCGAAGTCCCTCAGGCCTCGATCACAACCACCCAGACCGTGAAAACTACTACCATCGCTACCGCAACCGCGAGCAGCATCACCACTGAGACCATAACCTCGACCTCGACCTCGGTGGCCCCCGCAGTAACCATCTACGCCAGCTGCGGCGCCAACAACATCCTGAGCAGCTACCAGGGCCAGCCAATCGTTAACGTCTACAACAACGGCAACGGCCAGCTCACCGGCGCCGGCAATATTTGACAACGTCGACGGCGACAGCTCGGCCGTTGACTGCTGCGTGCAGTGCCTCGACACTGCTGTCCGCAAAGGCGCCGTCTTCCCCAACGGCGGGACTTGGTGCTACCTGCTGCACTACTCCCTGCGCACATGCACTGGTCAGACCGCCAACCAGGCTCTCTTCGTCACGAACCCCGACGACGTCAGCAGCGGGTACATTCTGTCGGACGAAACCTGCGGCTACCAGCAGTTCTCACATGACAGCAGCAGCTAGTAGGGCTTCAATTGGGGGACCAGCGGTGCCTTTGCGACTGACTTCAATGTGCGGTATTCGTGAGGTTGGCATCCGCCGATGGCCGGACGTTCGTCGAAATCAGAGGAAGCTGTTGTCTTTGACAACCACTCCAAATGATCATACTCCAAAGCTTGCCTCCATCTGGGACGAAGCTACAGCCGCCTCTTCTCAAATTGCCGCACAAAAGCGATCTAGGACTAATCACCTAGGCAGTTTCTCACTGTGGCGTGAGGGCAACTACGGCGATCTCACTTAAGCAAAGCTCATATTGGTAAGGGTGGTCAAGAACGACTTGTGGAAACGTCTTCTTGACGTGCCAAGACACGCACAGGAGCGCTTGATAATTCCCAGCCTGTTGAGATGGGCAGATAGTCAGATCCTGGCCAATTTATACGTCAGCCCTTCTTGGACAGCCTAGAGTCGATGATCCTTCACCTGATCCAAAGCCATCGAATAATTTGGCCAAAATGTACCGTTGGGGTGCTGGGGTCTGGTCAGGCAGTCACACAGTTGAGGTAGGGACGCTCCTGGACCATCTCGTTAGAATTCGAACTTTCCAGACTGCAAGCTGTTACGCAGCTTCTTTTGGTCAGTTAAATTATGGAGACGCTTCTCGACGTAGGTGGTAACGCTTAGGCACAAGAAGGGCATGCCAGCTGCCTTACTGTTACTATGTGCCCGTGTCACCGTGCTTGTCGCGGGTCCAGCGACTACAAATCTGCTACTATCACGAACGAAGGAGGTGTCGACCACTCAGTGCGGGGACAACGCAACGGCTTCTTGGTGGCGCCATTCTTCTCCCAGTAGAGTGGGACATTGGCTGGTTTTCTCCACTCGAGTTTTTCCCTAACAGAATCATACGACAATTGCTAAGTTCTGCCGAGACATCTGGCACATGTTTTGTTTTCTGTGCACCGAAGACCAATCATGGCCTTCAGTCTGAGATAAGACATTTAAGACTGATCCCACCTGCAGAAACATCACGCACAACCTATAGGACATTTCCTCCACCGACCCATTTAGCTCACCATCAGACACCTTTGATTTTGCAGGTCTCGGAGAAGCACGGACTCGTCGAAGATGGCTGGCCAAAACACGGTCTGTTGCGAGGTCGTTTCGGGCATAACCTGATGATATTAGCGTCTTTGGCCAGCCGGCCCAGAGCCCGAAAGTCGGTGTGGAGCAGTTGAAAACGAAACCAATACTAGCCAGAGTCCATTTTTGCGGCGCTTGGGGGCACTCAGCGAGGCCATCGCCATTGTTCGAGCTAGTTGGTGGCTGAAGGAGACTTGTACGGTGAAGTCTAACAGTAGACGCTTTCTTAAGTCAAAGCCTATTTGTCCCGTGAAACATGGGAGGGGCTCGCTCAGCTCCGAACCTGCAACATGAACGATCAGTAAACTAAGCGCAGCAAAGCTTAGGCCTTGGTCTGCAGCTTCGTGTCTGACTAGCCTGGGGAAGATTTCATGGTCCATCACTAATGCCGAGTCGTTCAGCTTGCCTCAGACCCAGCCCGCAGGCACGCTCTAGCCAAATAAGGCATCTTGGCCGAGAACCAAGCAACTGAGGCGGGTGAAGAATTGCTTATGTTTCTGATTGCAAGGATAAGCCACACCAGCTCTCCGTGGAGGAAGTTGATCTGTGGCGTTGTCTAGACGCAGTGCCGATCACCACACGATTCAGCCTTTGCAGCTAACAGCGCGCTACTGCTGCCGCGTGCTGGACCCCAGATCGAGCTTCACAAGGATTTCACCAATCAAGGTTCTAGACAAGAAGCTTATCAGGGTTGACATCAAGGATCGCGGAAGTCCAGATCCAAACATGGTGCTTAGTTCCCTTGTTCAAATAGCCCTCTTCCGCACGTAGCCTGTCGTGGCAGTGCCGTGCACCAGCGCTTCCACACTTCTACGTCTCCCAACACGATGCGCTCCTTGACGTTTTTCGCCTTGCTGGCGCCAGCCGTGGGCTTGGTAGCCGCTTCGCCACTCGAGCTTAGAGCTGGCCTACTCGAGCCTCGAGCTGACCCCTTTTGTGGCGCTGTCCAAAAGGCAGTGACCTTGCTGAAGCAGCAAGCCGCGGCGACCAAATACTGCGTCTCGTACTTGTCCATAACCACACCAGCAGCGGTGGTGGTGCCGACTACAGTCACAGTCACTACAACGCCGTAAGGACAGATTGCGAGCACGACGCGGGAGAACCACACTGACATAAATTAAGCATCACGGCTCTCCCAACGGACAACCCTTGTTTCGTCAATGCGAAAGCTCCAGCACCCCAGGTTGCAGCGAAGCCACGAAGAGCTCTCATACACGCGTCCGACGACGCTAAATCACCGCATGAGAAACATTCGGCGTCCCAGCACGAGGAGCGAGCGGTTGCCAAGCCGGCTCCCTTTGCCGCATTCAATGCCGCCGCGGTCATCTCCTCGGCCTGCAAGTGCCTCTCTATTCTAACCCCGGCGACCCCGACGATATATGTATGCCTACGCCTCTCTTTCTCAAATACAAGGGCAAATCGAGACTACATGCTGACCAGACCGACTTGGTTGACGTTCCAGGACACGACGTACGCAACCCCAACAGTCTATTCTGATAAGTTCGCCATATACGATGGCGCGGGACGTTATCTCCAGTATAGCCTAGGTTCAGAAACGCCTTTCTATTTTGCTGGCAGTGACCTCGGAGCAGCCACAACCTGGCAGCTTTACGCCCCCATGAGGTGCTGGGTGACTCACTGGGACCCGGATCCCAATTTCCAGAAACCTGTCCTGATCAGCGGCGACCCGTCGGTTGTCAAATTCTCCGGGCCGATAGATTCTGATGGCCTATCCGGTCAAGGAACCTTGCACGCTGATGGCACTGCCAAGCTCGCATTCAGTGGATACTCGAGTGGGATTGCTCGCTTTACGCTGTCCACTTCAAACAACATCTGGACTGTGACACAAAATTCCGATGCCAACCAACAGTATTTGGACCTTTACGCACGAGCGGTGGCGGTATAAGATGTTTACGCCTGGGATCATCGTGCATCATAAACAGTTCCCACAGGTGATGGCTGTTGTCCTTTGCGGTCTAGCTTCAATAAAAGTCATACATCACATTCAATGCGGGGAAATCCGCAACTCCGGTTGCGGTTCGCTGGCAGTGCCCGATACAGGGCGAACAGTATCCAGAGTTCCTGATTCCGCGCACCACAAGCCTCCAGGGTGATGCTACAATCCTGAGTGAAGCCCATGACGCATACCCGGTCGGCCTCTTTTTGATCCCGTTCCCCGGATGACAACTATACTCACAGCGCTGTGAGGGAGCCACCCCACACAGTCCGTTCTTGGTGCTGACTCGCGACCCGACGGATCTCCTAGGTCACCCACCACACGGCGCGCGCCACACGACTCGCACATAGGCTTTCTAATCACTAGTGGTTACCGAAAGCCAGGGTGCGAGTAGCTCAACGAGGGGGGGATTCCTTGGCCTTTCCCAGGTCGGAAGATTGCCCGCTCGGAACAAATAAGTGCCGGCACTGGGTGTATCAACTCCGCACTCTGCTTTCCAGCACTTGATCACTCTGGTGATTCTGTCATTTCTGTTTCTAGACCTCGCTAGCTTGACGGACAGGTAGTGGTGGGGGGAGCCCGGATGATTTGGGGTTTGATTAATAAGCCGCGTGATTGTGCTCTCCATCCTACTGATAACTCAAAGTCTTGGGCTGAACCGTTGCAGCCAATTAGAACTGCCAATAGGAAGAGACAGCACGGTGTCAAGATATGTCCCAATGGGGTAATCAGACGTAAGTTGCAAGCAGAGACCTCGGCTGCCCCTGGGTTACGATGTACACGTGTTTGAATGTTATCAGCTGCGCAGGGGGCTCGGCGATATAGTGCTACACTTGAACGCCAGCCACGTCAAGGTTTTTGTAACTAGTCTGTGTTGAAATAAGATCTACCGCAACTGGTTGTGACGTTGCTTGATTTGTAACCCCCCCCCCCCTTCCCCTTTTAGACGCTCGTCTTGGTCGTGTATGTCTGTAACGTGCTAGGTCTGCCCTTGTGTGTGAGCTTGGCACAGCCTGAATACACATCCTTTGTATCTTCAAGGATTGGCACACCGGGGGTCTGGCTGGACCCTAGCAGAATGACACATCCTCGACTAGAGTTGATGATGATCATCTAGGCCGTTGTTGCTTGCATGTCCCACGTATGAAGCTCCTCTCATCGATAGCAGCGGATAGCAGACAGTCAATGGCAGGTTGGCAAGTAGTAGTCAGCACAGAGAAGGGACCGCCACCACACCGTTAACGCTGCAAACCATGTGCACTTCCTGCAGCCACCCGGCTGAGGATCGTCGACCGAAACGCCAAGAGTAAGCCGGCGATCGGTAAATCCAGCCACACCTCGCCTGTAAAAGAGCCAGGGCAGGAATGTGCAGCATGATTGTGCAGCAAATATCCCCTTTATCCGTTGATCGTCCCCCACGCAAAACACCAAGACCGACGCACAGGCGGTGAAAGTGAGGCCGCCCCCCGGATAATCCGAGGCCTGCCAGGGCGTAGGGCTGTGGGATCCACGAGCGGGGAGCCCCAGGGTCATGATAGACGGACCGTTGCGATGAGTGTGGTGGCACGGATTCGCAGTAGGGGCCGAACTGCCAGTCTGGGAGATGGGACCGAACAAATGATCGGTGCCTAGAATGGACTATTATAAAAAAGGGCCAGCATGTCAAAGGCCCCGCAGTGGCGGCTGAAAGGGGAAATCCCCAGGTGATTCCTCCCGGACACGAAGACATGATAGCCACGAGGGAGGGAGCCATCTGATGACTAAAATGTACGCGAGAATTGTCGCAGGGGATCCCCTGGCGCCACTTGTACACTATTTTATCCCGCGGAACGACCTCCGGGGGAACAGGGCAAGAGAGGAGCCAAGACGAAGCGATCGAGCCAGCCCAACAGACATGGGTCTCTTTGGCCAGGGTCTTTTGCTGTATGCATGTGAAGACGCCGGGCCGTCTTGAGAGTGGCGGGCAATGACCAAAAGGACACTAGATGCACGCCCCCTCTTCCCCCTTCTCCCTTCTGTGTGCCTCGGGAAGACGATCCAGCCGCGAGTCGTGAGCTGAACGACGGCGTTTTTCAAGGGCATCGCACAGGCACAGCCACACGTTACATGCAGGCGTCACTCCAGGAATCACCCGGATTTGGCAAAGCCAACCAATCACTGCAGCATTCAGCCCATGTGTCTCATATTCCATGCTCTGGAACTATCTGGACCAGCAACGAGTTTCGGCTCCGATGCACCCAGTCCATCCACCAGACGCGGTTAAATGGCCTATATAACTCCTACCATGCCCAGGAAGACGGAGGAACCATAACCCTGCAGATAACAGAAAGATCTCGGCGCTCATCAGTGGACGGAGAACAATAGCATGATCATGAGAGCAGGATACATTTGAAGGGCGGGCTGATTCCGTGGCGCTAGCTCCGTCGGGTGCATGATGGCAGGAGTTGTTGGACCCAGGATTTCAACCAGGGGAGGCATCCCCCTAATCATTTCCTCAGGCAGTCACCTCGTCAAGCAGAGAACAAACAAACCTGCCGGTGTTCAAGACCATTCTGCAGATTAGGGTTAGGACTTCGGAGCACAATCAATGGAGATGGAGTTGTGGAGACTCGTCGTTACAAAGCACAAGACCCTCAAACTCATCTCTTGCACTCGACATGATGCCACCGTATCGCCAGGGACGAGACAGGGAGAAAGGCGAAGAGATACATCAGCCATCATCTTTCATGGTCGACCTTGCCGCTATGGCATCTTGCTTAAGGGCAGCAAGAAGACACTCCAAAGACTCACCGACCCGTGAGGCATGATCCGACCAACAATTCCGATCGACTCTCCGTCCAGCGGGGACATCCTGTGGGTATGTAGGCCGAGGCAGATGAACGCTGATTTGCCATCTGACCAGCAATACCCAACCGCGGCTTCCGCAACTCATGGCGTGCCTAACGGCATCCAACGTGGTCTCCTCACCGTCGTGCTACGAACGCCGGATAGCAAAAGGTTCGCCGGCGTTCTACGCATGAACCATCGCTACATTGCAGGTAGCACCAGAGGCGACTCTGGCTTCCCCCATGCCGGGTCTAGCCGCTTGCCAGTATTCCATATGCTCCAGGCAGCTGAATTATCTGACGAAGGGTCAACCCTTTCCACCTGCTCGCTGGTTTCATGGGGTGAGCCACAACAACACTTGCTGTGTCCCGCACATTATCTGCACATCGACCACGGTTAAGATTAACCACGCCATGGCGCGGTGTATTTTTAGAGCCACAAATGTCACCCCACGCCCGTGGCCCTCTACTCCTTCTGAATATTGCCACACGGCCAGGGGGTCCCGGGAAGCGCGCTAAAAGTTGCACATCGATCGCGGGATTGGAACGAAGATGCCTCCAGATCCCATAGCAAAGGGCCGTCATCGACCTTGCACGGTTCCAGGCCATGCTAAGCCAGTGCTGCGGATCACCGCGGAGCTCCGAGCTTGGCATTTTCCCAGATGGCAAAGGCACAACGAATCATCCTCACTTGGTTGACGGAGTTGGCATCCCATGGTGCAAGACAGAACACTGCAAGCCTAACGACGTAAGGATGCTATACAGCCTCCGGAAGACCGCATCGCTTGTTGATAAGCCCTCATCGTGATGGGTTGCGCGAAGAGGAATCAACGGCCTGCAAAAGTTTGAGTTGGCACCTTATATTATGGATGATCGCAATCGGGCTAGCCTCAGTCAGGGATGACAAAGACTGGAAAGGTCCGGCGAGGATTATTACTGACGGCCACTGAAACGACACCCCCACATGCTGCGCGACCAGGGTCACTTCGGCGGGAGACCTGTCTGCTTCTGGGCAATTGCGCGCGCGCGAAAGCACTTCCGGCACCACCGGGCGTGGTTCCAAGAGAACAGACCCGCTAGGCTGGGCTGGGCCCCTTGCTCGACCTACCGAATGGCGGGTCTTGGTATAGACACGTACAGGTTGCGATGTGGTTGGCTATTGGGCAAGTCAGGAGCCACTGCCTGCCACTGCGCCCACAAGCTTGGACAGAAGCACCCGAAAACGCTCCGAATGGCAGGGCTGAATCCTTCCTTTCGCAGAGGGCCAAGTCCAGGGATTCTGTTATGGCGTCCTACTTGGTTGGATTGCAGCTTGAAGGTGTGGGACGCCTGGTTCATCTGCTCAGCACCTTAAATTGTTTATGCAGTCGCGGAAGCATGTCAGGAGGGTAGCAGCATCTGGATTGTGTCAAAGAGGTACGCTTCCTGCCGACTGGTGGTACGGGTATGGTCAGGACTGGCAACCAGCCGTGACCCTATTGTTGATGAGATGGCTCGGGCCAGCTCGAAATCTTCTCTTCCTTATCGACGTCGTTGTTTCCGCTGCTGCCGTAGCTGTTGAGGACAATGTTGCTGGTGGTAGTCTGGGGAGTGAGAGATTTGTGATTGGCCTAGATAGCCGACCTTTCTGATCCTTTGACGAAGATCAGGTGGCTCCCGATGCGGAGACAATCCCAGGGGCTTCGTTGGTCTGCAGTCTGGGAGCCCAGTGAATCGGCTGGACGTGTGTCCTCCTTGTACAAAGGCCTTGGCCACAAGGCTGTCCCACGGATGTCGGGCTCCCGGCCGAAAGACCTCGGGGGCCGGGCCAGAAAGTCGCTGCCTGCTGTTGCACGTGCTAAGTTGCATGAATGCAGGATGCGCTTTGAGAGGCCGGTCAACTCTGGCCGCGAGGAAGCAGGACACTCACCACGCCGTCGGAAACTTTTGCTCCTGATTGGCTAGGACGTTGCAGGCTTGGGAAGTATCCGCTAAGCCCCAGCTTCTCTGCCAGCAGGCCAACCTTTGCAGCAACAGCCTTCCGGCGCGCCGGGGCCAAGTCCGCAGACAGGCAGGTGGGGCGGGCAAGCAAGGTAGGCACGCAGGAAGTCAAGTGCAGGACGGGAGATGAACTTTTGCAAATGATCGGGCGACCGTGCCGGCGGGATCGAGGGCAAGAGCAGGCCGATGGAGACCAAGGAGACAATGGCACGAGGCGGGATGCGAGGGGGTTTCTGGAATGCAGCGGGAACCGTTGCAACGGCACTCCGAGGCCAGTGTCGGGACGACGGGGCTGTGCGTCATTGGCCTGGCACGATGCCACGATGAAGGGTGGACGAACTCGGACGAAGTCGTGGAGGAGTCGCGCCGGTAGGAGCCGGACCAGTGCTGCTCCGTGGTGTGATTCCACATGTCTGGGCAGCTGATAGGCAGAGGAACGAGGGGCCGCGGCCAGGGGCCACCGGGGGCAGGTGAAATTGAATCGAGGGTTGAGAGCGTTTGCGGCGTCCAAGGTTGTGGGTGTGTGGTGGAGGAGGCTATTTTGGGAGGGAGGCCCTTGGGTACAGTACTGGACTACCACTCTAGCGTGCCTTAGGCAGCCTGCAGCGTGGGTGTGGACCCCCCAGTCCGAGCGGGCGACCCAGCGGTCACTTTGGCCGCATGCTCCGCGCCTGCCAGATCGTGAACCCGCCCAAATGGGAAAGACTGCCTCTTGGGGAAAGAAGGGCCTGACCAGGCTGCAGGACAGGGGCCCCGCAACTTTAAACTGGAGCCCTGGCCGCAAGTGCTTTGTCATCTCGAGATGGTGCTCTACCTGGCCCAAGTGGTGGCCTCGTCGATCTGGGCAGATGCTCCGCCGCAACAGTATTCGGTTACGTGACCGGCCCCCCGCCTGGGACCCTGGCTGGTTCCATGCAGCACCAGGCTCTCTGCTGCTGCTTCTCCTCCTTCCACCACTACTACGTCGCATAATTAGTCAACTTGAGACCTCCATCGACTTTGCATACTTCCCTGCCAGCCCTATGACCCAGCGCTGCATGGGCTGTGGTCCACTGCGCACGCCCCTTTGCCGCCCACAAAACCACAGCCCCCAACGCTGGCCGTTCCTCGTCCTCATGCCGTCATGCCACTGGCTCGAGACTGGAACTGGAAGGATGAAATGTCCCCGAGGATAGCCAGAGACAACGCAACGCACACCTCAGAGGTTCCAAGCGCTGGCGGCAAGCGGCAGGAGCAGCGGCAGCGAGGTCATCTCTCGTCCTACCTCTGTACCCAATACAACCATGGCCGATGCATGAGCTGTCTGTCTACGCCTCGGAAGCATCCGTTGCGATGGAGTATACTGTGCTGACCCGCCTGCCAGGGTTCCCCCGTCACCCTGAGCCCAAGCCGGCTCGGACTCGCTCCACCCCAGTTCGCCCTGTCTCCTATCCAGACGGGGTGTTCATCTAGTTACGGCTTGCTGCAGTAGGCTTTACCATACATATCAATTACCCGTCTCCTCTTCCCCTTTCGTCAGCAGCATCTGTCGACAGCGGACCGCTTTCATTCTGCAACTTTTCCTTTGGGCCCGACCTCGTTCGCATTCTCCTCTGAGTCGACACTCTGTTCAACATGGACCACTTCAATGCCACAGTCTTCGACGGGCACATGGTGGCCACGAGAAGAGGTTTCCAGGTCACAAAGCAGAAGCACCACGGCCTCGCCTTTGTCAACACCAGCGCACAACATACTCCAGCCCCAAGCAAACAGAGCAAGAAGGCTGCGCCCGTGTCGCTTCCCCTCCCCAAGGCACCCCTCATATTCATCACAAATGAGGAGGACGAGAAGAAACATACGGCTCGATTACGTAAGGAGAGAAATTCCAGGCCAAAGAGCCAGGCGCCAGCCTGCACTTCCAGCACCAGGTCAAGTACACCAAAGCGACGTTCGCAATGTAGCCGACTCCACTCACCGAGCTCTGTCTCGTCTGCGTCGTCTCGACTCTCGTCACGCGGATCTTTCTCATCAGCAGACGATGCCTCGGACACATCAACGGATCGGTCGTCAAATCCAGACACGGAGCATTACCCTGCTCCCTTGCCGGCTTGGGCAAAGTACAAGCAGCCGCAGACTCTCCACGGATCTTACAGAAAACTGCTCTTCATGTGCCATGCTTTCCCGCCCAATCATAGCAACCCGCTCGCAAGCATAGACGGCGCGAGTCCCTCGTTGTCACCCGAGAACTTTATCTGTGCGGCCCAGGATCCCACTGCCATTCACTGTGGCATCACACTTGGTACTTTGTACGACGCTGTCTGCTCAGGCAACAGGTCTAGCCCATATCTTGACACACTGACCTTGCAACTGTGCTCCATAATCAACCGGAGACTCAATAAGGGAGAACAAGCCAGCGAAAGTCGGAGTAAGACTGTCCATGCTGTGGCCACCCTTGCAATCCTTGCAGTAAGTGACACTTGGCATTGCCCGGAAGCGCACGCAATACTAAAACTTGTTGCATAGAGTTATGCGAGGAAATGGGACCACTGGGACGTGCATATGAAGGGTCTTTTGCACCTGTTGAACCTGGGTGGTGCACAGCATGAACTGGACATGCATACTATCTCGACGATAAGAAAGTAAGTCTTCTCGACAGAATTATACTACTAGATCGTTCAGGAATTAACTGTTTGCCTCTCAAGAGCCGACTTTTGTGGCGCTGTGGCCGCAGCGACCAGCCCATACATCCCTTTCATACGGCGTCACGTTCCTCTCAGATACCCCAACCACGTGTTCGACCATGACGCAGTAACGGGCCGCCTAGTACGGCATTTGAGCTCTATAGGTCTCGAGACCGACCTAATCACGACGATCGCCGATGTCGCTGCACTCAACAAGTGTTTGACCTTATCCACGGCCACGAAGGACACATTTGCGTTCGATTCGGAAGCCGCGCTTGAACATTACTATAACCTCGGCTACAAGCTCCTGTCCACCGGGGGGCCTCTGCGGTTCTTGGATGGCAGCAGCAGCACGCTTCCGCCCAGAGAGCACAGCATCATGATCTCATTCCAGCAGTACATAACATCCATAAAGTGTGCAATACGGATCATCGTGCTGGTCTACCTCCAAAATCCGGCGTTCGACCTAGCCAACGACGAGGGCAGCCTATTTGAGCTGCTCCATCTCCACCTTGCCGCTGTCCTGTCCTACCTGCGCTCACAACAGTCCAGCCATTTGGACCAGGACCCGTTCAACTTTCTAGTCGACCCCACCATCCGTGACAGCCACGGAGCCTCCCTAGAGGCCCATCGCCCAGTGCTGCTCTGGCTCTGTCTAGCCGGCCACATCCTGCAGCGTAACTCTGAAGTCACCCGCGCAGGCTCAGAAGGCAAGGTGGAGATGGAGCTGATGGGCAAGCAGTCCATTTACAAAGACCTGCTGCAAGAAGTCCTGGGCCCAGTCGCTGCTGTTGACCCGGGCCTGGTGTCCGACTACGAACTCGAGGTCTGCAAGTGCCTGGACCTCCGGGTCGTGCTCGACCCGAGCCATCCGATGGCACAAGAAGGGGGGGATGAAAGAGGTCTGATGAGGTTCATGCTGGGTGTGTTCAAGTTGGAGTATAGCTTGTCATGACCGGCAGAAGGCTCGTATATAGCATTAGTCAGCATATAATCTCGAAGGATCAGCTTATGCTGACATTTGGCTGAAGATTTGTGCCTACAACTGACAAGGATATGGATGACTCAATCATGTACTGTTCCACAATATTCTCACACTGTCTGAGTGTATTTTCCATTAATGAAACCGGACAAGGCGGACTACGGAGAAGGAAATTGAAAAAGGATGAAACCACGCATACCGTGGGACAGACAGTCAACAGTTTCAAAGAATTGGAATAGCTGAAAACCATGATCCTTCATCCAAACACACTCTGAAAGCGGCTCATGCTCATAAGATCCAGCCAGTGCGGCCCTCCCCATCCTCGGCCTCCTCTGGCTCCTCCAGCACTGCCGGTGCTGGCCCCGCCGGAGCGAGCATGCCCAACGCCGCCGTCATCATCGTTGCCATTGCTGCCCTCGGCGAGGCTGTCATCCCTGTACACATCCATCGCAGACCACATCTCCTCGAGCAGATCGCCTGCCACGACGAGCGGTTTCTCTGGCAGGACCTGCTGGAGTTCGCGGATGCGCTGCCTGAGGAACACGCGAGCGTCTTGGACGTTTCTCGGCTGGTCAGGCGGCGGCGGCGTGGCACCGACGTTGGTGCTGGCGGCAGCGCTGAAAGACGGAGAAAAGGGATAGGCGGTGATGTACGAGGGCGAGGAAGAGGGGGAGGCTGGACTCTGACTGTCACTGGGTGGTGAAGAAGAGCCGTAGTACATCGGTGAAGCTGATGGCATGTCGCGGGAGGGAGATGTGACATAGGGCACTGCGGTATCTGTCGTGAAAGCGCTTGGCGGGCTGCTGTGAATGCTGCTGCTGCCGTCACTGTCGCTAATGCCGTCGAAGCTTCCGGATGGTGACTGGAACAAAGACGCCGAAGGAAGGAAGCCCTCCCAATAATATGTTGTGGCCAGGGGCAATGGCGGAGCCGTGAGATTGTAAATCGGTTCATGTGTCGTGTCTTCGCGACTACTCTTGTTGCTACTGCAGCCTCTGTCTCTGCCACAAGACTCCCAGGAGTTCGTCTCTCCGACATCCGTGGCCATCTCAGAAGCATCTGCAGTCTCGGATGTGGCCGACGAAGACGGCTGTGACAGACGAAGCCCGCTCGCAGCGCATATGCACAACAGTGGCTGTAAACAGCGCATGCCTGAAGACGCAGGGATGCTCTCGAGGATGCCTGTGATGTGTAATGCCAAGGGTTGCAACCAGGCCTCATCCGGCACGGCGCCACTACGATGGCAGACATACTGGGGCATTCGCTGGGCGACAAGATCCGGGAACGTCTGGTGCAGCTGCAACAGCGAGCACAAGCGATAAGCTTCTGCTGCAAGGATGATGTGTTGTCGTGTCTGGGGTTGATGGCTGAGAGAGGAGGAGGAGGGAGAGGAAGAAGTTGTGGTGGTCGTTCCAGCGGGAGATGCTTCAGAGTATGTGCCAAGTTCTGAACCGAGAAGAGAAAACAGCGACGGCCCGCTGTTGTGGCAATCACGGTTCGGTTGCGCAGCACCGGCAACGTCTCCCTCATCTTCACTATCGATGATGGACCATACGTCAATGGTCAGCAGCCTCTCTTCGAGCTCTTTCGCTTGCTCAAATTGAGCCATCGCGTTGTGCATGAGCTTGAAGTCGACGCGCGCACTCCCTCGCCACAATGCTCGGGAGCGGCGGCACAGCACCATGACCTTTCCAAAGAGCCACGATATCATGCTGGGGATTCCTGTCCAGGCGTGGAGCGCTAATCGGGGAGGGGAAGGATGCTGCAGAGACGTTGCGTGGCGCGCCTCGTCGTCAATGGCATACGGGTGCTGAACGTCGGGACCGTGTACTATGTTGAGGGAAGCTCCGGGCTCGAGTTGTGTGGTCAGCGAGCAAACGTCGTTTGCGTCGTCACTGACGATACTGCGCAGCATCTGCTCATAAATGAGACAGCCCTTGAAGAACTCGAGCAATTCTATGTCCTCGTGAGAAAGACATTCAACTTTAAGATCAAAAAGCTCTAGGATAACTCGCGCATGGCGGAGATACTGCGTCCCAAGTTGGTGTGAGTCGATCCAGCTCAGCGAAGAACTCATGCAGAAGAGCGAAACCAGCAGGCCTGAGGGTAAGACGAGCTTTCCATTCGACGTGATATTGCCAGGATTGTCTCCGTGGCTCGGGAACAGGGCGCTGATCTCCTGGATGAGAGCCTGCGTCGATGATTTCGGTGCCGCGAGCACAACTTGTCGAATCTGCTCCGGCCAATGCCGGGGCCAATGCTGCTCGTGATGACGCTGCTGGATCGAGGCAGCCGCCATGGTCTGCATCGAATAGAATACCGGTGCGGAACATGACCAAAGGGACGCACAGAGCCGCCGAAAGGGATTCGAAGGTGAGTCGTATGCTGCCCAACCTGAGCAGACGGAGTGAAACCAGAACTCCACGAGCATGGTTGAGGGATCAAAAAGAGTGGCAGGAATACTAGGGGTCTTGTAACAGTGCCCAGCCGGTTTCTCGATTGAGTGTGGTGTTACCAAGACAATCTCATCAACAAAATGCAGTTGTGTGTTCCGGGGATTCGCGGAGGTGTCCAAGTATTTGCAGTCTTCGAACGTATTGGAATGTGATGTCGCACTCGGAATACCATGCACATCAGGGACAGTTTGGTCGCTAGAGAAGGATGGCTGATCATCGTGAAAAGCAATTATGCCCAGATCGTGTAGTGAACAATTGATGGACATAACGCTTTGACTGGTGTCCTCCGATGTTCGCGGGGACGTCACTGGCAAGTCCGACAGCATAGCAGGACTTTCTGTATCTAGGGTCCAGGAGGGAGGAAGAAGTGGACGACCATTTCTGGCAGCAAGGAGAGTATCGCCAGAAGCATATCCAGAAGGTGCGTGTAAGCTGTCATGGTCTGGAATAGCTGTGGCTTGCCACCCCTCCTCAGTTCCTGCGACCGTCGCAGGCATTGCTGAGCCCGACTTGGGGGTCTGCTTCCTGGTAGTGTAAGAACGAGCAGCTGCAGCATCGACAGCACAAGAGGGTGGTCCACTGTGCTGGTGCTTGGCTGACCATCGCAGGGTGATTTGGTATCCGGGGCATTGAATGCCGCGACGGACGCAGTTGAGGCAGGACGGCTTTGTCTCGTCACATTTGAGCTGGCAAATGGCTTGAGCGTTAGTAGACGTGTATCACGCCCAAAGCTGGGAAGCAACGTACACGTTTGCCCTTGCAGACCCGGCATCCCGACCGGGTCTTTGAGTGGCGGGTCATGCAGCTATGTGGTTGAGTACGATAGCGTGAGGGGACGAAGAGCCTAACCGCGGTCCTGGGGTTCGTCGAGCATGGAGGACAGGGCAGCAGGTCTGGGCATCGGGCAGGTATCGGTGGCAGATCCAGCCATCGAGGTCCGGGCTGTTGAAAGTGACGCGGTTTCTCAATACTAGGACAGTGTGGTGAACGTGTACTGGGCGTAGTCTGGGTGACAACGACAAGGAGGTGTCCACTGTGGGAGAAGGAGCGAAGAGCCAGAAAGAAAAAGACAACCAAGGGGCAGGCAGGACCCCGGGGTGGGGGTCCAACGGCGCACTACACCACACCCAACCCACACCACACCCACCACATCACCCCGGAGCTGGACGGAAGAGGACAGCGCTAGTGTCGAGGTTGGGGCTGCCAGTGGCCCACGAGACCGGGCCGAGTCAGAGTGCTGAGGGGGAGAGCGTCGTGTGGCTGCTGCATTATCGGAGGACGGCGGCTCCCCTGCTACCCGATCAGGCAGTCCCACCCGGTCCCCACCGGCCGGCCCCGGCTACCGGAGGACAAGTGGATCAGGAACAACGACAACATCAACGAGAGATACAGATTGGGGTTGTGGAGATCAGATCCACGTTTGGTGTGATATTCATTAAACCTACAGCTTGGACCGCATGTTGACGTGTATCGCCTTGATCGTCGAGTATGCTGCCAGCCCGGCCTCGCCCAGCTCGCGTCCAATCCCGCTCTGCTTGACCCCCCCAAACGGCACCCGCCAGTCGCTGTCGTTGCTCGAGTTGATCCACACCATGCCCGCCTCGATGCGTCTTGCGACCCGGTGGGCTCTGGTGAGGTCCCTCGTGAAGACCGCGCTGCCCAGCCCGTACTGCGAGTCGTTGGCCAGCGCGACCACCTCGTCCTCGCTCTCAAACGCCGCCAGCACGACGAATGGCCCAAACACCTCCTCCTGGAACACCCGCATCTGCGGCGTCACGTTGGTAAACACAGCCGGCTGCACATAGAACCCCTTCTGCTGCCCGCCCACCACCAGCCTCTCCCTCCCGCCCATCTCCAGCGTCGCCCCTTCCTTCACGCCCACGTCCACGTACGCCAGCACCCGTTCCATCTGCGCCCTCGTGACCTGCGGGCCCTGGAACGTCGCCTCGTCAAAGGGGTCCCCGACCCTCGAGATGTCGCGGACCCGTGCCTTGAACGCCTCGAGGAACGCGTCGTACACCCCGCGCTGCACCAGGACCCGCGACGTGGCCGTGCATATCTGGCCCTGGTTCGACATGATGCCCGCGTGCGCCCACTCGGCCGCGAGCTCGACGTCTGCGTCGTCAAAGACGACCAGCGGGCTCTTGCCGCCCGTCTCGAGCGTCATGTTCTTGAGCGTGCCGCTCGCCGACCGCATGATGGCCCGTGCCGTCGCCGTCGACCCCGTAAAGGCAATCTTGGCCACGAGCGGGTGCTCGGCGAGCGCGGCCCCCGCGACGCTGCCGAGCCCGTTGACAATGTTGACCACGCCCGCGGGAAAGCCGGCCTCAGCGACGAGGTTGGCGAAGAAGAGGATCGACAGCGGCGTCTGCTCGGCTGGCTTGAGCACGACGGTGTTGCCGCAGGCCAGTGCTGGGCCGAGTTTCCAGGCCGCCATCGCCAAGGGGTAGTTCCAACTGTTTTCGTCCGTAGGAATATCATGCCCGCTGTCAGTCGAGATTGTCTTCCATGAGGAAGTAGCAATGTGAATATAATGGAGGCGATTGGGATGACTTACGGGATGATCTGCCCACAAACCCCGACAGGCTCGCGCACGGTATACGCAAACTTGTCCGCCGTCGTCTCGATCACCTGGCCAAAGTTCTTGTCCGCAAAGCCCGCATAGTACCGCAGCGTCTCGGAGACCTCGACCATGTCCTCGCCCAGGCTCGCCGAGTACGGCTTCCCGTTGTCCCATGTCTCGATCGTCGCCAGCGTTTCGCGGTGGTCGTCGACGAGCTGCGCCAGCCGGTACAGCAGCTTGCCCCGGTCGCTCGCAGCCAGGCTTGCCCATGATGGGTGTCGTAGAGCCTGATGGGCGGCACGGACCGCAAGGTCGACGTCCTGCGTGGTGGCGGCGTGTACGGCTATGATGTCTTGCTCGTTTCTTGGAGTTGAAGTCTATTAGTTGAAGGATTTGCAACCCACACTATTAGCGAGCATATGCTTCCAGGATGCTAGAGCTTACGATGGATTGATGCTTGTGATCTTGCCTCCATCCGATGACGCAACCCATTCATTGTTGATGAACAAACCGGTCGGCTGATCATACTGTCGTCCGTTCGGCGCGGTGAGGCGTACTATTAAATCTGACGGCATGTTGTGGGGAGTTTTGTCTTTGTCACGTTCGTGCGTGCTCAGGACTACTAGACAGTGTCAAGTCAAGAAAATTTTTCGTCACAAAAGCCCACAGGAGTTCACGTCCTTGATATTTAGTCGGGTACAACTAATCCCTCACCATGGATAATATTTGTCTCATTGTGGGGTGGTGGACTGTCCTGGCCAGATGGGTCTTGGCGATGAACCCCGGATTCCACAGAGGCCCGGAAGAGATCAGACCAGGCTCAAACAGGATGTAGGTTCTGGGGCCTTTCTCCGAGACCGGTCGATTCTCAGCATGGCGACGTTGCGGACGAGTTGGCGTGGCCCGTCCCCGTGGCTGCTCTCCACAACCGGCCTATCCCAATATAGCATGACAGTCCCGTCTGCCGCATCACTACACGTCCTGACGCTGCACATGCCGCCGTAACGGATGCCAAGCCACTATCTGGACCATCGGCTAACTCTGAATACCCCGGTGAACAGGACGGGACAGAACTGCCCGCAACAGGATAGCGCGACATGTGTCTCTTCGGCGTGCAGGGGACCCCTGCCACGTGTGGAGCAAGGGTGAGCTTATCATGCTTTGGGTTGCGTGGCTGTGGGTACTTTAACGTACAGTAGTGATATGGGGAATGATGTGGGTCTGGACAAAGTTGCTCTTTTGGGATTAGTCGCGGTGACTGGTGACTGGAAGAACCAATTTTGACTATCGAGGTTGATACGACATGGCTGATCGAGAGGCTGGAGTTGTTGTCCATGCAGCATCACGTGCCGTTGCTATTGATCACCAGCTGCTTAGTCCCAGTTGCGTCAGAGCAGGATCAATTGATTGTGTAGATGCACGACCGATTGCACAGCAATACTTCTCCCTCACTACATACGTGTGGGTACTCAATACCCCCCCACCTTGACCACTCTGTAATGGAAAAGAGCGTTGAATGTCGCGAGGCTGCAGATGCAATCTCACCGTGCATTTTGTAACGAGCACCGGAGCTAAAGACCCGGTATTACCCCGTCATACTTGCTAGACATCGGGCTTGGCTTTGCTTGGCTTTGGCAGCCGTTATCTTCCCCTCCTTCATTCAGGGTATCCTATTGGTTAAGACAAGACAACCTGGGAAATAAGAAGACCCGACCGCACAAGGAAGCCTTGCTTACGTAGGTAGGTACCTCGATATATGCCTTGATTCTCCTGGGGGGCCTCTGTAGGCTGAGCGTAGCAGCAGACCATGCCCAAACAGAGGAGAAGCAAACCCAGAACGATCAAAGGAAAAAGACCGCCTAAGCTTGAACTGTTGACTCGGGGTACGAACTATACATGAACAACACAGGCATGCAAGCCGCCACCAAGCCAGCTTGGGCTGCTGCTGGCGTCAGCAAGACTGCCACCACCACCACCACCACCACCGCCCCAACAGCAGCAGCAGCAGCAGCAGCTACCACCAGCCATGGTAACAGCGATCTGCGCCTCCGCGCCGCCACGGCCGCCGACCTCGACGACATTGTGCGGATCGTCAAGGCGGGCTTCCCCGACGACCCGGAGTGGGACTACCGATACCCGTACCGCGACGAGTACCCGGAGGACTATGACTACTGGATGCGCAGGGAGTACGGGGACTACCTCGCGCAGACGGACAAGTTTGCCGTCGTTGTAGCCACTTTGCCGGAATTAGCAGCAGCATCATCACCATCAGAACAAATAGGTGAATGTGGGACCCGTGACGTCCCCGTCGCGGTGGCAGTATGGGACGTAGCAGTGACAAAGGACAGTCGCGGTGGTGAGTGCTCACGATATGATACACACGGACCACCCTCCCCCCCCCCCTCGCGGGAGTATTCGCTGACCACCACCCTTACAGACCTGGGCATTGGCGAGCGCAAAGACGCCAACACCGTACACATGCTCGCCCTCCTGCACGCGTTCACCGCCGCGGCGAGGCGCTACTTCTCGCGCCACTGGGAGCGGCAGTACCACCTGTGGGCGCTGGTCACGCACCCGGACTACCGGCGGCGCGGGGCGGGCACCGCGCTCGTGCGCTGGGGCACGCGGGCCGCGCGGGAAAAGGGGGGCTGGGCGGCGAGCGTCATTGCGAGCAGCCCCGCGGGTAAGCGTCTGTACGCGTATTGTGGGTTTGAGGAGCTTGGGGAGGTGGTGGTGCAGATCGAGGGCGAGGAGGAGAAGTGTGTGGTTTGGTGTATGGACTGGGTGTTGCCGAAGGTGGAGGAGGAGGAGGAGGAGGTCAATGGAGATTGGATGGAGAAGAAGCTGGGGAATAGTATTGTTGGATTAAGGAGGTGGGAGTCAAGAGTTGAAAGACACGCAATGTTCTTGGTCGTCTCGGCTTTCTTATTTCTGCTGGCCCTCTATCGATTTATTTGTGGCCCGAGTTAGGCTATATATGGCGGTTTGGAGTTAAGAGGACAATGCAGCTTTGGGATGTCTTGCTCATAAACTGGTTTCAGCGGACAGATTTCTGCCAGACACGTGAAAAACACTGAGAGGGTGCCCAGAGCCGCACTCAATGCGCCCTTTTGCTTGCGTCATTAATATGTTTCGATGGCTGCAATAGTTGGATCCTTCGTGCCTCAAGCCAGCGAGGCCAAGGAGGTCCAAATCTCTCTGAACCCGCCAAGCTCGACAGGGTGAGACATTACAATTCAGTTTTCTAAGAAGCACTCTGAACAATGATAGCCTGCTACCAAGCCCATCATTCTCAGCTGCGAGCCAATGTTCACTCACTTGCCCAGAGCCTTGTCATTATCCTGCCCATGAGTCCCGTGCCCGCTTCCTAGACTGGCCCCATCTACGCTCCTCGAAACTACAATCGCGTCCTGGTCATCCACCTGCAAGAACTCGACCCTGCCCCTGACAAGCCAAAACACACCGGCAACGACAACCATGATCCCAAATACTGCAATGGCGTAGTTCATATCCGCCGGCCCAGGATCCGGGGCCCCGGGGAAGAAGAAGAAGACGGTCGTGACCGCGCAGTAGACTAGCGAGACATAATTCGCCACCGGCCCGATCTTGGGGCCCAGCTTGAACGTACCGCCGGGGGGAAGCTTGTCCCTGCCCGCGATGGTCAAGGCCAGGATCGGCAGGGCGTAAGATATCGTCAGCGCGATCGTGCTCACGCTGAGAATCGCCTCCAGGACAGTGTCGGCAAAGGTATATAGCACCCCGATGAGCCCAATCAGCACACCCTGCAGGTACAAGGCTCGCGCGGGCACCTTCCAGGCCGGGCTGACGTGGGAAAAGTAGGCGCTGTACGGCAGTCCGCCGTCGCGGGCGAAGCCCCAGGTCATACGTGACGCGGTGGTCAGGACGCTGACGCCCTGGCCGAGGCCGTTGAATATGAACAGTGCGAGGAGCACCGCGCCGCCCTCGAGGCCAACAGACTGGGCGACTAGGTCCATAAAGGGTAGGCCTGTCGATGGGTCGAGCACATCGTCGAGGGACTGGACGCTGAAGAGGCAACTAACCATGAATATCCAGCCGCTTAGCGCGCCCAGAACGACAGAGAGCCATAGCACGCGAGGAATAGATGTCCGTGGGTCGGGAATCTCCTCCGCCAGGTGGATCGCCGCGTCAAAGGCTGTCAGGCCGTAGGCTGCTTGGACCAGACCTGTGAACCAGGTGACACCATCAGGCCAGCCACTTTGGTTGAGCCACGCGCCGAAGACAAAGTCGGCGGGCTGGAACTCTAGACCGTCCTTTGTGCCGACGGAGATGAGCATGGCGAGCATGAAGACGAAGAACAGCCCAACGAAGCACACCCCCACGAAATTGTTGAAGATTGGAAGAATGGCATCCCGGCGGCAGGCCACGAGGTTGACCCCTGTAAGCAAAGCTGTGACGGCGAGGTAGACGAGGAATTGCATCCACCCGGTCACTTCATCAGCCCAGCTGTTGTCGAAGAGGATCTTCATACCCAAGATGAAGTCGGTCATGAATGCGATCTGAGACGCCGTAAGAGTCCACCAGCCAAAGGTGTTGATCCAGGCACAGGTATAAGAGAGGAGACGGCCACCGCGGCGACCTTCAAGGAGCCGAGACACCCAGTAAGCTTGGCCTAGCGCGGTAGGCATACTGCTACACATCTCGCCGAGGGAAACTGCAATGCAGATGTTGCAAACAAGGACCAGCACGAGTCCCCAGAGGATGCTGATCGGGCCGCCATTCTCCAGGCCACTGGATAGTCCCTGGGCAAAAGTCGACCACGTGCCTAAGACGCAGAATGCGAGCGCGAGCATGCTCACGAGGCTGAACTTGCGTGTCAAGGCCTGATCGTGACCCAGTGCTGCTAGATCTTGAGCATCACGTAGCTCCTGTGCCGCTGCCGCGTTGGCCACGGTCTTGGCTGGAGCCTGACTTTCGGTGTCCATGGCTGCGGTGTGCGATGGTTGTGTTCGTCGTTGGCTACTCTCTGCAGGGAAACGGAGGCACGTCAGGCGTAAACGAGCGGGTAGCTGCGAGCCTGGACGCGGGCAGGTGACATTCGCCAAGGACGTGTCAACGTGACGTTGCCTTGAGGGCCGTTGGGCGAGGACTTTTCAAGAGTTTGAGGTATAAGCGTGGGTTATGGCTTCCCAGGGGAATGAATATGAAGGCTGGAAGGGCTGGGCAGTATAAGAGATGAAGGGGTGGGATATCTGCTGTATAGATATACAAGCAGGCTGCGTGATATGTGATGGCACTCGTTACACACGCTGTTTGAGCTGGCGAATATTCGCGCAATGCCAATGCCTGGGTGTCACGGTATAGTAGCAGGGACCCAAGCCTGGGAACGTGGCAGGATTGATGCTGTGATGGCGAGAATGCGCAGAGCTGTCCAGGACTGCCTCATCATTCAGCCTGGGCCCTCGCGAGAAATGTCTCGCAATCACGACCGACGCCTATCTCGACCCAGCTGTGGCAGGCCCGACATGGCGATAAGGTGCGCCAGGTATCGCCAAAGGTTGCAGGTGCCGGAGAGGGGCGACTCCACCCCCACAGCCAAGCAGATAAGACCCCGGTCTACGTCCTCCGTCCGGGGGGGAAGGAGAGCCGCGTAAGAAGGGATGGGCCGTCATCGGCGGACACCAATACAGTAGCACAGGTATACGACTAGTGCCGGGCCACCCGACGCCTCGTCATCCGTTGTAGAACTCAAAATTGGATAATTTGGGCTCCTACTCCAACGGCAGCGTCCGGAGCGCAGTTGCGTGGGCTTGCGCACGGCATCGTCAACGGGAAAGAAGACGGTGCTAAGACCAAATAGGTAACTCTGTCCAGCCCCACTACAACTAGTGGGTCTCTCCACAGCCGCAGATCGCTTGAGCTGACGCCACGGAGCAGCAGGTTGGCCGATAACCAACCCTGTTTCTTTTTTATCTCCCGTGCCATGACACATCCACCGCGTCTTGACCACCTGGGCACCTCTGGGTGGTCCGGTATCTCGACAGAGGCTGAGGCTAGAGCCATGGGCGCTGCAGCCAGCCGCCCTCTCGGTGGGAAGGTTGCATGTGGGGAAGCCCCCTGACATTCATCTGCCTTGCCCAAAGCGGAAGGCCCATGCGTGGGGTCTGGGCTTCTGGACGCAAACATGTCACGAACAACCTCAAGGTCGACGAGTTGGCCGATCCGGGGAATAGAGGCTGCGTTATCGGTGTCATGGCACGAGATAGACCTGTTGCCGCTTCTTGGCCGCCGTGCAGTCACTTGCATCCTCCGACTGCCACAGCTGGGCTGGGCTGGCCGTCTTGCAATGGTCCTGGTGCTGAGTATAAGACCACCATCTTAGCTCTTCTTCCTAGAAATACTCTCCCTTTGTTCCATCAAGCCCAGCAACGGCACAAGCAAGCATACATCAAACCAAGCTTACAGATAGATATCTCTATCTGTGTCCCTCTTCATTCCTCCCCTCCCTCGAATATCTCCAAGGGAGCTTCTGTCCTCCGCTCGCATGGCACAGTCTCTAAGTCCTGACCGCCGCCATCATGATCGCAGACACCTTATCCATTCCCGGCTACACCATATTTCGGGACGAGGACATTGGTTCCTCCTCTAATGATGCTGTCGCCGCCCCCGTAGGGCGACCTGCCCACCCCCTTGGTGAGTGAGCACTGGTGCATATCACACCCGCTTTGGCGGCTGAGCAAGACTAACCACCGCCCGGCCAGATTCTCTCTCTCTCGAAGAGATACCCTTCGCAGCAAAACTGATGCGCAAGCACGCACACCCGCAGCAGCTCAAGTTCAACTGCATCACCCTCCGCGAGCCACGCAAGGCCGAGTATGCGGCATTCCGCGAGCGCCGAGGCCCAACGCCAGACCGCCGTGCCTTTGCGATTGTGCTCGTCCGCGGCTCAGCCGAGACGATTGAGGCCGTTGTCAACCTGACGAGCGGCCAGATCGAACAGTGGAAGACGGTTAGCAACGTCGGACCCACACTGACGCTCGAGGACCTCGACGTCACGGAGCGCGTGTGCCGCGAGGATCCGCAGGTCATTGAGGCATGCCGCGAGATCGGCATCACCGACATGACGCGGGTGTACCTCGACGCGTGGGCCATTGGCTTTGACGACCGCTGGGGCTTTGAGCGGCGCCTGCAGCAGGGCCTGGCGTACTACCGGTCCTCGCCGGGGGACAACCAGTACGCACATCCGCTCGACTTCAGCGTCGTGCTTGACACGGAGGCGGAGGAGGTGCTGAGCGTCGACATCCGGCGGGTCAACGGGGAGCGGACGATGGTGCCGCTCGAGGACCACAACTACATGCCCGAGTTCATCAGCTCAGGGTACGTGGACCGGCTCAAGCCCATCGACATTACGCAGCCGCAGGGCGTGTCGTTCCGGATGCAGGGCAACGAGCTGTCGTGGGCAAACCTGCGGATGCACGTGGGGTTCAACTACCGCGAGGGCATCGTGCTGAGCGACGTGCGGGTCGACGACACGGAGCAGGGGCGGGAGCGGTCGCTGTTCAACCGGCTGAGCGTGGTCGAGATGGTGGTGCCGTACGGGGACCCGAACCCGCCACACCACCGCAAGCACGCGTTCGACGTGGGCGAGTACGGGACGGGCCTCATGACCAACTCGCTCAAGCTGGGCTGCGACTGCAAGGGCGCCATCCACTACCTCGACGCCGTCGTCGCCACCGCGTCCGGCGACCCGGCCCTCATCAAGAACGCCGTCTGCATCCACGAGGAGGACAACGGCCTGCTCTACAAGCACACCGACTACCGCGACGGCACCGTCGTCTCGGCCCGCGACCGCAAGCTCATCCTCTCCCAGATCATCACCGCCGCAAACTACGAGTACTGCTTCTACCACACCTTCACCCTCGACGGCACCTACTCGCTCGAGATCCGCCTCACCGGCCAGCTCAACACGTACTGCATGCACCCCTCCGAGACGGCCGCCCCCTACGGCACCGAGGTCGCCCCCCGCGTCAACGCCCACAACCACCAGCACATCTTCTCCCTGCGCGTCGACCCGGCCATCGACGGGCCCAACAACACCGTCGTCCAGAACGACGCCGTCCCCTCCGACTTCCCCACCGGCCACCCCGAGAACCCCTACGGCAACGGCTTCTACTGCCGCAAGACGCCCCTGCTCACCTCGCGCGCCGCCGTCAGCGACTACTGCCACGAGACGTCGCGCTCCTGGGACATCACCAACCCCTCCAGCATCAACCCGGTCTCGGGCAAGCCCGTCGCCTACAAGATCCTCAACAACAACTGCCCGCGCCTGCTCGCCCGCGCCGATAGCACCCTCGCCGCCCGCGCCCACTTTGCCCGGCACGCCCTGTTCGTCGTCCCCTATCGCGACTACGAGCTCTTCCCCGCGGGCGACTACGTGTGCCAGTCGCGCGGCGGGCTGGGCCACCCGCACAACGCCACACTCGAGGACTGGGTCGCGCGCGACGAGAGCCTCGACAACACCGACGTCGTGTGCTTTGTCCAGTTCGGCTTAACCCACTTCCCCCGCACCGAGGACTTCCCCATCATGCCCGCCGAGCCCGTCAGCGTCATGCTCCGCGCGAGCAACTTCTTCACCAAGAACCCGGCGCTGTGGGTCCCGCCGTCGACGGTCAGCGTCGATCGGAGCTCGAGGAATGCGGACGCGGACGCGGACGCAACGGCGGCGGCGGCGGCGAGGAAGGAGCAGAAGAAGGAGGAAGGGGAGAAGCTTGCGGTGGCTGTGGCTGGGGCCAAGTCGTGCTGTTCTGGGAAGGGAAAGATTGGGTCGAAATTGTAGTCGTGGATCGCGGTAGACCACATTGGGCGTCATCTGAGATATAGTGTACAGCTGGACTTGACTTTTGGACTTTGTAGTCTGCATACAATTCTGGGTTTTACAATCAGAGATGAGACGGTTGTCACAATGCGAGGATTTAAGCTGTTTTCATTGTTCATGTTAGCAGCACCTGGTCGTGATTGATCTCAGTGAAGATCTTCGGTTTCAAATGATACTATTGTGCTCTCCCTAGACCCCAATGACTTGTAGAGTCCCGTGCTGTGGAGCTTTTAGCAAGAATCAAACTCGATCAACGGGGACGCCCGCCTTGAACACTTTCACAATGTGCCTCGAACGCACCAAGGCGTCAATGGACGCCAGAGGGTTTGCGTTGACGAGGATCGCATCCGCAACGGCGCCGGCACGAAAGTCACTTCCCTCAGTCGGCAGTCCCAGCCGATCTGCCGCGTTCACGGTGGCTGACCTGATCACTGCGGCCGCATCCAGGCCCGCCTGGACGAATAACTGCAATTCACGCAGCAAGGCGCCGGGTCTCGACATCGCGATGGCAACATCACTGCCGGCAACGATCCGGACACCGCGGTCTGCGAAGAGGCGGAGCGTCTTGGTGCCGTAGTCGAGGCGAGCGAGCGCTTCGCCGGCTGACACACGGGGGAAGCCCTGGTGATAGAAGGGATTGGCGCGTGTGGCGGTCATCTCGGCAGCTGTGATGATGCCGTCTTCGAGCAGGCGCTCGAGGTATGGGATCGACCCGGCGCTGCTGATCTGCTCGTAGGTGGTGAGCGTCGGGCACCAAAAAACTCCGTGCTTGGCCATCAGGTCGGCCGCGTCCTCGGCTTCTCTGAGGCTCTCCGGAGTCTCTGGCTGGAAGATGTGCTCGATACAGTCTGCTCCCGCCTCAACAGCTTCCACGAGGTCATTCTTGGACCGGACGTGCACCATGACTCGCTTGCCGTGATCATGCGCCGCCCGTACCGCGCGGGACAGCGCCTCGTGGGGAAGCTTGTCCGCGCCGCCCGGAAGTCCGTCATAGATGATTTTGATGAAGTCGGTCTTGGGAGCGAGCCCCGCGACCATCGATTCGACTGGACTAGACGGGGTGACCTCCCACGATGAAGTATGATCGCAGGTCATGCAGAGTGGCCAGCCGTTGACCCCGGTGAATACTGGTCCGCTGAAGTAGAGCGAAGGAAACTTGTGCTGTTCATTGCGGATCTCGGACCTGACCTCAGTCATCACACTCTCGGGACAGCCGAGGTCGACCACGCTGGTAATGCCACGGGTGAGATAAGTCTGAAGCCCATCCTTGACGCCCGAAACCTTGTCTGCCGTGCTCCCGTCAACACCCATCATCAAGTGTGTATGAGACTCCCATAGTCCAGGTATGAGGTATAGTCCTTCCCCAGACACTGCTTCGGCGTCGATCTCACTTAGCGTCCCCGGCTGCTGGAAGGCGGCAAAATGCCCATTCTCTATCAGCACGTCGGCATGTCTTGGCTCGTCTACACCATCCACCAGACACACGTTTGTAATGACGATTCTGTTACGCATTGCTGGAGATTGAGAGTGACTTGGATTGGGACGTTATCTGGGATATTTGTCAGTCGCAAATGGATTGAAATGACACTTGAGACCGAATGTGGTAGGAATGCAAATCGCCCGTCGCTGACGCGCTGAGCGAACGTCGTGTCCAAAACTCTGGGCCATTGCGACGGGATCAGCCGCCACCATCCAACGCCTGCCCGATTCCTTACTAGCCGTTATTTACTTTCTCGTCTTTTCCCACGTTGAGCAGGTGCGGCCGCAGTCGACGCCTGCACTAAAAGTATAAGTAACTACCCGCTATCCCCATGGGGGAGCCCGGCCGGACATCCATTCTCGGTTTAGGTTAATACCGGGAAGCACCTGACGTAAACTACCCTAATCTCCAAGTCCACAGCGTTCGTTGAAGTGATTCCATTCGCCTCATCAAAAACTGGACCGAGGCATGAAAGCAGTGTCGACTTGTAGCGGCTGATCCCGTCGCAATGGCCCATATGAAGCACTTTGTGATGATGCCCACGATTGTGCGGCACCGCGCTAACGCACCCAATGTCGATCTAGGACGGAAGGCACTGGAGATATAAAGAGCGACCACGGAATGCCATGCCTAGCGACCGCTTGCTTACCAGCCCATTCTTGCCGGAACAGAGGTTGTTGAATCAGCAACTACCTTAAGGTAATCAAGAATGCAGGGCTTCTACGTAATCCTCCTGGCGCTGCCATGGCTGGCCCAACGCTGTGCAGCGCAAGAGCCGCAATACCCCCCGGCTTTCCCGCCCACGCCTATCCTGCCGTCGTCGATCAACTATGCCCCGAGCGTGACGCCCAACATCGAGGACCCGACTGCGCCGGATGCACAGACAGTCTGCCCTGGGTACACGGCGTCCAATGTGCAGACGAGCGACAGCGGCATTACGGTCGACTTGACCCTCGCCGGTAAAGCCTGTAATGTCTACGGCTTCGACATTCCCAACTTGACCCTTGTGGTTGCGTACCAGAGCAGGAACCGCCTGTCGGTGCGCATTGTGCCCAAGTACCTGGGTGCAAAAAACTACACGCAGTACATCCTGTCGCCCGACTACACCCCGCAGCCAGACAACAGCTGCGATGCCGGCAGCAGCAACAGCGACCTTGTGTTCCAGTGGAGCAACACGCCCAGCTTCCAGTTCCAGGTGATTCGCAAGAGCGACAACAATGTCCTCTTCGACACGTCTGGCAACGTCATCGTCTTTGAAGACCAGTTTCTGGAGCTCAAGACGTCCATGGTGCCCAACTACAACGTCTATGGCTTGGCCGAGAATCTGCACAGCTTCCGTCTGGGCAACAACTATACGCAGACGTTCTGGAACTCGTACAACCTGACCAACGACCAGGTGCGCGGCGCCTACTCACACTCGACACATCCCATGTACCTGGAAACGCGTTATGCCAACGGCACCTCGACTTCGCATGGTGTCTATGGTCGCAACGCCCACGGACAAGACTGGCTGTTGCGGTCCGACTATATCACCTATCGCACCATTGGCGGCAGTTTCGACTTTTACTTCCTCAGCGGGCCCAAACCCAAGGATGTCATCAGCCAGTACCAGACGGGCATCGTCAGCACACCATACATCCCTCCTTACTGGAATCTCGGCTTCATGCAGGTACGCTGGGGTTACCAGAACTGGACCAACCTTCAGGCCGTCCTCGACCTCTATGCCGCCCAAGACATCCAGGTCGAGGCCATCATGAACGATCTCGACTACTTGGACCTCAACCGTGTCTTCACCGATAGCGCAGGCTACAACCTGACCGAAGGCAAGGAGTTCCTCGATGCGCTCCATGCCAGGGGCCAGTACTACTGCCCGATCTTGGACCCCAACATCTACGTCCCCAACAAGACCGAGGCATACCCACCCTACACGTCTGGTGCGGCCATGGACGCCTTTATCCGCAACGGCAACGATGGGTACTACACTGGTGTCGAGTGGACCGGCTTCAACGTCTGGCCCGACTTCCAGCCTCATGTGCCGCAAGCACAGCAGTTCTGGACCGACCAGATCACGCAGTTCCACGACAAGCTCGACTTTGACGGCTTCTGGCTCGATGTCAACGACGCCACGTCCTTCTGTACCTACAGCTGCGGCACCGGTATCGCCATGGCCGAGGATCCCATCCACGTGCCCTTTGCCCTTCCTGGCGATGCCAACACCAGCCTGGCCGTCGACTACATGTACCCCGAGGGCTTTGCCGTCACCAACGCCAGCGAAGCCGCGTCCGCGAGCGCCGCCCTAGCATCGCAGTCGGCCATGTACCCAATGCAGTCGTCTACTCCCACGCCGACCTACACCCGCACCCAGCCGACCATGGGCGTGCGCAACCTCAACTTCCCGCCGTATGCGATCAATGCGCCGCTGGACGGCCACTCGTTGGTGAAGCAGGTCATTACACCCAACGCCACGTCCAACGACGGTCCCTACAACAGCACGCAGTACGAACTGCACAATCTCTACGGCCACTTCAGCGGCAATGCCACCTACCACGCCCTCCTTGCCACCAAGCCCGGCATCCGGCCCTTCTTCGTCTCGCGCAGCACGTTTGCCGGCAGCGGTGCCTTTGCGGGCCACTGGGGCGGCGACACCAACTCTGCCTTTGGCGACATGTACTACGGCATCGCCCAGGCCCTGCAGTTCTCCATCGCCGGGATCCCGTACTTTGGCGTCGAGACCTGTGGCTTCAACGGCAATGCAGACCTCGAGCTGTGCACGCGCTGGATGCAGCTCAGTGCCTGGTACCCCTTCTACCGCAACCACAACAACCGCAACACCATTGCGCAGGAGGCATACCGCTGGGCGACGGCGGCGGCGTCGACGCGCGTCATCATGGATGTCCGCTACTCGCTCCTGCCGTACACTTACACGCTCTTCGCCCGCGCCCACCAGCGTGGCGAGACCGTCCTGAGGGCACTGGCCTGGGAGTTCCCCGACGATCCCTCGCTGGCGGCCGTCGAGACGCAGTTTATGAGCGGGCCGGCCATCCTCGTCACGCCTGTCCTGGCCCCGCTGGCCACCACGGTCCGTGGTGTCTTCCCCGGTGTTGCCCAAGGCCAGGCCTGGTACGACTGGTACACGCTGCAAAAGGTCCAAGTCGCGCCGGGCGAGAACAAGACGCTCGACGCCCCTCTCGAGCACCAGCCCATCCACGTGCGCGCTGGCTACATCATCCCCATGCAGAAGGCCGGCAACACGACCAAGACATCACGCCAGAACCCGTGGTCGCTGCTCGTGGCCGCGGCGCAGGACGGAACCACCACCGCCGTCGGCGACTTGTACGAGGACGACGGAGTCAGCCTGCACCCGTCGGCGACCAAGGAGGTCGTGTTCTCGTGGTGCAATGCCAACAGCACGCTCACCGTCCTCGAGCACGGCAGCTACAACGACGGCGTCCCGCTGGCCAACGTCACGGTCGCCGGCTTCTCGGGTCCATGTGACGCCGACTCGGTTACGCTGCAGTTCATTGGGGGTGGCAGCAACCAGAAGCAGCAGGTCGGCCACGTGCACGTCGCCGACGGGACGCTGTACATTACAGGGCTTGCGCCGGCGTTCCAGGCTGGCGCGTGGAGCCACAGCTTCACCCTGCAGGTGCAGTAATTTGGGGACAAGATGACCATGTCATTGAGGGTATTTGTGACCTGCATATCTGCTGCAAGGCCTGGTGACCAGTATCTAACGGCAACGATCCAGCACTCGACTAACCCCCCATACACGAAACCACAACCATGAGTCACCAGCCTGTCTCTTCCTTCACCCTTCTAGTGCCTACTACGTGACTACCAGGAACAGCCAACCTCCGTGTACGTCCTGTACTCGTAGTGGTCACACCTGTTCGGACTGCAGTTTGAACCACCGTCCTTCTTCGTCAACTCGAAGCAGATCTTCCTGCCGTCGTCGGCGAAGATGACATGAGCCCGCTCCCTGCCGTAGTCGATGCAAGTCTCTCTGAGGAAGTCAAAGGTGTTCTTGCATCCGTCGAGGAACCAGCCGTAGTTGTGGGTCTTGCCATCGGCGGTCGTGATGGTAGCCCAGGTGACGCCGACCGACAGGTTGATGTATTGAAAGATTTGTCTCGCTTCGGCGACACTAGCAAGGGCTACAGCGGCAAGGCCTACGGTGGAAGAGGGGCGCATGATGGCGGGACTATAGACTTGCTCTGTTAGCGACTAAGATCAGGCTACTCATGTAACTTAGGCGAGCAGCTTGCCTTGACTGTTCTTGGCTGTGAGACTCTGAGGCGATGGAGGGGCGATAAGGGGCAAGGCAACACTCTGGGAGGCTGAAGAAGTGCGTGTATAGAGGGAAGACAAGACCACAGAAGGTAGGATCAGACACTGCCTTTTATGTTAATTTCAGTGAACCTGGTTCCTCCACGGTACGTACCCAGAATGGCATTATATCGTGAAGTCCTTTTCACTCGGATGCAGCAGCGGCTCTCCAAGGCTGTTCTCACACAACTACGATTCATCGCAGTGGACCCTGGCCGGGGTCCCCAATCACTTCCCCGTAAAATCGAAGCCTTGGCCCGTCTCAATATGGCATTCTTACTTCTCGAATAATCTGCGCCAAGTTCAAGGGCTGAGTTACATTCCACACTGAGCAGGTTCGGGCCGTGGCCCCTCTCAATGACCCCCGCAGCATCGGCTCGTTTGATGGATTAGATCAACTTGGCAGCTGTTGATTATCGGCTATGCGGCACTTACACTGCGATGTGCCCAGACTACGGGGACCCGCAACGCATCACACAACCTCGACCAAATTACCGCTCGTGCGGTCGGTGGCTTAACTGTGCCAAGTGATATGAGTCCCGAGGAGCAGCTTTCTCGATGTGGTCGCTGTGGTGGCTAGGATTTTGGGCCTGCCGTTACTTAACAGTAATACCTTGGCAGACAGGAGCGGCCGGGGGTTTAGCATTGAATCTCGGGGATAGTCGAGAGCCGACTCTAAGCGTGGACATATTAGAGTTAATGAGTAGCGAAAAATGATGCAGGCTCCCGGACTGGAGGATAGGATACTAGTGCTCTTTCCAGGAATTGACTCCTTGTCTGTAAAGCCGCTTCATCATACACGGCAGGGGGAGCCTACTCGACCCCTCGACAAACCCCGACACGATTACACATGGCCCCGCATAAAACCTATCTAGCCGCTAGCGAGACATCTGCTTCTTCTTCTTCTTCTCAGGGTCGACCGCGAGTGCCTTGAACATCTGTCACTCTCCACAGTTCAAGCTGCGCAGCTTCCGGGTTGGCCCACGATGCCTCTCAACCAAAGGGCCGCCGACTGAAGCCGCCCACCTATCAGGTTCAAAGCTTAACGGCAGGCGTACCGGGCGACGAGGACGCGCGACCTTACAGGGAAGGCCAAGAACGAGGTTGCTAGAGCTGTGCCAGATTTGCTTTGAACACGGTGACGAGGGAGGATGTAGCGCTGCCGACGTCGTGCTTGCTCGTGTTTGCTCGCGCTTGGGCTGGGGCGGTATGAGCTGTTGGTCGATCTTTTGGACACAGGGGGGGAAGGCGGTTACGGTACTGGAGGATTTGACCTTGGGGATCCTGAGAGGGCGCTGATAAGCAGAGGCCGGAGAGAACACGGGAAGCGCCGAAGATGGAGATGCGAGGAACGAATGAAACCAGGGTGAGGTGCACGAGCAATTGAGCCTTGCTTCAATCTCAAATGTTACACAAAGCCGTGGAAATAGGAAGCTGTGTCCGTACGGTGGTTGACAGAATGAGTTACATTCATGATGGATATTTGCGGAGCACCAATGTCCCTCTCTTTAGTCGGGAGGTAGCCCAACGCAACGACGAGTAAATGAGTTGATAGCAATATTCTTGGAGTTTTCTTTTCTGTTCTATCCCTGATAGGCCTCTGATACTGAGATACTTAGAAGGAGCACACGATTGGGTCTTAGGGTTGTGGAGCCTATATCCGGAGACTTCTTGAGCACCCGTAAGAGCTATGATTTATAGTCGACAAAGAATACAAGCAACTAGTCGATTGATGGGAGAACAGGACCATGGTAATGTTTTCGGGCACGACAAAATCCGAAGAATCAATCTGGAGGCCCTTCAGCCGCTAGGGCAAGACTAACCTGTAGCTTTTCTGACACGCTGTCACGAGACTCAATCTCCAACTCGTGTCATATTCTTATTCTCGTGTCTGGGCTGCAGACGTAACGACATGCATTCTTAGAAGAGAGTCTGCGTAGTGGGATTGTCTTGGTTTCGCCAAGACCAGTGGCTGCCGGAAGTACCTGCGAAATGGCCCCAACCTCGGCTGACGGCGCTTTCTGACCGACCTGGACCGCCATTGTGTATTGACAAGCACGATACATGTACACTCTGAAGTGGGTGCGGCTCGGCTCCGATGTCGACGGTGGGAGCGGGAATGACGCCACGACCCTGGCTGCTGATTGATAACAAGCGGCCGTCGATTGGGGACCCGCCTGGCGCCGGGCCCCACCGGGCACCTCCGGCAGCGCAGCACGGAGCGACGACATCGCACTGGAGGGGCAAAATCGGCCTGCATTTCTCAGCAGCCCTGCGCAAACACCATCATCACACACCATCACCACCTCCTCCTCCAACATCGCACCGTCAGCAGCACGCCCGCACAGTTCCCCATACGCGCGGTTCTTCAGAGACTTGAACTCCTCATCTGCTCTCTCCCTCCTGCGACGACAACCACCCACCACCACCCACCGACACACACGCCCAACCATGTCGACGATACAGGAAATCACCTCGGAAGAGGACTGGCGCGCGCACGTGGCCTCGCTGTCCAAGAAGACGCTGCTCGTCATCTCGTTCCACGCGCCCTGGGCCGCCCCCTGCACCCAGATGAACGCCGTCCTCAAGGCCCTGGCCGCCGAGTACCCCGTCTCCAACGAGAACCCCACGAGCTGGGTCTCCCTCAACGCCGAGGAGCTCAGCGACATCTCCGAGACGTACGACGTCACCGCCGTCCCGTTCCTCGTCCTCCAGCGCGACGACCAGATCCTCGAGACCGTCAGCGGCAGCAGCGCCGTCAAAGTCCGCGCCGCCATCGAGGCGCACGCCAAGCCTTCCTCTTCCACATCAGCCACACAACAATCGACGACATCTTCCTCAAATCAGGCGGCAGCGGCAGCGGCAGCGGCAAACGGGTCCTCAGCACAAACACCACAAGTTGACGCCCCCGCCGCCGAGGCCGACCCGGCCAAGGCCAAGGAGGAGCTGTGGAAGAAGCTCGGCGAGCTGGTCAAGGCCGCGCCCGTCATGCTCTTCATGAAGGGCACCCCCAGCAGCCCGCAGTGCGGCTTCTCGCGGCAGCTCGTCGCCCTCCTGCGCGAGCGCTCCGTAAAGTACGGCTTCTTCAACATTCTCGCCGATGACGAGGTCCGCCAGGGCCTCAAGGAGTTTGCCGACTGGCCCACGTACCCGCAGCTGTGGATGGACGGGGATCTCGTCGGGGGGCTGGACATTGTGAGTTTTCTTTTTTTCTTTTCTTCGTTATCTTTGCGCTTGGTCCTTTGCTTTATTGCCGGTGCTTTTCCAGGGTTTTCTTTTTGGGCGTATTTATATAGTGACTTTTTTCTTGCTGCATCTTATCCCTTGTCGGTTCACATGCTGCGAAAAGCGTGGCGGCATAATTTCACAAATAGATAAGCCTGCTGACCATCTCTCTACCCCTTTGCGTACAGATCAAGGAGGAACTCGAAACCGACCCAGACTTCTTCAAAGCGCACAGCGTCGCCAAGGAGGAGACCACCGCCGCCTAGAAGGAATAAAAACAAAAAGGAAAAAACGGAAAATCAACAACCACCAGCACACATTGGTGGCGAACAGGGGGCATTTCAAAGTCAAGAGCTGGAAATTTTCTGGGCAAGAAAAGGGTATGATAATCGAGACACAGATGTGTACCCGGGCAAGACACGCAGCCAGAGGTCGGGAACATGAGTTTCAAGAGGTTCAGTCAGGTAAAGTGTGGGGAAAGCCAGGATAATCAATCCAGACTGTAGGACGCGCGTGGAGAAACGAGGATGTTGCTGTAAGGAGCAGATATGCATTCAGGACCAAGGCCAAAAGAGCAACCAAAAAAAAAAGATGCAAACACAATCGCGGAAGTCCAGAACTATTAGTCCTGCACAGATTGCTATTCTGTGGGCTACTGTCGTCTTTGTCTGAAGACCATCCGAGAAGTATTGCGCAGTTCGTTGCTTGCCCTCCAGGCAGTGTTTGGTCTCTCCAGCAGATTATGAGCACACGAGCATCGTTCATGTACTTGTAGTTAGTTTGGATATCGCTTGTCTATTGAGCTGTACATGTGCCCTTCTATACATTGTTTTGCACACGCAATCCTCACTGCCCCGTAAAATCTTCACTGCTACCAGATCTCCGATAACCGGACGGTCAAACAAGAAAAACCGCCGATGCATGCGAGCCCGCTCTATGACACGGCGAACCGCGACGACGTCCCCAGATCGCTCACGGAGCCATCCATGCTGTCATCCTCGCTGTCCTCCTCAAACGCCTTCATCATGGCCTCATGGTCGTCGGCCACGCCCAGAGACGCGAAGCCGCCATGCCTGCCCGCACCGCCACCTCCAGCACCACCGCCACCGCCGCGGCCGCCGCGCGACGGGTACACGGTGTGATCTGCCTTGTGGACGAGCCACTTTCTGTTCATTTCGAACCAGTGATCGGTGTCTTCGAGGCTGCGGCCCCGGGTTTCGACCACGAGGTAGTACACGAGCGGGACAAAAGCCAGGTTCAGCAGCGCGTATATGGCGTACAGCCCCCACCGGAGGTGCTCGATGCCCGGCGGTGTCGTCTGCACGACGACATAGTTGAAGAGCCAGTCGCATGCGGTGGCGAGGGCGGCGCCCTTGGTCCGCATGCTCAGCGCATTGACCTCGGCCGGATAGAGCCAAGGCACGGAGATCCAGCCAGACGAAAATGTGGTGAAATAGAGCCAGATGAATGCGACGGCCACAATGCCAGGCGTGCGCGCGTCAGGGTTGGCGTCGCCCAGCCCTACACCGATGGAGACGCCGCTGAATGCAAATGCCATGACGCCAGCGCCGACCATGAGCAGCCTGCGACGCCCGATCCTTTCGACCCATACGATCGACGCTGTTGTCGAGAGCCAGAACGAGATGGCGTTTCCGGCAGCAACTAGACGCGCAGTGACCTGAGGCAGACCCACGCTGCGATGGAGGACAACGGGGAGGTAGTACGCCAAGACGTTGATTCCAGAGAGCTGTTGTGCGGTCTGTAATATCATGCCGAGCAGAACTCGCCGCGTCGCAAGACCGCCTCGGAAGAGCTGTGCCCAGGACGCCTGAGCCGCTTGCTCGGCTTTGACCGAGGCCCGAATGGCCTCAAACTCTTCTTCGACATCATGGTCGTTCAAGAGGCTGAGCACGTGCTTCGCTTCGGCGTCTCTCTTTCGAGCTAGGAGCCACCTGGGGCTTTCTGGGAGGATCGGAACCATGGTGAGGATGATGGCAACGAAGACCATTTGCACACCTACACATGGGTATGTCAGTAAAACAATGCATGCCCATGTGGTACGGACGTGAGCACTAACCGAGGGGAAAACGCCATTGTGTCTCGGTCATGAGGCCACTGAATGCAAGTGTCACGAAGTTGCTAATCACGAACCCAAGCACGTTGACAGCCATCTCCTTGACGACGGCGGTACCCTTGGCGCTGGCATGACTCGTCTCGACATGCCATACCTAGAATCAGACATGCACGTTAGCTTTGAGCCCCAAGAGGGATTGACAGTCAAAGTGCCTTCGCCCAGAGGGACTGGGAAACCATACCGGAGCAGTCGCTGTGTTGCCACCGTTGCCAATCCCCGCGACAAAGCGGCCCCAGATCATCTGGTCCATGTTCTGCGCCACTGTCTGCATGATGATCCCCACGCCCATGATGATGGTGAAGAGGATGAGCATTCTCTTGCGGCCGAGCTTCTCGCCAACGAGCAGCGTGAGCAGGGCGCCCGCGAAGCACCCCAGGTCGTACACGGACACGACGAACCCCTCGACGCCCGGGTTGGGGTGGTTGAAATATTCCTGGAACTCGTCGGCGACGATGATGCCGCCGAACACGCCCTGTTCGTAGCCGAAGAGCAGCATCGTGGTGCCGGCCGCAAAGGAGATGGCCGAGTGCAGCGCGTGAGGGGTCTTGAAGAAGCGATGGGTTGGGCGGCCGCCGGTGCCATAGGGCTTTTCTAGGGTCGCCCGCGATGCCGCGTCTCGGCCCGGGCGGCCGTTGTGCTGGGGCGAAGAAGCATAGTCTTGGTCGTCGAGACCGTCGGGGTCGTCGTCATCGTGGTCGCCCGCGGTAAGCGGCTGGTGCTGTAACGACTCGTAGGGTTGGGACATTGTGGTTGCAGGCTGAGGAAACAACCCATCAAGGGTTGGAGAAGTCTAGGATGCGGAGAGAGCGGTTCGCGTGGTCATTACAATGCTTGGTGTCGGGCTGCTCGGTTGGAAAGACGCTATTGGCGATGCGTAGGGGGCGGAACTCAGGACGTCATAGTACAGGGCTCTCGGACGTGGAGGCCTAGGCACACTGGCAACGATTGCGAAAGGAAAGCAGGACGCCGAGGGGCGTAGGAGCACGATGCAGGCACTTGCTGGACAGGATGGCGGGAAGGGGGAAAGTTGTCAAGACGGGACAGGAGCATTGACGTGAGGTGAGATAAGGATTATCGGGCAACCCCTTGGTCCAGAGACCGACCAAGGCGGACGGGCTGAGCGGCAGTGACGAGGCGCGCCAAGCACCAGCGCGCGCCACAAAGACAAGGCCCCCAGAGGGCTGTCAAGTAACGCTGCTTTAGTGCTCGGCCGCCCGTGGGGTCGGGCCATCGGCCGCGTACTGCCTGTGGAGCGCCCCCCTAACGACGGGCGATCTTGCACCCCAACCGGGATGACGTAGTCCCGCTTATTATCTCCCGGCGCTCCGCCATCAGGCAGGTTGTAAGAGGACCGCAGCAGGCACGACAGAGACTAAACAGCAAGTTGAAGCCACCGTCGAGCTTCATTCATGTCGGTAAACTCAACCAGGTCGATCTATTCAGGCAGTTTCCAAGCCTGCCCCAGCGTCCAAACACAACGGTAACACGACACTTTCAGTGGAGCCTGGCAAATGAACAGCAACACATGGAGCTTGGGGGTATCTAACATCTAACATACTAGTGTATTTATCTTTAGCTATGGGATTCTGCCTGTTCACGTTTCCATCCTCTTCTTCCGTAACCAAGGTTTTTGGTTGTGTAAGCCACATACCATCATCAACGCAAAACTGAGTTGTCCCCGGCAGTTTCCAAACACAGCTTCGCCAACGACCCTTGTCAAGGGGGGCCGCAAGAACCATGAGCCACAATTGAGCAATGTCAAAGTGCCAGTCCACCGAGAACATTCTCTAGCTCATCCACGTCAGAACCAAGACTGCAATCACTGTCCAGTGCAGCAGAATTGCCAGCGAATGCTAAAGCGCCCGGAGAAATAAGAACACCAGCGGCGCGGTTACTTAGCCGAGTCTCGGGCGTGAAGGTGCGGCCGCCCTCGGGAGTCTTTGCAGCGATATGAGCTGGGGCATTGATTTCGCCGAGGCTCACAAACCTGCCGTAATTATCCTATCGGTGACAAGTTAGTCGACTACCCTCCCCGACCCTTACGTCTTTCGTCACCGGAACGAGAAAAGAGATATTTGACACTGGAAACTTACCCTGCGCCCGTAAACTCCCACCAAAACTCCGCTCCCGTCATTGGCAGCACCAGAGTCCTTAGCTCTAATGTTTCGACTTCGTGCCAGTGAATCATCAGAGTCGGATAAGTCGTCGGAGACACCCAGCACATTGAAGCAACGGCCGAAATTGGTACTGATCTGTTTGTAGTTGAACGTGTTATCGAATTGATAATCTCTCTCTGCCCCGAGCGCAGCGAAAAGTCTGAAGCACGACAGTGTGGTATTGGGAAATCGCACACTCACCCTCAGACCCCCGATCATCGTACTGCCTCTCCCATGAATGGCACCATCATGATCGTCGTGACCGTCCTCGCGCTGCGCACCGACGACGTCAATCCCAACAATCCTCTCCCCAGACTTCCCGTCAATGGCAAACTCGTACGTTTGCGTTTTGACCTTTGCAGTGCCCCTGAATTCGCGTGGCACGGCGTCGGTACGAGACAAATACTGAAAAGGCTCATGCAAGGTGCCATACTCCGCGGTGCCGGCTTGCGCCGGTATGCTGATGACACCCGTCCTTAGATGTTCACCGAACATATGGGACACGCTCCCATCATGCTTGCCTCCAAGCTCCTCGTTGATCGTCCCATCACCGTTGTCTTTAGTATGGTCGCAGTCTTTGTCGTCCCTGACACGCCGGGATACTCCGAACTCGACAAGGACGCCGTCTCTCAAAGTCATCGTGAGCCCAGTGACCTCGGTGAGCTTCTCCCCATGTTCACCACCAAAGAGGATGACTTCGTGTGGTTGCCCCACGCGAACTCCAGTGCCGAGTCCCGCGATCTGCCCTTGCTGCGAGAACGAGCTGGCATTCATAGGCAGCCAAGCACGCTCACGAGTCGGACCGAGGGGGAACAGGTCACAGTGCGCCGGCGGGACCGCGGGATACCACAGGGAATGCTCGCGAAGCTTGGAGGACCTGTAAGGTGATTTACGAATGGTAGTCGATGATGCTGGCTTATTGTTGGAGGTGGCAGGCTTGGACGCCCATACGACCAAAAGCTTGATAGCCTATGTTGTTTCATAATCATAAAAAGTTAGCCGTCCCTGCGCGTACAACTCGTTTTGAAAAAGCATGAAATGCACTTTGAATGCTGCTTTGAAAATGGCGAAGCGGAATCACGGAAATGAGAAATTCTTTGATCTTTTTTTTTGTCCGATAGGAAGCAAAACTTACATCAAAGCCGCAGGTCAACATGTACGGCTCAACCCCTTCCTTCAGGAGGAGTAGCTTCCTCGGCACACCCTCATGTCGACCGACCCACTGACCTTTCTGAGATTCCAATGATCCTAGTTTCCTGAGGCCAAGCACGCCTCGGGAGCCAACTGCCAGCTCGAAGCCGCACAAAGCGCCCCCACTCCCGCTCTCGTCCTCAGACACGGGAGGCAGCAACTCCTCGTTAGTCGCATGGATGTACCCGATACTCCACGATTGTGCCGTCCCGGAGACATTCTCGAACCGCAAGCCGGATATGTACCGCGCATCCGGCAGCTCGATGAACGAAACCCAGACTCGCGCATCTCGGGAGATACCCTTGTGGTACCGGACACGCGAGGGCTCGACACATGCGCCGTAGGAAAAGTCATGGAGCCGCCCGTAGTGGTTGGTATATCCCTCGCCGTCGCGCAGTGCATCAGGCCCGTGAGGCAGATTGACGACAGCCCCGGCGGCACCGGCAGTGGAGAGCTCAAACATCCAGTTGGGCAGGGGCACGCCGCACTCAGTGCCCTGCAGTGTTGTCGACGAGCCGGAGCCCATGTGTTGCAAGATGTTGAGCAGCGCGTCGGCGATGCCCCAGATGCGTGCCCTGTTCCGCAGCGTCTCGCGGCGGGTCTGCAGCTCGGCCATTTCGAAGTACGCGTCCCGCCAGTTCCCCAGGGGCACTGTTGCATCGCGGGCCTCGTAGACGTGTCCCATCTGTTGACCGGAGTCGAACCTCGAGGCCCAGAACGTTTCGCCGAGCTCGGTCTCGGCGATGGCTCGTGAGGCGAGCTTCAGTGTCAGCACGTCTGGCGAAGAGAGCTGGAAGAGGATGATGTCGCGGATCTCTGTGGGGAGTTGGTCGAACTGGTCTGTCTCTTTGGCTTCAGTTACTGTAAGAGATATTGATGTCTTCCGAAGTCTGCGGGCCGGAAGAGCAAGGACTGGACGACTTGCTTTGGGCAGGCGAAGGGCAGCTTGGATAGGATAGCTCTCTCCGGGATCGTGGTGAGGGCCGGCGAATCCGCGAGCCACGTCCGCCAAGACACGCTCGAAGCCGACAAAGTTGCTGCCAGAGTCCTCGTACTCTATGAAGCCATAGTTGTGGCCCCAGTTGATCCGGCCTTGTTGTTCGGGGAAGCAGCCGAAGAACTGGTGCAGGTGCGTCAGGTTGATGTCGCGAAAGCCGGCGTCAGGATCATTTCTATCGCCTGCTGCCACTCTTTCCAGGATATCCCAGCATGTAAGGTGGAAAGGGACACCGTATTGAGTTGGGGCGGTGCCATGCTCGTCTCTGCTGCCTCTCTGGAGGCGGAACACACAAAGGTTGTCTGGCTCGAAATTGTTGTCGTAAAAGTGAGCATGGCGGCCCAGGGGTGCTCTGTCGAAGCCATGGTCTCGCAGTCCGACGCCCGAGAGCTGTGCTTCGGCCGGACCTCTTGTGGTATTGCGCACGTATACTTTCAATCGGAAGTGAGTGGTGATTTGGTAAGCCTGGGTCCGAGAAGGAAGAAAGAGACAACGCGGTCAAGCGGTGGATAAATGTTGTAGGAAAATGCTTACCCGCGCGAAAATGTGGTGTCCAGCTACGGCTCAGTCTCTCATCGATTGGCACGCCACAGAGTACACAGCTGCCACGAGGCATACTTGTCGCCATCACGATGGGTGGTGCATGGAGGCTATCAAGTCACTCGGCATGCACTAGACCTTTCCACAAGCACGCCGCACTGCTATGTTTCTGCCACAAGCTTCCCAAATGCACTCAAAGAATGACCACGAAGCAATTTCAACTTTGCAGACAGAGTTACTCTCAAAGACGCATCAAATTAAACGAGGTTAAATGGCCTCTTGGTACTTTGAGGAGCATTATCAACATTGTTGCTGCCTGTAGCTTGCTTCGCTAGGCACGCGAATTAGGCAATGAGTGCTCTTTTTGAACCAATCAGAAGCATCAGCCATGCCAGGTCAGCATTACTCATCTTCAGGCACCAAGCAAAAAGATGAAGCCTGCCGAGACCACTTCCATATGGACCAATGAATCTGTTCATGCTAGGAATTCGAAGAGGTCAGACTGCAACCCTTGGGGATTGTGGATTGTTTCTCCCCCCCTCGGTGAACACACCGTGGCGGAAACCGCTGGCGCGGATTGAAGAACGGGTGGCCCGCAACAAGTGCTCAGCGACGGTTCCACATCTGACAAATGACTGACGTTGGCTTGTCTTGTCGCTTTGTAACAACTTGAAAGTCGCGCAAACGGCCCGCTAAGGAACGGCACACGTCATGATGAACAGCAGAGCTATGATAACGAGGATGAACCCTACAACCACTATGCCGGCTAACCGTCAGGCTCAAAATCACGAGAAATGCCGCAGCAGAGCAAGCACACAGGCCGCCGCAATATTGCGGTACCTGTTGGGTCATCGACGTGAAACTCCATGCTCCAAAAAAAGAAAATAAAATAAAATTGTGTAGCAGGCGGGCTGCGTTCGTCAGGCACTGAGGGAATATCGGATCATCGTTGGCCTGCATGAGCAATAATTCATCGAAGAGGCGCCTGTTGTTATGGGACCTACGCCGTGAGGCGCTTCCACAAGTAGCAGCTCGATCTCAACAAGGTGCAGGCGGGGTATGCAATGCAACAGGAGCACGACCAACACACACCAATAACAAACAACAACAGCGATAGCAACAGCCTATTTGATGACAGAGCGGGGCGGGGCTGTAGTGGTGGAAACAAGTGTGTACGTAGACATCGAGGTGTGGCAGGTACCGGAGCTTCGGCGCCGAGCCCTCCAAAGCAGACGCACCGGACAGCGCTTGGCTCTGACCAGAACCGGTTTCCTGCTGTGTCGCGCCACTTTGGCAGCCGGGGCCGGCCCCCGCATTATTCCGGCGATGTCGCCCAGGCCATGCGGCGTGGACAAATGGACACCATGGCAGCAGATCAAACTTTGATGCCAAGACCTGTGCAGCATCCAGACGTCAACGCTGGTCATCTTTTGCTGGGTTGAACCGCAAGCACCGACTTGAGTGCCGGCACCGGGAAAGGAGGCTGGTGCGTTGACACACGTGGAGAGAGCCAGAGGCACAGGGGGTTCCAGGACAAGGGGGACCTAGATGTGTCAAATAAGCGACCGTGCGTGGGCGTGATCGCCAAAGGGTCCAAAGCGTCCAACGGCGTGCCCCAGGTTTGCTGGCAGGCAGAGAATGCACGTCATTGACGACGCTTCGTATTTGCTGTAATTGCCCTCCCATTTCCACAAGAGTAGCTGAGGCCTGGCGCGCAGCCTAGCAACGCCGGCGCCCGCCAGCAGCGTGGAGCACTAGCCGAGTGGGCAACCTGGAGACGAGGCCATGTGTGGAGGCAGGCGGACTGCTGTAGGTACTCCGTATGGCAAGGTGGGCACTAGGCACGAACCCATGCACGGCGTGTCCCCCTTTAGTGGCTCCAGCAAGAACGACGCGAGGGGTGGGCTCTATCCGAGATTGAGCAGCGTGGAAACGGGGTCCTGGGCATCTTGGATTGCGATGTTCGTTTGCACCCCGTAGATCGCCACTGGATGGTGGTGATGGTTGCACCTCGGGACAGCCGGTTGAAACAAGGTGTGGTGAGCAGTGCGCGGCAGTGCTGGTGTGTAGTGGGCAGAGATGTTGGAGCGAGGCGACCCGAGAGGCCCGGCAGGGAACAGCACCTCCAAAATCGAGGCAGGGCTGGGCTGGGCTAGGAATGGCAATGTACAAAGAGGCGAGAGTTGTGGAGAGGATGGGTGGGAGGGTGGGAGGGAGGAGGCGCGGGTGTTGGTTGGTGGTGGTGGTGTGGGCTGGTGAGCAGTCAGCCAGGGTAAGTCCGTCCGCCCAGTCCGTGCCTGGGGGAGATTGAAGTGCGTTTGAGTTGCGCCCGGCGAGCCTGCACTGCCCAGACCCCTGTGCCTGGCCCAGCGCAGCCGCAGGAACCGCCCGTCGCATCCCCATCATCATCGCCTCCTGCCCGCGTATGTTGCTTCTCCTCCTCCTCCTCTGTGCCTCCTCCAAACATCCGCCTTCCTCTCTGGCCTCTCACCCGCCGCCTAGTTCCTGTTGCCCCTCCGTCTGGCCCGCTCTTCTGCCCGGCCTGCGTCCCGTTGCAACCTCCTTTGCGGCTCTCCCACGCTCCTTACCTCCATCTCTATTGCTTCCAATCCCGGCCCCCAGCGCCCAGCTTCTTCTTGTCTCTTGCTACTCCAAGCCTTTCGTGACTGCCGTTCTTGCTCTTAACACACATTCTATCTATCTGTCTATCTATCTATCCCACCCTTGCGTCATCTCTTGGCTCGGTCTACCTCATCGACTTTCTGATAGCTCACCCTGTGCTTCAATCCCGAACCTCAAAGGAGCACATAACAACACCACTTACCACGTCCCTTGTCGTCCACCTCTAGTACAACGCCAAGGGGTTTCGCCTGCACAAGGACGCTTTGTCGACCTTTGCCCAGATCCGTACCAAGGTACCTTTGATACAGGTCTCGCCTCCATCTCCCTCAATTGATTTCAGGATCACTGCCGACACCTCAATCGCCGTCTCTGCGCCTCGCCCTTGGTGTCCCATCGCCAATCATCAACCCCGGCCACACGGAAAGCAAACGGACCCGAAGGCTTCACGCAGCTCTGGTGTGTTTTCAGCCACGCCTGCCTGTTTGATCTTGGGACAATTGGTCTGTCCCGCGGCTGGCCGCCGACCAGCAAACCCTAATTGCCAAATCCGCTGCCATCTAGGCCCGCGCCGCTGCACCTACCAATATAGTCATTCAGTTCACGAACCATTCCACCCGCCCCTCGTGGCCTGGTGTCTCTTTGCGGCTGGTACCGTACTTGCGAACTCGCTGAGCGATTCACGGCTCTATCCACCGCGTCGACAAGGGATATCGAGACTTTCTCATGCGACGCCTGTGACACTGTTGCGGAGTGTCCCTATGCTCGTGCTTCGGCACAGCTATAACCCCCCACACAAAAAACACTTGAAGCATAGCAACGGCGGCCATGTCTCTCCCCATCGCTTTGCAATCCGTGGTCTTCTACGTCGTATCATGTACGCCCTACTACAACTTCCGCGCACACCAGCGCTCAAAGGCTACGGCCAAGAAAGAGCGTGCAGAAAAGGCGCGCATTCAAGGGCAGTACCCGGAGATGTACCAGCACCCAGATCCATTCAACACAAACCCTTACTGGTCTGAAGAGATCATGATAGGGCCACACATCGAAACCAGGAAGTACCAGTCGGCCGCCAGCAAGAACGAGAGCCAAAAGCGGCTGGCGAGCGCCGGAAAGGACGCCCACAGCATCGCGGGCAGCAGCATACATATTGGCAGCACACACATCGGCAGTAGTCCCACGGTAGTGCCAGAAAACGAGACCATGAGCCTATCGACTTCATTCTCGGACGATTGGAACCGCAAACGGTATCAGCGCGAGGACGAGGAGCTATGGGGTCACGATATATCCAGAGCTGGTCACCGGTTGATGGACGCAATTAAGCAGGCAGGTTCTTCGGCTGGTCGCCGCATCGAGGCCACCCTCGGCATGGAACCTCGTGAGATTACCGAGGAGGAGCGGAGGGAGTTTTACTTTGCGCCCAAGCACCCACCCGTCAACGACCACCACCCACCCATTGTCCGTCAGAAGCCGCTCCACCAAGATGCCCACAAGTGGATGCTCCAGCCGCCGCCACCAGCCAAGTTCATGGAGGGCAAGGTTCCAGTCAGCCGGACGACGAGCGTCGCCAGCCACGTCAGTAGGAAGACGACTAGCAGCGATACTCCGCCCTTGAGCCGCCGCATGCACGAGAAGGCCATGGAGGCCAAGCTCATGAGTGGCGAACTTCCCACAGATCAGGACCTAGCTGCTAGTCGCCTGAGTCCAACCTCAGCGCAACGCCGCTCCGCAGCATTCAGCTCAGGTACTCTCAGGGGCAGGAGCTTCTCGATTGAGTCGTCGGAGATTTCGGAGGGCTTCGTCGTGCCCGCGCGCAGATCGACCAGGCGCACAAAGCGGACGAGACCTGTCGTCACCCCTGACGAGGACACCTCAGATGATGCGGAGTTCTTTGAGCTGAAGCCCTCAGAATCTTTCACTGCCAGCACCACCAAGGTTGCCAGACGCCCCAAGCTGGAGACTGTCGCCAGCTCCGAGTCATTCGGCGCTCCCGAGGAGTTAACACTGGCCGAAAACATGAAGCTCACGCCGTCGCAAACCGCGGAAACATTGGTCGAAGCCACGTCCGAATCCACGGCCCTGCCCGCCCCAAAGATCATGGCGGCCACGGCTAGCTCCGCTTAGTATGTCTGGAGCAGATGCATGGTCAAATCCGACAGTGACTTGGAGCTGCAAACGCCCCGTTTTGCTGGGCCATGGTTGCCGGTACTTGGGCCCGATGAGGAGAGGCATTGGTTGAGATGAAGCTGGAAAAACAAAAATTGGATCCCAATGGTCTGGTCATAGCTGTAGCATTCGTTTTTGTACACACCTGAAGCATTCGCAAGTTTGGCGTTGGGAGTATTGGCACATCGGTTCGCACCTTGCGAGCCAAAAGATTTTTGATAGCATTGATAAGATAACTCTTTGTTCTGGTTAATGTTTCTGCTCGTCAAGAGGCTGAGCTTGCTGGTGAATGCCTTCTTTTGTTCTATCACAAGCTTGGCCAACAAGTCACATCCACGGCATATGCTTGCTTGCGCGAGGTTAGTAGCAATTGGCATCCAGCACAGAGAAAATACCTTCATGTTCTCTGATAAAACCACCTGCTCATATCCAATCACCGGGCTTGTGGTTTAGTGGTATAATACTCCCTTAGCATGGGAGTGGTCCGGGGTTCGATTCCCCGCGAGTCCATCGCATGGAGGTTAAAATCCTCTGTTGTACCATCTTTTTGTTTGATTTCTTTTCTTGGATCGTGAACCGTCTTCTTTTGGTCTCCTAGATGCTTCCATTTTTGCCGTGCCTTTCTTTTTGATTTTTACCCCCCACCCCTTCTTCACTGTCTTCCATGGTTGTTGTGATGTATTGGCAGGCCTGTTTGTGTCCTGGGAATATTGGCTGTGGAGACATGATTCTGTCGAAAAGACACTACTGACTTTTTCTGGTTTCCGAGACTGCGCGTTGAGCCGGGCTGATCGGCACGAATTTGTGAGGTCAACGTTTTTTTTTTTTCTTTTCTTTCAGGCGCTGGGGTACCTCCCTGTTTGATTCAGCTCTAAACTTCTTTTCTAGTCGATCCTTGTTTATTACCGTGCGCTGAGTTGGTCTAGTTTGGAAGAGGAGACCCGGGTGGTTCAGAAATAATGAGACATTTCTCGAGGCACTTGCTCAATTATCCCAGTCAACCGCTGTAAACGATTGTGTGCAATTATACACACGCACAGGTCGTGACCGAGTATTTATTTCATGATTGCAACGATTTGATTGTAATGTCTTTCCTACGGTGGTTTTTTCCCGCGATGAGATGTGCTGAAATGAATAGAAGCGTTTTCCTCGCCCTCCTTGGCGTCTGCGCCCATCATAGCTAAAGGGGCATGCTTCATTTCCTGGTCTTGATAACATGTGACTTTTTTTCAGGGGGGGAATAAGGCGCGGAGAAAGATCCGGCGCCGAGCAAATGATATAATCGCACCTGTCCACCCATCCAAGCTGCAACGAAAAAGTTCCGACTAAAGGATTCGCAAAATGGCACGGCGAAAAAAACATGCGGACATCCACCCTGGCGTTTTCTCTACTGGCATGCATGTGCCTAACCGTGCATCCCGCAACGAGCCTCAACCTCGGATCGTGTCTTGGTTTCCCCAATGCCTCAATGCTACGCCTCTTTTCATCCCTTGTCTGCCATGCATGCCCACAATGCCGTCGAAGTGATATAGTGATGACATAAATGTACAAGAGCCTCTAGCCGTTTGGCGCTGGCGCCGTCACGGCATGCTGGAGCTTCCGGTCGTATGGCATCATACATCCCACTCCTCGTCGACATCCTCGGTCTCCTCGGGAGCAATGGCGGCGAAGGAAGAGTTGTTGCTGGTCAGGAGGGGCTTCTTGACTCCGTTGGTGGCAGGCTTGGCGGCCGCGACGGGCTCAGCCTGAGAGGCGGCGGAGGAGACGGCAGCGGGAGCACTCTGCTTGCCCTTCTTCTTGGTCTTTACCTCATTCCAGCTGTCAGTCTCTTGCGGGGGAGCAGCTTCGAACTGGTCTTGCTTCGGGGGAGCCGCGGGGACAGTCTCCTTCTGCTTCTTCGCAGGCGCGGCAGGGGTAGCCTCAAAGGTGTCGAGAAGAGGGATCACGTTCGTCTGGGCAGACTCGGTGTTCGGGGCAGTCCAGGCGTTGTTCTGCTGGCTGGCGACGAAGCCAGAGCCGTCCTTCGCAGCGCGACCCTCGGCGATGCGAGCAGTGCGTCTCTGCTGCTCAAGGAGCACCTTGCGCTCCTTCTCATCCTCCTCGCGAGCAGCCTTGGCAGCCTCGGCCTTCTTCCGGTTCTGGCGCTGCTTCTTGGTCTCGACGACCTCCGGAGCCTTGGCCTTGGGCTGCTTGGCCTTGACCGCATCAGTGCCAGTCAGACGGAGGACAGAGGGGCCAGGAGCCGCAGCCTCGAGCATGTCAGAGACATCGTTGCTGTTGGACGGCGCGGCCTCGACGACGGGGGAGGCCTGAGGAGACAAGTCGTCATCCGCATCCTCGCCGTGAGACACCTCGGTGGTAGTGGCTGCAGGGGCTGCAGTCACCTTGGAGCCCTGCTCAGCCTTGGACTGCTTCACAGACTTGGCCCGCTTCTCATCGGCCTTCTTGCTGGTAAAGGTGTGGCCAGCATGTGTGGAGGAGAGCTGGCGGGCAAACTCCCGGTCGGCCTTGCGCTCCGCCGCGGCGAGCTCTTCAGCGCTGGCGACTGGCTCGGCAGGTGCGGTGGCCGTCGTGGTGGCAGCGGCCTCCGCCGGCTTCGCGACCTTCTTGGGCTGTTTCACGGCCTTCTCGACCTTCTTCCTCGGGGGCGCAGCTGGCTCTGGAGCCTCTTGCGACCGGCCGCGCTTGGCAGGCACAACGGCAGAGCTGCGTCGTGGTGTGCCGTTCTGATAGGTGGTGAAGACATAGCCTGCCACGAGCAGCAGGACAGCCCAGCCGCCATACGTGGTGAGCGCCGAGTGAGAGCTGCTAGAGGAGTCCATGATGGAGGGCACGTCTGCGTTTAGCTTTTCTGGAGGAAGACTCGACCGAGCGGACCGTGATGTGAGGATTGTTTTCGGGCTTTCTGGGTGATGCTGGGGCGCGTCGGCGACGGGCAATTGCTTCGGGTGGTGTGAGGCCGTGTGGAGAGCTCGAGGACTCGTTGTCCCGGCCAAGCGTGGTCGATCTGCGCCCGGTTTTGCAATGAGCGCAGTGAGGGCAGTGGAGCCAAGACTCGATGGAGGAGAGGATTGCAATTGATCGCTGACAACGTGGAGGTAAGATGGGGCAGGAGATTGAGATGGCGGAGGAGGTTCAGATGGTGGTGGCAGTGAGTGCGAGCTGATGGGGAAATACGAACGGACGACGTGTTGGTAACGGAGACCGGGGTAAGGTCGTCGAGCTCCGCAGCGCATCAGGGGAAGCTGCCTGTGGCACCTGCGCAGGCAGGGCCTCACAAATTGTCCCGCGACGACCGAGCAAGTGCTGGTACAGTGCCAGGACCACAATGCACTGCCGCACGACGCCACTGTCCACTGCTCATTACACAGTCTGCCTCATCGCTAACACTGTTGCGCGACCTGAAATCTGGCTTCAGCACCGCCTCGACGGCTTCGTGGATTGTTCGACATGTCTCCCGGCCCAGCTGCGTTTCACCTGCCATGCATCCTTCAATCTTGCCGCAGAGTGTCCCCTGAAGGCCTCGCAGCTGCTCTAGGACTACGCGTCGCGAGTATCAGGACACCCAATTTTCCAGGCATACCAACCTAACCCACCCAGCAATTGCACGACAGTGGCACTGACCCGACGCCTTGAATGTGCCGTCGGTGTTGGGTTGTCGGGACAAGCAAGTCCCTCCCTGCCTGCAGGACTGCTGCATCTGCATGCCACCCCCCAGCGCCTTTGGATCCTGCACTGCTAGAATGAGAGTGATGTCCGAGTATCCAAGTCATCCGTGTGACCATGCACTGCACGATTGCGAAGCCAGATCTGGGCTTGAAGGGAGATCCATGGGTGGGCAATACTTACGCGGGCTTATCAGCCACCTTCAAAACCTTCGACCTCTGCTTCTGTCATGAAGAGATTGGCAAGCTTGTTGCAGGAAACCAGGTTCCACAAACGGGACCCATTGCTTCAAGGCGTACACAGCTTTCACTCTCTTCACACAATACGTTTCCCGGCACAAACGAGGCAGATGACCCACCGACATCACTGTGTTGTTCTAACATGGGCACGAACATTAAGCTGTTCGCAGAATTTGCTGACGTACGCACAGAGATGAATAATCGCTGTGCCAAGAAAATGATCCTCTGGAGCTGGATCCCAAGGTCATCACCCTATGGATCCAACGTGACTGTACCTCAAGACACAAACTGAGGGCCGCATAATTCTTGGACCTTCAGCTTGAATGCTTGCCTGCCGACGTCCACAGCAGTAAAATCATTCAAGATCATGCCTGTCAATTTTCAGGTGCGCCTGGAAGACCTGCCCGCAACCCTGGGGCGGCAACGGGGGAGGTTAGGAGCTCCGAGGCTACGGCCGGAGGCGACCGGCGGGGCACGCAAGCTCCGCGCCCGCCGTGCCTTCCCCATCTCCGGCCGAATGCATGGGCAGGACCCCTCTCCAGCCTTGGAGGCGCCCTATCATGGTCACTGCCTCACGTGCACTCTGACATCGTGAAGCATCTCACCAACGATCTCGGCACTGAAAAGCACGCGTTCGAGGTCTCAACTGCCTCGCAATTCTTTGTCTCTCTGTCTATTTTACTGACATTCCCTTCCAATCAAACATCTCTCCACAAAACCAAAATCTCTGAACATGGCACCAAAGAACAGAATCATCATCGATACCGACCCTGGTACTTATAACCCTGACCCCGACAATAAGCTTTCACCATTTGACTCACCAGTCTAACCTTCCTTATCAGGTATCGATGACATCCTCGCCATCCTACTCGCGCTCGCAGCCGATGCCGAGGACCTTGAGGTGCTCCTCCTGTCCATCACATACGGCAATGTCTCCGTAGATAAGACTCTCAAGAATGCGGTTGCTCTTTTCCACGTTCTTGACCTCGAGATGCAGTGGCGCGAGAAGCAGGGCAAACCCCTAGGCTTCGAGGCTCTGCGGACGTACAAGCCTCTCGTCGCTATTGGGCCTGAGCATGCCCTCGAAGAGGAGATTCTGAAGGAGGATGGCTTCCGTGAGTGTCCACTGTTTGAATATGAGGAACCGTTGTCCCTTTGACATGCCATACATAAATCTAACTTCATTTATTGCCGCGAGTCCAGACGGCATGGATGGTCTGCACGATGTTCACGTCAAGGTAAGCAGACATCCACATCCAGCGAGAGTATTTCCCATCAGTACTGACACAAACCATACAGCAACCACACCTGTCCCCAGCAGACACCTGGAAGTCTCTCTTCAAGGACGGGGTGCCCTCGCCAACTGACGACCCTTCCTACTACAAGTACTTCACCCCGTCCCGCGTGCCTGCGCACAAGGAGATCCTGCGCATCCTCAAGGAGGAGCCCGCCGGGAGCGTAACCATCTGTGCCGTTGGCCCGCTGACTAACGTTGCCATGGCCGCGGCCGAGGATCCCGAGACGTTCCTGCGGCTCAAGGAGCTCGTGGTGATGGGCGGCGCCGTCGATGTCGAGGGCAACATCACGCCCGTTGCCGAGTTCAACACGTACGCCGACGCCGTCGCCTGCGCGCGTGTGTTCGCCCTGACATCCCCCAACCCGGCATCCACCATGCCGCCTGCTCCCGCCGACAAGTCTGTCTTCCGTCTCCCAGACTACCCGGAGAAGCTGTCCAAGCAGCTCACCGTCAAGTTGTTCCCCTTGGACATTACGACGCCGCACTTGCTCAACCTCGGCTTCTTCACCGAGACCATCAAGCCGCACCTCGAGGTCGGCTCCCCGCTCGCAAGCTGGGTCAACACTTTTATGAGCGGCACTTTTGCCAAGATTGTCACCATGGTCGGCGACGGCTCCGAGCCGGGGCTGTCCCTGCACGACCCGTTGACCGTGTGGTACGCCATCACGCGCGACGACCCGCGGTGGAAGCTCGCGGCCGACGCTCCCGAGGACATCCGGGTCGAGACGTCGGGCCAGTGGACGCACGGCATGCACATTCGCGACCGCCGCGGGCGGCCCAAGCCCGATGGCGTCACCAGCTGGGAGCACCCTGGTGATGAGTACGGTTGGACCAGCCTGATCCGGGGTAACAGGATCGATCGGATCGTGGACAGCCCTGGCATCGAGGACTTTGCGCCGTATGCCATGAAGCGCCTCTTCGGCTAGCACTAGCGTGGGCTGGTACCAGGACTATGAGGTAACATGCTATAGTTCGTGCCACACAATTCCAGATGGAAGTGTCCTGTACTGCAATCGTACGTGATTAAAGTAGAAAAAGTCCCATGTGGCAGTGAACAGAGAGAGGCTTATTCGCCGAAGGACCTCCCACATCTACCTGATCTGAAAATGCTGTATGTGCAGAGCGACCAGTACTTCTACGGACTGGTCGCCAGAACCTGTATGAAATGACCCGCCGCTTCTCGCGTGGTTCAAAGATAAAACTCAGCCTCCCCGCCGCTATTTTGAGGAGTATCGCCCGTACGCCAAATATGCAAATATAGTTTCAAAATCCGTCGAGATGCCTGAGTCTGGGCATCCTTCCTCTCCGCCTCTTGTCTCCGCGTCTAGATCTCATCGGCCGAATGCTAGGTCTCTTTGATCTTCCTCGGCCTGCACGGACACATTCGACTCCGTGCGACGAGACAAGGGCTTGCACGCCTCAAGGCCGCTGCATTTCGTACGTTCCCCGCTGTGAAGTTGACCCCTCTGCCACCTCAAATATCTGTTCGGTGAAGCCGTCCTCGCAACCAGGTCAACCCCGCAACCGTGCCGTTCAAAAACCGTCCGCTCATGAATGTTTCGTCGTCCCGATGGCAGCGCCCTTGACTTTTGTCCAGTCGATGCTCTCGTCGAGCGGCTCGTCCACCAGGCCTACGAGGCACACGTTGTCGCCCCGCACGAGGTAGAGGCCAAGGGCCACTTCTTCTGAGGGCTCATCGTCGTCCTGAGTCCGGATGACGCGTTCTGTGGCTTGCCCTAGCACCTAACCGGCACAAATCACGTGAGGGTTTTGTTAGCGAAAAAGCCAACAAAAACGGCGTTGCAAGCGGGGAGTGTGAAAGACGTACGATGTTGGTCATCTGGTCATAGCTCAGGAGGTTGCCGAGCAGCGTCCTCGAGTCGACTGTGATGATAAGGACCTTTTCTGTTTGCGGAAAAAAGGGTTGTCAGCCATGATATTCTTGTCTTGCGAGGGGCAAGCCTGGTGAAGCATGATGGGAGGCTTTACTGTTGATGTAGCTATTGAGGTTCGACATGGTGGCTAGACTGGCCCGGCAGCTGGCGAGCTTTGGGGAGCAGTGGTGGTTGTGTCTGCGATCGTCCGGGCGGGCAGCGGGCAGTGCCGAGGTCGGTCGTTGCTGAGCCGGCTTTGGTGGCGTGGGAGCTCGTCGGGTCGAGGGTTGTGCGGTAAAGAATGACGTGGTGCTCGTGGTCGTCGGGTCTGCTTGACGGGCCTCAAAGGTGAAGCTCAATTGGGTGAGAGGAGCAGCAGCTGCGGCAAGCTCCAAATATCCTGGAACCCACTGCTATCGGGCGATAAGACATCAGGCCGTGGCAAGGGCTGGAGAGGCGTGCTGGCTGTGCTCAAGTGGTGAGATCGGTCTTGTCCAAGCCAAGCGGGCTGCGGGGTTACCTGGGAAAGCACAATCCGCGACCTCGGACGCTGTGCAGCCTGCAATTGTTCTTTTGAGTTGCACAACAGCCAGGGCTGAAATAAGAGCATTGTCCAGCTCTCTTTGTTAAAGTATGGTCGGGAGTGAAGCATAAGCGCCGCGATTGTCAAGCAGACCGTGGAACCATGCTGGTCTTTTAGGGAAGGCACGCCAAGTTGAGTAAGTAATTCCGCATAGGCGGCGGCTACTTCTCAGGACGGCAGGAAGGACAGGAAATCCATGATGCCAGGCACGACACGAGGAGCCTTGGATTTCTGCAGTGGTCCTGTCTTGCAAACAGAGGGCACGGATCGAGTACGTTTACAAAAGTGCGGAGGCCCTATTCAGAAATTGATTGCTCGGATTGCCTCTTGTTCCGCTCGCGCCTTCCGTCCAAAAGTACGCACAAACGAGCTCAAGCTCCTTGGTCCCTTTCCACTCTTTGTGCACCGCCAACTCACAACGTGAATAGTGTCTCCTCCCACCAGCATCCTGGCAGCCTCTCATTCTCGTCGTCAGAATTGTTCAGATGTCTCGCTCGGACCTTGTCTTTCGGTTGGTCGTCTGACCTCTGCCAGACCTTTCTCTCTCAAGTGGCACGCACTGACTGACTGTTGGAGCAGACGGAAGCGAAGGCGCGCCCTCGAGAACCAGCCGTTTCGTTTCAAGTGCAGACTCCACGTGCGAGGGCGACTTGAGTCGACGGCCCACGATTGGCGTCCGGCTTGGCTCGGGGCCGCAAGGGGGCGCCACAGGAAAGCTTGTCCCTGCGTCGTGCCAGCACCCGGGGACTCCCAGCAGCCAATTGCGCTCACGTCAGCCCCTGCCACTGCTGCGCCTGTCATGCAGTGGGCTTTCTGGCGCCAACGATCGCCGCAGCTCAGGGGCTTGGGCCATGGGATACCCCTGCCCTGGGGGGCCTCCATGAGTCCATGACTGAGCGCGCAGGCACAACACGAGCCCCGTCCGCCTATTCTCGGACGGCGAAGGCCCTGGCTGTGCTCGCTTGGGGGGCTCTTCCCTTGACAATGCTAGACAATGGCTGGTCTAGCGGGGATCTGCGCTCGGGGGTGACAGCGGTAATCACGAGCTAAGGGGCACCGACCTGGTTCCTGATTCTTTGCATTCGTCCAATGCCTTGATTGGCTTTGTGCTGGTCCCGGAGAATACAAAACTCCTCGTCACGTTCTTGTCCAGCACTCCCTGTTCTTTTCTCCGCCTCTTTTCTGTCAGCCTTACATTCTTTGCCCGAGCCCGCCAAGCCCTTCCTTCTTTCTAAATCCATCCTCTCGTTCTCTCATAAGCCCCAGCGGCTTGCTGACATCGCCAGTGCCCAACCTCCACTTACACCTACTGGCCGTTCATTCATTCCTTCTTGCACACGACCTTGACAGCGTCATAAGACCACCACGATCGCCTCATCGTTTGACACGACTGGCTCATCATCACATACGCACTCACGTGACAAACATTACCTCACTACCCATCCACGGCTCCTCGCATTTTCAACGACCAAGACCTTCCACCACGCAACATCATGAAGACCTCTTCTATTTTCGCTGCTGCCGCCGTTATGCTGGCTGGCTCTGCTGTGGCAGCTCCGCTCGAGCGTCGTGCCGAGCTCGTGGCTGCCGACATTGTGGCGCAGATCGCTCCCAAGTCCGTATCTTGCGCAGCTGGTAGCGACGAGTGCCGGACCAACAAGCAGGTTGGCGAAGCGCTGGTCGAGGCTATGCTGGCGTACGAGATCTACAACCCTGCAGCCATGGCCTCCATCACTGCCCTCATTGCCCTTGAGTCTGGAGAGTTTGTGTACAAGCGCAACCTGCAGCACGACGGTGCCGATTCGATCCACTGGGGCCAAGGCACGTCCAACATGCAGACATTCAAGTACCAGCTCCTCTTCGCCAACTCCTTCCCCGAGGTTGCCTCGCAGGTTGCTGCTCTTGGTGCCGTCGACGGCAACAAGGCCGCCATGAACAAGGTCCTCGACCTCGTCGTCGACGACAAGTACAACTTCAAGTCCGGCCCTTGGTTCTACGCGACCCAGTGCGGTGCCGATGTTCACAGTGCCTTCGAGGGCTCGGACCTCGACAAGGCCTTTGAGCTGCACATGGCGTGCGTCCTGGGCAGTGGCTCGATTGCTCCTGAGCGGACCGCGTACTGGAACACTGCCAAGAAGGCATTCGGTTTGGCATAAACTTGCTCACCCCCGCACGATTCCAGGATGGAGCTTCACAAAGGTTTAAGAAGATACCCCCACCAACAACGTGTGCCATTTCAGTTGTCAGGATATTGCATCACTCCTCTTAGAGGCTGGGTTTGTAAATATAAGATACGTTCACACATTTCCACCCATCGAACTGGGTTAGCATGACCAAAGGCGCATGAGGCAGTGCTTTGCTGTTTCTTCTACTTCTTACCAAACTCTGTAAATAACAATTACTGTGCTTTTCTCTTCATGACCATCAACATGAATTTGCTCTTCGGTTTGCTTGTTTGTGTGTGCTCGACAAACTCACGTCATATGTTCTACGCCGTGGCTGAGATCGGGATCCGCTCGCTTGGCTTCCCGCCCCCCACTGGCGAGGTTTTTGCTCTCTAATGGAGCCTTTCACCGCGTAAAACACAACAAGCGGGATTCTTTGGATGGGAGTCAAGCAGAGACTGAAATGGATTGTCGTTCATGTGCTGAAGCAGCCTTCCAAATAGAATTGAATGCAGATGGCTGGGCAGGTATTTTGAACTCGATCAACCAAAACGTCAACAACACCGTGTGATGGAAAACATGTTCAGTCTATTTCATTTCGAAGAGACAAAAAAATGTAAAAGTTCTGATCTGAGAAAGCTATCAACATGAAATATAAAAGAAATGTATAGAACAACGAAGGGTTGAAATGTCTATGTACTCAATAATGTCGCAATGACCGTTTTTGGACTCTCTGAAGCCGAATTTCGGCGTATATACGGCTCTCATATCACCCGCAACTTCGAGTTGGATGGTAAAAAATGCATCCGCTCAGAAGACGACGAGAGACTCTGTCTATGCAAAATCGGGGGGAGCGGCGTGGTGACTTCCGCATTGTCATCAAAAAGAAAAGAGACAAGAAGAAGCACGCAAGCAGCCAGCCCCCCTTACAAACCACAGATGCCGCTACCAACAAGCCTGGCGTGCGGGTACAAGACCCTCGGCCCGGCGGTGACCTGCACGGCGACGCTGCCGGCGCCGTCGGCGGTGATGACGCCGCAGCCCATGACCTCGACGACCTTCTGCCCGCTGGTGAAGCCCGTGTCGGCGCCCTGGAGGGTGACCGTGTAGGCGGTTCCCGTGTTGCCCATGTTGCTGAAGACGCCGACGACCTGGGCGCCCGCCTGGCCCTTGCGCAGGCCCAGCGCCCAGTCGTTGATCTTGAAGGCCGTGGCGCGGTAGTTGAGGTACCCCGTGCGGTCGGCGTACACCGCCTGGTTGCGGATCTGGTTGACCTTGGCGATGAGGTTGTAGTTGTCGGAAGCCGTGTTGTACCCGGAGGGCCAGAGCGCCTCGCGGTTGCCCGGGTCTTCCTTGCCGCTGAACCCTTGCTCCTGGCCCTGGTAGATGATGGGGATGCCGTCGCTGAGGATGGTGTACGCAATGGCCGTCTTGATGCGGCCTGAGTCTGACGTGACTGTGGGGTAGCGCGGGTTGTCGTGGTTCTCGATGAAAGTGCCCAGCTTCGAGGTGTCCATCTGGTTCCGGAACGAGTTGGCCTCGCTGATGAGCTCGTTGACGGTGGCTGTGTCCGACGCGAACGCACGCCTGATCCAGTAGTAGCTGTGGCCCGCGGGTGTTAGTGTTTTGGTCTTGCTTGGGCAGGCTGAGAAAAAGAAAACAGAGTGGGTAGACTCACGCGGCGTAGTTCAGGACTCCGTCAATGGAGCCCGTCCAGGCCGCAAGGTTAGTCGGGTTGCCGTCAAAGACCTCCCCAACCATGTAGACTCCTGCGGCCTGCCCGAACCCCGGGAAGAAGCTCTTCTCCACGGATCTGGCACTGTCGATACGAAGGCCGTCGATGCTGTACTTTGCCACGGTCTTCTTGATCCAGTCGTTGAAGACGGACCGGACGTACGAGTCCTCCGTCTTGAGATCGGGGAGGGAGACCTTGTCGTCTCCGGACCAGCACGTGAGGAGCTGAGGAGTGTTGCTGTTGAAGTCGACGGCACATGGCGGCTGGTGGAAGCGATCCTTACTGGCAAACTCGCTGTTGTAGATGCCGTAGTTGACACAGTTGCGGCACCCGTTGTAGGCCATGTGGTTGGTCACCACGTCCACCATGAGGTACATTCCGCGGTCGTGCAAAGCCTTTGAGAGATCTTGCAGATCTGCCTCGCTCCCGAAATTGCTGTTCAGAGACCAGATATCCTGAGCCCAATAGCCATGATAAGGGTCACTGTACACGCGGCCCACCAGTCAGCAAGACCTCCAACACGAGCAACTCGAGCGCACTGGCAGCATAACTTACCCATAGGGTGTGTTGCCGGCAATGTTCTTGACAATGGGAGAGATCCAGACTGCAGTGAAGCCCATTCCCTGGATGTAGTCGAGCTTGTTGATGAGGCCCCGGTATGTGCCGCCACAGTAAGACCCGAGGTTGCACCCAGCAGTGGTGCTGCCATCTGTGCGGGCGAAGCGGTCGGTGAGAACCTGATATATGGACTGGCTGCGCCAACCATCGGCGTTGAGGCCACTCGCGCCGCTAGCAGCGAGGACGACAGCCAGCAGCGCCTGGCCCAGAGAAGTCTTCATGTTTATGTGTAGAGACCTCGATAGCACGAAGTGTCAGTGCGGGAAAAAGAGGTCAAGTAAGAACGAGGCCGATGATGAGGCTGATCATGTGTCATGATATCGAGGCAGATGACGTTCACTGGGCACCAGTTATATACACATATCGTGACTGGCAGGTTTCCGGCTTCCCGGCAGTGTCGAACACATGCCTGGGCCGACCAACGAGATCTAACGGAAGATGCCGTCCGTCGGAGAAAAGATGGCGACGATTTCAGCAAGTAAACAAGGGAGTATCTAGACAAGTGGACTACGTCTGTAGAAGGATGAAGCCGCCGCGAAACCCGTGGGCAGGCTCGTGGTCTGCTGCCGTGACAGACAGGGATGAGCGGCCGAGCAGGAAGTGCCGAGAGACCGGGCAAGCAAGGGCCTAGGGGCACATGGCCAGCACCGGATGACGGTAAGTTTGGCACCATGGCCCCCAATGAGATGTGCTGGTGGGTGCTGGGGTGCGGCAGGTAGATTGCACCCGCTAGCACTAATCCCTGGCTATGGAGGCAACCTTGGGCCCATGCCCCGTCCGTACCTTGACGCTCCATTCCCAGGCTGGGCACGTTGTATGTAGTATCCCGTGGAGCCACTTTGGCGAGTATACTCGACTCATTCCAGACCGAGCTAATTATACTTTGCCTGTCTCTCCGAGCACACAAACACCGTCTCAAAAACCACATGCCCGTTCTCTGTGTCCTGCCGATGATGATATCCATACGAGATTGTTTGGCAACTCGCCCGCAGTTGTGACGTTGCACAAGGCCAGGATCCCAGCAGAAGCCTTAGTCCCCACCCTCGCTTGGCTTCCGATGCTCCCCGCAACCTTAAGCGCCTCGCGAGCTTCCCAAGCCGGGCTCGCTTGTCAATGCAAATCGGCCCTTTCCAGCACGCCGCCCATCCCCCAGACGGCCACTTCTGCTCTCCTCCGCGCGAATGTCACGCCAGCATCTCACGGCTGCTGCCCACGTGCTCTGTCAGAGTTTTGGGTGATGATGTAAGAGCCGGACAGTGCGTAGTTTTGCAAGACGGGAGTCACCTGTTGCTGACCAAGATAGCTAGATCTGTCTGGTTTGCGCCAAGCACAAAATCGACATTGTTTCAAACATGAATGACCCTTGGAAATTTCCCCTCAGTGCCGAGGAGGGCGGCCCACCTTGAGCGACCTCCTGGGGATCTTTGTTCAGTAATTGCTTGCTCGTTCACGTTCACATGCTATCACCTTTGTGAACGGATGAAGGTGTCCACACTCTGCAAAGACACCAAGCCCCGCACTGCGGCTAGCGGACCTCGACCGAGGGGAGTGGGTTCCGCCCTTTTGGATCGCTTTGCTTTCTTGGTAGGAAATTGCCAGGGGTAGCGCTGCTTCACCGTCAAGCGTTGCCGCCTTCGACTAGAAACACGCCATGACCATGACTAGTGCTTGGGGCACAGCTGGATGATACTATGTAAGAAGCTGAAGGATTTCGCTTGAAACCAATGCTCTTCGGGCCCCCCTCTCCACCAAGGCAGCGCAAGGCCATTAATAGCAGGCAGATCATCTCAGATCAGGCGCAGGGGTTTGGCACGAAACCAAGCGGGCCAGGCCAAAGCATCCTTTCCGTACCAGTATTTTTTAGGACGAGCGCGGAACGCCGGGGCGACGCACGCACATCTCGGAACACTAGACTTGTTGTTGCGCAAGGGTCACGGCCTGAGGTCCCCGAGATGTGACGATGTTGGAAGTGTCATGACAAGGTAGCAAGAGAGACAGACCCGAGGGGTAAGACCGAGTGAAGAGCCGCGAAGTTGCCAAACAAAGACATCGCCAACGGATTCGGCGCCCCCGAGGTCCCAAATGATGGAGGGCTTTCTGTGGCCTCTGCGGGTTCTTTTTAGCCAGCCAGCGTTCGGCGACGAGAGCCAAGCTTGTTTTGCCTTACCAGGAAATCGTCCAGAGTTCTTTGTTGAGCAGGCATCTCAGTGGAAAGCCAGCCAGTGCAAGCCCCCACAGACTGAAAAGGCGTAGCCACAAGCCTGTACATGGCGCAACAACGCATTGCAAACTCATCCGCCAGGAACAGGCGTATGCCCACAAAATCAAGAGAGCAGAAAAGCAAGAAAGCACAACCTCACGAGACCTAAAAGAGTGCCGGCGTTGTCCAAACCGCACAGTCAACAGTGCAGAGGAGAAAAAGCAAACCCGGCGATGTCCAAAGAACCAAGAACTCCGCCAATTGCCGGAAACTCCGCTCTTCCGGCAGCAGATCACAAAGTGGCTAGCCGGTTCAATGTAACCCTATTGTGACATCCATTTCTGAGGGGAGAAGAGGTTTATCCTGACTGGCTCGCCAGGGCGCAAGAAAACGGTGCAAGTCTCGGGTCCATGTGCCCAGCCTGGTAAAATATCGGCGGTTCTCTCTCTTCCCCGGATCCTCGTGACTTGCTTCCACATTCTCGATGTGCGGGGGAAAGATGCGCAGTTGCATTTGGCACGGCGACTCTGCCGGTGCCAGGCATGCATACGTAATCGGCCCGAATACAAAGTGTGGCATTCAATCTGAAGATCTGATAATTCTGACCATAACATAAAAGTGTGAGAGGGGTTCAGACGTCATATCCCGCCTTCTTCCTTGTGATTACATACTTGCGCTGCCCTATAGGCGCGGGCTTCCGGTCTTCAGAGCTCTGAGCTCCTCGTTGCACGTCCAACTCCTGTCCGTCCTGTCTATGTCGCTTGCTAAACTATCATACAGAGGCACTGCTTTACAGCGGGATGCCCGACAAATTCTCCGAGCTCTGGAAGCACAACAACCATTTCCAAGTCCCAAAACTCCAGGTGACCAAGAGCATCTCGTCATTTTCACCAAACCCTATTCGATTGCGGCGTGATATCATCACGCCCGGCACTTTGTTCATATCTCATATGTACCTCATAAGATTAGTATTACCTCTGCTTACGTCCACGTTGGCGGATTGTTAGGTGACTGGCTCTGTGCTGCGGGCGGTTGTTGCTCCCCACCACCACCCGAGAAAAAGTTCCACGCAGACATGTCGGCTGGCCATTCTGTGTTCTGTGACAGGCCATCAAATGTAGACTATTCATGCGTGTTAGTCAATGGATGCCCAAACGTGTTCCTTCACGCAAGTGCTCATTGCTTACCCAATCAATACTTTGGTCAAATTCGGGATTTGCGGTCGGCAAATTGGTGAACATGGAGAAAGGTGAGAATGGACCACTAGCCGGCTGAGGGAATTCGGTCATGAAATCCGGAACCATGCCGCTTGAGCTGCTGAAGTCCGGAGGAACATAAGTGTGGCCCGTCGGACCCGGGGATTGGAAGTTTGTATTTGGCGTAAGCCCGCTAGACATCATCCCGAGGGTCATTGCTGCTGACTGCTCGGGTTTCATGCTGTTTTCGGAGAAACCAGAAAATATATTCTCAGCCATTGCGACTTCGGGATTCTGCGCAGTGTCCTTCTTGTTGATCTTTGCCAGAATGATGTCGATGATGTTGACTGCCTTGTATGCCTCGACTGTTTCTTGTGCCAATCTCTTCCAGATGTCGCGCACCCCATAGACCGCGTCAATCATCTCTTGGCGCTGTGTTGGCGTCCAGAAGAACATGGTCTGGGAATCCTGCCGCTTGCCGGAAGCCACACTGGCATCGTTCTCGTGGACTTCCATCAGGACCAACATGGTTGCCAGTAAAGTGTCCCGTGACACGGAGCCGACATACCACTTGTGTGTTCTTAGCCTGCCATTTGGCTCGCATTCGCGGCAGACGGATCGGAAGAGCTCGAGCATGTCCAGGGCTGCTTCGATCGCGGTGCGCCTTGAATGCGCATATCGCGGATTGTTTCGCGCCATGACCATGTGCTTGCGGTGCAGGATGCACATGATTTTGTAAAAGAGGAACTGCAGATTCAATCGCGCCACGAGCAATTTGACAGGGTCCTGGGAGTTCTCGAGGGGTTGCATCTTCAGGTGCGGGGGTAATTCCGAATGCGCTTCTCGAAGCTTCGCATCACGTACCAGGATCTCATCGTACGCAATTGGCGGCGAGAGCCTGGTGATGATTTGAAGTATGTTTCCAAACTCGAAGGCCATCTTTGCTTTGGCCACCTGGTAGGCTATCGGGGTAGGCTCTGTTATAGGTCTCGATGGTGGGAGCACCTTGGTCTCCGGGCCGAATTCCTCGTCAAACAAGAGACTAGGCAGCTCTGTATCTGTGTCCTGGGCGTATATCATGGACGGAAGAGAGACCTGAGGAGAAAGTTTAGAAAGTGCAGAGAAAATACGAGAGGACATCGCAGCCGGGAAATAGACATACCTGATTTGAGAACATGATGTCTGCCATTCGAACTAATGTCCACACACGCCTGCGCATTTCCTAGACAGGTATTAGCTGATGTCATTCGATAAATGATAATCGATAGAGCTGGAATTACCGCTTGAAACGGGCTCATCGACGGAAACAGCTTTCCATCTCGATGGTACCCCTGCCGCATGGCTGTTCGGGCAATGGTAGAGCTGATAATCCAGAAGCTGACGTCGGCGTCATATCGGGATGAGAACTCTCCGAACAGGTACAAAATCATGGTTTCCACAGTATACTCCCTGGGCTTGGTATAATCCGACAGGTTGAGACACTGTACAGTCCGCAGGCGGAATTCTGCAGCCAAGTCTAACGTCCGTCCTTTCCATTCTGGTGGCTCATCGCCCACTCGGCTATAGCTCAGCATCCCCAAGCACAGTATGGAGTACAATAGACCGATCCAGACAACGGTGGAGCTGGACGGATCTTGCCAGTGGCGCCGCAGCTCTTCTTGGAAGGTTGGGCCGTGTATGATGCAGCTCGAGCCATCATGGGAGTTGAAATAGCGCGAAACAAGTGTCATGACGGCCGATCGTGACGGTAGCTCAGACCTCAGCTCGACTTCTGTGGCGGCTGCCGCCGAGAGCAAGAAGATTGGCGAGTCTAGCGCCATTGGTGGTTTGGATTGCAGAACTCTCTCATAGCTCTTCTCGAGGTCCTTCTTATGGGAATTGAAGAAAGTCTTGACCTCTGAAATGTCGGCAAGGAGCGTATGCCAATGTTCGTGGCCAATGTACATTGTTCTGCCCTTGTCAGCATCCAGCTTGAGGAAGCCCACAGAGGCGGCCAGGCCGGCGGCGTCGTCGTCGTCGTCGTCACTGTCGTCGTCTTGATCGTCATCTCTCATGATACCATCGCCGTCCTTTTCTACGCGCACGAATGATGAGCTGTCCGTTGTCGACGGTGCAGACATCGACACGGATGGATTGGCTGGTGCGGCAGCGGCTGCGGCTGCAGCGATTGCTGCCGGGTCAATGTTCGCGCCCCCGTGCATGAGGCTGAGGACCAGACCCTCGAGCCTGTCGATCCGGTTTTGCATGTCATCTGGGGTAGGCGCTGCGCCACTACTGTCCTGTGTCTTTTTCCGGCTGGTGGGTGCAGCGTAGACACAGGACGAGGTGTCGCCGCGCTTGACACAATTCTCACAGAACGGATGTCCCCGGTTGCACTTGAGTTTCCTGGTCCGGCACGGGTGGCAGCTGAGCGGCACGCGATTGCGTCTTCGCACCACCCGGTACTGCTCCTCGGGCGAGTGCCCAGAGGTCGAGGTCGTGGTGGAAGGCGGGGTTGGCGTCATGTTGGCGTTTTGAAATGCCTGTTCGCAAGCGGGCGCGGTATCAGGAGACGAGCAGTCTCTTGAGGTGCAGTCTCTCACCTCCTCGTGTGGCGGGGTCCTGCCGTTTGACAACAACAACAACAACAACCCCGCTGGTAGTGAGACGATCTGGTTGCGACAGGCCTGGGACGATAAGGCGGGTTCAGCCTGGCGATGCTGTCGTGCAAAGCGACAGCGCTGGTCTGGGGCACAGAGACGTCTTGCGAAGTGATTGCTGGAGGAGGATGTGGTGATGGCGCAGGTGGTGAGGGCAGCGGCAGCGGCCTGAGGATGAGATAAGTCGAGTCAAGTGAAGTGAAGCAAGCAGGAGGGGCCTACGTCAAGAGGCAGCGAAATGGGAAGTGCTCCAGCCATGTACACGGGGTTAAGCGCGGCTTTAACATGCAAGAGCAAACGGGTGGAGCCACACTGCCCACCGGTAGGGCATGGCTGGCAGGCACCAGCTCATGCTGTGGATGGAGCACCCGCCCGAGCGTGGACTGCTCAAGTGGGCTGTCCGCTCCAGCTCTGAACCCCTAGATACAACACCACCACACTTGCGCACCTGTAAACGGCAAAACGGCCCCCGAGGCGGGGCATGGGCCTTCGAGTGCCGGCGACCATTAGACTCTGGCTTGTCGGTGACTCCGGTTCAAATCGTCGTCCGTCGTACTCTGTCGACGAATGATGGCAGCACGTCTGGCTCAATCCAGGATGGCGTCATCTGGGATCCATTCCCAACTCAGAGGCTCAACGCACCTGTCTCCAGAGGGCAGGAAATCTTCTAACCCTATACGACTGCTGGAGCGATGCATTGGACAACCCCACAAGCTACCATCAATCACTATCGCGACGTCGACGGGGCTTACTCACGACCAGCGCCCAGTGGCGGCGGGGTGTCCCTCGGCAGGACCCGGTTTGGGTTGCAAGGACTTGAGAGTACTGTGCAGCCATCTTGGCCGTCTTCGACGGTCGACCTGCAGCTCCCGGTGACTCACAGCACTTGCATGCCTGCGCTATGCCATCACTGCCCGTCCTTTAAGTTAGTGCTGACGGGCGGCTCTTGCTGGGCTCCAAGGTTCCCCCAGAGCCGCGCAAGCCAGTCTGCCGCCTGCATCTTATCTAGGCTCCTGGGGGATCGCTCGCTCGGCTCGTGACCCGCTGCTTTGGACAAACAGGATTGGGTTGTGACGGCAGGGTCCCGCTGGCAACAACAGGGTCCTGAGCCAAGGGTGTCCTGCATAGCGACTCAATCCGGCCAACAACCGAGCACATGACAACAAAAGCTCGGCCAGCACGCTCTTGTGATGGAATGCGAGGCCAGCGGAAATAACAGCTGTACTGGACCCCTCCCTATTTCTAGTCTTTTTAACGTTCAATGCACTGACAACTTCTCAATCAGGCAAGTCTGTTGCCAAGCCGACCCAGGGCCGTTCACGGGACGGACTGATGTTATCCAAAATGAATGACCAACGACAACGACACTCAAGCACGCTCTTCGATTTTCTGTACTATGGCATTCTCCGCTCTCGATGGATCCCTGCTAAAGACTTTTCCGTGGGACTTTTTCTTTGGTAGAATCGCTCACCCTTGGCCAGGTCCATTTCTGAACCAAGACCAGCCGACCTCGGGAGAGCTCTTCAATATGATAGCAGTATCGCTCAGATTGTCCTCATTGTGTGCCAAGCCTGGTGCATCCTCTGCTTTTGTCCCTCGGTAAACTTATTCCAGCTACAAGCACGTCGGAAATCATCATGTCAGCGATAGTGCTCATGAGTCAAGATCTGAGCTGGATATCTGTCTGAGTTGGGAGATCGAGCTGGGAGCTAACAAGTGAACTTACCATCCGTCTCCTGAATAGTCCATGAAGTTATCGATTGGATCCAGTCCTGGCTGATCGGGGCACGTGTCCTTGCCGACAGGGCACGCCATGAACTCAAAGCTCCCCTCCGCTGGCGTGTCATCAATCGAGTCGCCCTCCCCGTCGCAGTCTTCACCATCAAACGTGTGCAGCAGACCAAGCCAGTGCCCGACCTCATGTACCGCGACCTCGCCGAGGTACTCGGTGCCGTTCACCATACTCCCGGGCATGGTATACCCGTTAAGCGTGCAGCCGTCGAGGAGCGCCAAGAAAGAGCCCGGCGTGACGCCCTCGCCGGGCAAGCTGCAGGAACCGCCGACACTCTGGTCCATGCCGGACGCGATCCAGATGTTCAGCGTGTCGTACCCGCCCCGGCGCGTCGACACGCGGTGGCCGGTCCAATCATATACGTCCGAGCCCTTCGAGAGGGTGTCGTCCGCGAGCCGGTCGGTCCCCTTGAGCGTGAAGCTGATGCCGTAGGGCGCGAAGCGGTCAACGAGCACAGCAAACTGCGCCTGGAGGACCTGCTCGCTCAGCACGGCGTCCGGCTCGGTCGTGTTGACCCGCGCGTGTATGTACACGGGGATATCGATGACTTCGGCGGCAGTCTCGTTGGCAGCACCTCTCTTCTCCTTCTCCTGGGCTGCTAGTGCTCGCAAGGTCGATCGATATTCCTGAGTCGCAGGCTCGGTACCACACCAGCCTCTGCCATTGCTCGCGGTGGCGGTGGCGACGGCTACCAGCGCTGTCAAAGCAGCGCGACGCATATCGATTTGCTTGTAGACGAGAAATCAGAGGGCCGGCAGCGGCGCAAGTCTTTTGCATTGTGCGCTCCCATACAGAGAACGGGACGGGGAGCCTGCTTCAATTATACAGACTGCGTTGACCTGTTCCGGTCAGCCAGTGACCGGCTAGGGGCGGGCAATGTCGTATCATGAACACTGTCACAGAATGAACCCGAAATCCTGGCCAATGGCTAATGGCGAATGAAGGGAGCAGGTCACATTTTTTAATCCTCCATGCTGTTCCATCGGCTTGACGTTCAAATGGCGAACTGCGATTCAAGCACCTAGGAAGGAAGGAGTCGGTACACAGCGTTTAGTCCTTCTCCCCTTGCGGGGATTTCGCTGCGCGAGCATGCTTGCGTGAGGCACAAAACGTGGAATTGTCGAATTCGCGTCGAGCAGGAATGTCAACGTTACATGTTGCATGCTCGGCCGCGTCGTGTGGGGGAGCACACGCAAGGTCGGGCTGGCAGGGGTCCAGGGTTCAGTGGGCCGAGGCCTCTCTTGTAGCTCTAGGGGAAGAGGATCATGTTGAAGTGTTTCTCGCCAGTTTGTGATCGACTCCGGCGGAACTTATTCTTGACACTATGATAATATGTTACGGTGCGAGAAATGTATATTTATCCTACAGTTTGTCTTTTTTACACATGCACTCTGCGCATTTGTCATCTAGGATTCTTTCAAGAACCTGCAGGATCTCGCTCGCACAGTCCGCCCCCGCACCGCAAGCAAACGGCGCACTAGAGAGCTGAAAGGCCCCGGTAAATGGGCCACAGGATCTTTTCATGGCAGGGGAGTCAGCGAGTCCGAGTCAGAAGCTGTTCCATGATTGGAGGAGACATACGTAGTTGGAAGCTGGGCACACACAGGCTCCTTGGGAGCTTTCCTCCAGAATCGGAATAATGACGAGAGCGTGAGCTGAGCACGGGAGGCTGGAGCTGTGGAAGATGGGTACGTGACGACACAGTGAAGTGCATAGTTCGACATGGCACAAGCAGGCGGAAGCTGCGGTGAGTGGGTTACAAGATGTCCTCGAGAATATGCGCAATTGCCTTGTGTGCTCGAGTAGTCGCGCTACGCATTGTCCTTGCATGCTTGTCAGCTGTCGAAGTCCGCCTGCAGAGCAACTCTCAGCAGGGAACAGACGCGGTGCAGGCAATGTTTGGTTGTGGTTACTGCAAGCTCAGGAGCCAGGTTCTCAATTTTTCTTGCATTGGCGTTTCCCATGATTGAGAAAGCAGGTGACTGTTGGGAATTGAAGGGTTGTGGCCTGCACAGCAATCGCGGGAGTCTGCCAACTTGTGATTGGCCAATCGGCCCGAGAGCTGTCCCAACTGGGAATGTGCGTGTGCAGGCTATTTACGGCTGACCAGAGTCAATGATGCCAGGCTTAGTCACATCCAGGGCACCTCAGCTCGCCTGGCGTCCGGCGCAGGAGTCTAGTGAGGAGCCTGGAAAACCTGCTCAGAACTTTGAGTTGGTCCAGGCCGGGTAGAAGGTTTCACCACCGCACGCGGGCTTGTCCATCGGCTTGGGGTTTCTTATTGGAGGCACCGATCGAGATCGACCAGGAACCCGTCATTTTGACTTGGCTGCGCAGGAGCTGTTCCCCCGCCAGGCACAACGCTGTGGAGAAGGTGCCGCCCAGCGATGATTGCGGTTCGACGTCATCGCTGTCTCACAGCTCTGGTGTCGCATACTGCCTCGCTATAACTCTGTGTCAGAGACCCCTCGTGTAGCCGGGGCTTCTTGCCTCTCGTTGCCCAGCCTCAATCGAACGAGCCATCAAAATCCAAAAGTGCCATGGCTGAACAAGACCGCTTCGGCACCCACTTTGGGGCCGACAAGACCGGCGCCATCAAAGACCATGTCGAGGATCACGTAACCCAGACCATCCGGGACCACAAGCTTCCCCGAGGCTCCGGAGCCGAGCAGGACCGCCTCGGCGGCTGGTTCGGCGGCAAGGTGCCAGAAGATACCCACGTCTTTGACAAGCTGCCCCGCGCCTCTGGTGCCGAGCAGGACCGTTGGGGCCACTGGTTTGGCGGCAAGGCCCCGTACGACGCGAGGCGTGCAAAGGAGTTTGTCAAGGACCTCGCCGGGACGTCCGGGGCCGAGCAGGACCGCTACGGATCCCACTTTGGCGAAGAGAACCTGCCCTCTGCGCGCGACGTCGTGGACAAGGTCACCCCAGCTGCCGACAAGGACAGAGTGGGCGGCTGGTTCCGGCGCGCCAAGGAGTCGATCCCGTCCCTGGACGATGTCAAGGAGACGCTGCCCCGGAGCTCGGGGGCCGAGCAGGACCGCTTCGAGTCGCACTTCGGCCGGCGCCCGACCAACCCCATCCCCCCCGTCAACGCCACCGCTATCGGCCTCTTGCAGTCTGCCATCCTGCCATCCTTCGCCTTCCACTCTGGGCTTTCCACGGTCGCCTACGCCGTCGCCCGGTACACGGACCGCGCCGAGGTCAAGGACTACCTGTGGCCCGCGGGCATGACTGCCAATGCCTGGTGGAGCGCCATCGGCACGCGCGTCGTCTACGACGGGCTCTCCGTCTCCCACGCCTGGAGGACCCTGACCTACCCACAGAAGCTGCTGCTCACGGGCGTCACCGCCTGGGGCGTCCGGCTGCTCTACCGCGTCGCCTCCCGCAGCCTGAGGCGCGGCAAGGACGACCCGCGCTACGTGACCGCCAAGAAGAAGGACCCGGCCGGGTTCTGGAACAAGGCCCTGCTGGGCATGTTTGTCCCCGAGGCCGTCGCCCAGACCATCGTCTCGCTCCCGTTCACGCTGCCCTTCCGCGCCAGCCTCGAGAGCGTCGCGGCCTCGCCCGACGTCAGCTACAAGTCCCTCGACACCACGATCGGCGTCTTCCTCTTCTCGGCCGGCTTCGCCCTCGAGGTCCTCGCCGACACTCAGCTCGAGGCCCACAAGGAGAAGAACAAGACAGACCTGAACCGCGACGGTGTCTGGAGCATCGTCCGCCACCCCAAGTAAGTCCAGCCCTCCCTCCAGCCTCTCTGTCCATCGATATAATTTATCTCGGTTTTTGTTTTTCTTTTCTTTTCCACCCAGTCTCGGTCCCACTATGTGGCCCCGAACAAGGAAAAGCAAAGCAACCGACTAACACTGGAAACGCAACACAGCTACCTCGGCGACACCCTCATCCACATCTCCTTCCCCTTCCTCCTGCTCGGCGCCAGCGCGATGCACCCGCTCACCGTCCTCGGCCCCATCGCAAACTACCTGTTCCTGCGGTACGTCGGCGGGGACCGCGAGAACGAAGAGAGCCAGGAGGAGCGCTACACCAAGGGGGCCGGCGCGAACCCCGTCAAGGCGCAGCAGCTCGCCGAGTACCGCCGCGACAAGAACAGCTTCTGGCCCGACGTCAAGGAGCTGCAGAACCAGTGGACTTGGGTGGTCGTCGGGGCGGGCGCGGCCGGTGTGGTCATCGAGCAGGGCGTGCGCGCGTGGCTGCGCGGGTGAAACTTTTGAGGTCCAATTTCTTTAAGAAACGGTTTCCTCTAGTCAAAAAGTAAAAGGGAGAAGGGCGGGGGGTTGTAAGGAAATGCTTTCAGCGCGCGGCCAGCAGAGAAAAGCGCACACGCATGTCCCAAAGAGTTTCGCACGTGCCGTCTGTATGATAACGTTCTAAGAAAGATCTGGCCATGTCGGAAGCGGCAGTGGTTCGAGAAGGATGTATTTTTTGTTCCCTAATCTTGATAATCTTTTCGCCGAAATACTGAGCATGTCACGTTAAAGGCAACACTCCGTGTACTCGCCAAAGGTGCACGCCGTTGAACCCTCTCACAGTAGCTACACCAGCTTTTCAATTTGGAAATGCCCACACCCGTCAAGAACATGTCATCATCATATGGCTCGTCATCAAGCCTCGTCATCACAACTCGCCCATAGCATCACCACCTGTCGCCGCCGCCGCCACGACGTCCTCAGCAGAAGCACTAGCGGCACCAACAGGCGCAACCCGCGCGGCGTCAAAATTGCGGATCAGGTCGTAGTAGAAGCGCACAGTCTCCATGTGGGCGCCGACCATGTCGACTCCCTCGTCGACTGTGTGGGCATTGACGCGCTGGCCGTCGCGGGTGGGCGTCCAGCGGTACACGTGCCGAGGTGAGATCTGTATTTTTTGTGTTGGCGGCGCTGTCAGCGTTGATTTCAAGAGTCTTTTGTCCCATGAATGCGAGTTTTGGGTAAGATGCGTGGGAGGTTAGAAGGTGGTTAGGTCGTGTCTTTTGTGGATGATCTTCAGGCAAGATCGACGTATCTGGAAAGAGCCTCACAACGAGACCGGAAGAAAGGAAGAAAGCGAGAAAGAAAGAGCACAACATACCCAGATAGTGTCTGGTATCTGTGTTGCCAGTCATGATCTCCCCGACAGGCACAACAGTGCCGTTCTCAAACGCAAAGCTGTGCTGGATCGTGCCCGAGAAGACGTCCCACACATCGCCGCTGTACGGCGACACGGGCGCCACGGGCGTGCTCTGCGTCGTCGAGAGGACCAGGGTGGCGTTGTAGTCGACATCGTACATGGCATGGGGCAAGCCCGCGCGGTAGTCTTGAGCTTCCACATCTTGTTCCGCATCCGCTTCCTCCACTTCCTGTGCGTTCGCAACACGTGCGAGCAACTCGTCCGTCCCATCTTCGCCCTCGAACGCGTGCACCTTGATCCCAAACTGCTTCACGATCGGCTTGATCCGCCTGAGGATGTTCGCCTTGACCACGCCGACGTCGTCGTGCGGCGCGATCCGGTGGTTCACCCCGACCCGGACCTTCTCGGGCATCGCGTTGATCTTGACGCCCCCGTGGAAGTAGTCGACGCTCTGGCTCGTCTGGATGCTGTACTGCGTCGCCCGGTCCTTGCGCGCCAGCACATCCGCCAGCTCGCCCAGCGCGTCCTCGCGCACGAGCTGGGTGACCTGCCTGTCCGCGCGGGGCGAGTAGCGCGCCTGGCACACCATGTGGTTGTGCACGGGGCTCTGCGGGATCACGCGCGGCGCATAAGGGTGCGCCTCGAGCGCGGCGACCAGCGCCGTGGCGATCCCGATGCCCGTGTGGGGGAACGGGGTGGACGAGTGCCCGCCCGCGGTGGTCAGGTCGAGCCAAACGTCGACGTGGCCCTTTTCCATGACGGCGGGGAGAGCATCTGTGAGGCCGGGGAGGGTTTTGGGTGGCTGTGTCAGCAAGCGAGAGAGAGGCGAGAGAAGGCGAGTGGAATATTGTGCTGGATAGTAGCAGACTTACATAGAACGTCACCGATGGTGCGCAGGCCCAACCCGCCCTCGTCGAGCAGCAATGCCATCGAGTCCGGGCCGTACCGCTCCAGGAGGAACTTGCTGATGGTGCCGGCTCCGCGGCGGCCGGAGCACTCCTCGTCGAAGCCGAGCGCCAGGACAATGTCGCGCTTGGGCTCCCATCCAGGCTGGTCCAGGAGCGTCTCAAGGGCCGAGAACAAGCCGGTCAAACTATTCTTATCTATAGCTCGGGTCAGTTGGGATCGCCGTCGGATAGATGGCAAGTTGACAGGTATCAGGATGCGGGAGAAGGCAGACGAGAGATAATGACGAACCATCAGAGGAGCCGCGACCCCATAGCCAGCGCCCGTCGAAGTGGGCGCTGAAGGGCGGGTACTTCCACGTCGAGGCGTCGGCAACGGGGACGACGTCCTGATGCGCAGCGAGCATGAGCGGTTTCAAGCTCGAGTCGGAACCCTTGAGGGTGTAGACGAGGCCAAAGGTGTTGACAGTCTCCTTCTTGGCCTGGGCGTGGCTGTTTTGCACACACAAGCGGTACAAGGATTAGCGGTTGACACCATCTTGCCGGAGGAGTATCTTCGATTGAGCAGATGGTGGACTCACAACATTGGATACAGCCTCTCCAGTGTGTCGTGGAGCTTGTAGAAGACATCCCAGCGCGGGTCTTGGCCTGGCTCGCCGTTGTCGTCGTACGAGATGGAGGGCACCTTAACAAGCTCGGAGTGGCGGTAGACCTGGAGCTTGAGTGCCGCATCGCCGCCCAGGACATCGAGGGCGGAGCGCAGGCCGTCGGAGGCCGGGTCCAGCGCGGGTGGCAAATCGCACTTGAACTTGGTGCTGCCGCCGGATGAGGTGGAAGCAAGTGGTGGCAGTGAAGAGGCGAGCGCTGTGGTGGCAGCAAAGCACAGGGCGCCAGCGGCGAGCTGGGATCGTGTGAAGCCCACCATGGTGGCTGGAGATGGTCAATCGGCTGGACCTTGACCAATTGAGGATGGATGGAAGAGGGAAGGAAGGAAAGGACGGAGAGATTGGAGAGAGTGCCTCGAGGGTTTGGAGTAGGAACTCAAGGTCGGGAGGCTGGCCGATGCTTGCCCGGACGGAGCCTGGGAAGGTCTGGGGTTGTGACGGCAGTACATGTAAGACCGGGCCCGAGCTGCGGGGAGCTTATCAAGGCTGCCCTGCCCAAGCACAAGCAAACCCGCGTTGATGGCGTGACGGCGAAGCTCGCCCAGAACCCACGGACTCCACGATTCATGGTTCTGGTTAGGACTGCGATTGAGAGTATCCTCTTCCTGACTGCTCACAACACCGTTATTCCTTGCTGCAGTGACCCCAGAGACCATGCTGGCACCAGACCCGGCGATGCCCAGCTCCGCAGCTTGCCGGGCGGTGCTCCGCCGCGACACGGGACGCCGCGCCGGGACCGGAGCGGACAGTGGCAGCGCGCCCCCCCCCACTATAATCAGGACCCTTGCAATCCGCTGGCCCAAGCTCCCAAGGTGAGGTCTGCCCCACCATCAAGTGCATCACACATTCCACTTTTGCAGGTCCACAGGCAGCCGACAGCTTGCGACGGCCTCGTTTCCAGGCAAGCAAGACACCCGGTGCAGTCCATACAGAGCAGCACTGGACCCATCTGTCGCAACACCCGCCTCACGCACGTCACCCGAAGCCACGAGCACAGCTTCTCCATCCAGCGCGCCTGAGCATCATCGACACCACACCCGATCACAACAACCACAGGCCCCCCCACCACCAACCGTCATCATCGCCGGAGGCCCGTATCATCAACCACTACAAGCCGCCCCAAAAAGCACCATCAGAATCCCAGTCCATACAGCGCAGAGCCCCTTAAATCAAGCCACCAGGAAAGAAAAGAAAAATAAAAGAAGGAGAGAAAAAGAAAAACAGCCAAATATGGCGGACCAGGCATCCTCGTCGTCAACGACGACAACAACACCCATATCCCCGGCCCGCTTCGCCGCCGCCCTGAAAGACCTCTCGGCCGAGAACCTCGCGCTCAAGGTGTTTGAGCTGCGCAACTCGATCGCCCACCTCGACTACTCGAACGCCGAGCTGCGGCCCTATGCCGAGGGTTTGGTGCCCGTCATGGGCGCTGGTTCTGCTGCTGCTGCCACTGACGCCACACAGACGACATCACCATCACAACAACAAGAAGGAGGAGGAGGAATAGCGGCACAAGCACAGCAGGAAACAAAAGGCGACCAGGACTGCATCGACGCCATCGCCGAGAACGAGGTCGTCATCGCCCGCATGCTCGAGAGGATAGACCTCATCCGCGCAGAGGTCACCGGCCGGGGTCTCAGCTGGGACGAGTTGTCGGGGGTCATGCCGGAGCGGGACGACCCAACTGTCGGGGTGGTGCCGCAGGGTCTTGGTGCGGTCGATGATAGCTCTGCTGGAGGTGGTAATGATGGCGGTGTGGTGAACGGAGTAAACGGCACATCCGCGACGACGACGACGACGACGAATGGTGATCGGCAAGAGCAGCACGAGGCCTGGCGCGACGGGACGTTTACCACGGGCACGATACGGTCTGGCGGTCCCGGCCTTAGTGACGAGGAGCTCTTGCGTAGATTACAGGCCCAGACCCCCGGGCTGGGCGGTGATGACGATGATGGAGACGAGGATGGCGGCATACATCTGTGAATGACGAGAGAGAGAGAGAGGGGGGGTGGGGGAAAAGAAAGGAATTGCTCACAAAGGCACACGAAAAGATGCTTAAGTCACGAGAAAAATGTATTTGCACAGACCCGGTCCAAGGCGACTGTAATTAGTGGAATAGTCATCCAGAAAGGAGCGCACATTGGCATGACAGGCCAAAAAAAAAAAAAGATTGTACTAGCATGGCACATAAGTTTGTTCTTGATTCATATTGTCATCTTTAAAGTCATGTGTGGATTGGAAACGCCGTATAAAAATGAATATGCGCCCTCTACGGTAAAAGTCATAGCATAGGACTAGTCATATTTTTGCAGCAAATTGCTGAAATCCAAGTCCTGCTTCTGCCGCCCCCACGCTCAAATAAATCTCTGGGTGTCTATTGAACTCCCATCCTTTTTTAAACCTCGTTGCTCGGGTACGCCACCTTCAGCGTGGGCACAAACTCCTCCTTCAAGCTGCGCGGGCTGACAAACCGGCTGAGCAGGTTCATGCTGCCAGCCTTGTCGTTGGTGCCGCTGGCCCGAGAGCCGCCAAAGGGCTGCTGGCCGACCACGGCGCCGGTGCTCTTGCAGTTGATGTAGAAGTTGCCAGCCGAGTTGCGCAGGGCCTCCTCGGCGACGCGGACGGCATCACGATCGGTGGCAAAGACCGAGCCAGTGAGGCCGTACTCGTTGGCAGTGTCGACCATCTTGCAGGCCTCGAGGAACGCCGACTCGCCCGCCGCGTCGTCGTACACGTACGCGGTCAGCACCGGGCCGAACAGCTCCTGCCGGAACAGCTTGTGCGAAGGGCTGTCAGCGCGGTAGATGGTCGGGCGGATGAAGTAGCCCTTGCTGCCGTCGTACTCGCCGCCCACAATCAGCTCGAGGCTCGAGTCGTTCTTCGCCTCGTCAATGACGCCCGAGAGCTTCTTGAAGCTGGGCTCGTGAATGACGGGGCCAATGAAGTTCTGCACATCCCAGGGCTTGCCCATCTGCAGGGCCTCGGTCTCTTTGACGAGCTTGGTGCGGAACTCTTCCCAGCGTGACTTGGGCACATACAGGCGGCTCGTGGCGCTGCACTTCTGGCCTTGATACTCAAATGCACCGCGGACCGTCTGGATCACGGCGTTGTCAATGTCCGCAGATGGGTGGACCAAATGGAAGTTCTTGCCACCCGTCTCGCCAACGATACGTGGGTAGCCGACGTAGCGGCCCTCAGCAGTGGCCTGGCCAATCTGTCCGTAGAGCTGGCGGAACACGGCGGTACTGCCTGTGTAGTGTAGTGCAGCGAACTGCTTGTGCGCAAGGACCTGCTTGGTGACTTCGACGGGGTTGCCAGGGACGAACTGGATGACGTTCTTGGGGAGGCCGGCCTCGTGGAGGATCTGGAGCAGTAGCCAGTTGGACAGGATGGCGGAATCGGAGGGCTTCCAGACGACGACGTTGCCCAGAAGCGCCGGGGCGCCCGCGAGGTTGCCGGCAATGGCGGTGAAGTTGAATGGAGTCACGGCATAGACGAAGCCCTCCAGCGGCCTGTACTCGACGCGGTTCCACACGCCGGGGGCGTTGTGTGCGGGCTGCTGAGCCATAAGCTCCTCGGCATACTGGACGTTGAAGCGGAGGAAGTCGACGAGCTCTGCAGCCGAGTCAATCTCGGCCTGCCAGGCGTTCTTGCCCTGGCCGAGCATGGTGGCGGCCATGATGTCGTAGCGGTACTTTGTCGAGACGAGGTCGGCGGCCTTGAGGAAGACGGCAGCGCGGTCGGCAAAGGGGAGAGACTCCCAGGCCGGCTTGGCGGCAAGAGCAGCTTCTATCGCGGTGTCGACATGCTCAGGGCTGGCGAGGGAGTAAGTGGCAAGGGTTTGAGAGTGGTCTGAGGGGTTCTTTTGAGTAGCTGTCTGGCTTGTTTTGACCTGTTTTGCAGCGTGTTAGTGGTTGCTGTCGTCTACGCGGGGTTGGAAGCTGTTCGCGCTCGCTTACCTCCTTGCCGCCGACATACAGGGGAACCTCGACAGGTCCCCTGCTGGCCATGGACTCGACCGTCGACAGGAGGCCAGCTCGCTGCTCGGAGCCCTTGGCATAGTGGTGCTGTGGAGAATCCTTGGGTTAGCACTGCACCTTTGTTCACGGCCAGACGCCTCGATAAGGGAGATATACTCACATTGGGCTCGTTCAGAACCTTGGGGATCTTGAAGGTGGCCATGTTGGAAGCTGCCCGCTTGCTGGCGACAGCACCGCCATTGTGTCTGCCCGTCGTGGACGATGTGCTGGATGCAGCAAGAATGGGCCGCAGTGACCGTGCCGTTCGGCTGGGGAGTCTGTATGAGGCAAGGAGGCTGGGCTGCTGTTGGCAGGCGCGGGCGAGGGCGCCACTTGTCCTGCTCATGGAAGCCATTGTGTGGATGTGGCGGTAGACCAACCACAGTGGTGCTGTAATCTTTTGGGAAATATGTGCTTGAGTACTGTAGGCTGCGTGTGTCGAAGTGAACCTGCACCCTCTCAAGTGCGCGAAGATGTGGTGTCGAGGGAGGAGCAGCGGGGCCCAGGGATTTGTCGTGTTATTGCGGTGCTGAGAATCACGAGCGACTCGAGAAGGAGGGGAGCAATGCAACGCAGCTATCATCAGGGTGAGGAGGTGAAGCTCCAAGTCTTAAAAGAGCCTGCCTACCCCAACCCGAGCTCCGATCATCGCAGCAGCCCATCGTCTCAGATGCTACCGTCGTCCTGTGCACACTCTGCTGTGCCCCATCTCGGCTTATCTCTGCCTGCATACACCGAGCAGAGCAGATCCGCCTCCAATTGTCCACGGCCACAGGATGCCTGAACGGTGCCTGCTCAGGCCATGATGCAACGGGGATGCAGGCGACATGTGGAGACGACCCCTCGCTTTGTGACGGCACAACGATAGCAAGGCGGGGCAGCCAAACTTGGGGAATGCCCAGGTGCGCCCTCGAGTGGGGCGATGATTGGGGCCGTCAAGGGCTCTCCTGCGGTTGATTACAAGACGTCGTCCCGCAGGCAGGACAACGAGCCAGTAACCCGTGTCCAGATAGCGTCCCGGGCGAATTGGCCTCACTGGGAAATATTAGAGGCCAAACGCCGGACCGACGTCCACAGCAAGTCTTCGCACCAACATGGTATCATCCCATGTTATATACGTTCCAAGCATTCTCCACGGAAGTTGTCAACGATCAATTTGCCAATTGTCCTTGGCATGGGGATGTAGTCCCTGCCACACCAAAGAGTAGATCTCTCGTGCCGCGAAATCTATCTCCAACCTGGAAAGTGTTGTAGGCAAAATTGATACGCAGGGACAGCCTGCCACTTTGCCGATGCCTTATCCTCATCCATGGATCCTCCCGGCACTCACTTAGATAGACTTTAAGCGGGGCAGCAAGCCCGGGCTCGGCAGGCGACTTCCCGCCCCACACTTTGCCGTCGCCTTTCCCGGACTTGACCTGCTGGAGGGAAAGCCTCCCCACCTGAAGGATTTGATATGCCGCCCCAGCTGCGGCGCGAAGCACTCTTGACAGCCAGGCAACAAAACACAAGGATGGCCAGCGTCGGTACAAGCCCGCTAGTGTCGTCTGCCAGCTCGTCGACTTTGCTGGTGGCGGGGCTTCTGGAACCGTTCGACGCTTTTGGTCTTCGCCGCCGGCGTCGTCTCCGCTGGGCTGGTGGAATTGGTGATCCACATTCAGAATGCTTTGGCTGAGGCGAGGTTTTGTTTGGCACAGACGCGCATATCACCGGCTGTTTTCTTTCCCAACGCGCGCGCACGCGAAGGCCATTTGTCAAGTACACTCTGTTGAACAAGGGGTATACTATAAGCACCAAATGCTACGACGTAGGCGACTTGAAAAAGAAACGACATCTCTCCCAGAATTACCAACTCCTCGTGCCTTGCCACTCCACGTCCATCAAGCGTCAACAATTCATTACAGGCTCAGGTCATATCTTAAAAACATTCAGTCGCTACCCTTCTCCTCCGGCTTAGACAGGCTCTTGGCCATGTCTTACCTCCCCTGGCACCCCCACGCGAGCGCGCACCAAAGCCTGCACTAGTGGGCTGGGGCGGTCCTCGTGGATGCGGGTCTCGTGGATGCCGGGATCGTGGACGGCGCGCCGCTGGCCTTCGTCTCGGGCCGGCTACGATGCCGGTGCAGATGTGGCATGTGCCGCTCGTGCGCAGAGTACTTGCCCGCCTCGTAGTTGAGGGCCGGGATCGTGACACCATACGCCTCCGTCTTGCCGTCCCGGTCGTGCTGGTCAATCTCGACGCGGATGCAGCAGTCGAGCGACCCGTCGTTGCTCTTGCCGTGCGTCTCGAACTGCGCCGCCTTGTGCTTCGTGCCCGCGCTATCCTCGCCCTTGTGCAAGAACGAGTGGCCGTCGCGGCCCTTGAAGGGGTTCGTGGCCGCAGCTCCGTCCACGCCGTTTGTGTGATTCGCGTCCGGAGCGCCGTTGACGCCATTGACTCCGTTGGCTCCATTCGTCGCGGCGCCGTTTGTGCTGGCAGGTTGGTTGTTCGGAGAGTTCTCGGTGATGATGGCGTAGTTCCGGCTGGGCATCGTGCAATGGTTGGAGGATTTAGTCTTGTTGGAGTCGCCCGGGTCCTTGTCGAACAGATCCAGCAGCGTCTCGTCGGTGTTTCTGTCGAGGTGGTGGATCTTGTTCCGGCTGGCCAGCAGGTTCGCGACAGCAGAGGGCGGGGGCTTGTTGACAATCGCGGAGGAGACGACGTTGACCATGTACCGGTGATCCTCTTCGACAGGGATGTTCAGGTCCGGATTCGAGTAGAAGCGGCCAAACGCCGCCAAGTGGACATCGCCACCAAGAATGGTTGCGCGGATGTTATGCGCCTCACAGACGCCCTGCAGGCGGTGCAGAAGGGCATTGCGTTCTTTCTTGTGCGTCCGAGCCGTGTAATGATCGTCAAGGTCGTCAAGCAGGTCGATGCTGCCGTCAAACTTGTTAAAAGCACTGCCACCTATTGGGTGAAAACAGTCAGCCATCATTCTTGAATAGCGCTACTCTGATTTGGTTCAACATACCAAACCCGAATCGTCGGTTCAAAAACTTCACTGGCGCAATCAAGGGGCTGGAGAACACGTTCTCAAGCCATGTGAGACGCTAGGGCAATGTTAGTGACGAGTTCTCACAGCAGGGCGGCTCAAGGTCTCTTACAGGATAGGCAATGGGAATGCCGAGGAGCACAATGAGGTGGCGGTACGGGTTGCCGGCGTCGGCGGCCTTGATCAGCTCATCCCTTAGGCGGTTGAAGATGAGGTCGTATGTCTCGGGATAGTTGACCTGGTGGCGGGTGCGCTCGGTGCGAGCGTCGATACCGATCATTGCAATGCGCGCGCCTAGCTTGTTGAACATGTTCATCGAGTGCTCGGCAACGTACGGCCCGGCGCGCGTGCCGACAATGTAGCTGGGATCCCAGACGTTCTGCTTGCCAATGAATGTGTCTTTGAGCTGCTCCTTGTCTACACCCTGGTGGCTACCCGTAACGGTCTGCGGCGCATCGGTCGTGTATGTTGACGGGGGCGGGGCCATGTGGTGCTGGAAGAGCATGTAGTATTTGTGCGCAACGCCGCCAATGCCACGGAAGACGTCACACATCATAAAGTCGTTGACGTACGAGCCGAAGCCGTCGATGATGTCGTGGTCATCCCAGATGTTGAGCTGAGGAATCTGCCCGTTGGCCTGCGCAAAGGGCTCGGTTGCGTACCAGCGCAGGTAGTTGTTGAGGTAGTAGTTGTCACAGGCCTCGCGCAGAGACTCAGGGAAGGGGAAATCGCGTCGCTTTTTGGGATTGCTGATGTCGGTCCATTCTCTGAGAGGGCCATTGACACGGATGCCGTCGTTGTAGATCTGGTCACCACCACCAATCATGACATGGAACGGCGCACGGGCGTGGCTCCTGAGCACGTCGTTCCACAGAGCCGCACCACTCCAGGCGTCCTCGTCCGTGCCGACACTGAAACCGTTACACGAGTGGAACATGATGCGCATGGACTCGTTGATGGCGGGCACGAAGAAGAAGTTGGTGGCAGCCTGGGAAGAACTCTTGTAGTGCACGTCGGCGATCGAGTAGGCCCACTTCGTCTCGACATCTGCCATGTCGCAAGCAATGGGGAAGCTCCAGAAGGTGGCGCGGGGGTCTGAGTACAGGCAGATGCCCTCGACCTTGACACCGTGGTCGCTCCGGATCTGAGCAGGGTCCTCAGCGGCGCTCGTTGCAGCCGCCTGGTCAGGGACCAGCCCCTCCTGGCCAGAGGCAATATCGATGCGCCCGAGGCTCAAGACGGGCTGGAAGCTCTGGGTCTTGCCGCCGCCTTGAGTGACAACAAGGACACTGCCGTACCAGGCGTGGCCGTCCATGTGGCGGTAGTTGATGAGGGGTCCGCAGATGATCTCCTTGCCGTCGGAGACGTGTGCGGTGCCGTTTGCCGTAGCCCCATTCTCGGAGCCGATGGTGACTGGCTTGAAGTTGTCGGGGCTGTTTGTCGGAGGCTCCTGAGCGTGGTCGTCGCCGTTGGGCGCGCGGGCGTCATGTGCGACGGCAGCTCTGGCAAACGCGGTCGACTCCTGGTGGCGCCACTGGCTAGCTGAGGCATGGGGATTGTGCTGCTGGAGCCCAATGGGGATGTTTGGGTCGTGGGCAGGATGCGCCTCTGGGGCGGGCGCGACAGAGGCCATGACGTCCCCTCTCGAGTCGCTTGGTGGGATGTTGCTGGACGGAACGGGTCGGAAGCTAGAAGACAGTGGAGCTAGGAACGGAGTCGGATCAAAGACCACAGCAAAGACAGGGCGTCACAGGTTGACAGTGCCCTCTGGTATCAATAACGGAAGCTGTGTATGCTATGCTGCTCTCCGTGAGCGACGACGACGTGTATAAGAGAGCCAGAGGAGGACGGGGGAAGCGCGCGCATGGCGTCGGGGCCGGACGACGTAGATAGCTTTAATGTCTTGTTCCAAGGTGGACATGGATGTAGGGGTGGGCGGGCGGGCTGACGGCAGTCCAGGAATGGGATAAGCATGGGAATCTTTAATTGAAAGCGGGCCTCGTGCCCGTTGGCGTAGTGACACGATTGCTGCCATTGGCCGCCCGTTTCACGATGCCCCCTCGATCGCTGCTTAGCCCTGGCCCCGTTCCGTCCTCCACATCGACATCCAGCAGCAAGCAAGCAAGCTGGCTGCCTCTGCCGTCCGCCGCCCACTGCTCTCTTTCTCGTACGAGTCGCTCCCTAGCTCCCAATAATCTCTGTGGCTCGCGACGAGGATGGCCTTTGATAGCCGCGACACTCAGCTGAGACATGGGCGTGGTTGCCGTGTTCCTGGATCGACCCCGCGTCTTGCTCATGTCGAGGACGGTGTTGCTGCACGGAGGACTTCCTTGATTTTCACCCGTCCTCCGTGTCCACCACCAACCTCAATCAGCCCATCGTCCATCGTCAGGCCCATGCTGGATGCAATGCCACCTCGATCCCATTGTCGCCCGGGGACGCGCTTATGCGGGCCTTGCACCTGCCGACGACGTATGCCAAGACCACTAGCGCGCTTTGGCTGTCCAAAGGCCTCCCGCCATGGAACTGGAGCTCACTCACCTGGGGGCACTCAAAGACGGGACTTCCTCACTCCAATGACTCGGACAGAGGAGAAAGAGACATGATGATCGTTGCAATGAGTAATCCGTTTGAGGCATGCCATGGCAGGCAGGAACTGCTCAGACCTGTCTATGCATCTCGTGCTGCTCAAAGGCAGCGCCGTGGAGGAGCTGTCAAAGAGAAAACAAGCACCCCTGCTGCCCTCGACGCAAAGCACATGCAGCCCGCCAGACAGCTCTGGCCGATTACCCGGGCTGCCCTAGCAGGGGCCCCTCCCTGTTTCTGGCGCGTCCCACAAGGCCCCAAGCTTGCATCGTTTGGTGCTGGTTCCTGGCACGACGACAACCTTGCCCCATCCAGGTGAAGCACAACGCCTCTATTTGCCATTTGCCCTGCGCACCACTAGCCCCTCAATAGTACCTTTATCAAACAGGAGACCATGTACCAGCCGCCAACACCGCCACCAGTTGCCCATGGCCTTCTATAACCTAAAGTGTACATTCCACAAGAAGAGGAACCTCCCATCCCCGCGCCCAGACAGGTCCATGGTCGCTCATGTGCTCGTCGTTCGTCGTTGACTGATAGCAAAACAGACTTCCGAAGCCATGCAGATCCCTTGGCGATCACAACCTCTCCTAATGCCCATCAAGCCCTCCGGACGCGTGTATGATGCGGGGAGTGGTCCGCAAAACTCGCACACACCACAAGCAGGAGCCAAAACCAAAACCAAAAAACAGTCAAAGTGACCGCATCACCACTTTCTTCTGCGAGCGGCAGACTGCATGCAGTCAAGTGCCGCCTGCCCACGCTCCTTGCTGCGCACACAACATGATCACTCGACACTGGTTGATGACACCTCCTCGCGTGTTGTCTGCCTGTTTCTATGATTTGTATTTATACAGATAATACACATATCTACGTGCAACCTCTCGGCTTGTCTGCGCCTTTGGTCCAGCTTTTGAAGGTGGTGTAGAATAGAAGCAGCCCTTCAAAAAAACGGGTGCTACGTCACTATCACGCCGATTTGATATATGGCAGCCATCTTGCAACAAGACTTGGGCTTCCACTCAGATCAGCTCTTGTTGCTCATCCCAGCGGCCTTGACAGGGTCCAGCAGCGTGCTAGCATGCATCCTCTGCGCCCGCATCCTCGCCTTGTAGTCCGCGTGCCGCTTGATCGCCTCTGCCCCCAGGATCCCCATGGCCATGCCGCCAATGTGCGAGACCAGGTCGATGCCCCGCGCCTTCTTGGATGTCAGGCCCGCAATATGTATGCCCATGATGAGACCCAGGAATGCCAGGCCGGGCGGCCCCGAGGTCGGATCAGGCGGATACCCAAAGAGCTTGAACTCGTCGAAGCGGTGCAGCCAAAAGTACGCCGCGATCAGGCCGTACACGGCGCCCGAGGCGCCCAGCGTCGTGAACTCGAGCCCGCGCCGCAGGACAAGGTCTGTCAAGCTGGCGAGGAAGCCCACGGCGCCGCACGAGAAGTACAGCGCGAGGAAGTCCCCACGGCCAATGTTGTCGTGGAGCCGCGTTCCAAAGAACCACAGGCCCACCAGGTTCATAAACATGTGGCTCATGACTTGATGCGAGAACATGGCACCAAGGAGCTGCAGCGGCCGCGGCGTCGCGGCGATGATGAGGAAGGACTTGTTGAGCACCCGCCATGCAGGCGGTATCTTCCACAGCGCCCAGATGGCGAAGTTGGCGGCGATGAGGCCCAGGCACGTCGCGGCCGCCGGCGGGATGTCTGGGAATAGTCGCGCCTCTCTCCTCGGAGGCTGGTAGTTGACTGCGAGCAACGCGGAGACGGCACAGATGAGGACTGCCGTCAATACCATGGGCCACAGGCGCTGCCACGCGCTCAGGTCCGGCGGCGCCTGCAGGTCTGACGTCGCTTTCTCAACTTGCTTCTGCATCCACGGCGACACTTCCCTGGGCTTGGCCTGTTCTGTTGATGGCACCCCGCTGATTCCTATGGCCTCTTCCGCCTCGCGCTTCAGGCGCTCTTCCTCCAGTCTCTTCTCCTCGGCCTCGCGCTTGGCAATGTTTGCCTTCCGTATGCGGTCAAAGTGGCCTTCACCGTAAGGGGACGTGTCTTTCTGCTTCGCCTCCGGTATCCGCCCCGTCGGTCGGGTCTGCGGGCTCGTCTCCTCGTGCTGGTGCTCGGCCTCCTCTCCTCCGTGCTCGCCGTCTCGCTCCGCAGCTTCGATGGCCTTCAGCTCGTCCTCGGCCCGGAGGCCGGCCATAGCGACCTCATCCACAGGGATGTACTTGCGCAGATAGAGCAGTGCCTTGATCTTGTCCTGTGTCTTGTACTGCGCAGTGTTGACCTGCAGGCTCGGGTCCTCCAGCGTCCCCGCCACCCGCCTGCCGTGGATGATCCGCAAGAGGTTGTTCGCGTCCTGTGCCCTGAGATGTGGCCCGAATATGTCATTAATCTCCCTCTGTGACAGGTCCTCTTTGCGGAATGGTATGCCCGTGGCGTCTTCATAGTCGGCCGGCAGTTTGCTGTAGTGCGTAATGGCGCGGAATTTGAAGATCGTTCGGATTTGTGTTCGTGGGCCGAGGGAAGCGGTGGCTCTCGAGACCGAGTCGGATCTAAGGCTGGTAGCCCGCCATGGTGACCACGAGTGCCCTTCTGGCGACTCTTTGAGTGTATGCCGCACAAGCCCCGGCGTATGTAGTTGTCTCACGGAGATGGCTGAACTCGATCCAGCAAGTCGTCGATGTGAGGCCCGGAGAACGGCTCGGACGCCGACCTGTAGGCTCGACGGGGCCGGCGGCGCGACCAGTGCAAAGAAGGACATGTTGGTCAGGGCGGGACCATCATGGCTCGCCCGTGTCGGGAGAAAGAGACACGCGTGGGCGTCTGCCGCAGTTTGTTATAGGATTAGATAGACTGCACGCATCAGCCGTCAGAAAATGATGATCCACCAACATGCGAGGTCGGCAATTTTTGGGTGTGTCGCCGATGTCGCGCCTACCCGGCACCCCACTTCGCACGCGACACCAGGAGACAGCGCTGAGGTGCACCTCGGGGCCCCTGCAGAAAGCTCCTTGGGGTCTACGCAGTATGCCATCACAGGCTAAAGCGAGTAACCAGTCGAGCAGAAACCTAGAAGTCAAGTGAAACAGCCACGGCAGCATCCAATGGTAGATTCATTGCAAGCTGCGGATATGGGCATAGAGCCTATAATTAGACATATCTTAGATTTTAACAGTGAGGAAATGGTAACGATAAGCAACAAAGCATTTCTTAACTTCTCGTGTGAGACGCCAGACTTACACGAGCTATTTTCAACCCTACACAACCCGGTCTCATGCCGTCTGTATCTCTTAATTACACATCGGCAATCAAGGCTCCTCTGCTTACCCGCATACACTGAAACTAGATGAAGCCAGCATCGTCGAACCCAATTGCTAGGGATTTAGACGATCACACAACTAAGACCTTACCCGATAAGTTGTGCCCATTCATGCTTGGACTAGTCCACGGACAGCAAGCATGTAATGACAAACAGTCAACATCACCAAGTAGGCTTGCGATCCACCTGTTCTCGAACAGCAGACTCGTCCCTGGCTCATGTGCCGACACAAAGAGCCGGCCGTGTGGCCCCGTCTCCTATCCTGATCGGGCATGAAACGCCTAGTCGCGTGGTGCTCTTTGAATGATTGCCTATTGCGACATGCTCTAGTCTCGGAGAGTTCAGTCCGGCCGTTATGGCTCGTTTCGAGAAGCGCGACGATCGCAGTTGTCGGGTCCGCGCCTTGTCAATCGATGGATCGTCGCCGGGTCTATGCCATCTCCCCAGGAATAGTAACGGCCCTATGTTGCAAGCCTCGTTCCACGAATGAGGTGGTGTTCTACCACTGCCTCCAGAGTAGGCGGTCTGGTGTGACTCGAGACTGCTAGCTGTTTGAACTGTTGCCTGAATCCGCTGGGCCACTGACCCTCTGAAGGGTCGACTATGTAGCGGAACAGCGTAGGCTGTCGTCGAGCTGGGACTGGGGAAGCACATCTGAATGTTTTCCCATGTCCACGTTATGTCACGACACAGTTGTCACGGCTGCCAGCCCGGGCGACTCTAATCCTAATTTGCCCACGGCAGCCCTGTGGCTGACACCCCTGCGCGTTCCGCGGGCTGCGCTGACGAGCCGGCAACCCGGCGAGGTGGTGCGGGTGGAGGCGCGTGTGGCCAGCCTCCCCAGACTTCAGCTAAACCCAGCATCGGGCACTCTGATCGCCTGGATCATCACCCCTCGCCAAGGGTCCGCCCTGTCGTCTCCCGCTCACTCCATGTCTCACTAATATAGTCGCGATCCCTCCTCCCGCGACGCTGACCCTCCCCTCATGCGGTCCGAGATGCATGCATACTGACACCACCCCCATCATCATCGATGGCGCGCTGGCAAACCACAACCTCAACCGCCCACCTCCGAACCCTGCGCGTCTGCCGCTGCCTGCCGCCCCAGGTCACAACGCTCCCGCAGGGGCTCTCCACATGAGATCAACTGCCACTGTGCCTCTCTCACTGCCTCCTGGCGAGCCGGAGCAATCCGCAGCAAACCCCCCAACCAACCCACGAGACGTCCTCCAGCAGTCTCCCGCCTCGACGACCTTGGATGACAGCAGCCTCCCGGGCACCAAGCGCGAGGAGCGCGGGTCCAGCGCCAGCGCCGGCTCACCCGGGAGTGTGGCCTCGACGTCGGCAACCTCAGCCTCGGGATATGTTGCAGCTCAGCCGCACCAGACGCCCATTGTCATAGCGAGCCACGTCGGTCGCACCCGCCCGCTCTCGGTCGCAGCTCCGAGACACCGCGCACATGCTGCTTCTTCCAAGCGGCCGTCGGCTGCGGCCATGGCCACGGCCACAGCCACCGCTATCTCGTCACCGGACGAGTCTGCGAAAGACTTTCTGGGCAGCCCGGCGTCGAGCCCGTCCGATGCCGGCGGCGGCTCCGGCACGCGCCACCACCACCATCCGGATGTCTGGGAATCCCACAAGCTCCTGATCCGCGAGATCTACATCAATGAGAACAAGCCCTTGAAGGAGCTCATGGCCATCATGAGGGAGAAGGGCTTCAAGGCTACGTGAGTGGACTATCCAATGCCTGGCCTGAAAGGATCATGGACTAATTCGCCTGCTGCAGGCCGCGCATGTTCAAGTCCAAGTTTGCACAATGGGGATTTGTGAAGAATAACAAGAAGAAAGATGTCGCCATGATGCTACGCATGCAGCGGCAGCGAGACGCCGAGGGCAAGCGTACAGCCTTTAATCGCCACGGTCGGGCCGTCGATGTGGACAACTACCTCAAACGGAAAGGCATAACACGGCGCGACCTGGAAGAGGCTGACGTCGAGGACGCAATGCCCATCTACCTCCGGGCGCTCACGCCGCCCCCTTCCGACCCGCACCGGATCACTCTTCCGAATCTGCTGTATGCGCAGGATGTGCTCGTGACATGTTTCCGCGACCTCACGTCTCACATGCGGGACACGGCCATGTCGTCGCAGGCCTTCATGTCCGACTTTGCGGCCTATTTCGACGGGCCAGCGTGTGAAGCCACGCGGGACTTCAGTCGAGCATGCTGGTTCTTCTCCAAAGGCTACATGAAACACGGAGCTGCCCTCAGCCAGCGCTCGTTCTCGGCTGTGCACTTGCTCGTGACCAACCCCTCTGCCTTGGGCCTTTTTGATCTGCTCATTGCCGTTGTTCTGACACCAGACATCAACCTCACGCGCGAGCTATGGAAATACCTCGCCGCCTATTCCGAGGCCGTCTTGGGCTCCAACACCATTACAAGGTTATTCCGGGCACTCGAGGACGTCTTCACCACAAACCCGATAGAGACGAGCGTCGACTTCGTATTCAGCTGCATCGACAACATTATCGGCATGCTGCTGCAGACACGGCAGCTCGCAGACACGGTGGCGCCCACCGTGAGCGCCTTCCTCATCGCGGACCTCGTCCTGTACAGGTCCGAAAGAAGATGTCCCAACCTAGAAAAGGCAGTATCTTCGACGGCGCGACTCCTGGGCGCAAACATGGCTCTGGAAGTGCCCATGATTGTGCGCTTGCTGCCACCAGCCGGGCGGCTCTGGCTCATGGGGCCTCAAGACGAAGAGTCCTTCCAGTTCTGCTACCACTCGGTGCAGCAGCCCCCAGAGGTCCTCGCCAGCTTCGGAGGCATCGGCTGGCTTATGTGGCAAGTCATGGCCGACTTCCACAGGACACACTGCCCACCCGTGGCCTTGACGTCGACCCCGCGGCACGGCCTCGCCATCTACGCGCTGGAAAACGCCATCAACGCAGCCGATGGCCTTAGGGGCTTCGGCGAGTTTCAGGTTTTTGCCAACCTGGAGACTCTGGAGAACTGGTATAAAGAGGCTGGTGACTTGGAGCTGGCAATGCTCACGAGCCGGAGACGGGCTCGGGGGCTGCAGGACTATCTAGACTCGATAGAGGCGTCCAATCGCGAGGTGTTGCGGGTGGCACCGGCGTCGGCTTAATGAATGTGGCCAAGAATGGTTCTGTTTTCATGCAAAATGCCAAGTTTTTTGTAGATATTATTAACTCAGTGGCGGTCTCGTAACTGAAAACCTCTACAGACTAATACTCTCAACCTTGCCCTGCCACCATGTCCGCCAGTCGACGACAGTCTTGTCCCTGCGCGCCTCCTCGGCCGCGAAGACCATGGCGTGGCTCCGCACCAGCTCCTCGAGCGTGCACCCGATGAACTCGTGTTGCGCCTCGGGCGCGGACCAGCCGTGGTTCTTGACCTTGTCGACGGCCATGATGAACTGGCGCGTCAACCCCACGTCGCCGCCGCCGTGACCCAGGGTCTCCATGCGCGGCGTGTACACTCTGGTCTCGCCCGTGCGGAAGTCCTCGACCGTGATGGTCCACGAGTCGGCGTAGATCTCGCCCTCGGTGCCGTAGATGTGCGTGTAGCGCTGGCACTGCCGCTTCGTCTGCGCAATCATGTGGAAGGTCGCCTGCTTTGCGCCCCTGTGGGTGGCTGTCGAAGAGGTTTCGCCGTCCAGCTCCTCGTCCCAGGTCATGGTGACGGTCTGCTCGTCGCAGACGTCATTGTCAGACTCAAAGACACAGCGGCCGAACCAGTTGCGGCTCTTGATCTCGTCGTCGGGCGTCGTCGAGGCGTCGTAGTCCTCCGCCAGCCGCCTGAGCAGCTCCTGCCTGCGCGGGCTGTCTGCGTGCTCCTCGGGACCGGCCCCGCGGCCGCCAGCATCGAAGCTCTCAATGTCCGGCATCACAATGCTCAGGGGCCAGCCGGTATTGCCCGTCTCGAGGCCCATGTGCTTCTTGCCCACGTAGATGCGCTTGCTCGAGTACATGCAGTCCTTCTCCACGGGGCAGCTCAGGCAGTTTGTGGTGTCCCGGCCGGCGCCCTTGGGCTTCCGGCTCTTCTTGAAGAACTGCACCGCGCCCGAGGACGACACGGTCGCGGGCAGGTGCGGCGGCGCGCTTGTGTCCGCGCCCGGCGGCGGGGAGCACAGCAGCCACAGGATGAGGTCAATGTCGTGGCAGCTCTTGGTCAGCAGCGACGGGGCGGTGACCGACTCGCGGCGCCAGTTGCCCCGGACGTAGCTGTGCGCAAAGTGCCACCACCCGACGGGCTCGGTGTGGTGGATGCTGAGGATGTCGCCGATCGCGCCCCTGCGCTGGCCGCCGTCCTCCTGGTGGTGGTCCGGCAGATCGGCTCCGTTCTTGCCGTCGCCAAACAGCAGCGACCGCAGCATCAAGTTGTGCGGCGAGTACCGCATGACGTGGCACACGCTGAAGATCTTTTGCTCCTGGTGCGGCGCCAGGGCGCGGTACATGGCCATGCAGTCGGCCAGCGTCGTGGCCAGGGGCTTCTCGCACATGATGTGCAGCCCCAAGGGTGCGAGTCCCATGACGACGTCGTGGTGCAGCTCGTCCCGGACACACACAAACACCGCGTCGACACCCTCTGGCACAGGGCGACTCTCTCCCTCGTTCTGCTCCTCGGCCTTTCGCCGCCGCCGGTCCGTCTCCCACGCGATAAAGTCCCGCCAGTCCCGGAACTGCGACCCCTCGGGCGGCTCTCGCCGCTGTCCCTGCTCCTCCTCGCCCCAGATGAACAGCTCGCCGAACCGGCGCCGCTTGTAGTCATCCGGCTCCACCACGCCAGCGACGACGCCGTTGCACGACGAGACGGTGCACCGCGCGTACGTCCGGCCCCGGGACCCGGCGCCGATGACCAGCACGCGCGGCGGGTTGGGCGACATGGGCGGCGGCGTCGGCGGCATGATGATGTTGCCGGCCGCCGCCTGCTGCTGGTCGTTGGTGTCGCTGCTCCTCCTGGCCCGGCTGCTGCTGCTGCCGCCGATCCTGGTGGTCATGCTGGGCGGGAGGTTCTCATAGTCCACGGGGGCGTCCGCGGGCATCGCCGTGTTGATGGTGTTTGACGCCATTTCTGGAAAAGTACTGGGCGTCTATGCGTTGTTTTTGTTGTTGTTGCTGAAGCGTAACGGGGGCTCTGCAAGAGCAAAACAAGAAAGATATCTTTGCGTCAGTAGCACGGGGTGCCTCGGTGGTTCAAGAACAAAGATCGTCGTGGGCGCTGTGTAAGCCACCGCTCGCCCCCTCTTATCATGCAGTAACCGGCCCGGGTCACTATTTGGAATCCGAAGCTAGCACTCGAATGCCACCTTCTCAAATTCCAAATCGCCGAGTGCTGCCGTTAAATTCCAAATCGTGACCGGTGCCCGGGAACGGAGGTGCCGGCGAAGCCCGGCGAGGACCCCGCTCCGCATCGGGCAGCGATAAGATGCAAATGCGGATATATACGCTAGTAGTCTCGATCCTTATCATCAATCACTTCTGAGATTGGGCTAATAGCTCATTTGGTAGAGCGTTCGCTTTGCATTGCATCCTCTGGACTGCTTCCTCAGCTGCGAAAGGTACAGGGTTCGATTCCCTGTTAGTCCATTTGTTTTGTCTTTATTTTTGCTCCATCTCAACTCTGTTGCTCGGTCTGAATCCAGCTTTTCGTTCATGGGCCCGGTGTCTTTGTTTGCTTTCTCATTTTTTGGAACCATTCGGTGTTTGCAGCCCCTCGCATCGCGCTCCGCGATGGGCGTTGTGGCGTAGTGTAGGGGTTGTTGTGGCTTGCCCAACTCGACACAACCTATTTGTGGACGAATTCAAGACAACGGAAAACAATCTGAGTCGCAGATGCCGACTCCGCACGGGCGACCGCAAAGGTTTGCCCCGCGGCTCCATGCATACGGTGAAAGAGACGCCCACATTGTGCGTCATCCAGCTGTATTGCATGTAGGAAGGGAGACACGGCCTATGTTAGCGTAATTGGCTTGGCCTTGGTTCAAGCCAAGTACAGGGTTTCCCCCCGCCTGCAGCAACAACCAGCCCCTGGAAAAGAGAAGACTCCCAGGGTTTTTCTTGCAGCAGCTGGGTGCCGCGGGCTGGACCTCTCTAACTGTCTGGAGATGACGTGTGGTGCTCAGCAGCTCGATAGCCCCTGCCAGCACCGCGGCTGCAACGTTCTCCTGGCCCGCCCCCAAATGCGTGCGAATCCCCACACCCGCAAGGGCACAGAGACCCCTGCTCTCCACGTTCTTTCCTCTTTCATCCACCGCCGACCAGGCATTCGACTCGACACCACCCGCACGTGGGTTGGACTCGGACTGCCCAGTCACTTATACGCCGTGCATCTCGATCGGGCCAGGCACGGGTCCTACCTCGCCGGGGACTGCTCGCCCGATGCAAAGAACAGGGCCCGATGCCAGGTCCGTTGGTTACGGCCGCATGGTTATGTCAGCCACCAGGGCTGTCCCATCACCACTTGACAATCGCACATCACCCAGGCACCGCTGCACCGCCATGGCCGGCGTCCATACAGGCTCCAGCTATGGCCTGATACAATAGTCCGACAAACAGCAGCTTCCGCGAGAGTCTCTCCGCTTTCATGTCTTGTGCAGGCCCGCCATGCAAGGGGGTCCAGCGACCAGCCCCGTCGTTACGCCATCACCGCCCTACTCGCCCTGCATATCCAGCCTCGCGCCCCAGGCACGGCATCAGGGTCCAGCCACCAAGTCACTGGCTGCTGCACTGTACAGCATTAGACTTTGCCAGGGGCCTCCCCAAGCATGTTTGTGCCTCTCGCTTCGGGCTCTATGATGGTCCCAGAAGGGCTCCGTCCCTTGGGGCTCTCTAGCTCCCCATGACGTTCGACCTTGCCAGCTCCGGGCCGTCATTTGTCCTTAGTATGATAGCATGCATACTCGATATCGCCGTCGTCACCTGAGCTTCGCAACGTTGCCTCACTTGCCTCCTTACTCCTCGCTAGGACTGTGAGGCCGTTCACGCAGGTCCAGCTAGGGCTGATGCCACGCTCGGCCGTGCTTTGTTTGCCGCCTCGACCAAGCATGGCCAAGGGCTGGGGAGCACCTCGACAATGTCTCTGACCCTTGTCCGTCGAGATGGAGGGTCTGTGAATAGCTTCTTCGTGAATGACGGAAAAAGTCTATAAGAAGAGCTGGACCTCCTCGTCCTCAATGGTCTTTTCGTCCCACCAGATCATCATCACCAACAACCTTCTTCATCACTCTCCCTCATCATCCGAGCTTGGCTCTCGTCGATTTCTTGCTCCAACGTCTCCGGTCTAGCACCAGACACAACACAGTCCCTACCATCCAGCTTTCAACAAAAACTCGATCTTTTCAATCCCAGGTTAACCATCCTCCAGCATCCAAAAATGAAGTGGACTCTCGCTACCGTCACCGCTGTGCTTCTCGCCGCCAGCCCTGCGATCGCCGCCCCGGCACCCGTTGTGGTTGTCGAGGATGCAGTGAACACCACGGTCGCTGAGCGTGAGAACTCTGGCGCTGGCAAGCGCATCGTCCTCTGGGAGTGGACCAACACTCGCGACATTGACAGTGTCGGCAACCTCCGCACCTCGGCCGGCAAGCTGAGCAGCTCGAAGGAAATCAAGAACATCATGAACTGGGAGACCTGGCGTCCGACTGAGCTGCCTACCGGCCTGTACTACCAGCCCATGGTCCGCACCAAGGCCCAGACGTCCGGCGACGCCTGGAACAACCTGCTCAGCGCCATCAACTCTCAGCCCAACAAGAACCAGAAGCCCATTGTTCACTTCTACAACGAGCCCGAGTACAATGGCATCTCGGCCCAGGACGCCGCCAACACTTGGAAGTCGCTCATGCTGCCCCTGCGCTCCAGCAAGGGCGTCGAGCTCGTCGGCCCAGCCATCTCCAGCTCTCCCGAGGGTGTTGCCTGGCTCAAGTCCTTCATGGGCTACCTGAGCAGCAGCGAGAAGCCCAACTACGTCGGCGCGCACTTCTACACCAACAAGGACTCTGGCGTCGATGGCGAAATCTCTGCCGCTAAGAACCACCTGTCTGGCCTCATCTCTAGCTACGGCCTCCCCCTGATTGTCTCCGAGATTGCCAGCACCAGCCGTAACTACAACGACGTCTACAAGTTCACCACCACCATGTCCGACTGGCTTGACGGCCAGAGCAAGGTCAAGATGTACGGCTTCTTCGGCGTCTCCCGCCAGCCTGTCAACGACTTTGTCAGCCCCCAGGCCCAACTCCTCGACACCTCCGGCTCCTGGACCGCCCTCGGCAAGTACCTCGGCGGCTTCTAAAGTAGCCTCCCGCCGTGGTAGTCGCCATTGATGCAGTTTTGGAACAGACTGCGATCACGACCCACGACTTTTTAAGCTCCAAGTCCCGCCTTTCTTTCGCTTCTTTTCTAGGGACTTCGAGTTGCACTTCTTTTTGTTTCTTTTGTCACATGGGTCGATTCGGTGGGAAGTGGGAGGATGAGTGGTCACGGCGAAAGCTTGGCCCCTTCTTCACCTTCCCATGAACCTTGCCCAGTGAATTTACCCTTCGTGCACGATGTAGATACTTTCTTTCCATTTTCCGCCAGATCATTCCGATAGTCACTCTGGACAAGCTCTTCCTGTGCCGGTGACGACTGATCAGGGCGGCAAAGTATATATCACTTTCTTCAGGTTATCGATTCTTTGCATAGACTTCAAATAGAGAAAGCTTCTGAGAACTGTTGCTCCTTTCAGTTGATGTGAACCTTGGCTGCAGTGTGTGAAGTGTTGGGTAAATCACGACCTCGGTGCGGTCCTGGGCAGGAGGAATCTCCATGTCCTTCTTTTCTCGCTTGTGGTGAAATCGTTTTTCATTTTATTTTCTTCAACTTCTGATAAAAGTAAAAACAGAAAGAGAGAGAGAGAGAGAGAGCTAAGATGAGTAAGACAATCGAGAAGAAGGACCTTTTCTTATTTAAAGAAGAAATAGAAGAAAAATGTGACCATGCATCGTACAAATCACACCTCGTACAGGAAATCCGACATCACTGCCCATTTACTACCGACCCTGTGATTTTCTTCCGAGCAGTCCTCCTTGGGAAAAGACAACATGTAAATCCGCAATTCTCTCGGCCCAGGGCATTTCCTGTTCCTCTTCAAGCGCTGGCTGCATGGCCTGACCTGCTGGTCCCCTTTTTCCCCACCTTTCTTTTTTGGCTCTCCCTCCCCCCTCTCCTTTCAAAACACCATCGTGAGCGAGCGGCCGGGCCGGAAGGGCATACAATTACGCAAATCCACGATGCTGGTATCGTGGCTCGCTCCGAGGCTGCGCCGAGGGGAAAGGGGGGGGGGGTGGGCAATAGAGAGGATATCCATCGATAAGAAGCATTCTCATGTGTTGCTGCAACCTTCCGACAATCCCTTTTCTTTCCAAGAAGCACACAGGGCAGGGCCGGAGGGCATGGGGACATATCCAGATCATTTGGTGAAGGGCACTTCACCATGCATCATCGGCTCTCTTAACCTCTTTCAATTGGCTCTTTTCAGCTTTCATTTCCAGCCTGACAAACACGCTCATATACACACACATATATATATAATGATATAGTTTTACTGGTGTCCGCCCAGCCTTTTCCCTCCTGGGATCCCTTCCAACCTACCCGCTGAAGAGCTCACCCCATACTCCCGACCCCAGCCCAGATACTGAAAAAAAAAACAATAAAACCAATACTATCGAAGAAAAGAAAACACACCCATTCCCATAAAACGCCGAGCGATGCAGGAAGAAGAAAACCAGTAGTCTCCGGCCACTCTGCAAGAGTCGGAGTCGGGTAAAGAGTACGACCGAGGAAAAAAACCAAAGGACAAAGAAACCTCCCCAGAAAAGCAGAGCAAGGGGGGAGGGGGTTCCGGTGGTGATTTCTGTCTTGAGGTAGGAGGAAATATACCATGTCTATGGCAAAAGGTGATGGGCATATACAGCACGAAACCGAGCTGGCCTTTGGACTTTTTGAACATCAACACGTTGGATGCGTATGTCGCATAGACAAGATTTGGTTGATGTGTGTATATGGGATGGTTGTCATTTTTTGCTGTTGCTGTTGTTGATACAGCGCGCGCGCGCTCGATGCAGATGATGCCAAAGACAAGCCCAGAAAAGGGGGGAAAAGAGGCATGTACACAAGTCGTGCTTGAGCGCCTTGAGGGATGGTTAGGAAAAATGTGCCGGGGAGGCGGCATACTAGAGCCACATCCGCACTGGTAAAGAAAATAAACATCAATGTGGGGTGTGCAGGCAGAGACTACGCCGCCTCCTCGCTGGGCAGCAAGCTGAGCGCAGCTTGCCGCAAGATGCGCGCCGTCTTTTGGATAATGGTTTCCGTGAGCTTCCAGTCCTCGGCGTCAATGGCGTCGCGGATGTTGGGGAAGTATGCCTCGTCGTAGCCGGACCACAGCTGCGGTCCGAAGACGACGTGCTTGAACTGCGTGCGGTTCGTGATCTGCAAACGAGAAAAGCACAAGGCTTGTTAGTGAATGAATCCAAAGCTTGCACGATCTGATCTCATGATGATATGGACTTACACCACCGCCAGGCTCCAAATCCAGGAGCGCAGTCTCAAACGCCGCCATCCGGCTGTTGTAAGCGATGCGCGAACGCGTGACGCTGTTGGCCTCCCAACCGTTCGAGTGGATAATGGCCCGCTGCCACTCGTCCTCCCACTTCTCAAACTCCTCCACCGCGGTCTTGACCTCCTGCACGGCGTCCCTGACCGGGGCCAGGTGCACCTTGTCCTGGAGCTTGAGCTCCTCTACCCATTTGATGAGGTCTGCAACGTACTTCTCCAGCGCGAGGCTGTAGTTGCCCATGTCAAACGGCAGCACGGGCCGGTCGCACAGCTCCAGGATGATCAACGACAGGACCCGACCAAGGAGGTTGTGGTACACAAAGCCCGGGTCACCCACTCGCGACATCCAGTCAAAATTGTCATATGACGAGTGGTAGGGATGCATCGGACCGTCAAAGTGTATGTCGATCGAACTTGTGCCGGCAATGTCCTGGAAGGCCACGTAGTCACTGCCAGCTCCCAGTCCCTCCAGCTCGCCGTTGCGCCCGTCCCACAGCGCGCGCAGCGACGCATTGAAGTTGGGGTCCTGCACGCGGTCGAGCACGCGAGTGAGGAGCTTGCGGTACACTGGAGATGCGGCGGCATGGAACTCGCTGCCAGTCACCGCGGTGTCGAGGTTGACGTAGGCAAACGCGTTCTTGCGAAGCTCGTCCACGTTCGCTTCGACATATTCCGTGCTGCCGATCAGGTTGTACTCTTCCGCATCCCAGCTCATGAACTCGATCGAGCGCAAGGGCCGCCAGCCGCGCGCAACAAGATCGCCAAACACGCGCACAACCTCCAGCATGACGGCCGTGCCCGAGTTGGGGTCCGCCGCGCCAAAGGCCCACGCGTCGCGGTGGTTGCCGATGATGATGGATTTCTCCGTCTGCTCGATGCCAGCGATCTTGCCATAGATGTTCCAGATCGTCTTCTGCTCGACCTCGTCCTGCTCGTTCTTCAGGCGGACAATCGGCGAGGAGGAGTTTCCAGTCCACCACTCGACATCAGGCACGCCGCCACGCCAGGCTTCCGTGACGGGCTGACCCATGCCTTGGATGTGCTGCAGCAAGACTTGCGCATCCCTCCAAGCGAGAGGCAAGCTTGGGATCCGCACAAGACCATTTGTCTGCTCAACCTTCATGCGCGGCAGGCCGGGCTTGCTCTCCCATCCAGGGGTCAGCACATCACCCACAACCCAGCTCATCAAGCTGACAGAGCCTCGCTGTACGCCGTCTGCGGGCATATACCGACCCGAGGGTGCCACATCGCCCTTGAGGAAGCCATCGTCGGCCGGATCGCTGTAGATGAGACAGCCAGCGAAGCCGGCCAATTCCGCAGCCTTGACCTTCAACGCGCGATCCCCTTGTGTACCGTAGTATCGGACAAGCGCAATCGCGCCCTTCGTGTCAATGCCCATCTCCTTCAGCTTCCGGAAGTCCTCTCTCGACCCGTAGTTGGCGTAAATCAGGTGGCCCTTGACGTCGCCGGCTTTCGAGTGGCCGTGGAAGGCATACGTTTGGTGTCCAGCACTCTCGCCTCCAATCTCGGGCTCGTCAAGCTTGGCGGACCAGATCGCCTTGTCCCCGTCCTCGGACATGATCTGCACGGCCCGCCCGTCCTTCGTGGGGTAGTTGAGGTAGACATGGTAGTCGTCCTCGTGCACCTCGTCCAAGCCACTCCGGAGGAAGTGGTTGTACACGTCCTTGGCCAGCGCATAGTCGCCCTCCGTGCCGGCGATATGCGCGTAGCTCGTAAAGTGCTTCAGCGTGTCCCGCATGCGAGCAGTGTCGATGCTCATGACGACGTGCTGGCGCACAGCCTCCGGGTCGAACATCTGCCCGCCTATCCGGCGAGACATGCTGGTGAAGAGGTCGCTCATGAAAAGCAGGTATATGAAGCCCAGCACGATCGTGAGGCCCACCAGCCTGCCGATGAGAATGAACGCCGCACTGCTGTCGATCTCGGGCATGCGCTCGCGCAGCCGCTCGCGTATCGTCTGCGTGGCGGCGCTCTCCCCGCCAGCCTCCGCGTCACCAGCGCTACCGCTGCCGCTGCCAGCAGCAACACCGTCGCTCTGTCTGGGGAGCCGCACCGTCATCCGCGGGATCCGCCACCTCCACTTCCAATTGGGCAGCGCGAGCCGTTTCCTCCAGAGCAGGCTCCGTGAGGATCGGGAGCTGCTACTCGCGCTGCTGCCGTTCAGCGGATCCTCGATCTCGAGCTCCTCCATCTCGCGCCGCGTCCGCGCCCCGCCAACATCGCCCCCGTTGTGGTTCGGGTCGTCGTCGTCGTCGTCATCATCGCGGTCGCTTTCGAGTGTCCATTCTGACGCGCCGTCCTCGTCCTCGTCGCTGTCCACGCGTGGCGGTTGGTAGCCTGCCGGTGTTGTCCGCCGCGGCCTCGACGACGATGACGCGAGCAGACCCTGCGCCTCGGTCTCGGAGTCTGGTCTCGTGTCTATCGGCGACGCGGGCGGCCGCCAGTCGGGATTTGATGATGACGATGAAGCATTGTTGTTGCTATAGCCGCGCGTGGCCTCCTCGTAGCTCGGTACTGGTGGCGGCGGAGTGTAATGTGACTTCTCGTCGGAAGGCATGTCGTTTCTCGGTTTGGCTCGAGGGCCCTCCTCGAGCAGAGGAGCGTTGCGGGAGGGGTGTCGTTCTACCGGGGGGTCTTCGGAAATCGGCCGGGTCTGCTACTGAGGTTGAGGAGAGACGTATTTGTTGGGATGCGACTGCGCAAGTTACCGACTTCGTGAGCTTGACGTTGGATGATCTCGGGTTCGCATCACCGGGGGGTCCAGGGGCGGATTGATCGTTGTGGCGGATGATGCGCCTGGGTTACGTGGCAGCCTGGCAAAAGCGGACGGAAAGGAGCGACAGGACCGGTGACAGCTGCAGACGATATGCCTCGCTGTCTGAAGCTGTAGGAGGCAGGCTGCGCCGTGGTCGAAGGAAGTGGTTCAGGTATGCGATGATGAATGATGGGATGCCGACCGGTCGTGATCGAGTTGCCACTAAGATGAGCACTGGGTAGGGGTTGGCCTCAGTCACTCACTAAACGAGGCCAGGCGACGGGTTCGTCAGCAGGAGCCGCAGCGCGGGTCCGGTCTCAAAGGGTGGGACAGCTGGCTGGTTTCAGGGGTGCAGTTAGGGGTGGGGGCCTCTAGCTCTCGTTCCCGTCTCGGGCCCAGAGCCTGGGGTAATCAACAGGCGAACGTCCTCTGGCGGCCCTTTTGGATTTGGACTCAAGGGATTCTCTGTACATTTCGACGTGCCCACGATGGTTGACTTGACCCGTGCTTAGAAGGGAGCCTGGGTTCTCCAGGTGGTTGTGACGTGACAGAGCATGTCCTTGGCTAGGGCTGACAGATGAGGTGCGCCGCCAGGCAGGCCGCTCGGATAAACGGCCTTCGCACATGCAGGGCGAGAGTTCTGGCAGCCCACGCAGGGGCGAGACAAGGGGTCCACTTTGAGCGACAGGGCCAGAGACATTCAACCCGTGCCACAGTAAGCCAATCATGCAGTGTCCTGCGTCTAGATAGAATAGTAGGGTCCTTCAAGTGGCTCAATGCTTGCTATTTCACGCTCCTTCCTCGTCTCAAAGACTACTCTCCGCATGCCATTACCAGACAAGACATCTATGTACACGTCACTTCTGTGCCTGCTGCCTGTGGTCCACCTCATCGCCCACCCCAATTCATTGCGGCTTGAGCACGATGCCTTCATATTGTCGGCTAGCAATGTTCTCGAGCGTGTGGTTGAAGTGCTTCTTGATACTCTCCAGCCCAGCCGTGTCCTGGTTCACACCCAGATTCGAGTGAATGAGCTCAATGAGGCCATTGATGTACTTCGTTGTGACCTGCAGCGTTTCATTAGCATCGTGCTTGGCCAGGCACGTGGACGGCAGTCGTCTTACCGATTCATTTTGTTGGTCAAAGTAGTAGACGTAACGGTCAAGGATCTCGACAAAGAGCTCTATCGATGTCGACTGCTCCATGCAAGAGTCGGCTACACGCAGAGCACGTTGTAGGCACTCGAGCACGCGCTTGCCATCTCGGTATAACTACATCACGTTGTTAGCTTGCTTGCAATATCTCGATGGCCGTGGATACCAAACTCACCCCGTCTTCAGACTCATCCGTCGCTGCAATCGGCGTGGCCCACCACAGATGTGATGCTAGGTACACAGCACGGCACTGGTCAGGCTTCCGCAGCAGCTTGCTGCCATGGAGGGCGCACTTCGTAATCAGCGTGTCGTAGTTCTCCTTGCCAAAGTTGCGCGTCTGGTGCAGAGCACTAGCGACCACACAGACCGCCTGAAACTGCGCCTTCGAGTCCGAAATGGCTTCCTCGTAAACCGTAAACGCCTGTGCAAAGTACTCGTACGCGACTTCCTCGAAGCCCAACATGTCCGCAGTCTGGCCACAAGAGGCAAATAGGCGCAGTGACATCTCGGCAGCACCGGGACCATTGACCTTGGTGTACAGATTCGAAATGGCAGAGTGCATGAATTTGTACAGAGCATTCGACTGCGTTTCCCAGTTGTCGTCATAGTGCTCCCTAGCCTTGAAGCGTCGTGCAAGCTTCATGCCGGCAGTGATCATGGGCGGTGTGGTCGTGCGGATTCTCTCGTTGCCGTCGGCATACGCCTTCCGGATCATTTGCAAGAGCTTGAACTGCGTATCGTTGTCCTCGGCATCCAGCAGATGTACGATCCGCGCTAGCCAGCCCTGCTCTTCCATTGTCTCCTCCGTCTCCATTGGGCGCCGCTGGGGACCACCAGGATATCCTGCCGGAGCTTGGGAGCCTTCCTTGATCAGAACCTTAAGCACCTCGAGCACATTCTCGAGCTGCGCGACGGTCGAGATCTTGGTCAGAGTTCTCAACAGGCTTCTGGCGACTTCTCCAGCGACAGCCCTTCTCGTAGGATACGTCTGCGACTGCAACAACGGAACGTAGGTTGGCAACGACAACGCCGTAAACATGGAGACATATCTCTTGAGCGGGGCTTGAAGGAGGGAGAGCAGGCTCTGCTGGGCGCCCGGCGAATGCAAGTCGGCACTGTTGGCATGTTCTCTGACCTTGCGATTCGCGTACTCCAGCACCTGGTCCACATAGTCGAGTCTGTTCGGGTAGATGTTGAGTGCGAGATTCGTCAACGACACCAACAGGGCAATTGTGTCCTGGATAGGAAGTTGCTGCATGTTGACCAGATTGTTGACTTGCTCAAAGAAGATCTCGTAGAGCTTGATGTCCTTGGGTATGCCGCGCTGCTTCTTGGCACCATCCTCATCCGATTGCTCGGCTCCACCATCTACCGCTGTCGTCTCTGTGCCAGCCTCGCTGGGCGCCGCCTCATTCCCGTTCTCAGAGGTGGCAGCCGCCGTGCTGACCGACTCGGTATCTTGGTCGGCCTCGTCGCCATTCGCATCGGCTTTGCCCTCGCCCGGGGCAGGTTTCGATTCTTGCTGCTCCTTGCCTAGTCGCACCTTTTCTAGGAGCTCCGCAAGCGCCTCTTCTTCGAGCTTCGAGCGGTCGCCCGACTCGTCCGCCTGCGATTCCCGTTCCGCGTACGCAGATAGTCTATCCATGAGACCAATGACGATCGACTTGACATTGACGTGCGGGTTCAACCTCGAGACGGCAGCCAGGAACTGGTCCAGGGTGTGTAGGTGGAACTCATCAGGGAAGACCTGTGTGATGATCTCGAGAAGGTACTCCTGAGCCAAGACATCACGACACTGCACGACCTGCTCGAGGAGAGGGCCGAGAATGCCATTGCTGTAGGTGTCCAAGTCGACCAATTGGCTGAGGCGCACAATATTGCTTCCGACGAGCAGCTGGAGCTCCTTGCGCTCCTTTGTCCGCTGCTCGCGTTCTCTCGAGTGGCCTTGATGCTGCAGCCTGACCCAGAGCTTATTCATCTCGACAAAGTTGGTGAGGACGAAATTGATAGAGTCCTGCAGGTTGCCCTCGGGACCATCACCCTCGCCGGCGGGGAGGTAATCGCGTGCTTGGCCAGAGAGGTAGTATCGGAGGAACAGGCCGCGGATAGGATGCTGGACTCCACGGCTCATGTCCATCATGTCCTTCATGAGCTCCTTGACGGGGGCGTCCGGGATGGCCATGTAGGCCGTCCCCACTGTGATCATGAGATACATCCGCGGTATGATATTTCCGGCATACTGAACGAGCTCGTAGAGATCGGCGAGGTGGTTGTGCGGGTGGTTCTCGCGAAGGTGGACGGATAAGTAGCGCAGGGCGTCAAAGACGGACATGTACAGCTCGTAGTACTGCTTCGGGCCGAGACTGCTGGTGCGGAGCTCTGATACAAGTGTCGAGCTGCAATGGAGGTCAGGGTCAGATGTCATGCTCACCACGTGGTTCCAAGGAATGCAAGACTCCGGAGGGGGATTGACAAAGCGACCCTCCCGCGCGAGCGGCTTGAGTACTTACCAGCACTTGAGGGCGTCCATGAGCTTGCCTGGAGTGTCGAGGCACTTGCGCATCAGCACAGTCTGCTGGCGGACTGCCACGAGGGCATCCTCGAGCAATCTCGCCTGGTCCTCTGGCGGCGCTGGTGTCGTCGTCATGGCGGCGGATGTGTGTGTGGGTTATCGACCTTAAGCTCAGCAGGGAGCGCTTCAAAATAGACCCAGATGCAGGCACCGATATGGGTCGGGTCCGTAAGACGCAGGTGCTGCGCTGCGCTCTTGTCTGCAGCAGAGGTGATTGTCGCTGCTGCCGTGATCTGATCGCCTGGGTCTCGCGATGGGATGGGCCTGGTGGATGCGGAGGCGAGGTCGGGGAGAGCTGCGAAGTTCTGCGCCGGCGCAATGCCAAGGTGGGATGGGAGACGGGCCAGGTCAGGACGATTGGATTGACGCAGCTGAGGCAGCTCCCAGCACCACGAACTGGAGGCCCGGGCTAGGCTCCCAGCCAGCCGCCAGAGCTGCGCTCGCCAGGGGGAACGGCCCCTGCTGATTAAGCCAAACCCCCAGTTATGACGCGGTTGCCCACTCTCCACCGTGCAGTGGGCCAGACAGTCATTGCCTGCTCACACTCAAGTCCCAAGTCGTGAGCTGTAGATGAATGCCAAAGCGAAGATCCCAAGCTTGCCCGCCTTGTCCTTTATGCTGCTAAGACATAGTGATACACCAGACGTGACTAGTATCACCAACAATGCTGCGTCTGGAACCTGTTATACGTGTATTCTTGATCTCATTACGACACTTCTTGTCTTCTACGCCTCTTGGTGGCTTGCATAAACGCCCTAATCCCTCCGTCTACTGTCCCAAAACCTCCTTGGCCAGATCGCTCTTCTGCTCCTCAGTCAGGATCTCGTCCTTGACCTTCTCTGCCTTGGCGGCATCAAACCGCCACAGACCACCCGTCTTGTCCGCGTCGCCATCGGCACTGAGCCCGACGTGACCAGCCAGTGACGCGAGCAAGGGATCCTGGCCCTCCACGGCATTGAAGTACCTCCGCTCCCACTTGCGGCCCTCGGCCTGCTCCTTCTTGCGCAGCTCGCGCTGGGCGTTCTCGATCTTGGTCTTCTCGTTGGCCACGAGCGTCATGTCGCCCTTGGCGATGCCGTTGGCCACCTGAGCCCAGGCGCGGCGCGACTCGAGCGGGTGCTGCTGCTCAACGGGCGCGATCTGGAGCTTCGAGGGCGCGTTGTTCTCCGGGTCCCATGTCTCGACGAGGTTCTTGGCCGAGTTGCCCTTGGCCGGACCGGCGTGGATCTCGAAGGCCTTGGTCCACTGCCCGGAGACGTTGTAGAGGACGTCCTTCTCTTGGCCGGTGGGGTATAGCGCGGCCGTGAACGAGTTCTTCTTGCCGCTCAGCCAGCCCTTGCCGCTGTAGTCGATCTTGGCGGTGAAGCCGGTTGAAGAGGTGATGTAGGATGCTCCGTCGAGCTCGATGAACGGGGCGCCAAACAGGAGACCCTCGACGTGAAGAGAAGGCAGGGTGATGATGTACTTGTCCGCGCCACCCTCGCTGGAGGCGTTGGGTACGGAGAGAACCGCATGTCCGATCTGCTTGATGTTGATCGTCTTGGTGAAACTGGCCTTTTGGGCGTTGAAGCCTTCCAAGTGGACGCCAGAATTCTTGTTGGTGATGCTATAGGCAGTCGCAGGAGGGTGGTGGCTGCAGTCTTCCGTGTCAGCCATAGCACATTCAGCTCACACTTGAGAAGTGTGGCAGAGGCTTGTCTACTCACTTGACCTGCTCGCTGATGAGCTCGGTTGTGCCCGCGGCATCCTCCCACTTTCCAAGGAACAGCTCTCCCAAGAACGGGTTCAGAGGCTTCTTCTCGTTGCCATATTTCTCGGAGCGTGCAGCGTACTGCTGCTTGAGGGTCGTCAGAAACCACTTGAGGACGAGGACTGCCCTCTTCGCAGGGTCGGCTTCGTTGGCAGGGGCGGCAAAGACGGTCGGGTGCTCAGCCCAGTACGAGCTGAACTCGGTCAGACTTGTCGAGGAGAGGATGAATGGCGGGGCTGTGAGGGACGAGAGATCGCCGTTGAAGGACGAGATTGACTGTACACGAGGGGATAAAAATGTCAGCGCATCATCCAATCAAGTTTTCCGGGGGTCTCTTCCTCAACCCTGGGAGTCGCAGAGTGGCCATGGTGTTGAGATCGTACCTTGATGAACGATGTCCAGCTTGCGCTGGTTGCTGGGTTTTGGGAGGCGGCTTCGGCCATGGTGTCGCGTGTCGTGCTCGAAGGGGTGGAATCGTGGCTTGGGCAGGCGCTGGATTGAGTAGATGCGAGCTTGTCGTAGGGTATAACTGTCGGCTCTGCTGAAGTATCCAAAAGTTTGTGTGGTAGTTGTGTTTCGTCGCTGAGAAGGGTTCGTGCACACAATGTTGTTGTGGATGTTGGGTCCAAGACGCAAGGGACAAGTGTGGGTACTCGACAGGGAAGCGGCTGCTAGTCAATTAGCACGATATGTAGAACCGCATGTGAGTTGTAGATGGGTAGAAGACCAGTAGACGCGTCGAGCAACACGAAATATGAAAGGACATACAGGGCTAGAACCAAGCTCTCAACAATCAGGCCCAATGATGGCGCATGTGAGACTAGGTGGACGCTTGTTCGCCCCGGCCTTGCTTGGTTGCCTCCTCCGTCTAGTCTCGTTGACCCGGCAGGATATTGCGCCACGCCACTTTTCCCCGGACCCGGAATCAAGCTCGCGCGCAGCAGTGGCCTCCCCCTCCATCTATGATGCACTGACGGTGCTGCCCCCAGGCGGCTCAGCATGCGGTTCTTGCTCCACCGCACAAGATTCGCACCCAAGATCTCACGGCTCCCGTAAGCCTTGCCCCTCCTCCACCAACGTCATCGGGCGAGGCATTGCACATCCCTGCACGCATGAGTGCCAGGGGCATGGGCACGTGTGCGGCACCTGCCCACGTTCACTCAGCGCGCCATGAATCATTGCATAGGACAGACTTGCCACATCCACTGCTTCCTGGCAGCGGCACTCATCATCGGAATGGGATCGGCTCTTCGCACGCCAAAAAGAATCACAATAGGTCGGTTGCAAACGAAGCAGCGTGATGAATCTCGTCACAAGAGCCATTCTCTAAGCTCTAAAGTCTATCATATTATGTGGTGGATGTATCCCCAGGATTGCACATGTGAAAATGCCCAGAACGCCAGGGGCCAGTGTCCTCCACCGACCCAATGCCGCAAGAAAAAACACTCCCAAAGAAGATGGCGCTGGACTCAGTACAAGCTGGTCAAGGCAGCAGGGAGTGGATGACACCGGTTGGCAGCAGTCGTAGCGAGCTGGGGATTGATTCCCGACAACCGTCCCTCCAGGTAGTCTCCAATGATCGCCCACGGCGCATGGTTGCACACCTTGGTGCGCGGGTCGTAGCTCCAGGCCAGGCACCTGTCCGAGTTTTGGAACTGGCAGATGCGTTGGCACTTCTCGACGCTGTCCACATTCTGCACCGTGGTGCTGTACTCGTCCAGCCGGCCGACGTACTCCATGTTGGCCCGTATGGGCTCCTCGAGGAATGAGCTGAACGAGGGCGCCCCGTAAATGTCGGCGAGGTCGCGCCAGAAGACCGGTTTTGTCATCTTCCCGAACGTGATGCTCACTTCCTCCATCGTCTCTTTGTCACCAAGGGCATGGAAGGACAGCAGCGGCGCGCAGAAACGGTCGATCCACATCCTCGTCGTCCACGGGTTCTCGCCGTTGAACATGCGCCGGTATGTCTCGTCAAGATAGACGCCGACCTTCATAAAGGTCGTCGACAGCAACTTGTCGCCCCACGTGATGGAGGCCGACTCGAGATGGCCCTCGGCAACGACTTGGGGGTTCAGGTCGTATAGCTTGCTCATAGCAGAGCCGGAAATGATCACTGACGAGCCTCCGTGGGGAAAGCGTCCCTTGTAGTCGCCGACTGGATTTCCGATAAGCTGTGGCTTTGCGGGGTCCAAGTGACCCAGCAGCAGATTCAACGAGTGTTTGATGACATAAGTGTCGTCGTCCAGCATGAGGTACCACTTCTTCTTTGGCATATTGAGCCAGACATACTCCAGACTCGACAAGAACTGTCCAAAATATCAGCCGCTATCTCTTATTCTGCTCCTCAGAATCTGACCGGGGTTCTCTGCGGCGACGGTGCAAGTAGACTCACCTTCAGAGCATCCAGCTCCCAGCCCATGCTCTTGCCCAGCCCGTCTGCGAGCTGCCACTCTTCCGCCTCGACCGCAGCGGCGAGATGCCTGTATTTGCTTATGCGTTCCAGGTGCTCGGCAGCGGCCAAGGCGCCTCTCTCGAGGTTCCAGCCAACAATGTCGACCACCGGCACCGGCTTGCCTGCCAGTTTGTACTGATCCTTTGCCTTGTTGGATACGGGAAAGTCTTGTGTCACGACTATGTCGGCGATTAAGCTTTCGTTGGCGAGTGCATATAGCGCACGGGGCACGCGATCTCTCGTGCCGAACCCAGTTTTGACAATTATGCCAATGTCCTTGGCGGCGTCAACGGGCCATCGCTGTTCCTTGAAGAGCCAGGCATCGCTCGGGTGCTTCTCTTGGACGTAGTCTTCGATGACGTTGGAGTGGAACCGAAAGAACGATCGTATTGAGCTGTCGTATGGCGTCAGGCTGTAGAGGACCAGCACAGATATAACGAGTATGATCGTGAGCCTGGCGCTCCGGTACGCGCGACGCATTGTACCACCGTGGCCCCAGCCAGCGATTTCTGCAGCTTCGCGGCTTCGTGATAATGCTGCTCCTATGTACGGTTCGCTTGCAGTGGACCTTGTCTGCGCTGCGGTCGGACTCGCGAATCGAGGGTTGTCGAAGAGCCTAGCCGTGCGCTCGTGGTGCAGTGCCGAGAAAGGTTGGTGGGGGCGCTCGTCGCCACGGTTGCTCTCAGGTGATTGGCGAAGCGTGAGATATATTCTCGACAAAGGGCAGCATCAGGATATCGAGATTGAGCATGTGGATGTGGTCCAGACCTGGAGTGAAGTCTGCGCTGGGTCGGGGCGGGATAGGGGAAAGTTCAATTGCTGCGTCGCATCTAGGAGCAGCCCTGGAGGAGCTCCAGTCAGGGGTAGGTACGCGGTGACTGCCGCTAATCGCAAAGTTTACCGCTGCCAAACCAGCCCGCTGGCGGCGTTTTCGACACCCCTACTTGCAGATCTTGATTGGGGCGGAAAACCGGGTCTCTTGATTGATCCAAGACACAGACGAGCCACTACCATTGCTTGGAATGTTGACATCAAGGCCTAGAACTCTTCAATCTTCTTTTGCCAACGATGCCCGCGAATCTCGTGGGCTCGGCTGCAATACTCGCCTTTCATTCAAAGCGCCATGTGCAGTCAACCACGGAGGCGGAAACGACTTGGAAGCAGACAAAGGTAAATGTCGGCATGGCATCCCCACAGTCAACTGGGTCCGTGGCGTGTCTTCGACAGCACAGGACATTACGCAAGCTCTTGATACTCAATGATCAACATTATATTGGAGCGATGGGTTTCGAAGAGTCATTCCCCCTGCAGACTAGGGTGAGTTGATTTTGAGCACCAAAAACGGGTTTTCGTGGTGCCTGGTTACCTTACGCGCAAGCACTCACTGCTCTTCATTCTGAGCGTAGAAAAAGTTTGCAGCTGCTGGATGATCAGAACCTCGCGACCACTTCAAGTCAAAGTCATGAGGGACTCACCAACGGGCACAAGGCGATTCTCCGCAGCCCACTCACGGACCCCGTGGACACCCTCCTCCTTACGACCCCAGCGTGCACGGTCTGATGGCTTGATGAGACGCAATGGAACCGTGGTGCCAGTGGCTGGTGTGAAGACCAGGATCACGTATCGATGTTTCCCCGTCTTCGGTTGCGGTGCCGGGCCCATGTACGGAGTCACTTCCTCGAGGCCGTTTGTCAAGTTAGGGATTTGTCGCGCGCACTCATCGAGCGCCAGCCGAGGCGGGGGCACGTGTGCTCCAATGTAGTGGCAGTACTCTGATGCAGGGGCGTCGGGGTCCGTAACCGTGACGACATATCTCGCACTGTCATTCGTCACGTCGCGGGAGCCCAAATAGAGCTTGAATGCGGGCAGGTCCTGGGCGTCCTTGGGATCCAGGGTGTTGCCGAGAGAGGCATACGGACCGTTTGGCCAGTCGACATGCAAGTCTAACTTCGGGATAAAGTCATCAATGACTTTGGTAAGGTCAGTATGAGAGGATTTTTGTTCTTGTTTTCTCGTAGTCCTGCGGTTTTCTGCTTGCCTTTTGGGATGATCTCTGCAGCTTTGAGCCTGTGGCACGGGGTAAGCTTGGTGAGCGGCGACAGCGAGTTTAACCACGGCTCTGCATACTTGACCTGAACTTCTTCAAGCAGATCCATTGTTTCGGTTGATGGATCAGGTGGCCGCTTCGCTGGAATTCCAGGTTGCCGCAGGGACTGTGACCTGAATGTTGTTGGAGATACTACAAGCTCAGAGTGGGACAGCGAGCATAGCGTACCTGCCGTTGAGTTGAAGACGCGAGATGCAGACCTGGTTCGGCTGGCACCTGTGCTGCTCAAGAATACAGAGTATCTCTAGCTGTTACCATGCTTGTTAAGACCAGAGTCAGCAAGTCGTGTCAACGTGATGTCACCAAGGCACCCCTAGCTGGCAAGGTCGTGCACAAATAAGCCGAAACACACAATGATTGCACTTTGAATGGATGATGCTGTAAACATGTCGAAACATCAGTCGGTCAGCATGATAGCGTAGTCTCGCCCCTTTGAGGGTGTACATATCTGCTTAACCAGAACAGGTGTTTCTCGCACTGGCGGCTCTGAAGCCACAACGCTATTTCCTTGTCTCTGATGACATCTAATCGCACATCGTGGCATGGCGTGCCTGCGCTTACCTTAAGCGTGCATACGGCGTTGCGTAAAGTTGCAAGGCACGCTAGCGCAATGCAGGCTCCGGAGATTGTGGATCTGTGGTGGGTATCTCTCCGCATGGCTGGGCCCGGACGCAGGACGACTTGGGACGGCCAGCAGCCCTCATTTGGGGAAAGGGGCCTCGGCCCCGGCAGGCAAGAGGATGCGGGGGGCTTCAGCTCCCGACTTGGCGTCCCGTTCGAGCTGGAGCTGCAAAGTTCCTCAACCCAGAGCCAAGGGCCAGGTCGAGATAACGTTGAGGTGGGAGACGGCTGGGCTCCAGCACCCTGGATCGTGTCCTGGTGCTCGACCGATCTCTGCTGGAGCCGTCTTCCGCAGCCTCAAAACCTCGCCGTCGACCCTGGATCCCACCACCGGCAACGTGTTGTATCTCTGTTTGCAAATAGCCACCTCATCTCATCTCTGCGACGGTGATTGTTAGCAACAAGTCCCTTGGCGACATCGACCCTATGGCGAGCACAGTCGAAAAGACGCCCGAGGGCACCATCTACAAGCCTGCACGCACGCGCAATGTCCCTCAAATGGATGTAATGACCCTGCTTTTCGGTGCGTCGCCCCTTGCTTCGTGATTGAGCCACACACATGCGGAGTCACTGACCCAGATTGTTTGCCATTCAAGAGTCTGAGCACTGCCGCGCACCAACCAACAAGGTCATTACCGCCGATGCAGAAGACCCCTCGAGGCACCTCACAAAGGCCCAACTGCTCAAGCAATCTCGGCGTGCCGCGCACCTCTTCCGGTCATCATTTGACGTGGGCTCGTCCGGCCCCAGCAAAGACGTCGTCTTTATCATCGCGACGGGCCACCACATGCTCCCAACCCTCTTCTATGGTGCCATTATCGCTGAGGGCATCTTTTCATCAACAAGTCCCTCCGCCACAGCCGACGAGTTCGCCTACCAGCTGACACAGACAAGCGCAAAAGTCGTCGTGGCCACGAATGACACCAAAGATGTCGCCCTGGCCGCCGCCAGGAAAGTCGGCCTGTCGGAACGCAGCGTCCTCGTGGTAGGTGGCGACCGCGAGCTCACCTTCACCGAGGCGGCCAGCGGCGCAAAGTTCCCCTTCTCTAACCAGGAGCTCGACTGGCGTCGCATTACCGACCCCGCGGAGCTGGAGAAGAGCATCATCTGCCTCCTCTTTTCAAGTGGCACCACTGGCCTCCCCAAGGCCATGCGCATATCACACCAGAACGCCGTCGCAGCAGCCTACCTCAACCTTGAGCCTCTTAGAGAGTACAACAGCAAGCACCGTAGGGACGATTTCGAATACGTCACCCTTGCGCACTTGCCTGCGGCACACATTGCTGGCGTGCAGGGGTACTTCGTCAACAACACCTACATGGGCGGCACCTGCTACTGGATGCAGAAATTTGACTTTGTAAAGTTCCTGGGCTTCGTCCAGACCTACAAGATCACATCCATGTTCACCGTCCCGCCCATCTTCCTGCTCATCTCCAAGATGCCAATCGTCAAGAACCAGCTCGATAGCTGGGTGGACGCCATGTCTGGGGCCGCTCCAATGGGAGATGATCTGCAGGTAGAGGCTGCAAAGAAGATTGGCAGAGGCATCCACTTGCGCCAGACTTGGGGTTTGAGCGAGACGACTGGCAGCTTCACGACCACACCATATGCGCTCTTGGACACTGCGCCGGCTGGGTCTGTCGGGGCGCTCATCGACAACTGCTACATGCGCATGGTCGACGATGATGACAAGGACGTCGAGCCGGGCCAGCCCGGTGAGATCTGGTGCAAAGGGCCAGTCGTGACGCAAGGCTATTGGAATAACGACAAGGCCAACAAGGAGTCCTACAAGCAGGGTTGGTTCTGCACAGGCGACATTGGTGTCTTCAAGGACGGCGTCTTCTTCATTGTGGACAGGAAGAAGGTACCCGTCCCCTTTCGCGCTCCCTATTGGAACGACTCCATTACTAACAACTCCCCTCAGGAACTCATCAAGTACAAGGGCAATCAAGTCGCCCCAGCCGAGCTGGAGGCTCTCTTACTCTCGCATCCCAAGATTCTGGACGCGGCAGTTATTGGTGTTCCTGGCGAAGGCACCGAGGTACCACGGTAAGTTCCTTGTCAAGGTGCAGAGACGAAGCAGTATCGACAGTTCAATCCGAGACTGACGAAGCATCGATTCCAGTGCCTACATTGTTGCAAATCCCAAGGAAATCTCGGAGCAGCAGATTCTTGAGTGGTTCAAGACGCAGGGTGTCGCTAGATACAAATTCCTGCGCGGGGGCGTCAAGTTCGTCGAGGCTATCCCCAAGAGCCCTTCGGGAAAGATTCTACGCAAGATATTGCGAGACCAAGCCAAGGCCGAATTCAAGACGTCGAAATTGTAGATGTGGAAGGGGACTTGGTTTGAATGGCAAAGTCTGTCGGCAAAGAGGTTATTCTGCCCATTTCTAGACACACGAGAAGAAGAGCGTATCAGTGATCGCCGTCGTATCGTCCAATACTCTTTTTAGAACTTAGCGACCTAATCTTATAATGTTCTGCGAATGTGAGCATACCACACCAAAATTTGTGATGAGCCCCTCGCCTGGTGGGTGGTCTGCCATTTTGTTTAGCGACACTACTCAAGTATCTAGCTCAATAGAGGATATTCAATTCTCGCGTTTTCATACATCCTACGCAAGTAAACAAAGTGCACAAAATGTTGCAGCAAATCAAATGAGCAGCGAATGCGAGACAACGAGGTGACATGCTGCGTGTAAGACGTTGTACTATATATTGCTTAATAAGACAGTCTCTTTTCAACAAATCAGCTCAACCAGCTGCATAAGCACTTTGGCGCAGGGGAAGCGCGCCGGGCTCATAACCCGGAGGTCCTCCGATCGAAACGGAGAAGTGCTAAGATTATCTTTTTTGCTGCGTTTACGGTCCCACCAAGCATTGCCATGAGAATGCGTGTCCTGGTGTACGCATGGCCTGCATACTGCACCAACTTTTATCTTTTCTGTTCCTTTGTTTGCCTTGTCATTTTCTGCCATGGTATACTGACTCCATATATCGTCTTGCGTTCTTATTTCATGAACCTTGGTGGTGAAATTCATTTCGAACTGATTGTCCCCACTTCGCATGCAAGACTTTCACAACTTTGCGACAAAGCCTCAGCAGTAAGGCGGCGGGCGCGTTTGGCCTCAAGGCGCTGCTCGTATTTCTGACAACACACCGCAGACGATGTGTGGCATCCACGCGGTAATCAGCGTCAACGGCACGGCGTCGCCTGATCTCGGAGGAGCGCTCAAGCAGTCCCTGCAGAACCGAGGCCCGGACCACCTCGGTCAGGCTTGTCGGACCCTGCAAGCCACTGCAGCCGGTAACACTGAGTCACAGGCACTTCACCTCACTTTCACGTCCACGGTCCTTGCCCTGCGAGGCGATCACATCGCGCAGCAGCCGCTACTCGGCCCCTCGGCCGATGGATCCGTGCTGTGCTGGAACGGCGAGGCCTGGCGGTTCGACGGACAGCCGGTCTCGGGCAACGATGGCGAGGCGCTGTGCTCGCGCCTGAGTCAACCACACCCTGACACTCCCCGTCAAGACCACGTCCTGGGCATCTTCAGGAGCATCCAAGGCCCGTTCGCAGTCGTGTACTACGACGACATCGACCGCCGTGTGTACTACGGCCGCGACCGTCTGGGCAGGAGGTCGCTGCTCGTGCACAGGGCTGACGACGGCAGCGCCATCTCGTTCTCGAGCGTCGCCGGACAGCCTGTCACAGGATGGACCGAGGTCCCCGCGGATGGGCTTTATTCGTTGAACCTGGACGCTTGTACGGGTACCTTGGTCGACTATACCAGACTTGTCGAGAGACATATGTGGCTGGACGAAGAGCCCGAAATGAATATGGTAAGCCGTGCGACAGCAGTGGGCCTGTCTGCGAACCGCATTCGTCCTCCTCCCCGTCCTGTGTACTCTGCTGCAAGCTCATAAGTGTAGGTCTCCAACGTGGGCTTGTTCAATGCCACGGCAGAAAAGCCTGATGGCAATGATTGCCAGTTGCAAGCGCAAGAAGAAGGTAGCATCGTGGACGACCTCGAGAGCCAGCTTATGTCATCGCTAAAGCTGCGAGTCGTCGATGTACCCGAGCCCCCTCGCGCGCATGCTGCAGCTGATCGTGATGTCCGCGTCGCCATCTTGTTCTCCGGCGGTCTGGACTGTACTGTCCTTGCACGTCTTGCACATGAGCTAGTGCCAACTTCTCAAGGCCTGGACTTGATCAATGTTGCTTTTGAGAACCCTCGGTTGGTGGCGCAGTACCTCAAGCAGCCTGAAGAGGCACGCAAAATGGACTTCTACGAGACCTGCCCAGACAGGATCACTGCGCGGAAAGCCTTTGCTGAGTTGAAGCAGTCCTGCCCGGGACGGTCCTGGAGACTGATAACTGTAAGTATTCTCCGCCGCCTTTCCTCTATCACTGTTGGAACCCACCCCACTGACTACTTGACTAGGTGAACATCCCCTTTGAAGAGACCATGGCCCACAAGCCCACTGTAGTCTCCTTGATACATCCACATGACACCGAGATGGACCTCTCCATCGCCATTGCATTGTACTTCGCAGCCAGAGGCACAGGGCACGCCTACACAGCCTCTCATGTATGGCAGCCATCCATGCCACTCACCACGACACCGGCACGCGTCCTTCTCTCCGGCCTCGGCGCAGACGAGCTCTTTGGCGGATACGCGAGGCACGACATTGCCTACAAGCGCGCCGGCTACGAGGGGCTAGTCGAAGAGCTGCGCCTCGACGTGGGCCGCATCGGCCAGCGGAATCTGGGCCGGGACGACCGCGCCATGTCGCACTGGGGCAAGGAGGTGCGCTTCCCGTTCCTGGACGAGGAGCTCGTCCGGTTTGCCATCGGCTTGCCCGTGTGGGCCAAATGCGACTTTGGCATTGCGGAGCATGAGACGGGGATCGAGCCGGCAAAGAGGATATTAAGACTTCTTGCTGACCGTAAGGGGTTGCCGATTGCTGCAAGGGAGAAGAAGAGAGCGGTCAGTTCGTGAACGTTGCTACCCCAAGCAACTCCCAAGACGTTATTGACTGGGAAAGCGCATGGATTTGATGCTAACCTCATTTACGGGGACAGATCCAATTCGGCTCGCGCACGGCAAAGATGGAGAGTGCGACGGGCAGAGTCAAGGGCACCGCGTCCATTGCGCAGTGACACGGACATAGACATGGACATGGTTGTGCCAGGCTTCTCGAGGATCTCCCCCAAAGGATATCAAACTCTCCCAGTAGGAGCATTCAGCTCTTTTCACGAGCATCACCATTCATCCCCCATATCCCAGCCATAACTCTTCATACTTTCCCACAAGCATGTTCCTCTCCAAGCAATGATGACCACATCAGATACTTCCGAGCCCCTTCATTTCCCCCCCTGCTCTCTACTCTTCGTTCAAAATCCTTTGCACACGCACACTTCAAAACCCCAAGCCACACACAAATCCACGCACGCACAAACCGCGAGGAACTTCTCTTTTCCAGCCCGCCGAAAACCAGTTTCGCCAAGCCCGAGACATCCTCTTCTCCCGTTTGTTTCCCCCTCCACCCTTTTCCTTCGTGGAAAGGGGGCGTCCTAGCATTTCCCCGGACTGGAAACACCCCTTTCTCTCTCTCTCTCGGCCCATCCTCTTTCTGCGGGGTCATCGTATGGTTCGCGCGTTTCTCCCAACCTACCTGGAGGGAGTTAACCAGAGCTTACCTTGGCCTTCAGCTGGAAGAGAGATGCTCAAGGGTGGGACAGAGACAGTCCTTGCTAGAGAAGCGGGCGCCTCGCCTTGCCTTTTTGAGGAGGGTAGGGCCAGGGAAAACTCGGGTAGGGAAGGAGAGCTTTTTTTGGGCTGAAGCTGTGTTTTTCTTCGGTTGGTTGATTATGGGGGGAGGCGTTTTTCGCATAGGTTTGTGTGTGTGTCTGTGTGTGTTCAGGGGCGTGTGTTGCGCAAGGCCGAGGATGAGGAGATGGAGGCTGGGCGGGAATCAGGGGTGGCAGTGAGGGACGTAAAGGCAAGTCTGAGCTTAGAGAGAACAAACAAAATAAACCCCTTCCTCCCTAAACGCGGTTGTGTTTGTGGCACGCAAGACGCATCGAGAACACAACCTTGGAGGAGCCGCGCGTAGAACTCAGAAATGAGATGTATAGAAAGGCAGGCGCATGTTGGCAATGGATGTATGGGTGCTGCTGCTTTGCTGCGCTTGTCGGGTCTTCCATTTCATGCTCAGGTGGGAGAAGGTTCTGTCCTTGTAAATGACATATAATATGTCCTTGTCTTGCACACTCCGCTATGCTATTCTACGTGGTCCGCTATGCTGTCTAGAGCTCAAACACGCCGTGTCTGCAACCACCAATTCAGTCTACAACTTGAACGGATTCTATGCGGGCACTGAGCAAAATAATCGCATGAGATATGTGGCCCGACTGGACTTCCCAGATTGAGATGGAAACTTAGATGAAAGCAAATGTGCCGTGGTACTTGACCTCCTTCTCGTATGCGCTCTCCACAGTGGCGCCGAGTGAGCTCGAGTCTGTCCTCTTGGGGAAGCCATCGAAGGACAACGCGTATGTCGCCACGCTGTGGGCAATGAGCTGTATCGTGGTGCGTCGTCAGTATGAATTCAGTCACTGACGGATGTAGGGTATGGGAGGGTCATTACTCACCTTGGTATTGACCTCCCAGGCCGTCGCGTTCACGTTGCCCACGTCATCGCAAAGTTGGTGGTAGCACGGGTCGTACCAGTCGCCGGCCTTGCCGCCGAACTGGGTGACCTCAGCCTCGGTCTTGATGCCCTCGGCGCCCGTGGCGATGCCGCCGCCGGGGATGCCGTTGCGGATGAAGCCGTCGTAGTCGCTGCGGCCGTCAAAGGGGATGAAGGTGTAGTTGAGACCCTGGACCTCGTACCAGTCGATGTAGAGGTCGCGCAGCTCCTCGGAGCCGACCGGGTTGGCAGCGTTGGTGGCGTTGTAGATCTGGTAGGCAAAGTTGGGGGAGCCCATCATGTCATAGTCCATGAACAGGCGGATTTTCTTGTTCTCGTCCTCGGGCAGGACGGACACGTAGTAGTCGGATCCCAGCAGGCCTTCCTCCTCGCCGGCCCACCAGGCGAAACGCACACAGTTGTTGACGCTGAACTTGGTCAGCTGCGTGGCGACCTCGAGGATGGACAGACTGCCAGAGCCGTCGTCGTTGATGCCCGGGCCGGCAGTGACACTGTCGCTGTGGCCGCCAAGCATGACGCAGTTGTCCGGGTCGCCCTCGACGGTCTGGGCGAGGAGGTTGGTGGTGATGGTGGTGATGACGTCCGCATCGATGTAGGCAATGGCGTCAACGGTCTTGCCGGCCTTGATATCCTTGATGATGGGCGCGGCCTCGTCGCCAGAGAGACTAAAGGTCGCAATCTGGTTGGGCGTCGGGGAGCCAAGCGTGCCGTGGATGACGTCGTGGTCGTAGTTGTAGACGATGGCCGCCTTGGCGCCGGCTTTGCCAGCCAGCTCGGACTTTGTGCCATAGGCACAGGTGCCACGGAGGATGAAGGCAATGTTGCCCTTGAGTTCCTTGGGGTAATCGGATTCGTCGCAGCCCTCATTGTCGACAAGGACGAGGTCGCCGTGCACGGGCTCCTTGTCCTTGGTCGGGGGAGTGAGCTGCATGGGGACGCCCGACTTTGAAACGTCATTTCCTATCACAAGGCGGTGCTCGTTGACACGGCCGCTGATGGCGGGGAAGGACTGGTTCCAGAAGTGGTAGTAGTCGCCGAGCTCTGCGATCTGTTGCTCGATGTACTTGAGGGTGCCGACATGGCCGGCGCTGCCGATGACACGGGTCGGGTGGTTGTACTCGTGCTCGGAGAGCTTGGCAATGTCGAAGAGCTTCTCGGCGCGCTTGACGAGGGCGTCGATGGAGATGCTGTCCTGCAGCTTCTGGGAATCGACGAGGGGCCTCTTGGTTGCGAGGATGCTCTCTGTCGAGTGCTGGCTGCCGAGGGGACGCTGGACAGGGTCGAGGGCGGAGGCGGAGCTGACTGCCGCGGAGGCAGCAGCCGCGAGAAGCAAGAGGCTGCGGGCAGCCATGGTGGAGGATGGGGTTTCGTGTGTTGATGCTATGATGCTGAGATGCAAGTGGGAAGAGTCGGTCGCGTGTGACGCCGGCGAGCCGTGTTTGGCGTTGGTTCCTGGAGGTGCGATAAGCAACGGCAGGAGCAACTATCGAGTCAGGTACAGGGCCCGAGAGGCTGGGGTCAGCTGCACTGGTGCTGCGACACCGGCGATAAGTCTCCGGGGTGCTGGGCCCGCTCGAAGGGGTCCCTTGCCCTTGCCCAAATTGCGCTACAGTCCATAGCCTTCAGACGCTTAGGCTGCTCGACAGCACACGCATGGCAGCACAGTCAAGACAACGGACCCTGCATGCAGGCAACTCTCCTCATCGGGCGCTCGTTACGTACTGGGAACAGCTTCAACAGCCAGAGCGCTATCCCCCATCAGTTTTACACTGCAGTCCCCTCGTGATCATGAGTCACCCCCGAGGTCCCTCGCTGCATCAGCATCATCCTCCAGAGGAAGGTGGTTTCAGCACGGCAGGCCTTGAATAAGCTGGGGCCCCGCCCTTGCTGGCCGGCTGCCCACAAACGCGCAAATAGTTGAATCTTTTGACAGGCTGTCACTTGGCTCGACAAGACCTCATAGAGACTCGAGGTGGTCGTCTTCGGCTCTGAGCAAGCTCATGTCGCAAGTAGCTGGTTAGGCGCACGCCATGAACCTTGCGTCCAGTCAGAGCGACGCGTGCTGACGTACAGGGCGAAAGATCGCCCGTCCGAAGCAGCCTCCGCGGCTAGCGCCGCCGAAAGTTGCGGCCTCCGCAGGCTGGTTGACGTGCTGTGCGGAGCTTGATCAAAGCGGAGGGACAATACGTGGAGAATATGCAAGACCTGCAGCTGGCCAGTCGAACTATGCAGGCAGCTTGATGCTGATTCGTGCAGGGAAAGCAACGAGACGAGTTCAATGCTGGCCAAGTCGTGGGGGATCGCATTTCATGCACATCAAATAGGCGGCTCCGCTGGATAGCGTTCGTTGGCTAGGGAGGCGACGGGGATGGCTTGACCCCAGTTGTTCTGCGGAGTCCCCACCACGGCCGTCGTCGGACCCTAGGGATAAATATCCTGGCGGCGCCACCCTCATGGTCCGTCGGATGGCCCTAGCTTGGCGTGCTTCCTCGACAGACGATTCCTGTCTGTATGGAGACTTCCACGAGGCGCTGACCATGACAACCACGACAGTCCTTGGAGGCCACGAGCCCAAGGAGGTCATGCCGGCGGGCTTAGAAGCTCCTACCACGGCCGGCGAAGTGCCGGTCCCGACGCTAATGGCGGAGACGGAGGCGGAAGCAGTGCCCGAGGACGACGAGCTTGCTCGCTCTGACCTCCCTTTTTCCAAGCTTCGCTGCATTCTTTTGGTGCTGACACTCGCTGGTGCTGGCTTCTTGAACGTCAGTCCATGTCCCCTTCCAAAGCACACCTGCGCGCCAAAATCACTGACAGCTCTCCAGACACTGTCTGTCCAAATTGTCGTCATCATCCTGCCGAGCATTGGTGACGACCTCGGAATACCCGAGACTCGCCTGCAATGGGTCGTCTCGGCCTACTCACTGGCATTTGCCTGCTGCCTGCTGCTTTGGGGCCGGATCGCTGACCTGGTTGGCAAGCGGCTCATCTTTGTGGCCGGGAGTGCCTTTGTGGCCCTCACCATGATCATCAACCCTTTCCTCACTAATGAGATTGCCTTTGACCTATTTCGTGGCCTTCAGGGTGTCGTAAGTTGATCACTGTCCAAAGTCAAATTCTGTCCACTGTCACTTACCACTTTACGATCCAGGGCGCGGCTGCGAATGTCCCGACCGCCATTGGTATCCTCGGAGTCACTTTCAAGCCAGGCAAAGCTAAGAACTATGCCTTTAGTACATATGGTAAGTCACCAGCCAAGCTTTCCCTTTTTTTATCAGACATCCCTATGGCTGAGAGTTGCTAAAAACCACGACAGCCGCGGGTGCCCCCCTTGGCGCCGTCATCGGCAATCTCATTGCAGGACTGATCGCGAGCTACGCCAACTGGCGCTGGGTCTTTGGCGCAACCGCGGGCCTCGCGATTCTTGTGACCATTGCAGGGCTTCTCGTGATCCCCCGGCCCCCGCCAAACAGCGCGGCCGCAGCCAAAGAGGGCCTCTCCTTCCTCAAGGATGTTGACTGGATAGGCGGCGCACTCATCACGCTGGCCCTGCTGGCAATGCTCTTCGCCCTAACCGAAGGCAACGTGGTCGGCTGGTCCACAGTCTGGATCTACATGCTCATGATCATCTCGCTGCTGCTGACGGCGATCTTCGCGGGCTGGCAGCTGTACCAGGAGAAGCACCTGTCGCACACGCGCACGCCGCTCATGAAGGTCACCATCTTCCGCAACGGCAAGTTCGTTGCGGCCATGACCATCATGGGCATCATGTTTGGCGCCTTCAGCGACCTGCTCGTCTACGCGACGTACTTCTGGCAGGACTACCAGGCGCTCTCGGCCATCGAGACTACGCTGCGCTTCATCCCGACTTCGGCATTCGGCCTCATTACCGCCTTCGTCATGTCCCACCTCATCTCGCGCGTGCCCACGTGGATTATGCTCTGCGTGGGCACTGTCTGCGTCAGCGTCGCGTGCATGCTCCTCGCGGTGCCCGTACCGGACAACATGACCTATTTCGCCGTCGGTTTCCCGTCAATGATTCTCGGAGTCATCGGCGCGGACGTGGCCTGGCCCACGCTCGTGCTGTTCACCTCCAAGACGCTTCCCGAGGCTGACCAGGCCATGGGCGGCGCGCTGATCAACGCCTCGGGCATGTTTGGCCGGGCGATCGCGCTGGCCATCACGACGGCGGTGCAGTCCGCCGTCATGGCTCGGGAGCGAGGCGTGGGCGTCGAGGACGCGGGCAGCGTGGTGGCTTGGGACTATGCGAGCTTGCAAGGGATCAGGGCCGGGAACTGGTTCAACTGCGGGTTTGGGCTGCTGGGCACGCTGCTAGTGTGTGTGGCGTTCCGGGGTACCGGGATCGTGGGCAAGGTGGACAAGCCACCGTTGACAACGACGAGCACGACGCGGGCCTCGTCGGTCGCTGAGGGTGATGAGGGTGCGGATGAGGAGAGGGGGGGGGCCGGCAGGATAATCCAGGATGTCAGTGCGCGGGAGAAGCAGGCGTGAGCCCTAGCAAATGGAATTATATATGTTGCACTTAGTGGAAGAAGACGAGGCTTGCCGTCCATATACACCGAAGCGGCAGTACGTAGCATGAAGCTCCTTAGTCTAAATTTTTGAGAGCATAAAAAAGCAATCTAGTGATATCTCAAGGGCACGACTTGATATGTATATGTAACTTATACAACACATGCTGGTGTTCTCTATTGGCAGCGCTCTCTCGAGACTGTACACTCTTTACACACTAGATGAACTGATTCCTCCAATTCTATACAAACTCTGTCGTAGCACAGACAGCATAGCTTTAAGCTTCCCCGGCAAGTTCTAAGGGGAAATCATCGTGGCCTCGCGGCCTCTCGGGTGTAAGCAAGGGGGGGGGTGTTCTGTAGTTGCATCTGAGCTGGACGGGCAGTCCTGAACGACCAACCATCTTCGCCCCCTCCGCCCCTTTCAAAACACACACATACACACACACGCAAGCCCCCAATCTCAAGATTACTTCGTCTCGGCGGGCCAGACGAACCAGGTGAACGCGACGACCAGCTTGAGCAGGGCGGCGAGCCAGAGCGTCCCCGCGGTGCTGAAACTCGTGTGGGCGATGAGCCCGCCCACGACGGCGCCGAAGATGAGGCAGACGGGGGCGCCGAGGCGCTGGTTGCGCTCGACGTTGTCTCCGGCGAGGAGGCGGGCGTCGGAGAAGAGGTCGCAGTAGACGCTGGTGAGGACGACGCTGGTGAGGGCGTTGTACTTGAGGGCGCGGCTGGTGACGGCCTGGCCGCAGGCCTGGAAGGCGATGAGGGCGATGGGGACGAGCTCGGTCCAGCCGATGTCGGTCTGCGGGTTGGGGGACTTGGGCCCCAGCTGGAGCATCAGGGCGGCCGTGGCGATGAGGACGGTCTGGAAGACGAGGGAGGCGCAGAGGACCCAGCGGCGGCGCGGGGAGAAGGCGCGGTGGAAGGCCGAGAAGCAGACGGAGCCGATGCAGAAGAAGCCCAGGCTGACGCCCGACTTGATCCAGCGGGTGCCTTCTGTGGGAGCGGCGAGGCCGAGGCCGAGGTAGATGGAGTTGCCGGTCTGCATGGAGACGAAGGAGCCCCAGGTGGAGATGGCGGCGCTGTCGAGGAGGCCGGTGATGATGTAGCAGAAGATGAGGACGACATCGGCCCAGTCGCGGCTCACGTCCGCGCACATGCGGCGCTTGAAGGCGGAGGGCGAGGTGGAAGAGCCATTCTGGCGGCCGAGGAGAGGCTGGTGCTCATCGCTGTGGCCGTTGCCGTTGGCGGGATGCGTCATGGCTTTTGTATCAAAGTTAAGGAGAGCGGCGTGGTCTGGTTGGCTGGCGGCTTATAAGTGGTATCGTACGACGGGAGGTGGTGTGCAGCAAGGTGAATAGAGTTGCGGATCGAGCCAGAGTTTGCGGATGGCAAGCGCTTTGCTTGGCAGGAGAGACGCGCGAGGAGGGCTGGCGGGAGACGTGACGGGCTCGAGGTTTGCAGGGTGGCGAGAAAAACGTACGATGCTCAGATGATTTTGGGACGGGGGGGATGTAGACGGCGGGTAGGCGGAGCCGCCGAGGGCGGAGGAGGGCGGAATGAAGTCAGCGCGCGTGGGCTCCACTTGCGGCAGCCCGGCACGATGGAATCTGGGGAAGCTGGGTGGGCGCAACCTTGGCACTCACTCACTCTCTCTCATCCACCCACCCATTGGCGGAACCTGACTGACAGGCTTTGCGGGAATAAGTACCCAAGCACACACCACTGAGTCAGCCCTAGCATCTCTTCCGGCAAACCCCCTCACACCCAGCTGCGTGCATGCGTCTCGCTGCTGCCCGCACTTGGCACGGTCCAGGCTCGGGAGTCCGGGAGTCGCTCGGCGTCGGTTGCCCATGGGCCCCTGTGGCCCCACGACCGCGAAAGCCTGCAGGCTCCGGCCCGGCATGGGGCTGATTCATGATGCGATCATTGCCAATTCGATGGCGCAATCCCCAGAGCCTCGTGAGGGGAAGCTCAAAGTGCGCAGCACACGCAAGCCCAAGCTCGCGCCCGGTTGGGGAAGGACCGACCTAGCTCTCCAACGAGTGCCCGCGCCTGCCTGCTTTCCTTATCGCCGTGACGTCCCGAGAATTTCTTCCTTCTTTTTCAACCCTCACGTCTGATTCTCTCTAAAACCCACGGCAACCTCTGACATTGCGTCCTGTCGCTCTTCGTGCGTCTCTGGTGACCTACACAACCTCGTCGTATTGCTCTTCGTGGTCACCTGAACAGCTTCATCGTCATAGCCCTCTCTGCATTGTCCTGCCCGGCCAAGCGGAACCAACAATGCAGCTCAAGACACTGGCTGTGGCGCTCGCCCTCGCTGGCGACGCTCTCGCCGTCCCCGTCGAGGACAGCCCTCGCCAGTATCTCCTCGCCGGCCTCGAACTGCCACCAAAGTACTCCCGTCCCAAGGGCAAGGTCGCCGCCGGCTCCGCCCCGGGCCCCAATGGCCCTTACAAGCCCGGCTACAGCGATCCCCTCGACAAGTACATTGATGCCGAGGGCGATGAGCTGGATCCTCTCCCCTACCGTGGCAAGCTGGGTGCCTCTGTCCTTGGGCCCTGGAACCGCGAGCGCTCGCGCCAGAGCCCGGATCTCGTCCGTCCCCCAAGCACGGATCACGGCAACATGAAGAACCTGCGCTGGAGTTTCGCCGACTCGCACGTCAGAATCGAGGTCAGTATGACTAATTGAGGCTGATACCCCAACAATGCTCTCGACTTACACCAAGTGGACTACAGGAGGGCGGCTGGACCCGCCAGACCACGGTGCGCGAGCTTGGCTCCAGCGTCGAGCTCGCCAGCGTCAACATGCGCCTCGACAAGGGCGTGATCCGCGAGCTGCACTGGCACAAGGAGGCAGAGTGGGCCTACGTCCTCGATGGCGAGGTCCGCATCACTGCCATTGACTACGAAGGAGGTGCCTTTTTCGACGACCTCAAGAAAGGCGATCTTTGGTATTTCCCGAGTGGTGTGCCCCATTCCCTGCAAGGACTTGGCGAGAACGGCACGGAATTTTTGCTTGTGTTTGACGACGGCAATTTCTCTGAAGAGTCTACCTTTATTCTGTCTGACTGGCTTGGTAAGGCTTTTTTCTCTTTTTCTTTTTTTCCCCTTCCTTTTTGTGGTTTGTCGCCAGCGAACGACTAATCTGAGGCATACAGCCCACACGCCCAAGTCTGTCATCTCCAAGAACTTCGATCTGCCGCCAGAGGTCTTTGCGCATCTCCCCAAGAGCGAGAAGTACATCTTCCAAGGCACAAACCCCGGCTCGCTCAAAGATGAGAAGCCTACAGGCAAGAACATCAAGACCTCAAAGTACAACTTTGCGCACAGGCTGCTGGACCAGGAACCCCACGTCACCAGCGGCGGTCAGGTCCGCATTGCCGACTCGAAGAACTTCCCGCTGTCCAAGACGATCGCCGCCGCCCATGTGACGATCGAGCCTGGTGCTCTCCGGGAGATGCACTGGCACCCCAACGCGGACGAGTGGTCGTTCTTTATCGGCGGACGTGCTCGCGTGACTGTCTTTGGCTCGGAAGGTACCGCCCGCACTTTCGACTACCAGGCTGGCGACGTCGGTATTGTGAGTTGCTCCCCTCGCCCTTAGCCCTGGATCTGTGCCATCACTAACAGCATGTGCTTTGCCAGGTTCCCCGTAACATGGGCCACTTTGTCGAGAACATTGGCGACGAACCCGTTGAGATGCTTGAGGTTTTCAAGGCCGACGAGTTCCGTGACTTCTCGCTGTTCCAGTGGATGGGCGAGACACCCAAGAAGATGGTGATTGACCACTTGTTTGCCGACGACCCGAAGAACGGCGAGATTTTCTGGGACAAGATCAACAACCCCAAGAAGGACGAGGTCACACTACCCAAGCATGTCAAGTTCGCGCAGCAGGGTCAGGCCGTGAATGAGCTGTAATTTAGGTCCGCGCCAGATCGGGGTTCGCGGACAAGTCGCTTAATCCTGGCGACTCCAGATTGTGAAGATCTATCTGCCACATTCTGTACAAATCTCGCAGCTGAATTTTAGATATACACGATACCGAGTCACCAGGCCTAGGCTGTTGACTACGCTGAAAGGCGTTCAATTACTATTTTTTCTGGATATACAATAACAGCGCGACGAACGCATGAGCATAACCTTGGCAGAGTCCCAACAGACCAGTACTGCCGGTTCAAGAGTGACACGCTTGTGCCATCCCACTAGTAGAGCATGTTGCAACCCTCGGGTGTTCTCCATGCCCCGCGGTCGGGCTTAGAACTATGAGCCAGCGCACAAGCAGGGGTACAAGCCAGCACCGCAACTAGACCTGATGGAGCACTACTGCCGGATGGCCTCGTTCTCCCTCACAAGAAGGCTCTCCCGGCCCGGACTGACTGCTTGAGCTAGCAATGATTGTCAGACACTTAGCCTTGGTTTCCCTCTAGCGGCGGCGGGGAACCCCTGCCCTTGCTCTGTGCTGCCTTCCTGCTTGCTTGACTTGTTTGCCCCAGGGAGAGGAGGGGACTTGGCCGGGCGGCCACGGCATCCCCACTGTTTGCCGCCCGGGTTTGGGACCCGGTGTCGGGCGGCGGCACCAGGCGGCCCCGCTCGGTGGAACACTCTCTTTCTGGTGCCCGTGTCCTATCTATCTGGCTCTTGCTCGCTCCGGAAGCACAGGAGCCGGGGGGGGGGGGGGAGGGTGTGCTGTGATGTACTATGCTGCACGAAGGGAGATATCTCGGCGTCGCGCTCTCGATGGAAGGTGAAGCGAGAGGGTGTGTGGCTTTAGACATGGGTGGGCGTTGCCCGTGCCTTGACTTGCTTTTGCTTCGCTTGGATCGGGTTGTGTTTTATTGCGTGGTGACTAGTTGTTGTTATTGTTGCTTCCCCCTGCTGACCGCTGGCTGGCCGCCTTTAGAGAAAGGGAGCGGAGCCGCGACCCAGGCAGGAAGGCAGGCGGCGACAAAAGCCAACAGGGTGGGGGACCCGGGAGAAAAGGGCTCTGATGAGTAATTAACAAACACGGATCTTTTGTGTGTGTAAATTGCAGAGGACGCGTAGAAGATTGGGACAGTCGTGGTGGAACCCTGGGTCTGGTCTGGAGTAAGCCTCCCGCAGACAGGCCCCACGGCCATCGCCACCATGGCAAGGCCCTGTGGCTATTGCTTGGACTGTGTTCGTAATGTGGTAGTTTTCTGCAACTGGACATACGTAACCGATCCTGCGCATAAGCGGAGCCTCCTGCCAAGTCAATCCTTTTTCTTTCGTCTGTCAAAGTGACAAGTGCTCGCGTCAGCAAGCAACTTGAGAGATAGACAAGGACCAGGGATATCCATGCCATGCGATGACGCGGACCGGGCCGTGGGACCCTCTGGGCTTGCATTGTCCCCATCGAACAGTGTTCCCTGGCGAAGAGTGCTTCAATCTGGCACTCGCATGGTGCTTTGGTTCACAAAATGGAGGTACCTTGTCAAGTAACGCAAGGCAATGCTACCTGGATCAGCCGTGACGGTTGGCGTTTATCCTGTTAATTGGAAGCATGAATCCCGCCCTCTGGACCTCTGTACCTTCGTGTCGAAAGCTTGGGTCCGCGCAGAGACGCAACGCTTGGACAAGGTCGCCTAGAACAAGGTCGCAGGCCCCAAAGGAAACTACCAATCACTTGATTCAAGATGTACGCCCCCGTGGTTGACGGCTGGGCCGCTGCAGCCTGGTCGCGGCAGCCGTACCTTGTTGGCATGCATGCAACTTGTCTGCATAGATAGAGCTCGAAGCTTGTCGCCAAAAGCGAAGGAGCCCTGCAGCCTGCCGGCGACCTCAGGGTGGAGCATCCATCATCCCTCACTTCCCGGGCTCTACTTCGTCCTGTTCGGCGACTTGTCTATCTCATGTTGCAACATCAATGCGCCATAAGCACCCTCGTCCAGGACAAGACAGGACACGCAAGCACCACATGTTGCGTTTCATAGGGTAGTGCGCGCGAACTGCCACTTCCCCTTGCTACTGCAGAGTCACATACGCGTACATATTGATTAGCCTACATCCACATACGTTCGTACATGCATACATACGCACATCCTTTCCCTCTTTTGCCCACCGCCCGTGCAGCAGATACGAAGCACAATGCACGCCCGGACCATCCCAGGCTGCAACAGCCCCACGCCGCGCTGTGCCGAGGCCCTCTCTGGTCTTGGAAAAAGCTTAGTTCGATGACGGACAAGACATTTCCTGTTCCCACTTTCGTCAAGTGCGGGTCGCGCAGCCAGGCAAGGGGTTCGTGGCCTTTGCCAGCCGCCAGCGATGCATGTGCTGGATGAGGAAGGTGGCTTCCGGCGGATTTTACGGGACCGTTGGTGGCACAAGACGAGATAAGTGGCAGGTCTGGGAGGAAGGGCGGCAGGGGGGGTCGGCTGTATTCCGTTGTGCCGTATGCATTCGTCTGCTCAAACCTCGAAGGGGGGAAGAAAACCAATCTGTAGAATGTGAGAGAGCTGCCACTGCTTTCAAGCTGAGAACACCTTTTGGCGAAACTCGCCCAGATTAAGCTAAATGACATTTGGACACCTCAGGTCAGCTGGTGGATGGCGGTAGCCGGCCAGGCTTACCCTCCTCGCCAGCTAATTCGCCAGACTTGCTTTCTCGACTCCAACGGGAACTACGCCACCTCCACAAATCTGGGCGCGGGGGAGTCGCGGCTCTTGTCATGTACCCCATATCTCGGGAAGTCTCTAGTGTCCCTTAGAGCAGCAGGGCCTGGGGTTCTTTCTTGGGCCGGGTGTTCGGCGTATTCAGCTAGTGCCAATATCTGCCAAGACAGAGAGAGAGAGAGAAAGCGGGGTTACCGAAATGTGAAAATGTTACAAGCTGAGTGATGATAAGATCGCGTCATAGCTATGGATGGAGTTGGGCTTGTCTAGTAAGGTCACGGCACATGGGTGGATTGCTGTGCCGGAGTTTGGGAAGCAAGCCGTGTCGCGGGAGGGCGGGCCATAACAAGGCCGCTTGTTCTCTTAGTCTGTGCTTCCAACTTCGGCACGCCGCAAGAGAGAGGTGGAGGGATCCCATCTTTGGTTAGCAGTTGAGGCTGATTTACATGATTCCGATGAATGGCACACGTGTAGAACTAAACACACAGGTGCCTGAGCATCATCAGCCATGAGCTCCGCCCTTGCGTGAGGAAAAGAGTTCGTGCCTTGCAGGCAGGTACGCAACAAAACCTTGCCGGCCACAAATCTGCGCCCGGATGGGCCAACCGAGTGCGCGAATGACCCGACACCATGACGACTTGGTCTGCCAATGGTCAGCAAAAAATAGAGCCGCCATCAGTAATAGGGGATTGTCAGCACCGCAGTCCCTCAAGCTCGGATCACTCGGAGAACCTCGTGGCGGCGGCTGGAAATGTCCTTGAAATGGTTATTGCCAGCACTGCACATTTCTTGCATAAATCCTGCCAAATTCCCGGGGCTTCTCATGATTGTGATGCACTGATCAGTCACAATGAAAGATGACCACGTATGGGCGCTTCTCTGCCGACTCATTGGGAAGGTCTCGCGCCATGCAATGCAGGTCACGGCCTCCTTACCCAGAACCAGCTTCATGGCACACTACTATCTAAAGACATTGCATTCCCGACGTGGCTGCGAGAATTGTCCGAGGGGGGTGGGATGTAGCGAAGCATAAATGAAAGTGTAACAGTATGTAGGACAGCCCTGGCCGGATTCCAATAAGAACTGCAGCCATGCCCGATGTGCTCGAGATCTGTGATTGCGAATGTGTGTGCGCGTGCGTGCGTGTGTGTGACACTTGCTGCAGGCAGGGGTGAGACGAAGAGCCCGGGAAAGGAGGAGGTGTGAGGAGAAAGAGGGGAAAACACTCACATCAGCATAATCACGGTCCACGACAGAGGCCAAACATCCCAGAGGATGCGGTGGTGTGGATGAGGAGGGGGGAAACGGACAGGCCTCGTACTCGCAGCAAGGAGCAGTCGCTTGCAGCCACTGCCACAGCACAATGGAGGTTGAGAGGCGCACAGCGCAAATGGGGAGAGCGTCACTCTTGCCCAGATGTAGCACGCCGGCCTGCCGCTCCGCGTGGGCGCTCGAAACTTTATTGGCTGGAGATGGCTGCAGGAGGACGGCCGGTAGCGATCGAGGTCTGCAAGTCTGACCTTCGATGGATGGTTGCTCTGCAGCGTCGTTGGCTGCCCGTTCAGGTAGAGACCTGGCCAGTCACGAGGAGGGCGGACGAACTCTATGGGCAAGATGCTCCATGATCCGTCTTGTTTATAATGGCGGTAGCGGCTTATACTCGTATCTTGACGGTTGAGTCTATTCACCTTACTCGAGTTCCCAACAACCCAGCCTAGCACTGACTATTCTCCCAAAGGAACCGTGCGAAGGTATACGTTCTTCACCATGGACAAGGTCCGCGAGAAGGCTTCCGCCCTCAAGGAAGAGCTGAGAACTGATGCCACGCTCAATCGTCTTGGAGAGATCGCCAGCACCAACCCAAAGAGTGCCCTGCCAGCTATAGGCGAATATTCTCTCAGCAAGTTCCCCATCATCGAGTGGCTTCCACGGTACCAGCCATCATGGCTTCTTCAAGATTTTGTTGCGGGCTTGACCATCGGCGTCATGCTCATCCCTCAAGGCTTAGCATATGCCCAAATCGCCACGATCCCAATCGAAAATGGACTATACTCTAGCTGGATTCCAGCTGCTATCGCAGTCTTCATGGGCACTTCCAAAGGTATGTGCTGCCAAGGATACACACGCAGGGCAACTACCATGACTGACTTGGCTTTTGAACACATCCAGATCTTTCGACTGGCCCTACGTCCATCCTCGGACTTTTGACTGCCGAAATCATAGTCGACCTTCAGGACGAGTATACCCCAGCTCAGATCTCCACCGCCGTCGCCCTCATGGTTGGAGTATATGGCCTGATTCTCGGCATGCTTGAGCTCGGCTTCATCCTCGACTACGTCTCTGTCCCCGTCCTGACTGGATTCATCTCCGCCACTGCTCTTGTTATCGGCTTTGGCCAGGTCTCCAAGCTCATTGGCCTTGATGACGTGCCCGACGGCGTCTTCTTCACGCTCGGAGACGTGCTCAAGCGACTGCCCGAGTGGGACGGTCCAACCTGTGGTGTTGGTTTCGGGTCGATATTCATGCTCATCATCTTGCAAAAGATCGGCCAGCGGTTTGGAAAGAAGCACTTCATCATCAAGTACCTCTCCTCCAGCCGCGCCGTCATCGTGCTCGTCATCTTCACCCTCATTTCATATCTGGTCAACAAGGACCGTGACGTGAAGCACTATGTCTTCGCCGTTACCAAAGTCCACACCAACGGGATCAGTAGTCCCTCAGTCCCTGAGTCCGGCCTTGTGGGCAAAGTTGCTGGTCGGGCCATTGCTCCCTTCATGGCCTGTGCGCTAGAGCACTTGGCTGTCGGAAAGGCTTTTGGTCGCAAGAACAACTACACCATCGGCCAGAGCCAGGAGCTCAACTACTTGGGCGTGACCAACATCATCAACAGCTTCTTCCACGTCATGCCTGTCGGAGGCGCCATGTCCCGGACTGCGGTCAATAGCGAGTGCCGTGTCCGTAGCCCTCTGTATGGCGCGATCACCGCGGGCTTCATTGTCCTGACGCTTTACGTGTTCTCTCCGGCGCTTTACTGGCTACCCAAGTCGACCCTCGCAGCTATCATTGTACGTACTTGTCCTCCACTGCAGTGACATCAGCCTGTGACACAAACCATTGACACTCATCCAATAGATCATGGCCGTCATCCACTTGTTTGGACCACTGTCCCTGTTCTGGAGATACTGGCGCATCTCCTTGGCCGACTTTATCGCCTCCATGGTCGCCTTCTGGGTCACCATCTTTGTCTCTGCCGAGATTGGCATTGGCGCTGCAGGAGGCTTCAGCATCGTCTGGTCCCTGGTGCGAGCGGCCTTTGCCAAGCCCGACGTGAACACTGGCGGTACAAGCCACGGCACCTCCTCCGGATCGTCGTCGGACCCCGAGACAGGACACGCTGGCCGTAGGGGTACGGACGCCACATTCAACAGCCAGAAGCCCACCACGAAGGAGATTGAAGCACTCGACCGCCAAACCACATTCGGCACTGCCGAGTACACTCCCAGTACCGGCAACTACCCCTCCCGTGCCCGGGCCGATCCACTGCCCGAGGATACAGCCGTCGTCCGCTTCACCGACAACATCTTCTTCCCCAACGCGTACAGGGGTAAGACGACCGCGCTCGAGGGAATCCAGCTCGTGTATCCGGCCGTCCGCCCCTCCTCATCGGCCCAAAACGCCGAACGCATCTGGACCGTCGCGGCAGAGCGCCGTCTCGAGCGCCTGCGTGCACTGCGTGGTGTCGTGCTCAAGGATACCGCCTTGGCCGTGGTCGTGTGGGACCTGACGCGGGTGTCGTGGATCGACACGACGGGCATCATCGCCCTCGGCGAGCTCAAGGACGATATCCATCGGCAGCTGGGCAAGTATGTGCAGATTCGCATGGTCGGAGTGAACGAGAAGGTGAGGCGCAAGTTCTGGCGGGCGAAGTGGAAGGTCGTGGATGTCGAGGAGTCGAGGGCCGGAGTCGAGGGCGATGTGGTGTACGGCTCGCTCGAGGAAGCGATCTGGCACCGCGAGGAGATGGAGAAGGGGAGCTTTGAAGGCGTGACGCTGGAGAAGAGTGGCTGATTTCCTTCGGATGCGGAGCTGAGACGATATGGAACAAACTGGAGGACTCAGGTCGTCATATAGGGTTATCGTATTTACGTACATTCTTTTCTTCTCAGGGCTGAGTAAATGGCTAGTGGTTTCTCTTTCGATGCTCTGCTTGCTCAATGAAGCCAAGTTCTTCTGCCACATTTGCGGAGGGTGTTCCCCTTCCTAGGCTGCTTGTCTAATCCGGATAAAAAAAGCTGCAGCCAGCCTCATCTCATGTGGAAGCTCTCGCATTTAGACTATCCAAGAATGAGAAAGATCTCCTACAAGTCCATAGCTTCCTAGCCGAGCTTTTCAACCTGCCCACTTGCGCGCCGATATGCCACACCGTCCACCCATTCCACCCACAAAACCGCGTACACCTCCCTGTTTATAGTCCAGTGGCCAAGCACCTCTTTTAAGACTTGTCGACTGACCGCAAAGAGCTCGATCCGTTCACTTGCTGAGGTTGCGCTGGAAGCAGAAGCCGCGCAACCGCAAAGCCGTTGTGCCTGCTGCTTGTTGTGCAGATGGAGCTGTCTAATAACTTTGTCCTTATATTTGTCGCGCTGATCGAACCAGCTGCTGGCAATTCTTGTCTGGGAGCTCGGATCTGCATCTGCAGAATGGCAAGAGAACTATGTAGTGATGGGGAACGTCTCCTGCATTTCGTGGCTGACTATATCGACGGGAATCGATCTAGCCTCTCGTCCTGAGAACTGTCCAGCACCATGCCATCCTACCCAGGACCACAAGGGAAGATGGCATGGGTGGAGGCGAGCGTTGTCAGGGCGGACCGAGGGCTGGCGGCGCCGAAGGTTCGTGCCAGTCGCAGGGCTCCAGCTCAGTGCGGCATCGAAGAACATCTGTGGGAGGCCGCATATGAAGCCGCCGTGGAAGGTACGGCTCAAGCACGTGAGCAAGCCTGTAGTCCTCGGAAGAGCGTCCTCATCATAGGTCAATCGTCGCCTGTTATAATCCCGAATCAGTCGACCCAAGCTGTGAAGTTCTGTGGTGCCGTTCAGGATACTGGCCAAGTGAATATCGGCCTCGTGCCCGAAATCGAGTAGTTCGACATGGGGCTGTTCTCCAGGTCGCGTGCTGACAGGTCCATCGTAGAAAGGAGTTTTGGATGATCAGATGCCTGGGCGACATTGCGAACTCCTGATATGTCCAAGCCCGACTACGATACAGCCGTTCGCCTTCCGACCTCTCGTACTTGCCCGGCTGGAAGAATTCTCCCAAGAACGGGATTGCGTCTGGGCGGTGCACTGATCGTTCAGATATCCCCTTGGAGCCCTGGAAGACCATGTTCAGCATCTCCATACAACACGACGACGGTGAAGGCAGCACTCGCGTTCCCTTTTTATATGCTGACATAAACGTGCGCGTCAGCTTTTCTCGACGCAAGAGACCCAGCCTCACTCGACTGAGGCAGAGACGAAGGGGCGATTTCTTTTAGCAGCCGGCGTTGAACATCCAGGACACCCGTCGGTATGACCTTCCTGTTATGCCCGAAAAGGAGAAAGCTAACTGTGACGAAGTACTACTATCCACTAGGACATCCAGCCTAGTAGCATTGAGTAGGAAATCTACGAGGAGGGTGTTCATATTCAGACTGTTGTCTAACCAGGAGCTCAACTAATAGCTCAAATTGTTCATAATCTATTTACTTTTGTCTATTTGTAGGACATTTGATGAGGAGGTCACTTCCAACTCCAAGGGAACTGAGTCGTTGCCCAAGACCCACCCGGTCTAGTATAGAACCAGGAGAAAGTCGGCTTTTGCCCTATTTGTCAACGAGAATACCCGACACTATACCAGTAGGCTGGAATAGAGCAATGTGCGGATTTCAGCCGGCACGCGCAGTCTCTCCCACCCTTTTGCTCTCCATCCTCCAGCCTGCTCCAAACCTCCAGGCAATCACCACTCCTGCCATCGCAAGCACTTGCACGCCCGCACAGATAGTGAAACACCAGCCAACACCGACGCCATTGATCAGGGGCATCACGAAGCTTGTTCCGCCCGCCGCGAAAAGACACCTCGCGAGATTCAGACTCGCACTCGCCGCAGCGCTGCGGTCAGAGAACACGTCAACCAGATAGGTCATGATGACGGACTGCGTGGAGACGACGGTCCAGCCGGTGATGAACGTCGATATGATGGGAATCGCGATGGGGACGGTGGCGGGGTAAGCAATGCACCATCCAAAGAGGACAATGGAGAGGCACTGGGCGAGCGCGAAGATGGGGACCAGGCGCAGGCGGGCGTTTTCCAAGGGGAAGCCGTCGTCAGCGTCTTCCGTGCTGTCGTCGACTATGGGACCGGCCGATGCAGGGCCAGGACCGCCGCCTTCCTCCATGCCTCGAGTCTTTTCTCCTGCGTGCGCGGCCTTTACCCGCCGGTAGTCTCTGTCCAGGATTTTCCCCGTGATGAGAGTGCCCAGCATCGACCCGACACCGTTCGCTATGAATGTCAGCCCGACTTGCGTCTGGCTGAGGCCGAAGCGCTCCTCAAAGAGGGTCGACATGGCAGTGATGCTCATCTGCCAGACGGCATAGTAGGTCGCCAAGAATACGATCAGAGGCGCAGCATGCTTACTGATGAGGATGCGAAACGGCCCGGTGATGTCGATGTGTTTCTTCTCTACTGCCGGCGAAGGGGAGGAGAGGTTGATGTCGTTGCGAGTTGTTCTTTGATAAACGATCAACGGCTGGCGGAGGAAAACACCTGCAGGGGTGCGTGTGCCGTTACCGACGATGGAGCGCAGAGTCTCTGGCAAAATGACGGTCATGGCGACGAGGAAGCATCCGCCGTAGATTGTGAGGAGCCAGAAGATGGATCGCCAGCCAAGGGAGCCGGACAGAGCTCCGCCAATGATGGGCCCGACCGCGACGGGCACAAGCAGTCCTGCCTGGAAGATTCCCATATAGCTGCCACGGTCCGCGCGGGTGGTGATGTCGCCCACGACACCAGACCCTATGGCGATGGTGCTGGCGCTCCCCGTGCTCTGGAGGCATCGGAGGACGACAAGTGTGGCATAGTTCTGCGTCTCTGCGAGCCCGATGCACGCGCCGATGAAGACGAGGAAGGTGAGGAAGTAAGCGGTGCGGCGGCCCTTGACGTCAGAAACAGGGCCCCAAAGGCTGGGAGCAATGCCCTGGAAGATGAGGTACGAAGTGACGGTGAGGTTGACGAGTTCGATAGAGACGTCGAGGTCGCGGGCGACGGTCGGTAGCGCTGGGAAGTAGATGTTGGATGCAAAGCCGGAGACTAGTTGCGAATCGCGACAAAGAAACGTGATGTTAGCACGGGTCCAATAGGGGAGGTTGTTGTGATGTTAGAGCTTGCTGTGCATAGTCCTGAGCAATGTCGACAGGGCATGCTTACAGGTGGCCGCAATCGAGACCATGGTCACGATGAAAGCCTTTTGCCGCTTGTCAAAGATGCTGTACAGCTCCTGCTGCTCGCGAGCCGCTGGAGCATTCCCTGAACCAGCAGGAGCTTCCTCGTGGCATTGTTCACGGGGGGCATCGTCCTGAGCGGACATTTTGCATGCTTTATTTCAGGTCAAGTCTCTATCTATCAATCGGTTTGCCCAGCGTGATGAGGCATACACAGTAGTGTAAACGTGTAGTTGGGCATGAGGCATCAGGACAGGGGCAGAATCGATGAGAATCTGGGGAAAGTTTGGTTGCCTTTATACCCGCCAGGAACCAGCCCTAGTCCCGGACTTAGGCCGGCCGAAGCGCGTGATCTCCGGTCTCGCCATTACGTAAAGGGCGCACGAGCAACGTCATTCAGCGCATCCAGGAAACCAATGGATCTCTAGAGTAGATTCCTTGTCCACTGTGCAACGCAGACAAGCTCAACAGAAGAGAACAGAAAATACAGACACCGAGAAAGTACGGGCTTAATCTACCGGAAATGGCCTGATTCGCGCCCGGGGGCCGGTGCGTTCAATTACATAATGGCTTGGGTGCATTTGTTTTATTCTTTTTGAATAAAAGAAGCGACTGCAGCCAGGAACAGACCTTTCGCTACTAGTATAGACAGCACAGTGAGTTCTCTGCGCCTGCTGCGCAAGGCACCAGGTTCACCTCGGGTTCTCGTTTGCTCAAGATGATCCTTCTCTGCTACCCGGGGACAAGTGAGCTGAGGCAACAAGATGAGGGTATTGTGCGGTTTGTCATTGCTTGATTCGAGCCTCACCATTAAGCAGATCTCTGTCCTGAACATCGAGTTGCGACAACCTAATCCGTGAATGTCATGGCTTACTTGGGTACAATGGCGTGATCGAAATTGTCATCTCTGAGCTCCCCGAAAATCGCGCGCACTGTCTTTGTGTGACAATGCAATGAGGCATGTTCGACCGAGTGGTTTATATTCACCCTAACTATTTATATGATCCAGAGTGATCTTGCCACAAATGTTTGCAGTAGAGGTTTTGCCCGCCTGCCGCGATATGTACCTCAATGAAGGGATAAAGCACGAAAGCTTTTATCCATAGCCACCAACCTCAGGATATAAAATGCTGTCACTCCGGCGGCTCATCCCACTTCTGAGATCTTCGCCTCTGGAGGCTTGGAGTCGTCTCAGAAGGACAGAATAGTGCGTGGGAAGCGAAAAAGCCCGCTACACGAATCGAGGAAGTATGCAACGGCTTCAATCCTGAGGACAGATTATGACCTCCCCCGTTCTCAAGACAATATACCTGCACCTCCCGTGGTATTTTGCCGGGCTCCTACTAAGGGGCAGTCATGAGCTTATCACTAAAAGCAGGGATGACATTCGATAAGTAGGGCGCAGCTTTGCTGGGTTCTCAAATTCAGTGGAATGATTCCGCTTGGAGGACATCACTATTTTTAGTTCTTGTAGCTACCTGGTCACGGGAAACTTCTTTAGCATAAATTGCGCCCGATAAACATGGGACCTGCTGACTTGATTTCTAAGTCGCAATCCTGTGATAGACAGGGTTGTCGTACTAGTACATAGTAGGGAGGCGCGACGTTGTTATCAATGAGGGGTAAAACAAGGTTGCGTCGTGGGGACAGGCCTGGCGGTGATCGTCGTATCCAATTGCAACCTCAACAGCCGCGCCAATCCCTGGACTTACATCGTCGGGAGATAGCGCCTTGCCATGGGTAGCCGGCAGCCATTTTATAAAACCATGTTGATTATGGCTCTTGATGACAGACTGCATGCAGAACAGCATTTGCTTTTCTCCACAAGTTGACAACTTACAGTAGGTTTGCAAAAGTAGTCCTCCCCAACTCCTAGAGAATACTGTGGCGGCAGCAATCATAATCATCTTTGTTCAAGCTCAGCTAACTCATTGGATGGTCCCGCCACTCTTTAGAACTCGAAGTGCAAACATGTGGGCTGTCCAAGGCGGCTACATGCTGCGGCCGTTCTTGATCCTCGCAGGAGTCATCTTTGGCACAACAGCTCACCAAGGAGGACACTACCATGACTCTGTCAACACAATTCCACGTGCGGTGGCAGGCCAGAGCCTTGCTGGGACCGGGCCGGTCCGCCCGTTCCGTCTTGACCAAGTATCTCTAGAATCCAGCCTCTTCACGGAGAAGCGAGACAGGATTAAATCATTCATCAAGAACTACGACGAGCGGCGGTTTCTTGTACTCTTCAACAATCAAGCCGGCCGGCCCAATCCAGCAGACGTCACCACCCCCGGAGGCTGGGAAGATGGCGGCCTGCTGAGCGGCCACTGGACAGGCCACTACATGACTGCCCTAGCCCAGTCCTACGCCGAGCACAAGGAGGAATCCTACAAGCAAAAGCTCGACTGGATGGTCAGCGAGCTCGCGGCATGCCAGGAGGCCATCACGGCCCGGATGTCCTCCCCGTCTCCCGACCCAGCCCTCTGGACCCCGACACACCCAGGCTATCTCGGCGCCCTGCCCGAGGACACGGCCCTGCGCCTCGGGCCGCCACGCTGGGCCGTGTACGGGGGCAACCTGAGCACAAACACCTGGGCGCCATGGTACACGCAGCACAAGATCATGCGCGGGCTGCTCGACGCGTACTACCACACGGGCAACACGCAGGCGCTGTCCGTCGTCACGCGCATGGCGGACTGGGCACACCTGGCGCTCACGCTGGGCGACATGAACCACCCGCTGTACTCGGGCAACAACATCACCCGCGCCGAGCTGGACCGCATGTGGGACCTGTACATTGCGGGCGAGTTTGGCGGCGCGAACGAGGTGTTCCCCGAGATCTACAAGCTCACGGGCGGCAACGACACAAAGCACCTCGAGACGGCCAAGTTTTTCGACAACCGCGCGAGCCTGTTCCCCGCGGCCGTGCAGGACCGGGACATCCTCGTGGTCGGGCCCGCGGAGCTGGCCGCCATCAACGCCGGCGGCAAAGGTCGGCGCCGGGAGCGGCTCCACGCCAACACGCACGTCCCGCAGTTCGTCGGGTACCTCCGCGTGTACGAGTACACGGGGGAGAGCGAGTACCTCGCCGCGGCCAAGAACTTTTACCACTGGATAGTTCCGCACCGGCTGTTCGCGAGCGGCGGGACTGGCGGGACGTACCCGGGCGCCAGCGACGGCACGAACCCGGAGCTGTTCCAGAACCGCGGCAACATTGCGCGGGCGATTGCCGAGAACGGGGCAGAGACGTGTACGACGTACAACGTGCTCAAGCTCGCCAGGGGACTGTTCCTGCTTGAGAACGGGGCCGGTGCGGAGGAGGAGGAGGAGGAGGGCAGCACAGCGGCCGCGCAGGGGCTATCAGAGGGCTACATGGACACATACGAGCGAGGATTGTTTAACATGATCCTGGGTTCCCGCGCCGACCAGGATAGCACCAACAACGACGACGACGGCCCGCTGCTGACGTATTTCCAGCCGCTGACCCCCGGGTCTCGGCGCGAGTATGGCAACACGGGCACGTGCTGCGGCGGCACGGGTATGGAAAGCCACACGAAGTATCAGGAGACGATCTACTTCCAGTCTGATGCCGCAGGCGGTGGTGCATCTGCAACACTGTGGGTGAACTTGTACATTGCCTCGACGCTACAGTGGGAGGAACGAGGAGTGGTGGTAAAGCAGGACACGGCCTTTCCAAGGGACGACCTGGTGACTTTCACAATCTCTCGACCCGACTCGGCGTCTACAGACGACATCAGCCTGGCCATCAAATTGCGCATCCCAGCCTGGATCCGCCCAGGAACGCTCTCTCTCCTCATCAATGGCGAGCAGCAGCAAGAACTGGAGCAGACCGCGAAACCCGGTTCCTACCTCACACTCCCCAAGAGCACCTGGCGGCCCAACGACACCATACAGCTCAAACTGCCCATGACCATCCGCGTCGAGCGCGCGAGCGATCGGCCAGACACCCAGGCGCTCATGTACGGCCCCGTGCTGCTCCAGACCGTCGGCAGCCCCCCTCCGGCTTCCAGCAACGACACGGCAGACAACGGGCCGCCCTTCTGGGAGTTGTCCCTGTACCAGTACCTCAAGCTGGACGGGGACTACTCCCGGGCAGCCATCGTAGCTCTAAACACCACCAGCACCGCCACCACCAGGAGGAGGGCCAACGGCGGCAACGACGACGACCCGCTCTTCACGACAACCACCACCTCCGGCCAAGCCCTCCCCGTGCGGCCGTACTACATCAGCATCCCGGGGGACCCGGTGTCGTCGTACTTCCGGCGCGTCGAGCCGACGATCCTGTTCGGCACCGTGCAGACGCACATCACCAACCGCAAGCGCGATGACGGCCTGCCCGCGTATAACGTCCCCGTGCAAGGTGTCCCCGCTCCGGGCCACGACGGGCTGACTTTCCTCGACGTCGTGTGGGACCAGGCCCCCTTTGCGGACCACGCGCGGTTCGTGAGCACCGTGGACAAGGTGATGAGCGACTTTGTGGCGCTGGGCGTGTACGATGATGCCGAGGCCCAGGTGGTTGTTGACAAGGCCAAAGAGGCGGAGAGGGATCTGGATCCCGCTGGGGATTGGTAGGTAGCGCGCGGGGATCTGGATTTTGGGGGGGGGGGGGGTTCTTGAACGGCGGCGGTTATGGAGATGCGGGTTGCGCATTCCCCAGCGAGTTTCGGGCGTAGGTGCCATTGTGAAAGTGTGCTAGGAAGGATTATTCGAAGTTGAGGCAACCCGAATTGTGATATTCTGGTGGATTTCCCATGGTTCTTTTGGTACGCACACAGCGAACGACGTTTGCTTTGTGGGAAACAGAGAGAGAGAGAGAGAGAATGGGGTTCGTGGTATTATTCTCGTTTCAAAAGTCCCCAAGTCCACACAACAGCGTGCTGTCTATGCTACCATGCCTTGCCACGCCATGCCATGCCGAATTCCATTCCCATAATACGCTTCGTCAAAACATTGCTCGCCGGCCACCCGTGCTGCCAGTGCCTGCAGGTCCTCTGGGTGGACCCGCAACTCAGGGGTGCACATTGCGGTTCTTCTCGTTGACAATCTTCCGGAGCGGCCGGATCATCGCCCGCCGGTACTTGACGTACAGGAAGAAGGCGTCCTTGAGAACCACAAACAGGCAACCGCCGACCAGACTCCGGCCCCAGCGCTCCTGCAGGAGACCCGTGAGCGGGCCTCTCAATGGCCGCGTGACCATCCTGGCTGGCAGCACCGCACGCAAAATCTCGCCGGCACCGTAGCAGACGGCGGGGAAAGTGAGAGCGCCAGCAATAAAGTTGAACGGCGACTTGTCTCCGAGGTCGAACACGCGTTGCCTGCCCTCGCCGCCTCCGCCATGCGCATTCCCCCCTCCGTTGCCACCGACGGCAGCGTTTGCGGGCTGCGGCACGTCGCCGACATTGTCCTCTGGGTTGATCTCGTTCTCCTCCGGGCCGCCGTTGCCGCCAAAGTTGAAGTTGATCTGTGCTTGGAAGAGCAGCTCGCGATCCTCGCCGCCTTCGCGGTTGGCATCGGCGGCGGCGACGGCGTGCCGCTCGGCTTGGGCGGTGTTGTTCAGATTCCGCGCGTCGTCGCCGTACAGGTGCGGCGCACGCGCTATCCGCTCCCATCGCTTCTCCATGTTGAAGAACAGTTTGCGGTAGACGTAGTAGTACGTGGACTTGATGGCAGGAACCATGAGCATTGCCTGCTCGAAGCTGGGCGGCCAGGCACTCTGGCTCGCATCGAGTCGACCGAGGTTCGCCCACGATATTGCCTGTGATTTGCCAACACAAGTTAGTACGCTGTTCCAGCTCTCCGACGTTGTTGCATTGTGGCGGAGATCAGGAGAGGAGAAGGCGCTCACCAATAATGTCGTGGGTATGGAGAAGATGCCACCCAGATTGAGGCGGTTCAGGATCAGTCCTGGCCCGATGAAGGGCAGGACGAAGAAGTGGGCAAAGTTGATGGATGGCTCAGCAGGCGCCAGCGGGATGAGGCTCCGGAGATACCCCTCGAGGCCTTTGTTGGCAACATCCTTGATGATGAAGTGGGTGGCGGCCTCGGGGCCTGCAAAGATCTCGATGGCCTCGACGCCGTAGAGGGCGCTGCCGACGAGGGCGCCGGAGCCGATGAAGCTGAGGAGGATTGTCGGGGACCAGGTGGTGAGGAGGCGGTTGAGGTAGTCGCCGAGGTGGACGAGGGGGTCGTACTGCTCGATCATGCGGATCTTGCTCTTGCACTGGGGGCAGACGAGGGGCTTCTGCTGGATCTCGAGGTCTGCGAGCCAGTCGAGGAGGCAGTCCTGGTGGCCCTCGAGCGAGCACTTGCAGGGCGTCGACCAGTCGCGAGGCAGGTTGCGGGCGTTCTCGTCGGTGAGGCAGACAAAGCATCGCCGGGTGTCGGTAGGCGGCGATGACGCAGGCGTGAGGGTGTCGGCAGGAGGAGCGGAGGCGGGAGTAGGCTCTGCCGCGCCTTGCGAAGGGGGCGGCGACGGACCCGGCGGTGAAGACATGACGGTTGGCTGTGCAAGCAGGGGGCTCGAGCCGACGAGGGCGGAGGCGCCACGGGTTGATCGCAGACACGACAGCGAGGTGGTTGATGGAGGATGAGGCGCGGCGGTTGGTCCTGGTGATGTCAGGACGCTAGTCTAGCTTGACTGTTGCTGGTGCGGACGGGGGCCTCGGCTGGCTGGGCCCCCGTGGTAGTAGGCGCCGCCCCGCAGTCGAGCCAACAGGTAGGGGATCCCAGTGCCGGCCGCAGCTCCCGTGCCTGGACAAAGTGAGCAAGCGCTCCAGGGCTAATTAGTCCCCAGGGACCAAGGCTTCTCAAACAGGCAACTTCCCAGCCACGACCCTTCCCAGATGCGCCACTTCATGGTCGATGGCGTAAACAGGATTGCCTTGTAGGGTTAAGTGTGGTGGTACCTCCTTGTCCCTTGGGCGGTTTCGGTGGAAGCCTCTGATAGCTCGTGCGCAAACTGTTGGTATTCCATATCACTCCTTCGTCCTTTCAACAGGCAGTCTTCTATTCAAGCACGGGGTTCTCCGGCCCTCGCCGGAACCACCGCAGGAGCCTCTATTCGGTCCAAGTCGGACGAAGCCAAGCCCAATACCGACGAGCTCCATGTCCATGTAGGGCTGACCGCAAGTAGCGTCGCTGAGATCCAGCCCCCCTTGGACTCGAAGTATGAGGCCGCAAGATATGATGCTGACTAGGGTCCAGGTCCTAGCAAACAGCCCTAAGCATACTGTGAATAAGGCTCCTGCCGATTATTCTGCAAAATCGCCTTTCTCAGGAACAGACATTCTGGCTGTCTGGTGGTCGGACGCGTATACGACGTTGTGCCGGTGCCAAACATAGAAACAACCTGTAGCCATGCTTGTCCTGTCAAAGGAGAAAGCTTGTCGTAAAGAGAGAGCCCTGTACGAATGGGTGCCGACGCAACTAGTCGGAGAATCACAAATTTGGCTTGCACGAGTCGTTGGGCCAGGGGGGGAGCCGTCGGCCGAGTCTGTCAACCTCAGCCCATCAGCCACGTGCCGGCCAATTTAGCCAGCGCCAGCACTCTGAATCTCACAGCTGGGCCCTGTGAGGCCACTTTGATTCCACATGCCGCTGACGCTAGCATGTCCTTGAGAACGGGTTCCATGGACGAGCACCACAGATGATGATGGCGGACACCCTTGCCGGGATGGGACTGTTGTTCTTGTGTACGTTCATTACGGACGTACTTTACGTACGCTAGTCGAGCATTGTGCCTGACAGCAGTGACCTGGCTGGCAGCTTGCGCGTCCGCTGCCCCCTGTGCGCGGGTCCGAGACGGGAGCTGTCGTGTCCCTGCGAGGTGCCAATAGAGTTATTACGGGCCCTGTTTCCCGCAAGCTTTTGTTCTGGAGCCGCATGGGATCGATAGGGCGATCGGCAGCAGGCCGAGTCAATGGTGCAACGCCTAGTTGGCCGTGGCCGCGTGGCAGCATGCCTGAAACCTCCACCATGGCCCACGACGTGACGCGCTCTTTATCTCACAGGAGCAAGGGAGACGCAATCCCCAGGCATACCACTTGCATCGCAGTCACCATGTGCCGGGCACCCCCCCTGCCGCCGACAGGCGCTTTGACGCGAATAAGCTTACCCCAAGTTCGCCATAATTACTTGCCTGGCCTCGACCTCAAGCTCCGATCGTGTAGATAAAGGCTGCACCAGGCCGGCATCCTGCCACTTCTCCCTTGCTCTGTACGTAGATTCGACTCTGGCCTGTCACGATGCGGCTCCGGCGTGCCAACACCAGCCTACTGCTCGGGGCCCTTGTTGCCTCGCTGGCAGAGGCGACGCCCTCGACGACTCTGGCGCTGGGCCCTACCGAGGCCGCAGCCTGGTACCGCGCCCACGACATCTTCAATGCCGTCCACAACGCCATGCGGCAGTGGGGGTCCTCCCTCCACCACAACGGCATGTCCTTCTTCCTCGCACGCATCCCCGAGAACGTGCTGCTGCACCACGGCAACGACAGTCCAGACACGCCCCTCGGCCGTCCAGACTGGGTGGCCTTTGAAATTGAGCATGCAGAGCAGTTTGCGCGGCCCAGGAGGAGACGTCCGGCCGCAGACCCCGCTGCGGGCGGATATCTCCACACCTACCGCACCACAAAGCCCATGACGTTCCTGTATGTCGACGGCATGGGTGCCGGCAAGACCGCCATGGGCACGCTCGACTTGCAAGACTACGTCCTGCGGGCTCTCGAGAACCAGTCTGAGCATCTGCACGCCGAGGTGCATGACCACGCACCACAACACGGTCACAACGGCGATGACGGCCTGTCGGAGCTCCGGCGTCGTGGCCAGGTGCCAGCCCGTGACGGAGAAGAGGAACCTCCACGACCTTCCGGCCCTTTTGACGAGGTCGGCCGGGCTGCAGACATCTGTTCCCTCTGCAAGGAATGGGGCCTGCAGGGCGCCATCCGCATGGAAGCCGGCTTCGAGGTCATCAAGTGCGACTTCTCTGATGGATTCGAACAGGTGCAAGCACTCCAGCGGCCAGCCCGCAGCTTTCCCACACCAGGGCAGCAACCTCCGGGCCAGGACCACCCACATGCGCCTTTTGGGAGCTTCGGGAGCCTGGAGTATCTGCGTGGTATTTCGGAGCGGTACCACGGCATCGGAGGCGGCCGAGTGTCTATCGATTACTCCTCCATGGTGTCTGCCTTCTTCTTCCCCGTGGACCTGTCCAACCCGGATCCCACGCGGCCGGACTTGCCCCGCCTTCTCAACGTCACGGCCCCCGAGCGCAAGGCGATCAAGACGTACCTCCTCGATACCATTGCCAAACGCCATCGCAAAGACTCCCTGTTGATGCCACCGTCAATAGACTGGCAGAGCATCTCAGACATGATTGTCGGGCGGTACGGTGATCGCATCAGGTTCATGGCTGAAGAGATCGACGACCTGGAACTCATGAGGGAGGAGATTGTGTTCCTGATGACGCTGTTCATTGACTACTCATCTTCTCAGCCGACGCAGCAGGAGCCAGACATGGACGCAGCGATCAAGAGGTGTACGCACTTCTATATTCCGGACCTTGCCGCCATATCTCGCAGCATGCATGCCACTGAGGCTGACCGCCTGATCCACGTCGCGTTTACCCGTGTCACAGGAGACATCTGCAAGACGCTGATACACATGCACACCGTCATCACTGCCGCAGACTCCTCGATCGCTGCAGATGCCTCATTCTCGCAAGACGACGACGTTGGCCAGGCGACCACGACAGCAGCGGCAACGCGACAGTCGCGCGCCCGAAAAGACGCCCTCGCCAGAACCAAGTCCCTCGCGCGCGAGCTCGTGAGCACCCTCAACTGGGCGCACTTCAAGCAGTGCCGGCCGGGCTGCGGGCTCAGCGAGGTGTGCATCGTGCCAATGTGGCCGATGGGCACGGTCGACGAGTACGAGTCGCCCCGGTGCGCGAACCAGTCCGACCCAGGGTGGGCTGGGGGGAAGCGGTACTGGGCAGACCCTCGGCCCGGGCCTCCGACGGGAACGCCTGTCCCTGATCGGCAGCATGGCGCAGAGCGAGGAGGAAGCCATGATGATGAGGGAGACATTGACGGGGCACATGATCAGTGGTCCCGGGAACTTCGTTGACAAAAAAACGTAGCTGTTTATATATGGCCGGCGTTGGCGAAGAGCATGGTGGGCGTTTTCACGGATTACACTAAGAAGGTTAGTTATATTGTTAGATTTGGAATTAGATTAATTTTTTTCCTGATGCGAAGTAGACCTATCTACCTCTGAGCCTCATACTCCCCATAGACTCCCTTGAACCCTAGAATCTTCCCTAGCACAACCGACCCAAGCAGGACCGCCCTCGTTGCCAGACCATGCATCCACCCAGGCCAGCCGCCATCACGATCAAGGACCAACGGCCAGTTATCCATCCGCCAGAACAAGTTGTTCAGCTCGAGATCCAGCGTGCGCATCCGCCAGCTCTTTGGCCCTTCACTGTCGTCCTCCTCTCCGCCTTCAGCATCCTGTTCCGCGGCTTGCCCCGCTCCGCCTCTTCTCGGCCTTGACAGCTCAGCCTCGGCGGCGAGCGCGTCCAGTATGATCCCGTTGAGATTGCGGAAGAATGTCTCCTTCTGCCCGTCCTTGGGGTCCGTCCACTCCTTCACGACGAGCTCCTCCTCCTCCTCATGCTGAACCTCGCCATCGCCCTGCGGCGACCGCGACAGCAGGGCACGGCTGCGGCGCCACTCGTGCACCGTGCCGCGGGGGATAATCACGACGCCGTCGAGCGGCGTGACCGCGGGCATGACCGTGACTCCTTCTCCATCTTCGTCTTCCTCCTCCTCCTCCACCTCGCCACCAGCACCAGCACTACCATCCCGACCGCCATTGCCTTTGCCCTTGCTACCTCGCGCCCCGGGACCGCGGAACCCCAGGATGACCTCTGCCCGGCCCTTGATGACCTGGAGGAACTCGGTGTGCGTGTCGTGCCAGTGCGGGCCCGAGGTCCAGGTCGACCCGGGGGGCAGGCGGATCGTGGCCTGGTCGGGCGTGGACAGGTCGTAGGTCACGGCGTTGGGTAAGGGGCGGGTGAACACCTTCTGGTTGGCCGTGGATGTCCGTTTGTTGTTCCCGCTACCGCCGGAAAGCAGTGGCGAGGCCTCCGTCGCCATTGCGATAAAATGTGTGTGTGTGTGTGTGGCCTTGGTTGGGAGTCCCGAAATTGGTGATGTTGATGGGCCGGGGGCTCCAGTCCTGGCGCGGCCTCTCTCTCCCCCCCGAGTTTGAGCTGCGCGTCGTGCGCTGAGAAAGCTGATCGGCGCAAAGGAAACTGGTGCAGACCACGACGATCTTGTTTCGCCGTTCGCTTCGAACTCACAAGGTGCGCTCGCAACGCCGGAGATTTGCCCCGAACGTCGCACGCTTGCGGCCACTTCTTTTAACGGTCCCAGGGATGATTGTTACTCGATGGTAACCTAATTGCTTGCAATGGCTTGTTGCTTTCGATTGCTTTCGGCGGTTCTTTATCGCGTGGTTTGGATGATCACGGTCGACGGTTTCACGGGTGCGCGCCGCGGCGGCGGGGTTTACGCAGAGCAACAGCTCACGGCAAGGATGCTGACAACTCTGAGCTGAAACTGAGCTGCGAGGCCAGAAGAAAAAAAAAATGTCAACACCTTGGATGAAGATCGAGTTCACGAAACGGATACCAGCCTCCCGGCACAGCCTTGGCTATTTATTTCCCACGAGACATTACACCATGCTGCGCGCGCCCCGAAACTTGAAGTTGGATCTACGTGTCAGCAATTGGAAGCACCGAAGCGCCTGGATTCCCCAATTTGCGCTTGTCAGCACAAGGGCCCTCCCCATGCTCATAGCGGAGCAGAAACCACGAGGCTTACCAAGCGGCGTGGGCCCAGACCCGGGCCGAGCCCAGACAGAAAGTAAAGTCCAGCAACGTCCAGCGCTGCCGCTACCTTGGGTAGCTTTCACTCGGAGCTTTTCAGCTTCTGCCTGGTATTATGTGGATAAGGCTGAGGGAAGGAGTCTGGTCACCGGGCGTGGTGGGGACGGGGCCAAAGGGCAAGGCTTCCACGCCGCATGCCGCAGGCATGATAACTCGGCTTCGGCTTGACTTAGCTCTTGCCCGACAAGTCCCTGACTCGACACGTCGGAGGCGGAGAAGGCTAGGGCCGGCCGGTTAGTTGTTCGTCTCTGGCGGTGTCGACTACATGCCCTTCTCCGCTCGTCGGTGCCGGTCACTCTGCCCCTCTGCTTCAATCCACGAAGGCGAGCGATGGGCGGGTCTGTGCACTCGATCTTGACCTGCTGCGGCGTACCGATCGGGACTCGAACCCGGCTGACCCAACTTGCCTCCGTGAACTTGAGGCAGGTAGCGTCCGCACTTGCAAAATAGGAGTGCTAGGCTTCTGTATAAGAAACGGTCTAGGCTGACGTCCATCTCGGCGCCGCCGCAGAAGTCGCATTGACAAGCACCCAAGCAGGGCAACAAGCTCAACGGTCCGCATTATCCACACTCCGCAAAGAGAATCACCACCAAACACAGCTTTCCGACAACGTGCCAAGTGCCCTGCAGCCAACCGCCATGACAATACAAAATACCGAGACCACCAGCTCAGCCGGAGCTACTGCCCTCCCCGCTGGCTACACCTTGCACGAGGGCTACCCGCCACTCCCCGAGTATCTCGACCTACGCAAACTCTCGGGCCTCACGCCCGTGTCCCCTGAGCAGGGTGCCGCCGTGCCCCGCGGCAGCTGGTATGGAGTCTACATCACAACCGCAGAGGCGGGTGCAGAAGAACAAGAAGGCGGCAGCAGCACCGCACAGCCACAGCCCTCCTCCAACGGAGTGCAAACAGGCGAATCACCAGCGAGCAGCAGCAGCACCAACACCAACACCACCAGCAGCAAGCCCGGGCGCAAGGCCGTCGCCATGGGCCGCATCATTGGCGATGGCGGGTGGTACTTTGTCATTGCGGACATGGCGGTCCTCCCCGGGCACCAGCGGCGCGGGCTGGGCGACGCCATTGTCAAGAGGCTCGTCGACCGCGTCTACTCGCACGGCGCAAAGGGCCAGGCTTACGTCTCCCTGACGGCGGATCCGCCCGGGAGGAAACTGTATGCGCGCAACGAGTTTGTCGAGTCGATGCCTCGCGGGATGGGCATGCACAGGCTCTTGCAGGTGCCTGGCGGCGGCGACGACGGCGGCGAGAGGGAAGGCCAGCAGGAGAGGGAGGCTTGAGGTCGCGGGGGTTGTGATGATGGCTGTTGGCTCGGCAGGGAGGCAGGCAGTCAGGCAGGGAGGCAGTCTTGCCATGTTGAGTTCCCATTTGCAGGGCTATCAACAGATTTGCGCGCGGGATGTGACTTCCGTGGCCAGCCAGCGTTCATCCTGTCCGAGAAGCACATACGGCTTGCTGTCGGGCAAGGCTCTGAATGGCCATCCAAGATAGGGCACCCCTGCTGGTCCCCGGGCTGGACCGTGGGGTCTCCCGAGCAGATCTTGTCCTATTTACGAGTGGTGCTGTAGGCACCCTTATGGTTCGCGGTCGTGTTGAATTTGGCCCTAGAAGGGTCAGCTCAATATCATCAGCAATGCTGTGCCTCTAGTGACACCGCGTTTCGTTGCGGTTGCCCCGCTGTTTCAATGTCTTGCAATGTGCTGGTGAGCTCTGGAGAAGGCGGTCTGCCTGGGGTAGAGAGGCCTGGTCGGCTGGCATTGCCATGCGTGCAAGACTGGGTGCGGACCTGCAGAGACACAAGCATGAGAGATGGTCCATGACCGAGGCCGAGGCGTGTTCCAAGACGAGGAAAAGGCCCCCAGTCGGTGAGGGCGTGGGTGAAGCGTGCCCAGCCAACTCAACAGCTGCCTGTCTCGGGGGTGTGCCATTTCCAGTGGCTATCGACAGGGGGGGCCCTTGGGCGTGGGGTGAGGATCGCCACACCTGGTGCCCTGGCAAGCTCGCCAACCACCTGTCCCGACATCTCGTCTCGTGTCGACGCCGCCGTGCCACAACACAGGCTTGGATGGCCGGACCCTGCAAGTGTCGTCCAATCATGGTCATGGGTGCCGAGCTTTGCCTACGGTGCAATTTTCGGATGAACCCTGTGCAACAGTGCAACAGCGGTCTCCACGGCCAGGTGCTTGCAACGGCAGAGATCATCCCACCTTTCTGAGGGTTGAGATTTGTTGAAGTGTGCAAAATGTGAGCCCGAGTCTGGCAACCGCAAGGGAAAGCGTCACTGGACATTGACACTGGCAACCTTGCAGGCTTCAGCGGGCAAGATGAACCGTCCCCCACAGCCTGTGACAGCTTATACATTGGATACTGGCGTAACTTTGAACGAGAATCCAGCTCGACGGGTTGCGCTCATGTGTGTATATCCAGAGCTCTACCAGACCTCTTCACCCCGATCACATTGCCGGCAGATATGACAGCCATTGTGTCACATTTTCAGCTGTGTGAACACCTTTGTGAGGACCTTTGTGAAGACCCCGAACCGGTCAGTCCTATTCATCAGCCCATTGGTCTCAGCCACGGGCAAGGACTTGGCTTGGACCGTTGCCAGTCAGGCTCCTGCATTCGACACATTGGTAGCCTGTCGCCGAGGGAAACGCGCAACGTCTGCCTTGCCGCCTCCCGCCACGGATCAGCATGAGTTCCTAAACGTATAAACACTGCACGCGAGCTCTTTGAGCACACGAGGGCAGGCTCGGCGGTGGAGTGCTCTTCCTGAGGGCCATGATGGGGCGGCGCCCGCCCACAGGGTCCGCGAAGCATCGCGACGCACCCCACCACGCGACCCTGGCGGCGGGAGCAAGCCCGGTCAAGCCCCTGCCGTGCTGCACCTCACCACCAGTCCGACCGCACGGCCTGCCGTTCCGTGCCTGGCCTTCCCGGGGAGAGGCCCTTCCAGGCTCACCGGCATTCTGGCGGTCTGGCCGGCCTCCGATGCTCTATATTGTCAGTCGCTAAGAATGCTTATATCTACGGACTTGGCTGCACGGGCTCCCGCTGGCCACCAGTGCTCTGGTCTTGTCTGTCCGTTGCGACTTTTGCCGCCTGCCTGCCTGCGTGTCCGCCGGCCACCCAGTTGTCCAATTGCACCAGGTTCTTCGCACCGGGCTCTGGTCGCCGATCTGGCCTCCGACCTGTCTCAGTCGGCTGCTTCCGAGCCCTGCCCCCAAAGGGCTGGAGTGACGGCGCGATAGCCACCCGCGCCACCTTGTTGGCTAGTTGTCTGCTCCAGCATACTTGACCCCTGAATCTGGCCTCATCTCATTCTGGACAAACCTCCAAGGCCGGATGACTGATTCCGCCCTGGCCGCCGCGCTCACAGGTCCCCCCGGGCCCAGCCTATTTCCCACCACCACCGCCTCCAGCCTCTATTTTTGTCTCCGCATCACCACAATTTTGGCTTGCATGCAGCTGCAAACGCTCCGCACCCACCACGACTCAACAACGCCCAATCAGCCGCAGCCTCACTCACCCTCACTCGCGCTGCCTGCTCGCCTGCTCACCACTTGCAGCAGCAGAGGCCGCCGTGTGCTCTGACTGTGAGGTGCGTCACGCTGTCATCCAGGGCTTACCTCTCAAAGGGTTCCAAGGCTGCCTTGCATCGCGGCCGGCAGTCACGGGGTCGCCACGACTCGCCCAACACTTGCCAGCACGACCTGCCACCGCCACAGTGCCGTCACTGGCAATCTCGCACACGCACACGCGCACACACGCACACATACACGCACGCACGCGTGAACTTGCATGCACCCGCCTGGCCAAGGCCTAGTCACCCAGTCCCGGCCGCCAGGGACAGGCAGCCTGCTGCTTGACTCTCAACCACCACCACCCGCACCTCACCACCATCGGCGCCCTGTCAGATATCTGCAACGACGTGCGTGCACGCAATACGGCGACTCCAGGCGCCCGTGTCACCTCAGCCTGCTGATCCCGCCCAGCGACGCCCTGCCGACTGCTCGTCGTCGCCGCTGTGCTGGCATCGTCCGCTCCTTTACTCACGCCGTGTAACCCACGCATGCTGCGACGGCAATGCCTGGACATACGTCAAGGTCGGTCTTCTTTCCTCGCCACTGCTCCCCTCTTTCTGCTTTCGTCGCTTTTAAATCCCACCCGCCCTATTCCGTGCCTGTTCCGCCTGGTGAGCGAGGACCTTCCAGTGCACACACACACACACACACACATCTGCACCCAGGTCGAGCAAGTGCGCCGCATCGTGGCCGCCTCAATCGTTCGCATCACCCCCGGCAGGAACGGTTCTCCGCACCTGTCGCGGCATCAGCTCGGGCCCGTTCAAGCTTCCCATGCTGGGGCTCACGTCGTTGCCTGGACATGCCTGCGTGCATTCTTTGCTACGTCGTCGTCACGGGACCATATCGTCGGCCTGAGCTACCACACTCCCTTCATCCGCCACCGGGTACTGTACCACCTCAAAATTCCAAATTTGGGACCGAACGCACGACGCTCGCTCAGCCTTGTCGGACCAGGCGGGTAGCCCGCCAGCCACTCGTTCTTGGAGAATCACCAGTGTGCCTTTCCTCATAGAGCAAGTTGCCCTCTCAGCGTTACATCTGTCGGACAACACGATCTCAGTAAAGCCTGCTGAGGCTCAAATCATCCTGCCACCACTGACCCTCACATGACCACAAATGCATTCACATCAGCGACTGGCCGGAGGCACGACCTTTTCGACAAGATGCTAACATTGCCCACAGATAAACCCAAGAATCACGCCGTTTGCTTCAGATTTGTCTACTTGTCTCATTCAATCCTCGCGTCCAAGATCCTCCTCACAGACAATCGCTAGCCTCGGCTTCCATGGACAATGCCATGATTGGGGACGAGCAGCTGTCGTGGCTGCTCTGCTCGCTCCACTACGCCTACCCAGTGATCTCGTTCTTGTATTTCGCGGTCGCTTCCTCCATCTCCATTTGCACGCTACAAACGACTGCAACCGACGCCACCACCGTCCATGCTCGCCGGACAGCCATCGTCTGGCTATATGCCGCCTTCGTCCTCTGCTTCCTCGCACAGCTGCTCACCAAGCTTGCCACCATCGCATCTCACGACGTTTGGCCCACCCAGGACACTATCATTGGACTTCTGTCCTGCATTTTAGTATTCGGCATCCAGCAAAACTCCCTCAGTAGCACGGCGTCTCCAGTATGGTACCCATACTACGGGCCTTGGCTCATCGCCATCGCCATGGAGCCTGCCGTCTTTGTAACCGAGATCCTTGCCCACAACAAGGACACTGCCAGGTCCGACTGGTACACCGTCTCCTTGGCGATCGCAGTCCTCCGGTTCGTCATTCTGCTTGCAATGGTACTAGCCTTCTTGTTCTTGGGGGGTTATGCCAATGAGATGGCGACCGATGAAGAACGGACTCTCCTCCTTCCCAAGCCGGACCACAGCTCAGATGGTGACTGTTCCGCAGACAGTGGCTACGGGACGAACACGGAAACGACAAACACAGAGGCCAACAACACGGAGACGGTCAACTCGCCCAGCGATCCAGAGTCGCCGTGGGAGCGACAAGAGCGCATTGCTCGCGAGCAGATGGAGAAACGACTCAAGAGCGAAGGAAGCTGGTTCGCATACATCAAGGGCTTCATGGTGTTCTTTCCTTATGTTTGGCCAGTTAACAATCGCCGCCTACAGGCAAATGCAGTATTGGTTGGAGTCTGCCTACTCGCTGGTAATGCTCTCAACTTTCTCATTCCTCGTCAGCTCGGTGCTGTCATGGACAGCCTGAGCGGCTTTTCTGGTCAGAACCCGTGGGTGCAGGTTATGATCTTCGCAGGCCTCCGACTCCTGGCCTCCGAGGCGGGACTCAGCCTGGTACGCCAATTCTTCTGGCTTCCGGTCGAGTACTATTCCCAGGAGGCCATCTCCACCGCCGCTTACTCGCATGTGATGAACCTTTCATCCGAGTTCCACGATTCGAAGAGCTCATCAGACTTGATCGTCGCAATCTCTCACGGTACCTCCATCTCAAACATGCTCGAATCACTCTGCTTCCGGGCAATCCCAATGATGATAGACTTAGTCGTCGCCTTTAGCTACCTTTCCAGCAAGTTTGGTGCCTACGAAGGCTTCATTACCGTGGCGACTGGATTGGCGTTCATTCAGGCCGCAGCTCGCATGATAGCTGGATTTCAGAACAGGAGAAAGAAGATGGTCAAAGCGTAAGTTGCCCTCACCCGCAGTGAGCCTGAGCTCGAAACTAAAGACTCCGCCAGTTACTTTGAGGAGCACTACGTCCGCCAAGCGGGCATCCAGGGTTGGCACACTGTCAGTGCCTTCAATCAGGTGCCCTATGAAGAAGAACGTTACGGCGTCGCGGTCAGCAACTCCGTGACTGCAATCAAATCGATCTACGTTGGGTATCTGCTGCGCCAGGCGCTTCAGTATCTCATTCTGCTCGCTGGCCTCCTCGCCGGCGCTTTCCTCGCGGTCTACCAAATTACCAACGGCCAAGCTACTCCTGGAGACTTCTTCATGCTTCTCACTTACTGGTCTCAGCTCACAGGCCCGCTCCAGTTCTTCTCGTCGCTTGGCCGTAGCATCAGCCAAGATCTCGTGCACGCAGAGCGCCTTTTGGAAGTGATGCTCACGAAGCCTACTGTGATGGACAGGCCTGATGCGAAGCCCCTCAAGCTCAACGGTGGGCAAGTGGAGCTCCGGGACGTTAGTTTCAGCTACGACAAGAAGAAGGACATCTTGAAGAGCGTGAACATGTGCGTCCCTTCCGGCACAACTGCAGCATTCGTTGGTGCGACCGGTGCGGGAAAGTCCACCATTCTCAAGGTGTTGGATCGTTTCTACGATGTGAGCGGCGGATCTATCCTGATCGACGGGCAAGACATCCGCGATGTGACCCTGTCAAGGTAAGCATTGCCAACCCGACCAATTGCTGTTGACGGTGCGTGTATTGATCGCTGTGTTTCGTGAGCAGTTTGCGTCAGTCAATCGGCATCGTGCCTCAGGCTCCGATCTTGTTTGATGACACCGTGATCAACAACATCCGCTACGCACGCTTGACAGCGACGGACGAAGAGATCTATGCAGCATGCAAAGCTGCTGCCATTCACGAGCAGATTATGGGGTTCACAGATGGCTACCAAACACGGGTTGGAGAGCGTGGAGTGTGAGTCTTTGCTCGTAATCCATCGAAGGCGCCACACCTGCTAACATGTGCATTTCAGAAAACTCTCGGGCGGGGAGCTGCAACGCATTGCCATTGCCAGAGCTATCTTGAAGCGACCAGATATCGTGCTACTAGACGAAGCCACCAGTTCGGTTGATACGGACACCGAGCAGAAGATTCAGGATGGTCTCCAAATTCTCTGCGAAGGCCGCACTACCTTCATTGTCGCGTAAGTCCCCCTTTTCGCCGCCAGCTCATTACTTCATCTGTGGACGCCAGCTGAGATTTGTGCAGTCATCGACTGTCTACTGTCATGAACGCCGACGTAATTTTTGTCGTCGCCGACGGTGAGATTGTGGAGCACGGAAACCACGAAGATCTCATCGCCAAGGATGGCAAGTATGCCGAGTTGTGGTCGAAGCAGATCTTTGTGAAGCCGAAGGAGGCCAAGGTTGAGAGCGACAACAAGAAAAAAACGGGTGATGATGCTAACGAACAGGTGACGAAGACTCCCAAGGGGCACCGAAGAGAGGTAGAATCGTCAAACAATCGTTGATTATTTGACTGATACTAACTCGATTCACGCAGGGTTCAAAGTTGAATCCTGACGCACCGGAGTTCACACCTCGTTCCGCAGCAGCACCCCGTGACTTGCAAGTTGCCTCCATTGAATGTGCCTCACCCACCAAGACCAAAGATTGTGAATATGTCGACGAGGATCTACTGAGCCTTTCGCCGGCTACGAACAACGCAGACGCGTTCGATCAGAAGAGCGAAGCACCAACGCGACGAGCGACGCGGACACAGTCTCTGTCTGCACCAGTACCGGAAAGTCATTCGGAAGAGGCCACTCGATCAGCGAGTCAGCCGTTGACAGCCCTGAAGCTCTCGTCACCTGCAGCACCAGTTACACCGGCTCAGACGTTACAGCAGACTAGCCAGTCTCGTCGCCGAGCAAGTGGACGAGGCCGTGGAGGACGATACAACTACCGGGGAAGAGGAAAACGCACCAGCTCAAATCCACAGGCTGAAAGCAGCAAGAAGAACAAAACAGAATCTTGATTCTTCATTTTGAGGTATCCAGACACAGAGAATGGGTCATTTCTGGTGTCCATAGTACGGTGGTGCCCGAGGGGCGTCACCTTGCAGTCGAAACTGCACTACCCTCTATCTTTATGAGACACACGGTTCTTGGAGTCTGCAAAACAGAGTTAGCAAGCCAACGGGCTTCAATCCTTTTGGACCTGCATAGTTATAGACATCCAGATGTCAGATAGACACGCAATAGAAAGAAAATAGTGGTAATTTAAGCAGTACCTGTCAGCCATAGTCGCCAAGCCCGATTTGGGCAATCGTGAGCGAACGAGAATCCACATCTTGAGCGCTGATCCCTACCTCCAGGCTCGAGCTGTATGGCGCATAGGAGCAGCCCCAAGTGGGGGAGAGCCGCTGGGGGGTTGGCTCGCAGCGACCCATCTAGAAGCACCTGGGCGGTGGAGGTGGGGTCGCTGGTGAGGGGTCCTTTCTCAGATGCGTGGTGAAGCACCTGACGAAAGAATAAACACAGAGCGGCGTCCAGCAACAGTCCTTTGTCCTTCGCCATCCTGCCCTCTCCCCCACAAGCCTCGACAGTCCTACGCAGACCACGCAACATGTCGTCGTTAACATCAAAGCAGCGCCTGGCTCTGGCCATCTGCGACTTCCTCAACACGTCGGTCTCTGACGGCACTCTCCCTGTCGACGACAAGGACAACATCGAGGTTGCCGTCAACTGCATCGCCGAGTCTTTCAAGGTCGACCCCGCCGACACAGCGGCTGTCCAGAGCGCCATCGGCAGCCAAAACCTCACCCAGATCTATGGCGTCTACGAGAAGCTCAAGACCACCGCCAAGCCTGCCGCTGGCTCGACATCGTCATCGTCGACCGCGGCTGCGCCGCCCACTACCGTGAGCGAGGAGGACAAGAAGAAGGCCGAGGGCCTCAAGGGCCAGGGCAACCGCGCGATGAGCCAACAGGACTACCAGACCGCCATCGACCTCTACTCGCAGGCGCTCGCGCTGCACCCCGGCAACGCCATTTTCCTCTCGAACCGCGCGGCCGCGTACTCTGCGCTCAAGGACCACGAGTCGGCGCGCGCCGACGCCGAGGCGGCCGTCGACATCGACCCCAAGTACACCAAGGCCTGGTCGCGGCTCGGACTCGCGCGCTTCGCGCTCGGCGACGCCAGGGGCGCCATGGAGGCGTACCAGGCCGGCATTGACAACGAGGGCAACGGCGGGTCCGAGGCCATGAAGAAAGGCTACGAGACGGCCAAACGCCGCGTCGACGAGCTCGAGGCCGACAGCAGCAGTCCCACATCGCCTGCGGCGCGCGGCAGCCCCGGAGCTGGCGCTGGTGGCATGCCCGACCTGGGAAGCCTGGCGAGCATGTTCGGTGGAGCTGGTGGGCCCGGCGGCGGTGCCGGCGGCATGCCAGACCTGAGCAGCATCATGAGCAACCCCATGTTTGCCAGCATGGCGCAGAACCTCATGTCGAACCCGGACATGATGAACAACCTGATGAGCAACCCGCGGCTGCGGCAGATGGCCGAGCAGTTCGGCAGCGGCGGCGGCATGCCCGACATGGCCAGCCTCATGAACGACCCCAACATTGCCGACATGGCACGCAACTTCATGGGCGGTGCTGGTGGCCCTGGTGCTGGTGCTGGTGGTGCTGGTCGGGGCGCGCCTCAGTAAGATGGAAAAGGGTTTTGTTGCGCAGAAAGAGAGGCAAGACTTTTGGGCAAGGTTTCATGATACACAAAGCGGACATCACGGAAGTTTAGATGGCAGCGTCCATTAGTTGTACTTGAATCACCATTGAAATTCACTCCAGCACATCCAGTTTTCCGTCTTGTACATTGTGGTCTTGATAATTGCCAGTGAAAGCATGCTTTGTGACCTGTCCGACAATCAATCATGAATATGAAGCGCTTTGTCTGTCTCAACTTCCAGCTGCTCGACCTCCCATCAGTGCTCCGTCACATGCACTTCTGCGGTATGCTTAGTCATCATTCTGGGAGAGCCCCTCGACATGCTCCATCCAACTTTGGAACTTTTTTGGCGGCTTGTCGTTAATCGAGTATCGCCAAGGATCACCACAAGCTCCTCGACAGCACCTCCTGAACGCAATCCGGGCACTCTCGACTGCGCCCTTGACGACACCGATGGGCTAGCCTGACGACAACAGCTAGCGACACCAGCCGGCATGGCGTCTCCCGACACGACCACCACCGCCACAGCGACCTCGCTGCTCAACCTCAATGAGCTGGTCTCGAACCCCGTCTTTGCGGGCGGCTTTGGCCTCGCGTCCCTCGGCGCGGTCCTCGCCTTCGCCCGCAAGGGCGTCGTGAGCGCAGGGGGTCTCTTGCGGCGGCGCATGCTCGTCAATGTCGAGATCAGCCGCCAGGACCCTGCGTATCCGTGGGTGCTCGCCTGGCTGTCGGAGCCGCGGCAGCAGACGTCGTTCCTCGCCAAGAAGCTCACGCGGATCAACAAGCTGTCCGTCACCACCACGACCTCCTCGACCCCCAACGGCCCGACGCACGCCAGCTTCTTCCTGCAGCCCGGCTACGGGCGGCACATTGTGCACTACAAGGGCGCCTACATCGCCGTGAACCGCGAGAAGCAGTCGACCGCAAAGCTCAACACGGGCGAGCCCCACGAGACCCTCGAGCTCACGACGCTCTACAGCCACCGCCACATCTTTGAGCACGTCTTCACCGAGGCCCGGCAGCTCGCGCTGCAGGCGCACGAGGGCAAGACGGTCGTCTACTCGGTGCGCAACTTTGACTGGGTGCCCCTGGGCCAGCCGCGCATAAAACGGCCCCTGCACAGCGTGGTGCTCGACAAGGGCGTCAAGGAGGGCATCGTCGCCGACGTCAGGGACTTCCTGAACCGCAGGTCGTGGTACGCGGACCGCGGGATCCCGTACCGCAGGGGCTACCTGCTCTACGGCCCGCCCGGCAGCGGCAAGAGCTCCTTCATCCAGGCCCTGGCCGGCGAGCTCGACTACGGCGTGGCCATGGTCAACCTGAGCGAGGTCGGCGTCACCGATGACAAGCTGGCCTTCCTGCTCACCAAGCTCCCCGAGCGCACGATCCTGCTCCTCGAGGACGCCGACTCGGCCTTTGTCAACCGCCGCCGGCGCGACGAGGACGGGTACGCTGGCGGCACCGTCACCTTCTCAGGCCTCCTCAACGCCCTGGACGGCCTGTCCGCCGGCGAGGAGCGGATCGCGTTCCTCACCACCAACCACATCGAGAGGCTCGATCCCGCGCTGATCCGGCCCGGCCGGGTGGACCTGATGCTGCGCATCGGCGAGGCGTCACGGTACCAGGCAGGCCAGATGTGGGATCGGTTCTACGGGGATGTCGACACCCAGGGGGTCAACCGTGAGCGCTTCCTCAAGAGACTTGACGAGCTTGGGCTGTTCAGCAGCAGCAGCAGCAGCAGCACTTCACTGTCGCAATCTGGGGAGGGCGAGTCTGGTACAGACGTCGCTGGTGGTGGTGGCGAGAAGCCCATCGGTCCGAGGACCAGCACGGCGGCTATCCAGGGCCTGTTCCTGTTCAACAAGAACGACATCGAGGGCGCGATCGCCATGGCGGAGCACCTGATTCCGAAAAAGATCGAGGCTGAGCCGCAGCCATGATGATGTTGGGGCTATTTTTATTAAGGGTTCATGATGTATACATAGGCTGGGAGGTGAACCAAAACAAAATGTCACTTAGGCGCTGTAATAATATTGTATCAAGAAGGTTGGACATCCGGAAAAGCGCAAAGGGTTTGTAAGAATATGAGATCTGATCATAGAAGAAGCAGAAGAGGCCGAAGATACCCCCATGCGAAAAATGCAATCGCACATTCTGCGCATTATCAAATCAGATCGTCATGCCTGCTCACCTGAACCATGGCAGTCTCTTACAATCACAGTGCCCCGTACTCACTTGGGTTGCCCCCCATAAATGGGTTTGGGGGTCTTGCACGCCCGGCTCTACTGAATTATCCAACGACAGCGTTTGCCATGGTTTTCTTTTTCGGATCATTGCCGCACTGCGGCCCACTCAACGATGCTCGCCTCTTTTCAGCGCAATATGGAGTAACTTGTTCCTTTGGTCTTCTTTCGTAAGGGAGTTCGTGGACATGCACGTCCAGCTCTACAGAACTATTCTACCGCCAATACTTGCCATGTTTCTTCCAGACAGGGATGCCAATCGCTCGAGCTCCTCCTTGGCGTGCACATAACAGCCCTCTACACGCTGCTTCTTTCGTCCTTTCGTGTTCCCGGCGTAGCTTGATAGACATTAGACACATGGAGATTCCGTCCCCCTCATATCCTATGAGTCTGTGTGGTGGCCGCCATCTAACCATCGACCTAGTCAGATACCGGCAGGAGTCTATGGCGTTCAAGCTCGTCCTGCATCCTCTTGGTGAACTTCGTGGTTTCTCGATTTCGCGGCACCGCTTCTTCCTTGGGGGGCTGTCCCCATTCGTTGTCGCTGACATCCGACACGTAGCACAGGAAGGCGTGGTCGTAGGGCGTCGGCTCGGCGATGTCAGCGCTACCGTCTTCCTCGTCCCATGCGTCCCAGTACTCGAGTGGGTTGTCGCCGAACCGGACCTCGCCGGTGGCGCCGTGCGTGAACTTCCACAACGACGTCGGCCGACCGCTCTCGTCATCTGATGGCCAGAAATGGATCGGGCCCGAGGTGGTCCTCCTGCCCCAGTGCCAGCATCGTGCATACCGCTCTCTGTAGAATCGGAAGGGCCTGCGGTACAGAGCGGCCCAGATGAAATTGCGGTCTGGGTTCTCCCAGTTAGGATGAGAGTCCTCATTCGCGTCCTCGGAGAGCTCCTCGTTGGGATCGGTAGTGCGGATGACCAAGTCTTCATGGTTGGCCGCAGCTTGTCCTTGGAGCGGGACTCGCTTCTTCCAGCGGGTGAGAATGCACAGCTGGTGGTCGTGCTCAATCTCCTGCGGTTCGCCACGAGGTTCTTGTATCTCGACCGTCTGCAAGCGCAAGCCGTCTATCGGAGCTAGATCGTTGACATCGGCCAAGGTCAGACCACAATTGACGAGGCGCAGGCTGCACAGGGTTGCCTTGTGCAGCGTGACAAGCGCGATGTGCACTCGAGACGAGAGATTCATATCTTCCAGGCTTAATGCCTTAAGGGGAGGCCAGCCCGATCCCCGTTCCTTGAAGAATTCGACAATCGTGCGTCCAGTCTCTGCAGAGCCTTTTGATGTGCGTCCACCTTCTGTGCCTTTGGCGTACTTCAGCTGGAGGGTCCGAAGCTGGCGAGCATGGAGAAGGGCTGACAGGGTCCGTTTCATGGTTTCCTGCCCAACGTTAGCCAGAGCAAGCTCGACGGAAGTCATGGACTGGAACGGCTGGCCGGACACAGCACCAAAGTAGGTGATGTCGGCTGGGGGCGGCCCGAGTGACGACGTCCTTGTGCAGTAGGTGATCGAAGCGCATGTACTTGGGACACGAGAGATCCTGGATGCTTTAGCCTCCAAGGCGTTGTGGAAGAAGTCTTGCACCCCAAGCAACAGCCGCCTATAGCTGCGTTTGTATCCAACATCTGTGTCAATGTCCTGGACGAGGACTGGGGTGCGCCCTATGGTGCCCAGTATTTGACCGTGGTCGGCTGATTGCATTCGGAACGTGTCGAGATGGGGCATGGCGCTGATGGCAGCCGTGAATGCTTGGTGAAAGCCGCGGAGCCGTTCCATATAACGGGACTGCGTAAAGCGCGGGGCCTTCTTGTCGAAGGGGCTCCACGGCTCAATCCGGCACAAGTTCTTATACCAGCGGTACACCTCTGCGAGTGTCATCCCGAAATCAGTGAGTTGTGTACCATTGCGGTAAGCTGTAATTGGAAGCTCGTGCCACTCGAGAGTCCGCACTGCTGTGGCCAGATGGGGTCGTGAGGCGATGCTGAGAAAATTGTTGCGATCAGTCTTCAGTTTGGACAGTCGCACGCACCCAAATAAGCGCAGCACAATAGTCCGGTCCTATTGCGTCTTGTGGTAGTTCTCGGCACCACCAAAGTAAGGAAACAGAGCCACGCGAAGCGCTTTCAGGTCTCGGGTCGTCATGTCGGAGATAATCTCCAAGAAAAGCTCGGTAGGAAGGCTGCCAATCCCCGTGGCGCAATGGCCTCCAATGTCCGCCATTGTGGCCCGGGTTTGTGGTCTGTGATTCGGGAGAGGATCGAGTCAAGTCTTCTAGAGGGCTGTAGGACGCGATGTTGTGGTTGACGAGCTGAATAGAGCGCATAGCGGGATGGAACTGGCCCAGTCCTTGTTGAAGGAATGAGTCACTGTGATCCGTCGTCTGGGCACGGGAGCAAGCATGCAGCACAATCCAGTTTGACACTCATCCCATATATGTATCAGCACCTCCTGCACGTGGATGTGTGCAACCATGCAAGCGGCAAAGAATGGAGACAGATATGTAGCAGCCTTGCCGACTCGGCCGGCAGATAGTCCGCTGCCCTTGGGCAACACTTGATGTGCGGCACGTAATAATGATCCTGCATCCTCGGCGCTGGCTAAAGTTGTCCCGCAAAGCGCATATGACGCCTCAGGCACAGATCTTAGCCACCCGAGGCCTTTGAACCTATCGTGGAAGTTCTGTTCATGGGCGTTGTATCGCTCTGACCCTCTGATACCAGAAACGAGCAAGGGCGGTAGCCGCAACACTACTGTTTCTACTTTTGTTCACCAGAGCAGGCTCCTCGTTGCTCTGGTACCTCTGGCTGCAGCCAAAATCAGCTTACCCTTTCCAGATGCCTGCCCAAAAAGTCGTGGCCAACAGATTCTCGGACTTGGAATCGCGGTGCACGACAATAGCAGGCACAGAGAGGCTCGGCCCCTAACATAGGCTCCTCAAAACGGCAGTGCACCTCGGCGATGTCTAGCACGTCCGCCAACCTCGACCGAATCGGCTGGTACAACTCGACTGCAGAACAGTGCTCCACTGGTAATACAGTGACTACCGTCGTTATTTTTAGCGCTGTCCAGCTCGATAAATACCAGCTGCGGACTATGCTCGGTGCTGAAGTTTCGCACATATCTCGAATTCGTGCCTGACTCCTGCTCTTCCGTGTCTTCCCGATCCTGGACCCTGCAGTTGCGATGGATCATGGTGCTTGGAATGCGGCTGTCGAAATCAACTGCAATGCCAACCCCGAGGACTTCAGGAAGCCCACCGGCCGGCCGAACGGTATAGATCTCTGTTCGTTGTTCAGCGAACAGGCAGCGTTGGAAGGGGGGATACATGGGATGTTATCAATCCGTCAGCTCTTCGAGACTTTCAATACTGCCCGGTGGCAGGGTGCGCTCTGGTACGTGACCTTTCATGGCGTTTACCTCGACTCCATGGGATCTGTAGATGACTAGAACCTCCCTAGATACCGTCGCCATTCTAGCGCTGCTTTCGAAGGCCTGGGCGGCGGCGTACCATGTTGACGAGCGCGAATTTGCCCATACCATGCTCTTCGCGGACATGGCCGGAAGGGTCCTACGGCGGGTTTGCCTGGCTCAGCGAGATATTCTTGCATTTCTACTGATATCAAGAATGGAGAGAGCCACTGTTATAACTGGAAGCGCTTATAAGGAGGAGTTCGTAGAGGCTTCCACAGTGGTGTCCTGGGCTTCAAAGCTTGTAAGGCACAGCAACAGTAAGGAGGTAGTCATATGCCCCTTAGCCATATGATAAAGTGTTACTGAATGTATATAAAACCTAACATCATTTCTCTACAGTCTATATTCGTGAGTTGCAGTTGTGCAGGCTTTCCCACTATAGTCAACACCTAGAAGTAGGTTGAAGTGTTGGATGATGGTTGTTACAAGAGAGCATCCATACCTGGACGAGACGCATCGAAGTCATGATGTCAACTTCCTTCGCATAATAGGACGATTTCCTGACTACTGCAGACCTGTCTGCCTGGGCCGTCAGTGGGTTGGCCGGAAGCCTCCTTTTGTTTTCTTCTAAATGTCACCTCCGTTGGTGTAACCACCAAGCCCGCCCTGGTACTCGTCGATAACATACTGCTCGGACGTGTTGTACTTGCGATAGAACTCACGCCATATCTCGCTCCCCGGAAATACCCGTGGCGGCCAGGGGTGCTCGCTAATTTCTTCTTCAATAATGCGCATAAGGTGCTCAAACACCGCATTCCCCGCGTGGACATCCACGCCCTGTCGGATCAGCAAGCGCTCTGCATCAGCTAGCTCTTTAATCGTTGAGAACCTCCAAAACTCAGCGAATCTCGCTAGGTATGGAAAGTCATTAACGTCGTCAGTGGGTGCAAAGCGGGCTTCCGTGATGTATAAGTTGCCGTGGTAATTTTGGAAGTCGTTATGGAAGTCGTCGAGGCGGGCTTGCTCGTCGTGGGGCTGCACAAAGCTACGCTGCCGGGCAAAGCGTTCAATGCACAGGCCGTCTGCGCTGGCATCGGTAAAGTGCAAGTCCGTCCGCTCGTATAGCGGATGAAGATACGGTAGGTGGACGGTGGTGTTTATCTCGCCTCTATACTTACGGGCGAACGCCGCGAGGGGGTCGACAATCGCCCTCTCGTTAAACGTTGCCCACTTCTCGGGCGATAAGTGGTCTATCCAGACGTCCACGCGTATCAAACTTGAGAGCCTTGATAGTATTTCTCCTATTCGCCTCCAGGAGTCCACGAGTTGGTGCAGATTCTGATACTCCTCTGTGTTCCCCGTGGTCGATGTTGCGGGAGTGGCGGCAATGACCCCTGACTTCCCGAGGGCTCTGCAGAAAGCGCCGGGTACCTTTAGAATAATGTAGACTTTCCTCGGCCTCATAAGTGCTTCCACGACATTGACGGAGGGTGCATGAAAGCTCGGTCCCCGACGCTCTCTTGTGCGCTCATTCCCCACTTGTTCGGGGGACAGAAGCAGCTTTTCGAGCGTGTCCAAGCCAATAACGTGGACCTGAGCCTCAGCTAGGATCTCGATAATATCACGAAATCTGTAAATTTCTTGGATGTCAGCCTTAATCTCTAGTATGTACTGAATGGCATTATACGTCCGGCGAACATACATAGCCTTGCACGTCATTATCAGGGCCTCCACATTGGGACCTAGTCGATGTCCTTGTTGTTCCTCGCATCGCCAGTGTAGGGCCCATCCGCTCCTCAGCCGGTCGGCATAGGAGTATCCCCAAAGGCTACCTGTACGCGTATCGTCGCCGAATTGTCGAGGGTCCCGAACCTGGGGGGGATCACAGGCAGAGACTGCCAGCCGTTCTCCGTAGGGGAACAGGTGGACCGCGTTGGGGACGATGAGCGACCAGATTGCGTGTCGCAGGTCCCATGGCAGGGCAAGAAGTCGTGGAACGTCGATATTCCCCTGCTCCATAGCGATCGCGACAGCTTTGAACAGGAGTTTGTCTTGGACTACGACGCTGTTCGCGATCCAACGAAGGAAGAGCTGAAGTGAGCTAGAGCGGGTGGTTGTCCCCCAAGTCCACGGTTTTCTCTCTCCCCTCACTGACAACCAACAACCAACAGCCAACAACCAACAGCCAACAACCAACAGCCAACAACCAACAGCCAACAACCAACAGGGGCTGGCGCGTGACTGGAAGCACGGACTGCTTGGCGCCATTGCTTGCAATCGCTGCTCCTGTCCCCCAACTTCCCCTTGGCAGACTTGGCAGCCCGAACACCCACCCTCGGCCGTCACTGCTATCCCCGCTCACAATCTGCCCAGAATATGCCTTAGCGCTCCTGTTCTCTCCAAGCATAGCAGACACTCCAGAGATCGGCACCGGCCGACACACGCAATGAGCAAGCACAGACAGTGCAAGGACCAACACTTTAGCTCAGTTCACGGATGCTATTCATGACAGAATAGATGGTTTTGAGAGCACGCGCCCGTTTGAGTATCTTGTCAATAGCGTTCAGAGGCCAGAGGCTGTGATGGCAATAGTACACGCGGCCCGCCCGCTCAAACTGCCGCCCTAGAGGGGGAGCAAGCCCAATATGTACAATGTAGACTGAGTGTATATACTTTCCAAGACTCAGCGATGAAGGATCAGGTATCTGCGCAGCACTTTTGGGAACACTGTTGTACCTTAACGCCACGGATCAAGGACTCTGCCAGGATTAGGGCAGGTTTGGGTACCTGAGCAAGAATGAGAAGCAAGAGGCGCCTTCTCGGCCAGATCCTTCATAGTAGCATGGTTTCAGACTGCTGTACCGCCAAAACCCTTTTCTATGCTTTGCCTCCTTTGCCATTGTAACGTGAGACTTCAAACATCATTTGGAGTAGAGTGAGACAAAGGCCGCACGTACGGCGACAGCTCAAGCTCGAGCCTGGAAACCAATCATGACCATTTATCCTCTATTTATTCCTCGACCAAACCCTTAAGCTCATACCTCTAGCGGATCGCGTCTTGACGTCCGTCTTCTTCATTGACACAAATTTTCCAGGTCTCTACAGTAACGCTCTCCCGATAATTGATGCAATAAGGAAGGACGAGCAACGAATACTGACTTTGAGAGGATTGGCAAGGTTATACGTGTGCACTTCCTGCTATGGGAATGGCAATATATCTAGCTACACCAGAGCTTTACGGAACAGCGCGGGACATGTCATACCCCCATGCGAAACTCCCGTGGGAGGTCATTGCGATTGTTCACGGGAAGCAGTCATCACCGTAAAAGGAAACACAAGCTGTACACATGATACGGGAAGATTGCAATGTCCCTCAAAATCTGCTCTGCCCTCTCCTGCCGACCGCTACGACTTGTAGGGACACTTGGCCTTTAGCAATGTTGGTGGTGGCTACAAGTCGGCTTTGGTGCCATTTAACCAGTTTGTAGCTTGATAGTTTCCTCCAATGCTCATGATAAAGCTTTCCGGTAGGCGCCGCTTGCGCGAAATCGCGTCTTACTACGATCTCCGGAAGCTTCTTGCTGGCCGAGGGGCGCCGATTGCCCGGCACGGGTGTTATGTTCGGAGAGCCCATAAGGCTCCGGTACGAAAATAATGGAGAAAATGCAGGGACCTAAACCAATACGAGCTGTTATGCTCAGAGATACCTTGTTTGCTCCGCAAAATAGTAGTGTTCTCGAAGTACTTGTGATCGTCATAGTTACTTGCCACCACCGCCAAATCAGGGATCATCGAGTTACTTCGATAAGCGTCAGGATAACGTGGGTCGCCTTTGTATCGGAGCCTTATGGGCTCCCGTCTCCGAACATACTTGCGCACGTAGGCCGCGTCCGAGCTGCAGATGTCCCGTGCTCACCACAATCCAATCAGACCGAGAGTACCTCTCGTTCAGCAGTTGCTCGCTCCATAATGAATCACGATTCCAGCTTGTGTCACCATGGCGGACATCGGATGCCTGGGAATTCTCCGGGGCCGAACTCCACAACTAACTTTGTGATCAGTGTTGGGGCTATCACAGAAAGTGCTGTTCCACACACTGTAGAATGGTGATTGGTGACACGGAGCCGGCCAGCATGCCTTCATGTACACACAAGGTCAATTGACTGGAGTTCGTGCAGCATCAAATGGAAAGCGGAACGGCCCACGGCGCCGCAGCCGACGGCCCTCGTCCCCAATCCCGCTCACGCCTCGCGGCCACGGGATTCAGAACAAAGGGCAGTCTCACCGTGGGGCCACGGATGGCCAGTTGTCCGAGGCCCCGTCACCATTTGGAATCTGAAGGTGGCACTTGAGGCGCCAAGACGCTAATCTCTGAGCATGTAGCTCAGACAACGCAACTGTTAATCGATAGACATTCAAGCAGTTAGATTGGATGAAAGGCAAGAACACTCCACTGATAAGTGCAGTCTCTTTAATGAGGATGATTTAACTATTACGAAAGGGCCTTTTGTAGAGCGGCCGAGTGCCATCTCCAGATTCCATACGGTGCCCGTGTCGACACCGCTTGGACCAGTCCATGCTCCACTGCCTGCGGTTGCACTGCATCGCGCATCTTGGGCCCATGAGCCGTGGAGCCATCAGTTCGAGAGGAGGAACGCAGTATAATGGGGAGACTGGGACGTCGTTCAGTCACTGATTGAATATAATCCGCCGACCATAGACAATATCTCATATTCATCACCACAGACGAAGCTTATTAAGTATACCTGTACTTTGGCATACGACGATGACATTGCCACACATCGTAGTAGCGCTTTCCCTCGCGGTATGTCGCTTTTGGATGCTATCTCGCCATGGATGGACCGGATAAGACTGACATGACAACCACAAATAGCCGGTGCCTACTTGGTCGCCCGCTGCGCCTACTTGATTTTCTTCCACCCGCTAGCCAAGCTGCCCGGACCGAAATTGTATGCTACGACGGACCTTTTCTACCTATACCACCTCGTAGGGTGTACCTGGCCGGCAAAGCTCAAGACCCTCCACGACGAGTATGGCCCTACGATCCGCTTCTCGCCATTTGACGTTTCCTCAATTGCGCCTGAGAGCTGGAAGACTATATATGGACACAAATCCAAGCCAAACAAGACGTTTGAGAAGGACCGCCGTGTCTACAACGGCCCTGACCAGGGGATCGCTAACATTGTTATCGCCGATAATGATGCACACCGGCGGATGCGGCGCGTCCTAGCTCACGCGTTCTCCGAAAAGGCGCTCCGTGGCCAAGAGACGCTCATTAAGAGCAACGTCGATCTCTTCATCTCCAAGGTCGCTGCACTAGCCGAAGCGAAGGAGCCGGTCAACATAATGCTCTGGTACAATTACATTACTTTTGACCTGATTGGTGACCTTGCGTTCGGAAAGCCCTTTGGCTGCCTCGAGCAAGGCGGCTACCATCCATGGGTCAAGATGGTCTTCGAATCCCTCGCCATGTCTAACTTCAGGCAGGTTCTCAACAGGCACCCTTCGTCCAACCTGCTAAGCTCTTGGATCCTCCCGGAGCGCATGAGGCGTGCCTTTGTCGAACATGCTGAGCTGAGCTCGAAGACTGCATTTGAACGGATTGAGCGGGGTAATGTCGGCCGCGAGGACTTTATGGACCACATCCTGCGGCATAATGACGAGAAGGGCCTCTCTAAGCTCGAGATTGCGGTCAACTCGAGCACCTTGATCACTGCTGGAAGTGAGACAACAGCGACACTACTCAGCGGCACCACTTATATGCTTTTAACGAACCGCGACAAGTATACGAAGTTGGTCAAGGACATCCGCGACAGATACGCCTCCGAGGCGGAGATCACCATGTCGAGCGTCAACGAGCTTCAATACCTCTTGGCTGTGTTTAACGAAGGGCTCAGGATGTGTAAGTGCACAAGCAACTCTACAGTGATTGCATGGAAGACTCGGCTACTGACATGTTCTCCAATAGACCCTCCGGTGCCCATGGGACTGCCTCGCTTTCCTCCCGCTGGCGGAGAGACAGTTGACGGCTATTATATTCCTGAGAAGGTGAACATTCCGCCACCTCCTAGAAGAGACAATATGCCGCATGAGGCAGCCTCAAGAACAGTATCATGGCGATAGTCTGTACTAACACAACCTCGTGTTGAACAGAGTAGTATTGCAGTGCCACACTGGGCTGCGTACCAGTGCGAGCAGAACTGGGCTGATCCCCAGCGCTTCGTCCCCGAGCGCTGGCTCGGCACTGACCCTCGCTATGCCAACGACAAGCGAGACGTGCTTCAGCCTTTCTCCACGGGGCCCCGGAACTGTATCGGCAAAAAGTAAGTCCTTGGTTTCCTTGAAGACTCCCACTTCTCTCAGCGATCGCTCTCGAGCACTTGGACGTCCTTCGGGTGCTACAATTTTTCACCAGCTGACGAACGAACCCCGTGCAGCCTTGCTTACGCTGAGATGCGTGTCATCTTGACACGCCTCCTATGGCGCTTTGACTTGGAGCTGTTGCCGGAGAGCAAGGACTGGTATAATCAGCGGATCTTCGCTTTCTGGAAAAAGGGCCCTCTCATGGTCAAGGTGACCCCTGCGCAGAGGTCGTGAAGCAGTCCGATGACAGACGACCAAACGCGACAAAGGGAAGACAATAATGAGCTGTTCGGTGAATGTAGGGTGTGTGCCTGCTTCCTAGGATGGATCGCTATGGTGACATTGAAGCTCGAAGCATTGAGGGCCAAATGGTGATTGGGATGGATGCAGCGATTTCACAGTATCTAGAATAAGAACTTAGAGTATACAACTATGCACACATGACTCATGGCAGAGAATGCGTTGGACTTGACGATTCAGGGAGAGGACTATTATTCCTTTCCTGACAGCGGCAACCACTGAGCTCGAGTTCCTCTTAATCACACAAGACTATTGCAATTTGACATGGGCTACTGATTCTCGGGTAATCCCCAAGATCCTGTTGTAAAACCATCCGGGCACATCAACGTGTGCCTCAGATCATTGGGGCTTTCACCTCCGTACTGCGGCCAGCCGCTACCCCACTGAGACATAGAATTTCAACTCAGGAGTGCTATCTATCACGCCGAAGTTTCCACTGTGGTCCCAACTAGCCAAGAGTGAGCTTCTGCAACATACGGTGACGATTTTGCCCATTTGCAGGGGCTTTTCTGGGTTGCGCCACAAGGGCGCCGAAGTGCTTCCGGTACGTCCCTCGAATCTAGGTTATATCCGTCCCCCCCCCCCCCCCCGTTTTTCTGGGTCGGCTCTGCACGATGAGTCCTCTTTCTCCAGTCTGCTTCCTGGCGAGACGGCACCAAGTGACAGAATCGATCCCAAGCTGCTGTTATGGCGCGACCCGACCAAGAGGTATCTAAAAGTCCTGCCCAGCATACAGCTGGCGGGGGCGACGATTCTTGAGAGCCAAAGATGGCGCAGAGGGTAAACGTGCTCAGTACAACCAGCTCGCGCCCCTGGACTGACGTCTCTCCACGTGAGCGAGAGAAGTGAATTCAGCTCACAGGCATGGCTTGGACGGGATTGAAGCGTTAAACGTGGCTTGGACCAAGCCAGTCATCAAAGAATTAGCGAATCTGCCTCGTTAGAAAGGCGCTTTACACTGCATTTTTCTTCCTACCCGATCTCCTGAGCTTGCGGCGACAAAGGCTTATATGCCTAGTTACGTGGGTAGTACCGGCACATATAAGATAACTAGCGCACATATATCATTAAATGCGTAATCATCGTAGCATCGCTCGCTATTAGATCTCAGTGTCTTAACAGCCCCGTGGTGCACTTCAAAATAGGTGCAAACAAAGCGTATTTGCCGTACTATAACGAGGGGTGGTCTGCTGACGCAGGCGATGGCTCTGCCATTCATGCTTGAGAGGACGCACATCGAGGGCATTCCCAGAGTGCTGGTAAGCTCGTGTGCTGAGCCTGATTTGGGCACTATTGCGACGAAAACAAAACATGATTAACTAGCAAGTCGATCTGACCTGTCGCCTCTGTACTGCTCCTCATTACGACAGCCCACCTCAAAGTGGGGGCCATGTATTCCAATATATGTCGTGGAGCGTGGGACACGGACGAATAGAGGCCGCATTATGATCCAGAAATGGCCACCGAGCATGGAGACAAAGCTTGCGGTTGTGTAAAATTTTCCTTTATTGAATAACGTAATCCACAAGCAAGCGGGTCACACAAGCGACCGGGTCACCCTCCCAGTACTCGTACGACAATATATAAGTCAATTCAACCACAACGCCTCAAATCAATTCAAACTACTCAGAATCCTCTTCTTCAGAGGTAGACTCAACTTTCTGACAGGTACGCGCATTATGGCCGGGCTCCCCGCAGACGCCACAGCGTCGCGCGCGCGTTTCGGGCCTCCTCGTACGACCACTATTCTGACTTGTTTCCGCTATTAACTGCTGCGTCGAATCGATTTGAGCCTTCAAATCCTTTGCCTGATCAATCGTGAGGGACCCTCCTTTCTGTAGCTGCTTTCTTTTCGTACGACGACGGCGGCTGAGGCGGTCGTTTGCATCTCGAAGTTCGGCGAGCTCTTGGCGCATAAGGTCCTGCTCGTGTACCATCATTATGACTCCTTTTCTCAGCTGCTGTACGCTCTCAACAATGGACGACGGTGAGCTATTCTGGTGTCGTACGATGCGATTTTCAATGTACTTCGTCTGCGATTCGGTCTCAATTGGGTTGTTCGGCGTCTTTGAAACCCATGGGGGTGGTAGTCCAGCAGAGGAACCTGGCGGTGTCGGCGTATGAAACTTCACATCTAGCTGCGAAATCACATAATTCGGGTCGTACGGTACTAGGCCTGTCGCTCTAAAGCCTGCCTGGATGTTTGATTTGGTCATTGCAGCGTCGTACGCCTTATAAAAGGCTGGGAGGAAGTCCTCCTTTGAAACGTGGGTTATGTGCGCCCGTATTAGACCTTCGATTTCTTTACCGTACGCCCGTTTCAGAGGTCCAAAGCACCCAACATCGAGAGGCTGGAGCTTATGCGACGAGTGAGCAGGCATACAGAGCGTTACGATATTCTGTTCCTTGCAGTAGAGCTCGAAATCGACTGAATGGTGGCTCTCGTGGCCGTCGAGGATAAGGAGGCGGTAGGTACCCTTCGTACGACTCTTCGTATGGAAATCGAAGTGTTTTACCCATTCTAGGCCTCTCTCGTTCGTCGTCCAACCGTTTTCTGAAAGCGCGATTACCCAGTCGGGCGGTAGGGGGCTATTCGCGGTCCAGGAGTCGAGGTGGACCTTCCCGGCGAAGATGATATACGGCGGGATTAAATAGCCGTACGACGCGATGCCCTGGATTACTGTAACCCATTCCTGATTCCCTTGTTGTACGGCTCTTGGCCTCCCGCGTCGATCGGAGGTCGTAACGACGGTTTCGGCGGAGATTTTACCTATCGCGAAGCCCGTTTCGTCGAAGTTATAGATATCGTCATCGTGGATCCCGTATTTCGCGATTATGTTTTGTACGAGCTCAAACCACGCGCGATACGCGTCCGGATCCTCGCAGAGGACCCTCTGGTAGTCGATTCTTCGATTTAAACGCGTACGGAGCTCAGGTCGTCGTCGTACGAAGTTTGAGGCCCAGTTCGTTCCGACGCGTGGCGCGTCGCGTACGCGGAGGAGTCGATCCGCCATTTCTCGAACACCACTAAGCCGCGGCGGAAACGATCGCGAATCTAGGTCGATTACGTATTGTACGATACTGTCCTCTTCGTACGAGGTCAATTTCTGGTTACGTGGTCGGGTATCGCCTTTCGCAGAGCGGCCGTGGTATCGTTGTTGTAGTGTTGTACGTGATACCTTATATATCGATGCAGCCTTTCGTACGCTTAATTTAGGGTCTGATTGAAGCGCATTTAGCGCGAGAATGATCTCTGATTCAATTGATTGTCGTGGCATACTTGTTCGTGGAGAAATTAAGGAAAGAAGAGGAGTAATTGAGAATTGCAGGAATATGACCCGGTCGCTTGTGTGACCCGCTTGCTTGTGGATTACGTTAGCGCTTTCCACACAAATTGATGTACCTCATTTCTCTTGGCCTGGCAAAATGTGCACCGCAATCCAGGCGATGGGTCGTAAATGCTCATGCCGCCTGGGGTTAGGCGTCATACAGGACAGCAACGTGTCGCAAGATGAAACAAAAGCTACGTAACTTTGTCCCATGATCCGGGGATCAGTATGCAGAACATGCTGTGACCGCTCCGTTTCGGTATAGCGTTCTAGCCAATACTTAGCGCCTTGCTCACATAGATGCGAACAGATACGTACCATCCAACCCCTTGGCGACTTGGCGCCGAATGGCGTGCACAGAGGCTTTGCTGTAGTTGTAGTCCTTCATCAGTACGCGCGCAAAGATACTGTCGAACGTCGATCCGGTCATCCACTTGCTTGGATGGCAATTCCCGCTACTGTCGAGAGCTTGGCAGATGAAGCGATCTTGAGCTTCGGGAAGCCACTCGATAGGGCCCTCGCCCTCTCCATCTATGATGCGCATGAAAGCATGGCGATCCAAAGCCCCATCTGCTATCGCAAAGTTGATAAGGAGAAAGACAACGTCGTAACGAAGAACCGCATGCTCGTAGCCTGTGATACCAAATCTACCCCATGTTAGCATTGACCTGATACCAGTCCAGTGATGACGTACTTCTTGTTCGTCGGATCCTTATTGTTCTTCACATGACGTTGATCGGGCCTGTACAGAAAGTGAGGCTTGCCTTCGGTCCTTTTTAGAACGAGGCGTATATCCTGTGATGTGAATATGTGAATATCAGATCTTGTTCGTAGAAGGTCCGAGGCTTACCTTGTAGGGCAGGCCTTTGTTGAAGACAGCGCCGCATCGACCTGCACTGTTGCAAAACAGAAGCAGCAAGAAATGGAACTGGAGACGATTGCGTTCATGAATATAACCGAGTTCGGCGGACGTCCATAAGGTTGAGATGTTTCGATCGAGATCTTCGTGTTGATAGTTGTACTTCGGCATCTCTAGGTCCCGAACGCCACTATGCTCCTCCTGAGATAGCACGTTAAGCATCCACTGCAAAGTACGTTAGTATTGCGGGGATAAAGGCAAAGGAGGTCCGTACCGAGTTAATCTCTGCTGTGTCCGCCTCGCTCAGTGTGTTCCCAGTCCGCCGTAGGAATCCGGCTTTGAAGGATTTCGCGCAGGAGCGAAGAGTCCTCACTGTCGGCCGCGAACTTAGCCGACCACGAGCTTGGTCTTTGTAAAACCTCCAGAAGTCCTTCAGTGAGTGAATCTCTGGAACTGGAGCGCCTGGGCGAAGGGCCTGCAATTCGAAGTCGTCAAAACTGCCCCGGTGGTCACTATTTCCCCAAGACCATCTGTATCCGTTAGGAGCAGCCCGTTTCTTTGGTTGAGCAAGGCTTACGTGGTGTAGATATGCAATACTCTGTCCTGCGTCTTCAGTGTCTTGTCATCGAATTTCCGGAGGCCTCTCTGCCTGTCGTTCTCCTCGTGCCTTCTGCTTTGGTAGCCGTTAGACCTAGCGCGGTCGACAATAGAGCTTGGGTCAGGGCGTCTTTGCCGCGACGAGGACATGGTCGCGTCAACAAAACAACATCCCCATTCGGGCTGGCTGGACAGAACAATGACTGCCTCGGCCGGGACCGTGCCAGCCCACAAATAGCCCGCATCCCCGAGTCCGCTCAGCGGCCCAGCCATCGCCGGCCACCCCTGCCCTCATTCGTCCAGCGCTCAGCAAGATACTGTAATGGGGTTTTGCGACTCGACACTCCAGCGTTACTCAGAAAGCACCCAACCCAAAACGCTTACTCATGCCTGCGTCCACCCTGGCCCCGAGCACTTGACCAGCCTCAGGTCAGACATTCCTCGTTGGCCGAGTGGCCACGAACCCGACGAGCGCCACCTCGGCGCCTTCCTTGCCTGGCCTGACGTCTGGCTCGTTGAACTCGCCCGTCTTGCGGAAACCGCACTTCTCCAAGACGCGTTGGCTCGGCACGTTGTGTGCCTCGATCATGGCAACCACGCGGTCCGCACCCACCATCCTCGTGCCGTCGGCGCCAGCCGGCACGTCGTCCACCGTGCTGATCGGCACTTCCAGCTCAACTTCTGATCGTGGCAGCTCCCACCACGATGTCAGCCAGGCTTGTAGGAACTCTGTCGCATAGCCTTGCCCCCAGTGCTCCTTCTTGAACATGTATCCGACCTCGGGCCACCCCATCAGACTGCTGAACGCCCAGAAACCACCACAGCCCACCATTTCACCCGTGGCTGCCTCGTAGACCGCCCAATGGTGCGTTGTTGCATCGTTGGGCGGCAAGACCGGATTGATGCGCTCTTGTGTCTCGGCGAGATCTTTGTCCGGCACGCCTCGGCGGGTGAAGACCATGACCTCGGGCTGTATGCGTAGCGAATGCATATCCTCCAGAACATCTTGCGTGAATGGTCGTAGTATTAGGCGTTCCGTGCGAATCTCGCTGCGGCCTTCCGACACCAGAGGGTAGGGAACCGTTGGCAGCTGTGCGCGAACCTTGACATTGTCCATGGTGTTGTGACTAGGGGCTTTGTCCTAACCAATTGAGAACTCTCTGGTCGTGTTTTTGGCAGATAAAGTTCACGTGCTCGAAAGGTCACAAATGTGACTCGTGTCGCAAGATTTGTCGTTGACTACCCGAAGACATATATCTGCCTGGAGCTCGGCTTGTCGGTGGGCTTGCGCATCAAGCCGAAGCCGAGGAGCCTCCCGGCATGCGTGGGGCAGGAGATGGCGGTGAGCGACGATAAGGCAAGAGGCCACGGTTGGCTCGTCAAGACGCAGTCCCCACGGCAGTGCGAGTTATGGCTCAAGGATCTAGCACGAGCTGGCGCTGTTCAAGCAATAAATTCAAAAATTTGGCACCGCCATACGAATCACTGAATCATGAGCTGACGGCAATCGCAAAGTACCTATGGAAAAGTCGAATCACACGCGAACACCGACTGACTAGGCATATAGTAGACACATTGCAAATTAAGGCATAAGCGTGCGAGCACGTGGACGGGAATCTCTGTTTGTCACAATAAGTTCTTTTTGATTCCAAATACAAAAACGCCGTCATATCACATGCTGATATGTTGGGTATGAAAAGCTCTGGACTCATGGTCATCAGGCGGCCGAGTGGCTGCGCCCTTCTGTGACATAAACACCCATCTTTTGAACACCGTTATTCCTCTATGAACACCGAGTAAACCTTAGGCAGGGCCCCAATTCAACACCGACCAGCCGCAAGCAATGCCCAATGAGCCTGACCAACTTAAGCAAAGGTGGAAGGGCGGGTAGCACTAAACACCTTACATTCATAAGACCGTTACAATATGAAATACTAGCTCAATAGTCAAACAAAATACTAATAACTCATGGAAACGCTCCTCCAACTTATTCCTGCCTGATTAATATTGACCAATCAATCATCAATAGCTTCGTGCATTAGGCAAAAAACATCGGACATGCAGATATCGCAATCTAGATCAGCAGACCCGAATCCCGCAAGTTCTGCTTCAGTCATCCAGACTTTTCCGCCGAACTGATTCCTCGTAAGTTTCTTTGCGAGACACATACCTACTAGGTCCAGATCTTAAAGATTCACTTCAGTATCTTACCAGTCACCCAGGACACGGAGCCCCTCTTCTTCGTTAAGGTCGATATAGAACGCCTTAATATCATAGGTGGGGTGACCCTTAGAAGAGAACAACTTATCTAAGTTAAGCTAGCATCGGTAACCTTAGTTGTCTTCTTAGCAGTCTAAGATTTCCTAGTCCTTCCGGGTCTCACCGCCTCATACAGCTTCGATACGCCGGCTTTCCCGTACATCTTGGACACCGGGGTCTCTAGCTTGTTCCAGGGCTTGTCACATCTAAAAGACGAAGGTGGAACAAATGATGGCGCCCATGAAGTGTAGTATTTGATATGGCCGGTCTCGGAATCTTTGCTGAGGGTAAGGTTGATAATCGGGTCATACCTTTAACGAGATACTTCGACCTTAATCCCATCGCCCTTCTGCCTCTTTTTCCTTAACGATGTTCCTCATCTGCAGCTCGTTTTGAGCTATGAGACTCTAGAACTATTGAACTCTAAAGGACGCTGCCCAGGCTCATTTTATGACCTTCAAGAATTTGTTACTCAGACGTCGATACCTTCTGGTAAGTTGAAGGCTGGTTTACAACCTCGCCAGGTGCTAATGACTTCTCGTTCTTAGCCGCTTCAGGCTGTAAATCACCTGAGTGGGAGTCCACAGAGCGGACCGCAGGCGAAGCTGAAAGATTGCTCTGTGGCGCTGAGACGCACGCTCTAGGTTCGTGGCTGGTAGGGACGGCCGCCCTGGCCAGTCCGCCCGAACTGGCCAAGTTCGGATTCTTAGCGACGTGGGCACTGGTTGGGGATCCCGCATGCCGGGAACCCTCGTTGGGCTGCGGCACGTGGTATTGTACTACTTCCATAGGCCGTTTGGCCTGTGGGGTCTCCGAGAAACTTGAGTTGCCAGCTTTGGGTGCGATATCTTTTGCCATGTTTTCTTCTCCGGCTTGAGGCCGTCTGGCTGCCCGGGCAGGCTTGGAATTGGCATCAGGCCGACATTTTGCGTCGTTAAGAACGTCAAGTCTAGATGGTCCTTGGGATATGGACAGTCCTGGACCATGGGAAGTGCTGGAATGCTACAGGGAAGTGCGGCTGGTCTGATCGTTCTGGCCGCTCATGGCGAATGCTCGAACTTCAAATGATGTATGCCTGGTGGTGACGAGGACAATGAGGAATATGATGATAGGATTGGGGTGGAGAGACTGCTACCAGGAGGAATGTCGATGTTGTGTTCAGGAAAGAAAATGCCAGACCTGAGGTGGGAGATCTCGCGGCTTTTATAGTTGGAAGGTCACAGATGCTCCGGCCGCCCCCACTCGAGGAGCCCTCCACGACGGCCATTCTCCTCGGACCTACTAGGCGAACACTGAAATTGGGGGTACAATCCACTCAAGGTTGATAGAACACTATGAAGTTTCGCCGGCTTTCTATAGGTATGCGCGAGAGAAGTTCCCAAGGGCGCAAGAAGACCACCTCAACCTAAAACCTTACCCTTATCTTCAAGGAAGTTCAAAGACGTCCCAGACAATCTCTGACTTGTACACGATGAAGTAATAAACTGGGGTTTGTTAGAGGGACCTTCAAACCAAGTACAGCCACGCACATTTCTAACCTTGATCATTCCCGTATGTTTGTGATGAGTATAATACTACGAGCACGTCACTCAATAACGCAGCCTTAAGGTCTCCCACCAGATTAATATTGGAAGCTAAGAAACCAATAGCCTATGCAATTAACAATAGCAAGTACGGCTCGAGGTATCCATCTTCACCCTTACTATAGCCTTCTCAACTAAACTCTAGATTAGCTTGTAATTATCAGTTCTGAGACGAACCAATTATCAGATTATCCTAGTCTACTCCGGAGTCGGATAAAAGAGTTTCTCAGTCCCGACAATATGAAGCTCACGTTATAAGAGTGTTTATCTATCACACGGTACTAGTCACGACTTCCATCAAAGTTACCAATGAAGCATACGCGCTTGCTATATACTTCCAACAACTCTTGTTTCGTTATTTGCAGTTAGGCCTTCCCATCTCTGTCGACTCGGAACAAGCTAAAGTTGGATACAAGAGTACGCAAGCAGCGCAACGAGCAGACAATCCCTTTACTTGTGGACGAAGATAGCACAGACTAGATGAGAAATCCTAGCACGACGAGGAAGGAAGCTAGTGGATCTTCGTAAATACTATTTCCAGAGACTGCAAACAACGATAGCGGGTGGATACGGACCACTCATCTGTTAGGCTGGCATTGCGCACAGAAACAGTCGAAGGACGGCTTACCCTCCTAGTAAGTTACCGTGACTTCCTCACCCTCATATAGGTCTTTATTCGCGAGCAAAAGTATGCGAAACCGCCCAGACACCATCGCACCACTAAAGCGGGCTGTAGGCAGGTGGCAGCAATGGTTAACCTTGCGCAGACGATTCCCAGCCTCAGCATACCGTAGCTGGGCCACACAAACCGCCGGCTTAATATCGTATCTAACAATATCCGTAGCCATCTCAGCACCCCAGTTTGTAGAGAACGTACCCGGCGGGACCAGCTCGCCTGTCAATTCCCCCAGAACATCATCTTTGTGGAAGATAGTATAGCCAGGCTGTCCCACCACAAAGAGCCCCTGGCCTTTCCGCTCGCAATCGCGAACTGTAAGGGAGCGGAGAAGGTAGTAGCCACCACGGAGGTGCTAATAATCACACCCACAAGTCTCTAGCAAGCAAGACGAGCAGGGTCGGTCGTGAGCCGTATGGGACGGGCGTACCAGCTCGATGCAAGTGCAGCTTGCGCTCGAACAGTAGCAACACTACTGTTCGAAGGCTTCCCCAGTCATTAGATCTGCTGGCCATTTTCCTGGCCAGTTTTCCGGCTTCTCTTATCTGTGAAAGCGCTCAGGTTCGTAACAACATTCCTCAACGACCCGAAATCGACGGAGCCATTTCAGGACCTCTCTCTCCGAAGGTTGGTCGAGACATAGAGCATCTAGTGACTCCCATGCGAACTCGTCGAGGTCGAGACCTTTGAGAAATGAATCGGCGATGTAAGCTCCGACCTCGAGAATCCTCGAAGTGATTCCCTCCTCTGACGAATTGATAAGTGCCGCAAGGACGCGCTGTCTTGACTTGTCCGTTAGGCCAGTTAAGCTGTAGAGGGACAGGGAAAAGGGCGCTGCGCCATGGCCAGCGATAGCACAGAGAATGCTAGGAGGCCAGAGCTTCAATTTCCGACCGGACTCGCGCCATCTCCGTAGCTTTTTGTTAGACATTTGTTTGGCAGTAGGGCTCGACTCTTGCACTTTCTTCCAGTCCGCATTTGTAAGTCTCAATCGACCATCTGCAAGTTTGTCCACTTTGTCTGCGAATTGAATAAGCAGGAGTGCGTGTATAGCTTCCTTGTAGCATACATTAGATTCGACATTAATAATTGCTTGAATCGTCTGTGTAAGGTCTGCGTGATGATTGATCATTGTCGATGAACGGGCTCTCCAGCCGTACACTACAGCGATCAGGCTGTGAACGGCAACGTTGCTGTTTAGTACCAGCATGAGGTGGAGCGCTTCAGATTCCTCGAAGGTATCTGTGATCGGTGTATACAAGGTTACCTTGTCACTGAGATATGCAGCGCATATGTCCTGAGAGTCGCTTTTGTGTGGGTATACTCTCTGTGCTGCTGAATTTGCCGCGTTCTGTAACGTAGAGTTCTTAGGTTTCTTCGCCGGGGAACCAAGAGTACGATCTTTGAGCGGCCGAGATGCGCTTGACGTCCTTGGCGTTCGCTTGCTTGGAGGCATGGTCTTCGTGCCTGCTTCGCCTGGAGACGCAGCCTTCGTCCCTGGTTTGCGTAGTCGCGCACTGCTGCGTTTGGTCTGCACCAAGGTGATCTGGTCAAAGTGAGGTTGGAGAGGAGCCAGTCCACATTCGTCACAAAGACGAACGCTTTCAGGTAGCGCGCACTCCCCAGGACGCAGAAAGTTGATTGCCATTTTAACCACAGTGCTGTAGTTTATAACCCAGTGATATTGTCGTGGTTGAGTTTCTACAAGATCGCCGGGACCGGCGAGCAGGACGATAAAATCGATTTCAGCTACCTATAGCACGTTCGGACTAAGAATGATATTCTCGTGTCGAACAGATTAGTCGCATTTAGTCCCAGGTCTTACCTTGCCGAGAAGAAATGACTCGAGTTTATCTATGTGATGCAGCGCTACCAGTATCCAGATGTTCCAGCCAAATAGGGTCAAGTTGACTGAGCGCATAACGCCATCTTCGCAGTGGAATACAGTGCCAGAGTTCCTGTTTCCTACATGCATGTAGGTGCTGTTAACGCCCTGTACACGCGGAAAATGAGGAGGCAAAAGCGCCCTACCAGGAAACAGGATATCGTCGATACGGCTATCGAAAAGGAGTAGTCCGACATAATAAGGGACCTCTTCTTCAGGAATGCTAGTAAAGATCTCGTCTAGGTAGGCTCTAACATTGTCGTCTGAAGGAGCTATAACGCGATCGGCAAAGTTCGGGGCCTCAAAGGTTGTTAACTTGCCCTTATATAGATGTACTCGTCCTAGGCTCTTGTGTGTTACGAAGTGGACGGAGAGGAGGTCATGATCGACTTGCGCAACGGTGGCGAAAAGATCCGGCCAGTCGATAGACGGCAGGTCAGCGACTTAGCTCAATCCATGATAACCAGACTGATGGGCCACTTTCTCTAGGCTTACAACGAGATTCTCGCCCATCTCCTCCTTTTGAATCGTGAAGCTATGGCGAGAGCGGTGGACTTCATAACCTGCTTCCGGTTGTGGCTCATAGCGGGCAACCTCAGGACTAGCGTCATGAGTGGAGCTGGCAGAAAGGTGGGTTGTCTTGGGCAGGAGTGGCTGTGGGTTGTCGTCCCCAGGGCAATCTGTGACGTATGGGGCGACATACTAGCTGGCATCGCTCAGTCTTTTGCGCTTTTTGCCTGAGTTTTGCGCTGGCCGTTCGTCGTTTGTCGTAGCTGCTTCGTTGTTTGTCGCGGTTGTTGCCTCATTCCTCGTCGTAGCTGCTTCATTACTCGTCGTAGCTGCTTCATTACTCGTCGTAGCTGCTTCATTACTCGTCGTAGCTGCTTCATTACTCGTCGTAGCTGCTTCATTGCTCGTCGCGGTTGTAAGACGCGTTAGGGCATCACAGGCGCTAGTGAGATGACTGATCAGCTCGGCGTGGGTCGTCGCATCTAGCGCCGATATGAATTGGGTGATTTGGCCGGTAAGTTCGCTCGCACGATGGACTAAGATAGCCATTATGGGACCATACCTCGCATGCTTCGTACAAAGGGCAGGGAACGACTCAGTCACGAGTCGCGTGGCGCGTCTCTGCGCAGAGCAGTCAGTCTTTGTGCACGGGCCACAATGACCAGCGCTGGTCGTTGTAGCCCGTTGTCACGATCCGATCTCCGGGGTCAACCGTCTGACCGGCGCTGTGGGGTTTATGTTCTGAATAAGGTAGGTAGCGACCTCATGCAATACTGACTCCGTGCTTGTCGTGTTCTCGAGGGGTTGTCGTTCGTGTCTCTTGCGAGATATCACACTCGGATCAATTGAGTGACTAGGTCAAGTGAAGGATGAGAATGATACTTAGATTGATCGCTGAAGTGCAAAGGTAATGACTGTCTACAAGGAGATCCTCCTGACTCTATATATCCTTTGTCCTTCATCGTGCTTGTCGTCCTGCGACACCGTGGTGTCGCGCGCCGACAGCTTATCGTCGGCTGCTGACATAAGGTAGGGTGCTTACATAATGTGTTCCCCGCCAGCCTTCGCTGGTCCGCCCTTGTCCCTGGCCTGATCCTGCGGCCTTGTTTGCGCTGGGCCTGTTTGTTACCTCAGCCCCAAACAGTTCCCCTGTTGGTCGGGTCGTCACACCCGTGCACAGTCGCTCACTCTACTGAAGCAGATAGAGGCGTACTCGCATTAGATACTCGCACTTCACGGGAAGGCAACAACCCATATCTACTTTGTCTTTAGCTAAGGCTGAGGTGGTGGCATATATGACGGCCGGTCAGATAAGCGTTAACAGATAATATAACTAGGCGTGCCCTATATACTGCTACAGAGCTAGTGCGGTGGGGTTGCCGGAGAGTCAGCTAAGCCGCGCCGAAAATCCAAAGGGGTCATCCATCTTCGCGCACCAATCATAGCCTCGCCGTTCCCGCCGAAATGATTGTTATACGACGCCCGGGCCCGGACATGATGGGGCCGATGCAACCGGCTCGTGGGCGAATCATAGTTCACATGAGCCGCCGTGTGCCAAAGTACCCCGCTCATCCGGACGGTATCCCGATCGGCCAGGGAGTTATTTATATGGTTCAACATAATTTTGCCCTCCTCTGTTCCCTCGAAAGAGTACTATAAAGAACTGGCTCATCCGTGTAACTCAAGTTCTTGCAGCACATTAGAGCGAGCACACCATTTCGACTTACTTGAGCATCTCCAAACATCGCCCTTAGCAAAAATGGCGGACCGTTTGCAGCGATACCGTCGGTCGTATAATCCGGCTCTGGCACAGATACAGCCTATCGCTACTCAAGGCCTCGGACCTTACCGTAAGCCTTGCCAGTCTGCCATTAACGACTCCGGTGCCCGAGCGGCGATATTAGCACTACTTCAGGCTGTAGCCCGTGCTCTCAACGAAGAAGAGAGGGTAGAGAAGAGGAACATCAACCATCATGAACGTTCCCGCTTAGAGAGCCGGCCGGGCAAAGAGTCAGATGCTAAGCATAACATTCACTTTCTTAATCTACCGGAGGTTGTTTTCTTCCGTCCACAACTGAGCGAGCACAGTACGGAGTAGTAACATACTATTCACGAGAGCTTGCAGCACTTGGTCGTCTCCCTCACACGTCGACGTGGTCACATCTAATATACCTCATAGTAACTCAATTAAGATCTTGGACTTATTAAGACGGTGTATAATACTATCTATAGTTGAATTTTACGACCCGCGATGTACTGAAAGGGTTCTCACACACAACTAAGGGCTCGCCCCGCGGCCGGGAGATCACCTCCGATAAGCTAAAACCTAGCAGATTAACACCGTCTGAATCATAGTAACTATTAAGGCGATAGTTAAAGTAGCAAGATAGCTCGGTCTGGAAGAACCCGAGCTATCTACGAAAAGGGGATTATCGCTAGAAGCAGTAGCTCCCACAATCTAGATGTTAGAGCTCTCACTGCTACTTGCCGTTTATGTAATGCCGAGATTGCTCACAGTTTCACCCGGGGTTGCTATTACTTATGTAGTTCCCGTCTCGCTAGCGGTCCCTTCAATAGGATCTACCACTAGAGGCGCACTTGTACTACTAGAGGAAAGACTTATCTCGTCATCCGTCAATATGCGTATGAAAGTGATGGTTTAATAAGTGGTTTCTATTACGGTTAAAGTAGGCTTCGTTATAGTAGTCCACATAGTTCTTGTACTAAGCTCCTCGGTAATGCAAGCAATACTACCATTATGTTGCGCCGCGAGGGCGAAATCGGGATCACCTCCTGTAATTAGCACGCGATTACAGCTGGCCTCCTAACCTGAGCATTACCTATGAAAATTCAGCCGGGCCCCCAAAGCCTTAATGGACAGAATGCGCACCAAAGCAACCATACTTCACCGTTTAGTACAGTGGGAGGCAATTTGAAGCTTACTAACTCCTGTCCGGGGCACGGCTTCGAGGCATTGAAGGCCCAGGACGTAGGCAGGAATCCTTCCTCTGAGAACTCAAGAGTAGCCAAGCATTAGGTCACTCGGTCCGAGTTAAGGCTATTAGCAGATCAGTAATGATTTCAGGGTACGAATCTAGTTAACGGGGCCACGAACAGAGCTGAGATAGTCGAGTTTCCCGCAGTAAGATTAAAGGGCGGGCTAGACAAGCAATTAGATGGGAGGGTGCTTATAGATTAACCGACCGTGATAAGCGACAACAGAATGATGAAAAGCCTTGCCATATTCTTATGTAATGCGTTGTCGTCACGAGATGATCTCTAAAGGTTGGAAGTGATTACCAGACAACTTAATCGAGCTACTTCGGTAGCCGTACTAATCTTTATACGACCGATACGTCGAAAATAGCGGGGCAGCACTATAAGTTTCCGACCGTATCTATTCCGACAGACCCCTAAGCGGACCTGCTAAAGACCGGAATCTAACGCTCAAATTAGCCCCGTGCGCCTTCTTAAATCATCAACCACCCGCTTCCAAGCATAATGCGTCTATCCACGGTTATACACAAGTATCTAATTATAAGCTATGAGTAACAAGTCGCTCCCGAAAACCCCGGTGCAGCTCGCTCCAGCGCCGTTGTCTGACCGCCGCATGTTAACACTTGCGGAGCGAGCATATAGCCTTTCGGAGCGTAACAAAGAGCTGGTCAAGAACATAGAAGAGGCAAAGGCTAGAATCCGCAAGGGCGATAGAGAGATTCGGCGATTGCGGGGTATTATTACTAGGCTTACGGTACAACTATATAATACCTTTCAAGAGTTTGAGAATAGTAGTAGTAGCAGGACAGACCCGAAGCACCACCAGGCCAAGCATAGTCAAGATTCTAGTGGGTGGAGCGACTAGAGAATAGTAAGAAACAGGTATATCGCCCTTGATATACTACTTATTAACACGCGGATAGCGCTTCGGAACTTATAGTACAATTACAACCTAGATGTAGATAACACCTGAAGCTATGGCCTCTCCAGGCCCCGAAAGAAATGCACTCGCTTTTGCCTCCCTCTAAACTCTCTCTCTGCAATTTCTTAATTGGCTTTTGCAATTTTCAGGCTCCTGAGCAGCTGGTGTGCGATCCTGTCACGCTCTATAGAGTTTGAGCGCTGCTCCTCCTCTCTATCGGCAAGGTCTCGAGCTAGCTCCATCACAACTCGATAGTACGTAATCTTATAGGATTTGTTTAATAGGGTCGTTCGCCGTTGTAGTACGGTCGCTATGTGCCTGCTAACTGGGTAATAAGGCACATCAGAGCCATGCGAGGGCACCTAGCAATAATAGCATACCATTTTGTAAGGAACGCAGCGGCAAGGCAGTTGCTCGAGGGAATCAAGGTCATCTAGCCTCCCGGTGATCTTCTCAGTCCAAAAGAAGAGATCCTTATAGCAAGCCCGGACCAGGTCTAATTCAGACAATGGGAAGAGACAGTCGAAAATAACTTCGATATACATAGGTCATAGCACTGTTCAGGCAGCCCCACCTACCAATACCACTTTAACGAGCCGACTCTCAGAGCCATGCGAAGGAGCTAGCCGCGCGCAAAGCATAGCGGGCGGCTCCAGAGATTACCCTAGCTTTTCCACGTTGTAAATAGCAGGGCGCCTAGACTTACGGAACATATAGTAGTGTCCTGCTTACCCACGCTCCAGATTTCCACCTACATGTAGTGATGGAAATGGTACACTATAGCTTTGGCTTGCACTTAGGTATTACTAAGTAGGACCTAATGATACATAGACTTCTATAAGCTATACATACTAAAAGCATAATGGTCAAGAGAACTTATGCGCAGGCTGGGAACTAGCATCGACCGTCCCTTCCCACGACACTCATCTAACGCCCCTACTACGCCGCAGTTCCGGCCCCGCTATACGCCGGCGCTACCATCACGCTGTCACGATCCGATCTCCGGGGTCAACCGTCTGATCGGCGCGGTGGGGTTTATGTTCTGAATAAGGTAGGTAGCGACCTCATGCAATACTGACTCCGTGCTTCTCGTGTTCTCGAGGGGGTTGTCGTTCGTGTCTCTTGCGAGATATCACACTCGGATCAATTGAGTGACTAGGTCAAGTGAAGGGTGAGGGTGATACTTAGATTGATCGCTGAAGTACAAAGGTAATGACTGTCTATCTAGGAAATCCTTCGCATTATATCCTTTGTCCTTCATCGTGGTTCCAAGGAGGTGTGCCCTTGGATCGCTGGATATGTTCCGATCCACATATCCTGCTGACATAATGAAATGCTTACGTAACCTGGGGTGTGCCGTCCCGCGTGCATGACCTGCCCTTGTCCCTGGCCCGATCTTGCGACCTGTTGGTCGGGTTGTCACACACGCGGACCCCGCTTCGGCGCTTCGGCGCTCCGGCGGCAGCACCCTCGCACTGACCCTCGTCCGGGTAGGGCAAGATCCGATCCGGAGCTACCTTACGGTCCTTCGCGGCTATGGCCGCACGGGAGCCAGCTTGAGCTTCCCCTCTTTCTCCATTAACTGCGGACGACTCATAGCAATCACTTTCCCCCTTTTAAGTCTTATTTCGTTACTCCTCATTATTGAACAGCACTAGCTCTCTACGGTTCTACTACTATGCCTGCCCAGCGGCCAACCTTACAAGTGGAGATTATGGTCGAGGTAAGCTTCCCATTCATCAGCCTGAGTTTACCTGCTAAATACTTAGTGAGGACAGGTCACGCCGGAGCTGACCGTACGGACTCGTCATCGACAAAAGAGCGGGGCCGTGTACTGTCAGGTAGATCCCGGAAGGATCTCAGCGGTCTGGCATCATCGGACCTCTTAGATGGGGACTGTCGAGCTTCTTGTCTACAGAGTACGCGAAATTTCAAATAGGCCGCCGATCCGAAGCGCGGCGTGGGAATGCGAAAGACGTGTTCAGTACGAGAACGAGGCCCTAATGCTCCAGTATTGGGGCTTACTCGGAGGACGAGAACTAGCCGTATACGACACGCAAAGGCGGATTTTCCGGGTCCTCCGTTACAACTATCTCACACTGCAGTACTTGGTGCAGTGGGTAGGCCACGCTGTGGACGATGCTGTATGGGTGTCGCAGGCAGAGATGCTCAAATGCACCAGCTGGCCGTTACTACAGACCCAGACATGCCCAACTACAGAGCATATAGCTACGAAGGGGTACTAGTACAGGCACCGCAGTCGCTCAGTCATTCTTTTGGAAGGAAAGAACTTCGCCTTCGTATATCTACTAGTGTCACTGACACTAGCACTAGCACTGCTCATGTTAGCCCAGCCGCTAGTCTCAACTCAGAGTCATTCACGTCCACAAGGTGTTGGACACAACACGCCAGGCACGTTATACGCTCCACGATGTACTTTGCACAGCGTGATGGTAAACCAGGGCGGAGCGGCACCTAATCCTTGTAGGTACTCCACCGCTGGGACTACACACTATGCACTACACAATATGCTCGGGGCGTCAGTTAGTGCCTGCCACGATATATGCAGTACACTAAGCTCCACACATCGTGGAGCTCATCGCACGAAACCTAGATCACGGCAGATACGCTATGCTAGGCTAGCCCTGGTTCTCGCTATCTAGGAGCCTCTTCGCACTTGATACTACTGGACCGAGGTTGTGGGGCCGGCGTTGCCTGCTCTTGCAAGATCTCGAGAGGTCCAGAATCTAGCAGGTACTTATAAGAGCCTATGGTGCTAACTCGAAGATCTGCAGCGACAGCACCTCTAGACTCTTCTCGCTTATCTTAGAGAAGTTTTTACTAGAGAGAGCGCTGAGTCAGTCTGAAGGAAATCCCCGGGGACATGCCGCACTTACACGGCGGCCTCTGTCGGTCCCTCTACGTAGACCATAAGGAAGAACACGGACGGTTTTGCGAGTCGGCGCCAGCGACGCGCGATACGCTTAGTCTCCAAGACGACCGACCTACTTATCTGGAATGCAGATATGCAGAGATCAATTGCTATACTAGCGTTGTGCCGAGTAGTGCTTATGCCGTTCCGCCTATATAATTTGTCCTTCCTTCTATCAGCCTTAACAATATCCTCAATCGTATCGAAGAGGTCGAGCAAGCGAATGTACGCCATACGGGCCACGATGAAAGAGGGGGGGGTATGAATGAGACGGTACAGCGAGCGGAGAGCATCTAGAATAGAAGGGTCGGAACTGCGGATATTAGCTGGCAGCATCGTACACTCCACAAGCTGGTTCCATTGTTGCGATACTTCTGTACAGTTAGCCAAAATATGCTAAGCGAAATCTTCTCGTACCAGGCTCGCCGCCAGTTCCTAGCCCTGAGGATCTTCATGATTCGTAGTGGTAGCAGCCATTACAACCGCGCAGGTGTCACAGCTGCTGTTCTCTAATCCAGGTTAACGTGTCTGCTGCTTTATATATTTGTGTTTAGGTGCTCTTATGTTTGCAGAGAGCCTTGAGATTATTTTCAGCAGCTAAATTCAACTTGGGCTCTGTTTCTCCGCCCATTTCAGTCTTTTTTCGAGCGTTGCGAGGTCCAAATCGACCCGCCTAGCTATTTTCCGAACGTATGCATAGGCTGAAATGAGGGCCGTACAGTAGAGTAGCTACGGGGCGCCCAGGGCAGTAGTCGTCGAAAGAGCTTTAGAGTCAGCATCGAAGCTGCAGAGTATATAGTACGATACTTATCGCTTGCAAATCTCCGTCCCATCTTACACAGCCCCTGATTCTAGAAGTGCCGAGTACATTCTTTACAACGATAACCACTTACAAACTACAGCGAGCTAGCACTTCGTGTGCTTGTGCTTTTACGTCTCGAGAGCTCCACACTGAAGGAATTCGAGAGACTAACGACCTGATCGAGGTCTACCGCCAGCGTACTGCTACTTCACAGCAGGCAGTAAAAGAGGCCTGGCAAATGGTCAGCGACTTGGCAAATTCAGTTACCGTATTGACCAGCAAGATAGGGGCTATGGACGACTCGATTAGACAAATGGAAAGGGTCTTACAAGCAGGCCTGCCATATCTAGACGGTCATTCAAAGCGTGGCTGAGATAATTTCCGAGATATATCACGTACACGAAGAGGCTTACATTATCGAAAGAGTCGTTGGGACATTAGAATAGTGAAGCTCTCCGTGAAAATACAAACCTTACATGTTCACCTTTAACGTAATCCACGGGTGAGCGGGTCACACGGGTGAACGGGTCACTTTACTGCAATTTAATTGAGGTTCACTTCCTTCTCCTTTTTCTCCACCTCCAATCATGGGACGACAATCAATTGAAAGTGATTTGGTTCTAGCGTTAAATGCGCTCCAATCCGACCCAAAATTAAGCGTACGAAAGGCTGCGCAGATCTATAATGTATCTCGTACGACACTCCAGCAACGATACCACGGCCGAGCTGCGAAACACGACACCCGACCACCCTGCCAGAAATTAACCTCATACGAAGAGGAGAGTATCGTACGATACGTACTCGACCTAGATTCGCGTTCGTTTCCACCGCGGTTAAGTGGTGTTCGAGAAATGGCGGATCGACTCCTCCGCGTACGCGACGCGCCACGCTTTGGAACGAACTGGGCCTCAACCTTCGTACGACGACGACCTGAGCTCCGTACGCGTTTTAATCGAAGAATCGATTACCAGAGGGTCCTTTGCGAGGATCCGGACGCGTATCGCGCGTGGTTTGAGCTCGTACGAAACATAATCGCGAAATACGGGATCCACGATGACGATATCTATAACTTCGACGAAACGGGCTTCGCGATGGGCAAGATCTCCGCCGAAACTGTCGTTACGACCTCCGATCGACGCGGGAGGCCAAGAGCCGTACAACAAGGGAATCAGGAATGGGTTACAGTAATCCAGGGTATCGCGTCGTACGGCTATTCAATCCCGCCATACATTATCTTCGCCGGGAAGGTCCACCTCGACTCCTGGACCGCGAATAGCCCTCTACCGGCCGACTGGGTAATCGCGCTTTCAGAAAACGGTTGGACGACGAACGAGAGAGGCCTAGAATGGGTAAAACACTTTGATTTCCATACAAAGAGTCGTACGAAGGGTACCCACCGCCTCCTTATCCTCGACGGCCACGAGAGCCACCATTCCGTCGATTTCGAGCTCTACTGCAAGGAACAGAATATTGTCACGCTCTGTATGCCTGCTCATTCGTCGCATAAGCTCCAGCCTCTCGATGTTGGGTGTTTTGGACCTCTGAAACGGGCGTACGGTAAAGAAATCGAAGGTCTAATGCGGGCGCACGTAACCCACGTTTCAAAGGAGGACTTCCTCCCAGCCTTTTATAAGGCGTACGACGCTGCAATGACCAAATCAAACATCCAGGCAGGCTTCAGAGCGACAGGCCTAGTACCGTACGACCCGAATTATGTGATTTCGCAGCTAGATATGAAGTTTCATACGCCGACACCACCAGGTTCCTCTGCTGGACTACCACCCCCATGGGTTTCAAAGACGCCGAACAACCTAATTGAGACCGAATCGCAGACGAAGTATATTGAAAATCGCATCGTACGACACCAGAATAGCTCACCGTCGTCCATTGTTGAGAACCTACGGCAGCTGAGAAAAGGAGTTATAATGATGGTACACGAGCAGGACCTTATGCGCCAAGAGCTCGCCGAACTTCGAGATGCAAATGACCGCCTCAGCCGCCGTCGTCGTACGAAAAGAAAGCAGCTACAGAAAGGAGGGTCCCTCACGATTGATCAGGCAAAGGATTTGAAGGCTCAAATCGATGCGACGCAGCAGTTAATAGCGGAAACGAGTCAGAATAGTGGTCGTACGAGGAGGCCCGAAACGCGCGCGCGACGATGTGGCGTCTGCGGGGAGCCCGGTCATAATGCTCGTACGTGTCAGAAAGTTGTATCTGCCTCTGAAGAAGAGGATTCTGAATAGTTTGAATTGATTTAAGGCGTTGTGGTTAAATTGTCTTATATATTGTCGTACGAGCTACTGGAAGGTGACCCGTTCACCCGTGTGACCCGCTTACCCGTGGATTACGTTACTATAAACGAATTTTGATTTGCCATTATGTGAATACATCGAGCACTGCTCATAGATTGGCTTGTTGCTGTTGAAGATAAGACTAGTTAATGATTAACAATACTCACAGACGGTTAGCATTACAGTAGTGACCACTAGATGTGTCCGCTTTTCTAGTATCAAAGAACGATTCCGCACGAACCAGTGCCCGGTTTCGCACTGTAGCACGTGCTGTGCATACAACCCCCACAGCAAGTGCCCTCCAAAAGTGGATTACACCATGACATGCAGCAGTTGGCACAAACGGAGGGCCGTTTCTTCGTGGCCCTGCCGTGGTGACCATCGCGAATCGTCGGAATATCTTCGCCATGCCCGTCGCAGGATGACGGCACAGTATGACGCGATCCACACAACGCAGAACTTCAAAGGCCAGTTTGTGCCTGTTGATGCGGGATAATTTTGTCGCGAATGTCTATTCTGCACACACACACAAACAACTCCCACTCTGGCGCACAGCTCGCACAGAGGTTGCGCCATATAGGCGTGAAGCACCAAAATGCAACAAGAGAACGTCTGGTCGGTGATGATGATGGTCAGCTTCACTGTGCGAAGCATGGTGCGCATGCACAGATGGACGGAGTACTTGCCTGTGTGCATGCATCAGGTCAAATTTCAGCGCCACCACCGGACCCAAACCTTCACGATTTAAGAGAGGTACTTACGATTGACTTTTCGGCGTTCACGATGTGAAGCCGCCTCCGGAGCTCCGGAGACCCGGAACTGGAGGTTTACCGGGCACCGGCATTTTTATATGGCTTGACAGCAGGTGAAGGGTCCAATCGTTGCGGACGATGCCGACGACTTCGACTGGCACCATATAAAGTGAGTCAGGCATCACCGCGACCGAAACGGTGCGCCTCGCGAACGAAACCATCCCTGATATGACCGGGGTTCAGCCATGAACGCAACCGGCAAGGGATCATGATCGACCAGAGGCTGTCATCAGACATGCTGTAGATCAGCAAGTGGTGGCCTGGAGACATGAGGCTCGATCGTCCTGGTGGGAATGGCCAACTGCGAAGTGTCATCACATATTCTGACCTGGCGGCTTCGTGCAGGATCCCGTTGAGAAATAGATTGTGGGAGAACTTGCTGATGCCATGGTAATCCGAATGGGCCGGATCCAATGGGCAGAAGAGGATGATATCGGCGGCTGGCGAGATCTGCATCAGGGCTGGATTCGTGTCAGCCATAACCCATTGCGTGCCATGAGCATCTGCGGCATTGGTTCCCATCGCTCTCTCGGCGTTCTGCGTCTATCTGCGAAATGAATGCTGACTAATGACTCCGGAATAAAAATTTCCCGTTCGTAGCTGAGCATTGTGGCTGGGGGGCTGGGCGGAGGCTCCCACGCAACCGAAATGCGACGAAACGCGACTTCATTTCGGTCTTTCTCCCTCTCCCACCTCGAGAGCATCCCATCCGCCATGGACGATCTACCGCGGTCAAAGATCATCAATAACAATCCTATCGGAAAGGGCCTTGATGCCTTCTATGGTTCGTTCAATTCGGTCTGCGAAGACAGGAAGATCCCATGCACTCCGGACGCGCTAGGTCAACTTGACCAAGATGGTATAGCAATCCAGCTTCGTTACAGTGTGCTCCTCTGATCGACATGCAGAACTCCGGAAACTTATTCGTGCCTTTCTAAGAGCGGTGCAAAACCTTCCCGCTGCTGACCTGCTACCTGCCAGGACGGGTCGCGGCAGCCTTCGAGACGACCTTCTGCGGCTTGAACTCTCGCTCCGCTCCGACGACTTCGACTTCGACCGTATCAAACCTCTCCTCAAGTCAGCTATCGCCGATAATCCAGACGATGCCCACATCTAGGATCAAGTCTACAAGGCCGTCACAAAATCCACCCCACCTCCCCGACCGATCGCCTCTTCCCTCCAACAAACCCCATAGCTGCACAATACCAGCAGCTTCGCGAACTCCTCCGAATACCGCAAGGATATAGACAGAGTCCTCAGGGATGAACTCGGCGCTATGTACGTCGGGCTTCCTCGATTCCACGAGACCTTTTTCGGACGGGTGGCAGGTCTCGAAGCAGCGTCCGAGGCCGTCTTCAAGAAGTGCATGGAAGGCAGCGAACCACTCTTCAGTAATAGGTGGAGCGGATGGCCGACAGATGCAAATCAGGACGATGTCTTAAGCTAGTTTACGGAATTGAACGAGAAACTAGCGACATTTGCAGGAGAGTACAAGTCGACTCCGACACATCGACGAAGGCCACTAGCACAACCCAACAAGCCGATCCAGGGTTCCACGGCAGAACGCAAGTTAGACGTCGGCTTCGTAAACGACCCCAAGGCTGGAAAAGACTCTCGATGTCACTGGTCGCATATCCTCGTACCGGGCGAGCTGAAGAGCAATCCATCGGCCGACAAAGCGGCAAAGGCATAGCTTAATCTTAGGACGTACGCGAGAGAAGTGCTCGCTACTCAAGACACCCGTCGCTTCGTCTTAGGCTTTACCATCTGCGGATCACTCATGAGGATATAGGAGTTTGACCGGCTAGGAGCGATCGCATCCGAGCAGTTCAACATCAACGAGGATGGACTGCAGTTCGTATTCACGATCCTCGGGTTTCTCTAGATAAGCGAGGAGGAGCTTAGCTTCGATCCGACAATCATAACGGCGAGTAACGAGCGATTCATCAAGATCGAGCGGGATGGTTCAACAAAGCGCCTCATCATTAACGAGTTGATGCAACGCGCACGTTACATCGCTAGCCGGGCCACGACTTGCTGGAAAGCCCATCTTAAAGGACACGCACAGACACCGCTCGTCATCAAAGACTCATAGCAATACCCCGAACGCGATAAGGAGGGCGAATTGTTACGCGAGGCAACTGGTCAAGGCGTTGTCAACGTGGCCCGATACTACCACCACGAGACTGTTCAAGTACACGGCACGGATGACGACATTCGAAGCAACGTTCGCGGAGGACTAGATGTCACCACAGCTACGAACTACCGGCCGGAACGCTCGATGCCGCCGCCGAGTATAATCGCGTCTAGGGCTTCACGGAGAGGTCGCAGCAGCAGCCGCGCTACTAGCAAGAAGCGATCATCCAGTCAAATTGGCGCCCCTCTGCCCCCCAGCAAGCGATCCTGTTCGGCATCTCCAACGAAGGCTGGCGGCGATGCACTGCCGAATCGCGTACATCGGCGTGTCATTCTTCGTAACTATGGAAAGCCCATCTACAAGGCGAGCTCCCGATCGGCTCTCCTTATCGCGATGGAGGGCTGCATTGAAGGACATGAATCCTTACGCAAGGCTAGCTTCCTCCACAGAGACATCTCAATCAACAATCTCATAGTCAATGAGGACGACAACAATCCCTCCTAGCCTTCGTTCTTAATTGACCTTGACCTCACTGTTAGAGAGCAACGAGAGGGCGCCTCTAGAGCAAAGGGCAAGACCGGCACGAGGGCATTTATGGCAATCGGGGCCCTTCTAGGCGAGCAGCATTGTTTCATACATAACCTCGAGTCATTCTTCTAGGTGTTCTTCTAGTTATGCATCCACTACGACGCGCAGGGCAAAGATATCGGACCAACTAAGTTTAACAGCTGGAATTACGAGAGTGATAACAAGCTAGTTCGATCGAAAGTCGGTATGATAGGCGATAAGAGTATTTTTCTCAAGATCGCGGAAGAGAACTTCACATCGTACTACCAGCCATTGATCCCGTCGGTCAATAGACTACGGAGGAAGGTATTTCCAAACGGTGAGAGGTGGAAGAGGCTGGAGCCGGAGCTCTATTCCTCGATGAAGAAGATCCTTCGCGACGCCCAGAAGGACCCGGACGTGTTGGCGGATGGTGGGTAGACAGCATTGTCATAGGCTATACCAGTGTTTTATATTCGCCCGTGAGAATGCATGTGGTTTCTTACATGCCCACAACTGTGACCCCATGCCATGGAAGCGACTGCTGGAGCAGTTCGACAACTACCGGCGTATGTGGGAGGAACGACGGGACTACAAGTGGCTCAAGGATTTGGCGTCAGAACGCTGGACCCGTCGCCTCTAGGAGGACGAGATCATCACCTTCCACAAGGCCATGGATCGACTTCGAGGACTCCTCCGCACAGTCCAGCACAGTGCATGTGACATCACCGCCTTGCTTACCTAAGCAAATGAGAAGCCTAACCGCTTGGTGGCGGTCCTGCGGTCGGGACCGCACCAAGATGCGGGCCGACCCTCGAGAGGCCGTTTCGGGCGTATGACTAGGGTACTGCCCTTCCCGAGGATCTATTCCCCTATTCTCTCTTCTGAACTAGACTTCGCGCATTCCTTCTATCACCAGAATCATTCATGCGCTACGACTTGGTCCTCAAGTAGTCCGTTGTGGGCCCGTGCGACACCTTTGGGCGAAGGGATAGCAAAACCAACTTCCCTTTCCCTCCCGGGAAAGTTCTGCGTCTTGAGCAAGTCTGCAATCTCGGCGCCTTGCAAGCTTGAATTGAGAACCTATAATTTAAGTGTGATCTATCCTGACATGGGAGATGCATGGATCAGCGAGGAATGCTTTGCCGATCTGGTAGCGAAAGCTAATACACATCGCTTCTCGAACACTGGTGGGTCGGCATCGTTTCGTTTCGGCTGTCTATTAAAGCACACACTTCGCAAGACCATATACAGCAAGTTACGCTTCCATGCAGAAGCTCCTAACAATATCCACCAACCGCCGTCTCGTCCTCTTACTATCAAACACCTGTCCATGATGAAAGTCCGGAAACCACAACACATCCAAGCCATCGCCCTTCCACTCTCCATCTTTCCAGCCTTCATCCCCCCAGCCCTCACTCGACAGAATCCAGTCATTTCCGCCTGTCATATACGCCCTGACGACCTTTGTGTTAACGATCAGGTCGTTGCCGCCAAGGGCCACAGCCACGCGATGGCCCTGCATATCTTCCTTCCACAAGATATTGTCGGCCCAGAAGAAGCGTCGAAAGAGGGTATGAGCAACGCCTATATCCTTGGAGCCGAAGTACCAGAGCAGGTATTCATTGGCACTGGTTGGCTTCCGGCAGATCTGCGTTAAGAGGTTAGCTGAGATGATGAGTAGGGAGACGGGGAAGACGTCACAAAATTGTACGCGACATCGGGGAGATGCAGTAGAAAGGCCACCGGGTCAATGAATAACATCGGTCCGATCTTTGGCGCGATCTTCGGCGTATGAAGGAGATGCGCAGCCACAACGCTTCCATAGCTTGGTGGATAACCTCAGTGGTTACCAATCACCATGAACAGGGAGCGCGGGGGGATACTCACGAATGTGCCACCAGCACGAACTTTTTCCACCCATGCGCGTTCAATATGCAATGCACCTCATCGCCCATCTTTTCTTGCGACATTGCCTCTCCGGTTATGCGGGAGCTCACAGGCATGATCTCCAAAGCGATGATCCCCACCTGTCCGTCGGACGAATCGTCACCGTCGTTCGCATTTAATTCGGCCAGGAAGTCTATGTATTGGTAGAGCCCAACACCGATACCGTGGATAAACAGGACCGGGAGTCTTGTCTTCGAGGTGTGTAGCCGGTGCCAGTAAGTCAGACTCTGTGCAGGGGAGGAATGGGTGCTGAAGAGTGTGAGGGGGCATAAGGGGAAGACGGTAAGAAACGACGTGTGGTGGAAGTCGAAGGAGTGGTAGTGCAGATAGCCGGAAGCCAGTGTGTCGACAATAAACACGCACTATAGGATAGGGTAAATTAGTAGCTGGTTTGGTCGCAGAGGGGCAATTCCAAGCGCATTTCCTCGTCGTCACTTAATTACCAGATACCATGTCAAGCTCCGGTGTAACATCTCGACCTTGTCGAGGGTCAATCTCAGACACTTTGCGTTACCGCGCCCGGGCTCGAACTTCCTCCCCAGCATCTTCTCCATCTCGCCGGCATACTCCTCCAGCTCCTCGTCGTATTCCCAGTCGGGGTCTCCCGTATTCAAGAAGGCCCATCGGAAGAAGTCCTTGACGTTCTCCCTCTTGATCTCAGCCGCCGGCGCATTCCGGAACCATTTCGTCAGGTAGCGTTCCGGATCTGGAATGTTGTCGTGGCAGCGCCGGAACAATTTGCGGCGATCGCTACGGCAGACGGCCGTGGGATATGTCGTGGTCCTCTGGAGGTGGAGGCTGAGCGGAAGGTAGACGGCAAGGTAGAAGACGGCCTCGAGTGCGAGCCAGATCTCTAGCATTCGGGGGACGTGAAACAGGGGATAGACGAGCCATCTGGCCAGTGAATAGAAAATGCTCAGGGGCGCGATCAGGTGCAGGAGGAAGATGCTTGTCCGGATGAAAACGTAGTCCCAGAGAGATGTTAATGCCATGGCGAATGGCTGACAATGCCGTCGAGGAGCATCTCGAGTAGCGCGGAGGGAGTAATATTTAAGAGCCTGTTTATCAGCCGACGGCCAAGTCAATGAGCTGCAGATGCGTGCCTTTTCGTGAATCGACAAGAGCCCGATGGTGGCCCCATCTTCCGGCGCAATGAACGTGAGCGCCGGGGCATCCACCTGGAAACGCGCAGATGGGCGATAATTTGACATGTGAACGGCCAAAATGCAAAATGATGACGCGTCGAGAAACGGGACTGACTGCGTAAAGGCCGCCAGAAACCTAAAGATGGCAAGCAATGACGGCTGCCTCGGCATTCAGAGGATCGATTGACCCCGTCGTAACTAGCATATGTTGGGAGTGGGGCTCCTTTTGTTGAGTTTGCTACGTAGGAAGCGGACTTCCACTGTATTGGACTATGTAGAACAGTGGCCGTGGGGACAGGCATGGTGTAAGCGCCAAGAGCCCAAAAACGGGTCCCTAAACAACTAAGCAGTGAATGAAAAGCGGAAGGCGATTTTGCTAGAGACTGTAGGAAGCTCTAGATACAAAAGATGAAAAGGCGAGAATGGATGTCGCGAGAGCGACCCTGCACGCGGTATGTCGCGTGAGTTATCTGCGAGGCAGCAGTCTAGATCCGTGACGTTAAGCATGCTGCAAAATGGCCCGAGTTTTGGGTCAAGGGGTCCTGGACTGGTCCTTTAATGATAGCGCACCGGTCCATGAGCACTTGCTCGGCGCACATGATAGGTGGGCCCTGTTCTGGGCCACCCCGAAATGATAAAAGGCTATGTTCTGGACTGCACCGAGGTCGATGGGCAGAGACCGAGGAAGTTCAAGCGAAAGAACTCGAAATCTGCTCAAGGGCACTGTGGCCGGGACCTCCTGACACGTGGAGTAGTATGGCCAATCTGGCGTCGACGTACCGGAATCAAGGCCGATGGGCAGAGGCCGAGTCGTTGGACTTACAAGTTATGGAGATAAAGAAAAAGGGTACCGGGGCCGGAGCATCCCGACACGCTGACCAGCATGGCTGAGCTAGCGTTGACGTATCAGAATTAAGGCCGATGGGCAGAGGCTGAAAATTTGCAAGCAAAAGCACTTGAGATCCGCTTGAGAGTGCTGGGGCCGGAACACCCTGACACGCTGACCGGCATTAACAATCTTGCTTGTACTTGGAAAGGCCAAGGTCGTCATGATGACGCATTGGACTTGATGCGCCGTTGCGTCCAGCTCAACGAGCAAGTACTTGGCCCACATCACCCTCATACGATGTCCAGTCTTTGTGAACTAGATATATGGCAAAAAATCGACCATTCATTGCGGCAGCACAGCTAGTTTCGATGACGAACTTTCCATCCAAAACGCAGGTGGAATGACAGGGACAGAGGTACGCTGTCAGACTCATCAGACCAAACTGCAACCACAGCCTACTACATCCAGCGAACCACCTACACTTCCTAATACACCACAGGATACTGGACTTCATAATGGTACTCAATACGCACGAAAGTTTGCTGGCCCATTTAAAGGAATGCTGGTTGACAGCGGTACTTTCATTAATGTTGGCGGGAAGGAATGCATTGAGTTTCGCGTTCTGTACGAGATTATTTAGTAGTTGCAAACGATGTTTCGTCCACCAAATCTAACCCAATTAATGTTAACTGGCTTAGCGGACTGCAAAGGTCCCGGTACAAGACTTGTGCGGTCTCCGGTGTTGGGCCTAGAATCACTGTCCCCGCGACCCTTGTGGGGAACCTCCGGTGAGCAACCTCTTGCAAGGCCCCACCAAATGCAACAGGGGACCGGTTCGCATAATCGCAAATTCCGGTCGTAGCTGCCCTAATCTGCTGAAAGGGCCATTGGCTTTTCGCTGGGGCCCCAGTGACCCCGGGTTCAGCCCGAATGGAGGAACGTTGTACTGTATTCTCTGGTGGTGTGGAAGAGTGGCCAGCCAGTCGACGAGCCCATTCATGTGGTGGGAATGGCCGTGTCCTTGTTCAAAAACCGTGGGAGGCCTTCCAAACGCCGGAAACGGTTCCCTTCTCAAAATAGCTACAATACGTTGATATGGCGATGCGAGCAAGAAGTAGCCGTCACAGAGACTTTCAAGTCGCTGCGATTTTGCACTCCAAGAGTCGGAACATCACGTCCTTGTCGGCGTTCGGACGCTCGATTTTCTTGTCTACACGGCTAGCCCGGATGAGTGCCTGATCTAGATGGTCCAAGTCATCCGTCGTCATTATGAGCAGCCGACCCTCATGTGACGATACGCCATCGAGAGCGTTGAGAAGCTCCGATAGCGACAGCTTCCCTTGAGATCGGGGCCGGTCCCGGGCGGCATCTTCCTTGGCTTGGCTGATGTCCGTTTCGCTTTGCCGAGGCTGCGCTAGACCAACAGCGTCCACGTCTTCCAGCAGGAGGACACAACGAGGCGGGAGTTCCGCAAGCAGAGAGCTTAGGGAGTGGCTTCCGACGGCAGAGATGTTGAGGATGTAGACGTCCAAGTCAAAGCGCCCCGCCAAAGACAAGCACAAACTGGACTTCCCGGTCCCAGGCGGCCCGTAAAGCAAGTATCCCTTTCGGTAAGGGATGCCACGGCTGAGATGCCATGCGGGAGCTTCCTGATGCAAGAAGCCTTCGATGTCCTGTATGAGTGCCGCCTTCACCTCCTCATTCATGACAACAGTGGAGATTGGCCTGATGCTTTTCACGTGCGTCCTTTTCCGCTTGCCATCATAGTGTTCGAAGATAGTGGTCTTGTTCTTGGTCAGCTTCAGGACTGCTGGGGATCCAAAGCACGAGACCGTGACCACCTCCTCCATATGAAAGCCGAGGTCTTTCTCCACAGAGCGAAACCAGAACAAATACTTGTTGTAGACGAAGTAGGACATTCCCTTCCAAGGAAAGTAGTGCAGAGGCTTCTTCTGCGTCCTGTTCTCATCGCCGAATGACCGTCTCCAGCCGACTCGGACGAGAGACGACCGTGCCCTGTGAGCGAATGGCTGAGAGGTCAACCAGAGACCAACCATGTCGTACGCTTCACTGGAATATTGGACGTGGACCGTCGAAGCTGCTAACTGTTAGAAGATGTCTTCAAGCCGGCAAGGGGACGAACCAAAGTGAGTCTCCGCCACGCCCCAGACATATCTGCAAACATGTCTGCATCACCAGAAGAACTGGTGTTAGGCTTTGGCGCACGTTTAGAGGCCACAAGGCTTTTTGAGGAGCGCCAAGACCTGAGGGAGCTTGCCGCAGCTTGCAAGCGGCACACTGCTTCGTCCATGAGGAGCTAGTTTCTCACACTCTAGCTGCGTTCGCTTGTCTACAGGGCGATATATACACTCTATAGCCAGTAGTCTGGACAAGACAAGTCAAAATCACTAAGGTCCTCACAAACTCATCCTACCGTGACCACTCTTCTGATGGGGTCGTTCCTATCGTTTCAGCAAGTCTTTCCCAGCGGTCGCAGGTGTCTTGCCAAGGGTGGGCGTACTGTCTGCGAACGACGCTCCGCAGCGGCCCCTGAAGGATACCCGCCGGTTCGGAAGCTGGGTTGTTTGGCTTGAAGGAAGAGCAGATGACTCGGTATGGGCTACGCATATTGAACCGTCGAGGAGGAAAGCTTCGCGCGAACGGCTTGCCGTTGTCGGAACAGTTGAGCCGAAACCAGTCCTCGGTGTGCTCGATAGAGGCTGCTCACGCTCGCTGTCTACAGCTCTGCCCTGGCCATTGCATCCACTGGTTTCTGCAGCTCCCTTTGGCTCATAGTATCGATGAGTTACAGCCACCTTAAGGATGCCGCCCACTTCTCCGTATCGCTCACCCTCCCACCTATGGTAGGTGCCTTTGGGAGGTTATGGCACGGGTGACTGTCCCCCAGCCAGTAGACATCTTGAGAGAGGACTTGGATTGATGCATCATCCGGCTCACGGCGCCACACGTGTCATACCTAATGTCTAATAGGTTGGATTGAAAAGTGCCAAGGTGGTATTCGTGCCACACCAGCGCTTCAGAACGCAAGAGTATTGGCTAGCCTCCTGAAACCCCTGCGGCCGAGAAACGGTTGCAAAGACCTGCGCCCCGAGGTTAGCAATGATTTTCCGTTAACAGACCGTTACACATGGTTCGAGCTGCATCATTTCCAAGCTGCGAAAAGCCCTGCAATCGACTACCCCGAACCACGACGAGGACGTTTAGCCAAGAGCTCATCGCCCCGCAGATTGTCGAGTTCTACTCAAAGGAAGGGATCTTCTTAGGCGATAAGAGGTCACTGGAGGTTGTCATACGCGACGTGACAGGCATTCCTACCAGGGCTTTACGAGATACACCATTATCCGACTTTACGACTTCTGAACGCGAGGCGTGGATACGCAACCGGGAAACAAAGTATGAGGAAGACATGGTATACTCGCTGCTTGGGATATTTGGCGTTTACATGCTACTCATCTATGGCGAGGGTCGCGAACAAGCACGGAGAAGATTGCGAGAGGAGGTCCAGAAATCTGTGAAAGGTAAGACGCCGCTTGGCAACAGAGGATTCATGTTTACTAACACACTTAGGCACTCACTACAACAAGTTCTCGATCAGCTTCAGCCTTTCTGGCGTCCCCGAGACTCCACATTTCGTAGCAAGAGACGGGGAAGTAGCCGAGATGCGAAGAATGCTATGCTCGGATGGAAGCCGTCGCATTGTCGTGCTACATGGTCTCGGCGGCATTGGCAAGACACAGCTGGCTGCGACGTATATAAACCGATATCGGGACGAGTACTCGGCCATCTTCTGGCTCAATATCAAGGATGAAGCGTCCATCCAACAGAGCTTTGCTAGGATCGCAACGCAGATCCTGGAGCAGAATGCCAATGTCGGCAGCCTCAAGGGACTGAACCTACAGCAAGACCACGACGAGATTATCCAGGCCGTAAAGGCGTGGCTCAGCTTGCCAGGTAACACGCGATGGCTCATTGTGTATGATAACTACGACAACCCAAAGCTTCCAGGGCGGAAATCCGATGCAGCGATTGATATACACCAGTTTCTGCCGACGGCATATCAGGGCTCAGTGATAATTACAACACGGCTGTCGCAAATTGACATAGGACATCACATTCGAATTGAGAAACTCAAATCCGAACACGAGAGCCTACAAATACTTTCAAAGACATCAGGCCGAATTGGCTTACAAGATAGTGAGAATCTCGTGGCACTTAATATTCGGCGACTAATGGCGTTTCAGATGGTGATGCAAAAGACCTTGTGCGAGAATTGGACGGGCTTCCACTGGCTCTGGCTACTGCTGGAGCATATCTGAAGCGCGCCCCGATCAGCATACCCAAGTACCTTCGATACTACAAGGAATCTTGGGCAAGACTTACTGGTAATCTGCATCTCGGATCCTATGCAGATCGTACCTTGGCTACAACATGGCAGCTCTCATATGAACATGTTCAAACACAAAACCCACTTGCGGCTCATCTGCTCCAGTGGTGGGCCTACTTCAACAACGAAGACATATGGTATGATCTCATCCAGGCTAGCAACGAAGACGGCCCCATGTGGATGAAGCAGCTTTCAGGAGAGCTCAACTTCAACGATGCGATGGGCGTACTCTACGACTACAGCCTTGTCGAACCTACAACCATATTCCAGGAGATACAAGGGTACAGTATACATGGTTGTCTGCATTCATGGACGGTCCATATATTGAACGAGGAGTGGGACAGCGCCTTGAACAAGCTTGCAGTCGAAAGCGTGGCGTCGCAGGTTCCATCCAACATTGAAGCTGAATATTGGCTGCTTCAGAAGCGACTAATTCCACATGCAATCCGGTCTTGTTCAACAGTACGGGAGAGCGATATTCCTTCGAACTGGGCTTTCCATTCTCTAGGCTATCTTTATTCTGACCAAGGAAAGCTGAACGAGGCCGAGAAGATGTACTTGCGAGCGCTCCATGGATACGAGAGAGCTGTGGGACTTGATAATGTCACGATATATCGACCAGCGATTAACACCCTTTCGAACCTAGGATCTTTACGGTTTGAACAGAACCGTGTGAGTGAAGCGCGGCGATATTATCGACGTGCTCATGATAGCCTTGAGCAGCTCCTCGGGCCATCGCATCCGGCTGTCCAATCAGCGCGACAAACTCTCGAGCTTACAAATGTCGCCGTTGAAGCTGTGACGTCTTCAAGTGATGACCAACATTTGGCAGATCCAACACAACCCCAGGTGTCGAAGACGAGGCGACAAGAGAAGCTGAAGCGGGTCCTAGGTCTTCATATGAAGTAGAAAAGTCAGCAGGATGTCATACAATGTACCGCATTTGCCATGATTTCAGTTCAACGTCACGAACAAAGCCGCTGATGAAATTGCTGCTCTCTTGTCGGCTGAAGAGCCTTTTGTGGCCGGTAATATACGCACGCTGTCATCCATAATGAGTCACAGTTTTGGGCTCGAGCGGGACGTACTTGATTGCTGAGGAGCTGGGACTGATGCCGCTCCTGCAAAAGTAACCCACCACGATGAACTTTATTTCTAACAGGTGCTTGTTGTGGGGCTATCTGCATAGTGCATCTCACAGTGTGCCATAATCTACTGGTCCGTGCGGAAACATTAACTAGTGTCTAAAAAGCGGACACATGTGGCGGTCACTACTGTAGTGTTGTCTTGGTGACTCAAGTGCCTCGCCTAAGCCCTACCACGGCGTTGGCCTACTGACCTGCTTAACTTTGGATAGGAGCACGAATACCCATAGCAGAATTCTCGGTTGGGGGGCTCACAAGTATTTCTACGAGGTACAACTTTAAGAAATCCAGGTATGATATGAGCTTGTACGTATTGAGAACCAGTACTTCCAGTCTAAGACGCTAGCGGAGACTGCAGTGTCCAGTTGTGAATCGCCTGGAAGACTTATTAAATAGCGACAGGTCTTCCCGCCATGCGCTGAGAGATAGATTTCTCCTTGTATTTGACCGAGTCTACTTCACAAGTGGTTGTGGTCTGCAATAGCGTATCAGACGCAGGGTAGCGATTAGGCTGTATGGTATTCCGTCTGGATACTCGGCCCTAGCGATTATCCTCGATAGTCTCAGGAAGTACTATACATAACTATAGCAATGGGCTTATGGTAATGTAGTATTAAATGAATTCTAATCCATAGATGTCCCGTCGGACTGGGGTAATTATCAGCGTATTCGTTATTATTATATAACACACTTAACGGTGACTTATGTATTATACATCGTAAGTATAACGTACTCCACAAGGGAGTGGGACAAACAAGGGAGTGGGTCACTTCCGTCCTACCTACGCGACAATATATAAGAGAAATCAACCACAACGCCTCAAATTAATTCAAACTATTCAGAATCCTCTTCTTCAGAGGTGGACTTAACTTTCTGACACGTACGCGCATTATGGCCGGGCTCCCCGCAGACGCCACAGCGTCGCGCGCGCGTCTCTGTCCTCGTACGGCCACTATGCTGACTCGTTTCTGCCCTTAACTGCTCCGTCGCGTCAATCTGGGACTTTAAATCCTTTGCCTGATCAATCGTAAGGGACCCTCCTTTCTGTAATTGCTTTCTCTTCGTACGGCGACGGCGGCTAAGGCGGTCATTTGCATCTCGAAGTTCGGCGAGTTTGTGGCGTACAAGGGTCTGCTCGTGCACCATTATCGCGATTCCTTTATTTAGCTGCCGTAAGCTTGCAATTATTGATGAAGGAGAGCTACCTTGATGCCGTACGATACGATTCTTGATGTATTTAGTCTGGGATTCGGCTTTAATCGGGTTGTTTGGCGTCTTCGAGACCTAAGGTGGCGGAAGGCCTGTAGTTGAACTTGGCGGAGTTGGCGTATGAGGCTTTACATCTAGCTGCGAAATAACATATTCCGGGTCGTACGGTACTAGGCCAGTCGCTCTAAAGCCTGCCTGTATATTTGACTTGGTAATTGCAGCGTTGTACGCCTTGTAAAAGGCTAGGAGGAAGTCTTCCTTCGCGATGTGGGTAATATGCGCCCGTATGAGACCTTCGATTTCTTTTCCGTACGCCCGTTTTAGAGGTCCGAAGTACCCGACATCGAGAGGCTGGAGCTTATGCGACGAATGAGCAGGTATATAGAGCGTAATTATGTTCTGGTCCTTGCAGTATAGCTCGAAATCGACTGAGTGGTGGCTCTCGTGGCTGTCGAGGATAAGGAGCCGGTAAGCGCCCTTCGTACGGCTCTTTGTATGAAAATCGAAGTGTTTTACCTATTCGAGACCTTTCTCATTCGTCGTCCAGCCGTTTTCAGTAAGCGTAATTACCCAGTTAGGCGGTAGAGGGCTTTCGGTCGTCCAGGAGTTGAGGTGGACCTTCCCTGCGAAGATGATGTACGGCGGAATCGAATTGCCGGACGACCCGATACCCTGGATTACTGTAACCCATTCCTGATTCCCTTGTTGTACGGCTCTTGGCTTGCCGCGTCGATCGGAGGTCGTAACCACAGTCTCGGCGGAGATCTTACCTATCGCGAAGCCCGTCTCGTCGAAGTTGTAGATATCGTCATTGTAGATACCGTATTCGCGATTATATTCCGTACGAGGGTAAACCACGCGCGATACGCGTCCGGATCTTCGCAGAGGACTCTCTGATAGTCGATTCTTCGATTAAAACGCGTTCGGAGCTCAGGTCGTCGTCGTACGAAGTTTGCAGCCCAGTTGGTTCCGACGCGCGGCGCGTCGCGTACGCGGAAGAGTCGATCCGCCATTTCTCGAACACCACTAAGGCGCGGTGGAAATGATCGCGAATCTAGGTCGATTACGTATCGTACAATGCTGTTCTCTTCGTATGAGGTCAATTTCTGGCTTTGTGGTCGTGAATCGCGCTTTGCAGGTTGACCATGGTATCGTCTGTGGAGTGTTGATTTCGACACGTTGTATATCGATGCAGCTTTACGAATCGTCAATTGTTGGTTTGTTTTAAGCGCATTAAGCGCTAGAATCAAATCGCCTTCAGTTGATTGTCGTGGCATAATTATTGGTGGAGGAAAATAAGAAGAAAGAGAGTGTCTTTCAGAAAGCAGGAAAGTGTCCCACTCCCTTGTTTGTCCCACTCCCTTGTGGAGTACGTTATGTATATTGTTTGGGATTTTTTCGCATGCTTTGGAGTGGCCGCGGAATATGACACCAGGTCGAAGATCTGTACGGAGTCTTGCTATGGATTCTTCGTCTATGTATTTGGCTTCTTTCTTGATTTCCAAACGTATAAGTTCGCGGAAGGCCATCAAAGTTTCGGAAGCCACGAAGCTCCGGTTTTTAACTCTTAGCCAGATCCCCACGGTATAGAGTTCATTTTGGACTATATTATCTAGGAACTCAGACAACGCGGTTTTCAAATAGTCTTCGTACCCACGTAGCTCCTCTTCTATAAGTTCTCGATTATCCGTAACCTTGCCTTGATGTCCTTCTTGTTTGGCAAGGCTCTTCACCCTCTTCGTCTTTGTGCCCGTCTTAGCTCTTGGTGCAACATTAAGCCTCATAGGACTCATTTTGCTCGCAGTTCCGCTAGTCTTCGGAACGCTCTCTTTGATTATCTCCGTAGCGCTCTTCGATTGGAGAGACAAGATAAAGTCTTTTATCGCCCAGGAGTTACGGCTAACTTTATTCACCGCTTGGGCCAGTGGCAGGAGGCGTTCGGCCTCAGTAGCCCCGGTCTGCTCGAGTATGAATCTGCCTACGACAGCTGCAAGCTGTAGATAGGGTTGGCTCGTTTTGTGGCGCATCTCTTCGAATTTGTTCTTTCTATTTCCCGCTTTCCATTTTCTGATTATGTTATCGAGTCTTTTGGGCGATTTATCCGGATCGAACTCCTCCCGAGCCAGATTCCGGCGGTACTTTTCGAAAGTCTTCCAAAGGGGGTGAAGTGTTTCAATGCCGGACCAGTCTATCTCAGTTAGTTCGCGGGTCAAGTCTTTGATACACGTATGAGCTGCAAGTCGCTTAATCTTGTGCAGCCTGCCTTTTCCAATTAAGTCCATAACCTGTAGAAACCGGAAGTTTTCCGATACTTGAAACTCTGTTTGTTCCCATTGTTGAACTCCTATTTGTTCCCATTGACCATTGATGTACGAACGAATCCAGAGTTTGATTAGCGATGCAAGGGCGTAATATGCCTTTACGTCCTCAATGCTGATTTTGGCGTATTCTCTCGCAATGTGCTTAGTAACGAGCGTGAAAAACGCCCGCAAGTTGATCTGATCTATCCCAACTTCAGCCTCGATTAGTTTCTTTACATCCTGATTCTCGGCAAAAGCTCTAAGCTTCAGCAAAAGAGATTCCAGCGGTAATTGACTGGCCATTCTCAAGGCCTGATCTCGTTCTTTTTTAAAGCTTGCCAACTCGTGGATCTCAGTCCAATCCTTTGCAACAAGCTCTTGAAAAGCTTGCGTGACATGGTTTTGCATTTTAATAAGAACCAGTACTTTCAGCTGGACCCGTTTGTACTCCTCCGCCGCGTAGGTTCCTGGGTATATGTACCCACGAGCCAACTTGGCAAAAAGGAACTAGCTCCACGTAAAAGGTTTTACTGAGTCACACAATGTCACGCATCCCTAACCTAACATTGACCAAAGGGATGTTTACGGAACCGCCAAGACTATATAGTTAGAATGAAAAACACAGCGGATGAGACCGCGCTAGCCGTCGATCATTGCAGATTCAGCGCCGAATTAACAGGCGACAAAAAAAGGGTACTAGTTAGGGACAACAAAAGAGTACTAGGAACCTATACCTGAGGAATTTAGTACTATAGTACCTACTGTCTGATTCCAGGGCGCTTTTTAGCTAAATCCATAGGACCCGCGCGCGCCACCCATCTCCGACAGCATCCCTGCATACCGTGAAGTCTCGCTCGTTCTCTCTCTGGACATGTCATGTTCAACGAAAGGTCTGTGCACGTAGCAGGTCTATCTTATTCTAGCCCCCTTTCCCGCGAATTTACTCAACACGCTTTACCCTGGATTTCTTTTCTACCCCCATATTTTTCACTAAATGTGATCCACCGATATATCCAAAAAACCGACAGCAGCCGGGTAGCCTCTAGTAGAACGATGCGCAACCAGTCTCTAACTGACTCCGCGACTACGCTGGAACGCGGAAAGGATCCCGACCCGGTCTTAATATACCTACAGCTTTACGCCGACCTAACATACAATGTCCTCATCTGCTGTAGACCCAAATGCCGATACGCTATTTCACCATACGGAGCCCAGTGTCACAATCCAGCCTCCGGGGTCAACCGACTTAGATTGATCGCTGAAGTACAAAGGAGGTGACTATCTAGAGTAAAGGGAATCCAGTTGACCATATACTTTTGTCCTTCATCGCTGAGTTTACGTGGTCACCCCCTCCTGTATGACGTTCATGCTTCTGGTGATGACCGTCAGTCTTGGCGTGGTGACGGTCATGTAGCCGTCACGACAGCGCATATTGGTGTGAAGCTGAGCGTGGCTGACTATCGCCACGTGGCTATCGAGCTATGTCGACACATTCGAAGACTAGTCACTCAGCAGCTCGAGGTTGATATGGGTGATGAGGCCAACTGTGACAACCCGCAGAACTTTGAGGACCGGCTTACTGGCGAAGCACGCAGGCAGAACAAGGTCGAGTACGTTTGGGGTTTACAGGCCACGATCGCGCCCCATGTGGCCAGATCGGCTTGGCAGCCCTGCGAATGCCCCCTCAGGAGCGACAAAGACTGGAGTAATGTTGATTCTTCCTATTCCGCGAATACCTGGACGAGTGGAGGAGGACGAGCTTCCGAGCACCAATTCGAACATGTGAGGACCCCCGGGGCTCGGAGCCACCGCCAAGATGCATCCGAGCCAGCACTACTGGCGAGGCCGGGCAAGTGCTCCTGTGTCGGACTGTTGATATCGCTGGAGGAATGCTTCTTCGCAACTCTCAGCAACCAATCCTATGTCCCTTTAGAAGACCCCTTTCGGTCTCTCCATAGAGTGTATGGTTGCAGTGGCTTCGGAGTCATGGATCGCTTTAGAAAGCCGGGTACAATACATAGTAGTTCACCAGCATTTGACGAGACCTTAGGCTGCGCCGCCAAGTGTGCGGCAACGGAAGATATCTTGACAAGGATAGAGGTGCACTGACCAAATGTCAAGCTGCCGTCCAAGAGTGATACACGCGATGGATATGCTTGAAAGATAGAACACGCTGGATCATACCTGTAATTGGGCTATCGTGACCGCCCAACACACGACGCGAGGATCCCGGCACAGTGGGGCTTTCCAAAAGGAAGAGGTCGTCCTTGAGTACGCCTTCGTGCACCTACCTATTAAAAAGGGCCTTTACGGCATCCTCCTCCCATCATAATATACAATAGCTTTGGGTTTTCTAAACTCATTGGGCTTCTTTGAATTCCATAGAAATCCACTACCGGACTCTCTATTCGTGCGACATCTAGCTGGTGTCCTGAACGGAGGTGGGCGGGAGACTGAGCTGCTTCCCGCGATAACGGGGCGGTCTAGGGGCTGATGGGCCAGCACCACGTAGTCGGTTAGCCTTGCTCTATAGAGCCCGAGTCTCTATGGTCTTCTGCGCGCCATATCCGTGGCTGCAGCATAGTAAAGAGGATTGGAATAGCCAAAGCCTTACATTTCCGAGAAGCTCCGTGTTCGGGAAGTGCACGATTGGGCTGGAGATGAGGTACATACCGCTAGGGACGTATACTATGGCGGGCCGGGTCGTCACACCTACACATCGCGGTGTCTTACAGCGTTCTCCGTCGGAGATAGCCCGGTTGAAGGCTTCTATGTCGTCCGTTGTGCCGTCGCCTGCATGTCAAGCATGGCCGTATAAGCGGATCTGAGAAGTAGGCAAGGGGGTGTATTAGAAAGGGTGGAAATGATCAGCTCACCCTTCGCGCCATAGTCCATCACGTTTCTCCAGACCTACAACAAGTTTAGCGAATAAGATCCAGGCGTCCAGTTTAGTGACGTTCATAAGATACGCCCGATTGAGCAAGGCAAGTTTGCCAATACTAACCTTATACCCTTCCGGCGCAAACGGGGCTCTGCCGTTTTGCGAAATCGTCTCCATCCAGAACACTAGCTTAGCCGCTTGCCTCTTAGTGATGTTATCGGATGGGTCGCCGGCCGCGGAACCGGGTTCAATAATCTCATCGCCGTCAGCCCCCACAAACGTCCAGAGGCCATTGTCCGTTTGTATTAGCTGTGTCGTTCTTACTCCCCTGCCACTTTTGTCGCAGCTCGTCACCGAGATCAAGGACCCCAGTGTCCAAAGCAGTACTCGCGATCTTGGCGACCAATTTGGCAGCCTCTGCAATATTGTCGGGAATGGTATAAGTACCCACATCACTAGTTATACCGTTCAACGCTCTCTTAGTGCCGTGGCGCGCCCACAGAGTCGTGGTATTGCTAACGATATCCAGAGGAGGGGCAGGCTGCTTCTGTCCTTATACCTCTGCTTTATTCGGACGTCGATAGCGGATAGTAAGCGGGCTTCGCAGGATCTGGCCGTTCACGTCCCGGAGGACTGCCTGGGCCCTCGAAACGAGATCTTCGACGCTGCCCGCCCCAGTGGCATTACTTGCCGTGCCATTGGTGGTGATGTTGCTCTGCCGTGCGTGGATGTGATAACTATTATGGATCGCATGGTGTTGATGATAGTTGTGCAAGGCAGCCACTGCACCGATGTTTAGTGTTGAAAAGAAGAACGTAAGGCAGACCACAAGCGGCTTCATTGCGGAGACCATCGTGGTTCATACATGAACTAGTTGTGAATCGTCTGCCACAGGGAGAAGCTCAGAGCTATCGTGAATTGATAAACCCATATAACTAGGATAGTTCCTGCGGACGCGAGAACGCAACAAACTTGCAGCGGGGGCAACTAGTCAGAGCAGAACCACCAGATGCCAATCTTGCCAGAGGTTTGTGTCAGTGAGGTTTGGCATCCCTCCCATCCAAAGAGTGCGCATCCCAATGCACGGTCTCAGGTGCCAACGCGCCGCACCACCAGTCTCGGCCAGTTTCCGGGTTCCCGCCATGCAGAGTTATTGTCTTTCGAGGCCTGCATGTCTTGCGGATCGACGTAGCCGCGCGAACCTTGCCGACCTGGCCTTCGAGCTGGGATTGCCGGCCAACAACAAACCCCAGGCGGTAGGTCTACATCGCCACATCCGCGGCGAACAAAAGTTCCTCGCAGCGCCCCTCAGTTCGCCTGATGTTGGCCGGTGAAGCGAAGAAAACTCTGGATGTGGCCCAACATGGATTCACCCGGAGCTTTCTTAGCTTTCCTTCAACCCTCGGCATCTCCCGGCGGCCTGCAGCGGAACCGCGGATATGACTGTGAGCCAAAGATAAGACCCTAAACATGTATAGCCGTGTGGGGCGGAGCTAAACCCTGACCTAACAATGCACGCAGGGAATGGAGTGAATAATAACCCCTTGTCGCCCCCGGGGACGCCAATTTTGCGCGCGCATGCAGCCCTGTCTTCAGGGTTCATCTGAGGTACATCGAGGTACACGACGCAAAGCACTGGCCGGCCACGGGTGATGAACCGCGCCTCGATCCATTGTAATGCCGCGCCAAGCATCCCAGCGCCAACAGCTGAGTAACATGGGCAAAGCAAGCAGGCCCCACGAAACTCTATCAGGTGATATTGAACAAATGCGCGACACGACCAACATCGCGAAAAAGGAAGGTAGTCCGTGTACCGGGCCCGGTGCCAAGAGAGCAACAGTAGGTCCCTGGCAACCAACTCTCGGAATGTGTTCCCCGTGGGAATGCATAAACCATTGGCAAGGGTCCGCCAAGTGAGCTGGTCGGTGATCAGGAATGGTCGCAGAATGAAGCTGCACTACATACATAGTATCAATTAGAAACTTCCCGGGATCTAACCTATGACGGGCCGCTCTCCGGCCACGGATTGTGCTCCGTGTCGCAGCCGCTCTCGAATATCGTGGTTCCACTTTCAAGCCGCATACTATCGGCAGCGGCATATGTTCTGGCGGTATGAGGCTTGCTTCCCTGTGGTACGAGGGGCCTGTCAGACCTCTGACGCATCACGACACCGCTCCTGTTGGTTGCAAAACTCTGCGCTGGCCAGTGGAACCCGTGTCCGCTGCCGACGCTCCCCCGGTCAGAGGTGAAGGGTTTTTGCGGTTTCCAGGACGGGAGAAGGGTGCTGCTACAGCTTTGCTTGGCAGAAGGGCCAGACTGGCAGGATTAGATCCACGTCTTCGGTCAGGCTTTGCCCCTTGAGTCTCAGAGAAATCAGAGCGTAGGGGTCCAGCGGCGGGCTTCCACATATAGGGTCCGGCGAGCCTGTAAGGAACAAGGCTCAGCAAGGCTTGTGAGAGCCATCATCCTACCAGCGCTCGAGCTTTGGTGACCATTGTCAAGGCGCCATGAAGGCAACCAACCCGTTACTTCTCGCAGGCCTAATAGCCTGCACTCTGTTTGCGAAAATCAGCAGTGCTCAAGACTGCAGCAAGACCAAGCTCTGTGCCACGGGTTACTGCAGCAAATTCGGCTTCTGCGGCACGACGGACGAACACTGTGGCGAAGGTTGCTAGAGCACCTGTGACTTCGAGCTTGGCTACCATGCCAGCAAGCTATGTGCCACAGGGTATTGCAGCAAATTCGGGTTTTACGGTCTTGGACCTGATTGTGAGTCGTGATCCTGTTCGGGAGACCTCGTCGAGTAGCACAACATCACTAATACGTGGCGTTAGTCTACAGCCCCGAGAATTGCGTTTCCGGGTGTCAGTCTAAATCCTATTGTAACCCAGGAGGTTATGGGCCCGACTATGTCGAGATCGAAAAATGCCCCCTCAACGTCTGCTGTTCCAAGTTTGGGTACGTGAACACGGAATCAAGCAGCCTGGGCGGCACAAGCTAACCACTATCGACAGCTTTTGTGGAACGACAAGCGAGTTCTGCGCTGGAAAGGAAGTTGCGAGGCCTCAATGCTCCAGTGCCGGCCGGAAGGTCCAGCGCGTCATTGGCTACTTTGAGAGCTGGGCTCCGAAGCGCGCCTGTCAAGCCTTTCAACCTGAAGACATCCCTGTCGGCGTCTACTCGCATCTCATCTTCGCGTTCGCGGGTATCGATCCCGTCACTTTTGAGATCGTCCCTGGCTCTCCAGATAACATTGACCTATACCCACGAATTACAGCTCTGGAAAAGAAAGATCCAGACCTCAAAGTTCTCATCGCAGTCGGGGGCTGGGCATTCAATAATCCGGGCCCTACTACAACGACTTTCTCAGACGTTGCGAGGTCTCCTACGAATCGAATCAGGTTCACCCGGTCTGTCCTGAAATTCTTAATCACCTACGACTTTGATAGCGTTAACATCGATTGGGAGTATCCTAGCGCCGAAGACCGCTCCGGCCGGCTAGAGGACTTCAAGAACTTTCCCATCCTCATATCGGATCTCCGCGAGGCGCTCAACATGTCGGGCAGAAACATCCTCACTCTAACGACACCTATCTCCTACTGGTACCTTTAACATTTTAATATTGAGAGCCTTATCAAACCTATCGACTTCTTTAACGTCATGTCCTACGACTTACATAGCATTTGGGATAAAGGCAGCAAATGGCTTAGAGACTTCCTAAATGCCCACACCAACATAACCGAGATTACAAACTATCTCGACCTCTTCTGGCGCAATAACATTAACCCTGCAAAGATAACACTTGGCCTAGCGTTCTACTCTCGAACATTCACCGTCGCCGATCGGTCATGTACGACACCTAGGTGCAGGTTCGACTCCGGCGGCAATCCGGGTCCTTACACGCGTGATACTAAGGGGGGCACGCTCTCTATTGCGGAAATCAGCGACTTGCTTCCCAAATCCTCCAAGCCCGTCATCGATGAGAAAGCCATGGTAAAGATGACAGTTGCGAATGGGAATCAGTGGATCGCCTACGACGACCTGGACACGTGGAAGCTCAAGATCGATGCGGCGAATCGGCTGTGCCCTGGAGGCGTCATAGTCTGGGCTGTGAGCTAGGACATACCGGGGACCGGCCAGTACTCGCGCGAGCTGCAGAAGGCTACGGGTTGGAAATCGGCCGCCGTCGGGTCCATAAGGGACGACTTTGAGGATCCTAATGCCCTGCTTACCATACATAGGCCGCAGTGCACGTGGACCGACTGCAACCAGAAGTGCCCCATCGTCGATGGTGCCCAATGGACGACTATCAAGCGGTCCGATCCAGACGGCGGCGGCGAGGCCATGATGGATAGCACAAACTGCGTTGCAGGCCAGTCTAATCGACTGCTGTGCTGCCCACCCCAGTTGCCTACTTCCTTCGAATACGGCTGGTACGAACACAACGGCGGCTGGTGCCACGGCGAGTGTCCTTCAGGCATGACCGAAGTTGGCTCCCTTTCCCAGCACTGCAAACAGCAGAATCCGGAGAATGGAAGATACCAGGCGGCCTGCTACACGATGGCGGACCCAAACACCAAGGTGTTTGAGCAATACCACTGGAATGGTCAGATGAATCATTACGATGGCGATTGCCCTGGTAGGGAGACCAGTCTCTTCAGCTCGTAGTCCGGAAGCGGCGCCGTGACGTGCCCAAGCTGGGATCCGTGGATGACACTATACACTCGATACGACCGGCAGTATTGCCGCACCGCAACTACCCTCGAAGGAGCTGAATGGGATAAGTGCGACTAGTTTAGGAACACGGGCTCGGTACCCGCCGACGCCGGGCCAAACCACTGCCAAGGTGGCTGCCCAAACGGCTGGTCCAGGCTTGCACTCCGGGACAAGGACTGCCACACTGGGGCGATGGCTTACTGCTGTCTCTCTCGGTATCGATCGGACGCTACCCCCCAAGAGAGCATCGAACATACGGGCAAGCTCCTCGACAGCTTCTACGACTCTCCCACCTGTCCGAACGACAACGCCATCTTTCGTAGCAAGTCAGAGGCGTTGTTCACGCTTGGCGTCGTTAGCACTATACTTATGGGCTACGACCCGATCATCGAGCGGCAATGGGACAATCACATAGCCCGGGGCTCGGGCAAGTGGCCTGACCTCACGTCCAGCCGTGTCCAGTCCCTCTTTCAAGCCATGCGGAAGACAGTGTCGGGGCTGACCGAAAAGGCGCTGGGCCGGCCTCTGTTATGTGATACTGATCAATGGCAACGTTTTACCGCCGGGGGTGGCTTCTCACAGTCATTCACGAGCAGCGGCCCCGTTTACATTATAAACTTACTGGCCGAGGATCCTAACTACAACGGAGCTGATGATGGGGGGGATGACACCATCAGCCGTGGTTAGGCTGCTGAAGTCTCTCTGCGGGATGAGTTTAGGAAAGACCGCGAAGTATTGGACCGCAGGTCAGACCGCGACCCCATCTTCATTAACTGGACGAGCAACACGATGGTAGGTGTGGTTAGGCAGTGGGCCTACAGAGCACACAAATATCCATCCGGGCGGAACGGCGATAAGCTTCAGGCCGCGACAGGCAATGCAGATCGCTTTAGGTACAACAATAGCAACAATGGGGGCAACAATGGGGGCAACAACGGTGGCAACAACGGTGGCGGAGTTAACTGCGAGTTGTGTATCGATGTTCGGTTCAGCAAGCAGACGACTATCAGCACGGTCAGGTTCGTTAGTAAGTAAAGGATACTGTTAATCGGCCAGTCTATCGACACCAGACTTCAAAAAACTGACTCCCGACAATCAGCTGAACACGTGGTGGAACTCCAGAGCATAAAGCAGTTCTTCATGTTCTGCTTAAATGGCTACCACAAAGGCCTTCAACGAGATAGCTGGCCGAACCTACCAGACACACTGGTTGGTAACATCGATTCGATTTGGAAACCGCACGGCAGTAACACCATGGACATGATCCGGTTGATGGATTTCATCATAGAAGGTAACACCGGCTGGTAGCAAGATAATCGCGAGACTCCCGTCAGCGAGATTCTGCACGCTTTTGGTTCAAATGAGAACCCGGTCGTTCTCCGCAATCTGCTGAGCGACATCAATAGCATCAAAGCAAAGGCAAGTCGTTCGCGATGATGGATTCTCCGTCCCACTGGCTTCCGAAAACTCCTCGCCCTGTATCCCAGCCTTTGCTAAGATCATACCCAGGTCGATCCCCGCTTATTAAGACTTGTGAACTAACTCAAAGTCCATGGGGCGCATGATTTTGCAGTTGTGGGTCATCCATGCCCCGATATCTACCGGGAAGGTGACCGAGGCTGGCGGCGATGTGTTGAATAAAGGCGGTTACGAGGCTGCGATCAATCTTTGGAAGAAAGTAAGTCCAACCACGCCATCACCACTAACTAACAGAGAAGAGGCTAATCGTATGGTCAAATCCTAGGTGCTTTTCGTCTGGGACTATCTCCACGGCGTAACGGATGTCCTCGCGGGCATCGTACGTGCCGTCTCGGGCATTCTCTTCCGTGTTAACGATTACTGGTCGGACGAATACAACAACGGCATTTCGCTGTACCTCGCTGAGCGGTGGGAGGAATTCTTTATACTGCACTTTAGTCGTATGCTGCGCTGGACCAAGTAGTACATACGTCACATCCTCATTGAGCCAAAGCAGCGTAAATGGATCGATCACCTCCTTTCGGGGACAACGAGCCTGCAGGAAACCCTAGACTTGGTATGCGCTATCATCACCGCCCAAACCATTCTCCGTCGTTTGGACGCGATCGAGCCTATTCCCGACAGCACGTTCTCGAGTAGTAACGCGCGGCTCGCCATGTTATCCATCGAGCAGATGTAGTTTCTGCGAGCAACCTTGAGTTGTCTAGCAGGACATCTGCAGTATTACACTAGCCGAGATATATAGCTTTCATCAACATCATCTTATGGTTGCTTGCCGAAGTAAGTATTGCCGAAGTGAGTATTGCCGGAACACGTAGCTAAAGCGCTTGACAGCGCCTTTGATGAGAGGAAAGCCGACGAAATGCCACATACAGTTTGTGCTAAGACAGACGATGTGTAGGGTAGGGGCTGTTGTGGACAGGGGTTTCGATCTAGTCTGGCGGCCAAGTAGCCCTGGGCCGGCATACAAGAGGGCGGACCCCTCGACTTCGAGAGGTCCTGCCCGGGTTCTCTCCATCACCAGATTGCTCCTATCATATAGCGTCCCCATCCCAGCAGCCATGCGAGACTGCTACTTTCCCGACAGCATGCAAACCCACGTCGAGTCGGGCCTTCGTCTCGATCCGGGAGACTGGAAGCTGAAGCACTCGTTGGCCGATTGGGACTTGATTGAAAAGGCAGTGGCTTGTAACGGCGACCCAGTCTCTCTCAGTGATGGCGACCGCCAACGACTGTTGGACGTGTGCGGCCCATTCTGGGGCCGTGCTCTTGGCCAGCCGGCCTCACTGACCCCGATCGAGCGCCGAATCGCCAAAGGATGGCCTTCCGAGGATGTCATAGCTGCGAACGTCGCCAAGGTGGCACCGGGACTCACGCCAGAGGGTTTCCTCGCCAAGGTGGCTGAGGGCGCAGACTGGATGACTCTGGCACAGACAGACCTCGTCGACCAGCGCTTCAACCTCCTGAGGCCAGGACAGCGCCGCACGTGGTACAGCATGGCTCACTTTGACCGCTACCGGGCCGGGTGGCTGCTAGCTTCTACAGAAGAGCGCAACGCTTACCGCAACTCCCAGCTCAGAGGCCAGCTGCTCCGCAGACCAGGCTTCGTCCTTGACGAGACTACGCTGAACAAGAAAGCTGAGGCAGAGTGGGAGAAGCACCATAGTCGGCTGAAAGACCTGCGAGACCAGCCACCGTGGATCAAGCATATTCTCATATCCAAGCTCTGGGGTGGATTTCCGCTCCGCTATGGATTCCCAGTCTACTTTACTAGCGAGCTGCACACAGCCCTCGAGGAGAAACTGGTGTACGGCCGCGCACTGTACGGTAACAGTGAGAAAGGCAAACTCTTCGAGTCGCCCGTGGTTTTTATTGCATCATATCTCAGGAGCAGGATCTTCCAGTTCGGCAACTTCGTCGATGTAGCTAAGCAGGAAAGCTCCAGTCCGAGGGACGTCTGGATAGCCCAGCGCCTCAAGGACACGACGAACTACATCATCTCATATACCCCTCTGCCACAGGACGATGGTGCCAGGATCCGATATCTCCATCGGATGGTGCGATATGGCGGAGCTCTCGAGGAGGGCGAGAAACCAATGTGGAAATCCCACTGGCTCGACGAGCAGTATCTTGTTGTCCTCGACACTGCCAGCCTACCGCCGGTGTCCGACGTCTTGAACGACACAGACAACTCCACCGATGTTGCCGCCTGGTTATACGACGTCGACTGGGATCCCCCCACGGGTGCCACGCATGATGATGACGGCTACGCAGGTAGAGTCAAGGTCAGCCTTGGCTATCACCTCTATATCGGGCTCTACCCGTTCTTACTTCGCCCGGACTTCACCCTGAAGAAGGTTTGGGCCATCAAGTCATCCGACGATTACATGTACCGAATCAAAGACTTTTCCGCGATAGCTTAGCCTAGACAAGGAGAACACGGGTTATCCAGCATGTCTGAGGGCGTTGGCGAGTCCTCATGATAACACAAAAGCTTTTGCGACAGAAGCCCACTCCCTTGGCAGCGTGATCGTTATTTAGTTCTTGCTACATTTGCTATACAGAGTGCATGGTCACCTTTTGAGATCTCCTCGAGCAGCCGAGAGAGACGGGCAGGCTGCCCATTGTAGCGCGGGTCACGACGCTGACGGGACGTGGTGGGTGGGGAGGTCGTCGAGGCTTGACGGCGGCGGTCCTTGTTGTCCCGATCTCCTTCCCATCGGACTCGCCGTCCTTTCCTCTGACTTGGATCCGGTCAGATGACTCGTGACAGGCAAATATGCAGGGTCTTCTCATTAGCGTGCAACTGGACGAGGCTCGGCTTGGGACTCAGCCCCACCATCATGCTCCGCGTCCGTATTCGCCAGGATCAGGCGGGCCGGCAGGGAAGTGCCTGCGATTAAGGGGACTGAAGAAAGCGCCAAGGCTTGCAGGGCAGGGAATAATCCTGTGGATGAGCTGTTGGTCGGGCCAAGTGGTCCTTAGCATATCACGCTAGGCGCGGCCAGAACATGAACGCGGGAGGTTGCAGCTACCCTGTCAACCAACATAATGGCACCTTGACGGTAATGGTAACCGGCTGGAGGGGCCTGTGCCGGATGGCCATTGGGTAACCACGGGCGCCCCTGAACGGACTCCCCTAGATCTGCACGACGACGGAGCGGTCCGAGATGGTTATTAGTCACGTCCAACAGGTACATGGAGGTACAAGTCGTGCCTGGGAGCGCAGAACCCATTAAGGTTATCCCCGACAGGACAGGCCTCTGCCCCTATTTGGCGGCGGAGGTATCATCGACTTTTCCGGGGCATCCAGCTCTGGGCCAACATCGTCCTCTCAGGTGTTAGTAATTTTGCATCGCCTTTTGTGGCTCTCCGGTGTAGATACTCGTGACCGCCAATCTCGGCAGGCATGGATTTACATAAGTCCGCGACAATGGGCGCGCATATAGATGACCGAGTCTACCGAAATAACTCCAAAAAGCCACCCGTGCACGGCTCGACTGAAGGGACTCCATATCCTTCGTACCAAGGTTGTGAACAATCCCTAAGCCCGCAGGACTTTCCTTCTCGAGACACACCTGACAGACCATGTAGTGCAATACGGAAGGCGACGAACCCGGTAGCTTTCGTAGGCTAGCATACTGCTACGAAGCTGAGATTGGATGTGCTAGGGGAATCTAGGAACTTTGTCGCCTTAATGGAGTCAAAGGTGCGGTCTTTCTGCGTCAGCCTTGGTATATAAAAACCGCGGATGCTCAGCGTGCTCCAGCTCAGAGACGTTTAGAACATCGTCGACAGTCGCAAACAAAACCTCTCAGCCACTTTTTTCCTGGCGGCTACCATCATACGTTCCACGGCCTTGTTTCTTCTGGCCGCCAGTCTGCCTGTTACCTAGGCAGGTCCTATAGCGGCCAGACAAGCATTTGAGGTCGACCCCAACACGACCAAGTACTACACGTAGTACCACAACGTCATTAAGGGAGACACCTACGAATTTATCCTCGCTTCATGGGAGATCTCCCTAGAGACTTTCATACGCTGGGTGGGCTGAACCTTGTGCTAGGAAAACTTTTGACTTGCAAGAAGCGATGGCTAACTCAAACACTCCAGAATCCATCCATCACGGCCGGCTGCGGTAACGTCCAAGTAAACCACTCTTACTATATCGAAGGTATAATATTGTTCACAACTCAATGCACTCCTAATGGAATTGGATCGAGGCTGATGTCCGGCTCTGCCACCATCTTCCACAGCGATCGGCGAGCCTACGCAGGCATCGACGACAACGACATCGAAGCCTCCCGCGGCCACCGCCACCGCGCCTCCGACAACCACCAAACCCTCCACAACGGCCGCCCCAACCCAGCCCCCGACGCCCGGCACGAGCACCGGTGCTAACGGGGTTGCGACGCCGCTCCCGGTGCGCGCTAGGATGACAACAAACTACAGGCGCTTCTACAAGGTCCAGCCCGGCGACACATGTAATACCATCATCGCCGCGGCAGGCATCTACGGACCCAATTTCTATATCTGGAATCCCGCCGCCAGGAGCGACTGCTCCGGGCTCTGGGCGAATACATTTTGTTATATAGGTAACACCGTCGGCCCGTCCATCACCCTGAGGCCTCCGACCCCGACCACGACGACCAAGCCGCCCGCGGGCAACGGCGTCGCCACGCCCACGCCCTTCCAAGTCGGCATGGTCTCGAATTGCAAGAGCTTCTATCTCGTACGCAGCGGCGATACATGCTCCAGTATCGCCTCGGCCAGGGGCATCTCCGTCAACAACTTCATCCGCTGGAACCCGGCCGTCGGTGCGGGCTGCACGGGCATGTGGGCGAATACCTGGGCTTGCGTGGGGCTGATTTGAAGTAGCAGACCACTGTTGTCTCTGGATGGCAAGTATCTGAGCAAGTCCCCCTTTGCGTCATGGGGGCCCGAGAGGCATCGCCCTGCGCAGGGCTCGTTTGCAAAAGGATTCTGGTGACGTGCCCCGGCGCACTGCTGTAGCTAGTTTTCATTCGTATTCGACCTTGGCCTGAACATTATAAAGTCTCGCGTTCACTTGTCTTGAGGAATGTGTAATTAGAAGTGCTGCCACGCCCTCGTTCGTAACACCCTGTGGACCCCAGTACGGCAACTCCCTCGAAAAGAACAATTAGAGTGTAGCGCTTGCTACTACAAAGTGGTTAATCATTAATGTCTGGTTGTTACCTTTGTCTCTCCAGAAACACCATGCATCATTGTGACAGTGGGATTGCAGGCTGTAGCCAATTCTTCGCCAAACACTCTCGTTCTCTCACAAGGGCGTTCCTGGGGTAAAATTGCACAGCTGGCAGGGTGCTACAATCATAATAAGGGCAAAGAACAAGATAAAGAATGAATTGCGCCCCTCCAGGCCGCGACTATCTGAAACCATCAAGGAGGCAACGGGGATGTCCGCGGACTGGAACCCAACATGATCCTGAGCCGCTGAGGAAAGCTCGTGTCACTCAGAAGCAGAGAGGGACAGCGTCAAAACTTTTTTTTTGAAAAGAAAGCTGCAATGCCGTTGTAGATGGAGCAAGAAGTGTTATGGGACCATCTACCAAGTGGATAGGCTGAAATTCAGCTCGAGTATAAGTATTACAGCAATTCCACATGTCGCTGTTCAGACAGACGAAGGGACGGCAGTTCGGAATTCTCCTGGTGCTATCCTGCTGGTCGAGAGCCGAGTTCTCGTGGTCTGGCCACTCCGTATCTTGTCCTCAGGCACTGCACCCGACCGCCCGAGCATTAACCGCGAACAGTCTAATCACTGGTGCTGCTTCTTAATTGAGACCGACAAAGAAACCTGGTCAGTTGGTATTGGGGTCTGCGATGCTTTTGAACACGACAGCAGTCCCTCCCAGTATGCACTTGATCTCATTGGACTCGGTGTCGATTCTGGAATGCCGGGCTGCAAGAATCCTTGCCCGCCACGAACCCAGCTACCTCCCCGATGGGGCTGTGATAGTTCACACCGAGGGGATCCTCAGCCGAGTCCGTCACTAATTAAATACTTCTCGGGCGCACCGTTGGCCTTGAAACCCAAGAGGAGAGGCTAGGGAGCCCAAACCACGGTATTCATCCAACCCAGAAAGAGTAAGCCGTTCTCCGCGCGGATCTGCATGGATATAGACCTAGTAGGAACGGCTGTAACAGTCGTGGTCATGAATGGACTAACACGAACAGTCGTGGGTAGCACGTTGGCACCGGCAGCGACTAGACCCATACAGCTACATGCCAATGTGATACGGCTTGCTAGAGCCTGCCTGCTCAGGCACGCCGGAGTCGGCGCCGCAGCAATAACAGCGCGACGGCCAACCGGGTCTCCTACAAGGGAGGGTTGCGCCTCTCGGCGTGCTACTTGAACGCCCATGGCAGCAGCAGCGGCGCCGGGGCTCAGGTAGTTCTAGCAGTACTTTAATGCGGCGCGGGCTAACTTAGAGAAGGACTAGTACATCGTGTACGGTAGTAGCCCCAGATGTAACTAGGCAGGGCGAGCAGCCTATGGTGGTGGGCGAAGGGGTCGGGAATGTTGTATAGAGGTAACAGTGCCCTTGCCAGGCGCCCTTTACAAAGGGTGAGATTGGCCCCAGACCCCCAACATTTGAGGTCGCTCCCGCGGGCGGTGTTACAGGTCTGGGCGAACTGATCTTGCGAGTCGAGGATGCCCTTATAGGCCTTGCGGGCGTAGTATCCTGCAGGCGCGCAAGAGCAGCCGAACCTAACGTACTCAGACCATTGGAGGACGCCACAAGTCCAGAAATCTCCGGGGCTCCATTCGCTCCACCTGCAAAGCATCTGGGACTTAGGCCCCGAAGGGTAAAAGGCCAGGTACAGACCCGCCTTCTTCGGGACTTTTTTGAAACTTTGCGAGATGGAGAGAGAGAGAGAGAGGGATTTTGGTAACCTAAAAACTTGACTGACTTAGCTGACACTCTCTTTTTCTCCGCCCAGGTTGGACCCCTGTCATAGCGCCTGCAGCTCGCGGCCTCGGGGTTGCCCATAATCCCCCTCTTGCCCTTAATCATATAGGTGCCACAATCACCTGCTTGGCTGGTCAAGCACAACGGAGGACGGTACGACCGCGCCTTTGAGGCGCTGCGGCGGCTGAGACGGACGGACCTCGAGGCTACGAGGGAGCTGTTTCTCATCTACCAGGCAGAGAAGCAGCAACACATTACCAACAAACCGCTCAACCCAGAGGCAGAAACAACAATATCAACACAATCACAATCACCAGCACCGTCAGCATCGGAAGGACTACAAACCCCGCCATCCTCCTCCGCCTTAACCAAGCTCGTCCAGCTCGTCACAGTCCCGCGCATCCGCCACGCGACGCTGGCCGCGCACACCGTCATAATCGGCCAGCAGCTCTACGGGATCAACATCATCAGCTTCTACAGCACGTCCATCTTCACCGCCGCGTCCTTCACCCCGCTCGCGGCCCTGCTCGCGTCGTCCAGCTTCAGCCTACTCAACTTCCTGTTCGCCGTCCCGGCCATCTGGACCATGGACTCGTTCGGGCGGCGCAGCTTGTTACTATGGACGCTGCCCGTTATGGGTCTATGTATACTGCTCGCGGGGGTGTCGTTTAGTCTCCCGCCTACTCATAACATAGGTGGTGTTCGTTATGGTAGTAGTAGTAGTAATGGTAGGGATGATGACGTTGTACTAGCGGGAATAATAACGACGACGACAGCGACGACAACGACAGCGACGACCGTGTCCGCACGGTTCGTGCTGTTAGCGAGCATAGTATACTTGTTCTGCATCGCGTACTCGCCGGGTATGGGCCCCGTACCGGCGGCATACTCGGCCGAGGTCTTCCCACTCTCGCATCGGGAGCTTAGGATAAGCAGTACCGTATCGGCGACAAACGTACGGGCGGCCGCGCTGTCGGCGAGTTTCCCCTGGCTGGTGGGCGTGGCGGGTAAGGGTCCGGTGTTTGGCCTATATGCGGTACTGAACGTCGTGGCGTGCGTGCTCGTATGGGTGTTTATTCGCGAGACCAGGAGGAAGACGCTCGAGGAGCTAGACGGGGTGTTTAAGGCGGGCATGGGCGAGTCTATAAAGTTCGAGGCCCGGAAGCTTGTGAATGCGGTCAAGATGTCGCTGGGAATAGGTAGGAGCTAGCCCTAGAGATGGAAGAAGTCTCTTAAATGACAAACGCGTCTATGAGTAACCTCACCATATGGTCCATACAAGGGAAGCATATCGGCCGAAGAGGTTGTTTTGTCGTTTCCCAGACGGGCTACTGTGGAACCTAAACACCCCATCACCATTAATCCATACATGCCGCATCTCTACAACTCAAGATCGATATCACCTTATGGCTAGCGCCTCAGGCTGCCAACACGGCAGAGCGGCACCGATCTGCGCCAAGGTCCCCTCCCCCCACCCTCCCTTCTCAATAGAGGCCCCTCATTGGCTGCTGCCCCTCATAACGTGCCGGGCCCCGCAGCTGCCCCACACAAGCTCGACAGACCCCTGATCGGAGCTGCCGGACTCGATAATGACGCGGTAGAACAGGGGCTTTGTGCCGGGCTCGTAGTTAAGGAGGTGGTGGCCGATCTGTTATATATAGACAGTGGCTTATGGTCAGCTATTATTCCTCAGAGTAGTTGTATTCCCCAAAGGAAGCATCTACCAGCACAAAGCAAGGTATTTCATATATACAATAGGTAAAACTCACCGAGTATGCACCCGCCGACAAGCCAAACAAGGTGACCGAGTCCTTTCGAAGTGGTGAATGTTCTCCTGCACCCACTCCATGAGGCAGATCTGGTCCTTAAGCCCCAGGTTCAGCGCGCCCTCTTTCGCACTCAGCGCCGACGGCAGGAACCCAAGCGCTCCGATTCGGTACCCAAACGACACGCAGATGAACGGCTCAGCCGCCCAGCCCACCATCGCCCCCGAGTTATGCATCGCCGCGTTGCCCCGGTTGAACGCGCCCCCGTGCATATAGATGGCCACAGGTAGCAGTTTCTTATTGTTGTTACCATCAGCAGGTTGATTTTGTTATTCCTACCGGAAGATATTGGCGGTCAGGCAGTCCTCGCTCTCTGGCAGCAAAGGCCCCGTAATAATGAACTGCTTCGCGTTCGCCCGGGGCCCCCATTGCGAAGCGTCGATAATAGTGTCTGGGCTGGCGGGCGGGACCTTGACTGGTGGGCGGAAGCGCCGATCCCCCGTGGGCGGCAGGGCGTACGGGATGCCCTTGAACGTCTCGATCGCGCCGGGGAACTCGCCGGTCTCGCGGGCGCCGACGACGGTGCCCTATAGCAGGGTCACGCGCGGGCGTTCGTAAGTTTGTGTCATGGTTTGGTGGTGTTTCTGTTCTATGGTTATTATCGAGGAATAATAGAGAGCGTGTTTGTATGGATCGTGCGCCGACTCCTGGGTGAACTCGCAAGAAAGCTCACGCAGAAAGATATGATCATGGACAAGGGCAGGCCTGAGTCTGAGTCTGGGTTCCAGAGTTGCAAAGGGTCACGATATCTCGGCCGACCTCCGGAAACCCCCCCCCCCCCCCCCGACACTGCTGCAATTAGTTCTCCTAGAAGCCCGTTGTGGTTACGTTATCTGTACAGTCGTCGCTATTCTGCCCCTCGCAGTATGACCCCACGATATCGGCCATTCCGCAATGGCCGATGGGGTTCTTAGCGGGCGCCGCCCGACGGATAAGCCGAGTGGGTTGGGAGAGATAGCGCATCCCTGCCGCCTTAACCTCTGTTAGCGGCCACTGAACTGCTGGGAAGGTCTGATGCAGGCCCGGGGACCAGTTTGGAAGCCGAATGTCTGATTGAAAGTTGAATATGCCCATTCTGACGTTGTGCTTGCAGCTTCTCGAGAGTGACAGTCAAAGGACAGGATGGTTTTGCAGGGCAGTTTCTGAAATAGACAAGTCACAGCGATTCCAGGAGCGTCGAATGCCCCCCCTAAAGAGGAAGTCGAGGACGAGACATACGTCTTGTCTCATTAGTGCTCGTCGTGAAGTCGAGGTGTGTATTTTGTAAAATCAAAAGGACGGCCATCATATAACACACCACACTCTACAACTTGGCCTTGTCCCTCGACACCTCCTTGACCAAAGCCACGACCTTCTCCGCGCAGCCGTACGAGCCCTGGTATCCCCACCCGGAGTGGCCATAGTTGTGCACGACCCAGCTGCCATCCGGCATCTTCTCCTTTTCGATGCGGACGCCGCCCTCGCGGTAAGGTCGGAAGCCGACCGCGTGCCGGATAATTTCGAGACCTGTGATGTCCTTCTTGCCCGTGCCGTTGAGTAGCTCCGGCACCGTGTCGATGGACCGCTGCATGATGCGCAGGGCGGTGGCCGCATCCGGCTGGCTGTCCCAGTTGCCGCGCTGGTACGTGCCGCCCAGGACGGTCCCGCCGCCGACAGCCCGGGTCATGCCGTACGTAAGCTCCTCGTCGTCGTCGTCGGTGCCCGAGGTGCCAAACATGACGGGGGCCACGTTGCGCACGACCACGACCTGTCCGCGCATCGGCACCATCGCCTGGTCCATCACCCCGCCCAGCTTCAACGCCCCGAGGCCCGTCATGTTGAGCACGATATCCGCCGGCCCTTCCTCCCCTTTCTCCTTGGCCTCGGCAAACGCCTTCTCGCTCGAGCTCCACCACCGCCTCGCGTCCGCCAAGCTCTTGACACTGCCCCTCTTGAACACCACCCCGTTCGCCCGGCACTTCCCGACCAGCCACGACAGGTAAACGGGCGTGTTGATGCACACGCTGTCAAACTCGCACCCGCCCGCGATCCCCGCGGCTGTCATCTCGGGCGTCACCTCGAGCTCCACGAAATTGTTCACCACTTCCTGGTACCACGGATTCTCGAGAAACATGCCGTTGAACCCGTTGCTGCCCTGCCGCAGGGTGGGCATGTCGGCTTCTCGTCGGTACAGGCGCGCGCGCTGGTGGTGGATCCCGGCCTCGGGGACGTGGCTGGCCAGCCGCTGGAGCTCGGGGAGTGTGCGGGCTTCGTATTGGGAGTTTTCTCGGTCGGACATCCTGTTTTTGCCAGGAGGGGGGCGGGTGTTAGCCAGTGGTGTGGAGAGCTTGGACCCAGAAGAGGTTGGGTAGAAGGGAGTCCCAACGCATTATAAACTTACGGAAGGTAGTTTGCTCCCGCAATCGGCGAGGCGTACATCGCGTCGAGGTCTCCGGGCATGTGCTTGGCCACCACGGTGATGGAGTAGTCCTTGTCGCGCGAGAGCAGCATGGCGCTGGTCAGACCCGACACGCCGGCGCTGGCAAAAATACAAAGGTCAGTTGTAGCTCGATTTCCCGTTGTGGCCATTGCTATGTTTGTTCGCGGGAGCGACGTACCCAATGATGACAATTTTCTTGGCCATGGTGGATATTGTTGTACTGTCGTAATAGGCCGCGAGCACTTCGATACTGTCTGCCTTTGATCCTCCGTAGCAACTCGGTGTGCTTGTCGATTGGGCTATCGTTGCTTTACTGCACTGCCGTCCTAACGAGCCGAGAAGGGAGAAGTAGATATATAACCCAACGACCAAGGTTGTATTTTCCTCCACGAGGGATGAAGAATATTATTCTCAGGGCGGACGGGGTCGAACGAGCCACTCTCGTATGACAAACTGACTGTGCTAGAGGGCCCGTGGTCGTGGTCGTTGCCTCAGCTGATTACGAACGTCAGGGCCGGAACTCATGCTTTGGCAAGGAAAGCAGCCGGCGGAAGCGCATTATGCTTGGAAATGAAGGGTGGCCTGCAGCGGGGCACGGCCAACAGAAGGGAAGCGGAGTGAGTGTGTGAGTGGAGCCAGAGAGCGGAAGCCGCCTGATAACAGCTGCTTGATGGGGTTTAGACTTTTGGTCACGAGCTCGGTAGCAGGCCGATGCATTTTCGACTTCGGCTGCCGACAAGCTCAGCTCAGCTCCGAACCCTGGGGACAAGGAATTGCTGTCTGGTCTGTCTGGAGCTAATGGGCCTCGCTTCAGCTGGCGTGCTTGCATGCTTGCTGCAGCATGCCGGGGTCGGTCGTATGCCTGATGTCGGTGTGGGCTTCCCGACTAGTCGTCAGCAGCCCGTATCCGTCGGGGCGGGGACGGAGCGTCGGGTCAGGGGTGGTTGCTGTTGGAGCGCTGCTGTCCTCGCTCACCAGACAGAAGGCCGCGCACAGGTCGTTGTAGTTTTGCGCGTGGCTTTCAAAGAGTCCTTTTACGGGAGTACCATGGCTGGGTTTGGCCACTCTCGAATTTGGTCAGTTGCTAGATATCACACATCACGATCTGTCCAGGAGCAGAGTCAAAGTAATGGCGGCTTGAGGCAGAGCAGCCACCTGCCGCTGGGTTCTGGAGAACGAAACAAATAGCCGGACGTCACAACGTTGATACATTTGATCGAACCACAGATAAATTGGGTCAGATCTGGTCACCGCATGTAACGATTTTTGACTTAATCAATAATTTTTTTTCATTATTCTTCAACCCAGACCGCCACGCTCACAGCTTGTGGCTCGGGTTCAGTGCCGCCGAGCACTCAATCTCTACCTTGGCGCCCTTTGGAAGCTGGTATACAGCAACACATGTACGCACCTGGATCGCGGGTGACATTGTCAGTAATGGTCTATCTCAGAAAGCTGGGTGACTCATTGGACGTTCCCTGTTGGGGTATGGGAGATTGAGAGATGTACTGCTGCAGACGGTCGGACGTAGAGAGGAAGTCGTTTTAGGGTGCAAACCGTCCAGACGTTCAGAGGTGGAGAGGGCTGCACGACGACGGAAGGGAGGAGTTTCTGCAGGACTCACCGGCTTGGGCTCGACGTGCGCAAGCACCTCATTGTACACCTCGTGCATGGCCGCAAAGTCGTCCATGGTGGTGAGGAAGACGTTGACCTTGACCAGGTTGGTCAGGCTGGAGCCCGAGGCTTCGAGGACCGCCGAGAGGTGCTGCAATGCGCGGCGCTGAGACACAAAGAGGACATGTCAGTTTGGAAATTCCTTCGCGAAACCTGGACAGGAAAAGAAAGCCCGAAGGGGAGGAGGAACTTACAGCCTCTTCCTTGACGCCACCGGATACAAGGGTTCCGTCGAGGTCGCTGCCAATGTTGCCCGAGCAGTACACCATGCCGTTGTACTTGACAGCCTGCGACAGGCCAGGCGGCGGTGTCGGGGCGTTGGTGGTCTTGACGGCTTCTCTGGACATGGTGGCTAGGTGTATGCGTGGACGTGCGTGTGGAACGAGCGGAACAAAATCATCAAAAGATGCAATGCATGCGATGGACTGGCTCGTGGTCAAGTACTCCAGGAGCTGATACTGATCCTGCATGCCGCCGGCAACGGGGTCCAAGAATGACAACCCATGGCGGGGCCAGCAGGGTTGGCCAATGACCTCACCGCCCATGTGCCACTCGAGAACAGCAAGCCCAGGCGGCGACTTCGGCACGAGTCAGTGCTGGCGGTTCGTGGCTAGAGAGCGGATAAGGGTCGACGATTGAAATATTCCCAACGGAACAGGGGCCTTGATAAGGCGCGCGTGTGGGTCGGGAAGACGTGCTTGTTGCACGTCGCAAATGCCAACAAGCTGGCGCTAGCAGTCCAGCCGATAATGATAGGGCGGTATCTCCGTGCCTATCTTTGTGCCTATCTTTAGGCTGGCGCAGGATAACATCAAACGCTCAATATTCGAAACCACTTCAGATCAAGTGCTCGTCAGACACGTGTGATTACGCTTGAAGCACGCGATTTGATGTGCCGAGTCCGTTTCGCTCGAATGCAGTCCCTTGGCTAACAATTGAAGCCAGGGTCTGTCCTACAGTAGTCCTTTTTCGAGCTAAACATGTAATGCAACGATGGTCTCAAGTAAATTGGAAGAGCTAACGTAATCCACAAGTGGGTGAATCACACAAGTGGATGAATCAGTTATCGGGTACTCGTACGACAATATATAAGTCAATTCAACCATAACGCCTCAAATCAATTCAAACTATTCGGAATCCTCTTCTTCAGAGGCAGATATAACTTTCTGACACGTACGAGCATTATGCCCGGGCTCGCCGCAGACGCCACATCGTCGCGCGCGCGTTTCGGGCCTCCTCGTACGACCACTCTTCTGACTCGTTTCCGCTATTAACTGCTGCGTCGCATCGATTTGAGCCTTCAAATCCTTTACCTGATCAATCGTGAGGGACCCTCCTTTCTACAGCTGCTTTCTTTTCGTACGACGACGGCGGCTGAGGCGGTCGTTTGCATCTCGAAGTTCAGCGAGCTCTTAGCGCATAAGGTCCTGCTCGTGTACCATCATCATAACTCCTTTTCTCAGCTGCCGTACGCTCTCAACAATGGACGACGGTAAGCTATTCTAGTGTCGTACGATGCGATTTTCAATATACTTCGTCTACGATTCGGTCTTAATTAGGTTGTTCGGCGTCTTTAAAACCCATGGGGGTGGTAGTCCAGCAGAGGAACCTAGCGGTGTCGGCGTATGAAACTTCACATCTAGCTGTAAAATCACATAATTCAGGTCGTACGGTACTAGGCCTGTCGCTCTAAAGCCTGCCTGGATGTTTGATTTAGTCATTGCAGCGTTGTACACCTTATAAAAGGCTGGGAGGAAGTCCTCCTTTGAAACGTGGGTTACGTACGCCCGCATTAGACCTTCGATTTCTTTACCGTACGCCCGTTTCAGAGGTCTAAAGCACCTAACATCGAGAGGCTGGAGCTTATGCGACGAGTGAGCAGGCATACAGAGCGTCACAATGTTCTATTCCTTACAGTAGAGCTCGAAATCGACCGAATAGTAGCTCTCGTAGCCGTCGAGGATAAGGAGGCGGTAGGTACCCTTCGTACGACTCTTCGTATGGAAATCGAAGTGTTTTACCCACTCTAGGCCTCTCTCGTTCGTCGTCCAACCGTTCTCTGAAAGCGCGATTACCTAGTCGGGCGGTAGGGGGCTATTTGCGGTCCAGGAGTCGAGGTGGACCTTCCCGGCGAAGATGATATACGGCGGGATTAAATAGCCGTACGACGCGATACCCTAGATTACTGTAACCCATTCCTGATTCCCTTGTTGTACAGCTCTTGGCTTCCCACGTCGATCGGAGGTTGTAACGACAGTTTCGGCGGAGATTTTACCTATCGCGAAGCCCGTTTCGTCGAAGTTATAGATGTCGTCATCGTGGATCCCGTATTTCGCGATTATGTTTTGTACGAGCTTAAACCACGCGCGATACGCGTCTGGATCTTCGCAGAGGACTCTCTGGTAGTCGATTCTTCGATTAAAACGCGTACGGAGCTCTGGTCGTCGTCGTACGAAGTTTGAGGCCCAGTTCGTTCCGACGCGTGGCGCGTCGCGCACGCGGAGGAGTCGATCCGCCATTTCTCGAACACCACCTAACCGCGGTGGAAACGATCGCGAATCTAGGTCGATTATATATCGTACGATACTGTCCTCTTCGTACGAGGTCAATTTCTGGCAAGGTGGTCGGATATCTTGTTGCGCAGGTCGGCCGTGTTGTCGTCGTTGGAGGGTTGAGAAGGATACATTATAGATCTGTGCAGCCTTTCGTACGCTCAATTCTGGGTTCGATTGAAGCGCATTTAGCGCGAGAACTAAATCGCTTTCATTTGATTGTCGTACTATAATTATCGGTGGAGAAAAGGGGGAAAGAAGACAGCCTGTACGAAAGTGGCGGGGGACTGATTCATCCACTTGTGTGATTCACCCACTTGTGGATTACGTTATACTTCTCTACAACAAACAAATTATTTTCAAAGTAATGCCGTTGGCGCTAAAGCTCTCTCCTCTATTTTCGTCTCGAGGCCTGTCGGGCAGAAAGACGATAGCGGAATACCTAGTATAGACGTAGAGATTGCTCGCCGCTCAAGGCATGCCTAGGAAGCAAAAATATAGAGGTAATTCTACAGCCAAAGGCGTTGTGACAATGTGCCACCGTCACACTCGACAGAGTGCTTTGTGTGCCGTTTTGGAGACATCCGTGACGGCCTTTTCGTGACTAAAACCCTCCAAAAGCGCCCCACGACGCGGTCTCTTCCTGCCCGCCTCCCATGCCGAAGAACATATCAGCCGGAATGGTCCCAGCATTGTTTCCCGGGAACACAAGACCGTCAATATGCCCTCCAAGCATCATCATTCCTGCACCAGTTCCATTGATCCCCGCTTGATGATGAACACCACCGCCGCCGTGTCTCTGATGCTGATGCTGCTGCGGATGTCCCATGACACCCGCCCCAAAGAGGGATTGATCAAACCCGCCGCCGCCACCGAATCCACCATGGGCTCCAACACTACCGACACCCACTTCCGAGCCGCTACTCCCATCGGCTCCGGCGGCAGCGCTCAGCAGGAGCGCCGAGAAGTCCACAGCCGACGCGTGATCCGGCTGATCCACAGACGGCGGCTGGACGAGCGTGGTCCATTCCTGGCGGCCTTTAACACCCGCTCCCGACCCTGTCCCTGCACCGCTGGTGCTGCCGCCGGGTTCCCCAGCCGAAGACCCGTGGTGGTGGTGTGGATGTACCGACAATGGTGTCCTCGCTGCGCCGGCGGCGTAGTCGAGAATGTCGGACACCTTGGAGATGTCGACGTGGATGTTGCCGCCCGTATCGAGCTGGGCCATGGACTCGAAGGACATGGAGATCGACTCGGTCAGGGCGTCTAGTTTCCTGGCCTTGTTTTGTTTCGGTGGGGTTTCACCCCCCTCTTGGTCAGCATCGAGAGGGATATCTTCACTAGTGTGTATACGCGGGTAAAAAGGGGACTATGCCAGGGGAAAGGAGGCGGGAATGGGAAACTTACAAGGACCTCCATTGAGGGCCACCGCTTGCCCAGCGCGCGCACGAAGCGCAGGCACTTCTCAAAGTTCCTCCGCTGCTCTCTGCCAGCTGCGTTGCTGGATCCGGCATCCCCGGTGTTACCACTACTACTATTCCCTCCGCCGCTGCTGCCGCCACGGTTCGCGGCCGGCGGCGCGGCAAAGCTCATCTGTAGCTCCACCGTGGCCACCACACCAGCACAGTACCCCATAGTCGGATCCGCGAGCTCGTAGCCTTTGCTCTCGATGAACGTGACAAAGTGCATGATCCACGAAGTGTGCACCGCCGTGTAGAACTGCGCCTGCTGGCGGAACAGCTCCGAGTCGTTGCCCTTTCCCTGGAGCTGCAAGGTTACGAGCAAAGGGTGGTTCGCGATGATGATGATGGTGTGGTACATGAAGCGGCTGAGCAGCCAAGGGGCCCAGTAGTCGCGCTGGGACTCGTTGAGCTGGGCCGTGGTCAGGTCGCCGAGGTGTAGGTGCCGGTAGCGGTGGAGGTGCGGGAGGGCGCGGTCGAAGCCCATGAAGGCGGACATGATGGCGTTGTATTGCGAGGTCGTCTCCCAGGGGGCGATGTGTGCCGCTGGTGGTGGGTGTTGGTTAGATTGGTGGTGGTGGGAATGGTGGTGGTGCGTGGAGGAGAAGGAAGAGGAAGACGCCGCGGCGAAGCGCTGCCGGACAAAGATCATGGCCTGAGACCAGACCTCGCCGAGATGGTACGTCCATGCCATGATCCCCCGCTGGCCGGCACCCTCGTGTCGACCGACGTACAGAGTCCTACATTCGGGCTTCAGGGCCGACATTGGCGGTATGCTTGGGGTCGTCGGATACGGAGAGGTGAGGGACTGTGAGCCCGGCAGGTCAAAGGCGGATGGAGCCATGCCCCAGAGCCGGCAGAGTAGGCGGATGCTCCAGTATGTCCGACGACGTTCTTCGATGACGGAGGCTGGAACCGCAGGCGTCTCGGCATGGAGGAAGAGGCCGTAGGTCAGGGCCATGGAGAGGGTGACAAAGGGCATGGACTGGTCGGGGTTACCGTCTTTTCAGGGACTGTCAGTTGATCTGCTCGAGGTTACCGTCAACTCTGGGCTAGCATCAACTCACCGTGAAAATGGACAAAGGCAAGGAGGCATAGTGTCTGGAGGGTGGACAACTCAATCGCTCTGGTGCCGATCTTGGTCATGACGAGCGCGTGTGCCTTCGAGGCAAGAGCCAGCGAATCTTGGGGGCCATACTCTTCAGCAGCATGCCCACTGGCGCTTGAAGTAGTTGCTGGGGTTGCGGGCGCATCTTTGAACCTTAGCGTGAGGGCCAATATCGCCAGTAGCAGCTCGTCCGACCGAAACCTCAATGATCGGACAAACGTCTCTCGGTGGAAAAGGTACAGCGGCTGGCCTTCACAGTACTTGAGATAATGGCTCCCCACGGCTTCCACTTGCTTCCACAGCAGCGGCGATTCATCTATGCGTGCCCGCTTGCGGCTACTGCCGTGGCCCCCACCCTCAGCACCAGCTTCTGCCGTCCGTCTGACTCCCCGAGGTGTTGGTTGCGCGGCCTGAGAATGCAGCACTTCGGCGGATAAGGAGTGGAGGGTGCCAGCGGCCGACACCGAGTGCAGCGTGTCCAATACATGGGAAATGGTTGACTCTAGTGAATGCAGGCGAGACTCGAGATGCTGCTGGCCGTGGGGACTTCGACTTCCGCCACCATGATTGCCCGTGGCTGGGGTTACTGGTGGTGGTAGTGACCCCTGGATGAGGCTCTCCCCGCGCCGGTTCCCGATCCCGGAACCAGCAACAGCTTCGTCCGGCACGTCATCGCCGTCGCTGTCAGCCTCGGCCGGGTACGAGCAGCGCTGGCGCAGGCGGGCGCAGGTGCTGCACGAGGGCCGGTCCCCCGAGCACTTGCTCTTCTTGCGGCGGCACGGGTCGCAGGCGTGGCGTGTGCGCTTGAGCACCGGCCGCAGCTCGCGCAGAGGCTCCTCATCCGCGTCGTCCCCCATCGACGGCTCTATCCGTGTGTCGTCCGGGGCGGGATCCGGGTGTGTGCCGTGCTTGCACAGGGCGTGAGGCGGAGGAATCGGCGCGTCGGACGGAAGCGGAGGCGGAGGCGGAAATGCAACGGCCGCTGACCCGCTTTTGGCCCGACGACTGGGCACAGACAGACAGTACTGTCACATAGCCAGTGGCCGAGAGGTTGAGTTGCCTTGATCTTTCTGGTTGAAGTTTCTTTTTTTCTTCTTTCTTCCTTCGCGCTTTTGCTTTGTTCCTTTTGACCGATAGAGCTAACATACCCAAATAACTGTTCATATTTGGTAAAGAATGACTCTCAACATCGCGTTGTCCGATGTAATGAAACACTCAAAACCAATAAAGGGGCCGTCCTCCCACCAGGAATGTGTGGTTCGAACAGGCAACTCGCTGCAATCTTGTTCTATCACGGCTACCTCTAACCGCCTTTTAGCATGGGAAATAGAATCAAGAAGCAATGCTCCAAGTTGTGACTCAGACTAATCGATAAGCGCAAAGTCCTTACCGGCAAAACAGCAATGGCGTCTCAAAGGAATCTCGTGCGCACGCGTTGCTTCTGTCGGCTTTCTCCCAAGCGAGAACCATCACATCTCAGCACCGACATGTTGCAAACAAGTCTTGACTTAACTACGTACTCTGAACCCCATGGACCAGGATTCAACTTGAACGACATGTCCACTTGCGGTACAATCGCCTGCCCAGATCCGGGTATGCACCATGTCTACAGGTTATAAATCAGACCATGTGCTGTCGGCGACTGCAGCGCAGGTGCGACTCAAACACCGAGCCAACCTCTTGCCTGGATGTCCACAAATCACTGCCTCATCAACTTGTCAGAGCTGATAGTCATTCATACAAAGACTGGCCAAATGCAGAACAGAACGCAATATACATGACTTTGAAAAGACTTAGCTTGCACATCGGCCGCTGAATCGCTCGTTCTGCACGTACTAGAATTGAATGGATTACTCCTGCGGCGAGCGGCGGGCTTAGTCTTTGCTGACACGAAGATGGTCGTATCGACGGTGGGGTTTCCAGGCCCAGCCCAGGGCTTGGAGGCACTGGGCTGGGCCTGGAGGCAATCCAGGAATCCTTGTAGAAAGGACAAGGACGGAACACAGTACATCTGCCTGTCCAAGCCCACCAGAGGCGGGTGACTGCATCCGCGGCAGCACAAGCCAAGCCAGCTTACACCGAGTGGCTCTTCCGATTCGCGCTATTCGTTCAGGCACGAGAACCTACGGGCGCTCACTGCTCACGCCACTCATCGCCTTCGGGCTTTCAGGTGTGACAGGATGCAGGGGTTTCTTGGCAGATGGTTCTGGTGAGTATTATAGGGCTTGTGGCTGGGGTGCTGATTGTCTTGCCGAGGCTCTGGCAGTCTCGGGTGCTCAGGTCATGGCACGGCTGGCACCGAAGAGCCTCATCCATGCATGGAGGGACACCGTGGGCAAGGGAGCACGCGAAGGGAAAGAAAACTCCGGGATAGATTCTTGTGCGCACTGAACCATTTGTCTCCAATGAAACCTGACAAGCCAGGCAATCACATGGAAGACCTCGGGCCCGTGGCCACGATCGCATTGGGCCAGTCCAGAACGAAAGAAGGAAATGCTAGTTCCTCCAACGCCCTGGCCCGGGGCAGTGAATAAAAATCGCAACAAGCGAGATTAGCGCGCCCCATGGTTCCTCGTGCGTGCCGGGTGTTCGGCTCTTACCGGCCGGTAGCCCTGGAGGGAAAAGTGCGGTTCACATCTGTTGCGACAGCACGGACCTGCCCACCCATCAAGGCATATCAGACGACATCAGGACATCAGTGTGACGTTCTGGTCCGAACGCACATAATCGCGCGCGACCTGAATCAGGTGCCATCAACGGCGCGATGTTGCATGACTGGTCCCGACCAGAATGCCCCTGGTTGGACCAGGGATGTGGCGAACAGATAGGCTATCGCCGTTGACGAGCTCTAAGGATGGATTAATTGTGCAGGCATAAGCACTCAATGGTCCCTTGTGAATGACTTGGATCTGTGCTGACCGCACATGCGGGGATGAGCCCTGGCGAGCACAGGGGTATCAGGAGCGACAACCCCGCCTCATGGCCGCTGGGGAAGGTGACATGTGGGAACAGGACTCACTGATTCTTGGATGCTACCTCACGATCTTCTTGCCGTGCCTGTCAGAGGATGAAACCTCCGAGACCAAGGTTAAGGTTACTTCAAGCCACACTATAACACACCACCGGCTTTGTAAGTGGCGTGCGGCACTGCATTATTGGGCTCTCCCAGTGGTGACAGTCGCTGATTTGGCCGGTTGGCCATCAAAAGTCACGAGCAATCTGTGTTATGGCGGGGGCAGCCGCGGGTAGTAGGCCCGAAATTTGTGACAAATGGCGCTCGAGCACAAACAGTTGATAACGAGGGTATCTTGCGTGTATTATTCTATCAAATCAAATTGTACTAATGCTTTCTCATCATATTCATTGCTGCTACAGGCGGCTGATACCGAGCTTTGTGCGCATGGCCTCGTCCCTATCATGTTCTTTCGCCACGAACTCCTCACTGGTGACAACAAACTCGGTTGTCCGCGTAATGATTCGGTCACGGTCACGCTCCGCCTGGCGCAACTCCTCCTGTGACTCAGACCGCGCATGGTGGCCCAGTTGGCCCAGCTGCTGGAGGCTGTGGCCGCTGCTGCCATCGTCAACGTCCTCGGCGTCCCGATTGTTGGATGCGCCGGCCTTGCTGCGGAAGTGGCTACTGCTGGTACCGCTGATGATCTTGTTGCCGCTCCTTGATGACGCGCCAAGCCTGGACGAGGGCCAGCGCGAATTGGAGACGAGGTCTGGACGCGAGGTGTTCCTGGTTGACCGAAGGTCGAAGAAGGATGCGATGCGAGCCATGGGCTTGCTCTCGATTATAATCTTGGGCACTGCGGGGAGGCAGAACACCAGGAAGGTGCAGAGGATTTCGGTAATGCACCATAGACCGTACTCGGATATGGTAAAGGTCATATCCTTGGAATAGATGAAGGTGGTGGTCTTGTACAGGCGCATGGCAGCGCAGAAGACGGAGCTGCGGATGCCTGGTTAGTAAGCAGCGCAATGATGGAGGTTGAGGAGGACAAAGACGTACACAAGACCAAAGGCAAAGATCATGGACAAGCCCACCCTCTTCTTCTTGTTGAGCTTCAGGTTCCAAATTACCCTCTGGGGTAGAATGAGAATGACAATATCCAGGCCAAGGTTGACCGCCGCGTTGTACACCCAGATGAGCTTGACTTGGATAGGATCGAGGCATTTTCCACCCACGATTGTTTTGTCCCATATTTTCTCCCGGGGAAAGCATTCGAGGTTGGCGACCAGGATGACGGCGATGTACCACAGGACGTTGATCGTGATGAGCGCGGAGCAGGTCCACCAGAAGTAATTTCTTTGCGTAGCACAAAAGATTCGTGCCCACTCAATGAGGATACAGGGTTTGATCAATAGGAATACAACCTCGTTGAGGACTGTGCAGATGTAGACGATCTGGTAGAAGGGCTCGTGTTAGTTGCGCTCTTGGTGCTAGTATCTTGCGCTCAAAATGTCCATCTTCATCCGCGATCGACTTACATAGTTCAGGTCAGGAAGTTCTTTGAGCTGGACATTCCATTGATGGACAAAAGCGCCGCATTTGATCATGAACGCATAAACGCCTCCGACGTAGGCAATGAAAGCTCCCTATACCCAGAAAGTTGATGTCAGTGGTCGTGGTCGTCTGGGCTGTCCGGAGGCAAGTTGAGTCACGAGTGGGGTGGATATGCATACAAGAGCTCCAAGAGCCATATCTGGATCCAGTTAGCGACTAATTCACGTCTGTTTCGGCTGGGAGCCCGCTTGTTGGTGCTTACAGTCTTCTATCCGGACCTTCTTGACGATACATATTCTGGAGTACGCCCGCAGGCCGGCCGAGCCCGTGGCGATGATGAGCACAAGCGCACAAGCGACGTAGAGGACTTCTAGTGCTGTAGACCGGTCTGTGTACTTTGGTGTGACACCTGGCGGTGGCTCCAGGGCAGGGCCATTCCACATTGCCTCGGCCTCGGCCGGACTCAAGTATGGAATCTGCTCGAGTGACATGGTCGTCTGTCGTGTAGGTACGTGGCCTGGAAACTGTAGGCTATCCCCCAAGTCGGCGACGGCCTGAATGTCCCTCTTCCTTCTGGTTGACTGCTGCGTTGCCCTGAGTGGCCGATCGATGAGTCGTCGTCGTCGTCGCCGTCGTCGTCGTCGTCGTCGTCGTTCTCGTCGTCCAAGACGGGTGGCCGAGCACTCGGGGCGGGGATCGAGACAGGATCCGGCAACGAACCACCCAAGTTCGAGCATCAGGCAGGGTGGCTCCGGGGCCATCTATATTCAGATATCCAGGGCCGCCACGCTGTCACAGGCTTGAAGAACCACGCGCCCGCAGCGTTCCACCCCTGGAGCAGGCATGCCTGGCGGGGCCTTCCCTTGCAGCTCTTGGGCATGCCCAAGAATCCACTCACTTGCCTCCTTCAACCTGCCAGTCCGCCAGGGTCTGCATGCCCTTCTGTACAAAGTACACTGGAGACAAACTCTAATGCAAGCGGGCACTTTCCATTAGCGCTCCTGGGAGGAAGCTAATAACGCCTCATTGGTACGCTTTAGCGTACGGAGCTGCAGCGGATCTGGGTCTAGGCTGCCTCATTAGTACAGTACCTCGTGGACGACGGTCTCAAAAAGGCTCGCTTGCCTCAGCGTGTGTGGGCAGTGAACGCCTCCGGATCTGAGGGCAAAATGCCCTCAATCTGATACGCGACCACTGCTTCTTCGTCTAGGCCGGGTACGTCTCCAAGATGCACTGCTCATGTCTCAGCACCCAAGCGCTGAAGCCAGTGTCCAAGGGCTGAACGCTAGCGAATCTTTTCTCGGGCCCCGCGAGGCAGCTTCTTGGGACAGAGAGACCAGTAAGATCAATATTTACCTTCGAGGACCATCCATGGCAACCAGTCTCCAATGAGGCGCACCATGCGACCCAACAGTGTTCACCACGTCTTCAACGCTCGACGGACGACCACGCATGGCGCGCCTTTGGTGTCAGTTGCACCATCTTCCTCACATTCTGATCTCGTGACTGGGAAGTGGCTCACACCAGCCTACGACTGGAGCCAAGTTCCCTAGTCACGCCAAGACTGGCAGACGATGATCTGGCATCGGTCGCAGTGATCCTTTTCTTCGATCAGAGACACACGGAGACGGCTCTAATGCCATAATTACCAACAGTCCTACGCCAGCTCAGCATCAGCATAATTCAATGCATGGGTTGATGTTGCTCTCCACCGGGAAGTTGTCTGGCTCTCCCTTCTTCCGTACTGGTTCCTTTTCCAGGTCGTCGCCTCTTCGAGCCGCGAGCCCTCCGCGGTATCCCTGGGATGATATAGATTTCGATTAGGTCGAGATCATCCGCTCCACATTGGATGGCAAGATCAGCAGGTCTCGTTGCACTTCTCCCCTGGATCAATTCGACTAGGAAATGTTTGACACCCAACCGTCAATGAACTTGACCATCGTTTATGTCATCTCGGGCTTGTCGGAATGAGCTTGTTGACCATGGACGGGCTGACGCAAGGAAGGCCTGCTTACAGACCTCATTTTCATACGTACGGCACCAGTTCCTCAACAATGACACCGGACAGATCATGGACCAGCTCTTCGGTCTTTTGGCCATCGAGCCAGAAGCAAGTCATGTCCCGCAAAGATTTCAATCGACAGCCTCTCGCTCGGGCCTCGTGCAGGCAGAGGTCACTGATGATGGCCACACCGATGGATGTAACGGTGCCGAGGTTATAGATGTCGCTACAACAGTCCTCTGTGCTATCGCTGGATCCAAGGACGACACTCTCAGCATGTCTTTGGTTACGCAATATCGCGTGTTGCTGCGCCAACCGACATTCCATGCCAGACGATGACGTGAGCCAAGTCTCGACACACAGAACCCATAAGACCAGTCCTGCTTATGCCGACCATGGCGGCGGCACAGGAGCAGAAGCGGGAGCCGCTCCTACAAGCGGCGATCGAGGACGTGAGCAGCGTCGAGGCCTCTCTGGACGGCTACTCTAACCACCCCTTGGTCCTGCAAGCGGTCCCCGTCGGCGACCATGTCAAGCTCATATTTACGTATCGCGCCAACGTGGCCTCGGAGGTCCAGTTAGAGCGCGCCATCGAGCAGCTTGTTTTCAGCCCGGATATGTCATTGTCTGCCTTGTGGCTCGCCAGCACTTAGGACAAGCAGCCGGCCACTTGTTTCCGTGGAGAAACGCCCGATATCATCGATTCGTGTGTGCACACGGTGATGGAACAGCAGGCTCGCCGAACTCCAGACACCATCGCCATCGCAGGGCGGCCGGGCTTTCATGCAGGCGTCAAGACGCCGCAGTTTTCGGCCTTCGTGTTCGACGTCTGCATCGGTGATATTGTTGGTTTGCTCATTACTGGCGCGCAACTGTGTGTGCCAGCCGAGGAAACCAGACTCGATGGCATCAAACCTGGTACCCGCCTTTGCCCGCACACTACGACCCCACGGGCCTCGAACTGCTTCTCCTATGTGGCGAGCTGGTAGACCAGGATGTCTTTGAAATTTGGCATCACAGCCAGGCTCAGTTCCTTCTGGGATGGGGCCAAGCAGAGACCTGCGTAATTAGCACCATCCACGAGGAGAAAGGCGCCGGTCCACGCAATCCGGGCGACGTATTCCTTCCCATGACCCCGGAAAGCGCCAATATCGCGCTCGACGCCATAGGTCAGCTCGATCTCGCCTTGCCCTCGTACATGGTCCCCAGCTTGTTTGTTCCGTATCGCTACATGCTCTTCAGTGGCTCGGCCAAACTTGACAGGAAGTCGCTTTCGCAGACCCTCGCAGCTCTTGGCCCTGAGAAAATCGCAAAGCAATATGCTTCAGTCTCGAGAAGCTCCCGGTAGAGGCGGACACGGATCAACAGTTGCAAGCCATCTATCTGGTCGACCTTGTTCAAGATCGCGGCTGAGTTGGTCGCCCGCGACGACAATTTCCCGCGCCTGGGCGGTGACTCGATCACGGTGATCTCAATGCTGACGGCAGCTTACAACAGCAGCGTGGACATCGAGCTCACCAAAACCACTGTCCACGAACTCATCTCCATTCGTGCTGCCGCACAGCCTGAAGCCCAGGCTATCGAGACATGCAACGGATCGCTGTCTTACTCGGAGCTAGATAGCCTAGCGACATGAACGGCGGTCGAAGCAGGCGTCGAGCCGGAGTAGAGGTGTCTTCTGCCTAGACAAGTCCAAGCTTTCTATCGTCCATCACGAAATCTGGCGGAGGAGATGAATGCCCAGCTGGCCATTGCCTCCCCATTCACAGTAGCGCGATGCGCTGGACTAGGCGTCGAAGCCATCGTGCTGTGCACCGAACTGTTAGATCAGTTGCCAGAAGTCAGCCAAGCTGCCCAGGGGACAGTGTTGCCTACAAAATCTGCAATCCAAGGTCCATCATCGTCGAGCACGCAGCAGTGTGCACGAAGGTGATGAGGCACGCAGCGGCCCATTGCGTTGATACACGGACGCAAATGCTGCAGTTTTCGAGCTTTGTCTTCGACGTCAGCTTGAGCGAAACATTTATGACGCTCGAGTGGGGAGGTGTGCTGCGCGTGCCGTCGGCATCGCAGCGCCACGAGGGAGTCGCCGAATTCATCAGGAGTTCCAACGCCAACTCGGTTATGTTGACGTTTTCCTTCCTCAAGACGTTGACACCTGTGCAAGTGCCTTCTATGGATTTTGTTATCCTCGTGAGTGAATCGTCGGTCAAGGGGATCCTACAGACCTGTGTCAGATCTGGCGTCCGGCTGATGAACTCGTTTGGCGCGACAGGATCACGTATCTTCTATGCCGCCCATACCTACGAGCGTCCAGATGCCACCAACATTGGCCCGGGTATCACCTCAAGCATGTGGATTGCAGACCAGCATGACCTGGCCGGCTGGCGCCAATCGGTTGTAGAGGCGAACTCGTTGTCGAGACAGACACTCTCTCCAAGCGCTACTTGAATGACAAGAACGGGACATCTCAGGTTTTCCACATCAAGCTGCGCAGCCACCGCATCGCTTGGCAAGGGTCTCGACCCTTTGTCGCGAGCTCTCGACACGACACTTTGGTAGCAGCTCGTAGTGCTGGACAGCCTAGCTGGCCTAGCTGAGCGGGGTTATGGCACAACCCTTGATAATTGCTGACGCCTCTTGATGGAGAAAGACGACCTACTTCGCAGGCTCAGATCCGAGGTTCCGCGTCTTCGCGGTAAGTGTCAATGCGGGGCGTCGCTAAAAGCAGGTCGGTGGGCCGATCGCATGCACATTTCGTCAGGCCTGTCGATTCCTGCATGGCACTAGCGGAGGCGGACTTCACAAGTGTTTGGGGAATGTGGCCAAGATAAGCGAGCGCTCCTTCCCTGGCCATGTACCCCTAGTGCAGACCATGGGAGCCAATGAAACATGCATGGCAACCGCATGCTTCTGCTGCCACCATCGGCGATAGACGCTTCAAGGTCAACCCATACAGTTGCTTACCGCACTTACCCAGGACATACTTCGTGGAGAGAATGCAGCACGATTGCTGGCTCATCCTTGCAATCGTCCTGCATTACACAAAAGTCCCGTTCTGGGTGGTGTGAACACGATTTACTACAACGGGGCAAATGGCAACCACTAAAGCCATGTCCGGGGCGAGCCAGCCCTTACTGGTAATGAGCTGCTGAATCACCAGTCAGCTGCCAAGGTTTGAAAGGTAAAGATAAGTCACAAAGCTATCCTTGGGGACCCTCACATGCGTGAAGCCATGGAACGCCTGCATAAAGTCGGCCTGGCACTTGTGTGCCCCTTCTGTCACTGCCATCATGCCATCCTCCAGAGAACTCGTCCTCAGCCCTAAGCAAAGCCGAGCTTCGGAGACTGGACACCATTGAAAAACACTTGGATGGGCCTCGGACTCGACGCGATCCCGGTCAACAAGGGCAGTCACTGTAGGGATATTCATTGGCAGTGGGGCCACGACAAGACGGCGGCAGGCTTTTAATACAACACGGCGCTCACGTGCCAGCCCTTCACTTACCTTCGTTGTAGTCGCACACAAGATAGCTAATCGGAATAGAATCATCCGCGCGTATTCTGCATGGATCATGGTGAATGCTCATCCCTGTAACCGTTATCGCCAATTAGCATACTTTGACCAGCATTCCTGGGCGACAGTGGACGGTTCCTGTCACTTGATCCATGCCAAGGAGCTTCGGGGTGGACCAGCCTAGAAATGGGGTACAGCTTGAGACAGCTCGACCAATGGCAGGATGGACTGAGGCGCCACAATGACCCTTCGCGCCATGAACCGCCTTCTGCTTTCCCCTCCGTATTACACAGAGCGCTGGTCTACCGCATACCTACAGAGGCCGAAGCCGCTGGGGGTCGAGGTTCAGGGCTTCAGGAGGAGACCTCAGCCTGCAAGCGGATTACGTAGCTAAAGGCATGGGTAAGTATTGTGCTACATCAGGGTCCATCTTTGGCACCAGCGATACGCCAGTCTCCCCGCCCGCTAGCGCAGGAGCACAGAGGGGGTGGGGGGTCATACTCCCAGTCGATATCGGGATTGCCGTGGCAGGTCACGCACAAAGATGCTCCAATATCCATGCACCATAAGCCAGTGTCGCTCCGGATGAGGCACAGGGATGAGCCGTGATGATTAGCACTGGCAAGGATTAAGATCCCAAGCAGATAAGCCACCACTAGGCAAGACCCGGCCCGAGAAAAATCCGCATTCGGGCCCAAGACGCAACGATAGGTTGAACTTGCCCCGCATGCTCCCTGTCGTTGCACAAGTTTGGCCAACGACGGTCTCCTCAGCCTGCTCCACTACATATGACGGCGTGTGCGACCATGCATCTACTGACGGTCACCTGATCAAGCTAACGTTCGCTCATGAAAGCTGGCCGCCTCCAACGCAACCACGGAGAAGTGGTGGTCATTCTTCCTCTGGTTGGAGATGGCTGCACACCTCATTCCTAATTGCAACAGCACAACGGGATAATTTGGGCTGCAACATAGTGCACATAACTTCACGCATATCTGCGGTTCTCCCCCACCCATGACACCGTAGTGCCTTCAGTATCGGTGCCCTGGATTGCCTCGCGCTGGCCGACATGCAGAGGTAAGTGGCGTCATCGTGTTTATACACACCACTACATGTCAAGTTCCTGCTCGCCAGGGTATGCTTCCTGCGCAAGCCGTCGCAACACTCTTGAGGTTCTATTGATGACGTGCTCGAGTCCATGGCTAATAGTCCTTGCTTCGTGCCGCGTTCTACACTTCAAAGGTTCACATGTTTCATCAGAGCTTTGCCAGGGAAGGTTGATATGCTACGTGCTGCGTGCTGAGCGCTAGTCATCATCTCGTCTCTGCATGAAAAGAATGAAAACCTTGGTGTATCAGCGGTCACCTGCGTCTCTAAGGCACAATTGGACCACGTTGATCCGCAAGACCAGGCAGCAAGATCCACCAAAGTTCTTGCAATAAAACCCCCAATGGAGCCCGATGGGTAGTTGTCGAGGTCACGATCGTCTGTCAGCCGGGTGCCTGACTTGAAATTTATCCGCTGTGCGCGAAAATCGCTTCAACTCAACCAGGCTGATATACAGAAAGTAATGCCCCAGTTCTTGACTAGGAGGGAATGATGGTGCATTGCTGCGTCTACCTCTTTGATGTCAAACTAGGGAATTAGAAGGGAAAAAAGAAAGGAGCTCGCCCTCAAGTTCCCAGAGCCTAGTAGCTTGAAATGCAAACGAAGTTATGTCGCTGAGCCAAGAAAAGGAAAGACATCAAACAAGGTGGTTCAACCGATATGTCGGGTTCATGTCGAGCGCTGTATGAAGAGCCCAATCATTTATTCCCTTGCCACAGTTATGATCTCACAATCTTGATGCGGAATCGAACGGGGATATGGCAGCGGCTGCTTGTCCGGTAAAAAAAAGTGCTCGGCCAGGGAGCTTGTGGAGATTCGCCAGCCATCACGGCGGGCAGCTCCGGGTTTGATAGAAATTGCATCTCAAGCATTAGGCCATAGTCAGCGGCGATCGCGACTTCGGTCGTCAACGGTGCTGTCCACCAAGCGCTCAAATCCGACGAGGCTGCTGGTTCCAGTGGTGGTTTCGGAAGCAAGGGCAGGTACTCAATGGTACTGTCGGCCTTGGGAGGACGAGGAGGGAGTAGGGGCCTGTTCATAAGCGACATGATCGAGGTTTTGACCTCCTCGCTCTTTCCACGCAGCAGCTCGCCGGCACCTTCTTCCTCGAGACCCTCGAGAGCCGAAACGTGTGTCCTGAACACAAACTTGTTGATGGCCTGTACGAAATCCTCGTGCAGCTTCTTGGCCTGCTGCTCCTTCTCGGGCCAGTCGTAGGTGGCAGCCTTGCTATCAACACCGCAGACGTCCTTGTGGTGCTCGATGAGGGACTCGATGGTATCTGGAGTGAGCTTGTAAGCAACCTCATTCCTCAGGACCATGTCGACGTGCACAATGTAGGCCTCGAGGTGGACCAGCTGATAGCTGAAGAGAGCCTCGACCACGGGGTTTTCGTCTTGGCGCAGATCTGCCTCGGGAGACTTGGCAAGCATCAATGAGGCAAGTGTCCAGATGGCCTTCTCGTTAGAGAGGTGTTCTGTGAGGCAGCGCTGGTGCTGAGGAACACTGTTGAGCGGACGCTTGACCTTGTTGATGCGCTTGAGGGTTTGCGTTAACCATGGTTCCACTTTTGATCCAAGGACGACGTTGACTGATGAGGCACGAGGAGCAAAGGCTGCCGCAGATGCCGGAAGAAGCCGAGCAGACATAAAGCCTAAGTGACACAGTTTGCGTAGTCGCGCGATTATATTGCGGAGCGAGTCTGAGTGAAAGTGTCTGCAATGCACCATTCGACTGTGGTGAATTAAGCAAAGGGCCCCACAAGGGGTTAGAGAGTTGTGGTGGTTAATTCGCACACTTGGGAAGCCGCGATCGAATGTTGGACAAACGCTTCCTAGGAACGGAGAACCATATCGAGCAATGGGGGAGGACAGTGGGGTTTTAAAGCACAAGCCGGCCTGAGCCGGGTGGGGAGTGGCCTGCGAACTCGACTTAGGCCTGTTGGTGCTTGCCAGCGCCCATCTCTCCATAGTTGGTCCACCGAGCTAGCCTGGGTTGAAGCCACCATTACCCTAGTGTCACGATCCGAATCCTCCAGTCTGCCGTGAATAAGGTAGGGGTGTGCAGGCAAGAGTGTCCTCTTGATGCTTAGTGCGGGGCCACTGCGCAGCGCCCTGCGAGTCTCTTCGAGCAGATTTCGTCTTGGGTAATAGCTGATTTTAGGGAGACGGGTCGTGAAGAATGTGCTTGGAGACGGGAATAAAGCCTGAGGCGACGTCTCGCTTAGTCTTTTGCGGTATCTTTCGACTGAATCTTGCTGAAGTGGCCCTCTGAGTCTATGGCGTCGTACCCCAGTTGACGATAACAGCATCACAGGCGCATTCGCCCAGTTTCTTGGCATTGCGCTTAGTTCGAAATGGCAGGCCACTTAAACCTGGAAAAATCATGCGACGAGTTGGGAGAGACGATGAACAGCCACTGGCCACATGATACTGGGTAATTCAGAAGCGCGAGCTCATGAAGGGCGATTCCAGCTTCCAGATTCCATGGACTCGACCTTGCTGCTATCACGGCACGTCTATCTCGCAGGGGCTCAACTGTAGAGACAATGCCAGCCACTGTACTTACGAGATACTGTAATACGCAGCGTCGCCCTCTCAGCTAGGTCATGCTTGGATTTGAATTATCTACCCATCCTTAGAGCGCGCCAAAGTTTTGCGAAGAATTTCATGGCTCTAAGCTGTTGTAGGCACCAGACACTGCCCGGCTGGCTGTGGAGGCCTCTCTGGGAAGCGCCTGTGTGGCTTCCTCCTTTGGCCTTTGCTGTGCATTCTGGAGATTTGAGCTTTAGTAATTCGTTGAGGCCATCATCGCCATGATGGGGCGTAAGGCGCCTGAATACATCGTTATGTATAACATCAGCATAAGCTTCTACCTACAATCTCAAAGTCACTATATGGAAGAGCACTCACCAAGTCGCCGTATCCAAGTGTAGCCTCGAGATACTAGAGCGCCTTACTATAAAAGAGCACCGACTCGGACTCCTCGGCCAGCGTAACCGCGCTAAAGGTAGTCGAGCTAATTACCAGCACCATCCATATCTTAAATAACAACAACGGCGACTACGCCACGGGGTCGTCAGGGCTAGCGAATACTCGGGCCAGGACACTACTAAACTCCCCACACGCTAGAAACGGGTATAATATGTACGTATGTGCAAAGTAAAAATTAACTAGGTACTAGATATGCGCCTTATTAGGTAGCGGCAGCGAGGCGAGGGATATACCAATATCGGTAATATCGGCTAGTGATATATTACCAAATAGAGGTTGCGGAAATGTTATAGATGGACTGCCAGGTCCTACTATAGGAAACGCCGCCGCTAGAAGGGTGGATGGCGACATGTCCTCCAGGACATTCTCAAAGACAAAGTCGGCTTTATCGGGCGTAAGGCGGTGCAGGACCGTCTAGGTAAGCCGTACGAAGGAGATACCCGACGACAAGCCCAGGTACCGCTCCGCAGTAGCTTACAGAGACAACGTCTTCAGTTCTTCGGCCAGAGAAGTCTATGGTCTCTGCTACTGCTACTACTCGGCAATATCGAGCAGGATGGGGTCGAACGCGGCAAATGGATCTAGGGCCGTTAGTCCCTGATTTAATAAGCCCTACGGTAGCATATCGCCCTACTCCTGGCCTATTTACTACGAGTTACCCATTATCATCATCATCCTAGCGGCCGCGAGCTACTATTCGAGGTCTTTAATACGGGCCTCCAGGCCTTACACAAAGCTAGCAGGATGTTAGACATTAACGTAGTTATAATTACCCAGACTTATCACTAGGTAACAGTCACGGATCCCTCGAGACGACCTACGCACTAGGGTATGACGCGAGCTGGCGATCATCGTCGAGGAAGCTGCAGGCGACGAGGGCACCGCAACAGTTGTCGCATTGGGGCAGCTTGCGGTCGCATCTCTTCTTGCGCTTGTGGCAGCGCTAGCACGAGGTCCGGGCCTAGGCCGAGGGCGCGCTCTGCGGCGGCGGAGGCATTGTGTCGGCCGGCCGAGGGGCCTGATCCGGCTCGAGCAGAGGGTGGTCAACCCTTGTTGGGCGTATAAGTCATGCCGTGCGTGTTATCGGCTGTCGAGAACAGGCCACACGCGGGAGCCGTCGGTGCTGGTGGTGCTGAGGAAAAGTGGAGGCTACCGGTCAAGGCTGAGATGGCATGGGTGGCCGCGATCGGAACGGACGAACCATCAGGCTCAGTCAATGCAAATGTCTTCTCGAAGTGGGACTGCCGGCAGCTCACGTGACGAAGCCACTGGACCTTTTTTCTTCTTTTTCTTTCTTTGTTATCTGTCTCTGCCCCTCTCGAGCCAGGAGTCCACGACTGCCCCTTACAGCGATGACCGTCAGTGACTCCAGCGAAGTGGTGGAAGCCGATGCCGTCGCGTTGGTGCTGCAGGTGTGTATCACGCTGCACGGCACACAGTTTGTCCTTGCAGGGTGTTGGATCAGGGTGTGTTACGAGTATGCTGCTATTGCCGGAAGAGTGACTCTTGTCAGCCTAGCGCGAGCCCCGCATGAGCCACGCCCAGTGCGGGCGATGTGACCCGGTACGGATGTTTTGCCTGCTCGGATCTGGATTCTGCTTCCAGCTGGCCGGGATTTCCGGGGCTGATGAGAGGCTGCCACGTGAAGCCAGGGTTTCGGCAACCTTGCAGGGCCAGCAGAGAGGCCTGGACCCGATGAACACAACCCCAAACTCAAAGCCTCCTCGGAAGGGATGGTGCGTCGAACCCCTGGAGATCCCCGAGCAAGATAAGACCCTTACACAAGATAAGACTCTTACAGAGGCCCCCGTCGCCAGAGCATCTCTAGCCCAATCAGCAGCCACACTGGGGGAAAACAGCGTACGCCGGGCTGGCCGGGCTAAGCGGCCCACCAATGTTGGCCCTAATTAGACCCGGCACTCTTCTGCAGCCCAGCCCGCATTCGTGCTGTCGCTCCCGCCTGCCTAGCGAACTAAGGGGAAAGAAACTTTCTCCATGCAGCACATGGAACCATCTGATACCCCTGAGCGCCGCCTTTGGCAGCCACCGGGCTCGGGGGCTTCCAATGCTTCACATGTGTTGGCAGGAACACGTGGTTGGCGTCAAAAACCCCCGTTATCGAGCCCAGTCCAGTGAGCCGTTCAGGCCCCATCCTGTATGTACGTGCTTCCAGCCTCCACACCGGGTGGGCCTAGAGGAGGGTCTGCTGAGGGCCGGTGGCCGTCTCTCGAGCAGATCATTTATGGAGGCCCCACAAGTTGACGACGAGCCCCCCATTGTCCGTGTGCTCGGTTCATCTGCCGGTGCCTGGCTGTTGGTGCTAGTCTGCGTGGCCCGCTGACGGTACTTGAGAGCAGCCATCCCCCTCCTGGCAGCGATCTGCGTCCCTATGGATTATTTCTCGGTTTGACTTTTACGAAGATCTCGATAATTACGCAAGTGCGCCGAAGGTTTTTCCTCGTCTAAGTTTTCCCTCTCTCCTTCCAACGCCTCGCGAGACCTACGGCTGCAGCCGTCACCATCAACATGTCGGCGTTCCTTACGGAGATGTGGGCGTGGTACGCCCTGACCATCATCGCGGTCGTGGCGAGGATGTGAGTCGACAACGCACAGATCCGGGAGAGCCGCACGGCTTATTTAACGGCCAGAGCTTCTTGCTAATCAGGCGCGCGGCACCTGTCTCAGAGTATCGCGGCGGATGTTGTACGGCTCCTTCAAGCGCATGCTGTCGGACGACTACCTAATGGTCTTCGCCATGGTACGGACGCCCTGTCTTTCCTGACGATGATACGTTATTCATCGCAGAACAACGCTATGTTGCGATCCAAAATAGAGACTAACCATGTGTGAATCCAACGCAGTTCTGTTTCACGGGCATGCTCATCGTGATCCACATTCTAACCTACACACCGACAAACCTCATCAACCCGGCCGACGGCATCGTTCTTCCCCCCGCCGACATTGAGCTGCGTATCTACGGCTCGAAGCTGGTCCTCGTTGTCGAGGAGGCACAGATGTTCACCATCTGGTCGATCAAGGGTTGCTTCCTGCTCATGTACAGCAGACTCACGTATGTGCACTCACATGAGTCCCTTGCAGAGCATTGTCCAGAGATTTGTGAAGCTGACGTGCTCTTCTTGCGCGCTGCAGAATCAGCCTCAAGCAAAACTGGATGGTCAAGGCCCTGGCCATCTACTGCATCGCCACCTTCATTATCATGCAGATCCTCTTCTTCTCTGCCTGGTGCCGCCCGTTCCACAACTACTGGCAGGTGCCTCCAGACGACCGTGCGTCCTACTATCAACCCCAAGGCACCCCTTTATCAGAGGCTCTTCTAACACGTGCGTATACTTGACAGTGAACTGCGCCGCCGAGACCAATCACATGATTACCAACGCCGTGTTCAACATCTCCTCGGACATCATGATCATCATCTTCCCGATGCCGCTGTTCGTGCAGTCCCAGCTGGCCTTGAAGCGGAAACTCGTGCTCTGCGGCGTCTTTGCGCTGGGAGCATTCACGGTAAGCAGACGGTGCCCCCCGCGCCCAATTCTCTAACTTCCCTTGGCACAATGGACACTAATCACCATCCCCGCCCGCCCCCCTTTGCAGATCCTCGCAGCCGCGCTCAGCAAATACTACTCTCTCGGCCAGCCGTACGGCGGTGACTGGATCTACTGGTACATCCGGGAAGTTTCGACAGCCATCATCGCGGCTAATCTTCCCATGACGTGGACTCTGCTCCAGCGGCTCTTCCGCATCGGCTCCTTCAACGGCATCTACGGCAAGTCCAGCGCTCCACGCACGGGCGGGACGGGCATCAGCGGCGGTGGGCCTGGCGGGACGAACCGCGGCGCCGCGGGTGGGAGCCGGTTCCGCTCCGCGTACGGCAACCTCAGCAGCCAGGGCGGCAGGGACCACTACGAGGACGAGCGGACGCTGAAGAAGAAGTCGTCCACCGTGCACGAGCTGGACGACATCAGCCCCGCCGCCAGCTTGGAGCAGGTCAACAGCACTGCTAGTGGTGGTGCCGCCGGCGGACTGCAGCGCATGCCGCTCGAGATCTACCAGCAGAAGGACATCCAGGTCGTCGTGAGCGAGGCGGTGGTGGAGGCACATCGCACGCCGCCCGGGCTGAAGCACGGCAGGGGTACAAGCCGGGGCGGGAATGCGGCTCTTGGCGAAGGGGATGCTGGTCCGGGCACGACGCCGCAGCAGAAGAGGAACGGGGCGGGGCAGTACGGCGTTCCGTACGCCGCTAGCATCTCGTCGCTTGAAAGCCTCAACGAGCCCACAACGGCCGGGGTGGGGGACATGGGCGTCGTGACGCGGGTGTATCATGGCGTATAAGTCCAGAGCGATGGCTCCTGAGGCTTGAGTCGGCGTTTTGGCAGGGATATTAATGCAGCATGAAAGGACACTTTTTTTCTGGTAGACAATTGCAGAATAGGCACATATCGTCACCACACGGGACCACTATGTCACCTCACAGGTATTACATGAATTATCGCTTTGTAGCTCACACGTCTGCTGCCATCCTGAAGGCCCAGTGAACTTGTACTCGACGCTTGAAATTCTCCTTGGGTCCCGCTACAAAAACACAGCGGTGCCCGCTTCCCATCAAGGACCCCCTCTACATCTCCACCACAGGCACGGCCTTGATCTCCACCAGCATCCTCGGATCCGGCAGGCGATGCCCGAGACGTAGATTGTGCAGTGCTGGGTCGTGGGTGCCAGGCGAGCATGGGCGTACCGTGTGGGTGGCTCCGGGGCGGAGGCGTTGAAGATGAAGGGTTCGCCGTTGGGGGACATTGTGGTTGTTCGTGATAACAGTAGCAATTCTTTGGAAGAATTTCGATGAGTAAAAACAAATCCCAAGCAAGGTCCAGAACTTGTAGAGTGAAGGCAACAATACGAGTTGTTTCACAAAGCCGGGAAGAATGTAAGGCTTATCTTGGTCTCAAGAGATGCACCGCCTGCAAGTAGAAGCCACTTTCTGACTGCACTATCATTAACGACCCTGATATTTGACTGTCTTGGTTCCCGTCTCAGCCCTGTCGGGTGCCACGACACGCTTTACCTAATGGCTTTCCCCGTTCAGCCAGGCTCCACGACATGATTCGCTGTACCCGTTGGGAGCGGGTAAGCCGCCCCTGTCTGGAACGTTATCGGCGAGTTAAGCTGATCAAGACGGGCAGGGCGACGTCGGGCCATGCGCAACGCAGAGACCCCCGCACCTCACGATTAGCTGTCGGGCGGTCCGCTCTCCATCTGGGGTCCAATGACTGCGTCATCGAGGCGGCTGTGGGTTCGACTCAGCATGGGGCAGACTGTACGACTGTGGTGGTGCCCGTGACACGGTTACACGGTGACGCGTTGACAGGCTGGAGGCACGAGCAATTCGTCTGTTCGAGCTCTGCGAGGTTGATAAGCCAGACCCCTCGATCAAGCCTGAGCGCTCCGATTGACACGCAGAATCGCTCGTACCGATCTCGTCGTCGACACGCGAGCACCAACAAACGAGGCCTGCCTCGACAGACACGATGGCTTCGCAAGTCCGCTACTATAGCATCCCCAACTTCCGGTTCCAGGACGGCACGGCCCTGCCCGTCGCCAGGATCGCGTATCTCTACATCAACTCGTCCGCGTCCAAGCTCGCCCTGATCCCGACCTGCTTCAAGGGCACCTTCCATACGACGCTCAACTTCTGCACTGGCGCCCTGCGCGACCACCGCATCATCGTCGCCGCACAGTTTGGCAACGGCGAGTCCTCGAGCCCGTCAAACACCACCACCTCCTCTCACCCACCACCGACAATAACAACAACGACAACAACGACAATGCCTCCCCCTTCCCAGCCAAAATCGACTACCGCGACAGCGTGGCCGCCCAGCACGCCCTCCTCACGCAACACCTCGGCATCACCACGCCCATCGACGTGGTTCTCGGCTTCTCGTTGGCCGGGCAGTGCACGTACTACTGGGCCGCGACGCACCCGTCCCTAGTCCAGCGCGCCGTGGTCATCTGCTCGTCCGCCCGCACGAGTGGACATAACCGGCAGTTCCTCGAGGGCCCGGCCGCGGCGCTCGAGAACGCCATCGACTTTGCAGGGAGGAAGCAGGTCGCGCCGGCGGGCCTGGCGAGGGGGCGACTCGAATGCCCGAGGGGCGTGCGCGCTTTCGCCAAGGCGTACTCGGCGTGGCTGACGAGCGCGGAGTGGTACGACCTGGAGAAGTGGCGCGAGCTGAGGTACGAGTCGCTCGCCGCGTATGATGAGGATGCCACGGGGCCCAGGTATAAGGGGAGCTTCCCGGATGACCTGTTGGCGATGTTGAGGGCGTGGCAGGGTGGCGATGTGGGTGTGTGCTTTGAGGGGAAGGTGGTGATGTTGGGTCGGCGAAGGCGAGGCTGCCGCTGGAGGATGTGCTGGGGCGGATCGAGACGCCGATATTGCTCATGCCGTGCAGGACGGACCAGTACTTCCGCTGGGAGGCGAGCGAGCGCGAGGCGGCGATGCTCAAGAATGCGGGGCTCGAGGTGATCCCGTCGGTCTGGGGCCACGTTGCCGGCGGTGGCATGGACCCCGAAGCCAAGGCATGGATGGATGGCAAGATCGCAAAGTTTGTCGAAGAGAGCTAGTATATAATATACAATATTCATATGGGCGGTCCGCACTACGATGTTTGGTTGCTGTCCGTCTAGTGGTCATCTACAACGACGTGGCATCAGGATGGGCACCCGTACAAAGAGCAACACGGCTAGGCTTTAGCACATTCTTGCAACGACAGAGCGACGATATTTGATGTCGTTTTACAGATAGTATTTGCAAATGACCATCTTAGATCACCCCGCTGCGTTTAAGCTTTCGTCCTCCTCCCAGTCTCAAATAGCGCCGTAGCCTTCAACACCCTAACATCGTCCCAGCGCCTCCCTACGATCTGCATCCTAACCGGCATCTGCACCTCCTTCCTCTCCCCGTCTGCCTCAACGACAACCGGCAGCGTCCCACACGGCACGCTCATCGCCGGATGTTCCGTGATATTGAACGGACACGTATTACTCGTTAGCCCGACCGCCGGCGCCAGCTTCTCCAGAATCCCCGTCCCGTTCTCGCGCAGGTCAGGATGCGGCATGCTCACCGTCGGCGTGCACGGCAGGACCAGCACGTCGACCTCGTCCAGCGCCCTGTCATATGCGGCGCGGAGCTCAAAGACTTTTCGGTGCGCCTTGGCCTCGAGCCCCGCGGGGTAGGCGGTAGCGGCGGCACTCATGCCCCCCGAGAGTCGGCAGCGGCCAGCGCGCCGCTTAGGTGGATGTTAACTAGGGCTGGGTTCGATACGTTGAGCAGCTCGTACATCTGCTGGTCCGGCGGCCACTGGGGCGCGATGTGCGGTGCCAGGTACGATAGATATCCGGACGGCCGGCCCTGGGAGAGCCATTGCGATATGGATGGACGTGTCGCGGGGGTCCATATCACGGGAGCTTCGGCGTGCATTGGCACCGAGGTTGTCGTGACGCTCGCGCCCGCGGCGGTGAATGCTTCGTAGGTGGTTTGTTTGATGAGCTTGGCGACGTCCGGGGACAGGCCAGAGACGGAGAAAGCTTCGGTAAGCAGGCCGACTTTCAGCACTGGCTCTGTGCCTTGGGTGTTGTTGGAACGTTTGGATAGTGACGCTCGGTATGAAGCCAACAGGGTAGGATAGTCCGGTACGTGTTCCTCGGTCGGCGACTCGGGCGTCATCCTGGGGTCGAGCCCGTCCCAGCCCGCCATAACCTTGAGCAGCACAGCGACGTCTTCGAGCGAAGACGCAATCGGGCCAATGTGGTCGATCATCGGCGACATGGATGCCGCGCCAGTGTAGGGGACCAGGCCGAAGGTGGGCTTGAGACCATACAGCCCCGTATAGCAGGCCGGGTTGCGCACCGAGCCGGCCTAGTCGGTGCCGATGGCGAGCTCGACCGTCGGGCCGAAGCTCGTGTAGCTGTCGTTGCTGTCCCGGCCCGCGACGACGAGAGCGTTGGCAGCGACGAGAGCGCAGGAGCCGCTGCTGCTCCCGCCCGCGGTATGCCCGTGGAGCAGAGGGTGGTACACCGGCCCAGAGGCTGACGTCCATAACAACGGCGACGCACAGAAGTTCTCACACGTCGAGGTGCTCTTGATCACCGCGCCTGCTGTCAGGAGCCGCGACACCACGGTTACGTCGATGGGCGACAAGGGCAGCTTCTCATCCTTACTCAGAATCTCTGGGTGCGTACCGAGCGTGGTCGGCAGTCCGCCGACAGAAATGCTGTCCTTGATCATAACGCTACGGCCTTTGAGGACGTCGCTTATGGGCCGTGCCGCGGCGAGGTTGCAGCAGTAGCTCCATACGTTCATAGGGTTATCGTTAGGCTCGGGTTTATGGTATTCACGGGGCTGCCCACCGAGGACATCCTATGGCGCGAGGGACGGATTGATGTACTCGGGAGCCTTGTCCACATGCTACATCACCGACTCGAAGGAGCGGAGCATAAGCAGGTATACATCGGCATCTTTATCGCTGGTGATCTTGAAGTTGAGGCTTGCCGCCAGGCGGTGCAGGTCCTCGATTTCGATATGCGACCTGGCGTCGCACGACTGTCAGTCAACGGTGGCGTAGGTATATTGGGCGTGTAGACGACTCACTGCGAGGTGTCGTCAGAAAGGGCGACTATCGACATGTTTGCTAACTGCCCAATTACATAGTATTGGAGGCTCGGCCAGTATCCATGTAGGAGCGCTTCAACAGCATGTCGAGTGACCGATGAATGTTTCCTAAGATGAGCTATCGGCCAGGGTAAGGAGCTTATTCGGCACTTCCGCCACGGCACGCGGTAGCGCCGATTTCGGCCCGCCTTGTCCTCGGAGAACCTGCTTGCGCCTGAATACTAGGAGCTCCATTAGCAGCCATGCCCAGTCACGCGAGTGAGCAGGATGCCAAGTCCCTTACATGACGAAGTTGGGTGATTTGCATCGCTGGCCAGCTAGTCGGCTCTACAGTATACACGCTTGAAGCATCTGTAATACGAAGAGCGAGGGCCCCGGGACTCAATACGCGAAGCAGGCGATAATGGACAAATATGAATCCCGTCCACACCTTGAGTATTCTACACCAGTCTGGATCCTGTAAAAATACAACTGTCTATAATCTCAATGGAAATTCAACTCGCTCTATCGTTATTTCAAAATAACTTCTGCAATGCCAGGTCATCCCTATTGCTGCCCGTTTGCAACCAGAATCCGTCCTCCATCCACAACAAGCGATATGCCATTTACATACGACTATAGCCCCGTGTCAGCAAGACCCGACAAGAGTGGACAGCTACTGGAAATCAGGGATGGACTTACCCCAGCTCTACTCGCCAAGTATAGCACCGCACCGGCAATGTCCTCGTTGCCCGCCCTCCTGGCCGGCACCTGGCCAAACAAGTTGCTAAACATGTTACCCTCCGCGCCGACGGGGTTCATGTTACTCGGGACGACTAGACCGGGCTCGTCGTCAGTACACACTGGACACCAGGAGTTTCTTGCCAACAGCCTAGGACGGGAAACTCACAGCCAGGATTGATCCCATTCACGCGGATATACCACCGCCCAAACTTAGCAGCCAGCAACTTGACCAGATGGTCCGTGGCGGCCTTTCTGGCCGCATAGCTTGACAAGTCGACATTCGTGACATTGCGCATGCTCGCACACGAGCTCGTGACCACAACCGCCCCGCGCCCATCCCCTTGTCCTCCCCGCTCCTGCGCGGCCGCCGCTGCTGCGAGCAGCGGCATCAACGCCACCGCCAGGAAGTAGTGCGCCGTGGTGTTGACGGCAAACGTGTCCCGCCAGTCCGTCTCGGCGTGCGACCACATCGATCGCTGCAGCTCCTCGAGCGGCGCCGTCAGCACGTCGCACGGGATGCCCGGGTCGCGCCGGATCCCCGCGTTCGAGACGAGCAGGTCCGTTATCGCACAGTTCATCAGGTCAGTGGTGCGGCGTAATTGGGCGCGCGTCGGGGCGGCCGACAGGTTCAGCGTCCTTCCCACCTCGTCTCGGACTCAGGCGGGACAGGCGACGGGCTTCCCCGCTGCCAGGTTAAATGGAGCAAGTCAAGGACGGGCGAGGTCGGATAACCAGTGCCTACATGAATCTTGTTGGCGGCATAATCTAACTTTCGATCTCGACCCGGTTTTCCTAGCATCAAGGTGATCTTGCACAGATATCTTTGTCGCAGCCCACACCAAGCTGCGGAACACGCTCGTTGTGAAGGGTTTTGTGAAGTTCTCTTCTCAGCACATGAACAATCTCCAGGGAGTAGCAAAGTACAATATGAGCAGGGACGACGAATCTGGGGAGAGTCATTGTGTCGAATTGTGTTGCAGCTCATTACCAGGCATTAAAACCACCCAGACTCGTCAGATTACGCATTCATTTAACGTAATCCACAAGTGGGTGAATCACACAAGTGGATGAATCAGTCCCCCGCTACTTTCCTACAGGCCTTCTTCTTCCCCTCTTTTCTCCACCAGTAATTATGGTACGGCATTGAGTTGAAAGTAATCTTATTCTAGCGCTTAATGCGCTTCAATTAAACCCGGAATTAAGCGTACGAAAGGCTGCACAGATCTATAATATATCCTTCTCGACCCTCCAACGACGACGACACGGCCGACCTGCGCAACAAGATATCGGACCACCCTGCCAGAAACTGACCTCGTACGAAGAGGACAGTATTGTACGATATATAATCGATCTAGATTCGCGGTCGTTTCCGCCGCGGTTAAGTAGTGTTCGAGAAATAGCGGATCGACTTCTCCGCGAACGCGACGCGCTATGTGTCGGAACGAACTGGGCTACAAACTTCGTACGACGACGACTAGAGCTCCGTACGTATTTCAATCGAAGAATTAACTATGAGAGAGTCCTCTGCGAAGATCTGGACGCGTATCGCCCGTGGTTTTCCCTCGTACGGAATATAATCGCGAAATACGGGATATATAACGACGATATCTATAACTTCGATAAGACGGGCTTTACGATAGGTAAGATCTCCGCCTAGACTATCGTTACGACCTCCGATCGACCTAGTAAGCTAAGAGCCGTACAATGAGGCAATTAAGAATGGGTTACAGTAATCCAGGGTATCGGGGCGTCCGGTAATTCGATCCCGCCGTATATCATCTTCGTAGGTAAGGTCCACCTCAACTCCTGGACGTCCGAAAGCCCTTTACCGCCGAACTGGATTATCTCGCTTTCTAAAAACGGCTAGATAACGAATAAGAATAGCTTAGAATAGGTAAAACACTTCGATTTCTATACGAAAAGCCGTACGAAGGGCGTTTACCGGCTCCTTATCCTCAACAGCTACGAGAGCTACTACTCGGTCGATTTCGAGCTATACTACAAGGACCAGAATATAATTACGCTCTATATACCTGCTCATTTATCATATAAGCTCCAGCCTCTCAATATCGGGTGCTTTAGACCTCTAAAACGGGCGTACAGCAAAGAAATCGAAGGCCTTATACGGGCGCATATTACCCACGTCGCGAAGGAGGACTTCCTTCCAGCCTTTTATAAGGCGTACAACACTATAATAACTAAGTCAAATATCCAGGCCGGCTTCAGAGCTACTGGCCTAGTACCGTACGATCCGGAATACGTTATTTCACAGCTAGACGTAAAGCCTCATACGCCAACACCGCTAGGTTCTACAGGCCTACCGCCGCCTTGGGTTTCGAAGACGCCGAGTAACCCAATTGAGGCGGAATCGCAGACCGAATATATTAAGAATCGTATCGTACGATATCAAAATAGCTCCCCAACTTCAATTATCGCAAGCTTACAGTAGCTAAACAAAGGAGTGTTAATGATCGTGTATAAACAGGCCCTTATAGAGAGCGACCTGGCCGAACTTCGAGACGTAAATAGCCGCCTAAGCTGTTAAGTACTGGCCCTAGGTCTGAACAGATACTAGGCGTATTAGATTTACTACGAGCTTGGGAAATAAAAGCAGGTAGTTCTGTGACGACCCGACCAACAGGGGACGACTGTTTGGGCAAGAAGAGCACAAACAAACCAGGCCGCAGGATCAGGCCAAGGACAAGGGCGGATCATGTGGCAGTGCCGTCACAGGTTTCTTATGTAATCACGGGCCAGGGGCACGATAAGGATAAGAAGCGCGGGTACGGTACCACCGGTCATGCATCTCATGCATGACCGTCATGAGCGCCAAGACTGACGGTCATGACCAAACCACCATGACCGTCAGCCAGACATGTCATGACCACGATGAAGGACAAAGGATATAATGCGGAGGATCTCCTAGATAGACAGTCATTACCTTTGTACTTCAGCGATCAATCTAAGTATCAGTTTCACCACACACTTGAACTAGTCACTCAATTGCCGAGACTGGTATCTCTTCCAAGAGACACGACAACCCCACAGAGAGAACGACAGCAGAGAGTTAGTTGTTATTGTACAGGCTTTACCTATCTTGCAGAACAGCAACCCCAGCGCCCTGCCAGACGGTTGACCCCGGAGGCAGGATCGTGACAAGTTCGCACTCTCCGTGAGCGCGTTACGGTTTTGTTACCCCCCCCCTGTCTCCCCCTTTTTGACCCACCCAGGCTCGGGCCAGAGCCCGAGCCCGTAACATACCCTCCTCCTCCCCCCTTCTAAGGTGGTCGGTGTCGGGACCGCCGCCCCGGACTATCGTTCCTCCGGACTATAGCTCGAATTGCTTACCGGTATTTGGTAGCGTATCGCGTAGCCTCGCCTCTCGCGATATAGTTCACGCGTAGAAACCGCTTGGCTCCCGCTTAGGGGTCGCTTGACTACCGCGTTACGTTGGTCGAGCGTAGCGTGAGGGTCCGGGTACGCTCGTATCTGACGTATGTCCAGACACGACGGCTGCCCGAGAGTATCCCTTTGCGGTCCGGGGCCGAGTCTCCCTTCCCCTCTTGCTGGGGTTCTGACTCTCCTGGTTCTCTCCGTCTCTGTGATCCGGTGTGGGCGGTACGCTTCCGACGACTGCCTAAGGGTGGCCTCCCGCGGATTGGCGTCGGGCTCCCGTCTCTTCCTCCGTGGAGTTCCGTCCTCCTCGCTTTCCCTCCTTCTCGCAGTTCGGGCCCGGGTGCGTCGCGCGCGCTGCGATCCCTCTGCTAGCGCGCTTCATCTATAGGCGTAGGCCCCGCGTGCCTCGTGTGCTGGTTCCTGCGCGGTGAAAAGAAGGCCCGGCGCGCCTCGTGTGATGGCGCCGCCGCGGCGAAAAGTGGGGCGCGAGCCGGCCGGGCGACGTGCGCTGGCCGGCGCACCGGACCCACGTGGTGCGCTCGCCGGCAGGCCTCCCCTCCTCCTCGACACATATATAAAGCCCTCTCCCACCTCCCACCCCCAAGTTTTTTCCCTCTTTCCTCCTCCTCAAGTCGCTCTCGCAGCTGCCCCGCGTTGGCAGTTTTCTTGTGTTTTTCTCTTCCCCGGTTTCCGCGCCGCTTCCGCGCCGTTTCCGCCTCGCGCCCCGCCACCATGTCTGCCGCCGTCGACTTCACTCCGGGCAGCACTGCCACCGGCTCCGGTGGTGATCCGCCTCGCCGCCCCAGCGGTAACGGCAAGAAGCCCCCCCCCCTCCCGCAACGACAACAAGAAGCGCAAGCGCCGCGCCATCCACGGCATCGAGCTGGAGGGCGACTCTTCCGACGAGGAGTTCGCACCGCCCCAGGACGCAGGCTTGCCCTGTGTTATCTACATGACACGCGCCTGCAAGACGGGCGAGTACGACTGCCAGCCCGGTCGTGGCAAGTTCTGCGCCGCTTGCGTCAAGGCCCACAAGAGTTGCGACTAGGGTTCCGACATCTTGCCCCACGACGCCAAGGCACGCGCTACTTGGAAAGCAGTCGCACGTGCCATTGAGGCAGGCGGACACATCACCACCCCGAAGAAGGTGAAGACCGGCACCACCAAGGGCAACAAAGCCGTCTTGTCGCCCGCGTTTCGCGCCATTGCCGACCGCATGTTAAACATCCTCGAGGACTTCCCTCGCCGCCGCTTCGCCAGCGAGACGGGTGCTGACAAGAAGTCCGGTAGCTCCGCCTCGAAGGAGCTCGTTCTCGCCCCCACTCCGTCGGGTGCCCGTGGCGGCAGCGCCAACAACCATCTTGTGCGCATTGCGCAGTTTCTCAACAACCGTTTCGACCACATCGACCGCCGCTTTGATCAGCAGGAAGAGTTCAACAAGCAGGTCGCTAGCAACCTCAGCGACACCGCTCAGCTTACTGCTCACTTAATGCAGTCCATCGGCATGATTCCGCAGCGTGGTCTCCCCGCGCCCACCCCCTTTGGTGGCCGTGCTCAAATTGAGTACGACCCTCCCTCCAGCAGCACCCCGTCGACTCCGTCTCGCACCCCCCGCGCCACCCAGCAGCGCCCTCGCACCAACCGTTCCGGAGGACGTTCGGGTCGCCGTGAGCGTCAGGCGGAACTCCAGCCAACCCTCCCTCCTATCGTTGCGGAGCCTGAGCCCACCCTCCCTCCTCTCGTTGAGGAGCCTGAGCCCACCAACCCTTTTGTCGTTGAGCAGGCTGCCCCTGCCCAGGGCGATGTCGACTCGGATCTCGGTGGCGGTGACGACGAGTCCGAGGTGTCCGAAGCTGAGTAAGCAGTCGGAATGCTTGGAGTACCATAACGTGTACTAGATGAAGGTTGAGGGTTCGCGAGTTGGGTAGGGAATGGGGGAGGATTGGGAGTTGGCCAAGTTGGGAGACGTTCGTGTACCGTAGCCGCCGTAGCCGCCCCCCGCTCGTTGAGGGCCCGAATACCAACCGCATCAGCAACACCGGTGCCCCCGTTCCGTTTCCGTAATGAGCTTGGTCCGTCGTTGTGTCGGATGTCCCCCCATTCTTTCTCGAATTCATCTAGGGCCTGCGTGTCCTCCACCGCCGAGATCGGTTCCCACGTCGGCTGGTCCCATCCCGTCCAC